CTTCCTAGTCGTGGGTGGGGATATTGTGTTTCCAGGCGAGTCCATGCTGCACGACAACGCCCGGCAGAGGCATGCGACCATAGAAAGAATCCGCTCGGATGGACGCCAGATGCGGCGCGAGCATGCGATGGAGACGGCCGCCGTGCTCCTCGCCGAGCTTGAACGAGGGGCAAGCAAGGTCGCGGCGGTCCAAGGGGAGTGCCGGGCCGCTTACCGAGTGCTGGAGAGAACAACGAGCCCTCGCAAGGCTGTCCCGCTGGGGCTGAAGCTCGCGAACCTCGAGCTCAAGGTCATCGACCTCGAGCGTGAGCAATACGCGGTGCAAGACGAGTTCCGCGACTGGCGCTGGTACATCGGTGCACTAGCTGCACCAAAGGTCAGTACTGTCACATCATTGTAGAAATCGGCATATTCTGACACAAAATACCTGTAAGGCTGCGCTGGAGGAGTTGATCTCCCCCCTGTTCGACGCACCTCAGCTTCAAGACATTCGTGCGCGTGTTCGCACTGAGCTTGAGGTCTTACACAGGCAGTTCCGCGAGCGCGAAGAGACAGTGATGCAGGCGGCCGCCCTTTCCACTGCAATGGGGCGAAGACTCGCACAGCGGGACCCCGACATGACCGCAGGAGACGTGAGGGGCGCCCTGCAGAAGCTCGAGGCAATGGGGTGTGCGCTGATTGCACAGGAGGCAGGGCAGGAGGATGCCATTGTCGCTCTGAGGGTGCGTGGAGAACGATATCAGCAAGACGTCTAGCTGACATTGTACCAGATCTCGTACCGCCGAGGAGTCGCTGCCCCGAAGAGCCTGCAGGGCCCTTGCGCGTTGAATATCCCCCGTTTATGCCTTGCCCGCGAGAAGCAGTTGCAGTTGCAGCTCCGGCTTGAAAGCGCCATCAAAGTAAGTGTGTGTTCTACCTCGATATAAACACATACCGATCTCATGCGCCGTATGCGCCTTTCAGACGCAGAGCGCATTGGTCAGGGAGGCCCGACAGCTCATGCACGCATTTGACTGAGATGAGCTCGCCGGAGACTCGAGGCAGCCGCTCCGAATCCTCTCTGACTGCTACTGCTACTTCATGCGCCTCGATCGTCTAAGCCATACATAGTACAATGTCATTGATGTGATCTCACTTCGTCTGCCGCGCAGTCTCGAGTCCGGCGTTGCGCCCACAGTGGAGGGTGTATTATGGCGAAACATGCTCGCATGACTTATCGTACATTGGCAACACACTATTTGTATGCCTGTAAACGACCGACCGGTTTCGTCTACCTATGACCGGTGCTGCAGCACCCACACGCGTTGGACAATGCAACCTCGACAAGATACTCAAGCTCCTCGACGACCTTGAAAGTGTTCCCGTAGCCGGAGTTGGCCTCAGGGACGATACGAGCCCTCGCCTTGCAGACGTCGCCGGCCTTGAGTGCGGCCCCCCACCCTCAACAACGTCGGAACCCGCACGTAAGGTGGGCCGGCTTGAGCAAGTCGTCATCGATGGTGGCTGGGAAGATTGCCTTCATGGTGGCCTGGCACATGGTTAGGGCGTCACGAACAACGCAGAGCCGGCACTGCTTACCTGCCAGCCAGTTACGATCGCAAAATCCATCGGGGCCTCGTTCCGGTCCGTCCGTGCTGTCTTGAACGCCTCGCCCTCATTACCTACCACGGCGCAGAACGCCTCGACGTCGTTCGCCTCACCTCCAGACCGATACACGTGCCGCGAAGGTTGATCTCGGAAAGCACCTCGTTGTCGCCGAACCACAGCCTCCAGCAGAGGTCCTTGGTACGCCCTCGGAAGCGTCATGGATGTTGGCGTAGCCCATGCTCGGCTTGTAGAGGGACTAGGGGTTAAGCTTGAAGAGGGACAGAGACGTCGCGGCGATCCTCGAACAGTGTGACGTCGATCGCCTGAGATGCCGAATCATATCTAACCACGGCAACCTTGAGTTCGGACTTGTGCTGGCCGTGCGAACAAGCCGCGCCATAGAGGGCGACGGTCACAGGCGTCTCGCCGTCCAAGGTCATGACGACCATCTGGCTCCGACGAGGAACGAAGAGGCGACGCATCGGGTTGTCGACGTGCGATGCACCCTGCACGGTCGTTGACGTAAGGAGTGCACTCAGCCAATGCTGCTGACGAGGGCCTGCGAGCATCTCAAGCCAAGTCGACGCCTCGGGCGACGTGCACCCAACGGAGCAGGCGTTCTTATCGGCCTCAACAGAGCGTTCGACGCCAAGTGAACCGGTGACATTCTCCGGGAGAGGGGAGGCCCTAACACTGAGATGGTCGGCGGTCGGAATGCGACTGAGGCCGCCGCCGTAGAGGCGCTGCGCCAACCTGTCGGCGAGGAACGCGGCGATGTTGTCGAGCACCTCCTTGACCGGCTCGTCCTTCTTCGCAGCATGTTTCGCCGCCACAGGGCCCCGGAGGGTGCACGCACGCTGGGGTTCTCGGCGAAGGCGGCCTCGATGTCCTCGGCTGCCCACGAAATCCTACCAACATATGAGCCACAGTTCCTCGTTGGGCGACCTTAACGTACCCTCTTATACCTGCTCGACGCTTCGGGGAACGGCGATGCTCAGCGACCACGGGCCAGACGAGACACGAAAAGAGTAGAGTATGTTATGTCTACATAAGGCTTCGCCCTCAGTGACAATATAGGGATTAAACAAACAAACGAACGTACCCTCTCGAACGACACCTCGAGAACAGGAATGAAAGGGACCGGCTTCTGGCCCGGGCGTTGTGAGATGGCGAGGAAGAAAGCCTTGTCCTCCGACGCCAGGAGCTGCGCGGTCGCGGCCGGGTACGTCGCGAAGAGGAGCTTGACGAAGTGTCTATGCCGGATCGTAAGCTGAAGGCGACGACAGAACAATACGGAGGTGCTTACTGTGCAGGCATAGCGCCGTCGTCCGACATGACGTTGGTGAGGATGTGTTGCGGCCAACCCACTGCTGTCTGCTGCCGCTTCGAGCGCCGAATGCCCCCTAGGAGACACACATTCCGCTCGCCTGCGGACAACAGTCAAACAGTGGATCTAGGAGTGATTTAGGCAAGGCGTTGCGCCCATGCCATGGTCGGTTCCGGTCAATTCGTTTGCACATGTTTGGTCCGGTGCGATCATGTGGCCACACGTGCTTCGACCGGAGATCTGAGGCTCTCAATTCCGGAATCCAAAGGCTACCTGAGCCTCTCAAACTTGTCGCCGATCCTGCAGTCTTACTCTTCTTTGGACAAGCCGATCGACTTCGTCAAGCTCTTCTTCGCATCTTACCCGGCTGCGACCGAGCAGCTCCTGGCGTCGGAGGACAAGACGTTCTTCCTCGCCATCTCGCAGCGCCCAGGCCAGAAGCCGGTACCGTTCATCCCTGTTCTCGATGCGAACTTTGAGGTGTGGTTCAAGAAGGTGCGTTTAAATTACCCGAAAACGAACTACGACTTACGTTTTGGGTAGGACTCTTTGTGGGCAGCCGAGGACATCGAGGCCGTCTTCGACCAGGACCCGCAGCGCGTGTGCATCCTCCAGGGCCCTGTCGCGGCGAAGCATGCGACGAAGAAGGACGAGTCGATCAAGGAGATGCTCGACAACGTCGCAGCTATCCTTGTCGACAAGTTCAATTGGCGCAGCGCCTCTACGGCGGCGACCTCAGTCTCATCCCGACCGCTGACTATCTCAGTGTCAGGGCTTCTCCTCTTCCGGAGAACATCGCTAGCTCGCTTGGCGTCGAGCGCTCTGCCGAGGCAGGCAAGATCACCTACTCCGTTGGGAGCACCTTGCCCGAGGCGTCGACCTGGCTTGGGATGCTCGCAGGTCCACGTCAAAGTTGGCCCAGGGCTCTCCTTACGCCGGCGACCATCGTGCAGGGAACATCACACATCGACAACGCGATGTGCCGCCTCTTCGCTCCTCGTCGGAGCCAGAAGGTCGTCTTGACCTTGGGCGGCGAGATACCTGTGTCCGCCGCGCTCTACGGTGCTGCTCGTTCGTACGGCCAGCACAAGTATCATTCGGCGTCTCAGGCGATCGACATCGCGTTGTTCGAGGACCGCCGCGACGTCTCCGTGCCTCTCCACTTCAAGTTCCTCTACAGGCCGAGCATGGGTTCGCTCCCGTTTGAATCCACGAGGTTGCCGAGGGTCCTAACACGCGCATCAAGGACTTCTACTGGCGGCTGTGGTTCGGCGACAACGAGGTGCTCCCCGAGATCAATCTTCGCGACGCGCTTACGGGTGCTGAGGTTGCGATTGAGGCGGATGACGTCGAGACGTTCTGCGCTGTGGTGAGTAATGAAGGCGAGGCGTTCAGGGCAGCGCGGACGGACCGGGTCCAAGACCCGAGGGACCTCGCGATCATTACTGGCTGGCAGGTAAGCAGTGTTGAATGGATACGTTATGTCCTAGCATCGTGGCAGGCGTGCTTCAAGACGGTCTCTGCATCTGGCGGCATTTTCGTCCTCGACCAGCTCAAGCGCCTCGTCAAGGTTGGATCAATCGACTTCCTGCAGGACGATAGTCGTGGCCTGCAGGACGATAGTCGTTGCCTGCAGGACGATAGTCGTGGCCTGCAGGACGATAGTCGTGGCAACCCCGCAATCGCATAGTATCTCCAACGCCATGGTACCCAGCAGGGCTCGCCCAAGGCTGCACGATGAGCAAGTCGGGTACTACGGCCTTCGCTTCCTCCGCAACGAACGAGCCTTACTCCAAGATCTCCGGCGATTTCAACCCTATCCGCATCAACCCCTACTTCGCAGACTTCGCCGCACTTCCGGGAACGATCACGCATGGCATGCGGTCGAGCGCCGCTACAAGGGTGGAACACATCAACGAGGACTCAAGACCGTTGGCGTGTGGAGCTACTGGCGTGGCACGGGCACGTACGGCAAGGGGATCGCGCGAGAGAACGCACCCTACTTCAAGGCACTCAGGAGCTTGAGGATGTATTCCTTCATACGGCTGGTGTCTGAAGCCCGACCACGATCCGCACCTCGACGAAGCTACGTCCGAGTCTGCAGACCCTGGACGGCACATCGGCTTACCTGTCCTATCCACAGGATGTAATCCTCTTCATCCGCCGACTCAAGCCTTGCTAGTAATTTAGGATTGACGCGCCTGAGCTCGTCAAGCCCTCGGTTGAGGCGGTCTGCTGCGACACTAATACTCATATATGAGAGGTTCAGAGGATACCATCAAGTACTCACGTAATATGGGTGCCAGCATCTGCCATGAACCTACGATCTCCCTCCGCGAGAAGCTCTTCGACCGGCTCGAACATTGAGAAGTTGCGTTTGATGGCCCGACCTTGTTCTAAAAGGCTTTCGCTCGGCCTACAAATGCGATGGGAGTGTATCAAGACAACAATTACAAGCGATGAGGGACGTACAACGTCGCTGGGGTGAGCTTCTTGTGCAAGGTTGTATTCTCGGTGGTGAGCTTTGCCACCTTACGCCGCAGACGTTGGTTTTCGTTCAATAACTCACTGCTCATGATGGCTTCGTACACTTTCAGGATGACCATTGTTGCCCTTCGGAATGGGGGCTGAAGCCCTTGCCCGCGATGCAGCATCCCAAAGGCCGACTTCGTCAAGATGGGACTTATCCAAGATCTTGCACGGCGCCACCTCAAACCAACATCAGTGACGTTAACCATGGTGAGTTTTTGCGTTCCCAGAGTGACCTCTCGTAGTCGATGAATGCGTTCAATGGCACACTCGGAGACTCCTTCAACGTGTACTCCATTCTTCCGGTTGACCTCATGACGAGGTTGAACCTGGGTGTGTGGAAATCACTGCTCACCCATCTCATCCGTATCCTGCATAGTCTCGGACTACAATGCGTCGCAGAATTTGATGCACGGCGGGTTCCTCTGTACCATCACTGTTGGGCGTACTAGCTGACTAACCTTCGTCATGTAGCTTCAGGCAAATCAGACCATTCCGTCGAGATGCAATCCACATGTTCTCCTAGTTCTCCTACAACGTATCCGAGATGAAGGGCCGCGGGATTACGAAGATGTTCTTCAGGTAACGTCTCTACTGCTGTTGTGAGTGGTTGTCAGGCTTACGAAGGGGTACTGGCATGCCCAATCGTTTTCAGTGTATCATTCCTGTGATCGAAGGATTACTACCCTCACCTGCTAGCGAAATCGTCATGACACTGCTGTACCGTCTCGCCGAATGGCATGCGCTTGCGAAGCTGCGCGTCCACACCGAAGACTCGCTGTCCCGCCTCGATGCGGTCACAGTCCAATTTGCAGTGTGATGCGGCGATTCGTGAGGGATGTTTGTCCCAATACATACGAGCTTCCAAAGGAGACAGAGCAACGTGCGCGCAGGAACGCTCGGCGAGCGGCTCCGAGGCACGTGCTTCGACCGGAGATCTGAGGCTCTCAATTCCGGAATCCTAAGGCTACCTGAGCCTCTCAAACTAACGGTGCTGTAACCTACAGAGCCAGTCGACTGCCCTTGCAGCGACCCATACCAGACACGACCCCACATACTCCAAGACAACTCCAAGACTGCCCCCCGCGCCCTCCTGTGCAGCCCTTTCTCCGATTTTCCAGCATTTTCCAGATTTTTTCCATTTTTCTTTTCATTTTTTTCACGTGCGCGGCGCGACGCGGACAAGGGTTTCAGAACTGCTGTATCCCGTTCACCGACTCTTCCATATGCGCATCCCGTCGCTTGGCTGCATGCCCGTTCACTCGCTCTCAGGCTCCCGCTCGCATACCCACCTGCGTGCTGGACGCGCCACCTACCACATGACTGTCTGCACGAACGACTGGACCCTCCTCGATCTCGTTAGCGTGCAGGACCCGAGAAGGATGACGGCAAGACCCTCCCCAGGAGATTGCGCCTCTCGACACCTCACTTTGGCACCGAGTCATGCATGCACTACGACATAACTATCTACGTACGGTACACCATGCGCCGGCTGGGCATCGCGGCGCGCACGACGACACAGGTCAAGATCGACTACGAGTCCATCCTCGACCTCGACTCACTCAGGGCCTGGCGCTCAAGTTAGCATCCGAGTCATGGGCTCCGATGACACGCGCATGATCCTCCCGCACCGTGGGATGCACGCCAGCACGCTCGCCATGGATCTCCAGCGCGGCTGGCTTGTTGGTGGCATCACCGCGCTCAGCGGCAAGGTCGACCTCACTACACGCTCTTTCTCTTCCTCCGGTCCCTTGCACGACGCGATCCCGTGGCAGTTCCCATGACTCGGCGAGAAGGGCAGCGCGATCGCAGGCCCCACAAACCAAAATCGACGCGCCCGAGCACGGACACGAGGGGTGGGAGTGTTGAGCGAAGGGAAGGCAGACAGACGAAAAATGAAAGGTGAGCTCTGTTGTGTGCCTACTGACGATTCTTGTTGCTGGTCACTGTGGTCGAGTAGGTGCCTCGACGAGCAATCAGGTCGTGGTACCTTTGCGCGCCCACAACTCTGCGCAATCCGCTCGAATGTCCGCGCGTCCGTCCGCGTGTTCGGCTTGCCTGCCCTCTCCTCCGCCCGTCCGCCCGCCTGCCTACACGCCCGCCGCTTGCCCGCCCACACGCCCCGAGTCGCACTCCCTCTCGCTTACGGCCCCTGTCGCATGCGTCTTCTCGCTCACGCTCTCGTGCACCTGCTCGGCCGGCCTGTCACCCACTCGCCCAAGCAATCGCCCACGCGATCGTCCATTCGTCTACGCGCTCACTGGCCTGCGGACCCACATACTTGCCCGTGGACCCACGGACCTGCTCTGCACCCGCCGTGCGGAGCCCGTACCCGCTATCGCGGGTCTGTACCCGAGGTGCCATCGCTACAGTACATTGCTACAACTCTTATGAACGTCTCTATGCTCACACAACGCTTCACGCCGCGGCGGGGTCAGGGTCGGGGTGCACACTGCCGAGGTCGAGCGAGTACGGCCGAGAGCGGATGACTGAACGGGCCGGCAATTGGGCGTATAAGTGAGTACCCACTCTGAATATGATATTGTATTCGTAGTTTGGGTGCTGTACAGTATTGAAGTCAACTTATACATCGAAGTCAACTTATACGCGTCACTGAGAAATCTACAAAAGCTGCTAGACCAGCCGTGAAGCTCAGAAACGAGGTAAATTAGGCACTCAAGCACATTTAGGCATGTTAGGCACGATGACGCTTTCCTAGCGAAACCGAGGTATGTCCATGCTTCTTCGTATTCATCTGTCTGACATGCTTCCTAGGTGTCTCCAGAGATGTCGCGTTTCTGTGCGATCTGCGAGAGGCTTTAGGTTATAGTGGCGAGAAGAACTGGCAACAACATGAGAACGGAAAAGAACACCAGAAAAAGCAAGGTTCCACAGGCAAGAACTTGAAGGTAAGGTCGATCACGTCGTTCTTCGCCGTTCGCCCGGCTGGACCAGTCGCAGGACTCGCGGCAGACGTGCCTGCTCCACTGCCGCTTCGTGCTGCAAGCTTGCAGCGACGTCCGAGGCTGTTCACGAAGATGCTGTTCGCAGCGATGATCATGCAATGCGTCATCATCATCGACAGTGACTCGGATGACGCTCCTATCCCCGAGCCTCTGTGTGCAGTCCTCAATGGCTTCCTGGGCTATGGGGCGACGGATGAGACAATCGCCGCCTTGATTCGTCGCGGTCCGCTTGGGATTGATGGCCTGTGTGGATGGCTCAAGTGGCCTGACATCCCGACCGATCGCACGGTGATTATGGTTCCATGGTCGTGCGCACGATCACTCACCTTGCGCCTTATCCACAGCAGCGTTCTGTAGCGGATGCTCTCCTCCTCGGCGTCAGCGCCCGTCGTTGGCCGCCACGGTCGACCATTGCAAGACCTTTGTCTCACGGAAAGCGGCCCCCTCGATAGCCCGGTGTGCCGCCTTTTTCCCGGTTTTCCCATGATTTCCTCGATTGATTTCAATTTTCTACGTGCGCGGCGCGACGCGGACAAGGGACTCAGGAATTGCTGTAGCGGTGACGATGAAACGCTGCTGGAAAGTCGACATAGCAATGGCGATGGGCTACGACGACAGTGACGGGAAGGCGTGGGGCAACGGGCAGGCAGTATGCACGAAAAGGTGAGTCTTATTGTTGGTTATAGCGCGGGGCTCATGACGGATAGCGAGCGCGAGTCGTCGGGCCTCAGTACGCGCTCGGTAATGAGAGCGAAGACCGAGGGTACAAGGGACTCGGAGGGTGCAAGGGCGCGAGACAACACCTCGTGCTCTCAGTCCGAATCTGGACTAGAACCAACAGCTGCAACTCTACGGTACCCTCCGCCATCGTACACTCATGCATGCCACTATCACGCGGTCGACTTCAGGCTCGTCTGCACCGTGTGTGGCTGACGAGAACTATGGCGGAATCATTCAATGCTTTAGTAAGGCTGGACTCAGAATTTTTCGCCTATACACCCCATATACCAGCAATAAGCTGAGCTGAGAAACATTTGAGATATAGCACGGTTTATATTGTGATGCCCGCCTAGTGTAACCTCAGAAGACATTGCAAAATAATGGAGCACGTAGTAGCGACAAACGCAGGACTCATTAGCAATGAATCTTACCCGATATTCTGTTTGTGTCGACTTACGTCACACTGCACGTATGCTGGATTTATGCTGATTGAGCTCGGGCTGTGTTCCTCGTAATGATCTCGTGGAATTCTGGGCCTCATACCGAGACCAGCATGACTCATCTTGGGATAGGTCCGAGAGGATTCCGCTTGCATCACCGTGGTCATACGTAGGTTAAACGCGGGACTCATTGGGAACATATCAAAACGCATCATGTTGATCACATGCGATGCTCACGAGGAGTATATTTTTCACGATGTTGGCATATGACATCTTATCACTGACTGGTCACATGCAGACTCCTACCGGGATGCGGCTCGCATCTCGCCGCTGATCTCAGTGGCCAATGCTTCCGGTGTCTCTTCTGGTCCCCCGACGTCCCTCAAACACGCCTTGGCCTGAGGTTCACGACTGTCCGCACAACGACTGACGACGAGCCTCGAATCGTACATCTATCGGTGCATCGAGCCGAGCAAAGCTTGGCCAGCCACCTTGCTCCACCTCGCTTAAAGAGTTTGGCTTAAAACCGCTGCGTATTTATTGGTCGACTTACCGGCAGACGCTCTTGCTGGCCATCCCCTTCCACCACCATGGGTCAGTTCTCAGAAGCCGTTATCGATTTGGCGGGGTCGTTGCGCAGGACTCAGAAGAGAGAAGATGCTTCGACGGTATGTGGCTCACTTCGCTCTGCGTGCGCTGCATATGTTGACCCGCGCTGTAGGGTGGTCTGTTGACCGGTCAAGACCCCAGTGTATTCGATAAGACGGATCCCTTGAAGATGTTCATTATCCAGCTCGGTGAGCATCCTGTCACGGCCTCACGGATCATGTCTGACGTTGGGATTGCTTCGGGCAGGTGTGATTATGTTGATGACCCAGCTTCTGGGCTTGTTCCTGCGTAGAATCAAGCAGCCTAGAGTTATCGCAGAAGTCATTGGTGGCATCTTGCTTGGTGTGTAGGATCAATGCGACCTCCTGCTCTGTCTTACACCGTGCAGGACCCACTGCTTTCGGCCGCATCCCTGGCTTCACGCAACACATCTTCCCTTCGGAGGCATCTTCGTATCTTTCCCTTGTGGCCAACATCGGTCTTTGCCTGTTTCTGTTCCTTGTTGGAATGGAAATCGACGGTGCCATCGTCAAACGCAACTACAAGACGTCCACTATCATCGCCATAGCAGGCATGGCCCTCCCGTTCGGTCTTGGCGCGGCGCTCTCGGTGCCACTCTACCACACCTTTATCTCCAGCACCGTCAAGTACACGAACTTCATGCTCTTCACGGGTGTCGCGTACTCCATCACCGCGTTCCCTGTCCTCTGTCGTATCCTCACCGAGCTGAAGCTCCTCGACACGAACGTCGGTATCATCGTGCTTTCTGCTGGAGTGGGCAACGACGTCGTCGGATGGATCCTCCTCGCACTCAGTGTGGCCCTCGTCAAAGCTGGCTCTGGTCTGACGGCTCTTTGGATCTTGCTCGTCTGTCTCGCCTGGGCGATGTTTCTGTTGCTGGTGGTGAGGCATGCGATGTACTGGCTCGCGCGTCGTACCGGCTCCATCGACAATGGCCCTACTGTGTTCTTCATGACTGTCACGTTCTTGCTTATGTTCGGCTCAGCATTCTTCACGGACATCATTGGGGTAGGTTTTATTGGTGTATCACCAACCAGTCTCTGAACTCAGATACAATAGGTTCAAGCGATCTTCGGCGCATTTTTGGCGGGTCTCATCATACCGCGGGAAGGTGGACTATGTATCACACTGACCGAGAAGCTGGAAGATATGGTGCAGATCATCTTCTTGCCATTGGTGAGTGATTCATTGGCGTTCACTTGCTAGATATTCACTGGGTACAGTATTTCACGCTCTCTGGTCTGAACACCAATCTCGGACTGCTCGATGACGGTGAGCAGACCCCCACACAGTCGTTTTCAAGCAACTCATTGCTGCGCAGGCATCACTTGGGGTTACACTTTCGCCATCATCGCCCTTTCGTTCTGTGGCAAATTCGGCGGTTGTGTCTCCGCGGCTAAGCTACTCGGCTTCTCATGGCGCGAGTCCAGTGCGATCGGTTCGTTCATGAGTTGCAAGGGGTACGTTGTCGACTACCCAAATCAGTTGATGATGCTGATGACCACGATGATGCACAGTCTGGTCGAGCTGATTGTTCTCAATGCCGGCTTGACCGCGGGGATCCTCACACAACGGGTGTTCTCGATGTTCGTGCTTGAGGCACTCGTGCTCACATTCATGACGACACCGCTGGTCAACAAGTTCTACCCGCCCAGTATGCGCATTCGCGCCGGCCGCAGCGGGAACTTGGAGCTCAGGGCATCGCCTTCGCTCTCTGAAATTGGTGAGATCTCCAGCGGTGGTTTGACCAAATCCGAAATCGCACAGTCGACGCCATCGAATGGGCTGGACAGTGATCAGGAGCTGAAGACGCGCTTCACGGTGATATTGGACAAGATTGAACATATCCCTGGTATGATGGCCCTCATGCAGTTGATCCAGCCACCGTCAGCGACGACGGAAGGCGCTGATCCCAACAAGCGCAAGAGCCTCATGGACAATAAGCGTCCGCAAGCTCAAGCGCACCAACGCACGGGCAACGTGTCTGTGGACGCGCTCCGCCTGATCGAACTTTCCGACCGAACGTCGGCCGTCATGCGTTCATCCAACGCGGATGTGCTGATCAACACCGACCCGCTCCTGAACATCTTCAGCACCTTTGGCGACCTCAATGGCATCTCGGTCTCCTCGTCGCTTGCGATCGTCACCTACGACGACCTTTCGTCCAGCGTCACAGAGCACGCTCAGAGACACAAGTCTCAGCTGGTACTTGTGCCATGGCTCCCGCCGCAACATAGCACGGAACACGGCGGCATGACAGTCACCTCAGGTGATGGCGCTGAGGCAGCTCCGTCGAGCCCCAAGGTAGCGACCGCATATATGGCCAACCCCTTCGAGACGCTCTTCCGCGGATCGGGCTCCGGTGGGAACCAGTCGCCTTCCGCGTTGCACTCGCACTTCGTCCGCAACATCTTCGCGAGTGCGCAGACCGATGTCGCCCTGTACATCGACAGGCATCATCCTGGTGAATCGACGTTGCCCATGCTCAACAGCCAACAACACATCTTCCTGCCGTTCTTCGGTGGCCCGGACGACCGCTTGGCGCTCAACTTTGTCGTGCAGCTCTGCGCGCATCCGAGGGTGACCGCGACGGTCGTACGGGTGACGAGGAAAGCGTTCGACGAGCTGGAGCAAGTCGATTCGATGGGCAAGCCGCATATTGCTCACCTAGGCGACGAGCGGCCTAACGAGGCGACGGTGCACACGGTACGCCGTGTCTATGATATTGTCATCATGCAACTGACTCTTTGCCCATAGACGACCGCGTTCCCAGACACGGTGTACGGCGCGCACACGACGCAGACGCGCATGCAGTCCGAGACCGCGGACAACGTCAGCTGGTCCCGCTATGCCTCCCCTGAGCAGGACGACTCCCCGCTGTCTGTTCCGTTGTCCCGCATCGAGTTCTCGGAGATCCGTACGCCGACTCCTCTGCACACGGTGTTCGAGTACGTCACCAACATCACGGAGTCGGCAAACGAACGTCGGTGCCGACCCATGGTCGTCCTCGGCCGTTCGCGACGTCTGGCTGTCGAAAACCACCACAGCGAGCTCAAGCAGCTGATGGAGCAGCACGGTAGCTTCGGCAGCGAGGTGAAGAAGACGGTGGGAGATGTGTCTGCGGCCCTCATGGCGACGGGCTGCAAGGCCAGTATTGTTGTTCTCCAGGCATCGAATGTCGCCCAAGATTGATGACTGCATGAGTTCCCAATTTCATTGTTTGGTTAGGTGTCTCGTCAACAACCTCTCACGATACCTGCATTTCACCCGACTCCCATGATGACACGCCTCGATCCTTAAAGTTCCCGGGTTCACCGTCACAACATACCCTCGTTTCATTGTCCATAGTCGGATTTAGTGTAGCACGCCCACCATAGAGTATGTACCATATCAATATAAACATCATGGAACGTGCGGTGGTGAGATGGAGACGGACAGCGACATATCAGAAACAAGATGACGAACAGAGAGAGAAGTACAGGGATGAGAACACAGTAGGACAACATCTCGGTACTACTCTTTGCTCTTCTTCTTCTTCTCCTTTTTCTCCTTCTTCTCCTTCTTTGAGGACTCGTCGCCCTGAACGTTTCATACGCATGGTCAGTGGGATACAGCTAGCGGATCTGTAATACGCGGGCATACCTCGGCAGCCGCCTTCTCCTGCTTTTTCTTCTCCTTTTTGAGTGCCTTTTTCTCCTCCTTGGAGAGCTTCTGCTTCTTCGCAGGTGCCTCCCCTTCCTCGTCCACATCCATATCATCCTCGTCTCTGCTCTTGCGCTTCTTCTCCTTTTTCTTCTTTGGCGAGGGTTCTATGAGGGGCAGCGCGGGCTCGTCCATCTCCTCGTCCTCGTCGTCATCGAGCGCGAGCTGGTCGAGGACCTTACGAATTGCGTCCGTGTTCTTCGACGGTGGAGCACCAGTTTCGAAGAAGTTGAGCCGCTCCTCGACCTGCTGCCTGAGGGCCTCGCCGAACATCGGGGAGGGTTTGTCTACACGAACACGCGGCCGTGTAAGGGGTGGGAATAGGGTCCGTGAGTGATGACGACGTCATACAGGGCGGGGACACGTACCAGAGTAGCAATCTATCCTCGACGCTATCGAGCATTTATTCGCGAGGAACCGTGAGATGCGACCCTTGTGCTTGGGGCCTGCGCGGCCAATGAAGGAGGAGTGGTAGATGAGGCCATACTGTCGATGGTACAACCGTTAGCCAGAGTCCTATGTCAGGGACGATAGAACCAAACCTTGGGTGTGTTACCCTTCGTCTTCAGCGCCCGGAAAAGAGCTTTCTCCGCCCCCAGGATTTGGACGGTGCTCGCAGGGTACTTACTCAGGTTCGTCAAGCTCCCCGCGTGGCTGATGAGCCGCGCTCCTACCCGCTCGCCGAGAAGCGCGGTCAGACTCGGTGCAACGACGTTCATCTTCTCCGAGAGATATATCTGCAGCGACTTTCGGTACTCCGCGATCGACACTACTCTTGTAGCAAACAGACTGATATTGAGCATGTCGATCTCCGACAGTGTTGACCCCATGGACCCGCGCGCTGCGTCCAGCACGTTCTGTGCGCGTGTCATGTCATCGTCCAGGAGCGCAGCGAGGTCGGGCAGCTTCTCCTCGTCCAACGACTCCTTCGCACCGATGAACTGCGCGACCTTCGCGTACTGGTAGTTGTCCGGGACGATCTTGACCATTTCAGGGAAATGGTAGCCGTACCATTCGCGGATACGCATGGAGAAGAGGTTGACATCCTTGTCGAGTTGGTCAAGGAGGGCAATGGCCTGGATAATCATGTTGTCTATCCGGTTGACGTTGAACTTGAGCTTTGATCGCGAGTAGGAGTGCCCCAGGCCGAGCTGGGCCTTGGTGAGGTCGTCGGACTGCAAGCCCTTCAAGAGCTTCGTCGCATGTTGTCGGATGCCGCGGATGATGTCCTTCGCTACCTCCGAGGTATCGCAATCAATGCCGAGGGTAGATTTGATCGAGGATGCGAGGATGGAGTCCAATACTGCGAGGGTCACGGTCGACTTCTTGGACGGCTTGGAGAGGTTAAGCTCCAAAAGTGACTGCAAGTACTCATTGAGAATGCCTGTACTGGCGTTAATGAGCTTTCCATGGATGCTCAGATAGGTGAACATGCCTTCCGAGAGATCATTTGCGTTCTCCAGCGCATGTGCAGCGCTCTTGAATGGCGAGAAACTGATCAAGGAGACCATTTTGCCAAACTTCGCCAGGTCGTCGATCGAGTCCTGGACCGCCCTCGTCATGGCCCCCACATTTTCCTGCAGCTTGACCTCAAAGATCGCATAGCCAGAGGCGGATTCGAACAGAGCATGGGTGATCATGACCGACAGTCGTCGAGAGGGAGAGCTCGACGGTCGTGGACTCAGGCTCGCCGCTCAGCCACCCGTTCTTCGACTTCACAAACTTTTGCCTGCACGTGACACTGACGATGCCAGGGCACCAAGCATCAACTGGCAAGCATGGTCATTGACCGCCACATGTTGTATCGACACACTCGCGACTCCGTGAGGTTCGCAGTGTGATATTCAGCGATGATTAGGCCATAGTATGCAGCTGGTGTCGCAGCTCGCGCTCTGACGGCTCTGACGGCTTATGATGCAATAACGCTTCTCCGCGAAGTACTATTACTACTAAGGCAGCAAGCCATACCAGTACTTTTCAGGGATATGAGGAAGCTGGGAGCAGGCGGTACAGTGCCCGCGAGGTATAGGAGTGTCTATAGCACGGTGCGATGCTCTTTTCAGGTCTACACTTCGCAGGGTCGCTAATGTTACCCGTCACGTAGGATGTGCATAGTACGCACCGTGCGCGCACATCTGAACTTTGAAACTGGCGTATCCAGTCTGAATTGAACCGAGGTAAGGGTGTCTGAACCAGTCCCATCGTTTGCACAGGTCGCCTAGAGGCCAGGACAAGTACTGAAGCGCAAGGAACCCCGAGCCTACGAGTTTGTTCAGTGCTGCCACATCCAATTGGGTCGAGCCTGCGCTCAGGCTCGAAAACAATTTCACTCATATTGAGACGTCCAGCAACAAGTCTGAACCACTATTGGCACACCGCCCTAATCCCTGCACCACACATAATATTGGCTACCCTGTACCATTAGTATTGTCAATCGCGGCCGTAGTCGTGTGCATCGACAACCACGCAGTGTAATGCCGTCCGGTAAGTGATGCATCCTTCAAGTTCTATAACCTGACAGCTACAATAACCTCCGGACCCTGGGGTCGCGTGCACGCACGGAACAGCTCTGATCTATACTCATTGGTGAGAGACGTGCAGGTGGGCTTGTTGGCGACCTCTCGGCTCGTGTTCACTATCACTAACCTATCGATGTTGTTCACACTCAGCGGGTCGTTCAGGGACGCCAACGAACCCTCGATATCGATGCGCCATGAGTCTGACCGTCGAAAGAGTCAAGGAGCGAGCCGGCTGAGGTACAATCCGAAGACAGGTCGTCTGCGTCGTGCAATGCTTCTGTCTTCAAGTTGTAGAAGAAGAGCAAGTGGCATATAACTCACAAGTTGACAACCACTGCAGGCGAAAGCCCCGCTCCGCTCTGTGAGAAAGCCTCCAGTGCGTTTTTCCGTTGACCGTAGCCTCGATTCCCTGCGTGGGCTAGACAAGGGTCACCGGGCCATTTGTGCCCTTGGGCTCTTGAGACACCACGAGAACCACAACGGCTTGCACCGACATTCAGACCGATCGAGACGACATGCCCGAGTTCGTAGCGGAGGAAGAGACTGCAGGACCTTCGGTACTACTGATGAAGTCTCCCCAAGCACGTAGACAATTCCTTCAACCTTCGTGCCTCAGGATATCCTTTACTACTGGTGCGTGGCTAATAGATTCGTGTGTCTTGGTATGAGGTGCACGGCCCGGTTGCGGCCCGGGTTGCGGTACGCACGGAGACCTTGCGGAGACCTGCGAGCCTCGCTGCCAACAGCGTAGTGCATACTCTCAACAGTTCTCATCCATCTCACTATGCTCGCTACCAGGCTCGTTCGTGAATTCAAAATTGATAGCCAGGATAGGCCGTCCTCTCATGACTGCTGGGCTGCTCTCCCGAATGGCAATCTGAGGACAGTCTGAACAGTCACTGGCAGGTCAACCGAAAGACTGGTACAGTGGTACTACAGTCGTTTTTGCTCCGGCGACGTTTCCGTTCGAATTCGTAGTGCTGATATATTGATGAACTTACCTCTGCTCCCTTTCTCGTGTAGATGTTATGGGTACAGACTCCTATACGAAGTATTGGACTTCTGAGCCACCATCTGTCGAGGCCGCTCGGGCGTCGCTTCTGGCTCCCTGGCTTCAAGGTGCCAGGTGTCTACTACTTAGAGTTTGGGTAAGTCATCCCCTTCAGGGACCCTCGCACATACGGTTCCTCGGCCTGCACGGTTCCATGCTGCGATCTAACCATTCCTGCGGCCGGCGGGACACACGAGTACGCTTCCAGGTAAATCTATGCAGGTACGCCTAATGGACAGTTTTGGACAACGTAAAGTGTCAAACGTTGCATGTTCCTTACTCGGGAGTTGTGATACGTCAGCCGCTAAATGGAACGGTCTTTCCAATGGATGCCAGAGGTAACTTACGAAGGTAGCAACCACGTCACTGGTCATAGCCAGAACGCTCGGAACTACCTCGCCCGATGAACGCTCATGGTAACGCGTCAAACTATTTGTCCGAGACATCAATCACTGTGGTCCCTGCAGGGACCTTAAGCTCGGAGACTTCTGACCGACATAGCCCTTGTCAGAGCTCTTGTCTGTTGTGGTTCGCAAGGTTCCCGGTTCATTCCAAGTGATGATACCATACGCAGTCCGACATCCTTCTCTCCGGTCTGTCGGACTGGTCTGGTAGACGCGTTCGCTGCGCTCCGGTACATAGCATCTTTTCATCTCGTCTGTACATACAATGCCCCTTGATCCACCCATAATTGAACCCCAGATGTCCGCCCGCGGAGACTTTGCATCGGACGGAATGTGACGCCACTGAATGCAAACCCTGACTTATCCTGGTCTGTGCGTGTTTCGGACGAATACATTCGCGACATTGTTATCAGGATATACGTGCTGCATCCAGCGCGTCGATCACAGGCTATTGACCAAGATTGTTAGCTCAGGGTATGTCCACTCCGCTCGCACGAATGACAGCATACCGCGACGGCGTCCTCCCACAGTGCCTTTCGCACGACGTCCGCTAGACTGGATTTGCGCTGCCGAAACATAGTCGTCTGCCCTGGTTTCCGCCTTGTCCACTCCGGAGCATCGAGGCTATCACTCCATCCCTGGTACCTGTCCAAGACAACGCGGCGGCAGGCCTCCACGCTATGTGATTCCCGGAGGAGTGCAGCGCCCGTCACGGTGAGATACAATACGAATGTATCGGGATCGCTGAAGTCGGTGTTATCGTCGGGCGCCTGAAGGCTGGTCAGATGGGGTTGCCTGCATGCAAGTACAAGTTCGAGTCTGTTCGACTCACTTCGAATTGCTGCATCTGGAGTGCACATTGCACCTCTTCTGGCTCGAGCGAGCATCCGGAGTCAATGCTGTAGTCATCCGCTGCGCTAGCGGCTATCCAGCTATCAACGGGACCGGGCAGACCGAGCCTTTCCTTGCGGTACTGCGCGCGCGCTTCTGCATCAGAGAGACGGCGCGGTAGAGAAAGACGCGGCTTCACAGTGGTCCTTTTGACCTTGGGCATGGCGCTATAATGGCAATGGTGGTGGAAGGAGGGCGTGATGACCTGGTTGCACAGCGCACTGAGCTTCTCTTTGAGGATTGTCGCGATGCACTGCTACGTCTATCGTGACCGATCTACTGAGGTAATCGGGAAAGCCATCCTCGTTATCGCACCGATCCTAATATCCTAGAAGTAACAAGCATTGCCTCGAGGTGGGAGACCTGGACTACTGAGGACCAGAATGGCAAGTCGGGGATGTCACCTGCCGTTTGTGAACGATCTTCAGCTTCGGGCCCGATCCCCGCAACACCACGCCCCCATAGTCTGCCGTGCGCGCAGTGGTTCGTCCTGATAGAATCCAGAGCTTATTTCAGCTGAGATGAAGGGGCACCCTGAATAGGAAGAGACCACTGGCCATTGATACAACGGAGGTATGCATCGTGTCCTGCGTTGTCTGTCAGCGGACATCGGTAGTTACTCCTCACCTACCCAGTGCAACGATGTACATCGCCAGCCAGCCAGCACATGTAGCTCCGGGCCACATATCTGCGGCGATGCTCGTTCTTCCACTCCTCGTCCTTTGTCATGTGTGCCGGATGAATGGAGTGATGAACGCCTCATGGGTTACATGGTGTGGAAGATTGTGAAACGCATCTGATAGCAGTTCGCTGCGCGCATTGCACGCACTTTTTACCCTGTAAGATGAAAAATGGCAGCACCTCCCTCCGCCCGCGACGCTCTGTAGACTCTTGAGGGCAACGAAGACAGCCAGGGTGGCGTTGAGTGGCGTCGGGGCGGGGGCGGACCCACAGGAACAAATAGGGAAAAACACCTAAAGAGTGGGCACGTGAAACCCGATTTGATCTGCGGCCCGATATGGGGGACATTTAGACCGTCATGCCGCCTCGTGTCGGGGGTGAGGACAGCGGGACTCCCCCGCAATCGACCTTGCCTCAGTCCTTCACTCACGGACTTCGCGCTGGTGAGGACCTCCCGGTCTTAATCTGCTCGGGGAGCTTGATTGCGAGGTCCTGATCCTCTGCGAGGAACGACTCAGGGCATTGCATGCTACGACCTGCACGACTAGGACCGTGTACGTGCGCCGCTCGTGTCCCCAGCCCGTTATCTGTCTCCGCCGCTGACCCCCATTCGCACAGACTTGTCCACGACTCACCTTCCCTTACGCCCTACCCCCCTCCTCCCCTCCACTGAATCGGTACACTCTCCGCTGGCCCGATATGTTCAAGAAGTTGCTGAAGGGTCTCGATTCGGCACCTCCAACGCCCAAGATCGGCAGGATTGAGCTGCCTGAGCTGGGGGAGGGGGATGTATTTTACTTTTCCAAGGCTGAGGGGTCAGCAATCGTCGACTGGTCTTCGGACAGCGAAGGCTCATCGTCGCCGCGCTCACCTATCCTAGCCTGGCATAGACCGTCTACGCCTCAACCGGAGGGTCCCCTCAAGTCGCGGCGCAAGCACTCCACGCCTGTTACGGAGTCTCCACTGAATCCTCGACGCGGATCGGCTTCGTCGTATCATGCGGATATACGGAGGGCGCCGAGTAGGTCGACCACACCTATGGTCGAGCCGAAGTCGAATGGCAGCAGGTCGTCGACCCCACAGCCGGGTTCCTCAAAGGCTGCCGCAGGGCTCGCGTCGCCCGTGCCCGTCAAAGCCGCGCGTAAAGGGATACTGAAACCCTGTAAGTTGACCGCGATCGCGCTCTCGTTCACCACACGCACGTTATCGGGGGAGAACTCACCACGTGTACCATAGCGCCGCCCCCCAAGCCAGTCACGCTCCACTGGCAGTTGCTGCCATACGAACCTGGGCGGTCGAAGAAGTTGATTTATTTCAACGTCGCGTATCCGCCTGGTCTTGTCCGCGACCATACGCGTATGCCGCCGGTGTCGCTCCACCAGTCCGAGATGGAGAAGCAGGCGGCTGAGATTCCCCTCGGCGAGATGCAAATACGCTGCTCACAGCTCCCACATTGGGATGTCATTGTTTCTCCCGTGGGCCCTGGAGGCGTACGGTGCATCGACGTGTACCGTGCGATCTACGAGACGTTTCAGAAGGAGCTGTCTGAGACGGAGAGGGACCACTACATACCTCACGGCCGTCGCCAACACTGCGAGGCGGCCTGGCGCAAACGATGCAAAGAGGCGCCCGGGTTGCCTGAGGTAAACCTGAAGAAGGGCATGTGTCGCATCGATCTACTCGAGGGACGAACGATTTTCATGGGGCTCAGGCGGCCGGTGCCGACGGATGACAAGCCGGATCGAGTCTGGGTGCTGGAGCTTGGGTTTCCGAAGGAAGAGCGCCGCTGAAATCGTTGACGATATTTTGCATGCATACCGTATACGCGCCACCTGTCACGGTCAGTCCAATCGTCTTGCCCTTGGAGCGCAGTGTGCCGACGGCTCACCAACTATGATTCCCCCCTGTCTAGGACTGGACTGGATCCTAATACCCACGCTGGATTACAACACTCATTTTCACTGCGCATCCCATCCACTCTATTCTCGTCATTCATCATGTCGCACCCCCCACTCGCCCTGTGCATCTGTCCTCGCGTTCGACGCAATCACCCCACCTCACGTCGCCCTCATCGCATCTTGTAACATCACCCATCTGTCAGGGCGGTCTTGTTGGCGTGAGACGACGCCCGCTGCCGCTCAGGGACTTCTGTATACTATCACTTACTTTTCGCATGTTCTAGGAGCACATGTCTTCATGCCATGATTTGTAGCGCACCCCAATCCGCATTCTGGCACAGAGCTGCCCTATTAGTAGTCGGAGACAACGGAAAGACCTCAAAATCCATGCGAGACTGCGTGTGCGTCGTCGCAAGCGAGCCATCTAGAAAAGCTTGCCGTTAGTCGTAACGTACGCCAAACCATTGACGACAACAGCGGTGGGAGAGCAGGGCTGATGATCGCGTTCAACATCACGGGCGACGAAGCTGGCGTAGGCGCGTCTGCCACCGGCTAGCAAGCGGGAGTTGTCTGGACCTTGCATGAGAGAACAGGGCGTGACTGCCTCCTCGTGTTTGAGGGGTGCCCCGTCAGGTGAACCTACCACGGCAGCAAGGACGTGGAATCTGGTAAACACTGCCCCAACGGAAGCGCATGAGCTAATGACCCTGTCTAAGCGGCACCGATAGAAGTGGTCAAGGTAGTGCGAAGATCCTTCCAGAGGACGGTATAGAGTTCTGGACCTACCGCAGCGAGGATCCAGTGCAGTTGGGGCCTCGTTCCAATTTTGGTATGTACCAAGACAAAGTCGGACGCTATATGCGACTATATTCGCACAGACCTTAACTGGAATCCTTCTGTGCTTCACAGGCACCACAAAACGACCCTGAATGATGAACGGCTACTCGTTAGCCGGCGAGCAAGCTCAAGAATAGAGAGTACGACTTACTCCCGCTGGTTCCATAGCCTAGGCCAATCAATCGTTTCTGTGCACAGCGGGGAATCCACCTAATCGCGCGTTCATTTCCGTCAGCTAAGACAGCATCTCCGGGACGCCGTAAACCTTCGCACAACGCTATCCAAGGCAATCGGATATTACACTTCCCGACGAAAGTGGATGCAGAACTCGAAGACACCAGTAGTCACTTCACCGTGGACGGTACGAGGACGCTAGATGCGTAATCTAAACATTCGTGTAATTGATTTGATGAGGCAAAAGGAGATACGAAGCAAAGAGGGCATGGTCCGTAAGAGATGTATGTGGTCGAGTTGAACTTGCACTGCATCGAGTCAACTCAAACCAGAGGCGCGTCGCGTCGTGGAGGTCACGATCACGTGATGCGTGACGAACGCGTTCAGCGCTGCGTAGAATCTGCTACTGGCACTGATGGATGCTGCAACTGCCTCAATGATATGTGAGCTGACAAAGACCTTCGAGAAAAAGATGGGCAAATGAGATGAATAGAGGACTATACTATTACAGGTACCGTATCAGTGATGTCCAGGGTGTACACATGCGATGCGAACCGACAAGACGTATGCGACAGCGAAACAGAAGGCTAGATAACGAATTCTAACCAAGGCTGTCATCAGTACGATGCAAAAGACAGGGGAAAGTGGGTATACTGACAATTTATGTGCAAGGACGCCGACCGAGACATTACGCGCCGCCTATGCGAGCGCGCACGCACCCTCGTCCCAGTCCATGCGCGGAATAACGCCAACAGCTCTACAGACAGGGCAAGATACTTCGACCTCTTCGCCCTCTTTCTCTTCCTTCTTGTCCTCCCCGCCCCAGCCCGCGACACGCTCCGCACTCACGAGGCACGACGGGTGGAACGTATGCTCGCACACCTTCTCGCTGTTTCCGCCCATCCGGTTGATTGAGATGTTGCGCATGGTCGATGGGTCGATGACAGGGAACGGATCCTCATCAGAAGGGCCGAGACCGCAGCTCACATCCCAGCACCGCAGCCCACGCTCGCGCTCCAGACGCTCGACACGCTGACGCAGCGTCTGCCCCGGAGGAGCAGGCAGCGTCCACTGTCGCTTCTCTGGTGGCCGGGCACGTCCCTGACCGCGCGAGCCCGTTGAAGCCGCACTTGCTGGACGTTGCGGCACAGCTCCAGCGGGCGGGTTTGCATTTGCCTGAGGTTGCGGCGGCTGGACACCGAAGAGGTTCTGCCACATGTTCGGGATGCCCCATGTGCTGGGATTGGGACCACCCGCAGGCGAGTTCTGAGCATTCGGCATAGCCCCGGGCACAGATGCGTTCGCAGCAGGCACAGGCTGGGGATGTTGGGCCTGAGCTTCTTGCGGCGCCTGCTGAGGCGGCTGAGGCGGCGCACCGCTGAACAGACGCTGGAAGAGGTTACGTGTTGCCTGAGCGTCGAGCGGGACATAACCACCAGCGGGCCCGCCCGGTCCGCCCATGACAGGGAAGAAGAGATTGAACTCGAAGGGTATGCCGTCTGCGGTAGGGCCTGGGTGTGGTGGCTGGTCCTGAGTCGCATCTGGGGCACCGGGCTGGCGAGAGTTCGGCATTGACTGGGGAACGCCCTGTGTCTGGGCTGGAGCTGGCCGCGCATCTGCGGTTGCTGGAGCCTGAGGCGGTTGTGCACCAGCCTGCGCTGGCGCCGGACCCTCCGTGGGTGCGGCTTGCTGCTGTCTGCGCCGCCGGGGTGGGGCATAGGTGAGGGACTCGGGATCGATATCGAAGCGGCAAGAAGGACACGTCGTGCGATGCGGCTTCGTGAACCATGGCAGCAGGCAAGACGTGTGGAATACGTGAGCACAGGGGAGCGCTACGACCTTGGGCAGTTCATTCTTCGTGGAGGGCGTGTCCGTTGAAGTGGCGGGAGAAGGCGCTGCATGGCCATCAACATCCATCCCCGCGTTCGCCTCTGCACCAGTACCGGCTTGCTCTTCAGTGTCGAATCCGCCGCCTTCCGAGCTAAGCTTCTCCCAGCAGACGGAACACAGCGAGTCGCCGTCATCGCCACCGAGCCTCTCGATGCGTGATACCAGGCCCTCCGGCACCCCCTCAAGGCCGCGAACAAGCTTCTCAGCCCGCTCGGGGTTGTCAATTTCCTCTTCACGCGGCGGGCCGAAGGGGAAGAAGGACATGAAGAATGGTTCCGCTCCCGGAGCGAAGGGGAAGAACTGCGGCGGGAAGCCGGCCATTTGCGGAGTGCCATCGGGGACAGGGTGTGGTCCGGCAGGAACATCCGGGGGAGGGCCGATGTGGAACGTAAGGTTGAACATCGGGAGGGGATGGTTATGAAAGTGATGATGGTGACCCTGACCTTGTGCTTCGGCATCTCCTTGCGGGCCTTGCTGAGGAGCGTCCTGCTCTGGGCCAGGGAAGACGTCGAAGGAGTAGACGCGTTGGTTGCTATACGGCGGCGGTGGATCGTTCGGGGGCGCGTGATGTTGCTGAGGGTGAGCGGCAGATGATGCTGGTCGCGCTTGTTGTGCGCTGGCGTCGTCGGACGGGTCAGGAGAAGTCATGCGCTGACGATTCGTTTCGCGCATGTCCTCCTCATCAACCTCGTCGTCAACGCGCGCACGGCGCGAACCGGTCTGCGGCGATGAGTCAACGTCGGTAGGCAATTGGTGGTACACCCCCGGTTCTACGTCGTGCATGTCGACATCGGTATCCCAATCCGACACCGTGTGGAGCGATGGCATAGAGCCGACTGACTCCGCGTATGCTGCGCGATTCTGCTGTGAAGACGCCTCAGCAGCGGGTAGCGATGAAGACGTAGGTCCATCCTGATTCGATATTGCGGAATCAGGCGTCAGAGGTGAGGTCAAAGAAAGGCCTCCTACAGATCGTGCGACATCCTCTATGGATTGCTCCTCGCGCTGTTGTGGGCCTTCGCGTGACGCGGGGTAGTCAGGGATTGGCTCCAGGGGCGGCATGTCTGCCAAGTCCGGGTCGTCGAGCGGAAGGCTCGGCTCACGAGGGGCTGCGTGCTGGTTGGAGAGTCCACGGACAAAGTTGTGGATGGCTTGCCCAATCTGGGGGTTGGCATCCAGGAGGTGTTGCAGGAAACCGCCAGCTGAATGTTGGTTATCCATGCGTGAAGGAGCGTTCGTAACACAGAAGACTAGAGGGAGGGTATGTGAAGCGTATAGTAGATGGTGGTGGTTGTCGTCAAAGAGTGGTGGAGGCTGGGTTGCTCCAGTGGCGTATTATGCATCGCACATCCGGCGGTGCTGGTGGCCACTAGAACATTCGTTCCCGTTTAGGCATTCCGGGAAACCCCCGAGCTGACTAAGTCGTGGACGCTATATATGGCAATCCCCTGTAACCACTGCCGGTGAGTGCAGTACATACTTACTTATGCAGCACGCTAATGGTGTGTAGGACGCACGTCCAGCCTTCTGGCTCTTTCGGCATACTGTCGAGGAGCATCCAAGAATATTCAGCGTGCACCTCGCTGCAGGCTCACCAGTGTGGGCTAGGGTGCTGTGGCGTGTCCAGCCTTCATTAAATGGCGCCAACAAACTATGCAATTCGCCAAGCACGATGGATAGAGCATGTGCTAGATTCTCGGGACTTACCATCATGGTCCTCGCACATATATACTTCGGGACGCACGACGCAACGTATAGCTTCAATGTTCAGTACTTCTCAACGGTCCGATCCACACCTTGCGTTCCCAAAGGTGCATGCGATGGCCTCTGACTGGACTGGTTTGGTCGATGAACTTGGGGGCGTCTTCAGGCCCCTCCGAGTCGGGCTGAACTCTGCGTTTGATGTCTGGGAGTCGGACGGGCTCCAGCCCCAGTGCGCCGATGTTCCGGAATATCGGATGTGAAAGCCTTAACTTAAATGTTCCCGGAGCTGGCCCAGTGGGCAACGTCTGTCGAGCCAGTTTCCAGGCCTCACACTACAAATGCGCTGCATCAACCGCCACAGCGCCGCTGTTCGTTGCTCCCTCGGACAGCTCGATCGCATCAAGAAGCCTCGCCAAGGACTCGATCGTGGTTGCATTCTGTTCCCTCCTGGTGAGACGCCGGTGGCAAGAGAGGTCGCTCTATCTCCCCTGCTCATCTTCCCGCCGGCTCGACTGAGCATCTGTCCGGTATGCGTTCGGGGGTCGATCGCATTCCGAATCGCGGACTCAAAGCGCTCCCGGAGGCTTCTCAATCGATCGCAATCGTAGGATGCGCGATCATTACACCTGTGGTTCCATAAAGTCAATCGAGATAGAGCGCGGGGCTGAGCCGCGGGATTGATGCCACTGAGTACGCAATCGCAATCACATTAGGGACCTCGTATAGGATCTTCTGTTCGCTGCCAAACAAGCGTCCCGTATAATTAATTGAGCATACCATACAATAGGGTCCGCAGAGTCTAGCGACGTATTTTGGCTTCGCGCGCGCAAGTCCGTGGTAGCGGATGCACTCTCAATGCGATTTCTTGGACTGAATATGGTGCGGCGAGCGTTGGAGGAACTTCCAAGCACCCGGCATACCGAACTGTAAAGAGGCGCTCCGACGGTTACGCAATCGTCTCGTAGAGGCCGAGCGCCAGACGTACCTGAACAGCCGGATACAGAACGAGCACACAGGCGCCGAATGCCCAAGCCCACTTCACTGTCGTCGGCAGAGGCGTCGGGAATTGACCCTTACTCCATTTCGTGATCGCGAGCAGTTCTGTGCCGATGGTAGCGAGTAGGAGCCAGACATGTTGCCCCATACGGACGGCTCTCCTAGACAAGGGCCACGAATAGATAGCAGTCTTTGAGTGGCGTGCGGTGATCGCTACATGCGCATACGCACCTTGGGTCATTGACGTATTGGTAGAGCTCTCTCACGGCGGGAAGCGCGCAGAGGAATACACCCGCAAGACGCGCAATTACAAATGGGTGATCGGGCTCCATCCAGAGAAGGGTCTGCCAAATGCATCTATCAGTCAATGGGCCACAGAAATGAGCAGAGCATATCAGGTCCTAACAAACCTTCAAGTAGAATGGATTGAGTTCAGCCGCAAGGAACACCGCGAGGAGTAGAACAACCGTGAAATAGTGTCCGAAACCTGCTGTTCCTTCCCACTGGAAGGTTGTCCAGTCGGCAGGAGAGAATTGGCTGAAGACACGCTTCGTCTTCGACCGCAAGCCACGCGTCTGTTTCAGACCGCGCCACGTATAGTGCTAGTTTTGGCTGTTAGAACCGCGGACCGGACGGAACGTATCGGGGATGCTCACTTTCACTTCGAAGTAGTGACAAGTCTTCATCCCTGCAGTTGAGTGAGCGCCAGGAAGACTTTCGCTTTGCAGTACTTCGTCCCCTACCTAGGTAGATTCCAAGCCAATTGCAAATAAGCACATCAAGGATCCACTAGGGTGAACATTAAGCTTTGGAATGAACTGTCGCTGGGTTTCAACTTACGTGGTCCCACCAGCACTAGTTATCTCTCAGCGATTTGTCCCTCTGGAAGCAATTGAAAACGCCTCACCTCGGCAAAGTTCGCCAATTGGTGCTGCAGGCTGTATTCAGCGAACTCGAAGGCAACGCTGAGAATCTATCCGAAGTCAGGGTCGCACGGAGCTCGCATGGATCACAATTGGTATTACCCAGCAGAACCAATAGTCCCGTAAGATTAGGGCCTTTCCAAACCAGCCGAGCGCGTGTGCGAGGCAAAAGATATCAATAGCATTCTGCGACCTTCGTCAGTGCTCAATCACAATACATTCACATAAGCCGGCTTACCCATATATTCTGGGGCGTGAAGTCACAGTTCTCTGCGTAGCTCTTCTCGGGAAGGGCACGTCCCAGACCAGAATCCAGGTACGTCATCATGGCTCTCGCCGAATCAAGGTCTTGGAAGAGCAGGAACACCATGGCCAATTCATACAGTAGGTTGATACCTAACACGATACGCCAAAACGCTGCGGACGATAACAACGATGAGTAAGGCAAAGAAGCATGTGCCACCTCCTAGAAATACCTGGATGAGGACGAACAAACGGCCCATCCCGAAATTGAATCATGGAGAAAAGAAGGAACGAAGCAATTGCTGCATATGCGCCGCTGATCAAAACCTGATGAGTCAGGCAGTAGTCAAGGACCAGGCGAACAGAACTAACACTCTTCGCTTGTCGCGTCCTTCTTCCAGGACATCTTGGGTGGTGGCGACATATGCCAACACGGTCAACCCGACGCCCAACGCAGTCAACGTGATGGGTTTGTAGAAGAACCTGAGAGCAACCTAAGAATGGAAACTTCGGGAAAAGGAAGGTCTTTTACCTACTCTACGCTGGTATCATGCTTCTCCTGGAAGGGCGTAATTCGGGTGTACGACTCGGCACGGTTAGCCTTGTGATATATGCAAAGTTAGAGACGCGCTTCCGCGCCAAGGATGCTCCTAGACTCACGTCGTACCCTGCATGATCCGGTAAGTGAACTGAGAAGATAAACCCCTTTCGCAGACTTACAACGAACCGGCCGCCCACCGACTCCCGGTTTGGGTTCTGGCGCTTCCATGATTGGCGTGGCAGCATCGGAGGCTTCCGCAGACGCAGGAGGCACTACCGAGGAAGTCTGCACGGCCTTTTCGTCGGACATTGTTGCGAAAGGGCAGACCGTAACGCAATTCTGTCAGGGGAGGTGTCTTGAGGGAGGTAGTTCAACGTGGAGTGGCGGTGGCAGCAACGTTCGCCACGCCAATGACGCGCGCCAACAATGCAACATGTAGTTACCCGATATGGAAGGTGTTGTTGTCGGTGAACCGAGGGCCCACTGTGTTTCGCCGTAATGGTGTTCTGCGAATGCAGCGCGCGCGAGGATATTGGTGACCATGGTGTGGGGTTGCGCGATAGGGATATATCGGAAAGAGCCTATTTGATTGAGAGCGAAACCGAATAGCTCTGCTGGCGTGTCCACGTCTGTTTCTGACGCGTTTACGTTTGCACGGCAATACCATTGCTGCGCCTCCAATTTGTTGCTTACCTTCCTGATATCTGCTCTCCCGAAAACTGGCCACTTCAATTCGCCGATGACAGGTAGTCACAACTTAGTGGTAAAGCAGTATTTTTCGCTTCGTCTCACGGAATCAGAAGAGCACTATTGAAGTTTGCAGAGTACTAATACCCTTGGTAGTCGTAGTGTAATATTTGTCGAGATGATTCTGTGTGACAGACAGGATCACAGCGGCTGATGTGATAGGTAGAAGCATCACAGCCGGAGCGAGTCAATCCACCTACCACAAATTGACAGTGTGTCGAAGATTCCGCTCTCGTGCATTACTGGGACGCTCCTGAGGACATGCCAGTGGCCGTTAAGGATGCGTTAGCCATGGAGAGATTAATGGCTGCATCACGGCGATGGGCCATTCAAAACTCAAGACACAATGAGGCGACCAAAGCAGAAAATGTACTGGAAGACTTGAAGGACGACACTCGGAAGATGTTACACGTATGTCTGCCCTTGACGTCCGCGAAAATTCGCTTCGCTACTCAACTGACAAATGCGCGATACCTAGTGGTGAACGCACCGGCGGTCTCTCGGAAAACCGTTAACGCACGCGTGATTATCACACGAACACGGAGAAGCCTGAAGGACGCTTCAATTCACCATGAACATCGCTCGGTACCTCCGATGTGAATTGACCAGGCACGACCGCAGCAGCGCAGTGATGTCGCATTAAGTAAGCACTTGTAAGTTGCAGCGCTGGCGACGTGAACCGACGTCCAATGACGTCAGAAAGAAACAATCTATTCTAGGATCACATTGTGGTCAATAATACAAGTCAGCTAGCCGCGCGCGATTGTGAGGAACGACTGGAGGGAATCAAGTGAGGTAACGTACTTCACGCGCTCCCCGGACAACTGCCGAGTGCGAACCTGCTGAACCATCTGTAGCTGTGCATCAAAGCAGACTATCTGCGCTAAGTAGCAGCGCGTGGCTACATATATTACTGACCAATCTTTGAGGGCACGGACCATCCATATTCCTCAAAAAGTCTGGCCAACTTGGAGCTGATACTTGTTCGTGAGTGGAGGTTGTAATGCAACAGCAATCTAGTCGCCGGAGGCACTAACAATACCGCTCGAAACAACCTCCGTAATCTAAAATTCAGCACATGCACCGTATGTGAGTCACCGGCCGCGGTGCACCGGGCTCGACGGTCTGAATGCGCGCCATGCGCAGGCCAGGCTCTGCGTGCAGGCCCCCGTTCCTTGAAAATGGGCTGCTTCCAATGAGTGAGACAGTAGCATCTTCCGAAGTATCGCCTACTCCCCATTCGGTCGCTCAGGCATCGCGGAACGTCCAGAAATTGAGACTGGGTTTGTGCTGTCAACTTGAATGTGCTGCAGCTGAGAATCGATGATGGCCAGATAGAACGACGCCACCAAACAAACAAAGACAAAGCTACGTTCCTTCGAGGAGGCAATTCTGACTCCAGCAGCATCACGGCATCCCAGCCCTACCTCGTACTCTGTGAGTATGCACGCACCACACATCACTCCCATCCATTCCGGATGCCTCATGGTCTGCGATGCTCCCCCGCGCGTGCCTGTGGCATGTCTTGTATCTGTGCCCACGTACCCAGCACGTACCTATCCGAGACCGAGTCGACGTGTACTAGTACTCTCCCGAGTCTATACCCCGCATACGCTGGCCGGCTATCTGTGCCAGACGATCTACAGCAGCTGATGGAAAACGCTGAAACTCCTCGTCTCTATTGCCTGTGTCTTGTGCCTCGCCAGCGTCGCTGGAAATCCCCGCTAGGCGCGGACATCCACGCTTGTCTATGTCCTATTCATGTCTAACGCGGTGGCGTACCCAGGAGGCGGATGGGGTCGCAATTTAACCCCATCTGCCATCTCCAAACGCGTCTCTATTTTCATAAGTCTGTCGCGCCCTAGTCGCGCCCATCAACTGCGAAAATCCGAACAGACGATCGATGCTAATAGGTGGCCAGTTACCACCCGCCGGATCAATGGTATGAAGGTATTCAAGGCCCGAAAAGCATTGGGTCCCGCACGGCCGATCGGCCTGTCCACAGGCCACCGGTGGATACTTGGCAAGACACTACGGTCATCCGCCTTCTGTTGTCGGTAGCATCAGTTACGCTGAACGACACACCCACAGATCCTCGGTTGCATTATTGCTGCACAGTCATTCTCCCTGTGGCCCTGCATCACCTGAGCAAGCGGTCACCTTCTCATTGCAAGATCCCGCCGTGCTGTCAAATGTCGACTCGCCGATTGGACCGCGGTCTTGAAGTAACGTGGCTAGGCGCGTGAGCATACGGGATCCCGGCATCCTCACGACGGCATTCGTCCCATTCAGCGTATTCGGGCTGGAGCCAGGCTGGAGCGCGAACATCTCCAATAAGTACTCCGCTCATCTCGATTGTCGTTCTGCTCGGACTGACGTATCACCGATGATGTGACCTACAGCTGTAGATCTCTTGGCGAAGCTCCCTACCATGACCAGCGCATGACTGTTACTTATCATCATCCCAGTTCGACCGCGCGCATGCGGAACGGAATACGGAACCAGGATTACCTTGCATGCTCGGATATGATGGAATGATCGCAGCTTCTGCTTTCTACGAGAGCGTCATTTGAACTCCTTATGAGAGCTCAAAGGTGCGTCTCCTCAAGATATCTGGCGATGCCAGCCCTGAGCCGATCCCGTACACTAGATCAGCTGTCTTCTTTGTCTGTTCGTGGTCTGCAGAGGAGACTAAGACGATCCTGACTGAAACGCTATTGCATTCGGAGTAGGTTATAGGACGTCATTGATGAGCGTACCGGTACGTACAAGATCACAGTGATGAACGGTCTCGAGGCCCCATTTGCGCATTGTGCTCAATGTACACTCGTCGCTCCCCGCCCTGGATCCCGTGTCACTGCATCAGAACCGTTGCATTGACTAGTTCCGGGAACGCAGTCGACCTGGGCACGCAAAACAACGTGGGACATGCATTGCATTGGCAGAGGCCGTCCCACGCCCTCCGGAGATACTATCGATTTGGAACGCATTGGCTTTGACGCTCTCCGAATTGTGCTGTTGAACGAAACTGGTAGGAGCATTCCGATGGATCATGTCTTTCTCCACTCACTCCTACCCAGTCGCCAGTGTTTGTGGACCCTAGCGACAGTACGCAGCTGTCTTTTTTGTGACACTCTCCATCGGACTGGCGGGAGGAAGCCGAAGTCGCACATCAGCGGACACTGTCCGGTTTAGGCGTCCCAGGATAGGTTGGTCAAAGGTTGGTAGTCGTTATCCGAGAGGACGGCGGACTCAGCGCCGACTAAGCACTCGACCCGATTACCATCCCGAATCCCACGGCGCCCGTCCCAGTGGCTGTCCTAACCTGCGGACCAGATTGCACGAATGTGTGATCTGAATTGATGCAAAGCACGGTGACAGGAGCCGAATCTGAGACGGGCCTCTGGAAAGCGGGGAGAAGCTGCTTCCTTGTTGGTACCTTTTTTCATAACGTACATCCATGCATCACGGCATCCTCGGATGGCAGCAGTGGCTCGGTGGTCTTGAATCTTATCTGAGCTTTTCACCGAGCTGGCGAGATGCCACACTTCTCCGGCTCGCACGTTATGTCACAGCCCATGAAGGCGCCTTCACCATCCCGGGAAGTCCAGAAGTTGTCCAGAAGCCGGCCAGGGACGCCTTCCAGCTGTCCGACCAATTTCGGTGCGGCTTGTTGCCAGAATCTTGCATGATTCGCTGCATGTCGACATTAACTGGGTTCTCTCGGAGCCACTGCCTGGCGTCTAGTCCGTGGCGTCTGCGGGTACATAAGTACGTACCATCGCCTGTGTCGACCCTGACCATCTTACAAATATGACCCTCAACTCAGACTCGCATTCGCCCCCTCTCCAGTTCAAGGGAGAGATCATGGACTTTGACTTGGGTGCTGAGGTAGACCATCGCAAGAGGTGAGATATATACCGTCTTCGTCGCCAGTGTCGTGCTCACCTCCGCGACCTGTCATCAGACGCCGGAACCGGACTACACAGTCGTGTCTTAACTGCCATACTTCCAAGAGGAAGGTGAGATTATCGTTGCACTTCGGTGCCGGGGTGCTAATACGGCTCATTGTCAGTGTGATCGCAAGCGCCCATGTCAACGGTGCATCCAACTGGGATTGGTAAATTTCCACAACTTGTGGAGGGATACGAGGCTAAACTAGCTTCAGACGGGGCTCTGTGTATACGAAGTCGATGATCCATCTCTTAGGTGTGTATCTCTCCAGTGGAGCCCGTGTAGCCATCGCTAAATGGCGACCATGTCAGAGATGATCCTAACGTCGATGAGGCTACTCGTCTACGAAACAGGATCGCTGAGCTGGAGAGCCTTGTGAGGGAACTTCGTGGTGCGTACATTGTTCTTCACGCGCTCCACAATGCCGACTCTTCTCCAGGCAAGCCTCACCCTCGTTGGGCTGAGCCTAACTACTGCGACGGCGATGCCAACGAGAAGTGGCACTCAAGATCAAGCAAGCGGAATGCAACGTCCCAGTACCCAAGGAGTAGGGACGGCCTAGTCGCCAGTGCTACCTCGCAAACTTCCTCCGTCAAAACCGAGCAGCCGACCGACTTCTCTCGCCACCAACTCTATAGCCTCTCGTCGTCCCCAGGATCGCCCGGCTCTCACGAGGAGATATCCGCTTCGCAGGCATACTATCGTAGCTATGCCCAGCAGCAACCCCACGGCGAGGCTGCAGTATATTATTCCCCGTCGTCTTCGAGCTCTCCCATGGGCTACGACAACGGGGATTTGCCGGTGCAGACGAACGGAGACCACTACTCACACCATTCATATACCCGGTCCGCGATGCACGCCGCCGACGCCCAGGTCTCGCCCTGCTCTTGCTTTAACAACCCTGCTGCCGCCCCTCCCTTGATGGCGCTCACGACCCAGCTTCGCACTGCTTCACACATCCTGAGACAGCTGCCGGAGCATCATACGCCCCACGAGTGTCGCATTCTCAACAGAATCGTCGAGCTCGACGACATCATGCAGTGAGTCCGTTTTGCTTCAATCAGCAGTCAAATAGTTGACGACAGCATCACAGCGGCGGTGTCTCTGGCTATATGTCAGATTCTTCATACGACACGGCGGTTCCGTCGTCTGCGGACAGTGAGATCATGTCGCCGACGTCGGCTTCAAGCCAGTCTAGCCTGAACACGCCATTGCAGGAATGGCCCGCGATGGAAGCGCAGGCTGCATACGAGTACTATCCTGTCCCGACAGACTACCAGAAAGCGTATCATCTTGCTGCATGATGTTTATTGATATTTTGCTTTGCCTCAGGGGACTTGGTCGTCATATTGGGACATTACGGGCACCTTTCTGACTGTATGGCATGTATAATCCGGCTAAGGCTTTGGGACGTTTTCGTATGCTCTGTTTCTTGCTTACATGAAACTCGATACATTGTAGTGTATATCATCGACTATAGATCTCGCGCAGAGACTGCTTGGCAATCCTAGTGTGTGCGTTCGGCGCTACTAATACTGTTCAGATCAATTTGAAACTGGAAGATACGCTGGCTCTTGGCATCTGCCTTCACAACATCCCCATTTGTATCCAGCATCCAGACGTCTCGTTCTACGAAACAGACGCTCCCATCTCTGCGGACAAGCAACACGGTGGAAAGGCGAGTGCCGTAATACTGCTTGTGATCCGGTGACTGGGTCACTTGCACAAGGATAGGGTCTACCTGGATTGTATTGCGGAGAGCGGCTCGATCTGCGGGTGCAGGATCGCTGGTCCAGCTTTCGGTGAAATCCCTCGCGGGTGTCAGCACGCAGTCAGGACAGAGGAGCTAAAGCATGCGGTACCCACGTCAGAAGTTGGAATAAACGCTCCGAAAGCTCGGCGTCGCTGATGCCTTCTGCGGCGGTCTCGAGCACATCTTGCAGCGCTTGTGTTCCCTTCTTCACCTTTGGCCAGTCGCTCGCGCCCGCACAGTCGATGCCATTGGACAGTCCCCCGCACCGCATTTCGGCATCCGTGAGGCCGCGCGCGGTTATCCTGCCGCCCCCGCCAGTATTTGTCACGAACGCTGAGTCGAAGTGCAGCTTGCGCCAGCCTTCGGGGTGTTCTAGCCGGGGGGCGAGGAGGAGCAGATTAAACCCAGCGAACCTGCCGTTCTCAGCGACGAGCTTATCGACCTCATCGCGCAGGGGTGCTGTTGGCGTCTTCGGGAGTAGGAAAGACGACGCCAGCTCGCCCCGGCTGGACGCGTACTTCCTTGGAGGTTCCGTGATGTTGGTCCTATGGACCCTTCTGAGTGCCGGCCTAGATGATGCTGAAAAACACACGACTTACAGTATCGCGACTCTTCCAGAGCGATTCAACCCCGCCCAGGTCCCTCCGGCGAGGAGGTCTCTCCCAGATAAGACTTTCCCATCCAGGTCTTCGGCGCGACCAATGGGTTCAAAGGTATGGAAATGTGCATTCGCCGTCGGCCGGGACAGGTATTCGTCTCGGTTGCTGCATAGGATTCTATAGACGGCAAGGTTTGTCAGTTTGGGGAAGCGACGATAGTGGCGCCGTGGACGCACAGGGCATATGCAGGATGTTCCAGGGACCAAAATGCGACACACATGGCAGACTGTGGGCCCAATCACAGGAAGGGCCTCGATCTCAGGTGATGTCCTCGAAGACGTCCGTTCTGGCAGATGTGTCGGCGAGGACTATCCTCAACTCGACTTGAAGGCGCGACCGGCGCCATGAATTACGGAGCCATGCATGGGGCGAACTCTCTCACCTGCAATGGGATAGCTGGCTGTACCGCCTTCCAGTTATTCACAAAGTGAACCCGAGCGTAGGCCGGCAACTGTAGAGCAAGCTCAAGAAGCCGGGTGAACGTCACTATAGTCGGACTTCACGGACACGAGATAACCTTACATGCTGCGGCGACTTGCTGAATTGTTAGTATGGAGTAAGGCAAGGGTGAGCTTCATTGATAGTGGCGAGACAGCAGACGCCAAATACATACAGAGGCCAACAACGAAGCTTACTACTATTCCTGTTGTTCAAAGTACAATATCTCCGTCAGGATCTCTAATGATTGTCCGACCTCCGGGTCGTCCGACTTGGATCTTATGGTTGAGTCAGGAACCAAGTGCCGCCCAGTGTCGCGCGCTGTGCCTGCTAATGTCTGCAAGGAGGCCGGCAATGATTAGGCCTTCGACGGTGGTCAGGCCTTCAGGACGTCGGGGTTCAAACGTTCACATGCGCCCGAGTCTCACGCGACTTGTGGGCCGCCACCGCTCAGCGCAACTGTCCGCTCCCTTGTCCTCGCCTCATCCCTCAGGCCCATATCTGCACAACAAGGCACCCGATACGTGCCAGCTGTTTCTGCATGCGACCAGAGTCGGGAGCATGAGGTCTTCCACGGTAATCATACTGGACAATGGCGCATCGACAATAAAGGCAGGTGCAGTCGGTGTGCATAACTCCGATCCCAGGTGGGTTGCCGGGCTCAGGCTTACCATTCCTAACCTCTCCGCGCTCAACCTGTGGGGATGCAGGATCATCACCAACGCCATAGTGCGCTCGAAGGGCGACAAGGCTACCTATATTGGTCATGAGCTAGAGAATTGCCGCGACTATTCTTCGCTACACTATCGCTTGCCTTTCGAGAAGGTGATGATATCCAGCTATCCGAATGATAAACATAAGGTGCTCATTCTGATTGCCCTCAAGTAGGGGTATCTAACAGACTGGGATGCCGAAAAGGCTATATGGGACGGAATCTTCTCCCATGAGGTTCTCGCTGTCGGTAGCTCTCCGGCCGCGAATTGGTATCCTAACTGACACAGACATGATGCTAGGTGAACACGGCAGAGTCGTCACTCCTCATCACCGAGCCCTATTTTAACCTACCCAACATACAAGACGTGTATGACCAGTTCGTCTTCGAAGAGTACGACTTCCAATCATACTACCGCTGCGCACGTGAGTTCCTTGCAAATCGAATCGCGAAGCTGCCATTCAAGCCTGTCTTCTAGCCGCGTCTCTTATACCGTACGGGAAGCTTTATTCGAGCCCGGGCCAGCCTGCGCCGGAGTGCACGCTCGTGATAGATAGCGGCTTCAGTTTCACTCACGTTGTCCCCATTCTCAAGGGGGCAGTTGTATGGAACGCAGTCAGGCGGTGAGTCCGAGATGGCTACCCAGCTCAGCCCGTGTGGATTGATGACATCCGTCAGCATCGATGTCGGTGGCAAGATGCTCACAAACCACTTGAAAGAACTGGCGTCTTTTCGTCAATGGAACATGATGGATGAGACACACGTTGTCAATGCCATTAAAGAGAAGTGCTGTTATGTGTCCACTGACTTCAAGAAAGACATGGAGACTTCCCAGTACGTCAACGCATGTGTTGTCAAGGTTGCTCTCTCTGAAAGCCTGCAGCCTCGATCCAAGAAACAATCTCATTGCACAGCAGTACATACTCCCGGACTTTTCGATCAACCGGGCCGGGAGGGTGCGCCGACCAGACGAGCCACTTGAGGCGCAAGCCCAGGTGATGCACATGAACAACGAGAGGTTTACGGTGCCGGAGATCCTCTTGCGCCCAGACGACATTGGTGATTGAGTTCTCCTCATCTCCGCCCGGGTCGGTCTGACTGATGGCTTGCGCTGATCGGCAGGTCTAGGGCAGTCTGGCATTGCCTCCACGGTGGCACAAAGTGTCGCCCTTCTTCCCAGGGACCTTCAGGGAATGTTTTGGGCCCACATTGGACTTATTGGTGGGAATGCCAAGTTTCCAGGATTTCGCCAACGCCTGTGAGTTCCTTCCGCTGGTCGGCGATTCGTCAATGTCCTCACGTCATGCAGCGAGTCTGAGCTGCGCGCGTTGGCCCCTGTCGATTGCGAGGTCTCCATTCATAACTCAAAAGAGTACGCGCTTCAATCGGTGTCTAGCCGCATTCGTACTGACGGGGATGCTCAAGCCCAATCCTGGAATCGTACCGGTCTGGGGTGGCCTTTGCCAAGAAACCCGTGTTCGCGCAACAAGCGGTGACTCGAGCGGAGTACCTGGAAATGGGAAGCAATGCTTCTAGAAGGAAGTTCAGGGATTGGAAGCCGGGCACTGTGGACGCGAGCAATGGGCCTGCCATTGAGCAAGCAAGCAGAAAGGGTCCTGTGAGGAATCAGCGAAATGAACGGGATGACAGCGCACGCTCATGAGGAAAGTTACAAAAGATAAAGGCAAGGGCCGCGCTACGACAACCCGGCGATAGGACTCAGTATATGCGCGATACGCTCCCTCGAGAGCAGGCCGCGCGCTCATAACCGAGCATTGCGAGGCTGAGCTTGGTGACCGTCTACGATACTACGATAGGGTTGGTTGGTTCCTTGGTTGTCAGGTACATGTAGACATAGCTCACGCACGCTTCCATCACCCCTTTCAAGTCCTCGTCGCTAACCATGGACCTTCACCGCGGCTGCGAATAGAGGTTATCAATGCAACGTAGTAGGAGCGCGTCAAATGAAGCATCACGAAGCCCGGTAGGTTGTTCGTAGCCCGCTTCCCTCCTGAACTTTGTCAATTCCAAATTATCGTATATAGCCGCGAAGCGGCCAGTGTGGTGGATGTGGTGGATGCGCCGGAAGAACGACTTCGACGCTGTGGCGGGTGAGTGGTAGAGGATCTCGATGGACCTCGCCGATGGCCAATCTCTCGTTCGAGTAGGACAGTGCTACAATGACGCATATACACCAAAGTCCCGGGTATATACAGACCAAGATCCCGGCTTGTGGCCGTGTACGATATGAAATGTTGTCCAGAAAAATATACGTTCACAAGCAGCCGTTCGCCCCAAACGTCGGAAGTACGTCTCGGGGCTCCCAAAGAGTGGGGTTGGTTACAGGACGTCCCGAGGACGCGGTCTGTTGCTTGGGTCTCTCCAATAATGGTACCATCTGGATTGAGTTGTGAGCGTTATTGAGCGCGGAGAAGTATATCCAACTTACTCGGTGACGAATGCCACTTCACGTAGAAACCGTGGAGGATCGTGGGGAGTGAGCGGTGCCACACCCGCGTCTCTCCAGACTCTCGCCGGGAGGGGCTGATCGGGAAAGAACCACCGGTCGGTGAGAGGCAGCTGGGGATCCTCTGGCGTCTTCCATAACCTCTGCAGGTCTGCCCAGTCGCGGAAATGTCTTGCGTTCATCACCCTCACGCCCTCGCTACCCAGATCGAACCTTGCATCCGAGTCCTCGTAGTCGGTGACCAATAATCTCGTGCCGAAGACGGCGTACTGCCTGCTCCCCGCGAACCGCTGCGAGTACCACGGATGTTCTTCTAGCTCTGGCCACACAATGTCCTGGCCCGCCAGGACGCGATCAAGGTTAGCTCCGACGAACTCGGCGAGTCTATTCCCACGAGCGGTTTGCTTGGCTAAGGCGTCGCGGTTGAAGAAGTACTGGTGCACCTGAAGGTAACACTTGCCGAAGTCCCCGATGGGTAGTTCCTTCGTTGCGAGATAATTGACTTGCACCTCAGGCGTCTGACCGTCCTTGATGTGGTCCAGCACATCTGACATACCCGTGAACCCGACATGCGTGTGCATCTGCGGCTGAAGCTGTTCTAAACTCAGCCGCGCGGAGGAGCCTTCGGGGAATTGTTTGGCCCAATGGCTAGTGTCCAGCTGGTAGGCGATGTACGAGCCCTCTTTCCACTGACGATAGTAGTCGGGGTCTGCCTCAACGGAGTCGGGGTCTGCCTCAAAGGAGTCGGGGTTCGCCTCAAAGGAGTCGGTGTCTGCCTCAAAGGAGTCGTAATCTTCCTCAGAGGGGTCGGGGTCTTCCTCAGCAGAGTCCCGCCCACCAGCGGGCTCTGCCTTGACAGGCGGTTTTGACGGACGTTTTTTGGAGGGGGGCGTTGACGGAGCTAGAGCGGGTAACGGCAGGGCGCGCGATGTGGAGGGGTATCTTGCTGCGGGTGCCGTCAGGACTTCTGTAGATTCGTCACGACTGGGCTGGCTCTTTGCAGTTGGTCGCCGCGGTGCCCTCTTCTTCTGAGGGGCTTGAATAGGCGGTGGGGAACCTGGCGCGGCCGTGGGAGAAAGGCGCGATGGGCCGGGTACTCCTTCAGCTTCAGCCGTCGCCCGCGTGCGCCGGGTCCTTTTGCTTGGAGGCACAAGGACGTCGGTCGGCTCGACCGGAGATTTCTTGCGCTTACGACTCTTGGAGGTACTGGAGGATGCCTCGGCGACGTGGGTTGTGTGCCCGACGTACATGAGACACCGTGCGCGAGGGGTGGTCCTGAACGCTTGAAGTCATGCGCGGTTTCAGGATCGGGGAAGAGCGGAGGTTCCGGATTGAACGGGGGATCAGAGACCAAGATAGTAGGCGGTGGTGGTGGGATGGGCAGGGGAGGAGCGTAGGCTGAGGCCCACTCAAATGGGCGTTCGGGAGCAATAACAACGCCAGACGGAGGCAGAGCAGGATCCTGTCCCGACGCTCCGTCCCAATCAAGTGGCGCCTACAATGTGACGTTGAGTCTTTGCTGAATGCGCTGTCAAGAAGACATATTACGTACCTGAACACGAGCGGCAGTACGGTGAAGAGGATGATGATGCGTGTGGTCTTCCTGCTTGGGTGGCGGTATCGGGTATGGCCGCAAGGGAACCCCATGTTCTAGCATATAATGCTGTGCCCAGGAGTTGCGAGGGCGAGGGACAGGTGTCTTGCTCCTGCCGGTCATCGTATGCGCACGATTGAGCGGCATGCCTGACGCGCCAGGTAAGAGGGGTTGATGATGGCCTACAGGACCAACAGAGTGCGCGCGAGGTAACGGTGGGTACGTGAGTTGGGCGCGCGACGCGACGGATGGGGCGTGCGCGACGGATGCTCGTTGTGGGGCAGGCATACTGAGGGCAGAAGATGTGGTGGACATGGTGGAAGACATGGCGTGACCATCAACGACGTCTGGGTATGCATCGACTGCCGCCGAGCGCGCTCTCCGTGGCCTCGCAGCTGTCTTCTGTGCCTGAACGGCAACGTCTGGAGGCCCTGGCGCAATTGACGATGTGGTAGGACCGGTATGCGCGACTTGATGTCGGCTTCCTGGCCTTGAGAGTTCTTGTGGCGCATCGTCGCGGGGTAGTGAGAAGCCAACGGAATATGCGGGAGCTGCAGGATGCGACGGAGAAGCTCCTGCCGAATAAGTTCCAAAGTCTGCATGAAGCGGCGGAGGCGCAGCCACGGGTACCCAGCGGTCGCCGACGATCAATGAAGGGTCGGCAACATATATGCCAGAACCGCTCGCGTCGGAAGAAGGGCCCGCGATGGATGTGCCAGACGGGCCTGCAGTATACGACAGGTATGAAGAAGACGCAGTGCGTGCAGCAGAAGCAAAGCCGGATGTGGATGCGGTGGCGTCAGGCGTAACATTGGGGACTTGAGGCAGGGAAGGCGGCACGGACGAACGGACTGAAGACGACGCACTACTTGTGTTATATGCAGCAGAACTTGAGCCATGCGTCGACGCGGCGTCAGACATAACGTTGGGAAGGTGGAGCAGGGAAGGCGGCACGATTCGGCTTGGACCTCCGGTCTCTCTCGCAAGTAGTTCAGCTCCCTCCCACCAGAACTCGGGATTTGATACGCCTTTTTCCGGAAGCGTTGCCACCGACGTCTCACGAGATTCGTGCGAGTGCAATGGCGGTGTGGGCACGGAGAGGTTGGTAGCCGGTGCATCGTGTGCAGGTGGGTTGACTTCGGCCGCGTCTCCAAGACTATTGTCCCAAAAGTACGGCCCTGGTTCATACGGAACGAGCAGGCGTGGATCTGTAGAAAATCCAGAATCAAAAGCAGTATAGTCGTCGATTGAGCCTGATAGGTCGGGGGCACCTGCACTAAGTTCGTCGATTTCGGTCGATGACAACCCCAACTCGGCGAGGAAGTCGAACGGGATGTCGCTGTTGGACATGTCGAGTGATGTCGAGTGATGTCGAGAGACTGTGGAGTCAATATGTGAAGAGGGGAAATGCATTCCTTCGCCAGCACCCCCATTATGTAGTATGCGTGGGGTCAAAGCGTCGTGGTGGCTGTATATGGGTCCCAGCAGCGCTTTGACAACCGCAACACAAAGGACGACGGGGCGATGACGACAAAGCGAACCACCCTCTTCAAAGCTTATCATTGATGGCACGAGGGTCAAAGCACTGTCAGGACAATGTTGTACAAATAAACACAAAATCCGAGTATAACAATAGTCGTACCGAACGCCCGGCGCCTAATACAAGAACGTACAAGCCTACGCCACATCTTCTCGCTCCATGCGTCGCCGCTTACGCTGATGGTCCTCGAAGATCAACCTTTCCGCAGCGGTCATTGGGGCCTCCCTCTTCTTTCCGTGAATCTTCTCATCGTCCGCTGATGCTGAGCCAGTCGCCGAGGACACTGCCGCTGCTTTGAAGACATTTGGCCGTTTCAGCGGGTTGACAGCAGGCTTGAGCGGATTGGCACTGAGTTTCAGGGGGTTGAGCTTCAACCCGCCTGGGGGGCCTGCGCTCGAGGTAGCTAGGGCCTTCGGCGCAAAAGACAGGACAACTTTCTCCGTGCTTTCATCGCGCTTCAATCCCTCCTCTACAGGCGGGGGTGGCGACTCGGATGAAGTCGTCGCTGCCGCCCGCTCTATCTGTTCGCTGAGAAGCATTCGCTCACGTTGCTCATCGGACATAGTCATCCGCTCCTTCTTGAGCGACGCTTCCTGTGTAATGCAATGAGCACTACAACGAGCCGTGGAACCAGTGAGCGCACCTGCTTGGCCAAAGCCTTCGGACTGTTGTCGATCCATGCAATGAACCAGCCTTTCTCGGTCTCATCTACCCTCGCAACTCCTGTGCGGCCAAGGTGCTTGCAGAACTCGGTCAGCGTGACCCATCGTGTCGCGTTCATGTGCAGGTGGTGCTTGTCATGGATGAACTCCTGGTAGACGGTGTTCGCCTTGACACGCTTCGTCCCGAAACGGCGGGAGAGCAGTTGCACGAACTCGTGCTGGAATTCAGACGAGAAGTCGGAGATGTGCCGCCCGGCGTTCTCGCCCACAACGAGCATCTGCCGCAGATGCGACTCCGACTGTGCGTGACATTTGAAGCCGTTCTCGTCTCGGCATTGCTTCTGGCACACTTGACAGTACCAGCGCAGCCGCTGAAGACCTTTGACTTCATCTTGTTGGCCAAGTACTTTGGCGTGCCGACTGCGTACGGGAATTAACAGCAGTACAAATGATATACGCAAGGGCAACATACCTTCTGCTCGAGGCATGATGTTGATGTCGGTATGTGAGTAGGTCTATGAGGACGATGTATAGATCAGTCTGAGTGAGCGTAGAAGCGCAAGCACTGTTCTGAGCCGCGCCACAGCATTCCGGCGGAGTCGCAGGCGTCAGTGTAAGCGTGGGACATTGTAAATCCGAGTTTGGGAACAACGAGACTCCGCATTTGTGGGTGGCGTAGTTACCTCTCAGCCACCGTGACCTACCGCGGCTATACTTCGTGCGACCAGCAGGTCTTCCGTCAGTGCCTTTCATTCCTGCTCTATCGGGCTCTACGTGCTGTCTACTGGACAATTTTCGTTATGCCGAGCGAGAAATTCAAAGGAAAGCAGCGAGCTGTCGACTCCGAGTCAGAGGCGGGCCCCAGTCAACGGCCTCTCTCCAACTCCAAGGACTTGGTCATTCGGTTCACCGAAGGGCTCCCTGACTTAACCTTGCAGGTCGCGGAAAGCGATGTTGTTCGGGACATCAAGCGCAAGGTACGCTGCAGACGAAGGCGCTTTTCGCATGAATGGCAATGTCATTGCGGTCGCAGATTCGGGATGCTAGGCCACAGCTGGAGAGGCGTCGTCTAAAGCTTATTCTTTCTGGCCAACTGCTCGTGGAAGCGACCCCACTTCATCCTCGCCTCGCATCCCTGGAGCAACGACAGCGTCGTGCTGTATCTGGGGATGCTCCCAGTGAAGAGAAAGAGCAGACCCCTAGTACCACATGGTTGCATTGTTCTGTCGGCCCACCTCTGACGGATGGCGAGGAAGAAGAGACCGAGATACAGGTACGTACCGGAGGTTGTTCGTTATGGTTAATTGCGCCCGCTTATCGTGGAACAGACGGCGCAACTCAAGCCCCTGCGAGGTTTTGACAGGCTAGCCGCTGCCGGTTTTTCCGAACAGGACATTGCAAACATCCGGCTGCAGTTCCATGCTCATTCCGCCGGCGACTACCTGGACCAGGACTTCGAGAGTGACGAGGATTGTGAGCCACTCCCTCGCTGTCTCCTCTTGCCTTCTCCCGCTGATGATTGCCTGGAGTCGAGGAACACGCGCGCGCGCTCGAAGAGCAATGGATTGACTCCTTCGATAACGGTGGAGGAGCGTCGCTGTCGTCTCCGTCTTCGCGCGCGTCTCACACGTTCCTGAATGGCATCGTTGTGGGCTTTTTCTTCCCTCTCATACCGCTGTTCTTCATCCGTGCGCCCAAACCTGCGGTATTTTGGGACGACGGTAGCGAACACGAAGCGACCAGTAGCCCCATTTTCTCGTGAGTCTCCGCCCATGCTCTGACTAAGGCTCGCGGCTAACTGACTCGTGTGTGCATGCGCGTGGTGCGCGCGTGTGTGTGACGTGCAGACGACGTACGCAAATCGGGATCATTGTCGGCTTTCTCTTGAATGTCATATTTGGGATGTGGACTTATCTGCTGACCTCTCCCTGAACCCTTTCCTACGCTGTACAGGGCCGACGGTCGCATCTGGCCCGAAATGTACTTCTATGGCTAGTCACCCTTACTTTTAGCGATACCTACACAGTAATGCAATGGCGTCGTGTCTACATGTCTAATATGTGTCTGATCATTGAATGATCATGCTCCCATTGCGACTCGAGAACTCTTCAACTTCGGGGCACATACTGCTGTCTTGATTGCTCTCACAAGAACATAGCAATATACGCGCTTTTTTGACGCTGTCTCAGTAAATCTGACCAAGCTGGCGTCAAGGCGGGAGGGGTGACAGGCGCGCGACGCGCGACGCGTCCTACAACGCGGTGTGACACGACGCGTACACGCGCTGGGCCGAAAATTTGTGCTTTGTTCATCTCGGCCACTCGCCAGCCACCTGCAACTCTCTAGCACGTTCTTCCTTCGTATACCCGCCTTCCTCATACCCGCCTTCTCTCTGTGATCACAACTGAAAAAGTCCATTTGTTGCAAAGATGGACCTCCAAACCCTCTCAAATCTCTTCGCGAGCACGTACAGTCCCGACCCTAATGTCCAAAAATCCGGAGAATTGCAGATCCGCAAGGTATGGTTCATACATTCTAAGCTCTACATGGTCGGAGATGAACTCGTACTGTGCAGATCGGCGGCCAGGAGGGCATAGTCACAGCCATCTTGCAGATCATCGGAAGCGATAACGTCGATATGTACGTCCTCGACGCGTCCTTGGGTCTCAGTGTCTGCTAACGCGTCGTGTCGAAGTGCGAAAAAGCAGGCAGCAGCAGTCTACCTAAAGAATCGAGTCTACACGTCCTACTTCGTTGAACCCGCGAGTCCACGCCCTGACCAAGCCCCGATCGCGCCCTCCGACCGTAATGCACTCAAAGCGTCCCTCCTCCCGCTTCTGGCCTCTTCGCCATCGAGCCTGATCACCGTTCAGCTGGCGAACACTCTCAAGAACATCGTCGCACGCGACTTTCCGGACAACTGGCCCGACCTCCTGGACAATGTCAAGCGCATGCTTGGGAGCAGCAACATTCGTGAAGTCGGTGCCGGCTGCGTGGCCGCGCTGGAGATGGTCAGGGCATTCCGGTGAGTACTCGGTTTACAGAAACGTGCTTAGGCTCGTGTACGTCTCAAAATTGGACCGGCTACTCTGTCATAACGGAGTGGCTGCTTCCCCCTTTTGGTGATACAACCTGCGTAAACCTATCTGTCCGTTGTACATTGCATATCACTTCGTCGGATCTAGCGCCCTCGGGGAAACGCTCGCCTCCCTGAGGTTGGCGCGGGTGTACTGAATGACCGCCTGCATCGTGGATGGGCAGAATCACACACCGCGGCGTCTTCACTCGTGCATCTGCCGGGGCATGCAAGTAGGCGTGCGGTGCGGAGGCAATCCGCGATTGCACCGCATGGCCAATACATTGCACCTCGTAACACGGCGGATTGCACAAGCGTCCCGCGACTCTTTGCACTCCGTCGCTTCTGCAAATAATGCTGCAGTGTCATTGCCATTACGGTGCAGTCTGACGCTAGACAAGACGTGAAGCATGATCCAAACCCTTCATACCATTCATCATGATTAATCACAGACATATTGACCGAGTCCGCCCGTAGGTTCCGCCAGAACAATGAAATTCTCCCGAAGCTCGTGGTGGAACTGTTCCCCACGCTGGTCAGCATTGCCAGTGGCCTCCTCTCGACGCCGCCCGCGAATGCGTCGACGGAAATCCCATTTATGCTGCACATGATCCTAAAGACGTACAAGACGTCGATAGTGTTGTCGCTTAGCCCCCACCAGCAAAGCGCAGAAAGCATCGTACCATGGGGCAGGCTCCTGTTCCAAGTAGTGAATCTACAGATTCCGAAGGACGCAGTACCGGAGGACGAGGAAGAACGCGAACGGAGCGAGTGGTGGAAGGCCAAGAAGTGGGCGTACGGCATTCTTGGGCGGCTTTTCCACCGCTACGGGAACCCGTCGCAGCTTCCAACCTCGATGCAAAAGGACTATGGCGCGTTCGCACAGCACTTCGTGACAACGTTCGCGCCGGAGATCTTCAAGGTCTACCTGCAACAAATCCAGCTCTACGTCTCGGGCCAGTCTTGGCTCTCGAAGAAGTGCCAATACCAAATCTTCACTTTCTTCAATGAGTGGTATGCCCCGTAATTCCTATACAATTCACAAAGTCCACTCATGTTGTGACGCTGCAGCATCAAGCCAAAATCGACATGGCAGCTGTTGAAGCCCCACTTCGAGGAGCTGGTGACATCCTACGTCTTCCCTCAGCTATCGTTCACCCCCGAAAGACAAGAGCAATGGAATACCGATCCGGTGGAATATGTTCGCAACGTCATTGGTATGCTCTACTACCCCGAGTGATACACTCTTCAGCTAACGATGTTGCAGACGAGTATGAAAATTTCAACAGCCCCGTCTCTGCCGCCACCTCCTTCCTATTCTCCCTCGCTAGCAACCGTACCAAGACGACCTTCATGCCCATTCTGGGCTTCATCAACCGCGTGCTCCAATCGTATGTCGCCGCCTCACTTACTGACGAGATGACGGAGGGTTGACGATCATACAGCAAGCCTGCTTCCCCACAACGCTTCGGTGCGCTGAACATGACCGCAGCTCTGGGTCCGTTCATCATGCGGCACCCTGACGTCAAGGGTAACATGGAGCAATTCCTTGCCCAACATGTCCTTCCTGAATTCACGAGTTCCGAGGCGTACATGAGGGCCATCGTGAGTTTCTGTACACTGGTGTAGAACTTGCTGGGTCCCTAACAGACATACTGATAGGCCTGTGAAGTGCTCGGGACTGTCGAGAAGAACAGCATCAAGTGGTCGAGCGAAGAGGTACTGCTCGTCATATGTCTGGTCTGTCACTGGCCCACTGACGACGCATCTAGCTTCTTGGCCAGCACTTCAGTGCGGTCTCGGCGTGCCTCGATGATTCCGAGTTGCCTGTACGCATCCAGGCGTGCATGGCACTCTCTGAGATGATCATTGTTCATCCAACGGGTAAGTTGGGCGTTTAGCTTCTTCGAACGTCTACTCATACATCTTGTATGTAGTCAAGACTGCCGTTGCTCCTCAGGTTGGCAAGGTCATTCAAAGTATGTGTTCCACCCGTGTTGAACGCTCTTGTACCGTTTACCAATGACCCCCATTAGCTCTTCTCCGGCTTTCCGAGGAGACGGATTTGGATGTCTTGAACTCGTGCATGGAGGCTATGGTGGAGCAATACCACCAAGAGCTGCTTCCAGTCGCAGCTGAGCTTACTGCCCGTCTGGTGCGTATTGCTTGGCGTACATACTGTGTCGTATTGCTGACGCTGAGGTGCAGTGCGAGACCTACTCTCGCTTGGCGAAGGAAGCGCTAGCTCTGGATGAGACCGATGCCAGTAACGTCGACATGGATTCACTCATGGACAACGACGCGGGCGAGGACAAGACCTTCATGGCCATGGGGGTGGCAAAGACCATCGGTACCGTCAGTGTTGTTTGTTGTCTCAGTCATTACCTTTCTCTCAATACGCCTGCAGATCATCAGTTCGGTGGACTCGTCCCCGGAGATCCTCGCACAGATTCAGGAGATTATTATTCCCATTGTCGTCCAGACTTTGGAGAGCAAGGCCCTCGGTGCGCAGCATTTACATGCGACGCTAGGATCAAACCTGACGCATGCTCGTCGTAGATCTCTTTGACAACATGTACGACCTCGTGGATAGTTTGACCTTCAAGCTGCGCAGCATCTCGCCTAACATGTGGCCGGTATTCGAATTGACCTACAAGACGTTCAAGGGCGAGGCAGTTGACTTCTTGGAAGGTTTGTGGAGCTCTCTGAGTTGTCTTGAGTATTACTTGAGGCTGATGTTTCTGCTTCCGCAGAGATGTTGCCGAGTCTGGACAATTTCGTCTCCTATGGCACTGAGATCTTCAAGGCGCGGCCTGACTACAGGCAAATGTTGCTCGACATCTATACGACGTCCATTAACAGCGACCACCTTGGCGAGAACGACGCCGTCAACGGATGCAAACTTGCTGAAGCCATGCTGCTCAATCTGCGCGGGCATGTCGACGACGTAAGTCCATCGAGCCTTACTCTGGTTGATCCAATGAACCAAGATATGTCCTTAGGCTCTCCCCAGTATCATTGCCACTTCCCTCAAGACCCAGGATGCCGCAAACACTACCTCCCTTCGCCTTGCTAACCTGGAGGTGCTCGTCAACGCCGTCTTGTACAACCCCGGTGCCACACTGCACCTCATGGATTCGTACACGCCAGGCACGGCTCGTGCATTCTTCGACAAGTGGTTTGAGGCAATCAACGGCGAGAATCGCCTGCCGCGTGTGCACGATAAGAAGCTCAGCGTCACGGCTCTTTCTGCATTGCTCGAGATGGACCCGGCACAGATCCCCGACTCGGTAAAGGAGGGATGGCCAGGTATCGTCTCGGGCGCGCTGCGCATTTTCAATGACCTGCCGAAGGCTATGCCGGTACGTATTCTACCGGTGGTCAACTTATTGTTGGGCTGAGCGTTGCACAACAGCGCGCAAAGAGCTCGAGGAGGCATTCCAAGGTGACGATGAGGAGGAAGCGAGCGAGTCTGATGACGCGCAGTTCCTGAACCTGAACGAGAATGATGGTCAGTCAGCGGATTTAGAAATCTTTCTCGCTCACGTTCTGACCTTCGCTCACAGAGGACGTGTGGGACGAGGACTCAGCGTACATGGAGATGCTCGCAAACGAGGGCGCCCGTCTGCGCGAGAAGTCTGCACGCCAAGCTACTGGTGACGACGACGACGAGTCGGAGGACGATTCCGACATTGACGAAGAGCTTGGCTACATCAGCCCACTTGACAATGTTGACCCATATGTTTCGTTCAAGCAGGCACTGACTGGTACGTCAACGCCGCACCTGGCGAGCTTGTCCGCCGTGTTGCTCACTTGTCCACCATAGCCTTCCAAATGAAGAACCCCTCGGCGTATCAGCTGGCAACCACCTCGCTGAGCGCGGAGCAGCAGACCGTCCTCATGGAGGTCATGCGAATCGCCGGGGAGAAAAGCGCATCTGCTTGATGTGCGTGAAAGATTCGGATAGTGTCAATCGTCGGAGGTCCTTGAATCCATTTGCTCTCAGAATTCTCCCAAACTATTCACTGTACGCAATTGTTTCCTTTCGTCTGCCCTTGTTGTTGTTCTGTGCTTCGTCGCTTCGCAAATGAACGTCATGTATGCCAGCTAGTCGTTACATACACATCCGTGGTAATATACAGATATGCTCTAGACGCGAATCGGAATGGATCGGGTGTCCTACATACTACTGTATAGTGCCTCATTACTATGTAACGTTGAGCGCCGACTGCCTACGCTGCGTCTCCCCCCAAACTCGAACCCAGACATTCAGTTCTCGGACCTCGGCTCCCTGGGAATGTGCGCATCTTCGCGAGGTACTCGTCCATATTCTCCAAGCCGTACTTGGTTGTTTTCGTGATGGGCGTCATACTCTCGCCGCGCGCGGCGTACTGCTCGAGCCTCGCCTTTGTCTCAGGCTTGGTCCGGTTGATGCTGTAAAGCTTGATGCGGTGACACGACGACGTGACGTGCAGGTCCCAGCTGGATGAAGTGGCGAACAATATCGTGAGCAAGACGGCCACCATATATGGTGGACGACGGAGATAGGATCCGGGAAGGAAGCACTCACTTCCAGGCGGAACGGACGAAGGTTGGCTCAGTGTTGCATGACGAGTCCCAGGTGCGGGCACAGAACTCGATCCAGCCTTCCGCATTGACGGGTACGGAGATTTTCCAGAGGCGCCAGGCGTGGTAGTGCTGTTATCACTCGGTCAGCTGGGTGCTTTCAATTCGCTCGACGGGGCGAACAGCGCGAAGCGGCGTGCCTTTTCAGTCATGTCAGCAGGGTCGACTGCGTACCATACGTGTCCGCTGTGCAAAGTGCGTTGATTGGCAGGCATTGAGGGAGGGACGGGGAGAGTGATATAATGGCACGTACCCATCAGGCGAGACTTCGACTCGCTCAGGCCAGTTGCCACCTCCGCTATAGGCCCACCCCGACAACTCGACGTGGCCATCATGTATGATCACTTCCTTGTCCTGCGGGAATATGATCGCGCTCCTACATGGCACACAAAGCATTCGCCATTAGCACCCTCACGCCCACCGGACTCGTCAAACTAAACGCAACACGCACGAGACGGGCATGTTCTGAATACTGAACCCATTCGAGTACTTGGAGTTATGCTTGCCAATCTGTATGTTGTAGTACAGGTACTCCTGGCTCTGCACAGGGCCCAGGCTCGGCTCCTCGATCGCGTTGATCTTGTAGAGCCACTTCGTGCTGCGCGCGCCGATGACGCCCGTCACGACCACGCGCACTGCAGAGCGTAAGTGCGCATGTGACTGACCGTCAGTGCTGGTGAGATGGAAGGGGTGGAGAAACGCACGCGGGAAACCGTGGATCTTGGGGAGGGGCTTGCCGTTCATCTCCCATGCGAGAAGGACCTCCTCGCCGCCCTGGTTGCGCACTTTGCGAGAGGACACGGAGACGGCGTAGTTGAAGACGTTGCCCTTCCTGCATGAGTTCACACATTCAAGAATTCATCAGGCTCATGGTCGTAAACAGATATCCGGGAAAGGGGCAGGATATGGAACAGTTGTGGTACACACTTGAAGTACGTATCTGCACCCAGGAACTCCAGATGCCTTGCTTCGGACTTTAGTCCGCCGCATGCGACCTTGAGCACTTTCTTGAGCGTTACGCCCGGTAGACGGCTGTTCCACTGCACACCGGTATGCATGTCAGCGATGTGCTCGGGATGTGAGGTGTGAAGAGCATACATCGCGCCTTCGCCCCATGGCTGAGAACAGACAAGGGTAGATTAGTTTCAGATGTGAAGGAGCTGGAATGATATCACGTACGGCTTGGATCAGCTCGTCGCCCTCTCCAGGGTACTCCTGAATTTGCTCGATGCGGCGGGTACCGCTGCATTGCAGGGTGACCGTCACTTCTTTCTGTCTAGTAATCGCAAATCCGTGAACAGCATGTCAGAATCAGATATTACTGTACACACGGGAAGCGCGATGCATCCTTGAGATCCTTCATGGTCAGCTTCACGGGGGTATTCACGAGCCCGCCGATCTCGAGCTCAAATGCATCCTCGTCGATATCCGGGATCCCGCCGTGGTTTCTGACACTGCCACATCGTGACAAAACCGAAATTAAGTATTGGCCCGATCCCAAGAAAATGAATAGATATCTGACGTACAAGTGATACTTGTTGTCTGTGATCTTGCCCTCCATGAGCGGCTTGCGGGGCGTCTCGCCATTGTACGGGAAGTCAAGCAGGTGGATCATGTCCGGCTTCTCCTTCTGGACTGTCTCCCAGCTGAAGTCGACGATCCGTTGGAGGCCCAGAGCCTCGTGGTACTCCTTCCAACGGTATCCAATCAGGACGGGGTTCGTCTTCGGGAGCGGCTCGAGCTGGAACTCTGCACGGCGAGGCAATGGGTGTGTTGATCGGGTGGAGAGTCGAAGGGGAAAGACGGACCTGGGCTGGGCGTGAACTCCTTGGTGGCAAGGATGCGCCTTGCGATCTCTTTACGGTCGGGCTTGTCCTCCCACTCGACATATCTGTGCGCATCCGATTCAATCACCCCGATGGTTTTATGTGACGAGATTCCTGAAACGCACCCATTCCATCCCAGCTTCTCCTCAGGGAAGAGCTGGCTCAGCGGTACACCTTCGAAGGCAGCCATGGTCATCGTTCCAAAGCTCATGTCAAGGTTTACCAACAGCGAGCGGGTGGGGTGAGACGAACAGGCCTTTCAGGTTGACTTTGGTTCACAGAGAATCGCTATCGCACATGACATGCATGACGCTACGCATTGTAATGGATATTAATATCGTATCCTCGCGTGCGCTATGGATTGCGGGCCTCAGCGGCCATGACGTGCGTGTGCGTAACCTGAGTGGCTGGCTACGGAAGCCATCAACTTCGAAGGCTTCCGACAGGGCACAAAGGTAAGGTTGTGCGCACGCTACCCGGCGGTGTCCTGCCCCGGGGCCTCAAGAGTGCGCCAACTTTCCACGGGCAGGGTCCCGTATCAGAATCTGCCAGTGATATGCAGTCAGACTAAGTCCTATGTGATGTCAGCAAGCCATTGTGTTGGGAGTTGGATTTCAGGTATTAGCCACAGACCGGGAAGAGTGCGGCCGAAGACTGGCTGGTGAGATCTTGAGAGAGTAGGCGGTGGGACATCTTCCCTGCCTCGCTTGGCCAATCACAGCCCTTCCATTGCCCTGCGGGCGAGTGCGGGAGGTCTCCGGGACCTCCCAGAGTCCAGATTAGGCAACCGAGTACGTTCGCGCTTCTCTTCCACTTGAACAACACTTCAACCTACTTGTACGTTGCTTGGACAAGGCGAGCCGCGGCGTGAGCGGCATCGCGTGCCAAATACTCGACTGTTGTGGACATCTCTATGTAATGAACCAACTCTAGGCTGTTCGCGGGGAAACGCTACCGCATGGCTACCAAGGGATTTTCTGGGCTGATGAGACCTGAACGTGAACGGCCTGAGCATTGAACATTGGCTGGCCGTGTGGCGGTTCAATGGTGGTCCATATTCTCCGGCCCTTGCACACTAGCGATCTCACATGATGTGCAATTGTGCCCGATGAGCAGCTGACAAATGGTGAAGACTCACTGTAACACGCGAACACAACTCTGCGTGGCCCTGAGTCACGGTGCTTCAGTCGTCCGTGGTGCACCTCTGACACCGTCACGAAGATGATACTCCCCTCGAGAAAATTGACGCATCTCGGCCGTACTTAGCCAAAGTGTGGCGAGCATTCAGCATGTACAGCACCGTGAGTGGTTCTCAGAGGCTTACGATGTATCACACTCACATAGCAAGGATAGAGTTGACATATACTGCGAGGCCATGAGCGCACAGGACGTTTCGATCAACCCCGATATAGTGACTCATCAGACTGGAGACGTCTATTCGAGTAGCGTTAGATCTCATGGTCACAGAACCTGCACGCCCCTCTGCCTTCTATTGCAGATGCAGACGGAGGTCTTTTCGAGCTTTACGTGCCGGATGCATTGTATGTATTAGCCTTGGTGGAGATGTCGACGTCGACGAACCGGAGGTTCTCGTCAAATTCCCTACCCTCTAGGTCACCCACTGCCAACTTGAACTTGAACGCACCAGGAATTCGGACTCACTGGCATGGGGCAGTCACGTTGCAGTCGCGGAGTGGCTCGGATCGTGGTATCCACAGCGCGGGCACAGGACTCCCAATCCTCAGGAATATGACAGGAAACTTCGGCTCCCACTCAGAGAGTAAAGCAGCGGCGAATTGTCCGTCTGCTTCAGTGCGAGTAAAGGTCCAGGACTGATGGGATGTCCCAGTCGCCCGTCGTCGGCGTCCGAAGCGCGCAAGATCTCAGATATACTGACCGCTGGCCGCGCCACGACGTTTCGGTGGCGATGGCCCTTGCACCGTGACGGTCATACACATTGCACCCCACCGTACCCGTAACTTGACGCGATTCGATGCTGACATGATACCCCGTAGGCATGCGAAATGCCTCACACAAGCTATGAACTGTTCTCGATAGATCTGTGACTGGGCGCAATGCCGCTCTAGCTTCAAGAGTACGGATCCGAGACCCCCTTGTGAGTCTGTAAAACGCGCAGAGATGAACCTACGTTAATTTCCTTCACGGGAATAAGTATTTAACCACTCGCAGTACTCGACTCACCACAATTCCTCTTGCATCATCGACTTGGCGTTTTCCCAACTTCCGCTTCGCAGACACCCTCAGGCTTTTTTCCTCAGCTGGAACCGGCTGCTGCACCGCCTCCGGCGCATACTCTAAGACGCTGAAGCATTGCCTAACTTACATAAAGTTGATCTTGGACGATGCCTTTGCCTACGCCTGCGACACCGGAGTGAAGTGCTAAGCCGTCCTTATCCCTTTGGCTGGTGTGTTTGCCAATGCAGCGATCGATGTTGTGCTTCAGATATTCTAATGAGTGACTACTGGTCGCGAGATGGCGCGGCATAGCCGGCGTACCAGAATCATTTGTGCGTCTCTATGTATCTCTGGTTCATCATGTAGTTGATCATTCCAATTATCTGAGTCCGTATGAATCATCCATCTGTCGTTCAATGACAGCCTGACGGACATGCCATGTTGAATGGCCATCCGATGCTGTTCGCCAGAACAGCCCAGCCATCCTTGCGAGAGTGCACAATGTACTAATGCTACAGTCCTCCCCATGTTCCTACTGTTCGATCACGAGCACGCTCGCACACTCACACGGCGCCCCGACTGCTCAGGTTCAGCCATTGCACTGTCCTGTATACGCAACTCCCGAGTACTAGCGAGCCTCTCACAGCCCTCCTGGGGTCAGACCAGCCGACATACACGATGTCCACTCTTAACCCCCTGCTGTGAGTATCGAAGGCATGTCTCGATGTCACGCTGGCTTATGTGATGAATAGGCTAGGACCTTTGGTAAGTACTGCTGTAGGACGACCTTCGTTCCGTCCGCTACATGGTCGGTTTTCCAGCTTCTGGGTTCGCATTCAACTGGGCATTGCAGAGTGTGTTGACCGTCCAAGTCTGTGGGTCACTGCGCCACGAGCTGCCCTTCTTCAAAGCTCACCTGTCTCCTCGTAGACATCTACTATCTCTGCTTTCCGAATGACTCGAAATACCGGAAATGTTTAGGTGCGGGCCCCGAGCAATGTGGCGGAACTTATCTTCTGATGGCATGAATGACCTTGAAGTGTATGCCGTGTGCATCTACGAATGGGTGCAGACAGCGCTAGTAACTGCAGACATATATCAACGCTTCATAACGGAAGACACGAGTTATATGATGTACTTCGCATCCTACGGGATCTCATGGATCACGCTGTTCATGATGCCTGCTCTCACCGCGGCCATAGTACAGTTGTTCTACGCATGGCGCATCGCAGTAGTATCGCAGCGCCGAGTCTATTCAATCGTTATTCTTCTTGTGAGTGCCCGATATGATCATCCAGAACACATTATATACTAGGCTTCCCCCTCAGGTCGTCATGACTGCATTTTGCTCCGGCATCGTGAGCGCTGTGAGCATGAAGGTATGTTCAACGATCCGGAGTGGTAGAGGATTGCCTGAAGAGCTACCCCTGCGGTACAGAATCTGGGTGTCGATGACGATGTTAGTGAAGTGACATGGGATGTCGCTACACAGGTGAGTTAGGCCATTCACCTTGGGCTGATAGGCTGTGAGTGTTCTCATCATGTGAACTCACCAGGTCTGGCTGTGGTGCAGCGTTCTCGTAGATTACATGATTGCCGGCTTCATGATTTACACTGTACGTGTGACTCCGGGCTCGATGCAAACGTTCCAGACTCCATTAATGTGTCATATCTCATGCTTTCAGTTACGACGATTCAAAACTATGAGGACGGATACCGACTTGCTTGTAAATCGCGTCATCAGGTTGGTCATCGAGACTGGTTGTCTCACTGGTGCGTAACCGTGTGCTTGTTTCTTACTCACTCACTCACTCGGTGATCCAGTTGCTGGCGCCATCGCAACCCTCATATGTTGGAACGGATTTCCGGTATGTCCGGTAGCTAATCGGCGCGTTTTTGTGCTGACAAGGAATTCCAGCGTACTAGCCTAGCGGCTTGTCCGTCAGTGCAGTTACTTGTTTCGACGTTGTAGCTTTCAGTCTGATCCATTGACAGATTGCTCGTGCTATCCAAACTGTGACGGAAACCTTCACTACCTCCTTTCACCTTGCTGACTTTATCTATAGGTATGCGAATACAATGATGATCAATCTGAACAATAGAGCCTTTATACAAAGCGCACCCTCCGGCGTCAACATGGGGCGCAGCCCGTTGGGCTTTCCGATGTCAAGTCCACAGACTGGACGCATCCCCTCGAGCGTTCTCATAGTCGCAGACTCTGAGCGTTCCGTTGAGGTTGCCTTGCCTTCGACCGCAGATGCAGATCAGGGCCCTTTCGAGGTTTGTTAGGTGTGGATAGTACTGTGTAGTACCCGTGGCTGATACCATCGCTTAGGTGACGAAGTGACCCCGAATGCGAGATAAACGGGGAGATATGCGGTAACGGAGGTGTCACTAAACATGTAACTATCTATGGTCTCGATGTGTACTATTGAAATCCGGCCGTTCATCTTGGTATCGTCTCTGGTCTGAGTCCAAAGAACTGGCCGGTACCCTTCGCCGGAGAGGATACCTTGACAGCACAGTATACAGACATTGTACCTTACGCACGGTGCGTTCCCCGAACATAGGTAGACTTCTTCTCCTGACTTGCGCGCAACGGCCGCCTCTCGCAGATAAAGCTTAGATATATCATGACAGCGAGCCCCAGAGGTTCGTGCCTGGGTCACCGAAAGATGCGAACTCAGAGTGGGACACAAACATCATCAGAACTTCGACAATCACCTGCTTTCGATCCTTGCTGTATGCGACGGCACCTCGATGCCTGTTGTGCGTTAGCAGTCGGATGCCACGTCAATGGGGCCTGTCCGTGTTCATATATATACTCACAAGCCGAGCAGACGCGCACGCTCACGTCACTGTACCAGGGCGTCAACCAGTTTCGCCGCCGTGGTAGTCGCTGGTGCGCTGCGCAAAATTGTCTGTGGATCTCATGTGTGCATTGCTAAGCAGATCGGTAGGGAAGTGGGTGCAAGGTTGCGCTGACAGACACCATGTCGATGGACGGTCGACCGGCGGATGGAACTCACTTGCCTGCGGCTCTAATCTCAACTTCGTAAATCAATTTGCAGTTGGCAACATGTACACCTTTGGTCTTCGTTATGGCAGAGTAGAACGCGAAATTTCTAGTGTCGAAGCAAAGGTCCTTTGAGGTCCACATTGTACCAGATCTTGACGGACGGTACAGTTTGCGGTTTAACGCACACATCGGTGGGATGAGGTCCTCTGGTACGGCCTCGCTTCGATAGTATCTTCACGAGTTAGGTGCTGAACATGGCTCACATTCGCCTCGTCAGTCATGAAGCCATACTGAGACTGGCGAATGCCACCAATATCGACGTACTATGAGGCCGAAGCTTGACCGAAGCTTGACCGAAGCTGCTAGCGACGAAACCGTCTTAAAAGAGCAACAACCGGAGACACCACTCTCAAGTTGGTCTCGTTCGAGAGAGTAGCATGTGCCAGTTGGGGGGACTCTGTTCACCTGTAAGCGTCGTGTAGCAGGTAGGCATCCAGTTACTCAGCACTCGCCCCCGACTCGTCCACGCATGCGAGCCTAACGGTGGTCTGTGGCAATTGTCATAGGAATGTGATTCTCTCCGGAGATGAAGGCAGTGAATATGATGTCGGTGGCCCTGTCGCTGTTGCTTCTTTGACAGTGGTGTTAGCTCGAACAGGCAAAATGAAGTCGAGCCGAACGTACGCGTATCCAGCCCCTGTTGGTTGTGGCGTGCGTCATCGGGTACTTTTGGACTGTCAGACCGTGTCTCCTGTATACTAGAGAACAACGGCTCGAACGGGCCACGGTATTATGAAGCAGCGGGGGCGGAAGTGGAGGCGTGCTGCGAGATGTTTGTAAGGGACGTTGGGATGCTGCAGAGCAAGATCCTATGTTACTCTGAGCGAGTTTAAAAAGAGCGACTTGTCTGCACACTCGGACAAGTCGCATTCAACGTACTCTCGTCACGTACACAACACCGAACAGCACAGATGGCACAGCAGAAGGCACTCTTCCTGACCTCCAAGCAGGGGTCGTTCGAGGTCCGCACCGCGCCCGTTCCCAAGCCTGGTCCGGATCAGCTCCTCATCAAGATCGAAGCGGCCGCGCTCAATCCCGTCGACTGGCGTGTCCAAGCTTGGGGTATCCTCGTCGAGAAGTTCCCCGCCATCCTTGGCGAGGACCTTGCCGGGACCGTCGTCGACGTAGGCGAGGGCGTCACGAAATACAAGAAGGGCGACAGGGTGTAAGACACTTTCCGCAATCATGTGCAAAGACGTACGCTGATGGTGAGGTAATTCTTCCAGCGCCACGTACGCACCGGTCGGCGGGGGGGAACGGGCCAGCTTCCAGCAGTATGCTATCGCATCTCCTGAGTTAACCACCAGGGTGGGCGTACAATCTGTTGAATTCACAGAGAGCCGCTGACGGTGTGTGCAGATTCCGGATAGCATGACCTTCGACCAGGGGGCCACCCTACCGCTTGGACTTGGCACCGCCGTACTTGGTCTTTACGACCACGAGGACGGGGCTATTGGTAACTGTGGCCTCTACCCTCCCTGGGAAGATGGAGGACGCCGCAAGTACCAGGGACACCCATCCTGATTTTCGGCGGCGCTAGCTCTGTGGGGCAATTCGGTGAGTTGACTTCACCCGCTGAGATACGATGTCAGTGTTGCTGAGGCTATTCAGCGATCCAACTCGCCAAGCTCTCCGGTTTCGGGCCAGTCATCACGACCGCATCTCTTCGCAACGCCGACTGGCTCGAAAAGCTAGGCGCAACGCACGTCCTGGATCGAGACCTGTCTCTCGACGCCCTCGCGGCTGAGTTGAAGAAGATCACTGCGGAGCCGTTCAAGGTCATCTACGACGCCGTCGCATCGCCCGAGATGCAGAACTTCGCGTACGGGATCCTCGCACCTGGCGGAGTGCTCGCCGTGGTGATGCCCGTGGCCGTTAAGGAGGACATCATTGTCCCGGAGAAGAAGGCCTATTGGATGATGGCAAACCTCTACCTGCCGCAGCACAAGAAGCTTGGCATGAGCCTTTACTCGAAATTGCCTGGTTTGCTCGAGGAAGGCGCGATCAAGGTCAGTTAAGACCAAGTCCTAGAGTCACTGTAACTGAGCAGCGGTCACTTCGTACAGCCGAACTCAGTGGAATTGGTTCCGGGAGGCTTAGACGGTATTGTTCCTGGGCTTCTGAAGCTGAGCAAGGGCGTCAGTTGTGTGAAACTTGTCGCGCATCCGCAGGAGACGGAGTGATGATTCACGCACTATTCACATGTGTAGCTGCACACTCCCCTGTATATTTGTTCTGCAGAGATCCTGGCGATGAGAAAGACGACTTTGAGTCGGTCTACTGTGCATGCGCGGCGAGTCGGTACTTTGAATCCGTCCTTGTTTGATCATTTCGGGCCCTTCGGGGAGAGCTGGCAACTTCCCCTTCGGCTGAGTTGTCTGGGAGAATGAAAACCACTGCTTTTCAAAAGATCATAAGAGAACGAGCTGAAAGCCGGACTAGGTGCAAGTTAATTTGAGGCACTGACAACACAGTTGAACGTCAACAAGCTGAACACACGCGCGACGTTGTGCGGATTGACAGTCCTGGAAGCGCCCATGACGCGCCTAAGTCACCCACGTGATCGTCTCGAATGGTGGCTCGCGTCCAAGTCCCTCCCGAGTCTGCTTTGCTTGCAGACCAGTGCTGCCATTCTGTGCATCTGCTTTGGTTCCTCTGCTCCTTGTTTTCGAACCCAATGAGCAAACAGGGCCAGAAAGCCAGAGCCGCTCCCCCACAAGTCGCCGGTGTTTTCAAGCTAGATACCATTCGCGTATGTTTGCTCCGTTTCTCTTGCAACTTCTCCGAAGGCTTACCATGCACTAGGATGTGGCTGACTCTCTAAACATCACTTCATTATCAGACTCTGTGGCTTCAGCGTTAGCGAGCGATGTTGAGTACAGAATACACCAGGTCGTCGAGGTACGTCATAATACCAGTACTATGTTTGGAAGAGCGACTCATGCTCACCAGGAAGCAGCCCGTTTTATGCGGCATGCACGACGCACAACCATGACGACGTCAGACATCGACCAGGCTCTGCGCGTACTCAACATCGAGCCGTTGTACGGCCACTCTCCCCACAACCCCCCCACCTTCCGCCGCATACCCCCATTACCCCAGTCCGCGTCAGGATCAATATACTTTGTCGAAGACGAGGAGATCGACTTTGACCGCGTACTCCGAGAAGAGAAGATCACGCTACCGAACGGCCCGCGCTGGACGGCGCACTGGCTCGCAGTCGAGGGCGTCCAACCACTGATACCTGAAAACCCGCCTGCCATTCCGAAGGAAACTGACCCAGATGGGATGGTCAAGCCTTTATCTCCGTCGCGTCCTGGCCAGATGTTCCCGCTTACGCCGCCTTCCGACCGGCCATCTCCCGTGCAAGCCGCGAAGAAGCCACAACAGCAACAGCAGACCGTCAAGCAAGTACTGTCGCGCGAGCTGCAACTGTACTACACGCGACTCACCTCCGCGCTGCTCCCACCGTCGACATCCGACCACGCGAAACGGGCTGCAGCCCTTGCGAGTCTACGAAACGATGCAGGGTTGCAGGCGCTCCTCCCCTATCTGGTGCGGTGGGTCGGGGAAGGCGTCGTAGGCGCGTTGAAAGGTGGCGCGCAGAGCGAAAACGACGGCCGAGTGTTGGAGGTGCTACTAGATGTCATTGGTGCACTGCTCGACAATCCAACGCTGTTCGTCGAACCCTATGTGAGTCAGTTCGCGAGTGAATGCAGGGTACGTCTAAACGTCTGTCATAGCTCCATCAACTCCTTCCTCCCATTCTCTCGACCCTCCTGCATTCTGCCCTCCCGCAATCCCACGCCGCGCACCTGCGCACTTCAGCAGCCCAGATCCTCTCGCACCTCCTAACGCAGTACTCCACAACCTACCCTTCACTCCCGCCCCGGATAATGAAGACACTCTTGCTGGCGCTCATCTCGCCAGGGAAGAGCCGGAGCACGCGGGAAGGTGCGATACGCGGCCTGATAGGCATTGGGAAGGAGGCGGTACGAAAAGGTTTGGTAGAAGGAGGCGGTGCGAAGGTTGTCGGAAGCGAGTGCATGCCTGGGGAGGAGGGCGGTCTTGCGGAGTCCGTCATGGTGAGTTGGTATACTCGTAATCCGAAGCGCCTCTGACATGCGTGCAGGACGCATTCAAGGTGCTGCATCCGCCAAATGTGCTGTCGGTTCCGCTTGACAGTGCGGATGAGGCAGATGCTGCTGTTATACAACAGCTGAAGGAGACGATGGGCGACTTCTTCGCCGAGAGGATTTGGGGAGACGCTGCGTGGGCAAGAGCTGTCCTGACCGGGGATAGCGAGGGTTAAGATAGTCCCAGATAAGTAATGTCCAGGCTTGTATGTGTTTTTGGCGTGTCTGTATTGTCTAGAGTGTTCAGGTAGGACATGCTTGGTCGAGAACGAATCCTCTGACAAGCCGTGTTCGAGTCGACATACTCCTAGAACGTTTGTATGTTCGTGCTGCATGGCCGATTGTTTCCGAGATGGAATGGCACGGCTCTCGGAGTCATATTCGCGGCGTCTATGATTTACATATGATCTCGTTCATCTTTGTATGTCGTGGCCGCAGCTTGGCCGCAGCGGTGCCCAATTTCAACTCACGCGTCATCTCCTTGTCGATTGTATTGAACTTTGCAGAAACAATCAAGAGCTCGCTTTGGACGAGTGATAATCCAGTGATACTCGGTCCAATTCGACGGTGACAATGGTAAGTTTCATGATCTCACTCAGGCTGCCACCATCACTCTGATGTCAAAGTCCTCTGAGCCTCTGAGCTGCTACTTTTGGGCCACCTAGTTCGAAAGGTGCGTCTCAGGCACTGCTCGCGTCCGTTGGGTGTGCAGTGGTCTCAGGACAAGCTACGGGACCCGAGGTTGGGCTCACGAATGATCAACTTGGAGGTGCTTTCGCGGTACGTCTTACAGACTAGAGCTTTCTGTCCCTCGTGTCGCTAATGATCCTCTCGTAAGTACTCACCCCACCGCCGCACCGCTTTACGCGTAAGCAGTGCAGTGGTAAGGTGCGACCATGTTCTGTCACACGGATGAGATACGTACGCGACAAGCTAATGAGACACCCAGGTTATCTAGTTCAGCACGGCATTTCGGCGCTTTCCGATTCCAATATTACAGGAAGGCCAGTGCGTGCTTAACATGAACACGCGTATCCGACTCCATACTATTTACTATCGTCGAAGCGGGGTGCGCGAATTTTTTCTATTACCATTGCCAGTCTCCTCTCTGAGAGCCTCTTATATGAAGCCTATGCGGACGTCCTTTTGATCCGTTTTCGCTTGACATCGAATGACAGTCATGGGAAATCATCCACTGGTTCCAAGTATACGAGACCATATCATGCGTTCATGAGGCTATGCTATCTGGTCTTAGGGTTCCGTGCATATCCGACCTACTACATAAGTTGAAGTCTTTGAGGTTTGTCAGGATCATATCTCCTTGCGACGCCTTCTACTGTCGCTCTCGGACTCCCTCGACTCATCCACGATGCCATCATACCCTTGGAATATATATGAAAGGGAATTGAGCGAAAAATACTCATGTCACGGCAGGGCGTTATGGAATCCCTCTCCTCATCTTGGCGTCGTCGACTCGATCACCGGTAATGTAGAGATTGGCGACGTAGGCCGCATCGAGCATGGTCAATTCCATCGCCTTTTCAATGCCATAACCGGACATAGTCACTGGACGGTTCCCTCGACATTCGCCGGACTTCCATGGGCGGATATCGAGCCACTCGTCATCAACGAAGAAATAACCCAATCGTGCTTGTACAGCAGCAGCTTCGTAACGGTGAACGTGGACTGTGGAGTGACCGGGTAAGTAACAATACTTGTGGGTAATCATTGTGATTGAGTGCAACGCGCACAGCAGGGGCGGTGCAGCATCGGCAGGCCTATCCCTAAAATGTGCCAAAAGGCGAGGAGCGGTCCTGCAGTTGCCCAAGTACGACATCACGGATCCCACAACTCCGGGCAATCTCCCGGCCAGTGGCAAGAGACTTACCAGGAACAACATCATTCCCGTTTATATAGCTGAGAATTTGAAGGCATGGCACACCTTCGCTCAAGAAACAGCACGCTGGGAGGTCGCCGAAGCAGATTTGGTATTTGTCAGCGGATACCTCGAAGCGAAACATTGGGCAGTGGCTGCATGCACAGACCATGGGTTGGATACAACGGTCTCGATGCGCGGGGGACATGGGCCGCTCGAAGCATCATTTTCCGTCTCTGGTTCGGCTACCTCCTCACAGTTTTTCCATTCGAAGTGGGGACCTTCCGCTCCTACGTCATTGAGGCAATGTATCTTTCTCCATCTCTACAAGGGCCGTAGTGCCAGTCGCAGCCTGAAGAACAAAAACAACCCGTTCTTGTCCTGGATGATACCCCGCAAATTCGTTCCCAGTGTCAATACTACCATCTCAACGGCATCCACGCATAATAGTGACCCCAGCATCAGTGCTTCGCAGATTTCCAGTACCCAGTTGGACGGCGACGGCGGGGGTAGCAGAATTGATCACTGGCATACCAATTCTCAGGCTCATCTTGAGGCGCAAGAGGTACGCAGGTTCGTCATAAATTTGCAGTACGATTTGACACGCCACGGGCAGGTAGAAGATCCGCTGCATATGCTGCTTGACAGTATCCTACAGGTAGATTTTTTATTGGGGTTTACGAGGCGATATCCGAGGTCTCAGGGCTAACGAGGGCCATGCACTGTTGGCAGAACTCACAGGCTGGTGTGGCAGTTGTTAGTACCCATGATCTCTATGAGCTCAGGACTCGACGTGGATTGACGGAGGTATGACACACTTGCCGGTATAATCCAATATTAAACATCTTTTCGCTCCATACTAGCATGTCCGAGTTACGGACGGCTCTGTGGTAGACTCGCAAAACCACTGGCGTGATCCAGCATCTGCAAGTATTGACATTTTGTCTGCAAGTGCTCGAGTCAGAGGTAGATGGGTGGTTCTACAATGGTGAATTAACGATCATGATACTGATGCCACTACTCGTAGTCGGTGTCCTCAAATTGACACCACATTGTGATGATATTTCACAGAGGCTTGAACGCTGCGAGGAATCTGTGCGGCTCTCAGAGGTATGTATCCAATAGTGAAAATAACGCACAGGGCGCTCACGCTTTCATGTTGTTTCTCCTCATACCGGAAGACGGATGCAGACATGATGGACGCAGGACAACGGTCGAATGCAGAACAATTCACATCTTCAGAATCATGTCCACCAATGCGGCCCGCAGTCAGTGAATATGGTGCGTACCGTCTAGCTACAGAACACGGCATGTCATTTCGACTTCAGTTGCTTTAGGTAGACCCATGGACCCGGCATCGCAAAAATCGATGCAGCCTCCTGCACCTGGACTTCCAGTCTCAGCTAGCCATGTGCGTTCAAGAAGACTATGAATGACAGATGTTTTGCTGATTCATCTGTGGGGACATTCAATAGGAGGCATCATCGGGAACAACTGGTCAGAATTTCCTATGTCATTGGGGAGGACGCGGCATCTACTCAGATGACGGGATTGGAGGTGTCATCGGAAGGCACCTTCGAGACTTGCACACCGCGGACAGTATCGGTAATGATCTCGACAAATTTGGCCAGCCTCAAAGTCAAATGCATTGCCCAGGCTGTGGGAAGGTGTTTGGACGATCCGACATGTTGGAAAGACATATATCTAAGTGTCCCGCAAGGGTACGTGCGATCGCTGGGGCAGATTACGATTCACTGACATAATCCCTGACTCCGACCGCAGGGAGGGAGGGCTTTGTCGTGTCAAGTCATGTCGAGTGCTGTGCAAGGGACCTTACCCGTGGGAATGTCTCCCATAACGGGCACATTTCTGATGATATAAGGTAAGAGCTAGCTTCAGGATCCGTCCGTGACTAGCCGTGACTACGTCTCGCCAACAGGTCGCACCCACCCCTGACAGTAGGTCACTGGAGGTCCTGAACTAGGGCCTTCGTAGTTCAAGGGGTCACAGGACACACCCCGTAATTAACTAATGGTCGAAACGCTACTACCAGTAGTGTACAGTGTGTCAGAATGGAATTCGGAGACAGACTGCACCAGACTTGGGACTGGGATGTTGCTCGGAATCGGATGCCGGCGCCGTTTACGATATATAGTAGCTTTGTCATGGTCGCAGTGCTTAGTGAGCTCCGCGGCCCAACCGCGGCCTCACTCTGAGTAGTCTTCGAGCTCGAGTCTGTCCTCCGCCTCATCCAGTGCTCCGAACACCTTGCAGCTTTGGGCGATAGACAGGGGAGACGAGGGAGAGGGCGGACTGTGCGCATCCCAGTAAGCATTGAGCTTGTTCATTGAATTACCGGTACCGATGTAGCTAACAACAGTACTTACAGTCTGAGCGGTTCCTCAATGTGTGGGGCAATACGCGATGCCCGCCATTACAGACCTGCCGCTCGACGTACTTGAGCAAATTATCCTCGAGCTCGACCCATTGGATGTGGCGGCGATCTCGCAGACATGCTCGGCTTTCTCCACGTACATCTACTCATCTTCTGATACGGAAAGACTCTGGCGCACGCTCTACCTGTCCCAGCCTCTGGACGACCTGCGGAAGTGCTATGACCAGCTCGGGAACCCTCACGCTGGCCCAGTAGACTGGATGCGGCACCTGCAACGCGCCATCCGCGCGCGTACTATCATAGGCGACCCTGCGAAGTGCCGACCCGAGGAGCGCTGCATCGTGCTGCAGACACTTCTAGACCTCGTGGGCAACTTACCGCCTTCGCCCAGCTTCCTCAGTGAAGATCTGTCCTTAAACCTCGTATGGCTCGCTGCGTTACTTCGCGGAGGGACGCTCTTGTCCCACGAGCTCTGGGAGCCATCAGAGGAGGAGCGCCAGCTACGATCCCGGCTGCATGCGTACTACGGTCTAACTACCGCCGACTACCGCGCCGAGAACCTCAAGCAATCTCGAGCGTATGTCTACGACATGCGGCGGTATACGTGGGGCAATGACTTTGGTCCGTATTCGATGGACGGGAGTGGGCGTGTCAATTGGGAACATGTACAGGCGGTCCATCATCTCATGTCCATGCAAGTCGTTCCGCCCCAGGAGGATGCTGATGGGGAGCAAACGGTGTTTACGATCTTCCCGCTAAGTCTGCCGTATTGCCAGAGCATCATCCCCGCGGATGTGGATCTTGGTCAAGAGGATTGGGCAGGGGTCGCGGGTTCGTGGCAGTGCTCGTTCTGTTTCTGTGATCATCGACAACTATTGGGTGCGTCTGTTCATTGTCCACCAAGCCTGCGGATTTTTCTAACGTCCACATGCGTCGAATAGTGTTAAACAACTTCATCGTACGTCGAGCGTCTCACTTGCGAACGTATAGCCTTGATGACATTGCCCCAGTTTATCGATGGCGAACCAGAAGGGCCTCAGGGAGACCAACCGTTAACGATGAGTGTTCTAGAGCGCGAGGACTTTGTCGAGGTCTTCCGGACTATCAACATCGAGATACGGGTGATCTCTACGGAGACCGATCCAGCGCACCCTAGTCGCCCGAAAATCAACTGGGTTGGCTCGATCGGCCCGTTTGCAACCATGGTGGGCTCCGTGCACGTAACCCCGGACAATCATATTCGTTGGCATTTCGTGAGTGAGTCGACCCTCCGTCCTCTCTCGGGCGCTGAACTGCGCTCACAGAAGTCTGGGGAACTAGGCAATGCGATGTGGAGGTACGTTCTCTCGTAAGGCGCAGCCGTTCTCAGGCTGAGTCCCCGTCAGCTCGGAGGGCATACAAATAGGCGGCGTGCGGTCTAGCTATGGGATACTGGGTTCGTGGACTACGGTACACCACGAGCCGCATGACCCCGTCGGTACGTATGCAGAAGCTACTTCCTCTGCAGTGCAACTTACTGAGCTGTACGTGTAGGGCCATTCTGGCTGCGGAAGATACACCCCTCTCCTCAACGCGACGGAGAGGCTACTAACCAGGATATCTGACCGATATTTTTGGGACGCGTTGTCGTTCAAAGGCTCTACGGTACAAAGATGTAGAAGTTTCTTTTTGGGCGAGCGTGGTCTCGTTGCCTGAGCAATCGCTATTGCCAGTGGATAGCTGCCACGGAATAATGCTTGGCCCAGTCCTCTCCTTGTGGGACTTGTCTTGATATCTGCGCGTCACGAAGCTCGATATGGAACTCTGAAGCTAGGTGGGGGCAGTGCGATCGCCGAGTGCGATGTTCAAGTATGTCGATGTGAGCCTCAGGAAGCCGATGGATGGTTAGATACACAGTAGGGCATACTAATACTGATAATAAGCAGGTAGTATCACATCAGTTATTGTTACTTATCGGACTAAGTAATCGGTCAATATTTAGATAGCATACAATGACTACTGAGCCATCACATAATGGAAATCACCATAGTGAATGCGCGTCACCAGGCTGCCCGCTACAGCACTTACTCCGTCCTCGCTCGGTCTACTCTGTTGCAACCCTCTACTACATACCGAGCACGAGCCCCTCTGACCGACTCTCAACGGGTGCGGTATGTCTGATCCACCGAAGAAGCCAGGGTCTCTGCGAGACCGCATAGCAGCCTTCGAGAACAAGGGCACGACCGCTGCCCCGCCTGCGCCCACGCCGCGATCCAAGCCCGCAGGTGTTTCCTGGAAGCCCCGCCCGCGTTCCCCTCCCCCTGTGACGAGCGATGATGAGGCACAAGTGCCGCCAAGGCGAGCGGTATGTCCGCTGCAGACGCGAAGGTCAGCATCGGGCAGGGTGTCAGTCTGAAGGAGCGCATGGCTGCGCTGCAGGGCCTCCACGCCTTCGGAGGCGGCTCTGTATCACCTCCCCCGAAGCCCGCGACTGAGAAGCCCAAGTGGAGGTCCGCGGCGGTCGTATCGCCGCCAGCTGTAGATGAAGATGAGAGGGACGAATCAGCCAAGCCAGCCGTAGTGCCAGAAGCGAGAGCGACGCCCAGGAACATGAGCCTATCGTTGAAGCGGAGCATGCTGCTGAGGAGGGCGAAGGACAGGGTGAGCCTGACGCCGAGGAAGAGGAGAGACAACGTCGCGCTGCGATTGCTGCTCGGATGGCGCGTCTTGGAGGCGCCAGAGTCGGGATGGCGCCGCCAGTCTTTGGAAAGAAGCCCGATGTGAAGAAGCAGGGATCGCTCAAAGTCGAGGACGACGAGCACAGGGAGAAGCCAGCTCCGGCTGTCAGCCCTCCAGCAGGTAAGCGTGCTACAACTTCGGTGGTCGCCGGTCTAAGCGATATGCAGAGCCCGCAGTGGTCTCACCGCCTGAGACTGCTTCTATCACGTCCCAGACATCCGACGCAGCTGCGACAGGTATTCGGTCACAATATTGAATGTGATCTATATCGCTCATACTACGTACAGATTACTTCGAGGCTAAGGATCCCGAACACCTCTCCCCTGAAGCAGGTCCTACACCTCCGATCCGCTCACCCGCGATGCCAGTCCCAGCTGGTCCTCGCAGGGCCGCTCCACCGCGTAAGCGCGCCGCGAAGTCTCCGTCGCCTGCCACCGCCAATGTACTGCAGGAGGGAGTGGTGAACGAGAGTCCATCCCCCCTCCCCGATGCTCCAACCCCTGCACCGGAAGTCTCCGCGCCGTCAGTTGTTCAGGCAGAGTCTCTCGGACCCCACGGAGATCGCGAGCCAGAAATTACCGCTTCGCAGGTGGAGGCCGTGCTTGAGAGCGTTGATGTCCCAAGCGTGGAACTGGCCGAAGAGACGAAGGAGGCGCTGGCGGATGCGCCGCCTCCCGTCGCTGCAGGACCCCTCGAGACAGACCAGGCGCCCGAAGCGCCTGTTCACGAGGATGAAGCGGATCCTAGGGCTGCACATCTTGAGGAAACTACCGCGGGAGAGGCGGAGACGCATACGGAGGTTACAGAGCCCACTGTAGTCGGAGTAGAGGAGGAGCATCCAGCCGAAGCAGGAGAGGAGCATCAGCAGGCACAGGAGCATGAACATCTGGAAGCAGTTGAGGAAGAGACAGAAGAAGAGGAAGCGGCGCGACGCAAGCGTATCGCTGAGCGGCTCGCGAAGGCGGGTGGCGTAAACCCTCTGAGCGGACCTATCCGTACTATGGAGTCCCCTCCAGCCTCGCCTTCCTCAGCTCACAGCATCCCAGCATCCGTAGAGCGTCGGCAAAGCCTGAGGAAGGACAGTCATGGCTCCATCGCGAGCGCGAAGTCGGTTTCGTCGCCTCCCGTGCCAACGTCCCCCAAGCCGGAAGTCCCGCGCAGGCAAGGAAGCGTGCACTCGGTGCATTCCCAAGTGTCGGTGGAGCACCCTACGCGCAGAATGTCTCAGGATGGTAAATTCTAACGTTCTCGGTGACACGCAGCAAACTGCGTGCGCCTGCATTGTACAGTAGTGATTGATTGTATTGTTTTCGTGTAGAACGCAGATATTCGGTCGGGGAACCGGAGCCTGTAAGAACGTTTGCCGAAGATATCGTCGAAGAGCCCGAGCCGCATGACCAACATGAGGCTGTCTATGAAGAGCAAGGTATCGCCGAGGAGAGCTACTTGCCGGAGGATACGGGAGATGAACGTGAGTGCAGGCAGCTGGTTTTGGTTTGTCGATGAAACGCATGCTCATATCTCCGTAGACGAGAGTGTCCACTATGCTGATCCTACTCCGATTGAGGAAGCGGAAGCTCAAGAAGAGGAGGCAGAGGACGAAGAGATTCCTCCACCACCACCTCCACGAGTGCATCCAGATGCACGGGAGGCTGCATCGCTTCCTTCTCGTAGCCCATCAAAGCGGCTGTCTGTACCACCTCCAAGACTTCCGCCCCCGCCCCCACCGCCTCAGGACGATTCGGAAGATACGTCAGATGCAGAGCCTGTCAAGCGATTATCAGTGCCTCCTGGCGTACCCCCGAGACCCCCGCCTCCGCCTCCTGATGTGGAGGAACAAGAAGAAGTGCCACCGCCTGTCCATCGTGAGCTCCGTCCACCGGTCCATCCGACAGACGAGGGGGACGGTGCTCGTGAACAATACAAGACTCCGGAGGTCACTCATGTCGTCGTCGATCATCATGAACAGCCTATAATCCACTCAGACGCTGCAAGGGAGGACTATGAAGACAATGACTACCACGAAGAGCTCTACGAGGAACCGGAGTACGAAGGGTATGAACAAGATGACGCTGAAGGTGACGATTCAACAGGAGCGCTCGCGCATCCCTCTCACCGCCAGGAGATCCTGGTACCAGCGCCTGTAGTAAATGAATTGCAAGAGGAAGCAGAGGAGGAAGCTCCTCCTCCGCCTCCTCGACGCCCTTCAGTACATGATCAGCCTCAGAGGGTCACCTCACCTCCTTTGCCTCCGGGAAGGCGGCCTTCTGCGGATCAGGCTTCAAGATTTTCAACTCCAACTCGACCACCGGTTCCTAAGCTTGCCCCAGTTGTTGTCATACCTCCCGCGAGGCGTGAGTCAGAGGTCCTCGACGATTCTCATGGTGGTAAGTGTATGCCCTACCAGTCGTTATACTCCTTATGAACCGTGAGGATAGATCCGATAGACCCTGGCTTCTATAGCCCTCCCAAGTCTCCATCGATCAGAACTCAGCCGCTTCCTGTGCCGACGCCCCCGCCAGATACTCTTGAATTGCCGACGGCTGAAGCGCAACCGGCGGATGAGGAAGAGGAAGACCCGGAACAAGCTCGACGTCGCACCATCGCGGAGAGAATGGCAAAACTAGGTGGCATCAGATTTGGGGCACCTCCGCCACCCCCTCCAATGCGTCGACCCCAACCACCTCCGGAATCACAGGAGAGCGAGGAAGGTGCGCCCCAACAGCAGGAAGGCGAGCAAGAGGATGCCCCGGAAGAGGAAGATGAGTTCGCTCGCAAGCAGAGAATCGCAGCTCGAATTGCCGGGATGGGGGGCATGCGATTTGGGATGATGCCTGGCGCTGCTCCGCCGGTTCCACGGCAGCAAACCAGACCGACCAGTCCACCTGCGCAAGCTGAAGAACAACCTAAGACGCCAACTGCTCCACATCGCATGGTCCCAACAGTACCACCGCCCCCTCCCCCTCCCGAACCGTCTGAATATGACGACGGTGAGCAGATTGAACCCGAGGAGAGCGAGGCTGAGGAAGTTACATATGAAGAAGCGCAAGAAGAAGAAGAAGCGCCGCCTCCTGTGCCGTCTCGAGTTGGGAGACATTCGTCCATTGTGGAAGCTCATCGGCCACCGGTACCCCAGACGTCACGGCCACCAGTACCGCAAGTGCCAGCTCCTCAGCCTGCAAAGCGGACAAGTGTTGGTTCCGCACACGAGCAGCCTGGCTCTTCCAACTTCACCTACCCGCCACCACCGACGAGGCGGCCTTCCATTCCGACACGCGACGCCCAGAATGACTTCGTCATGGTGGGAAATGACGAAGAAGCAGAAGAGCCGCCACAGCCACCGCCGCGAACTGTCAGTTTGAGGAAGGCACATCAGCCGCCTTCACGCACTGCGCCGCGTCCACCTCCCCCGCTTTCAGCAGAGCCACAAGGAACCCCTGCTATCCCTCAAGTCGACTTCGGTGGCGAAACAGATTTGTCGCTTTCCGGTCAATGGTCGGAGGACTCGACAAATTACCCTCCGCCACCGCCGCCGCCTACGAAGGGCGAGTTCGCGCCCCTTTCGTCGTCGCGCTCGGACATTCAACTTACTCCAGAAGAGCTCGTGAAGCAGTGGGGCCGCGTCGGTGTTCAGATTCACGAGACAGCGGCAGTACTATTCGACAAGTCGAAGAAGACACTCGTTGGGGACGGATCGTACCTCGGGTTTGTGACTGCAGTGCTCGGCCAGGTCCCGAACGCCGCTCATCCGGTCCCACCATTCGATAACTTCGGCTACCTCATCTATATGCAGACTGGCGGGTCAGTGCAGAAGAGAATCAGTGATGTGATGCCTGGGGATGTCATTATGATCCAGGAGGCGAAGCTCAAAGGGCACAAGGGTTTGCAAAGCTATAACCAGACAGCCGGTGTTGGTGAACCGCTTTACGCGATCGTGAGCGACTACGAGTTGAAGAAGTCGAAGGTGAGGGTATTCCAGGCGAACCAGCACGTCGGGCAGCAGGTGAGGAGATAGACGTTCGTTCCGGTTAAACCTCGGCTGATGCATCGCGTTTGCAGACCGTTGAATCGGTGAGCTATAGACTGGAGGATCTCAAGAGCGGGTCTGTCAAGGTGAGATCCCCTGTGCTCGTGACGAGCTATTTGCTTATACCCTACGCAATCGTAGATCTTCCGTGTGCTAGAGGCATGATATGTCCCCTTGTTATTGTCTACTACATGGTCGAACTTGTATTTGTACATTACATACTACGGAGGCAGGTTATTCGATTATCAATGAAATGTTCATCTCATCCCGGTCTTGTAGGTATGGTCCGCTGTGCTCTTGGGATGGACGATGGCAATGCATATCTGAGCAAGAAGCTCGATCGTGATGATGAGAATTGGGTATACGGCAAGGTTCCAATACGCTCACAAATCGGGAACTCAGTCGCACCGTCTAGGTACCAGAACATGGGCATTTGCTGTAGTACAAATCCGCTTATCTGTTACATGTTGTTGCTTCCGGGGCGGCCTACTGAGTCTCCTGAGGACGCGCAACGAGCTTAACGTTGCTGACACCCTGCCTTAACTTCTGCAGGCCGTCCGCTACGCCGTGCAGCCCGTGCGGGAGAACTTCCACGGGGTTGGGCTGAGCAGACGTGGAAACGTCAGAGACATGAAGATACGCAGTAGACGGTTTATGAGCATACCTTGATCTCGCCATCCTTCAACCACTCGGTCAGCTGCGAGAACAAGTCGATGCCCAATTGACGGTTCGCTGGCGTATTGAAGTCGCCGAAGACCTGGAAGGCCTTCTTGTCCGCACTCAGCTTCTCTGGCTTGATGGCTAGCTGCACACCAAGCGCGAGCGTGCCTCCGGGCGCGAGGATGTCGTATGCAGCGTTCTGTGTGTCCGGCGAGCCGGCCGCGTCGTAGATGACCTTGATCGGCTCCGTCGTGATCTTCTTGACCTCTGCTATCAGCGCGTCCGCGGCGAGGTTCCGATCGAGTACGTGCGTCGCGCCGAGCTTCTGGAGCCACTCGGAGTTCTTGAGGGATGCTGTGGGAATGATGGGGCCGAAGCCTGAGAGCCTGGCGAGCTGGATGGCTGCGCGATTCTCAGTGTTGTCACTGGGAGTCGCGACGATGGGATCTGCTTACCGTACTGCCCCACGGAGCTGGCGCCAGCAAAGATAAGATGGGCTGGCCTTGGTACCTTCCCCGGCCACCCTCCTCCCAGGGTGGATAGAGAGCAACGGTTCCATTGATAGCCCCTTCTTCCGGATGATAGAGAGCGATGGAAGCGGTGGCGATGGTCTGTGGAACTGTGGCAGCTTGGTCGAAGGATATCTCGTCGGGTATCTGGTGCAGAACACTTCAAATTAGTAGACGTATCAGCGACTGAAGTCGATTGCGGAGGTTCACCTTGCAAGAAGCGTCCACGTAACTAAGCGCATACTGCTGGTACCCGGCGTGCTCATTGATGCCAAATGTAGCCTCAGAGAGACTGGAGAGGTGGTCAGCACTGGGAGCTAGGGTAGCGAGCAAGAAGAGGGGATTCAAAGGTAAGCCTTACACTCGATCGCCCTTCTTGAACTTTGTGACGCCTTCGCCCACCTCCTCAACTGCCCAGCCAGATCAAAGCCAATGATGGCTGGGTAGTTCTTCAAAAACATGCCGAACGCTTGCATCTTCCAGTCGATCGGGTTCGACGCAGCCGACTGAACCTTGAGAAGAATTTCTCCAGGGCCAGGCTTGGGGATTGGGGTGGCTTGAACGGCGAAGACCCCTTGCTTCGCGGTCAAAAACAGAGCCTATTGCTGTGCCATGTTGGTAGTGTCGGTATTGATTGTGGAAATCTGTGAGTGAGTCTGCCTGCGAATGCGTTCAATATAGGGATACGGTTCTGTTCGTGCTACCTTTATACATGACCTCACGGGGCTTCGTTCTCGGATCGACTCGGGCAGCCCAGGCCCCGAGAAGAGTACCTACTACCCACTGTGCAGTCATTAATCCGGCGTTCGGCAGCCTGAACCTGACTGTACATTGCATTGCCACATTAGCACGACATCGCGAACACATAAGTGCGTACCTTCTCATCATTTATCAAATGGACTGTCAATAGTCCCACTGGCAGATCCGTTGGAATTTCAATGCCGGTTGAGTTCGTCATCTTCAACGCAGCTGCCGAGTGGGCTATGAGTCAGACAGAATCACAACTGCCGTATATCTTACCACAGATCAGATCCCTTCACGCTCATCTGGGTCGCGACGTACATTTATCTCCTTCTGTCAATGGCCAGAGATGGTATTGCCATCTACAGCATGCCTCAAGCAAAGTGGCGAGGAGCACCTTGAAGGGTAATTGGAACTAGCCGATAGTGCGTATGTCTTGCTCTGAGCATGATTCAACGCACACCTTGTCTTGAAGTCATACGAGAGCGACCGACAGCATCGAACCCGGACGAATTGCGAGACGAGCGGTATTGGCAATCACGGTAGCTATCATAGCTGGCTCTCGGAGTAAGTTGAGCTGGACGGCACTAGATCATTTAGAACCTCGAATAGCACGCAGAAGCACACGATGATGAAAACCAATCTCCATGCAGTAAAAATATTGCTGCTTGAGCTGAGCAGTGGGAGACAATTCCCGATCCAGTGGACTGTCCCTGATTTGACTATAGTTACGGGGTGTCAACTTTGTGTCAACTATCATCTGTACAAGAGTGCTTACAAAGAGACTGCTCATCCATCCTGGAGGCCTCGTCAAGCCTTGTTAAACGCATGTCGTGGCGCGCCGATCTCTATGTATTGTCAGAGTTGACCTTTCGAACGACGACTTTCGAATTCGTAGTATCATGATGAATGTTCACCAGTTGGTCACCTACGGCCCTACTCGCGTTGGCCTCAACTAACTCGTGGCATGCCTAGTGTTGGGGGAGACGCAGACACAGACAAGTTATTGCTGGCAGTGGACGCAACCTGAACCGACTTGCGATCTGCAGATCGGAGATCCGACTTACGCGGAATTGTGGACCTCGATCACGTGTAACAGGTTTTCCTTCCTGGTGGCTGCGAGTAACGAGCACACAAGCTACCACACCCACTGGCACTATAGCCTATCCTTGCTGCTGCACTCAAAGTCACAGCAATTCTACTCTGCCATGTCTCACTCAAGTGGGTCTGACGCAGAGTCCACGGGACATGTCTCGGAAGAGGAGGTTTTCGCGGTCGACCAGCTCTCCGACGCAGAGTCTGTATATGAGGATGTTGTACCGCAGCAGAAGGTTGAGATCGACAACAAGGCGGGTTGGTTGTATTTCTTGCTGTACCGGCACTGACTGTCACTAGGTTGCTCTCGAACGGATTCGGGAAACCATGAAACTACCCTCAACGCTTCCATGGACAGAAACATTGACCGTGACCTACCCAGAGACAATAGACGTCGATGTAGATGATGATCTCAACCGAGAGCTCGCTTTGTACGTGCTACAGCCCTACTAAGGCATCGCAAACTTACCTCTGACTATCCGTCTCAGCTACAAGCAAGCCATCCACGGTGCACAGCTCGCCAAGTCGCTCGCCGCAAAGCACAGTCTGGCCTTCACACGACCGCCAGATTACTTCGCCGAGATGGTTAAGTCGGACGCCCACATGGAGCGCATCCGGCAACGTCTGCTCGACGAGGGCGCGTCGATCAAGCGGAGCGAGGAGAAGCGGAAGGAGAGGGAAGGGAAGAAGTACGGGAAGCAGGTGCAGATGGAGAAGCTGCAGGAGCGGGAGCGGAGCAAGAAGGATATGGAGGAGCGGCTCAAGGGTCTTAAGCGAAGTGCGTATTTCGTGCCATAATCCTGCGACTAGCTCTCAGTCTTCTCATACGACCTCTAGAACGCAAGGGCGCACTCGACAACCCGCAGGAAGACGACGGCGGTTTGATGTCGCAGTGGAGGACGCCATCTCCGACCGCCCTGCAAAACGCACAAAGGGCGCCGGCCCTGGAGGCAAGAAGTTGCCCCGGCAAGCGCGAGACCAGAAGTTTGGTTTCGGTGGGTCCAGGAAACATGCGAAGCAGAATACGAAGGCCTCCACGGATAACTTCGATGCTAGTAGTGCAGGTCGCGGGAACGCGAGGGGTGGGAAGGGCGCGAAGGGCGCTGCAAAAAGACCTGGTAAAGGTAGACGCATGGCTGCTCGCAGTCGCTCGTAGTGTGTTTGCCCCTGGTCATTCTCTGGATCCATCACTTCTTTTGCCCTGACTTTCTCGTATGGATGTGCGATATGCGTGGCTCCGTTCCCAATCTCGCTGAAAGTTGCCGGTCAAAGACCCAGCGCGCATATCTCACTAATGCTTGAACATCTCCATCTGACTCTTGGATCGGTGGGACGACTAGCAGCGTACCGGTGCGCTTGTCGTGACTTACAGTACTAGTCATCTCTGCCCGTTGTGGTGACAGTGAAGTAATTCGGAGGCCAGCCACGCAATGCCGTGGGACGCAATATGTTAGGGGAAGGCCTTTACTGCCTCAGCAATTGGGCCCATACCCTTCTGGGCGATGTAGAGAGTACCCTTACCGACGAATAGGATCTCAAACTCTATGCGGACAAACTCATCGGCACCGGTACTATTCCACTGCCTGAATGTGAGATAGACAACTCCAGTAAGATCGCGAGAGCACAGTTGTTTGGGTAGAGGGTTCATCCCAGGGTGGCCAAGTCGAGTACTCATCTTGATGCACACGCTGGTACTAAACGGGAGGCTCAGCTATTGTGACTGTCAAATGTACAGTATACGTACATGCAGTACTTGCTAATAGGTCTGTCTTGTTGAAGCTTGAAGCTTGAAGCCCAGTGAAAACCTACAATATTACCCACAATTACGAGCCATTCATATCGATTAGAGCTCCACCCAACGACGGTAATCGACCGCGATGGCCATTTTGCCCTTTAATAGATGGTCTGTTCATTCTCCTCGATCCGCGTCCATTAGCTACGTATCACGGTGCATTGCAATCGATTACTGTCATTGTACGGAAAGTGTCCTTGTTCTCGCGCAATTCACGCTCATCCGAATATAATGCCATTTATTTCCGATTTATTGTTACAATCACCCGCCCGATTGAAATGCACTACACTCTTCTGCTATCCCTACCGTCTCGCCCGCCCGTTTGTCTGCCCGCTCGCCCACCTCCTCACCTACCTGCCTGCGCGTTCGTCGGCCGTATCTGCGCGCTGGGCATTCGCATAGTGCGCCTGCGGTCGCCGTGCACGCGGTGCCCATCCATGCCCTGTGCCCGTCCCCGCCCTGCACCCTTCTCTTTGCGCTCTCGCCCGCCCGCTCTCGCGCTCACCCGCTTGCCCACGCACTCGCCCGTCCGCCCACCCGTTCGTGGGCCCGCTTGCACCTTCTCCTCGTCATCCCTGAGCCTGTCGCTCGTTCGTCGGCCGCGTGTGCGCGCAGGGCATTGGCTCTGCGCGCTCGTGGACGACGTGCGCGTCGTGCAGCAGACGGGCAACTCGCCCGCTGGTCTGCTTGCCCGCCTATTCGCTCTTCCGCCTGCATGTGCGTTCGTCAGCATGTCTGCGAGCTACCCCTTGACTGCTGCCCACTCACCTTGCCCATACCTCTCCTGCCTGCCTGCCCACTCGCTCGTTTTCTCGCCAGCTCACTTACCCTCCGAATGCTCACCCACTCACCTGCTCGCCCTGCTCGCCCGCCCGCTCGCTCGCCCGTCCGTTCTTGCGCCCGCTCGCCCGCCTGTTCGCCCGGCTGCCCGCGCTCGCGGTCGGCGTGTGTTGCCGCCCGTGCGCCCTTCCGCTTATCTGCCCGCCGTGCATCCGTCGGCCGTGCCTGCACAAAGGGCATTGGCCCTGCGTGCTCGCGGTTGTCGTGTGCGTTGCGCTGCACGTCGTCGCGTCCTGTGTCTGCGTTAGTGCGCTCGCTCGCATGCGTCTGCACTTACCTCGATGCCCGCGACCCGCTCGCCGTCCGCACGCCTCCCGTCCGCGCCCGTCGCTGATCCTGCGCCCGCCTTTCCCGCGCGTGCTCGCCGTCCCTGTGTCCACCGTGCTCGCGCATAGGTCTTGCCCTGGCCCTGGGGCGCTCGTCCTCACCTGTTCGTCACTCGCGTGCCTACGGAGGTACACCGGCTGCGGGGGTAGGCCCGCCGCCTGCAGGTCCCGCTTCACGATCTCGCGCGAGTCTTGCATGTATCGCGCGCGTGCCCTCTGCATGCGCTGATCCACGTCCGGAACGTCTTCTATCGTCGTCATCGTCGGCCCTGTCCATCCGTCGGGCGCGTTTACATGCTGGGAGCTCGTAGTGGTGCTCGCGAGGGCCTGTGCTCGAGCCCCGTCGTTGTTGAGTATTGTGGCACGTAAAGTGAAGGGAGGGCTCAGAGGGAGGTGAGGCAACCTCGCGAGCGCCACGTTTGGGCGTTCGCCGGGTTGCCTCTTTTGGCAGCACCACCGCGGGTCGACACCAACACCGCAACACCGGACGGCGGGTACACGGTAGTAGCGGTGTGGCCGGCTATGCACGACGCGTCGATGGGCAGTGGGGTGCAGGGACCAACGACGACGGGAGGGTGGGCATGGTAGTGGTACGGAGTCAAGGAGACTTTGACGACGACCCTGCAAGGGACTGAGTCAATGACGTCGTGCTTGGACAGTGGTCATGGGACTACGACGCCGCGGCGGGACGGGAAGGATTTCAGGTTTGGTGAATTGGCGAATGCATTTGGGCGGCGGGACTTGGGGAGACTGTCGCCATTTGGGTACATGCCAAATCGTAAAGGCAATTGATGAGCGCGAAACCGAGGGTTTGAATGTTAGCAGACGACACTGAACATACAGAATTCTACGGTAATAGATTGTCTGACAGTTCCTTGACAGCTCACGCTGGTAATCAGTGGCAATCGTAGGTAATATTGCACGTTTTCACTGGGCTTGAAGCTTGAAGCCGGACGATATGTATGAACGAGCTCGAGATTCTCACACAAACGTAGGCTTTCGAGAAGGTGCTACCGGCCCCCCGATATCCGGGCCGACGTCTCGCGGGACCACTGCGCAAGCTCCCAATCTACCTCCCTCTCCTCGACCACCATCTCGTTCAACCTACACCGCCTGCCGTAACTGCTTTTCAACATGTCCAGTGTCTCGCCTCCACCTTTCACCAACGGGTACGCCTCTCCAGCCCCCTATCTCGCGGCGTCTCCTCCACCAGCGAAACCTACTGCACACCCGAAACCCAAACCTGTTAATGTATTCTCTAACGATGGCTCGTTCTTGGAGCGTTTCCAGCGTATAAAGCAGGTGAGATCCTTGACTGATATGCATCGTTACTTATCCTGACCTTGGAAATTCGTGCTTAGGATGAGGAAGAAAAGAAGAAACAAGAAGAGAGCCTAGCGAAGTGAGTCTGCGACGTCAGACATCTCATCGCTAAGGATAATGCTGACTTGTGTTCCTCACACAGGAAACGGGACTTCAATGAGCGCTTTGTATGTCCACTACCCCTCTGTTTGTATGACCCACGCCTCACATATACATGCAGAAAAGACGGGGCAAGCGCCGTTCTTCTGATGCTACGAACTCAGAACCTGCCACAGAACACACCGCGAAGAAACTGAAGGTGGACGCACCTATAAGTGAGTACCTCATGCGGGCTATCTTGTGCTGCTGAATCCCTAGCCTCCGTAGACCAGTACGAGAAGGAGGTGAAGAGCTACACCGCGAGCCTGAAGGACAACGGGGCTGGTGTACGGCCATTAGTGAAATGACGAAACAACGCACCATGAGTGTCGACAGCTACCATTCCACTCGCATATTGCGTCCACACAGATGGGCTCTTCTATGTCTAAACATATACAGCAATTGTACTATACGCATGTCTCACCCAGCATTCGCAATGCATATCAGACCTTCAATGTGCTACACATACATATCATGCGTGCATCTTACGACAAACAGGACATTCGACGTGTTGCACAACATAGCCATTAAGGTCGACTCGGTATCGCCACGCAGGTGCATTGCACCGGATAGACAGACAATTTGGGATCAAACGATGCGTGCTCAGGGTGCTCACAAGAACCATCCGCATGTTCCTATAGCGCGACCTTTGCTTGTTAAGCTACTCGGTCGATAAGACTGTGACCTGCGATAGGGCGTGGCTCGAGAGGACTTCTCAGGGCAGCGAATGCCGAAGGCGTCGTCACGAAGCATCCCTCGGTCGTACGATACGCATTGGAGTCTCGCTAGACGGGAATGTCTATTTCGCTGCCTTTTTACTCTCCATGAAGAGCACCCGTGCCTTGACTGATGTGACAAAGGCTGAGCAAACCAATTCAGACAGCGTAGCAAAGCATACGCGCACCTTTTGGATCATATTTGACAGCGGAGAGCTTGGGTCCTACTCGCAGTCGTTGTGTGGTGTAAAAGTAACCAGTTTTGGCCGAAGAGACCATCCGGACAATGGCTGTCCTACATACTCCAAGCTTCAGCCAACAAGCAAGGAGCCAGCAAAGCACAAGACGCCTACCGTGCCTTCGACTTGGCCGCCATGACCGTCAGCGACAACTCCGGTTCCGGGCGCGCGAGAACTGTCACACCAGGTTGGCTTCGGCACGTGGACGTGACACGCTCGCGGGATGTCACAGTCGCGTCCATCTTGCCGCTGTGGCCGCCACAGGCGTGCCTTCGCAACCCTTCACAGTCACCCACCTGTCCCCCCTCGTCCCCCCTTCTCCTATGCGTGCATAACGCACACAACCCCCAGATTTCAACGCGTCGACATACTCGACGGGTTTACACGGTGGCTGGAGACCTCCCCTTTGTCACAGCACAGACCAGTGGCCCCTGTTCGCTCAGGTAGACGAAATCTCACATACGTAGGCGCATACACCCCGGATAGCTGATTCCCAGGTATACTCACAGAGAAACAACACAGAATTGAAGCCACTTCGAATATTGATGCGACGCCACAATGCCTCCGGGGACACCGTACGGCTCGTTTGTTAAGAACTACCGAATTCGCGTCGACGATTTCGCTGGGACGACGGAGAAGGTCGCACTGCACCTTCTGTCACACACGCATACAGACCACTTGACTGGGCTGTCCGCTCAGTCATTCGGGCAGGTGGTCGTGTGCTCGCATGATGCGAAAGAAATGCTATTGCGACACGAAGTGCACAACGAGCGCGCTCTGAAGGATATGGACTTGCGGGCAGAGAAGATCAGAACGTTCAAGCACCTGAAGGTAGAACCGAGGAGGTTTCAAGACGGTACGGTCTACTACACAGGCTCAAGGGACCTCCTGGTCAGTGCCTTTACAATTCCCGAGCAGTCTTATTCAATAATATTGCTCTGGCTAAATGTGTGGCTGTGATGGCTCACCGACGTATGTACCCACAGAGAGCAGTTCCCTTGAACACACCCACCAAGGTCACACTCAGCGACGATGAACACATCGTTGTGACTTTATTCGATGCAAATCACTGCCCAGGCGCAGTCATGTACGTCAGAAGGCAGAACACGGCAGTCTAGCTACTCACGACCTCGGACTAGGTTCCTCATTCAAGGCGACAGAGGCACGATCCTGCACACCGGTGACTTCCGGGCGGAACCGTGGTTCCTGGAGTCGTTAACGAGGAATCCGCTCCTCCAGCCCTTTCTGGCACTGCCGGACGCAATGACGGGAGAAGCAACAACAAGAAGGAGGTCGAGCGTGGTCTGTCAGACGCTTGATGCGATCCATCTAGACACCGCATGTCTCCTAAGTACAATTAATGTGCCCGCGAAGGTGAGCAGACAAGACGAACATTCCTCACCATAGGACTAATACAGGGGCTTAGGCTGAAGCGACTGCGGGATTAGTCTCGCTAATGTCGCTGCTTCCATCGACGACACTGTTCTTCATCAATTCATGGACCTGGGGTTACGAAGACATTCTCAAAGCCGTCGCACGCGCGTTCGACAGTCAGGTCAGGTGAATCACACCTCATAATGACACCTCACTCACATGGATGTGTCCAGATTCACGTCGACCGCTACAAGCACAGCGTGTATACGAGTATCACCGGTGATGCTTTTCTGAAGCATATCATTACAGCGGATGCAGGCAGCACGCGGTTCCACGCCTGCGAACGCTTCAACCGGTGCGAACATGTCAGTGTCGACGGGAATGGCGGGCGCGCACCCACCGCTGCGGCTAATGCCGGGCCTAGCCTGAGCAGCGCCGGGAAGCACGTCGTATACGTCAACCCAGTCACGATGGGTACCGCGGGGTGGGAGCTGTATGTGAAGGACACCAGAGAGAAGATTCAGTCCGGCGAAGTTATCAACCACTTGGTAAAGTTCACCTTGACATTTTGTTGCAGACACGCCTTACTGACGCTCTGCTGCTTACAGCTCGTTCCGCTCTCACGACATTCCCCTCTTCCCGAGCTGCGAGCTTTTGTGTCCCTGTTCAAGCCCAAGGAGCTCATTCCCAACACCCTCGACCCGGCGCTCAAGGGCCTCGACTGGGCGTGCATGCCCGAGATGTTCTCCGGCTGCCTTTCCTCGGAAAGCTCTACGGCTTTCAGACCTGAAGCAGACTGTTATAGTGTCGATATGCGCGAGATGGCCCACGAGCTCTTCTCCGACGAAGATGCTGGGGCAGACGTCGCGCTCAAGAACCTGGAAGGCGACGGCGCGCGTGAACTTGCCGACCGGTGGGCGGATAGTGGAAAGTTTAGGCGGAAGCTCGCAGTGATGCATCAGTACCTCAGAGGGAAGGATCGCACGGTCGTGGAGCGGATCATGGAGGGAGGAAAGGATGCAGTTCTCGACTCCGAACCACCTTCATCGGACGCAGATTTTACCAAGCCGGTTGCCTCTGCGAACGAACAGCAACCTCTCAAACCGAAGCGGACCTTCGTAGGCCGCGCCACGGCTGAGGAGACAGCGCGAGCGATGGCGCGTTTGCGCTCGATGCCTCGTATCTTCACCGAGCCGGGCAGTGACGAAGACACCGAGGATGAGGACGCCGAAGAGCAGAGAGCAAGGACGGCTCACCAGTTGTTCGCTGCGCAAGCCGGCATCTACGATGATCCATTCGGGGCCTCTCTCCGAAGTTCATCGCCGCTCCTGTCCAGTCCGCGGGGTACGCCCAAGAAGCGAGTGAAGAACGAAGGCTCGCCTCATACTTCAATTGTTGCCCCCGCTGGACTTCTCGCGACACCCTCGTCAAAGGCCGGCTCGCAAGGTCATTCGTCGAGGACACCACGACGAACACGCCTTTCCCGACCTGATGGCCCCGTCCCTCCTGTCTTCCACAAGAAACATCCTCATACACCACCAAGCGGTCAACATAGCGTGTCCGCGAACACGATGGAACGACGATCCGTCGAACTAGCCACCCAGAGTCCTCGTAAGCGCAAGGAACCACCTTTGCCTACTTCCCTCACAGAGCCACGCACACCTTCCACATCTCACAACCGATATAAAGCACCAGTGACACCCACTTCTGCAGCTCGGCCCGTAAAGTCGCCTCGACACAGCCCCAATTCGCCCCTGACGAATAGACAAAACCTTACCGATCGCCCGCCTTGTTCATCTCCGACTCCTACAACCACAGTCAAACGACGTAAGCTAGAGACATCCGTCGACCACACAAGACTCGCAGCCTGCAGTTCGGTCAAGCCTAAATCGTACACAGCACTCACTATATCTCGGCAACCGACGAAGGACCCACTGCCTGCCCTCTTCCCTGCAGCACCGCAAGTCAAGACCAATGATGAATCGGAAGACGACTCCAGGCAATTCCGCAAGCTATCAGCGAAGAGTACGTTCATGTGTGAGCCTTCCGGCCAGGCGACATCTATCAACGACCCGCAAAAGGCAAAGAAGCTAGCATTGAGGCTTGAACGCGAAATCACAAAAGAGAAGCTCTTCCAGGCCCGGCCAGACCTTGCGACCAAAAGGTACATCGTCAAGCGTGAGCGCAGACTGTCTCGTGCACAACGTGAGCCGGGCGATGTGCGGCAAATACGTGGGCTACGGTCCGAAGCTACAGCGTGCACCGAAGAGGGCTTGAGCGTCCGTCGGTCTGCCAGCAAGTTGTACACGAGCACAACGCGAGTTTTGAACCAGCTACCATCGCAAGACCATGAAGCCGATGGCGCAGCTCAGATCAACAGAGAACGCAGCCGTTTACTAGCGGAACAGTTCAAGCAAGAGATCGCCAAGGGCAAGAGACCCGGCCTGGTCATTCCGCGAATGCAATGCCTTGAAAGTCAAGAGGAGACCTAGCCAACAGTGCACAAGGACGATTCTCCCAGTATTGTTATTCAATATGTATGCCTTAGTAGCGATCCTACTTACCGGCGCGACCGTAATGGTAGTACTTACGCATTCCTGTGGTAAGTTACTAAGTACTTATAGTGACCGTGACGTCACTCCATCCAGTCCGCTCGTGGCCGTGGGCCTATCCCGAATAGGAAAGAATTTACAACTCAAGTTCAACTTGGTGTAGTTCGACATGAACACAACTCTGCTTCATCCTACGAGGTCAATGGGCCTCAAAAATTGCCGATGTCTGCATCTATACGTCTTTCATGCCTCTCACCCGTTCGAGCACCCCCTAAACGGCCTCTGACACCTCGTAGAATAGTTCACAATCACTGCGATCATGATCAGGTTCAGGTTAGAAACTCACATTGGATACCGACGGGTGGTAGGAGAGCGATGTACGCTCACCAACCAAGTACACTACCGCTGGTGAAAGCCCGGGATGCGATGCTGCCAACACTCATCACTGCGGGTCCATGTTCAGGCTTCAACCATCCTCAGAGACACCTTCGGTATGGCTCGCAATAGCTGCCTTCTTCGGCCTGCCCGCTGCGTTGTGGGCTTACAAGGTTGGTACATCGGTGGACAACCGTCTACTATGCAATACGATAACGTTGCTCTTCCGCAGTGCTTAATGATGGTGGTCTTTCAGCGCAAGATCATCTATATGGGTGAGGCTCTTCCTATACGCCGGATTTATTCGAGATTTGTCTCGAGGGGAAGTCTTACATCGCACTTAGGATATGTACCACCTGGTGCAAGGACAGAAGAATTAGGCGTTGAGACACCTGTGCCTAAGGGACTGAAGTGCGAAGAAATACGCATCCAAAGCGACAAAGGAGTCACCCTGTATGGAATTGACGTCCAGAAGGACGTCGAGCAACCATCGCCCGACTCTCGGCGGATAGTTGTCATTTATCTACAAGGTGGGTTCTGCAGGTTTAGTCACAATTCACGCGATTGACGTATGCTCCCGTTATAACTAGGTAATGCCGGGAACCCATTATCCCGGCTTCCCGTCTTCGAGACACTGCTTCATGGTGTACGACAGCCTGACAGGGCGACAAGACAACCTCCTCTCGATATCTCCATCGTCGCCGTCGCACCTCGTTCCTACTGGAAGTCATCCTCCCGTACTCCGACACAGCGTGGCCTCCTCGCCGACTACACCGCCGCGCTCTCCTACGCCACCCACCGCTATCCCGACTCGACCGTGGTCCTGTACGGCCACTCACTAGGCGGTGCCATCGCCGTCTGTCTCGCTGCATCGCTAGACGCAGATGACTACCCACGTCCACGGATTCATTCTCGAAAACCATTCTCTTCCATAGGCGGCATGGTGCAGGCGCTGTACCCCCAACGATGGTTGCCGTATTGCTACTTGGCGCCGCTCGCGTTCGACAAATGGGACGCAGTAGCTTCCATCCGCGAGATGCGTCCACGGTCCCTTCTCGCACGAGTGTCGAGAGACGCGCTGGTCCTGCTCAGTGAGAAGGACGAGGTGGTGCCGACCTCGATGGGTATGGAGGTGTGCGAGGCCATGCAAGATAAACTGGTAGCAGAGAAAGGAGCTGCCTCCGCTGCGGACGGGTCGTGCCGACAAGTGATCATTCGCAACGCTCTACATGAACGTGCCTGGGTAGAACGACAGTGGTCTCGGAGATGGGAGCGTATCTCAATGGCATCTCGAAGCGTGACAAGGCATCCTGATATCGACTAATGCTACAAAAGTAAGTTGTTGTATCGAGAGTCCGGTGTAAGTAGAACAGAGTAGGTGGTGGTGTACATGGCGTAGGCGCCTTCAACAATATATGTGTGGATCAGGAGCAATGCAGATGCGCAAACGGAAGATGACAAGATCAGAGCGCCCCAGCCCACTGGATAAGAGCAGCCAAACGAGTATTTGTCTTGAGGTTCGGAAACGACGATAGGCAGCCATGGACCTGTTGGCAGAAGGATGTGTACTTCTCCCGCTTGTCTGAGTCTGCCGGCAAAGACTTGACGGACATTAATACGCATCCTCCATGTCAGTCGAATGATTCAGTCCTTACCTGATATATATTCTGCATAGTTGATAGCATCGTAAGCACAGATCCCACACATTTCTCCCGCATGGCGACAGTCTTCGGCTCCTGATCCTGGTTGGTTAGAAGATGATGCGATAGGTTCGCGACGACCTCTATCGTACCGTCAGCCAAGTTACATCACACACTAGAATAAAATCTTACTCTGTACAAAGGGCATCTGCTTGTTCACGAAGTCTTTCTTGTGATCTTGTAATCTGCCGAGTCTGCGTCCAGCGAGCACGGCATGTCGTCCAGGAGGGATGTCGTAGGCCATCGATCGAGCAGAGCAGAGACATGTACTCGTGCTCATGGTGATCTTTGTTGCACTAAACTCTGCATGAGAACGTCAAGAAATTGGAACTGGTACACCTGGACAATGTTCCGTGAGTATTGTACTGACGACATGGCCATGTCACTCGGACACTCACAAAGTATGCGGAAGGATCCAATCGGAGAACCATCAACATGAATCGCAGGCCGACACGACGACGCCAGGAATCGTCGCTGATCTTTTCCCAGGACTGCGGACCCAAAGTGAGATACCAAGACCAATCCTGGCGACAGGCTCAGTTCCTCTGACCACCGATGACCACCCATATACTCACCCTTTTGCCGTTTTGAACCAGCACGCTGGCACATCCGACCCAGCAATCCACCCACCTATCCGTCTCGTCGCTGTACTGTTCCAAGGACTCAGACTCATTGGGGCCGCTGAAGTGCCTCATCACGAGGCGATAGATCGTCTCGGCGATGTCTTGAACAATGATCTATCATACATGTGAGAGCACACCTCAAGTGGACCACGAAGGGATTTACCTCGCATACGGCTTCGTCATTCTGCTTTAACTCTTTTCCCTTCGCTGAGTTCTCGGGATCGAGTGCAGCGACAAGCTCTGGATCGTCCCAATTCATGTCTTCCACATCGAAGTACTCCTGACTTTCCTGACTATCCTCCGCCGTCTCAACGATGGTCGTACCCGCCGTGGTGGAGGAAGAGCGGCTGCTCTAGCATCGAGGAATGATTGCACGAGCTTCCGTATCTCCTCCCTGTTAGCACGTTGGCGCTGAGTTGCGTATCGAGGGAAAGATACGCTTAACCCACGCTACAAATGGAGGTCATCAGCTATGGACCACAGAGAGCGCGGGGAGGGGTGGGGAGGAGGAGTACACTTACGGCCTCTCAACCAGGCAGGATCCGGATACTCTGACACAGTTTGGCCCGGGTTCATGACAGGGGTCTCGATGATGCGACGCGCACATCCGAGCAGTAGTTGGACACCGTAGCTACTTGAATATCGCCGCGTGTTCGCACGTACTCGTCCACTAGGACGTTGGTCATATGAGCAAGCAAATCCATATGTCTAGCAGAGGCAGACGTAGATGTCGCAGGAGGATGGCGAGGTGCATGAGGCTCTGATGCATGCCCTACGTATTCGTGATCGGCGTCCTCGAAGATGACATATCGCCGTACGGCAGTAGGCAATGCTTGATGTTCCCCATGGATGGTTCGAGGTAGAAAGCAACGGCCACAGCGCTAAATCGATTGTACAACATGGATAGGTGTTGCGAAGTCGGTGGCTTGCCCTTGGTGAAAGGCACAGATCCGCGAGGGATGCAAAGGGATAGCAGCTTTTTCACCTTCGGTGATGGACCTACAGTACCATGATCTCCGTCGTTCCGCGGACGTGTATCACCCGCTGCCTTCACGACGAGCTTCAGTAGCAGGGTGTAGGCGGTATCACTGAGCTTGTTCTCGAATAGGAGGCTGATATCGCTGTGCCGAAGGAAACTCGGGAGTTCCGGAGTTTCGTCCGACAGGTTGGCAAAGTTGCGACTCTTGAATATTTCTAACAGCGATTGAACAGCACGGTGGCATCGTCTAGCGACCACTTCCACTTGTGGGTGAGGACCAGGCATCGGGCCACCAATATGCGTGTGTATTTGTTCATTTGGCGTAACATACCCATCGAAAGAGATTGATCCCGAACGGCGTCTGTAGTTAACTCGACGCGATCGAGCGCCAGAGTGACAAACTGCCACGATGCAGGTATGCGAGGTGACGAAAGGGATGTCCCATGCACGGAGAATTGCGAGAGAGAACACAGGTTGAAGATGCCATGCCACAGCTTCTCACTAGCGTCGACCTTTGTGGCAGCGTTGTCCAGGAGTCCTTCATTGGAAATGAGTTCTTGTAAGATGCCCCAAAGAGAACGAGACGATCGTTGGTGTCGAGATAGGCATCTCTAGCCGATACCCAAGTCTCAATGTAGTGGATCAAACATACCCACAGCTCGGCAATTCTTCTTGTGAAGGCTGGATCCACTCCATCCGGTAGGACGCTGCCGTCCACAAAAGGGATTAGCAGATTGTCGAAGCCCACGGCCCATAAGCGGGTCAGCAATCGTTTGCAATGAAGATTGACACTTGATCCTTCGACGTTTCCGTACTGTTTCACGCGATGGCATTCGAGTCGGGTCGTCGCTTCCAGTATGAACCATCGAATTTCCAACTCCAGAATACTCGGACGTTCGTCGTCTGGTAACACTTCCGTTGGTTCGTCAATAGTTTTGCACAGTTGATCGAGGTGCCTCTGCAGCGACACGTATAGCGCCACATAATCCTCTTCAGCAATGCAGCTCAAGAGCCAAGAGAGATGCTGCGCTGACGAGTGGAAGAGTAATTGCCATGATCGAGAGTCTTCTGCTATCGGTAGGTCTCTTTGAGAGAATGCGTCGCGCAGACGCTGACACGTCTTCTCCCAGACATTTTCGAGGTCCTGCACAGACATGGAAGGGCGGAGGTCGAGGTTGAGATAGGAAAATGGGGTCGGACGATGCACATCGCGCTCGGTAGTAATGAGTCCTCCAATTCGTAGAGACATCCTCGTTGGAGGTAGCAATCGGTTCCGAAGCTTCGACCAGCACCCAGATACGGTACGGCGCAGTCGAGCGTGATACGACGCGAAGGTAGTTATGCTTGCTACCCGCCTCGACAGGGACTCGTGCATGCAATTGGTCTGCGTCATCACTCCAGTAGTCTTGTAGAGTACGCTCCTTGGCCGCCGCGGCTTTCGTCCCTCGAGACTTCGGTTTGGATGCAGCAGCCGAACCGTGATTCGGCGAACGGGAGAGGCGGTATTGGTTGCGACTTGCTCCGCATCAATCGTCACGGGTGTCTTGTGTGCTCTCCCGGAGACAATCTGCCCGCCTTCGCCAGCAAACGCGAATGAGGTACCCTGGTCACGCGGCTCCTTGCCTTTGCGCTTCGCTTTTGCCTTGGAACGGCCGTCACCGGTCTGAATATGTTGCCTGACTAGTTCACAAAGCAGGTAAGGGTCGAAAATATCAGGAACATCACCAGAACTCACCGGGAACATCTTCAAACGGAGAGGCGCTTCGTGATCTTGAAGCACGCTCGAAAGAGAGAACCGTCTGACGACCTGAAGCATGCCTAGCTCCGGCCGTGACGACATGTAGCGTATTCGAGGAAATCTTTGCACCGCCGCGCGAACGACTTTTCCTCGTGCGGTTCTTCTTGTCATCGGAAAACCTCGTGCGTGTCAGCATGCGATCGATGGGGTCCTGCTCCCAAACTGCTCCACCCGTAGGCCCGTTCCGACGAGATGACTGCTCGGGAACCCCAAGATCTCCCTCAGCGGAAGCATACTGTCGAACCTCCCGTCCTGCACGTCGCTTGCTTTGACGGGGCCTGTCCATGTCTGACTCCGAGGTGGCATCTGGCGAGCCGACATCAGATTCAGCGTCCACTATCTCGACATCCGAGCTCTCCGAGTCTCCACGAATGTCGATAATTGCCCGTTCAGATACAGTCCGTCTGATGACCCTTGACTGACCAGGTCTTAACGGCTGTTCTTCCTCTCTATCCTCACTGTTACCGCGGATCGGCGGCGTAGCAGGGCGTCGCGGCCTGGATTCCTGTACGTTACGGAAGTGTTGATCTATCATGACTCGCGGCCACATATGACTCAAAGCTGTGCGGTCTTCGGACCGCATCTCGTTGACGAATGAATCATTGGTGCCAGAGTCACCGTCAAGATCGTCGACGGAGCGAGTAGGAGATGAGTGATGACCGTCAGAAACTATCATGACATCGGAGTCGGACGCTTCGGATGGTCGTGTGCTGTGAGGTGGTGACATGTCCACGACCACAGGCGTCGATGAGGGTGGAGGCATGGGGCTGCCAGCATGGTGGGGGAAGTCGTTATCGAGGTCAAGAGGATGCCATTGCATGTCCTGAAAGCTGGCATCGCCTGGGAAGGGGGAACTCGGGGGCGTCTGCAAGGGAAGCGACGCTGAGCTCTTCCGCCGTCGCCACGTCGGCGCGGGTTCGTCGATGTGTTCATCAGAGCTATCGTTGGGGGTGATCTTAGCGACCGGCTCCGCGTGTTCGTCTGACCTAGACTAACATTTTCTCTTGTCAGCTAGGATCGAATTGCGATGAGACATATCTACCTCAGTAGCAGCTCGCTCTGGAGTATCCGATTTGCGTGATATGTGCTTCCTCCTCATAGGGAATGGTCTTGCGCGCCTTCGACGAGGATTTGTTTCCTGTTTATCTGCAACATCATCGACGGCGCTGTCGTCGCTGCTAAACGTCTCGTTAAATGCGCTTGGCTGCCACCTTGTTCGCTGCGGCGGGTCCTTGGAATTATCCAATCTTGGTGATTGTTGCGCAGGCCCCGCGGCAGTCATTTGATTGCTTGGGCTCCTCCTATGCCGCGGTCGCCGCCTAGACGACCTTTCTTCCTCTCCTTCATCCGCATCAAATACCGACGCTACCTCACGACTCATACTTCGTGTTCTGCCCTCCCTTTGTCTCTGACTTTCGTCCTCCGCGTCCTGATCGTCCTCCTGCCCTGAATAGTCACCATCACTACCCTCGTCTCCTGAGCGCGCCGCGCTCCTACTGCGATGCCTGCTGCGGCGGCGAGGACTAATCACCTTGACGATGGCGTCTGGGTTTGAGCGCATCTGCTGCTTGTACAGGGCCTTGTCGTATGCGTAGGGGTTCTTCTGACGGGCAAGACGCGTGCGCAGCGAATAGCGCGCCTGCGCTTGTTCAGCAGCGATGTTCGCCAATTGCTCTTCTGGGATTTCGCCCACCGGTAGATGTACGGTCGAAGGACCCGCGACAGGAGATGAGGGTTTTGGGGAGAGACTCGCGCTCCTGGGTCTTGTTGGCGAGTGAATTGGCGTGAGCGGGGAGGAGTGTCGCGACGACTGAGATACTCTAGAAGACGCTGATGGAGAAGCGCAAGGTTGTACAGCGCGTCGGGGCGGTGTCCGAGGGAAACTTGGTGGGGGACTGAAGAGGGAGAGTGGGTCCGCTGAAGGGGATAGTGTCGGAGAAGGTGCATCAGGAATTAGTGGAAGAGAATCCTTGATGGAACGACCGGGGGAGAGACCGATTGAGTCTACAGCAAATGACGCGACGTGCGCATCAACTGCTCCCTCCTGCATGTCAATATGGTCTGTGTCGTATCCAGCAGCGATCAACGGGTCTTCATCGTCGGAATCAATGGCGGGTGTAGGAAGCAGCGAACTGGATGCGGGTGAAGAACTCTGCATGTGTTGGGGTGTGTGTCTGTCCCTGGGAGTAGGGGATGTAGCCGAGTTGCTCTGCGAGCGAGTCGGCGCAGCATTGATATTCGGCGGAGAGTACGGTCGCGATTGAGGTGAAGGTGAAGGTGAGGAATCGTATTCAGCGCATAAGCCCAGTGCGTGAGACAGCTGGAGAAGCGGGTCAATCGAGTCTGGGCATAGTCAAAGAGCTTCTCACCTTTCGACGCTTCCATGGCGAGCCAGGAACTCGTTGGATGCGAAAACAGCCCACACCCTCTGCACCCACACCGGGACCTCCACGCACATCTCCAAGAGCAACCATATCGGCATCTACGGTATGAGCGCGCAAGCGCAGCTGCTCGCGTCCTCTCCAGTAGGAAGGAGAACCGGCCTTGAACTCTTCCAACTCTTCAGGATCAGACGTTGGTACCGGTTCATCGTTGTCCATCTGCCATGGGCGTCGCCTGGGAGCGTTTGTCGATGACCAGACTGACAGAAACCTTCGTCCAGATAGAAAGTGCCAGAAAAGCCTCGAGATGCAGCGGCTCGCCGTTCGTCTGTGGTTTGTCTGGAATTTCGCAAGATGATAGCCGTCGACGGTCAGACCGGTCACAGTCGACTAGTAACTGGCATCCATGACCACGCGTTACCTTTATAATCACGTGTGCGTGACCGACCGCGTTGAGTCACGCTAGTAGTAGTTCCCGCTAAGTAAGTTATGAGATGTGTATATGAGTGTATTGATCAGCACAGCAGGTAGGATGCTTTGTCTTTGTACTCGGTATGATCAATGACGCTCGGTGTAAGCGATGGTTTGATTCGTACTACAGTTCGTCGTGCCATGACAGTCGTGGTTACATTTTACGGGAATAGCAACATCAGTTCGTTCAGTAGGCTAATTGCATCAGCCCGGAAAGTATCTGCAGTGATTTCGACCTCAGGTGCAGGATCGACGAAGGTCAACAACGGCGGTGCAGATGCATCGGAGCCCCATTGGTCCCAAGTGATGTCCGATAGCTTGCTGAGACCAGACTCAAGATCTGCCGGAGCATTGGGATTGAGATTCGTAGTGAAGAAGACTAAATGGTTGATGGTTGATAAACAAGTTGAATCAGCGTTAGCCAATGTTATTTAATGGATAAGAAACGTACTGAGCGCATCTGGTGCAATGTAATCGATAGAGGTAAAGAACTCCAGGAGATCGGTTGCATGCGCCGCTCCCAAGTAAGGCACCGTCACGCTGCCACGCTTGTAAACTAGAAAGACACAGGATGAGCATCCGAGAGCGTCAGTCAGAGGGGACGGTGACTGAACGATATGCCCATGCATCCTGGGTCTGCGATACTGTCTCCAAGAAGTAACGACGAGGTGCTTGCCATAACCAGTCGCCTTGGAAAGACGCAAGGCGCTTGAACTCCGGCCTATCTAGAAGTCAGTACGTGTTCACGGAACACAACGAGAACGTCGCACGTTAGTGCCCACAGCAAGCCGGTGTCATATGGCGCGCCCTGCATTCGGTGAGGGTTTCATCAAAGTTAAGGGGCGGGGCACGTACCTCGGAAATGTCGGAGGGGTATGCCTCTCCCAAATCTTCGATTTGTGAATCAGAAGCAATAGGGATGTAGCTAGAGTAGACGGTCAGAATCAATGCTGTCCAGATCCATGTCACATACTTAGACTGTACATATTCGAGGAACTCCTCATCCGTTCTACAGCTTCCTCGTCAGAACAGCACAAGCATCGGTGAGATGGCATACGTGATGTTAGTGTTGGCAAAAGAGAAGAGAGTTCCCTCGTCATAGCAGTCTCCGATGATGACCGGTACCTATGGTATGTAACATCCGTCACCGACTCCTTGACTAAAGCGCAATAACTCAGACTGGCCTACCTTAGCATACAACCCCTGCTGTATGTACTTCATCCCGCCGCGTAGAATGTATTGCCCGTCGATTCGCGGTTCCCAAGCCAGCGTCAGACTCTGGTAGCTGAAGAAGCTGGGGCTCAACGCGATCGCGGCTTGTAGTACCACATAATCTACGGCGCGAAGGCAGGCTAAAGTGTCGGCCTCTCCGGAGCAGCCCACATTTTCCACCAGTTGATCATAGTATTGTTGCCCTTCCGCGACAGTTCCCAAGGAGATCGGAGGTCCTGATTCCTAGAATGGGCATCAATGACTGCGAGGTAGCCAGCGAATGTGAGGGTAGTCTATACCATGACCCCGGCGCGGAACAGACCGCCCGTATCGCCGTCATTCCAAACCAGGTGAGCAGCGACAGAGTATGCGCCAGCACTTTCTCCCCAGCTGTGTGATGACGTCCAATGAGCTCAAGTGACGGCCGCGCCAAAAGCCAAAGTCTCAGAAGACCGCACCCACATTGTTACCTTCTCAGGGTCGCCTCCGAACTGCGAAATGTACTTGTTGACCCATTGTAACGCGAGCCGCTCTAGAAATCAGGCGATTGCGTGAGATTGAGTCCGATAGTCTACAGATCAGCTCCAGTACTCACGATCGCGAAGCCCGAGGTTAGTTGCGTTCGCATCCAGGACTTCTTGGCTGGCCAGGAATCCAAATGCTTTTACGTAGTCAGACATGAGAGCGCATCCGAGTCGGCATGTACTACATACCATTTACGCGGTAATTCGGGGCCACGAAGATGATCGGTTGACCAAGTGCGATGGATCTTTCCACGTACAGTGATCCATCGTACGTTGATGCGTCTCCAATCTCAAATGCGCCTGCGACAAATTTGATTCAGTACAGGTTGCATATCGCAAGAGCTCATAAGCCAGACCTCCGAAGATCCACTGCGGGCACTGAGTATCAATAGCCGTGAGAGACATGGCGCGAAATACTCACAAATAGCACAGGAAGGTTATCCCCGGCTGATGCAGTTGCTGGCTTGATAACGTTGAGGTTCAAGCCTGCAGAGAACGATGGTTAGTACTTTATGATCGCTCGGATAGTCGCAAGGAACCGACAGTCTTCGGAAACTAAACCTCCAGACGTAGTGATCGTCACGTTCTTCGGCAAGAGTTCGGGAAGCACAATGTCCTGCTGCGGGCACGCTGCTCCGTAGGTCGTAGCATCTGCAACCCCGGTGAATGGCTCAGGTTCCTGGGGAGCCGCGAAGCGTAGATTTCCCACTCTGCGTAGACCAGACAGTTAGTACGGGAGCAGGCTGAGGACGAGAGATGGCTTACGGAGGCTGGGCGTAATTCATCCCAAGGAAGGAGGTCACACTACCCGAAGTGACACCTTGGTACGTTCCATAATCCAGAGCTGCTGTGGGCGAGGGTTCCACGTCTCGAGACGCGAAGGGCACACTGAGGGCCGGAGTGATGCCCAAGGCCAGCAGTTGCAGAAGTTGACAGAAGGACCGCATCGTCTGAGAGGTACAGATGCTACTGAGGCACCACTGCTACAGACGAGTCTCGCATGGCTTTTATAACATCGGAAGCATGGACAAAAATGCTCTCACGTACATGTGGAGGTTTTGGAAAATCCCGTTGACCACGAAGCACCGTAGCGGTGACTTGAGCCGTATCAGTCCCGATGAAGCTGGCAGTGTACGGTCGTGCTGGATGTCAGCAGGAAGGTCTGTGATAAATCGGACGGGAGGTGAGTCTTGGTTGATCTCCGGAGTTTTGCCTCCGTATGACGATGCTACCAGAACTGCACCTTGAAAAATCATATGGCCCTACTCCATACCTCAGCTGACGATATTTCTTGAAGTGTACGGTCCATGGCAACGCAGTAACGCACAACCCAAGACATCCTAGTGGGATCATGAGATCAGTCCGTCGCATGCAGCAACCACTGCTGATCTGCTCTCGCCAGCGACCTCACACTTCCTTAGGCGTGCAACGTCAGAGGACCTATGAGCTGGGAATCACACCCCTGGACACCTGGGCTGGCAATGCGCTGGTAAATCGCCCAGATAGATCCCGACGCTCTGTGTACTCAGTTAAAAATAGCCCGGTTCGACTATCTCGGCGAGTCCAGAGGAAGACTTTAGGTGAGGAATAAACGTACCGCGGCCCGAATTGCAGGTGTTTCCTCCTTGCTGCTTCGATTGCTTGCTTCAGAATTCGCTGCGCAGTTTCGAAGGCCGATCGCCGCATTGACATCAGCACTGCATGCAAATGAGTAGCGTAATGTGAGAGTAAGCCCATTGAGTTGACATACTCACCATGCGCAAGCTGGTCATGAGGTACAGCGTCCGCTCGATGGGACCCAATTAGGGACGGGTTCCTGAGTTCCTCGGGCAGACAGACAGACAACCCTTGATCCTACCTTCCAGTGAGCGCACCGAGTTCGAGGCAGTGCACCGTCGGACATCAACTGTGAACGTTTGAACCCTCGTCATAAGCCTAGCAATTTTCAAGGGTTGTGAAACCTACATAAGTAGTAATGGTCATCATGCGCATGAATCAGCATCTCTGGAGTATACCCAAGGTAACCCTGTCACGATTCATGTTGGGGCCCGGGGAGCCTGAGCAGACTATGTCAAGGATGCAAGTCGTTGACCCAACTTGAGCTTGAAGCCTCTTCAAGCGTAGGTTACTGTACATCAGATCGACATGTTTCCTTTACTGCAGTGACATATTCGGCGCCCAATACTCATGAAGCTGATCGCATCCCTACATGAGTCTAGCACTCGCGACTGCCGGAGGTGCGGCAACGTTGATTAATTGATTGTGGGTCGACGTGAAGCACTGAGCAGTGAAGTTATACTAGGTATCGCACAATGCACATGCCACTTCAAGCGATAGCGTCTGCGATGCATTGGTGTATTTCGGCAGCAGCCTGGATTGCAGTGATCTGAGAAGGACAGCCCGCGGCGACTGTGCGTTGTGTTGAACAAGGGTCAGAACGTTGGGCGAACGTGAACGTTTGCACGGTGATTTTGACGCGGGCGCCTCAGGGCGGAAGCTGATTGCCGTATATGGACGCCTCAATCATTCGTCCGTGTATAGCAAGCCTCCTTGTTCTTCTTCGCCTTGTGTAGCCATGCTTCGAGGTCTCGAGACGCATAATACAACGTATCCCATACTCAGAATCAAGTATGAGTACTCTGGAGGCATGCACTATGTTCGCAACCCCTCCCCTCCGCGTATCCTTCCCATTTGCTCAGTTGCCCACTCTTCAGCTTCAAGCGCACAATTGAGGCTGTAGAGTCGTGGCCGTGTCAGTGTACTGCCTGCATCGGCCCTGTTGCGCAGAGAACTTGTCTGGCAATCTCTCATTAAACGCTGTGGATCAATAGTTCAGGGCACGACAATGGCCGACTCTAACCCCTGGGCGGCGCAAGAGGATGCTGCTATTGCATTCTCATTCATAGGGTTCGTTCTGGTCAACGTCCCATTGTATTGGCATCTACGTGGTACGTTTAAGTCGAAATTCACCGTCGCGACTACACTCATGCTCCGCAGCGTGGAACATGGGCTGCGTTCAGTACATATTCTGGGTCGGTAGCCAATGTCTCCTTCAATTCATCGGCAACATCGTCTGGAAAGACAACACTATCAATTGGGCTCCAGTATGGTGCGATATCGGTGAGTAACTCGGCCGTTTGCTGTAAGTTGTATCTCACACTTCTTCATGTAGCGACGAGATGGGCGCTGGCGTCCAGCATCGCTATCTGCTCTTCGTCTCTCGTGATCATGCGTCGTCTGTACCATATTGCAAACATTACTACGGTCCATGTCACCCGTGAAGATAAACGCCGCATGATCATAGAAGACACCGCCATCGGTTCCGGTTTCCCGATACTCCAGGTCTTGCTCTGTATGTCGGATTCGTTGTTGTTGACCAGCGTGTCTCGTTGACGTTGACCTCCCATAGACTGGTTCATCCAGGGGCACCGGTTTGACATCTACGAGGGCATAGGGTGCTGGCCAGCCATCCCGAACACCATCCTTTCGTGGTTCATCTTCGATCTGTGGCCCGTCTTCTTCGGCACGATGTCTGCTCTGTACTGCAGTGCGTCTACATGTGCTTCATGATCTCTGACGAACACTCACATTGCTTTATAATAGCACTGACGATCAGAGCGCTTCTCAAGCGGCGTGAACAACTCAGCCAGATCATGGCTGCGAACAGCGGCCTGCACTTCAACCGATACTTCCGCCTCATGGGCCTCGCCGCAGTCAACATGATCTTCACCCTCCCGCTCGGCATCTACACTATGGTCGTTAATGCGTCGACGCCTATCTACGTGTGGCGAGGGCTCGCAGATTTGCACTACGACTTCTCCGCCGTTGGCCAGTACCCTGCCATCGTGTGGCGCTCGAGCCCGCTCGCCGCTCGCTCTCTCGAGTTCAGCGAGTGGTCCTTCATTGGCTGCGCCCTCCTCTTCTTCGCGTTCTTCGGCTTCGGTGACGAGGCGCGCAAGAACTACAGGAAGGCCTATGAGGTCGTGGCTAAACACCTCGGACTTCGTCGTGAACTATGGCAACGCCTCCCAGGTGGATGGCGAACGAGGCGAGTAGTATTCCACATGTGTTCGAGCGGTAGACTTACCTCGACTGGATGATGCCTAGGTCTAAGCAGGCAAGCCCACAACCTATCAACGTTGTCCTTCCTACGATCGCGCCGCGCCCGAAGCGAGACACCACCTACACCACGTCCGGGAAGATATCCATCTCAATCTCCCTCACAGACGTCGGGCCCGACGGAAATGTCGTCGACAAGCCCTACCACCGCCTTCCATGCGTTCCTCCGGCTCCCACTACTCGACCGACTCCGACACCTGTGTCCCCTGGACAGGAACGAGAAGAAGGAGAGACAAGAGACACCCCTGCCTCCTCTCCCGCTCGACGACCCTGATTTGTTCTTGACATCCGTGGCATGACGTCCCCCGCCCGGCGCCGGACGTCCCGTCGTCCGTGAGGCACTCGATGGATATTGTCTAATACGCTCCCTATACACCTCCTGCCTTGACATCCGTTCATTTATTGCCTCGTCACTACTTCAGGCTCGGCACAATGCAGTAAGCTTGGCCAGCAAGTGTATTAATCGACCTCCCCTGTATCGTTAGACACGTTACCAGTCCCTGCCACTCGTTAGAACATTGTCGCATAGAGTATCTCGTCGTTCCTTGATTGTCTCCGTTGTATCATAGAAAGCTCGCGCATAAGCCGAGTATCAATCACTCCCAATGATGCGATACAATCCCGTTATCCACAGGCTTTCGGTCACTGAGTCACTTCGATTGCAAGGAGTATAACTGTGTTGGGGATACGTGTTTACATGCGACGATGATGATGTTACAACTAATTGTACACTTGGCAGGGATACACGTTCTGCAAGGGCGCTGTGTGTTGACGTCACCGCCAGCGTTCAAACATAGCACAAAACGCGGTAATCCTGGGAGAGAACCTCATCAGTTATCGCGCCCCTCTCGGAAGCACACAGGCACGACTCACGGCCTGCGTAATCTCCGTGTTCGAGGCCGGCACAAGCGCAGCTTTATCCACACCGTCAGCTTCCCGAATTCATCGCTCCATCGCAGAGACAATACGTACCGTCGAGCTTCTCGCTGACCTTGCCTGGGATGATGTTGTCGCCGTGGTGCACCCTCGCGACGAAGAGCGGCGTGCCATCCTTCTCGCGACCGCCCTCGACGGGCCGCGCACCGAGGCTCTGCAAGCTCAGACGGCCGTGCGCGTCGACCCAGCGAGGGCACGCGGATCGCCCACGAGGACTTCGTACTTCGGGAGCTGCCGGCGAGAGTCTGGTCAGGAGGGGGTCGAGCAAAGACGCTTAAGAACGGAGAGTGAGACGCACCGAGACTTCCTTGAAGCCATATCCGACGACGGCGCCCTTGGGAAAGGCGGGCGATACCTTACCGATTTCTGAAAGGGGTGAACAGTATGTCAGTGAGGCTCATGTAAGAGCAGATGCCGACACGTACGGATACCGCCCTGGTAGATCGATCAGTATGTCGAACCTCAGTGACGTCTCAAACCAGGTGCGGACATACCTCATAGAAGCCACGGCAGACGAACAGTGTTTCGCCGTTCTGCTGACCGGCGGGCAGCGCACCCTTGGGGACTTGGCCGCCCTCAGACAGTATCCACGTGGCGGGTCCGGAAGGGCCACGTTCGTGGAATTGCCGCGTGCGAGCTTCAGCTTCCTGGAGCCAGTTCTGCAGGCCCCAGACCATCGCCTTTTTCTGCACAACAGTTAGACTGTCGAGCAGCAGCATGACAGATGGAGTGCCAACCTCGTCCTCGTTCTTGTTGTGCTCGTGGTACGCATAGTAACCAGCACCGATCGCAGCCAGACCAGCTACGAGGCCACCGCCGATCTACGCCGTGAACAAGCTGTCAGCAACGAGATCGGAACAGTGAGTACGGTTCATTGTACTTCGAGCTGCTTCTTGCGGTGGTCGTCAATATCGTACCAGTTCTGCTTGCGCTCCTCATGATGAATCTCGACTTGCTGGTCTGGTGCTGATCCCAGCGCTTCTCGTCACCACCATAGCCACCTTGTTCGACACGTCAAGAGAACCTTGTTTTCCCGACATTCGGACGAGCATACCTTGCGGTGGGGGCGGGGACTGATACTGCTGCGGCTGGGGCGGGGCTTGGTACTGTTGCGGCTGAGGCGGCTGGATGTAACCGGGGTTGTAGCCACCCTGCTGCTGTTGCTGGTAGCCTCCGACAGGCTCCTCCACGCGACCCCAGAGAGCGGGCGTTGCGGGAGGCTCCCAACCAGGCTACGGATGAACATAGATTACCTCGCGCAGCTTTATTGAAGAGTACTCGGACATACCTCTGAGGTGTGCGGCTGGATGATCTTATACGTGACCCCTGTTGACGATGGCCTCAAGAGTCAGCCCCCTGTATTCCTGGCCGCTGCAGGCCATGATCAAAGGATCGGATGCCTACCTTGGTACACAACGACGGTACCCGCGCCGTACGGAGTTGCTGGTTCCCATTCGTACACCTGAGTCATGCTGGCTATGATCGCGCGGTAGGTTGCAAAGACACTTGTCGTGGGGTGCTCAGACGGTGCTCTGGGGTAACCCGGGGAAAGCGATGGGTTTATATAGATGAAGGCGACTGTCCGGCTGGACGATGCCGTAGCAGCGCCTCGCCAAATTGAAAGAAGAGGACAGCCTGAGCACCAGAGGTCATCGCCCTGCACGTGCATGAGCCGAGGGCGTCCTTGCTGCGAACACGATGTACCGATGCATCCGACAACGCATTCACGCCACTGATCACCGCGATCAGCGAGAGATGTAAGGGATGCAAGAATCATACATAGAAGCATATGATGTGCAACGGTTGCGGATACTAGGCCGAGTTCCTTCTGAACCGTCGGGTGCCTAGCATGCGTAGAGCTCTTCAGAGCTTCTAGAGAGACTAGAGTCTCGCTAGATGGTGAAGAGCCGAGGTGATGATAATACTGCAGAGTGGAATTCAGTGCAGGCTGATACGATCACAGCTAGTTGCAGAACATTAGGCGCAGACGAACGCGCGACACATATGATGACAAATAGGCGCTACGCCACCCGACGACGTCGTCTTACGCACTGCGCCGCTCTTCCGCACCACAAATGTTCTCGTTCCATTCTTTGCAGTAGAGTACAGTACCCGTACGACTCATACTATCGCAACGCGGTCACGTTTATGAGCCTTCCTAATATGTACAATCTGCTAACGTCAGCGTCGACACAGTACTACTACCAGTACTAGCTTCGTCTCAGGCTACATACCTCTTACCGCCGCACTTGCTACCATGGTCCGTCACAACGGAAATCGTCGGCATATCTCGCCGGAAGTCAAGCGACAAATGGTACACATGCTGGCATACTTGTCTCCTCGGAAAGTGGCTCGCTATCACGGTGTAGGGGTCAGAACTGTCCAACGTGTATACGCTCTATGGGCTTCCACTGGTCATGTTGTTCGTCGGCGGATGCAAGACGGACGGCCTCGAGTCCTGAGTGGGATTGATGCAGCAGTCAGTATAGTGTCTGAGCATCCTCCTGCGACAAAATTGATATAATATATTCTGTTAGTACCTCGAAAGCTGTGTCGCGCGGACGCCTGATATCTACCTTGACGAACTACAAGAGATGCTACTGGAGGGCCGTCACAAGGAAGTCTCACTATCTACCATCTCCCGGACACTGTACCGCAGAGGCTGGAGACGCAAGCAAGTGCGAGAACCAACATTTCTACAATGTTCTGACTAATGTCACCATTTGCCAGATTGCTCGACCAGCGATCGAGCGTGACGAGCAAGCACGTAACGAATATCGCTTAGAGATTGGGCTCGAGTATGGCGGGGGACAGGACATGCTAGTTTTCTTGGACGAGTCTGGAGTTGATCGACGATCGACACGGCGCAGGTACGGATGGGCTCCCGTGGGTCGACGCGCTCGCAAGCATGACTTCTTCGTGCGCGGGATCAGGTACATATAGGGTCATACTGTTCAGACTCGATTACTAACTTACTACAAACAGGTATTCTGTACTTCCCGCCCTCTCCGTTGATGGTGTCTTGCACCTCCATGTGCAGGACCATTCCTATGATGCGGATGATTTCAACAGGTTTGTCGAGGGTCTGCTTGACCAGATGAACCCATACCCTGGCCGGAATTCTGTCCTTGTCATGGACAACCATAGTATTCATAAGTCGGAGGAGCTCCGCACCATGGTTGAAGCAAAGTATGTCCCGATCTTCGTCAATTTTACTGGGCTACTGTCTGATCAAAATCTGTACTAGGGGGTGTCGGCTTGTGTTCCTTCCGACGTACTCGCCTGATCTCAACCCAATCGAGGAAATGTTCTCCCACTTTAAGGCCTGGTTGCGTCGGAACCGCGACTACGCTCGCGGAGAACTCTCGCAGCATAGTGCCTGCGATCCATATTGCATGCTCTGGGAGGGAGTCTTCTCTACGACACCAACCATGGCCAAAGGATGGTTTTACAACTCAGGATATGGAGTCTATTAGGTGTAGTCTAGGGCTCGGTGCGTCTACAGGTCACAATTCAGGTCTACAGTCTATCTACAATATCAATACATAATTTACATCTTCGACGGCAAAGCTCAATTTTCGTTCTCTTTGTTATCAGCTCGACCCTTACCCTTCCGTGCACGACGAGCGAGTGTCTGCGCACAATCAAGCATCGGGCGGACAGCACCTGGCGGCATCCCCGCTTGGTCCGTGAACAGTGACGCATCATACCCCTCGAGATCGACAACGTAGTGGAAGCCAAGCTCGGAAAGGCGCCGCCCATACTGGGGATAGTTGTGTGCGAGTCTCGTCTGGTTGAGCTCTTCCAGGAGTGTTGTCACGGTTGGGAAGGTAATCGAGCTATCATCCGAGGGATTGTTGCCTGTGTGCTGATCGAGCAACACTGCAGCCTCAGACGTGCTCGACTCGGCCTGGAGCGCTCGGCACTTCCTCGCGTCGCCGAGTGCGCGTCGCTTTGAAGACACCGCATCGTACTTTCGACCCTCCGGTGGCGTATTCAACGACGCCTTGCCAGCAGCCTGTACAGACCTCAGCAACTGAACTCCGAATAAGCAGGGAACTCACAATTTCGTGTGCCCACCAAGTGATCCCCGCGATGTCAATGTCCTCATGCTCCAGTGAGTGCGGATTGATGTGGCACCAGCGGTTCGCCTTATCGTTGTTCGGGCAGTGCGCATCATGGCATTGAAGGTGGTCCTGGAGCTGCCGCATGGCAATGAGATGCTCCGAGGCGTCGGACTCACTGTCGTCAGACGAGTCGGAGGTATCCCGCCTGCGTTTCTTCGACTTCTTGCCTTTCCGACCCTTCTTCCCCTTCCTTCCCTTGTGTTTCTTTGTCTTGTCTACCTTCGCCTGCTCTCGGTTGCGACGCTCAGCCGTCTAGGATGCAGGTGCGTCAGTATAGGAAGCCGAAGGCAGATGTAGTCACGAACCAGGTTGTAAATGACTAAATCCTTCTTCTTCCGTGCTCTTGAGTTCGCACCGACATACTCGCCAAAGGCTTGAAGCAAGTTGTAGGGACTGGCGAGGACCTTGAAGTCATCAGACGGCTTCGCACCGTCTATCTTGTATGCGAGGTCTACGGCTGTGTGATCGACCCCCATGCGCGTCGTGATGCGCTCGATGAAGTCGCCCCAGGTATCATCCGTATCCATCGTGATGATGTCACGAAGGTACGGTGGGCTACTAGCCATCGTGTCCAGAGGCACCGAGATTCGGACTGATTGTGCTACAATAGCTCATCAGTCAAGCAGTACCGCGGCAGACGAGAGATGTAAACGCACCAGGCGGTCGATGTGGCCCAACATCGGGTGAGACCTCCTCCTCTCGTCCTTCCGCTCGCCTCGCTCGCTCAGCTTGTACCTCCGCAATGTCAGCCGGTGGTGGGCCCGCGTTCAGCCACCAGGCTGCACGCGGGTAGTACCCCTGCCAGCCAGGCTGCCATGTCATTAGATGTGTGATGCACATGGCATAGATAGTGGAAGACGTACCACTTGGGTCGGCGGGGGAGGGATGGAAGCCTGAGGGTCGTCCATTAGCTCGGCAAGAGCATCAGGCGGGATGTCTTCGGGCTCAAAGAGCCATGACTCGTCGCCGAAAGGGTTATAGGGCTGCAAGTTGCCCTGGTCGGGCTGGTCATTCGAGCTCGAGGACTGTGAGGGCATGACGAACCTTTGTAAAGCCCCTCTTGTCGAGTCTATATACTGCTCACTGTTGGAGCCGTCGCATTAGCGATCATTTCAGTGACGTGGTGTGGCCAAGGGTACATACGCGTTGTCTGCGACCAGTGGCTCGCGTTGCTACCTTCGCTCACGGGATCGCGTTTAGCGACTCGCAAGAATTACTTCCGCGACGGCTGCTGCAAAGAACGGTGAGCGAGAACATCATGGTGCAGGTGGTGCAGAAGAGCGGCGCAGTGCGTAAGACGACGTCGTCGGGTGGCGTAGCGCCTATTTGTCATCATATGTGTCGCGCGTTCGTCTGCGCCTAATGTTCTGCAACTAGCTGCAACTGCGAGCTGTATACGTCAGTACATGAGGCCGTGCATTGTTTCTTCGCCGCAGTTGGGGTGGGGCGCGATCTGCGCACCGTTTGAGTCGCCGACGACTCTTCTTTCTATGTGCTCAAGAGCATATCCACCAGTCTGGTGTGGAAAGCACCTCGCAAGACGTAACCAGCCATGGACGTTCGACCGTTGGGTCAGTGTCAATGGAGACTTACAGTGGTCGTAGTATGGTGCCGCCACCCCGGCGCCCTAGGTATTCCTCGCGGTGACGGCCGGTCGTGCTGCCATCATACATACGTCTTCATGAACATCCAAGCTGATGTACGATATACATGACGGTCACACGTTCAGTACTGCCACTGCTAGCTTGAGCCGAGCTTGAGGATTCGAGGAGACAAACGGCGACAGCGTCCACGCCTCAGGCTGGCGCTCACCGTGGTCCGTGAGCACTCCGTCGGCATCTGCCGACTGCGAAAACCCCCGATGTCGATCGGACGGTGTGGCAACTGTTACTCAGGCTGCTGAGAGTTGTGCTGAGGCCTCCTGACTCTGAGTCTTAGGTTCGACAGAAATCCCTAGCGCGGTAAGGAAGGTTTTGGTATGAGACTTAGTCACCTAACTCTGAGGCCGGATATAGGTAAGGACATGCATCTCCGCGCCCAAAGGTGCGATATCATATTGTTCTTGCGCAACTTCAGGTGACCTTCAAGTTCTTGAGACGAGGTACTTCATTGTCCGTCTCCATCCTGCCGTGTAACCGGATGAACTATGACTGGATTGACTGCTAGGTCCGAGTCGGAGACGAGTGGGCTGAAGCCTTGGCCGGTTCAAGATGGACACCCGCCTGGGTTTTCGAGCCTCGGGGCAGTTCAAAGCATACGCGCCTTCGAGTCAGGGTTGCATCATTGCTACTTAGCGTGTCCGAGTCATGCATTGGTCATCCTAGTCGAGGCAATATATATGTAGGCGATACATTTACCTCGAGCATTACCATGGCACGCTACGGACTGAGCATTCCCTCCACAGTGTTTGACCTGGCACGTCTCAGACATCGCCAAAGTGAAGGCGACTCGAGTTCACTCTCTCGGCAGCCCTTACCTTCCCATGCACAGGAAGAGCACAGTGCAGGCCACGAAACCGCGGACGACAGTGATGATTTTAAATTGCCGAAATTGCGATCCTTGGTCACCATGCTCGTAGCCAGTATGCTGATGCAGGTATGTACTCATTATGAATACCTTTATCTTCCCTTGATGACCAGTCGAACAGGTTACGTTCTTCATCGTAGTCTCGTCTTCGAGCGAATACGCAAAACATCTAGGAGGCACGTCTACGTTCTCCGGTCTCACCATCGGCATTCCCGTTGTATTTGCCGGTCTGGCCCTAGTTCCAATGATGAAATATGACGGTGGTAAGCAATGCTCCTAAGCCCGTCAACAGTCCCTCATTCATTGAGATCCCCTTCGACAGGTAGATACAAACTCCCTTTGCACTTTGCATGTGCATGTGCTATAATCGGGAACGTTCTCTATAGCCTCGCGTATGCCGCGAACTGGCTCTACCTCATCCTCGTAGGACGGATGGTGTCCGGGCTAGCCATGACGTTCTTCCTGTACTCCAAGCGATATTGCAGCGACCCGCGCATTGTCGGTATTAGGAGGCGAACGACGCTGGCGGGTTGGCTTGTGCTCGGTCAGGGTTTTGGGTTCAGTATCGGCCCGTTTATGGGCGGCCTCCTGTATGTGTCAATTCACGCATCAGCTTTGGCGCTGAGATTTGACTTTATCCATTTAGCTACAAGATAGGATTCTCGAACTCGGTGTTTAATGGATACACCAGCCCGACGTGGATCCTTGCGGGTATCTGGGCAGTGTTCTGGGCAATCGCCGCAGTCTCGTACGAGGATGTCTCACCAGCGTGCCCCGTGGCATCCGAGGTGCAGCTGCACGCTCTTCCCTCCTCTCCGGAAGCTCCCCAGCGGTCACAAGACGACAGTGCTCAGGCTGTCCAGGGCTCACCGACTATTCACGCTACTAGCGCCTACCAATCTCGCGCTGAGGGCATGCATGGTAAGGAGAAGACTGTGTCAGCGGTCCAGGAAGTGGCCACTCAGGGGCCTGAAGCAGAGGAAGCGACCGTACCTGCCTCCCGCCCGAGCCGCTTCCGCATGACGGGCCCTCAGATCGGAGTCACAGCGACCATGTGTTGGTTTGCAATGACCTGCTTCTTCATCCTCGGGGCATGGGAGGCCAACATTCCCGTCTTCACCTCCTCCGACTCACCCTTGAACCCCTTCCACTTCAGCCCGTTCGCCGCGGGGAACATCATCGCGCTCGGCGGTGTCTCCACCTTCCCCCTCCTCTTCGCCAACCTCTTCGTCGCGCGCCGGGTACAGGACCGCCACACACTCGCCGTTGGGACGACGCTCGGGCTGGCGGGCCTGCTCACCGCGGTGGGAATCCTGGCGACGCGGACGGTCACGTACGGGAGCTTCTTTGCGTGCTGGTTCTTGATCGCGCTCGGGTTCAACATCATCAGCACGATAGTGCTCAGCTTGCTGTCGAAGCAGCTGCCGGGCGAGTGGAATGGCCGCATCAGTCTTGCGATCCAATATAGCATGTTTAGCGGCCGCGTGAGCGGTGCCGTTTGGGGTGGTGCCGGGGTGCAAGTAGGGATGCTCAACTTTGTGGGGCTGCAGATAGGTTTGGTATGCGTGGGCGCCGTGTTATTCTCCACATTATGGAGACAGTTGAAGGCGAAGACGGGCTAATCCAGCTTCGATGACCCGAGTCTTGCGCTAGAATGCGGGGAAATGTTAGTGTAGTGACAGACACGACTTCTTGTGAGCGATAGAGTACCAACGTTGGATGTAACCAGGCTCGAGCACTCTCCCGCGTTCCATGTACAGAAGATCCCCCACTGCTTGAGATCCGGGCGGTCGCAGACTCGGAGGTCCGACGTAGCGTGCACAGGATAACCCCCTTCGTCGGAGCGGCTCTTGGTCTATTGTCGCTTTTGGGTACCCTCCATAAGAACACTAGTCGACTGCATGCCGGTGAGTCCCGTTGAAGTTTGAGGTCGCCGGGTGCTTCATACTCACCTCCGAGCCATTGCGGTCCATGCTCACGCCCTACGCTGGGCACAGCCCGAAGCATGTTCGGTACGGCCTGTAGACTGTTGTGTGGAATGCTGTGAATGCACATCGAATTGAAATCATAAGTACTGACGTGCAACTACAACTTGATAACGAAGCGCAGCCATGACTTGCGACATCCTTTTCGGACGCGCCATGGCGTCGGGACGAGCAGTAAATTCGTACAGCAGAGATGCTGTTCCGAATGTCAAGAAGGACAACTTTTGTAGTACGCGGTGCCAACCTCGGTGGGATGTACCCAACCGTAACTGGGGAGAAAGTGTGTAAGACTGCCACTGGCGAGGGTAGTACTGGTGACGGTGTGTCGCGACTCGCCGAGTCCGAGTCCGAGTCGCGAGTCGCGTCCGTCGCGTGAACTAGGCGCACGTGCTGCGGCCCACCGCAACCTCCCAACCTCCTCTTAGGAAGTTCCTCCTCCTCTCTGGCACACTGCCGTCCTCTTCTCCTGCACGAACCGTACGACGCTCGTTTAATCGACATTCACACTCACTCCATCCGTGGACACGACCGACCAGTCTTCAAGACCTGTCGCCGAGAACATCGCCATCACGAGCGGCAGATTTCGTGCTCTCTTACTCTCCCGCTGAAAGGTACGGTATCATGATGCAGTGCAACTGTTTCTCGTGCCACAACTCACCTGCTCATGGCTGTGCCCGTTCGACAGATGGCCAATGCCACCTCTGGGACGCCGTCGCCATTCGACGACTCGCCTTCCTCGATCGCGCTCAATACGCACTTCCTCCTGCAACCAGAGCCCGAACACGACGAGTCGGGTGCTTCCTCCGACATTGCTTTCTCTGACGGCGACACCGCGTCGCAGCGATCCATCGCCCTGTCTTCCCCTACACGCTCGCCGCGCCCTGCGGCTCATCTCGGTCTGCAAGAAGAGGAGGACCAGGTGACGCCCTCTGCTATCACGCCTGTCTCGTATATCCGTCAAAGCCTGACGTACTCGAAGCGGAACACGCTGGACACGGACTTCAGCTCAGACGTCGATGACGACAGGAGCTTCTTCGCACGCAAAATGGACGACGGCGAGTCTCCCATATCCAGCGTAGCACCTTCGGTCCTGGAGGAACGAGAGAAGCCCTCGAGTCCACCACCCGTGCCCCTGACATTGGCTTCTCCTCCGCCATCTGCTCGTCCTCTCGTAGGTGTGAGAGGCAAGAGTGACACGGACAGCGTGATGTCAGCCGGGTCGGAGGGAACGTCGTACTCGTATTCGAAGAAGGCGCGGCCCGAGTCTCTGTTGCCTCAGGCAAACCAGGGACCGCTCGTGCTCGGCATTGCATTGGTGGATTTCGACCACTTGGTACGTGTGCCGCTGCTAGCCATCATACAGGTCCTCATCGCAGTCTCAGGTCGGCCCCAAGATCGAGTTCTCTAGAGGAGCAGCATGCGAGGACGAGGAGATTGCGAAGATCCTTCCCTTCCTTGCGCTCCCAGACGGCGCGCATTTGGTAAGTGTTGCGCGTCCTCATTTTATTACCGAGAACCGGAACTCTACACAGTCGTCGGAAGACTATTCCTACTTCCACCTTGTCCCGACCGGCCCTAATCCCTCCACCATCTTCGGAATCTCGTACGTACGAGTCTTCCGCAATCTCTCCGTCCGCTGACCCTTACATGCCATGTAGATGTAACCGGCAAATCAGCGCCGCAGAGCTGCTGGTAAAGGAGGCCGAAGTTACTCGCTCGACGGTGCAGAAAGCTGTCGTCGTCCTCGCCTCGAAGCCCGTGTTCGGGCTCATCAGGTAAGCGGTCGATTACAGACGCACCGAAATACGCTCACGGTCGACGCAGAGACCGGCTCGGTGTGATCACTCGTGCGCTGTTCGCGCAACGCGACTTCTCTGACATGAGCATCCTGGATGACTTCCACACATCGCTCGAACACTCACTCCGGAGCCAGATGACGGAGAGCGGGCTATACATGGGTGCGCGTTGTTCAAGTTATAAGCGTTGTCAGTGTTGACATGTACGTCTGGCTACCTCAGGGACTAGTCTGTGAGTGTACTGGAACAAGGCTGACGAGCTACGGGGTACTGATGCGTTTAGGCGGGAACTCGTGCATACGTTCCGGCAACGAACACTTGTTCTTTTGAAGGCTCTCATGTTGCAGAAGAAGGTACGGCAAGCAGGTGTGCTGAGCACATTCGACGCTGAAACCCGTCGTAGATCATGTTCTTTGGTCACCCAGTAGAGCGACTGTGCACGTACCAGTACTCTCTGGTCACTCTGGTGCCTGGTATGCTCCGTGTGTGGCCTACAGCCTTCGGATTACTCATGGAGATCACCTAGGCCTCCTCCAGAACCTGGATGACTGTGGTTCGCCACCACTTACTGCACGAGCGCAGACGCTCTCACGACCGACATCATTGCGGACGTCCGATCACAAGAGCATGATGGCGTATGTTGGCCTGCCCCTGGATCTCTTTGGCAAGGTGCGTACCAATACATGGTCCGTACGGCTCGTTTGTCTGATGTCCGCAATCCCAGGACGCGTTCTTCCAACCATATCTACCGCTTCAGCAGCTCGACATGTTGAAGGACACGCAAAGCTGGCTGTGCGGCAGCACGAACACCATCGTCACGCAGCAGAAGGAAGTCGACCTTCTCGTCAACGTTGAGAATGGGACGATGGAGTTCCGTGATCCGACGGTCGAGCGTGTGGCCGGGTTGACTGCCGCAGATCGGAAATGGATGGACGAGATCGTCAAGGACGTGAACGAGACATACGATGATGACCCAACAAGACCAAGTGGCATGCAGTGAGTATCTATCATGTTTGAACAGTAAGATCACAATTACTGAGACTACTGACCTAGCTTCAAGGGCAGTGACGACTACCTTAGACAAAAGGTGCGCAGAGATCGAGGTATTGGCGTTCAATGAGCTAATGTCAGACTAGTTCGAGGAGTACATCTCAGGCGCTCTCGCCTCCGTAAAATACTCTGCGTTCTTGGCAAAAGTTGGGGGAGCTGGCGTCATGATGGCGGATGGCCAAGGTAGTGCCTCTTACACTGCTTCTTGTTATTCGCGCTTAGAGGCACGCACAGGAGACCCCAATTCAGCACAAGACTTTAATGCTCTTTGGATACAGGAGTTCAAGAAGACAAATGCGTACGAAGTATGGGAACGTGTGACCGATCCAATGTTGTTCGACATCATTGAGGCGCGGTATGTGATCTTCCTCATCGATTCTATCTCCTCTTACGTGAAGGCTATGTAGACATCCTTGTAGCGAGAAGCCCTCCGTCATCGCCGACGTTGGACTGCGGCTATCGGAAGGAATCCAGGAACTCAAGCTAGACCAGCAACTGGCTCCGACAAGGGAGGCTATATCCCGTACCATCACCGCTGGGTCCACGAATGTCATCAAAGCGATGGAAGGGCTGCGTGGTCGCTGGCTGTCCCCGCGTACCGCACCTGGAACGCCGACCGCGTCCGCAACCCCTTCGAGCGATGGTTCGGCAGGGTCCACGAGCACGTCCAGCAGTGCGGACGAGGTCAGCAAGGCTGGTAGTTCACCGCCTTCGCGGCCACCTTCGATGAGGGGTGTATCTGACCCTGCACGGCCCCAGTCGCGCTCGAGCGGCTTGCGTCCCTTGAGTATGGCGGCGACACACCCAGTCCCCGTACCGCCTCCTCCGGTTCCTGAGCCGACTCGGTTCAGCGGCTGGGTTGGCTCATTCTTCACGCCGCGGCCACCCTCTTCGCGCACGTCGGTAGCGTCGTCGACACGCAGGGAGAGCAGCTCGGCGGCATCTGTGTCGTCTCGCGGGCCGTCTCCACATCCCGCATCACCGCCGCTTCCGCGTGCGAGGGATAGCGTGAGCAACGCGAGCGTCGCAGGGTCTGTGCAGAGCGAGGCTGTGAAGCTGCAGAACTTGGACGATGTGTATGGGGGCGTGAGCATACAGGAGCACGAGCCGCAGGAAGCAGAGCCAGCTGGTACCGGCGTGGCGCTCTGATGATCAGTTTGGATTCATGTTCGAGGACCTTGCATTCTGGTATCCTATCCCTTGGCATTATTATTATATGGTTCATTCCGCCCAGCCCCTCGTCACTGTTGGACCTCTGAAGCAACACATGATGCTTTGACCATTAGGCTGCATTGGACAAATGCATTCCGTCTCGACCTGGGTTTTCCGCCAACAGTAAGTATAGCTTCGTGTACTTGCGTCCTAGATGTAAGGTCCGTAGTACCTTGCTCAGCTTTCCGTTGCCGCGCACGGTACTATTCCTGACTGTCGAATCATTCATAGCGTAAGTAATTCTAGCATCGGTATCCGGTGAACACTGTGCTTTAACCCAAGACGCGACCGTATAATTAAATTTTAGCTTATTCCTTTGTCTCATCCGCGATTATGTGACATGCATCCCCGCGTGCTTGAATGCACAACTCCTGATTATTCTAAGCAGTCGAGACCTACACATTGGATGTGTGATGACCCACTAGCGTCGTCCACGTTGACTGACAATATGATCGTCCGCTCGACTACAAGTACAGCTTCCACCGTGGATCTAATATATGATCTATGAGCCAGGTGACAGTGGCCAGTCGCTCGCCTTTCTTTGGGAAGCCCTGTTCCAGGAATCGCCTTAGATCGGCGACACACATTGACATGTCCCCGAAGACAACGACGAGCGCAAGGTCGCCCGCCCTTCGACCGAGCCCACAGTACTCTACTGGACTGCCCTGGATACGATGGATGATCGTCTCCATCTTCCTCTGCGTGCCCGTCGCAGGATCAAGAACGAGAATGAAGGTGAACGGATCCGCTTCCTGAGCGTCTCCATTGTCATGCCTGCCGAATGCAACGACTACATCCAGCGCAGCGACATAGTGGACCTCGTGTATAGCACCGCCAACTGGTTCAGAGCGCCATCGGATGTTCATGGCGTCCGAGTCGATGGCGTAGATCGTAGTCTGGCAACCGCCTCCCTTCGGGAGCGCGCCGCTGTCTGCCTCGTAGACAGCTAAGAGGAAGCTGTTTGCGCCCAAGGGCGCGCTGCACGTAGGGTGAATTCGATCGCCATCCTCGAGGGAGACGGCGAGCTCAAAGCTCGCGTCTGGCTCTGGGAAATCCGGGACGTCGGGACCGCGCCAGCGCAGGACGTCCATTTTGTCATGCCACGCCTCGGAGGATGTCGCGATGATGTCGCCGTTTGGCCTGAGCGCGGCGGGCACGAGCACGCCTCCGACTGTGTTGAGCCGTCTTTGTTCACGGGTCACGAGCGGGGAGGTTGACACCGCCCAAAAGCCAGTCCTCTTCCGCTATGTCGCAAAGCAGGAGAGTGGTGAGGCCGTGGGGCGGGGCGCGGTCCTCGTCTTCCTCGACAGCGACGAGGACCTTCCCATCGGCATACTGAAGCGGGACCTGCGCAAGGGAGCCGTAAAGCTCGGGTTTCCGGATGAGCCGACCGTCGGTGAGGCTGAACACCCAGAGGAGAGGAGAGCCTGAACCGCGATCAGGGATAACCACGATGCTACGCTCGATGTCGATGATGGGGTTGAGCCCATGCGGCGGATAGGCAACGAAGTCGAAGAGGCGCGTGGAATGTTCGAAAAGCTCGTTCTGGGCTCCGATACGCCAGACGTCGATAGCCTTGCTGAACGTGAGCACGTATGGTTGTTGTACGAAGAATGATTCGACGTCGCCATCGAGAGTGGAAGGTTGAGAAATCGTAGGAGACATGGGTACGGATGGTGAAAGTCACGATCTAGTTTGATGTATTGAGCACGTCGACACAGTGTAGCTTAGTTGGGCCCACTTACCTTTGTACCGGGCTTCGTGACGGTTGCGGATGATAGAGACGCGTCTGACGCACGGTTTTGAGGTCTGCGACGCGCCCCAGACCGTCATTAAGGTGTACAGTTGGTGCACAGCATACACCATTGACGTACTGCAGATGTGACAACCCTGCAGGGCAAATATCTCCATGGGCACATAGAACATGCACTACAAATCGGAATTGTCACTGACACCAAGTTGCCATGATCGGATCTTGGCGCGGGCACCTTTCGCACTTCCAGCGTTTATGGTGGTTCGCAATAAGAACACAGACTCGGTGACAGAATCGCGTTAGCATTTCAGCTGGCATGCTCCGGACGTTTGCCATCGAAGATACATCCGGCCTATGTCCGATAGTCTTGGCAACTCAGTCGCATCCCCGTACAGACGACTCGGACAGCTTCAGTGTCGGCGATTGTGCCTTTCGGCGAAGTATCCACCACCACCTCCGTTGTCTGAGATGGAGATCTTACTCCGTTCAACATGGAGAGCTGCTGTAACAGAGCAGCTACCGGGCACTGTCCAAATGACGGAGCTAGAAGCACCTCAGCCAACTACTTCAAGCACCAGGACAGGCGGCAGGCTGTACGTACATGACAGTTCGACCGTCAGAAGCAGCACGGGTGTGATGCAGTTGAAAGTATTTCTGGAACCACCGACGGCTCCATGGGTCATCCGAGGAGTTGCCTGCATGATGGTCACCGTGGAAGGTATAAGACACAAAGTGCGCGAATCGTTGCGCCCAGGCTGGTCCTACATCTTCACCTTGCGCGATAGCATACCTTCACGTTCTGTTAATACCGTTAACCTCTCCTTTCACGACTTCCACATTGACGCACCGGCCAACCCAACCGTTATCATGCGTTTCACAACTTCCCTGTTCGCCGTCGTCACCCTGTTCTGCGTACTTCTCCTCGTACAAGCAGTGCCTGTGGAACCACGGGACGACGCGGAAGTGTGCGGCAAGATCACCGATTGCGACGATTGCGGTGCGTTACTTCTCTCTGTCACAAAGGCGTCATGCATTCTGACTCTTCAGACAAACTGCAGTGAAGAAGAATATCTGTGGATTCACGTTCAACACCCACCAATGCGTCGCGAGGAGTGCACATACCGGGGGGACACTTGCAACCAACGCGGCTCAGTGCAAGAGTATAGGCAAAGTCGGTCCTGGTGGTTCTCGTCAACGATACAAACACTTAATGATAAGCTGTTGCCCGTTCCAGCAACCCGCACACGGTGGTGGCGGGGCCAGTAACACCGTTTCCAGGGCAGATGCAGAGAAGATCTGGAAAGGCATGGAGAGTCATGTGTTCGACGGCAACGGCGACAAACCCGGCTCCGGCAGACACCTCACCTCGACATGGCTTAAACGCAACCCCAAGTCTGCTGCGGATATGGTCATCAACCCGCAAACATCGCTTGCAACAGTTCCCTTTGGAGTACGTCCTTTCGTCCGCTTGCCCTATGAGCTTGGGAAACTGATTCTTCCCTCTGCAGATGGACGGCAGGAAGACAAAGACGCTGTTCATCGACGGCAAGGTGACGGGGCTCGTCAACAACAAGCAGCAAGCCTTCACAGGCAGGTATACCAGGGACATAGTCGAGCAGATGTGCACCGACGCGATCGAGAAGTCGCTGGAGGAGAACAAGTCCAAGACCGCCATGCTTGCAGGGGACAACTCCTACGCCGTGAAGTCCTTCGATGGAGGGCCGACCGTCAGCGTTGCCGTTAACAGGAACAGCTGTTTCCCGCAGTTGATCACCCCCACAACCAGGCAGCCCGGGGAGAAATGCTGAGGGTGTAGGATGCGGAGTGTGTTCGCATAGTGGCTGGGATGTCCTTTGTATGCAATCCTAGAACTTCGAAACGATATCGTGAGGGAAACTGCATGCTTCCATTTGACGAAGAGCTCACTGAGAACCACGAGAAATGCTTTCTCGAATCCACCCCAGCATCCTCGGGACATGAAATCACTCACCAGGGCCAGTATTAGTGAGCCAACCATTGAGAAATAGACAGCACTGCTAGTATGCTACTTGAATAATCCAACTAAGTTACATCGTCGCCAAGTGTACGAAACGGGCGGTACATAGTCCCATATACAAGAATAATACACGTATAAATACATGCGCATGGATGTCCACAGTTAGGTTGCAGAGCTTCTCGCAGTGAAGTCGTGATGAGTCGTTAGTATCATGTTCTAACTGCTACGCAGGTGGGTGGCGGTGGCGGTCAGAGCCGCACGACTGTGAGAATCGCAACGAGGCCATCTTGCTCGATGTCGTGGTTGACGCCTACGGTAACATGCATGCGGGATGAGTACGCGAGTGTGGTTCGCAACCCGAGAACGCACCTCGGCTGCCTTTCTCAAGGAGACCGCGCCGCCACTCCACATCCCCCTTCCACCACATACCGCTCCAGTGGCTACCCGCGATTGCTTGCTCGACAATATAGTTTCGTCCGAGGTTGTAACCGTCATCCTCAATGAGATGGTTCTTGGACGAGTCCTTCTCAAGCGATGCACTGCGATGTGAGGTGAGCGTCCGGAGAGTAAAGTTTCGTGACTAGCCAGGCAACGCACCCAAGAAACCACGCCCCGCTATCTGCGATGGTCCCATTCTGCTTCCACGCCCGGAAATGGTGACCGCCCCTCACGCTCTCCCAGCAGGTCCCGATTACGGGGAAGTAGTCCTGGCGATAGAGAAGCTGCTCCGGCTTGCGACCGAGCCCATCGCCCAGGTCGGCGTCGTGGACATGTCCATAGTGTAGCCCGAGGCACTCCTTCGAGAAGCCGATGGACTTGGCGTAGGTGTGCAGGCCGGATTCGGTGAGGATGAAGGGATCAGAGAGCGCGGAGATGATGACATTCAGCGGTTCCCCCAGACGTTTCGTCGTGAACTGAGGCATGTAAGATGAACCATGAGGACCCAGAAGAGGAGCAACGGAGGGACGTACGTCGAGCAACCTGCCGCCATGTAGCCTCGGGTCCACCCACCCCAGAGTATTCTCTACTGGTGGTAGTTCCCCATTCTCGTATTCCCTCTGTATCCGTGGCCCCTCAATCACAAATTGGTCCGGGCCATGCTCCGTTGGTAGAGCAACAATCTGAGAGAGCAAAGTCGAGACAACAATGAGGAGCGCGGGCGGTAACATCGTCAGGCGGCGTGGGGGCGGTGGCTAACTTGCACGGGACGTCCTGCGGCCGCACATAAACTTCAGCTAGTGTATGTAGCCCGTATAGCGATAGCGCGAAGCGGCGATGAGGAGGATAGCTCGCCCAGCAAAATGGGAGAAGAGGCCAAAGAAGGGTTTGAGGCCCGAGTCGGGGGAGTGGAGATAGGTGCGTGCTGTGTGCATCAGTCCAGTGGGTCGCGGCGGCGCAGCGCCCGCCTCATCCTCGCCCCGCACCGATATCCCGGTCGACATCGCCTTGTCACTGGCAGCAGAAACACTCGCTCTTCGTCGCTGTGTCAACGTGCGCCATAGTCGGCCGTGAGGAGAGTGAGTCTTCCGCTTTGATCTCTGGGCAGGCATGGAGGCCGCTGCCGGCGTTGGCATTCACTTTGCAGAGAATTCATTGCTTTCCGGCACGTACTGTGCATACCGCTGCCCGGCCTCCCTTCTGCAAGTATATTGAGTACTTGCTGAGCTACAAACGATCCCGAAGGATCATCTGACATTTTGTAGTCCTTCAGAATGATGGTATGATGCAAATGTGCGTGTGTCGTGTCATCCCGGACGATCGCAACCACTCGACGCCTCAGGATACATACTTGTGCTCCTCAGGCAGATGTGACCATTTCGCCCACCTTCATACCCCAGGATACATCCTGGTACTTATACTATTACACGGCAGATTGGGCTCAGTCGCTCACACACCAATTGACCTTTGATGCCGAAGTCCACAGGTCAACAATCTACGAGAGGTCACTTACCATGAGTCCTCGAATCCTGTTGAGATAAGTTGTGCTTAGACTGGAGAACGTGCCGCGGAGTCAGTTGCACGGATCCGGGATGCATGGCCAATTCAGAGACTGGGTGCATGGTATGTACCTTCAACTCTTTGTCTGCAGATTGTTGATCCCTGCGCACCCCGTACAGCACGATGGAATGCCTCTGATGTCGAATCTGCGTCGGATTTTGCGACGAATGCGGTCCTAAGGATTTCAGTGGGTACTAGTACGGCTTTCTGCCATGAGGTAGATCCACGACGAGCGAGTCTCACACTGACAGAAAACGACGTGCGTGTATGCGTTTTCCCGGGAGCACTGGTAGGCGAGTGCCAATGTGGCTGACCCATTGTCATCGCCTTGGCCCGCAATGGTCATCCACAAAAAAAAAACTGCGCCAACAAATCTTCCAGATCGAGTGCGAACTAGCTTGAGCCTTGATCTCACAATGGTACTCAGGCCTTTCAACCAGTAGGTCCAATTATCTTACATAGCCCCACTCCAAGCTTAGATGGGCTCATCACTCATGATATAGACCCTGATAGAGCCTACTAGCGTCTCGTAGTCGGTTCCGATACTTATGCTGCCGCACATGTCCGGTTTCTCCCACAGCTGCAAAACATCGCGCCTGCAGGAGCTCGTCCCCTCTTTTCCAGTCAACTGCGCTCCATGACAGTATGACCAGTTGATATGGCGTGCTCCCGCCAAGCACCTTCAGACATATTAGCCGACACTGTGATCCCTTTCGCGCGAGAGCGGGTTCGAGGAGACAAACACTGATCTGCCGTATAGTGAGCCCTCCATGGGGCTCCCATCGCAGGATAACATTGACCCTTTTTCTCTTCTCTGTCAAGGCCGCGTGGAGATGCTCCTCACCTTATCCGAGAACCTTTTTATACGCACAGAAAAGACTCCGTCCTGGAGCCTCGCGCGACCTGCTCCCTCTTCTACGCAAGTAACTTAGGTGCACACGACCATGGACACTGTACGAACACGAGCGTCTTCCGACGAAAAGGCAGGTGCTGAAGAAAAGTATGCGGCGGACGTCGCGGGCGTGCTGCCGGTGGGTGTAGACCCTCGCGACTTGTACGATGAGGACGACTCTGGTGTTGACCCAGTGTATCAAGCGAAGGCAAAGATTCTCAACGACGCGTTTCAGGAGATCGGAATGGGCAGATACCAGGTATGTGTGCGGTCATATACTGGCGCATCTTCAATTGTTGACTCGGATCTGCATCCACATAGTGGTGGCTCTTCTTGATCACAGGATTCGGTTGGTTCGCGTGAGCATATTCTACCCGATCACTGTGAAGTCAATCTCACAACGGTCCGATTCAAGCGACAACCTCTACCCTGTGCGTACCACGACACGGTCGCGGCCTGACCGTCGTTCACCTCTTGTAACTCACAGATCGTAACGGGGCTGATTCTCACCGCCGTATCGAACGAATTCAACTTCCCTAGCCCATACTTGAAGCTTGGACAGAGTCTGGGTCTGCTCGTTGGATGTGTATTCTGGGGCGTGGCTTCGGACGTGTGGGGACGACGGTATGTCTTCCTCATTATCCATGACCCTTTCTCAGGCTCAGACGGTATAATCAGATGGTGCTTCAACTTTACGCTCCTCATCACGGGTGTATTCTCGGTGGCAGCTGGGGCCTCCCCGAATAAAGTCGCCTTGTGCGGCATGGCCGCTGCATGGAGTGTCGGGGTTGGCGGTAATCTGCCCGTCGATTCTGCCGTCTTCCTAGGTATGCCTAGTAGAACCGTACGCTTCTCCCGCTTACAAGTCACCGAGCAGAATTCATTCCTGCGTCACATCAATATCTCCTCACAGTTCTCTCCATCTGGTGGGCCGTCGGGCAGCTCGTCGGCAGTCTCGTCGCCTGGCCGCTCCTCACCGACTTCTCATGCGCCTCTGCGGCCGACTGTCCGCGGAGCTCCAACATGGGCTGGCGGTACTTCCTCTACAGCATGGGCGGGCTGATGCTCCTCTGCTGGTTCCTCCGCTTCATCTTCCACCTGCACGAGAGTCCGAAGTACCTGATGGGGCGAGGACGCGACGCCGAGGCTGTCAAGATCATGCAGGCGATCGCTGAATACAACGGTCGGACGTGTAGTGTGACTCTGGAGAAGCTCGAACTTGTGGGGAAATTGGCCGAAAGAGGCGGTGCCAAAGGGGCTATGGACACGAGCGCGAAGGGCGCCATACTGAGAAAGCTGAAGATGATGAGTGGAGAGCATGTGCGAAGTCTATTTGCGACGAAGAAGCTGGCTTTGTCGACGAGTTTGTTGATCGCTATCTGGGGTGCGTATGCGGCTTAGCTTTGCCCTCCGGCGTGACTCACCGTACTCCATAGCTCTTATTGGGCTTGCCTTCCCATTGTGAGTTCCGCACGCCTTGTGATTTGTGCAGTGCTGAATATGTGCTGTCAGATATAACGGCTTCATCGTCTACTTGTGGGTGCTTCATCTTTAGAACGCCCAAAATGAAACCTGACCACTGATTCACAGCTTGGCAACGCGAGGCACTGACTTCGGAGATGGCTCGCTGTACATCACATATCGCAATGTGAGTGTGCGACCTTCGTCTTGTTATTAAGTTGAGACTCACCATTTCGTCTGACGCCAGCAAGTAATCCTGAGCGCGGTAGGGATGCCGGGTGCCCTCCTCGCAGGGTGGATGGTTGAACTGCCATACCTAGGCCGCAGAGGAACCATGGGTATCTCAACCGGTCAGCGAGGTGGTCATCCCACTGACCACCATCAGTTGCTGATGTTAGTATAGTTATCACAGGTGTCTTCCTCTTCGCGGCGACCACGGCGCGTACATCCAATGCATTGCTAGCTTGGAATAGTGCCTACACATTCACGAGTAACGTGATGTACGGCGTGTTATACGCCGTTTCACCGGAGCTGTTCCCCACACGCGACCGGGGAACAGGAAACGCAATCGTCGCCGCGGCAAATCGGATCACGGGTGTCATGGTGAGTCCATTCTTCTTGCTCGTCGGGACACCCTCGTGTTGTGTGACCATCTGCCGCGGACTGAGCGCTGACTTTCTCCGGCCTTTTTGAAAGGCACCGATCGTCGCCTTGTACGCAAACCTCGCAACTTCGGTTCCAATATACGTGGCTGGTGCGATGTTCATTGCGGCGGGCATACTATCATTCCTCCTCCCGTATGACCCGAGAGGAAAGGCCTCAATATAGAACTCGCACACCTGTAATCACCAGTGGGCCTTATTTAACACATCTGGCAAACTTGAACAATGTCAGTGCGGCAGTTCAAGTACATTCGTGGGTAAAGCCTTGAAGCTTGAGCTCGAAGTGCTATTTACATCGAATTGAACAAGGACATTCAGCGACTTGATGCAGTAGACTAGAGCACCTATCTAAACTGGCCTGCATACAACGTAGTGTACCGTATTGTCCAACCTGTCGAAATTCAGTTAGGATCTCGTCAAACTCAACTTTCGTGCAATTTGTATATCAACTGTACATCACACAGCTCGTTGGCGCTACCGAGTCCGACTCGGTGGCCAGCTGTGGCTGAAGGGACCATCCTCATCCTCCTCCTCCTCCTCCTCCTCCTCCTCCTCCACCACCACCACCACCGATTCCTCGGTGCAATGACTCAACTGGACTCAGCGTCTGCCGGCTATTGATCTTCTCGACTTTCACAATACATACCGTATGCAGTGCTATGCACATGCTCCTATGACATCGCGACATCAATTGGTGCAGATTTCGACATATGGCCGCGGCGCCCCTGGGAGCCTGCCATCCGCCTGCCATAATACACACAGACGTGATTCCACAGGAAGATGCGGTAAGCGCTTGCAGGAGCGCTAGCTTCTCCACACACCTGCGCAACACCTGCGATAAGACCTGGGCGAGGCGACCGCAGATCCTTAGCCTATACGCCGGCAAAAACATGGACGCGCCACGAGCACGAACACCGTCAGACGACAAGCTCTACAACGACGAGAAGCGGCCTGACAATGTCGAAGCGGGCGCGCACGGTATACAGGCCGAGACGCAGGATGTGTACGACGAAGACGAGTTTGGCGTCGATCCTGTCTACCTAGCAAAGGCTCGCGTCCTGAATGAAGCATTCCAGGAGATAGGAATGGGCAAGTATCAGGTGAGTTGATACAGGAATGGCCCACCGTGTTCCGTGTTGTAACATCCCGACCAAGTGGTACTTGTTCATCGTTGCTGGCTTTGGATGGTTCTCGTGAGTACTGTCGCGCACTACTCTGCCCTGCATCTTGACCTTCATCGACCACAGGGATAATCTATGGCCCATTGTCACGGGGCTGATCTATACGCCAGTGGTCAACGAGTTCAACTTCCAGGGCCCGTTCCTCAAGCTCGCACAAAACATCGGCCTACTAGTCGGCGCTGCTTTCTGGGGCGTCGCCTCCGATGTCTGGGGTCGACGATGGTGCTTCAACCTCACCCTTCTCATCACTGGTGTCTTCGCCGTCGCAGCAGGCGCGTCCCCAAACTACATCGCCCTTTGCTCGCTCGCCGCCGTGTGGAGTATCGGGGTGGGCGGCAACCTTCCTGTGGACTCCGCGGTCTTCCTCGGTACGTATGCACAACGCGCTCGTAAGACATGCCGACTGACATGCAATCAGAGTTCATTCCTGGCTCACATCAATACCTGCTCACCGTGCTGTCCATATGGTGGGCGTTCGGCCAGCTCGTCGGCAGCCTTGTCGCCTGGCCACTGATCGACAACTTCTCCTGCCCAGGAGGCGCCCCCGGTGACTGCCCGCGCTCGCAGAACCAGGGATGGCGCTACTTCCTCTACGCCATGGGTGGCCTGATGCTGCTGTGTTTCGTGCTCCGCTTCTTCGTCTTCCATTTGTATGAGTCGCCGAAGTACTTGATGGGCCGTGGACGCGACGCGGAGGCGGTCGAGGTCATCCACAAGATCGCAGCATACAATGGATGCACGAGCAGTTTAACGCTGGAGATGCTTGAGCAGGCTGGTGGCCTGGGGAAGACAGGTGTCAGCGTGGTGGAGGAGCTGCCAATGGACACAAGTGCGTCCGCGGCGGTGATGAGGCAGCTGCGGAAGTTCAGTGCGGACTATGTCAAAACACTTTTCGCTACCAGAAAGCTCGCATGGTCAACGAGTTTGCTCATCGCTGTCTGGGCACTAATCGGTTTGGCGTTCCCTCTGTGAGTCTTAGTCTGTGTCGCGTGTCAAGGGTGCTGATACCCGGCAGATACAATGGTTTCGTTGACTACTTGTGAGTGAAGTCCCAGGCCTCAATGTTATGTGCGTGCGAAGCACTGAGCAATCCATTCACACAGCCTGCAGTCCCGAGGTGCCGACTTCGGGGACGGCTCGGTCTACATCACCTATCGTAACGTAAGTGCTCAGCGGCTCGACTGGGAGACACTATATTTCAACATGTACACAGCAAGTCATCTTGAGTGTAATCGGGATTCCTGGCGCCCTCCTTGCAGGATGGATGGTGGAGATACCCTACTTGGGTCGTCGCGGCAGTCTCGCGCTTTCCACTGGTAAATCACTCTCTTTCGAGCCCGGGGGTCGGGAGACGACTGATGCATTGCGGCTTCAGTCATCACTGGGGTGTTCCTCTTCGCAAGCACAACCGCCCGAACGTCGAACGCACTGCTGGGCTGGAATTGCGCGTATACCTTTACGTCCAACATCATGTACGGTGTGCTCTACGCCGTTTCACCGGAATTGTTCCCGACGCGTGGCCGAGGGACTGGAAACGCAATAGTGGCGAGTGCGAATCGTATCTTCGGTATCATGGTGAGCCTCTCGTTCATTAGTGACCATTGTTTCACTCATTTTCATGCTAATGATCGCCCCAAGGCACCCATTATCGCTCTGTATGCAAACCTGGCAACGAGCGCTCCGATCTATGTGTCCGGTGCGTTGTTCATCGTCGCAGGTGTCATTGCCTTGGGACTACCGTTCGAGCCGAGAGGGAAGGCCTCGATGTGAGGTCGTCTGCTCATTCTATCTTGGACATGTATATCACTACTGGAATATACATACACGACGAACCCCTACGACCTAAAAGGCAGACAAGATATTTAGGTCGTAAGTGGACTGGAGCAGTGGGTCTGTCTGAGACGACCCGGTCAAACAACAGCTGCGCCGCCGGATTTGCGCCTGAGCCGTACATCAGATTCGTGTCCCACCTTCGCATCGTGTAATGGCAATGAGAGGCTCACAACTGGTAAACGACAGCTACGAAGGGCAGCCCGAAGCCTGTGAGGCAGAAAATGGTGTACTTGATGGCAAATGCCCGTTTGTTGTCGTAGGAGAAGGGCATGGGCTGGAAGGCGGTCAGACAGCGAACGGCTGATTGATAGGTATGCCTTACGTTGTAAGGGGGGTGGCCGCCGTGGCCATGCGCGCCGTGCTCAGCCTCGCCATGCGCAAGCCGCACTTGGCCTGCGGAACGTCGAGACGCCCTCGCAAGAGGAGCGAGACGCATAGTTGAGTAGGACAGACGAGTGAACGACGACATTGCGGCTGCGCTGTGTTCGATGGTTGCGAGTTAGCTGAGGGGAGGTCGTGGTAACCCGCAGGTGGGTATTGGGCGTCCTGTTGTTCCCGTTCGCGAAGGCAGTTGACGTTGGGCAGGTGCCTCTAGAAAACAGACTGTATGTGCCCAACCGGGGATCAACCCACATAGACGTTATGCACCACCTGGACGGCACCCAGAGCAGAGACAGCTGACCCAGCCGGGGCGCGGCTGAGGGTTCAGTGGGAACGCGGTCATTAGTGTGGATGGGCCGTAGAGGGATGGGCCGTCTGAGAGGGATGTCCCGAACGAAGCTGATGCGTTGCGGGGATCAAGAAGGACACGAGACCGTCTATGCAGATGGCCAGGCATTTCCAGAGCAGTGTCACTGTGAGTGCTGTCTGCCTCCTTCAAAGTACTATCTGTATGCTCACGAACATAAGATCGTGTTCTTCGCACCTCCGAGTCTGCCGTGCATAAGTACAGTGAGCCTTTTTTCGCCTACTACTGCCAGTAGCAAATTGGTATGCTCGCAACGATGGATTAGACTGTAAGTGAGGCTGCCTCTCGATACTCAGCTAGGTCGCAATGCCAGCAAGCATTGATAAGTAGTTGTCTTACAGTAAGTGCTTAGTTCGCCACAGACGCGTTTGCATGGGGGCACGTGTGCGTATATGACGCGGTCACGAGCGCTCATGCATTTTTTCACGCATGGACTCTGCAGAGGTCGCTAAGCGCGGGTTCACTTGCAAGCGTTCTTGCCTGCTAAATCTTGCTGCCCTGCCTCCCCGCTACCTCTACCTCGAACCATCCTGAATTCTATGATCTGCAACTCGAAAATTACTCTACTCTTCATCTAAGTACTAAGCTCGGCTAGGCGGCAAAGATGGATAGCACCGCGGGGATGGGCGACCCTCTCGCGACCAACCTTCGGAGACAAACCAAGGTCCTCCTGGCTCAGATGCCGGAGGATTCACACCACGCACACGCACTTAAAAACGCATCTACTAGAACTGACTTGCTGAACACCCTCGCATATCTTCTCTCGCTACCTGCATACACGAATGCTGTAGCTGTCGCTTTTCGCCCCATTCTCCTTGACTTATGCGCGAGGTGGCTACATGACCAGGAGAACGAGCTGGCGAGGTTCGAGGCCCTGTGCCTTTTGCTGGAGATTCAAACAGAGATCTACCCGTATGTTTCGTAACTTTCTTCTGTATGTGCTGACCTAATGCGAACTGGTCTCGCTCGGTAGCGTATTGGCGGCATTCCTCCGCCATCCAAATCGACAAAAAGGACCATTGGCATATGTAACACAAGCGCAGGATGTGAGCGGACTCGATGCAAGCATCCTGCATCGCCAACTACTTGCGTACTACCGCATCCTTCAAGCCAACCGCGACCTACCCGAACAATTCGTTTGGCCCATTGCCCCTCTCTCAAAACTCATCTACACCCCGCATCCCGACAATGGAGTTAAATCCCTTGCCATCCGATGTCTAGCATTGCAGACAGGCATGATGGAGGGCAAGCGTGAGGAGCTGGAGCTAGAATCTATCGGGAGCGTCGCCGAGGTGGATTGTACTATTGGGTATGGCGCGAAGCTGGACGGAAACGTGGTGATGATGGACGGCTGGGTTATGCCGGCCATAGAGGCAAAACGAATAACAAGCGCGAGGAGCGCGATACTCCAGCCTCAGGATTACTTCTCAAGAGACGAGAATGAGACTCATGAGCCTATTCATCCGGCAGAAATGAGGCAAGCATTAGGGAGCCTTTCCAAATTGAATGCCTATCTGATTATCTTTCCAGTCCCTTTATAACGAACGTGCACGGTGTGCTGATGCTTCGCTCGACGCCAATAGCGTCGCAACCTCCAACTCTATTCGTAGAAACACCGTCCGCTGTGCACTCACTCAGGACGCTCGCTTTGCACCACTCCCTCCGCGTTCCTACACTCCTCACCTCAGCACCCTCGTCCGGGAAATCATTATTACTCTCCCAGCTCGCCTCAATTTTGCACCCGGACGCGCACAACCAAATTATAACTATTCATCTCGCAGACACGTCGCTTGACCCCCGGTCTCTCCTTGGCTCGTATGTATCCTCCCCAACCAATCCAGGTACATTCGAATGGAAGGAAGGCGTGCTCGTACGCGCCATGCGCGAGGGCAAGTGGGTCGTCTTCGCGGACATCGATCGAGCGAGTGCAGAGGTTCTGGGTGTAATCAAGTCGCTTGTCGAGTCTCTTGGTCTCGATAAGTGGGTCGGTGGACGCGCGATGCTCAACGTGCCGAACCGTGGGACTGTCGTAGCGGAGGAGAACTTCGCTATCTATGCCACCCGGTCAATCCCTCTGTCAAGGAGCGGCGCTTTCACGTCGCCTACATTTTTTGGCGCCCATAGGTTCCACGAGATCGTCGTGCCCGCTCCGAGTGCTGAAGACTTGCGCTTAATCGTGGAAACAAAGTTCCGGAGACTGGCGGGCGCTGCGGCAGTGGGCTTGATCCGTCTGTGGGAGGCGGTTAAAGCACTTGGTACCGCGTCCTCGCTACGAGACGTCGGGCTTCGAGAGTTGGACAAGCTATGCACTCGTGTCGAACATGTCATTCCCGCCTCGCAGCAAGCGATGGATATCGATCTCTCCGAACGACTTCTGACACTCCCCGCCGTGTTCCCGAATCCCACTGTGCGCGAGGACATATATCTCGAGGCTCGGGACGTCTTCTTCGGTGCGGGTGCGACTACTGCGGCCGCTCGCACTCACCTGGAAGCTGTCGCCACCATAGTCGCGGAGCACCTAGCAATCTCTCCAGACCGGCGAGACTGGCTCTTGCACGCCCGGACGCCGGAATTTGACATCGAGAGGGACGTGAACGGACGGACCACCGCCGTCCGAGTCGGCTCAATACGTCTTCGTGCACGGATACTCAAGTCGGCCATCACATCTCCGACCACGCGTCCTTTTGCCATGCACAAGCCCGCTGTGCAGCTACTTAACCGTATTGCCACCTCCGTCTCCTTGAATGAGCCTGTCCTCCTCACAGGAGAGACAGGTACAGGCAAGACGAGCGCTGTCACGCACCTCGCTGCGCTACTGAATCGGTCGCTCGTCTCGCTTAACCTCTCCAACCAGACGGAGTCGTCTGACTTAGTTGGTGGCTTCAAACCCGTCGACGCCAGGATTCCCGGTATGGAGCTCTTGGAACGTTTCGGGGAGCTCTTCGCAGGGACGTTCAGCAGGAAGAAGAACGCAAGGTTCGAGGAGTCGGTAAGGAGGGCGGTACAAGAGGGTAAATGGAAACGCGCAGTCGGGCTGTGGAGGGAGGCGATCAGAATGGCGCAGGAGAAGATTCAGGAAAGAGTGACCGATGATGTGGGGTATGTACATTCAGGTGACGATGTATGCATTCATCTAATGGTGCGTTTATTAAGGTCTCAGCCTCCTCGGGATGGAGAGACGCCCAGAAAGCGTCGTAAGCTGGAACACGATTTGAACGCTTCGGCTGCTGCCTGGGAGGCATTCGAGCAAGATCTGCAGACGTTTGAGGTTCAACACGTTCAGGGGAAGAGTAGATTCGCCTTCGCTTTCGTAGAGGGCCTACTTGTCAAGGCTTTGCGCTCGGGGGATTGGTATGTACGCTCGCATGACGTATGCATCATCTCACTTATCATTGAGCAGGATTCTACTGGATGAGATCAACCTTGCATCACCCGAGACACTTGAATGTATATCGTCTCTTCTTCACAGCCCTACGGCGTCGATCACATTGACGGAACAAGGCTCGCTGGAGCCGGTCCCTCGTCACCCGGATTTTCGTTTGTTTGCATGCATGAACCCCGCGACGGATGTAGGAAAGAGAGACCTCCCGCCAAACATACGCTCCCGATTCACAGAAATTGACGTCCCTCCCCCTGACGCGGATAAGGAGACATTGCTCAGCATCGTCGACCAATACATCGGGAGATGTGCTGTGGGCGATCGTGGTGCAATCCTAGACGTCGCCGAGTTTTACTTGGCTGTCAAGCAGCTTGCTGATGCACGCAAGATCTCCGATGGGTCGAATCACCGTCCGCATTTTAGCATGCGTACGCTAGCCCGTGCATTGACGTTCGCCGCGGACATGGCGAGTGTCTTTTCCTTACGGCGCGCGCTCTGGGAGGGGTGTCTCATGACCTTCACCATGGTCCTGGATGAACCCAGTGCAGCTGCCGTAATTATACTTGCTCAGCGTCACTTGCTCTCAGGTGTCCGCAATCCCAAGTCCTTGCTCTCCCGTGAACCTAATCCTCCCCAACCCATCGACAGCTATCTGAAGATTGGCCCATTCTATCTCGAGCGGGGACCTCTTCCTGAGGATCCCGTCGAGAGCTACATCATGACGCCGTCTGTGGAGAAGAAACTTGTTGACCTCGCACGTATCATATCCGCCAAACGATTTCCAGTCTTGATCGAAGGCCCGACTTCAGCTGGTAAGACGAGTTCCATCGAATATTTGGCGAGGCGGACTGGCCACCGATTCGTCAGAATCAACAATCACGAGCATACCGACATCCAGGAGTACCTTGGCTCGTACGTCTCAGATGCGGCAACGGGCAAGCTGGTCTTCCAAGACGGATTGTTAGTCAGGGCCCTCCGCAATGGCGACTGGATCGTCTTGGACGAACTCAACTTGGCTCCTACTGATGTCCTCGAGGCCCTGAACCGTCTACTCGACGACAACCGGGAGCTGGTCATCCCAGAGACCCAAGAAGTAATCCGCCCGCACCCACACTTCATGCTTTTTGCGACTCAGAATCCTCCCGGCCTCTACGCCGGCAGAAAAATGTTGTCCCGGGCTTTCCGCAATCGATTCCTCGAGGTCCATTTCGATGACGTGCCACAGGCAGAACTGGAACCATTCTCTGCCAGCGATGTCGCATCGCTCCCTCGTACGGCCAGCGAATCGTCGGCGTGTTCCGAGAGCTGCAGAAGCGACGGCAGTCGTCACGCGTCTTCGAGAGCAAGCATGGGTTTGCAACCCTCCGGGATCTATTTCGATGGGCTCAACGGGACGCACTAGACTATCAAGAGCTTGCAGAGAATGGCTACATGCTGTTGGCCGAACGCGCTCGCCGGGAGGACGACAAGGCCGTGGTTAAGGAAGTTATCGAGTCCATCATGAAAGTCCGGATAGACGCCTCAAAGATGTACGACATGCATAGCAGAGGACAAGAGCTGGAGAATTTCTTGGGGTGTTCCATCCCTTCTAGGCCGTCTCTTGTGTGGACGTCAACCATGCAACGGCTTTTCATCCTTGTCGCTCGAGCGCTGCGCTTTAATGAGCCCGTCTTGCTAGTGGGTGAGACCGGATGTGGGAAGACCTCCGTGTGTCAACTGTACGCGGAGGTAGTCTCGAAGGCGTTGCGCACGCTGAATTGCCACCAGAATACGGAGACCGCCGACCTCATAGGAGGGCTAAGACCCATTCGAAACCGGACTGCGCTAGAGTCTGAGACTCTCTTGGAGGTCTCGGCAGTCTTGCGTGAACTGGGCGTGCCAAACCCAGAACAGGATCGGAAGTCCCTTGCCATAGCAATCGAGGGTCTGCTCAAGGGCGGCGCTCTGCATAGCGCCCAGATGGCTTCCCTACAACAGGCAAAGGCGAAACTGGAACGGCTTTCCGCGATGTTCGAATGGAGAGATGGACCTCTTGTCCAAGCAATGCGTCATGGAGAGGTGTTTCTTCTCGACGAAATCTCTTTGGCCGATGATTCTGTTCTAGAACGGATCAACAGCGTACTGGAACCTGAGCGCAGTATCGTTCTCGCCGAACGAGGAGGCGATTCTACTGAGCTCCCATTGCTCGTAGCTGATGATGACTTCAAACTTGTGGCTACGATGAATCCGGGTGGCGACTATGGCAAGAAGGAGCTGTCTCCAGCGCTGAGAAACAGATTTACCGAAATATGGGTGCCTCCACTGACCGACAGGCATGACTTCGAATCTATTATCGATAGCCTGTGGCAAGATCAGATCCTTCGAACGTACACGGCGCCTATCTTGGACTTCGTTGAATGGTTACGTCTCCGGGCAAACGATCAGTCGATCAGCGGTATTCGAGACATCCTAGTACGTAGAGTTGCCCGATAAAGCGAGCATCTAACTGACGGATTTGCTCGTAATAGAGCTGGGTCCATTTCACTAATGCAGTATATACTTCAAGCCATGGCGCCATCCCCCCTAATGAGATATTCGTACGTGCAGCCCAAAACCCTGTGGTAGCATCCATTCACATGACATATTCATAGCATCATGCAGCGCAAATGGCATTTTTGGATGGCCTTGGGTCATTACCACAATTCTCGTCATACTCCCGCGACGCCTTCGTACAGCTGTGCTTGGATGCGTCGTCCAGGTTATGTGAACTTGTTCCCGTCCCTGAAGGGAAATTGGACAATGCAATGGCCTCTGACCCTGCGGCCGATGTTCAGCTAGGGTTCTTTTCACTTCCGCGAGGCCCGAAGGAATGTGTTCCTCACAATTTCAACCTTCAAGCCCCCACTACTCGAGATAACGTCATGCGAGTTGTCAGAGCTTGCCAGCTTTCCAAACCGGTCCTTTTGGAGGGCAGCCCAGGCGTCGGGAAAACGAGCCTTGTCACTGCTCTTGCCAACCTTTGCGGACATCAACTCTGTCGCATCAACCTATCCGACCAAACTGATATAGTGGACCTATTTGGTTCGGACTTACCAGTCGAAGGCGGAGAGCCCGGGCAGTTTGCTTGGAAGGACGCCGAATTCCTTCGTGCGCTGCAGGAGGGGCATTGGGTACTGCTCGACGAGATGAACTTGGCGCCTCAAGCGATCCTGGAAGGTCTAAATGCAGTCTTGGACCATCGTGGTACAGTCTACATTCCGGAACTGGGTCGATCGTTTGCGCGTCACCCCTCGTTTCGTATCTTTGCTGCGCAAAACCCGCTGAGTCAAGGTGGCGGTCGCAAGGGCTTGCCTAAGTCATTCGTCAATCGGTTCACCAAAGTCTACGTCCAAGAATTGACGCCGTCCGATCTCCTCCTGATATGTCGGCACATCTTCCCAAATCACCCCGAAGAGTCTTTGCGCGCGATGATCAGCTATACGACTCGACTCAGCGAGGATGTAGCAATCAGGCGGGAGTTCGGCCGCCAGGGTGGCCCCTGGGAATTCAATCTTCGTGATGTTATCCGCTGGGCGACGTTACTCAAGCAAGCCGGGCCGCAGGCTCATCCTTCAGACTTCCTCCTCCCAGTGTTCCTTGAGCGTTTCAGGAGCACCGCCGATAGGGATCATGCTCGCAAGCTGTTCCAAACCTTCTTCTCGGAAATGCCACTCGAAAACAATCATCACATCTTGGTGACTGCATCACATCTACAGCTAGGCTACTCATTGCTGGCTCGAGATGGACTGTGTTGCGGCCGTCGTCCCGGGCAGGTGCTCCAAGCGAGGCACGCCACCTTGGAAACCTTAGGCGCCTGTATCGCCAACGGATGGCTGACCATCCTGACAGGAGATCGGGGCATTGGTAAGACAAGCATCGTCCGCCTAGCAGCATACCTCTGCGGAAAGGTCCTCCACGAGTTGCAGATCAACAGTGCCACTGATTCCTCCGACATCTTGGGGAGCTTCGAAGAGGTGGACTCCACGCGGCGCTGCATAGACTTGCTCCAACAAGTCAGCGCCTTCTTGGCCGAAGCAACATCTTCTGCGGCATTGTCGCTTGTACGGATAGCTGAACAGCGCGATGTGGTGTACAGCACACTTGCCGCCGTCAATCCTACGGCTGCCGCCATCCAAAGCGCATTGCAGGCTGCCTCTGTCGCACTGAATGCACTAGGGACACTACCGGAGCCGTGGTGCGCGAAGCGAAACATCCTATGCACGCAGCTGGATGCTTGCCTTGCGAGCACGAGTCGCGGGGGAACGCTGGAGTGGGTGGATGGTCCTATAGTACGCGCACTGCAGGAGGGCCACTGGGTTCTGTTAGACGGTGCCAATCTGTGCAACCCTTCCGTTTTAGATCGCCTCAACTCGCTCTGTGAACTAGGTGGATCCTTGACGCTCAACGAGAGAGGACAGGTCAATGGTGCGGTGCACGTCGTCGAACCACATCCTAATTTCAGGCTGTTCATGTCCGTCGATCCCCAATACGGAGAGTTGTCCCGCGCGATGCGTAACAGAGGCCTCGAAATTTCTCTCGTGGAGGTTCTGACCTCCGAGGATCGCAAGAGAGTGTTGGATCACCTACACCTACCTGTCAATCTTGGGCAGCAAGAGGTCAAGACAGCCTCCTTGGCATACGAAGCCTGTAGGCGGGGGTTGTCGCAGACGGAGTCAGCAACTATCGCCGATGAATGGCCTAATAGCCAGCTGTTAGGTGCCGATTGTCCTTCTGCGTCTAACGCTCAAATAGCGCCTTCCATGGGATTATCACAAGTTCATGTCCATGACACCGTCCTACGCTCAGTATCTCATTTTGTCGCGGCTAGCATGGCGCCCCTATACTCCGAGCATCTCTCCCGATTCATCAGGGTGCACATGTCGCATAGCCAGGAACCACACCTGGCAGAGCTCGTGCATATTGTGGAAGCGACTTCGCATAGTCATATCTCGCGACTATTATGTGAAAAGAAAGGGCAGTGGGATATGGCCGTCAAGAGGACAACGCGCGCCATCCTCGCACAGGTGGGTAGACCTTCTCATATTGTTGAGTTCAAGTCCTGACTGCTTCATGTACGTCGCGCACAGCCACTTGGTACGCTGAAGCCTCCGACACATAACGCAGCAATGGGTCGTGGGGTTGAATCCGACATCGAAAATGCCATTCATCAACTGCGTTTGCTCGTTTCTGTGGAACTGGACCACGACATCAAGATGGTCCCGCTCGAAGACGAGTTCGATTTCAGAATGCCGGAGAGGCGTGGCCGCTCAGATGCTCGACGAATGCACGCCGTCCGTGCCGCGCAGTCGCTCGTTGAATCCATAAGACACGGGGCGCGCACATTACTGGACAGCATCAATATCGAGAACGTAGCACGAACTGTATGCCTTCTATTTTATGATCTGTATGCTGAACTAATCTTAATTGCACAGACGGAAGCCGGGGTCATGACACAGCTTGTGACTTACAGTCGCCACTTACGCACCATCATTCGCCGAAGCCCTTTGGATTACTCAGCCCTGCAAGTGTTCGTGAAGTGGGTCGTCCAGGCTTCAGCCGTACCATCAGTCACCTTCAACGGCATACACTCTTGCGCGCAGCTTCTCGAAGGAATTGTTTCTCTTACGTCCGGTTTGCTTCTGGTCGAACTCTGGACTTCACTGGCACCCTTGGAGACGTCAGCTGCCTCCAAACGACAAGTTGACCGACTGGCTCTTACGGGGCGTCGGCTACTGTTCTCGTCGAATAATGCGACTGAGCCCGACAACCTTGAAACAGCAGGCTTCACTGACCCATCGCCTCGAATCTTGGAACTCATGTCGCTCTGGACTTTGCCACAAACCAGGTCCACCCTCGATGACCAGAATCTCACACACGTAACTGAGTCAATCGTTCAGGTGCGTAAGAGCATTTGTGGCATGGGCATTCCAGCTCATACTTCGACCAAGAATCCCTCCGAGAACGATCGACACAACTACAGCATTGATGCCCGCCAACTCGACGACATCAGCCTGAATCTTGAGCTGACAATTCTGTCACGCTCAAATGCGGGGATGGTTTCTGAGGTATGGTTTATACCATTCATGGTGATCGGGTTACTAACTACTTCCCTCGGTGCAAGGATCTGGATGAATTCCTTGAATTTGGTTGCCGGTCCCTGCCACTGCCTAGGTTGATACCGTACCAGCAAATCAAATGGGCCGTCAATACGCGGAAAGGTAATGTATACCATACTGCGCAACCTGCCTTTCGCTTACGTCTATTTTAGCTCTCCCCGTCCTGATCATGAGAGCGCAGAAGCAATGGTTTGCAGGCGTCTGGGAAGTGTGTGGTTCATCTGAGGTACGCAACATCCTGCTCATCGATCAATTCTAGACTAAAGTTGAGTCAGGCGACCGATCCGCGCACCTTTGTCTTCCCAGTGGAGTTGCATGACACGATATTGACTTGGTAAGTACGCGACCCTCTTGATCGCTCGAAGATGGCTAACCGTGTACAGCGCTCCGAAGGAGCAACATCTGAATGACCTACAAGAACACGAGCTGGTCCTGCGACGTCGACTGCAGACATATTGTTTGCGTGCGTTCGGGCATGCTCCCCCTCGTACTGCCCAACTCGCCATGATGCTCGCGCAGACCGTATTCACGGTAAGAAAGAGCTCGAAGATCCGTCACATGTTCATTGAACGTCTCCTCGTCAGGTATTGAGGTGCACGGCAACGCTGTCCGACAGTGAGGATGCCTCCACAGAACGCCTCCCGTCAGCTCCACCACGTTGTAGCGCATCGATCTCGGACGCCGTTGAAATCCTCGGAAGAGACGAACGTCCTGGTCTGGAACCCTTGAAGCAGCAATTGCTTCCGATGCTTCAGCAGCTGATCAGTACACCGACTAGCGAACCTTCGCTGTTGGGACGCTGCTGGATTGCACTCGCCAAGGCTTTGTTGCAAATGTATGTCCCTGATGCACCCGTCGATCCAGCAGCAATGCAGAGATGCGCGGCCGACTTCTGGAGTGAAGAGAAAGCTTTCGTTTCTCGACAACTCGACCTACATGTCGAATACGAACGGCGCACAAGCGGGTTGCGAGATAGCGACACCATCCAATACCTGCGTCGGCTACTCGCTATCGTGGAGCGTAGTACCTTGGTGAACACCGAGTACCAATGTCCGAAGCGAGACGACGTCGCGCGGCTCCATTCGTTCTGGACAGAAACCACGCAGCTCATGACACAAGTCCTGCCGTCGTCCAAGCTCGAAACCCTAATGATGGACCTGAAGGCTCAAGCCCCCCATGCGATGACCCGTGAAGTTGTAATCCAGGAGTCTTTGAGCGCGTTCAATCAGCGCCTAGACACCATCTACCCAGATTTCGTCGACATCAGCGGTCCTATCCAACTGGCCCTGCTGTACATGAAGTTGGGCATTCATTTGGTTGCTGTCAGCTCAAGAGGCATGGGATTCACGGACCAACAATATGCAACCGCCACTCGCGCTGCCCTTGCTTTCCCGTCAGTGAAGAGCGCCGAACTCTTGCGGCAGGTCGAGGTCCCACGATCGTCGTCGACAACTGCAGTCGAACCTTCTCTGGCCATCATCGCTGGAGTAATCCTTGATGTCGCACTAGGCTCCGACTTACAACCCTTTTGGAGGCTGACGGAGGCAATCTTCGAGCAGATCTTCGGTCTTTGGGCCGTCGGGAGGTCCAGAAACGAACAGGCGGAGCGCGAGTCACAGTCTCTCTATCGCCACCAGAACGATGCACTTACAGAAGCCAACCTGGAGGAAGAAGACTTCTTGTCCTTATTCCCTCAGTACGAGGATGTACTCGAAGACAATCTGGCTGCACCCAGCACATCTATGCATGCGAAGCGATCCCCGCTGCTCAATTCAGCACAGATCGTTGCGCTAGGGAGTCTCCACAAGCATCTCTTCACTGAAGGTCTCAGCACGCAGTCCGCCTTGGACTACTTCATGTCACTGCGGCGAACAACCGTGGTGTCGCTCATTAGCCAAAGAATGGAGGCAATGCCAGACAAGCTCGACCAGGAGAGCAGAGCGTATCAACTTTCGTTGCTCCACGAGGCCATCGCTAGCTTCGACAGCGCCCATGCAAAGGGCGCGACATACAACTTCTATATAGATGCAAATTTCCCCCAGAGCAAGAGGGCTGTTACGGCACTGAGGGCTCTTCAGGGTCGGCTCGCAGCCTTGATACAAGATTGGCCCGATCAGATGGTGTTGCAACATCTGCAGAGTCGCTGTCAAGCCATCCTACGGCTCGACCTGTCTAGCCCGGTCGCGAAGATCCTTTCTGCACTAGAGCAGCTCGTCATGCACATCGAAGATTGGGAGATGTACGCGAACCGCGAAAACACCTTGAAGACGTACCAACAGACCTTGACCGGTCTCATTGTTGAGTGGCGTCGTTTGGAATTGTCTTCCTGGCAGGGGTTGCTGCAGTCGCAGGCTACAAATTTCGCAGAGGGTGTTTTTGATTGGTGGTTCCGACTATACGAGGCGACGGTCCGCGGCGTGATGTCTGCCTCTGCAGAGGAAGCGAACGGGCAAGATGGTGCAGTGCTGCATTATCTGGATGGTCTGATGCCCCTCCTGGACGAGTTCATCATTGCCGCCCCCATTGGCCAGTATGAAGCACGTCTGGACATGCTGCACGCTTTCAGTCGACACGTGGATTACGTCGCCAGTGGCAAGTCGGACGATCACAAGCAAATCTTCAATCGCGTCCATAGAATCTTGCGGTCAACGTGGCGGTATTACACCCAATTTGCTCACCATGTGCGTGGAACCCTGTCGTGCCGACAAGCAGAGCTAGAGAAGGAAGTTCGTGACTACATCAAACTGGCGAGCTGGAAAGACGTCAATGTGCACGCACTGAAGCAAAGCGCTCAGAAGTCGCACAAACAGCTCTACAAGGTTATTCGAAAGTTCCGCGATGTCCTTAGACAGCCAGTACAGGATTACCTGAAGACTCCGTCCGAAGACATTCGGGAGCTGCAAACGCCTCGCGAGCAAGCATATTCGCCCACTGCGGACGACGTTGACATACCGACTTTCCCGCCGGCCGCGGACCTACCGCTGTACCTCGCAAACCTGAATACAACATACAGGAACTTCAGAGGCCATGTCTCAAGCCGTGTGGCGACCGTCATCGCATCTATACCCGTCGAGGGATTGGATGAGCTAGCCAAGGAAGCCATCGTCACGTCGGCAGCTTTGGCGAAGTCGTCGCCTCCATCACACATGCAGTCTGCGCAACGTGTCAAGTTCCTTAAATCATTGCGTAGTCGAAAGAGAAGGGCCTGGAGCGATCTGTTGAAAGAGCTCAAGAAGATTGGATTGTCGGTCAATGTCAAGCCGGAGTTGCTAGAGCAGCTACGTAACCTCCGCTGGCTCCGGGAACAGGAGGTCTTGGCGTTCCCGGGACACTGCGAGCAAGACGCAAGACGGGCTGACGACTACTTTGGGCGTGTGTCGAACATGTTGCCCGAACTCAGGACTCTGATATCCAATCATCACGGGGATGTTAGTACGAGAGAGCTGCAACGAGGCATCACATTACTGGAGTCTGGATTCGCGATGGCTATTGACAATCGCCGCAGGCAAGTATCGCCTCTTGGATAACCGCGGCACTCAGCTGATCAGCGTCCTCTAGCATTGCCAAAACAACTGTATCCTTCGAACGGCTCCACGACATCGCTGTTCGGCTGCAAACGTTTACCTCTGCTGCCGTTACTCGGTCTGAGTTCACCGCAGAGCAGATCACAAACCTGAAGGACTATATGTGCCGACTCGTTCATGCGCTCGAAGAGATGCTCCTCCGTCTTCGAGAGCATAACGGATTGCGACCTGGGATCATCGTTGCCCAGGAAATGCTCGATGAGATGCAGCTACTGGTCGCGTCGTCGCGAGAACATGCGATGCGCCTCTCTGAGCTAGTCCGAAAGGTGAAACTAGTACCCAACGTTGTTCTATCGACAGGTACGTGCGCTACTACAGTACTTGGGAAAAAGTCACCTGACGAAACCTTTGACCAGATGAGTTTGAGGTCGTGAACAGTGCATCGAAACATCTGCGTGCCGTTGGCGATGCTCTGCAAGGCTGGTTCGAGGGTCCAATCATTGTTCGTTACTTCGCGGAGCCCATTCACAGTTGGCTCATGGACTTGGGGATCACGGACCCATCGTCCGTTGGGATTAAGACGACCAGTACCGATAACACGGGTGTGCTGATCAGCGCCCTGTTGCTCAGTATCCAAGCTCTTCACTCGTTATGCCCTCCGACAGACAAAGCGCCCGAGCCAACCGCAGACTCATTCGTGCACGCGAATACCCGCCTTGCTGCGCAAATCACAATGGCCCTCAATATTGATGGGATACTCGAGCAGTCAAGAAGCGTCCTAACTTCACTAGGCAGTTACCCCGCAGAAGACTCACAGCAGAGAGCCAGGAGAGTACTGCCTTTCTTGACGAGCTATATGGAGCTGGCTCGGCACCATCTCGACCGCCTGACGAATTGGACGGCCGCGCTATTCAAACTCGACTACGTGGTCTGCTCTATCATGCTGACACTCGCCAAAGACGGTTTCTGTCAGCCACCAGAAGCGGAGGATAACGGTGAAGGCGCGGAAGGCACAGAACTACAGACCGATGGCACTGGGCTTGGTGAAGGCGCTGGAGCAGAGAATGTCAGCAAGGACATACAGGACGAGAGTCAGGTTGAGGGTCTGCAGGGCGAGGAAGAAGGGGCTGATGAACAGGTAGAGCGAGCGGAGGAGGGCAATGCCCTTGAGATGAGTGAAGACTTCGAAGGTCAGATGCAGGACGCTCCAGAAGGCGAGGACGAAGGCGAAGGAGAAGATGGAGAGAGTGATGCTGAACCCGAGGAACAGATAGGTGATCTGGACGCGTTGGATCCATCAGCCATCGACGAAAAACTCTGGGGCGACGAAGCGGGTCCACAGGATACCCAGCAAGACGGAGGTAGCAATCAAGACGATCGTTCCTCCCATAAGCAGGACGCGGAGATGGTGGCCAAGGATGGTGATGAAGCTAAGAGTCAACCGGACGACCGTCAGCATGATCAAGACAATTCCGCTCCTGATGTAGGAGCCGACGATGATATCGTTGAGGAACAGCAAGGCGGAGACGGGCAGGAGGCTGACAATGGTCCGGAAGGCGCTCCTCTTGACGAGCACGTCAGAGAAGCCGATACCCTGGACCTACCAGATGACATGGACCTCGACGCAGGGAAGGATAACGATCAACGGGGCATGGATGATGACCTCAGTCTTGACGAAGGCGACGAGCCGGACGAGGAGACCATGCCGGGCGAGGACGATCCTGCCACAGAGCCTCCTACCGCGGATGAAGCGGACAACCAGCAGCATATGGACGATCTCAACCAAGCTGTCGATGATACAGTCGACGAGAAATTCCCGGTAGACGAAGAGGGTCAAGGGCTAGTCGCAAAACCTGACCTTCGTGGAGATGGTCAGGATCCCGGACAAGCGCGGGGTGCATCTTCTACCGAAGCTGACGAGATGGCCATGGATGTTGACGTTGCTGCCCAAGAGCATATGGTACAAGGTACAGGCCGTACTCAACAATCCATGGATACACCGCAGGAAATGGCGACGGAACAGAACTCGGACGAGGCGTAAGTTGCCATCTTCACAACATGACCGTCTCTGATTATTTGCAGTCATGTGGACTCCGAAGCCCAATACATAGTCCACACGGCGAGGGAGGCGATTCTGCCCCAACTACACAGTCCCAGCAAGGTGGAGCGCCGTCTGCACCTCGCACGCAACTCGATGCCAACCCGCTGCGTAGCCTCGGCGATGCACTGCGCGAGATTAGCCGGCACCTGGACGATATCCTGGAGAGTACGAGTTCTACCGAGCCTCCACGGAGTCATCCCGACGCGCCAGGTCAAATGGAACATCTCCAGCCGGACGATACAGCTGATCACACGCAAGCCCTCGGACCAGCGATGCAAGAAGAGGAAATAGCGAGGCTGAACGAGTTGAAGTTCGCTGCAGATGATCCTGACAGACGTGTCTCTACAGCAACACCCGACGAAGAGGCCCCAGTCGAGCATGTCATCAACGAACGATCATCCTCCCCTCAACACTTGCTTATGGGATCCACACCAGCATCTTGCGTCGAAGGTACGGAACGCGCCTTGACTCATGCCGATATCAGCCCCGAAATCCCAGGCACCGCCCAAAGCACGTCTGTCGTACCATCTGATGGATCGGTTGCTTCTCAGTCACTTGAGGAATTATCAAAGGAGGTGGAAATCAAGTTGAAGGAGTGGCAAGCAGACGGGCAACCTTCAGGGAGAGCCGGTGATGTCTGGCGGCTCTACGAGTCGTTGACGCATGATCTGTCCTACGCACTCTGTGAGCAGCTTCGGCTCATCCTAGAGCCCACTCAGGCGACACGATTGAAAGGCGACTACCGGACTGGCAAGCGGATCAACATGAAAAAAATCATTCCATACATCGCTAGCGAGTTCACAAAGGACAAGATCTGGCTTCGACGTACCCGGCCGAGTCAAAGAGAATACCAGGTCCTCATAGCCCTTGATGACTCCCGGTCGATGGCCGAGTCGCATTCTGTGCACCTGGCCTACGAAACACTCGCGTTGGTCTCCAAGGCGTTGAGCAGACTCGAGGTCGGTGATATTGCCATTGCGAAGTTCGGAGAGTTAGTCGAAGTACTGCACGGCTTTGAAGGGGGACCGTTCACGGACCACGCGGGTGCCAGGATCATCGATGCCTTCCACTTCGACCAGAAGGCGACGCAGGTGCTCTCACTCGTCGAGAGTAGCATAGAAATGCTGGAACGGGCAAAGGAACGCCGTGCGATGGGCTCTGCTTCAGCAGCGGACCTTTGGCAGCTAGAGATCATCATCTCCGACGGGATATGTCAAGATCACGAGAAGTTGAGAACGGTATTGCGAAAAGCAGAGGAGCAGCGCATCATGGTCGTGTTCATCATCCTTGATTCTCTGCACGCCCGCAGTACTGTGGACGCATCGAGCACTGCGTCCAGTCAAGGACAGGATTCTATCCTGCAAATGAACCAGGTCGCGTACAGAAATGTCGACGGCCGGATGGATCTGCATGTAGAGCGCTACCTGGACACCTTCCCATTCGAGTATTACGTCGTGCTGAGGGATGTGGAGGCGTTGCCAGACGTTTTGGCTGGAACATTGAAGCAGTTTTTCGAGAGGATAGCAGAGGATTAGCATCTTGTTGTACCTAACATAGGAATTATGCATAACGATACATATGAACGGTCACTCGAAAGCATGAAAGACACTTGAGGTAGACCAAGGTGTCGCACAAATTGTGTAGTTTTGGAAAACATCTTGGATTCGCAGCGATACAGTATGTTCGGCAACGGAACGAGCCACACACAGCGCGAACAGCCTCCTAGTACAGGAGCTGGGCCGCATGGGTCAAAGAGCTCCAGTATTGATGTCCCGAGTAACGCAATAGATGCCCGCGTGGAATGTGGATGACAGATCAACCACAGCGCGAGCATCCCCGGTATTGCACGATTGTGCAGGACCTCGGGGGTACATATAGATCTTGGCACACAGCACCGAGGCAAGCAAAGGACTGAGATTACATTCCAAGACTATTCTTCAGCGATATCGGCATGAGCTCATTCGGTATCAGCCCAGCAACCTGTAGATTTCAGCTTAGATGGATGTCCGTCCAGATAAAGGCATACGCGTACCTTGCGTATGTACTCCTCTCCCCCGACCTCCCAGCCACCCTCGGCGACAGGTAACATATCATGGTCTACCAGGTTCTGCGCCAGCTGTCCGAGGCCAAATTGCTCACCCGTGTACTTCCTCCACTGAAGCAGGTTTCGAAGCAGTTTGTACCGTCGCGTCAAAAATCGACGGCGTGCGGGAATCGCTTCAGGATCGAATCGCGGCTGGTTCAGCGCCAGATACGGTGAGACAACTGAATCGGTCGATGTCACTGCCCCTTGAAACACGGTGAAGACAGACTTCAACAACATCTAAGGCGGTAATGCGTGAGTGCAGATCATGGTTAAGACAAGGAAAGGTTTTACCTCAAACTTCAGGTTACTTCTCTCAACGGACAGCTCGATCTGCTCTGCCAAGTCTGTGAGTTTCCTCACGTCAGTGGCGGAGTAAGGGTCAAACGCCCCTCCCTCCAACAACTTGCATAAGCGGGGGATCACTGCCGTTGAGATCATCGCCGACACAAGGTCACCGTCCGGACCTAACTCTGGTTCTTCGTCTTCACCTTGATCTGCAGACTGACTTGGTCGAGAATACTGGTATAGTGCGTCATACCACGAAAAGCTGTCGAGCGTCCTGTCGTCCTACAGAGGATGCCATCAGTTACATACAACGAAACCGTCCATAAGGCGACATTCGACGAACCTCCAGAGGATTCCAACCGAGAATCTCGAGACGAGCCCAGAATTCCCAGGCGCCTACCATGCCCAAGCCGCCCCATGCGCCAGTGTAGCTGTCGCCAAATCGCGTGCGCCACCCGCCGAACCACTTCCCCAACCCCCGGTTGGGGTCTTTGAACTCATCCGCCTGCACATCAGACATGATCGCTCTGCCATCGCGTACCAATCTGCTCATCGCCGTCTGGTAGTCGGCTGCATCGGACGGCGGTAGCGATGAGTCCGTCGAATAGCCTTCCTCTTCATTGCTCTGCGCCTTGCCACCGGCTCGCCGGAGCAGTCGTCGTTTCGCTCGTTCATCGAGACGAGCGCGGCGTGCAGTTGCAGAGTTGGTATGAGGAACTAGACGACCGAGGTCGTCGACTTCGTCACCTGTTGGCGCCGCCTGTGGCAACGTGCCCAAGACAAGCGAGAGATCGTCCTCGTCTTCTGCTCGCCTTCGTTGCGCGACCATGTCGGCTCGCTCCTTGAGGAGATAGACTTGTTCATCTTCGAGCTTCTCAAGCTCGGGGTACTAGGCAGACTGTTAATGTAAGTAGTCTCTGAGAAGCGCACGGGCGTACTTTCTCGTCCAGGAAAGTAGCGACACTCTCTACCCATTCCCTAAATGCGGCGAACCAACTGCGTTTATCCTCAGCCTCGGCGATCATCTCCCGCATCTCTTCTTCTCGCGCTTCCAGCTTGAGCTGCTCGTCGCCGAGCGAAGTCATCGTAGCTGTATTCTGCTGATGCGATGTGGTGAGTGCTGTTAACGACGATGTCAGACGAGCGACTGCGGCACCCAATGTCGGTATAGGGGTGATGGGAGGAACTGCACAAAATGTAAGTACTAAAACAAAGGATGAAATATCGTTACGCACTGGGCGCAGCTTTGTATGTCGGTTTCGGCGCCCTCTCCGGAGGCTCATTGACGCGCAGTCCACCACGGCGAAGCTGTTCTTGTTCCCACTCCATCGTTTCTTCGTCCACTTCCTCTCTGTGGCGTATGTGAGCATGGACACCTCGATTGTACACAGTGAACAGGGCGTACGCATCAGCTATCAATTCATTCATTTCCTCACGTCGCTTCTTAGCCTCGACTTTCCTCGACTTCTTCCCAAGCGCGATACGCTCCTGCGCACTAGTGTACTCAGCGTATTCTGCCGATATGGATCAGTACGAATTTGACGATGATCTCGCTGCGCGCACCATCGTCTGCCTCTCCGAGTTCATCCTCCTCTCGCACTAGCCGACTCTCAGGATGTGGACCTTGCGAAAAGTCGCTTCCCTTCGAGACAGATAGCGAGATGTAGTCCCCGCTAGTGCTACTTGTCCCCAGTGTCCGCAAGCGCTCCCGCTTCTCTCTTGCAACTTGCACAGCAGACGCAGACGGGATAGTTGTCTCCAATTCCGCCTCAGCTGCATGTGAGATTCAGGAAACGATTCGTTCTCAGTATGCACTCAGGCTTACCAGAAAGGTCGATAATGCCAGTCATATGTGACTGCGGGAGTGAGTCTTCAACCATTGACATATCCGCATCATAAGATAGATCCCCCTCTGGCATTGACGGACGAGTGCTTGGTGTGCTGGCCTTGAGTTGTTTCAGGTATGCCGCGTCATATCTGACACTTGAATCGGATCGAGACGGCGATGGGAGGTCAATAGATGCAGTCTTGACATTCCTACGCCTGCGATGTCAGTGATAGATCAGACAGTGAGCTGTAGACATACCCTGCCGATGCTGGATGTTGCCCCAATGCCAGCTTCCTGCTGAGATTAGACTTCTTGACCTGAAATGCCTCACCCTCTCCTTCCTACCCCTCTTTGAACATTAGCAACCGTTCTTGCGTCGCGCTACGACGTCTCACCTCATCAGCTCCAAAGCTGAGTCTTGACTTCGGTTTCTCGCGTGTCTTCAACTTCTTCTTTAGCTTGGTGGCCAGTATACTCGGCGACTCCGCATCTTCAACATCCGCAGTCTGGTCATCGCCGGTGCTGTCGGCGACAACGGGAGTAGAAACACGGGATCGTTGACTACTCTTGGTCTTAGTTTTCTTGAAGACGACTGGGGCGTCTGCCATGGCCGTAGAACGAGGCTGCTCGTCGTCGCGGTAAACAACGTCGAGAGTCAGACTGACGCGAAGACAACGACCGCCGCGAACAGCGACGCCACTGGATTCTACACGGTCATGTGACCCGAGAATGACCTTCGCGGATTTGGTAAGATTCCCACGACCTTATAGTCTAACTGTGACCGCGATCATGTCCACGACGCGCCCAAGACCGAAACCGCGTCGCGCTCAGCCCGCGCCCGCTCTCTGCTCCCCCGAGCCTTCCAGTTCCACACCCCCTCCAACGATTGTCAAAGCCATAAATGTTGACGATGAGGACTCTTTGTTCATGCGGAATCGAAACCGCACAGCACAGGCATGGAAGAAGTTGAATAAGGTTGCGGAAGGTGCGCGCGCGTCTCACTGCCTTGGAGTGAGTCTGACTGTATGCTGGGTATACAGCACAGGAAGCGAAGCAACAAGTCATAGAGATATCAGACGATGACAACGAAGGCGTGAATGCGACGCCTCGTCGACGGAAGAAGCTCAATAAGAAGTCAGAGAACGGCGGGACACTTCCGAGCTGGACCAAGATGTCTGCCAAAGAGATGTGCGTTTCGCAGTCTGACAGATGAACATGACCCCTCATAGTCCACTGCAGCTTGACATCTGAGGATGAAGATGAGCTTTTGCAACGCATTCAAAGGCAAACACCCAACGGGAAGCGCCGTCGCGAGCCAGAGTGCGATGAGCGAAAGGACACTAAGCGCTCCCGTAGTCGCTCGAGGTCGATCACACCACCCCCTGCAGTGCCTGAACAAGCTCGGCAATATGCTCGTGAAGCTATTCGGTGAGTGGACTGCCCTCTGACGCCTACCGGAGACTGATTTGTGACTTAGGCAAATCATGGGATCTGTTCCTCGCGCAGCATCACCTATCGAGGTTGTCGACGTCGATGACTCAGTCGACAATATCGAACTCGACCCTGAACTCGCTTCGATAGCGAAGGCAATGAAGTCGTCAGCAGCCGAGCGCGCTCGAGAAGGTTCCGCTGCACCTGACGTAGGCGGCCCCCCGGTAGTGACTATCAGAGTCAAATGGATTCCACATCCCAAGAACCCGATCGCCCGGGAGCAGATTTGGGGTTTCAAAGTGAAGCGCGTGAGTGTCCTGCGTGCTGTCAGGCCACACACATCATGCTGACAGACTGACAGCATGATTCATTCCATGCGTTGGTCGACGAGGTGGCCGATTTGGCCGAAGTTATCACGGACCATGTCATTCTCAGCTACGACGATAAGAGAGTGTTCCCCTCTGCAACACCGCACAGCATCGGACTCTGGGCAGAAGCTGAGTTAGGTACGTGCAACCGGTGCCTTGTACTGCGCTTTGCTCAATGATTGTCTCCAGAGGCCTGTGACAGAATTACACATGAATATCTTCAGGAGACCAGGCGACAGCGATCTATGTCTGTCCAGCCGCGCGACCACCATCGGATAGGTTCCCAGTCCCACGAGCGCTCACCTTCCGTCATCCTGGAGGAGCTCGAGCCTACACCCGAACCCGAGACAGGCGCAGAGTCGACGGCAGGTGAAGAGGAAGAAGACGACAAGTTCCGTTTGACGCTACGGTCCGCAAAAACGAAGAACATCACGCTCACTGTCCGCCCCTCGACGACGTGTGGAGCAATTATCAAGGCCTTCGTGAAAAAGGCTGGACTGGCTGATCAATACCCGGACGTCGGCGGTCCTGCTGGGAAGAAAGGAAAAGGAAAGAATGCAGAAGGTCCTAGGTTGATGGTGGATGGCGACAAACTGAACCCATCATCGGAGATCGGTGAAGCTGATCTAGAGGACGGAGACCTCGTGGAGGTCGTTGGGCTGTGAGCGCATGTGAGCGCTACGTCTTTGTGTCCCGTCTCTTCATTGTTCTACGTTTTGGCTTCCCGGTTCGTCCTCACACGATTCTGTTGCGTATGTCTGTTGCGTTTGCACTGAGCTAGTTCATACTTTAGTCAGACTCATGTTGTCTAATGGAACGGCCGTAAGGCCGTGCTTACCGTACACTTTTGTGTCCAGGTAGCTGTGCAATCCTGTTCCTATTGAGTTACACTATGCCTCGCGTTACCATTGTTTGTGACAGGGTGGCGCGATTGCCTTGTTCAGTCACGGTCTTATATAGCGCTCCCGCGGGGCGCCTTCATCGGACATCCTGTACTAGTGTCTACACCAGCACTCGGCAGCGCTTCGACGACGTTCCGTACTTGGGCCTCAGGCGCCTCAGTGTCATTGGTATATCATTTCCAAGCGCTTCGAACTATTCTTAAGGACATCTGCTGACTGACCCTTCCGTCTAGCCACCTCGTAACTCAACGCCACAGGTATGTACTCTCCGTCTGGTACGTGGTAGTTACGCACTGATCTCCCATGCATGGCAGGCGGTTGTTCATGAGGAGGTTGCCATGCTTCCTCTAGAACTATACGACTACATTATCGATTTTTGCCACAACGATCTCGACGGCTGCGTGCCTGTTCGCTAGCCTCGCATGCGCTACGCGGCTCCAGCAAATACCACGTCTTTCGCTCCATCACGATTGACGGGCTGGAGGTCCTCAATCGCTTCTGCCAGCTCGTGTGCACCTCACCCGACATCGCCTCACTTGTACAGGAACTATACTTCAACACATACCGCCACTTCATGAGACAAGAAACGTTCATCTGGATTCACCACACCGCCGCGTTCCCTGTGAATAGGCTCACACGCCTCAAGACGGTCGGCTTCTCCTATGTCCGGTTTGGCCACCTCGCCGAATACCCAGTCATGCCCGCGTTCTACCAAAATTTAACGCGCTACCGGGGTGTCCGAGAGCTTCGGATCTCCTCCTGCGACTTCGAGCATATGGACGCCCTCGAGGACTTCATTTGGAGATTTGCTCCGCAGAGCGAACAGACCCACACACGGGCACCAGCGCCGCCGTTCGCGCTCACTCTCGACTGTGTCACCTGGGGGATCCCAGAACGTATTACTCCCTCCCGCGCGGATCTCTGTCTGACTTCCCTCACCATCGACAACTATTCGATGCCCGACCTCATTACTATGTGGCTTCTTCGCACACCGAGCCCCATGTACTGCGGCCGTCACCTTCAAATGTATGTTAGGATGGGAGCTGGACCGCGTGGGCACATTTCTCCGCAGTCTGGGGAACGTCCTCGAAACCTGCAACTGGGATAAGACTTGATAGTGTCCCGTGGCCAATTGGTAAGTTGTGTCTTTTGAATGATACAGATGCCTACCGTGATGATTTGTCTGCGTCAGATATACGGAACCACTTCGATCTGGCGCAAAACGTGAACCTTCGCTCCCTGCATCTGCGGATACTCGACCTGGATCGGCGCTTATGTCCTGGGTCCCTGCGCTACTACTCCAGGTTGCCCATGTACCCTGCAAAGCCTGATCTTCGATATTGGTTGTACGTGCCTACGCAGCTCGACTCGCCCGTATGGGACGAGATCGAGGCTGCTCTGTCCAGCAATCCGTTCAAGACGGTTCAAACCGTTTTGTTTGTCCATCGCGGCGCCTTGCAGTTCGCGGAGGCAAGGCGGGCTCTACAGAAGAGGTTGCCTGTACTTGTCCAGAGACGCGTCCTCACAGTGCGAGACTGCTCCAAGCCTCTTCACTAGCCACAGTAAATTATGTCGATTTGTCAGTATCATCCCCTTTGTGATCTAACAGATGGACCTCTGTTTTCTAGCACTTGTGCCGTGGCATGCGTGTACGGGTGAGGCTGGTGCGATGGTGGCCGCATGACATTTCACATGCTCGGTAACTAGCCTGTCCATCGCCGATTCATGAACCCAGGCACTTCCGATTAGGTGTGTAATTTGCGAACCTCGCGCGCTACTTTTGAGGTGAGTATTTCACATCCGCCCTTCATTTCACTCTTGCGCTACCTCGTTGCGTGATATCTAGCTAAGGTTATTACGTGATTTAGAGTTCCAACAGGGCGAGGGATAAAGATTGCCGTGCTCTTGTAGGGTCTCGTCCCTAACATGAGGGGGTCATGCCTCGCCGCCGCACTCCCTGCTGGTACAACACCATTCGGCTGGGGACGAGGCCAGTTTGCCACTGTTTTGGCGATGCACCCAATTTGCAATACAGTCATCTACCCCTGGTGAGTCGCTACCCCCCAGTGGTCGACTGCTATCGCGGGTGATAAGGATAATCGGAATGTAGACGCCCGGGATCGCTTCTTATCTCTCAAGCCGACGCGATGTTCGCGGCTTACCGTTGGGGGCTATTGAATGTAAACAGACCCGTCTTAATGCATGCATAGTCCGAATAAATGTCCAGACTGGTACTTCGAATACATGAGCAGCCTTTGAGACTACAACAGTACAACAAACAGAGGTGTCGGACTAGGACTGATTGATTTTATATGTATATATTGACCTACAGCATGCTCATGTACAGTACATTCGTTGTGGTAAATGTACACTAATTGCTCGTTGCCTGCAAGCCATGCAGATTCTAGCCACTCGGAGGTACACTCCGTAGACTCAGTGCGCGCACGCGTCCTCGTATCTCGGATAGTAAGTGATACCAATCGGGCTCTTATCACCCGCGATAGGCAGTCGCCACTGGGGGGTAGCGATCACAGGGGTAGATGACGTAAGTGAGCTACTGGCCATTCGTGAAGACTCATCCCCGTATAGCATCCCCTTGTACGCACGCAGGCAAACGCTGCCTCCTGCTCCCACATGAATCGCGCCCAATGGTCGGAGAGGCGCTACAATCAATGACGTTCCTGATGTCGTACCGAAATCGCACCCGCAAGAACTCAATTGAAGATTTGGAGTCGATCACTCCGGTCCCAATCATCAGTATCCGTCGGGTTAGCTCACAGGGATGACATACTCTCACACCCCGTCTTGCCTTACGGTTTGATTGCCGCTATGTGCAAGCCCCGTGCTCAAGACGTTGGCAAGCATGCCGTACTTGGCTCATGATACGGTCGCAAGCACAGCCCGTTTAGATGTGGTACTCCAAGAGTATGACTTGCTTGTACGTTCGGCGTTGTTCTATTCGGCTTGTGGCCAACTCGTGGCTACTCATGTGCGTCCCGTTTACGCCACAGTGCGCCTCTCTCTACGTGCCGGTGCGGATGTTCGCCCATATAATGCGATCGTGTATAGGTAGCATGATATTGCACGACCCACTTCAGATCTATGGCTGCATCATCTCTCAGACGTATTGCTGTCGTTACTGGGGCTGCTCAAGGCATTGGGCGCAGCATTGCTCTTCGTCTATCCAAGGACGGTCTCAGCGTCGCCGTGAACGACGTGCCATCGAAGCGTAAACAGCTGGAAGAGGTCGTATCCGACATTACGTGCAGAGACGGTCGACAGGCAATCGCGGTCACGGCCGACAATAACCTGCGAGGATGAAGTCCAGGCCATGACAGCAAATGTCGTCGAACAGCTCGGAGGACTGGATGTGGTGCGTCTGCACACGTACTGTATAGTTGCGTCGAGCATCAATGTATGTTTTGTTGGCAGATGGTTGCCAATACCGCGATATGCCATTGCGCGGAACTTGCTGATTGTGAGGGGCCATATGCCGTTGCTGGGAGACCCGCTAACGATAAACACCCAGCCACCTTAAAGACTGGGATAAGATCATGATGGTTAACCTCCGGGGTACCATGCTCTCCTACAGATATGCAGCGCTGCAGATGATTCAGCAAGGTCGTGGAGGCTGATCCATTGGTGAGTTCAACAGAATTTGTGCATTCCGTAATTCGAGATGAGATTTGACGCCAGTACAGGAGCGTCATCTATCGCTGGAAAGCAAGGTTAGGAGCAACGCTATAGCCGTAGCTGTTGGCTGACGTGAATGGCAGGGCTCAGTAGTATTTCGGCATATGCAGCATCAAAGTTCGGTGTCAGAGGCTTGACACAGTGCGCAGGTTAGTGTTGCGTCACAGCGCCGGTGGAATTTGCCTACACTGAAACGGCGACATAGCGCTAGAGCTAGTGAAGCACAACATTGCCGTCAATGCTTATGCTCCCGGAGTGATCGACACGAACCTGGGTAAGTGACGCTGATGACTTAGGTCAACGTGAGTAGACTTAACTCACTCATTATGACCATCCATCGAGCTGCGACCCCACGGCCCGGGTACTTGGAACTTGAATTACCTGCGGGGACAGCGATGGTTCAGGTACGGCTGCACACATGTTTAGGATATCAGTATGACTACAATTGCTAGTGCCACGCAGCTGCTCGGCTTACCGCCTTCTCGTACACCACCTCCCGCAAACCCTGATGTCATCGCCAGCCTGGTCTCGTACTTGCCGAAACCCGAGGCCTACTTCATCACAGGTAAGCCGAGATGCCAATTACGTGGATCCGACTAACCTATGTTTCTTGCTTTCACAAGGGCAAACAATCTCAGTGGATGGTGGGCTCACTTTCGACTGAATCCTGACATGGACATGTCAAATGCAGCTGAATACATGCATGCGTTGTCTGTTCACATGCCGATGTCCATCTCGATTGAATTGAAGCAAGCTGTTTCAAATCGCGCCGTGTCCTAGGCTCGGGCAGCGTCCATCGAGGCACATTCAACTTGGAGTTGACCATCGTGTCGGCGGCAAGTTCTCCAAGCTAATTAAACAACTCCGCCCCTAGAGTCACGAGAGCTTGTCGTCACAGTATTCACGTCACTCAGCCCAACAAACCAACTATCAATATGGCATAGCCAGCTCGAGCTCTACTCAACGCTGAGCATCAGTGCGGAGCGATTAATTATGAGAAATCCACACACACCGAACGCCTTCCATTCATCGGAAGGGACCATTGACAGTCGTAAGTCCTGGTTGAATATGGTATATAGACTCAATGTACGAGCCTTTGATAGGCTGGATGGACCCCGGTGGTCCGGTGGTTGACCTGAAGGACTCCGAGTCGCCAATAAAGTATTTAGTATGGGCGCCTAGTACATCGGAAAATTTGGGTGCCGTTCGTGAGCGGCCATAGGCGGTTATAAACGGCGCAACTGCGAAAATCTTGGCGGGGTAGTAAGAAGCGGTTATAAAAGCGGCACGGTTGCGATGAGCGATTACAATCACGCGCGGCGCGCGTCATAATCACCCGCGCAGCAGAAAACAATCACGATATAACCGCATACTTTCGCATCCAGCTGTACACAGTCGATTATGGTACAGTACCTCCTGCGTACTACAAAACGTTTCCCTCCCCCGCCTGTCCTCCCCCTCGCTCTTGCGTTATTTCACTACTGGTTACTCTGACTCTTGCCAGTCCCTACTCGACTGACTGAAACACTGAAAGGGCACTCGGACGCTTAGACTCAGGCCGGGATTCGAACGCGCGCGCACGAAATATATTTGGAGCGCTAAAATACAAGTGCTACTGACAACTACACTAAAGAGTCTTCAAGAGGAGAGACATGTCACGCAATATATGATGTCAGTTTTGCTCACGCGTGCTCACCGCCTATCGCGCATACATCGACTCGCACTCGCGCTGAGCGCAACTCTGCGCGTACGTCGACTCCGACGGACTCGCAGCCTCTGATTCTGACACACTCTTGAGCCGTCTTGGGACTCGGCAGCTTACTGATCCAACCGGGACCTCTTGGGACTGAGACCTCTGTACTAGAATGACCAGCCGCACGCGCAAGAAGCCGACCGAGGCGACGAAGCTACCCAAGGCAACAGCAGCGAAGACGAATGGCAAGGGGGGAAAAGAAACAAGATGCCGGCAAGTTTCAGCCCACTGGCAACTCACAAGAGCCTCGGGCTGCGCAAATGGCACCACTGCAAGCTCGTGCTTTTTCTCGCCGCGGCAACTCTTGTTCGTTCTCGCCTCGCAGGCCTGGTACTAGCTCTGGGCGACCGGTTCCGCGACAATCGCCGACGCTGCATTTCAATGATTCGCCTCCCAGGGAGCCCTCGGCATCAACACGCGAGCGCATCAACGTCAACCGCCGTGCGCGAAACGTTTCCCGGCACGAGAGTGGAGCTCCACGGCGACACAGCGATGTTCGTCGACGGGAGAGTGAACCTCAGCGTCGGGAAAGTGCTGGCGCTGCTCGTCGACGGGACAGTGAGGCGCGACAGCGAGAGAGTGAAGCCCGAGGGCGGGCGGTGCAACGGCGGGAGAGTGAGGCTCGAGGGCGGGGTGCAACGACAGGACTCGGAAAGTGAAAACCAGTGACAAGCAGTAAGCCATAATATTATGATTGACCGATACTTACTCTCGTGGTAGGAACATCAGCAGCTCCGTGAGCTGCTGATGGCGCAGCAACAAGAGCTGCTCCGCGTCCGGCGCAAGAATGCCGAGTTTCAAGCACGGCTTGCAGCGCATCAAGCTCGGAAGCGTGTTCGAGAAGACTACGACGGCGCGAATGGTGATGATGAAGATGGTACCGTACAGGCAAAGGAGCTGAGACTCTCGCGCACGGAGCCCGACAACAACCGAGTCCCGTGTCCTGACCGCGCTGGTCCCAGGACCCAAGATGCGGAAAGCGATATGCGCAAGGAAGGTGGCCGCGCATATGAAGACCCGTGCAGGGGATGCTGAAGGTGCCCGGGACGAGGACGAGGACGAGGATGAGGATGAAGACGACGAAAGTAGCGAGGAGTGGTGTGGATGGAGAGGACGACATCGGAGACGAAGAGCGCGCACAACAGCAAGAAACACTTGGCGATCGAAAGGCCGACGCTCGCCAGATATGGCGCAACATCCCAGCAGAGCTACGCGCTCACATGCGCGAGCTGTGAACGTTAAACATTGGACACAATGCCGACGAGCAATCATGATGCTATGGTGTCTTCGAATGCGTGAACTGTAGGATGTACTTATGTAGATCTTCATCACGAATGTATTCCATGCACGATTATGCTCGAGAAACCCTCCCACACTGATACGGAAATCACAATGCTGGTATTGACAATCAGACCACTGCGAAAATATCATCGCAAGGCTATCGTCTACAACGACGATAGCAAGGAGCATCGCCGCTACTAAACTAGGTCGAGGTGATTTTGAGCGCTTGTAGCCCGTTCGCCGATGATTATCGACGATTGTGACTCAAACATAACGGTGCCACATTGATTAAAACGCGTAAGTACTATTCATAACCTCTGCCCTCTGTAGTTATAATCGGCGCAACTGCGGCGAACGATTATGATGTTCAACCAAATTTCCCGATGTAAGTACAGTATACGATACTACTATACTACTTGCTGTGGCTGCGACTCGGCAACGACTTGACACCTCTTGGTACAGCTCAGCTTCACACTTCACTGCAAGTTCGGAGTACCCATGGCCGACACGTCGCAGTGCTTCACCTGTCGTAAGGAGGCGATGACCAAAGACCTCAAGCGTTGCTCACGCTGCCGCGGTGCCCTCTACTGCGTACAGTAACGCGCAATCTCTACATATCGCTACGTGCTAAAGCATCGTTTGCATACGCAGAACTCGCAATGCCAGACGAAGGACTGGCCGAGCCACAAGAAGCTCTGCAGCGAGTCGGATCGATGGTATGACAAGTACCGCGGGTGCCGTGATGGCTCGATGCACGAGGGTCTGTCCTGTCTCACCCCGTCATAGCCGCCCCGGGCCCGACCATGGCCAGCGCTCATCCCATCCCTCTAGGCGAGTTGGAACTCATAACCTGGGAATACAGTAACACAGATCCCGAGGACGGCGATCGCATGGGCTGGGGGAACGTTCTGCTCGAGGAGGCCGAGTACCTGAAGCGCCAATTCGAGGTGGACTGCAAGGGCAAGCAGTCCCTCTTCTTCAAGAAGTGGCCCCAGGGCTTCCGATGGACGTGTTGCGGCACGGACGGCGAGATGAACTACGGCTGCGACCACCACGGGACAGGGAGCAAGCCGTGCACCTGTGACTTCTGCCGGTGAGGGTGTGCGGGGTGTCTGGCTGTCCGCGACGGTGTGGCTGATACAAGTTGAGAGTAGTATGGGCAAGCCACTGCCTGACAGCATCTACTGCGAGCAGACCGGGCCACGTATGGGTCTCAAGCTCCCGCGCGGCCCAGACCCTCGGTCAGTCCATTCCTCATACGTACGACAGTGAAGACGTTGTTGAAGTTGGGTGTCATCTAGCTCGTTTCACCCCGCGATGGCTGTGTTGTGCGCGACCGGCCGGACTATATCCTGTATGGACATGTAGGGGGAGGCGATGGACGTCTAAGTGCACCCATTCATATCTACCCTTAAGTTGCTTACTGAAAGGCCCCGTTCGTGAGTTCATTCCACGTCTCCCATCGATCTGGAAAGCATACACACAGAGTGGTTCGTCTGACATTACCATGACTAGATATCGCTGCATACACATAGTTCCATATATAGACATCGCTTGTTTTACGCAAGCTGACCGCGCGACGAACGATTGATGCTAGTCTGCTTCAAAATGACGGCCCTACACTGGGACAGCCCGTTAGCGGAGTTACATAAGCCACTTCATCTCCGAAACGCGTGCGCAAATCTCGACGCGTCGCCTTTGCTCGAACCCCAGCCTGACGATGGTAAGGCTCTTGTCGATGTTCATCACGGTCACGAACGTTATCGTGGCGCTGTTCGTGGGCCGGGTGCTGCTCGTGGTCCTCGTCAGTGAGTATTCGTCGTCGACGGATCTTGAGCGTGTGCTGATCAGTGCGCTGTGCAGCGATGGGTATGGCCCTGACAGGCGGCGTGGCGAACCTGTTGTTTGCGCTGATCAACCCCGTGGCGACGTACTGGGCGTTCGGCGCGGACTTTGTGTTTGCAGCGGGCACGCTCTTCGTTGCGAAAGTGTGTCTTCCGTACGACCAGAGCGTCGGCGGCCCGGTGTGCTCTTCCAGAGCATGACTCAGGTGTGTGTGATGTCTCCGTATTGTGTGCGTATGGCTAATATAATGGGTCCTGCAGCTCGGTGTGTCGTTCGGTTTGGCGATTACAAGGATCGTGTACGACTCGGAGCTCAAGAAGATGTCTGCGAAGGACGGCTTCGACGTCGACGGGACTGCCCACTCTCACCTGCTCGCCCGTTTCTACCTGCCAGGCAGCCCTCGCCCTCATGATTGCTCTCGTCGCCCGTCTCACACGCTTGCCCGCCCACTAACCACCCGCTTGCCCGCTCTCGTCCGCCCGCCTCCGTCTTCTTGATGACTCGCTCGCCTACCTGCTCTTGTCTATCCGCCCATCATGCCAACACGCCTGCCTGCAAACTCACCCTCCTGCTCGCTCGCCAGCGCTCACTGTCAGCTTGCTCCTTACCTCGCTCGCCCGCCATTTCGCTGTACCCCTCGCCCGCCTCACACTTGTCTGTGTACTGCTCACCTGTTCCGCTTGCTGACTGTCTCGCCTGCCCACCACCTGTCATCCCTCTATCCCCTCTCGCTCACTGTCTCGCTCGCTCGCTATCTCGTGCGCCTGCTGTCTGCCGACTGTCTCGCTCACCGACTGTCTTGCTCGCCGACTGTCTCACTCGCCCGCTGACTTGCTGTCTCGCCATCTCGCTGTCTCACGCAATGTCCCGGAGTAAGAACCACAACTTCAAAAGCATCCATGTGACTGTTATACCCACACCTGCACAGCCTCTCATCCACAGTTCTTCTTGCACGCGCCCTCTCGCCTGCGCTCTCATCTACTCGGCCAGCCGGCCACCCACTCACCTGCATGATCGCCCATGCGATTGTCCACACGTTCACACACCCACTGCCCTGTGGACCCGCCTACTTGCACGTAGACCCAAAAGCGTGTATGAGCGAACGAAAATACGGGCTACGAGAGTGATGATCTCGAAGCAGGTGTACGCCGGACGAGTACAAATCATTAGTTTAGGTATTAGATTATATCGTGATAGATCTCAGTTCTGCCACCTGCCGATCTGCCGCTGCCACCCGCCGAGTCGCCGTGGCCACGGCATTGCTCGGCCATCACAGAATGGGTAGCAAAGGGGCTGTCCCGGTGTTGGGGGCGCGTTTTGAAGCAGACCCTTAGAAGACCGTCCTCTCCCCCACTCAAAGAGGTTTTCTTTAGGGTCTGCCTAGGGGAGACTAGATTGATGCCTTCGCACTCGCAACACACTCACATGAGTACACATCTTCGAGCGCAACATCGAAGCGTCGCAGCATCTCACACAGCGATCCCGTCAGTGCACCAGACTCCGACCCACGTCCATCAACAACAAAAGACCACGCAACCAACACATCAGAGAGGAGTCGGCGGCGGCGGCAGCGGCAACACCAGACGTCGCGCGCGCGCGCGCCCGCACACACTTCATTAACGTAATAAGCGGTGGGTGTGGTGGGTCACTACTAGTCACTAAGGAGACACGAGGTAACACAGACAAAAACAAGACGGGTGGGCCACAGCTGAGCAGACGGTCTATCGGGCACTTATTCTATATAGAGGGAGGCGATCATCCGTGTCCATCGTGTCGGGGACAAGCAACGTGCAATGGCAGGGGGCACTACTAGTAGGCTAGATGGCAATAGCAGCAGCAGCAGCAGCAACAACGGGAGCGGGAGCGGGGAGGTGGGGGGATGCAGAACTTCTATGTGGGGTATCCGGGAACGAGTTATTTAATCGAGCAGCGAATAGCGTAGCGTAGCGTAGATGGATGGGCTGGCTGGGTAGAGAATACACTTCTTGCGCATGACTTGGGGACGGGGACTTGAGAGAAACGGGAACGAACCATGAGGGGGTGGGGACGCCGACGACGACGACGTGCAAGGCAGACCGGCACCTATGCGCCTCCGCCGATATTAAGCCGACAAGCACCCCGCCACCCACCGAATTACCGAGAAACCTAGAAACGCAGCGCCGTCGTCGTCGAGCCCGAGCCCGCGCACAGGCTACGAGCCGTGCTCGCCGCCGCCCCGCGCGCCCGCACGGTAGCCCGTCGCCGCGGCGAACTCGCGGAAATGCGGGAGCTCGACGCGCTCCTGCGCCTCCGCGCCCTCCTCGCCCGCGCCGAGGCTGAGCGCGCGCTGGTGCGGCGACGACGGCGACGAGGGAAGCTTCAGCGGCGGGAGCTTGATCGGCGGGGACGCCGCGCGCGAGACGGGCACGGACGCGGCCTGCGCGCCGGGGTACTCCGGGGGCGGGGGCATCTCGACGAGCGCGGGCCGCCGCGGGTGTATCGGCGTCATCCCGAACGCGACGCGGACCGAGTGCGCGAGGTGGTGGTGCGGCGGCGGCGGGTGCGCCGCGTGGTGCGCGTGCGGCGGGGACGGCGCGCGCGAGCTCGACGCGCTGCCCGTGCCGAGGCCCCCGAGCGAGTGCGCGTGGCTCCGCGGCGAGCTCCCGGAGCTGCTCGGCCCGCTGCTGAGCTGCGGCGTCGGGATCGCGGTGCGCTCATGCGTGTACGGCGCGTGGAAGCCGTGCCCGACGCCGGCGCCGACGTGCGCGGAGTAGTCGAGGGGCGCCGCGTGCGCGCCGAACGACGCGTACGAGACGAGGTCGCCCGAGCTCCCGCGCTTCCGGCTGAGCAGCCCGTTTCCTGAGGGCGGGCTCCCCGCGACGCTCTGCGCCTTGCGTGAGCGCGCCTCGTAGGGGTGCGCGTACTCCTCTGAGCTGTCTATCGACGCGGGCGGGAGCCGGAAGGGCGACGGCGCGCGCGAGGGCGTGCCCGAGTGGATGTTGAGCGTGCGGAGGCCGCCGAGGAAGGGGCTTGTGCTCGGCGTGACGTACTGGCTCGGCAGCGCACTGGTTTGTTCAGAATTGGGATGCGAGTGAATCGTAGATTGTGTGGCTGTATGCGCGTGCGAGGGGGACAGCGTCGGCTGAATGGAGTCCGAGTCCGAGGAGATGGGTGACGGCGAGTCGTCGTGGCCGACATGGAGGCGCTGGCGGTGCGGCGCGGACGCAGCGTGGTACGGCTGTGCCCAGGGCCCGTGGGGGTGCGACGCCGCGTGCCCGGGTCCGTGTCGCGTATGCGCGTCGACGACGTGTCCGCTCGAAATCGGATGCGACGCGAATACGTCTCTGCGTGCCGCGCTCAAGCCCATGCGCCGGCGGCCGTCCACGAGGTGATCGTCATCCATCGCGGCGAGCGGGCGCTCGCGCTCCCTGCTCGTGCCGAAGTAGCCTGCATCGTCCGCGTGCGGCGCCGGCGGGTAGAACGGCGTCGTGAGCGGCGTGTTCGCCGCGCTCTTGGATAATCGGCCGTGGAAGGAGAGGATGTCCGCGTGGCGCGCCTCGTACTCCGCTCTCCGCATTGCCTCGCTGTGCCGGATCTCGTACTCCGCGCGGCGTAATGCCTCATGGCGCTCGAGCGCGTAGAGCTCTTCCATGGCAACACTCGACAACGCGGAGAACGCGTTGGGATGGGGATGGGAGGTGACGTGAACGGGGGCGGACGTGGGTAGTAGGGCCGCGAGGGCGGGGTCGTGCGCACTCCGTCGGGAATGGAAGCTAGGGCCAGGGTAGTCGTACGCTGTCGGGTCGGTCGTAAAGAGCGCGGTTGGACGCGCATAAGACTCGTCCTGCGAGGGCGGTTGTCAGTACACAGGGCGGGGAAGAGCCCCATATAGCCACTCCGAGCATAGTCCGAGACGCACCTCGTCGTCGCTGCTAGCACGGCTTCGTGCCTTCTTCTGCACCCTGACCCTGTCCACCTCCATTCCATCACCACCTCCTCGCCGGCCGGCACTCAGCTCCGCGCCCTCGTCCTCGTACTCTCCCTTGGTCTTGCCTTTGCCGCGGTGGCTGCTGCTGCTGGAGCTCGACCCACCGACATGTGAGGGGTCGGGGTGCGCGTGCGCGGTGTTGTGGTTGTTGTTGTGTATGCGGGAGTGGCGGGTGAGCTCGTCCGAGCGGGAGAAGCGCTTCTCGCAGCCAGGGAACGTGCACTCGAACGGCTTCTCGCCGGTGTGCGTGCGGATATGCCGTGTCTGCGGGGAGCGCGCCATGTGATTAACACGGGCGGAAGTGCGGGGCGACGGCGCCTACGTACCTGGTGCTCTAATCGACTGAAGGCGCGGCCACATAGCGGGTAGGGGCACTTGTACGGGCGGGCGACGACCTTCTCCTGCGGGGGTGGGGGCGGCGGCGGGGGAGGCGGTGCTGCTTCCATCTTGACGCGGACGGCGGTGTCCATCGCATCGACGGTCAATGTGGCGGGGGAGGGGCGGAGGTGGGGAGAGGGAAGAGGGGCGGGGGCGAGAGGGGGACATTATATTAGTAGGGCCGGCGGCCTGGGGTGCTGCGAGGGCAGAGGTGATTGACACGTACGAGAAGAGCGACGTCAGCGCGACGGACAGGGACCGGTTGTTGTATTGGTGTTGCAATGATGAAGGTGGGACGGGGGACTTGACGGGCGTGCGCTTCGTGCGTATGTATGTGAGATAGCCCGGCGATACGGAGGCGTGCAGCAGTGTGGGGGCAGCGCGGGCCGGGGAGGGCAGCGAGAAGGCAGCGGTTCGTGATCGCGAACGCGGGCAGCGCAGGGAAGCTCGTCGCGAGAGGGTCTGGATTACAGCGGGGGCTGCGTCTGGGGTAAAATAGCTGGGGCCGCTGCAAATTGCGGACGGACAGGAGGCACTAGGCGGAGGGGCTCGCCGGGCTGGACGAGCGGGGAGGTCGTTGGCAGAGCAGAAAAACGTGGGAAGCGAAGGCGAGGGCAGGAGAATATGAAAATCTCTGGGATCTGGCCGAAGTCTGGCACAGGTTCCCCGCACTGTGCCCCGCTCTGGCAGTGATCGTGCGGGCGGCCGGGGTGGGACAAAGACACGGGTCCGGGCGCTGGCGGGCGCGGGCTGGGCGGTGACGATGTGGGCGAGCTCGCTGTGCTGGGCACTGAGCAGCGGTGTGGGGTGGTTGACGTCGATGGCGAGAGAGCGATAAAGAGAAAAGAGCGGGCGGTGGGAGATGTATTCCGCCTGCTGGCTGGGAGGGTCCCGCAACCTCGCCACATTCGGTCCGTCCCCCGCCGGCTATCCTCGGCCCTGTCGCTTACGTACGCACACCTCCGCCTTCCGTCCCCCGAAATCCGCCCACTCTGATCCGAGCCGCCGATCGCCCCTCGCCCCGCCCGGCCGCCGCTTGTCCTCCCGCCGCCTGCCCTTCGCAGTCGCACGAGTTTGCACGGATTATTTTCGCTGGCACGCTGGGCCTCTTTCTGCCTCTTTCTGTGTCATCGGGGGCGTGCACGCCCCGCGGCCGTCTCGGCCTTTGCAGCTTATCTCCTTATCACGCGCCAGCGACCGGAGGACCCGCCCAGGCGGTGCCCTGCGGTGCCTTGCCTGCGTGCGCCGCACCGGACAGACGCCGCTCGCGAACAGCTTGCCAGAACGCGCGAGATCTCGAGAGGGGATAGCCGAGCCCATCACGCACAGACGCACTCTCCCCCCGCTTCCGGACGTCTGTCGTCACCGCTCCCCACGGGGCGGGCCCTCTGCCGTTATCCGCTGCACGCCTCGCGCTCTCGCCCGCCGCCTCGCCTCGCCGCTATAAATCTCGCATGGTCTCGCCGCGGTAAACCCTGGTCGCTCTTACGTGTCTGCGCGAGACTGGGGTACGCTGTGCGGCGTGCGCCGCATGCACGTCGGGAGACCCGCGCAACGCGACCGAGATGTGTTCCACGTTGCACGTCGACCTGATGTCAGACAAGGCCCACAGAGCGCTGTTGCTCCTGCAGTGCTTTCATATCGCTCACCGCTCGCCGAGCTAGCCCGTTATGAGTAGGTGCGTTCATGTCTTGCCCGTTCTTTGACAGCTCTGGCGCAGCACCGCAGATTGCATAGCAAGACATTTCCAAATCTGGAAAGTGCACAGATCGCGCAAGCATCGTCTTCCTCGGGCACTGGCCAAGGGTCTCGTCTCGTCGCGACTCAACTCCCCACATGCTGCAGCGGAGGAACCACTCAACAGCTGATTCCATATCACTAGACTCCTTCCCCGAAACGCGTGCACAGGCAGAGGTCGTCAGGCCCTCGTCTGACCTTCGCGTCGGTCCTAGTGCTCGCCCTCCGACATGGAATCAATCGGAAATAGCGGACGCATACGATCAACCGGTGTCCTTCCAAGGGGACCTGTAACGGTTTCCTTGACTATGGTACCCCACGCGGCGTCGTATCATCCCCATCGCCAACTTAAGTGCCGTTTGCAAATCCTTCGGAACGGAACCAATTCCTTGCAGTCGCAGACCCTCGTACTTAGATGTGGCATACGTCCTTCCGGTCAGCAAGCTCCGATGCCGGCCGCGGCAAGGTGTACCTCGCAACAAGCAGATCCCGGCGGTCCTCCTGCGTGCGGCACCCCGCAACAGGAACACCGCTCCTTCGTGGTGGATCGTGATCATTGCAGGAGGCCGCATCAACACGATCCAGCTCGAAGTGAGTAGAAGCGAAACTACGGACCAAGGGATAATATCATCCCGACGCGCTACAGATGCAATGACTTGCGTTCCGCGCATTCACTGCATCGCATTGCGCCACCGAACCACAGGCATCAACGTCCTACTCCCGGCCCCCTGCACACCCTTCCAATACTCCTCAAACAGGTTGCTGAGACCCGTACTGCGGACGAGGCACTGCCGCCTCCTTCCCCGCACTCACACCCGCACCCGCCCGCGCGCATCTCGGAGCGGCTCTTCGACCGAGCGACTGTCTGTCCGGGGTAAGGTACTGTACCACTGGTCCCGCTGCCGATTAGGTCTCCCTACTTCGCACGAGTCATGATGCATGACCGTGGGCTTTCCGCGTCCAGCGCAGTGTGATGTGTCCCGCTCCGCTTCCGCGGTCCGAGTGGCTGGCCCAGGGCCGGCTCCTCTGCGCGTTCCCGCGTCAGCGCAACCAAGAGGCCCAGTACAACCGCGCGCGCGGACGCCGCAGCTGTACACGCGTGACGGGCAGGTTCTCGAGCGCGAGTCCCGGACGACAGCACTCGCAGGGAATCATTTACAGTAACATGGGTTCCCAAACAGGCGTGTGGGGCTCGCAATGTGCCGAGCGTACCCCGCGCGTGCGTGCCTGACAAACCTGGTAGACTTCGCGGCCTGTGGGGCCCCTCGATCTTGTGAAGCCTATTCTTGCGCCTCGCGATGGGTATTCTCGGACGGTCTGGCCCTTTGTTCGAAGCATGGGTGCTGCTGTTGCTGTCGTAGCCCCGCTCGAGAGGTAACCCAGGTGCAGGAGAGTTCGCCCGCGCTGCTCATTGCGCAGTCCGGGTCTCCGCTGACATCCACATCGCTGCTGGGCAGCTCGCACGGAGCTCGGACGCACAGCAGACCACACGGTACATCGCGCGCCGTGTCCCCCTGGCGCTGCGCGCTCCTCGTTGCCGTCTAACATCCAGGACCGTACAGACGCCGAGCGTACCATACGGCAGTCCGGCGTCGCGCTGGGTACGTTCTCTCGATGTGTGCCACGCAGCAGACGGGCCCCGAATCCGTCAACATCGCGCAGTCGACGCCAGAGAGGCGTCCACCGCTCCGCCCCTTCCCAGCTCCGGACGCACGAACCCACCGCACCGCAAGCTTCGCAGACCGAGCACCCCGGCCCCGGGTCTGGCGCCTTCCGTTCGCCCGTACAGGCAGGCCGACTGGCGATTTGGAATGGGCGTGGGGTGGCTATCTATAGCCGTGGTGCGCTGCCAAGACGGTCCTGTGGTCTGTGGGTGCGCACGGATTTGTGCGTTCGGCGTTCGTTTGGCGGCTGCCCCTTTGGGTTCCTCCGAGTGCCGGAGCGTTCAGCCTGAGCAGTGTACCTCTCGCACGCTGAGTAGCGACGCATGGATGTGGAGGCGACTCGACGGGGCTGGAGAGCTGGGACACAGGTGGTACAGAAGCAGTGCGTGTGGGACACTCTTCTCTGCTCGTTCTCTGCGGACAATGATCACCAGCCACTGGACAGTTTCGGGCGCGAGATGGAAGCGCTGCGGAGTCCGGACGCCACGAACTCGATGGTGATCATGATCATGACAGAACTCTATTGGCAGCGCCACGACCCATCTTTCGAACTTGCAGGGAGCTTCTGCCGCGCGCCGACCGGAACAGGCGATATATCAGCTAGCTGGCTACGCAGCACCGTGACGTATACGTATGATGCACTACGACCACACTGTGCAGCGGAAGGTGGCCGCTGGTCAGCGCGGTCAAGCTCAAGTTCTCAGCCGTGGCGGTGCGCGATGACGACGTAGCGAGACACAGAGGAGGGCGGGACGTCGGTATGTATGCAGCGCCTCTGGATCTCCGCTCTATTGCATCACTCCGTCGACCGTGGTGGAAGACGGCGCAAGTGCCTCGCATTGCAGGAGAATTCAAAGACAACCACGCCGGATACCCCGCGCTGTCAACCCCGTCGTGTCAGGGCACCCACCTGCCGACGATCATGAACTCACCGCGCTTCGCAGAACGTCCTAACAGGCCCCTATCACCGCTTTGGGCAAATCAGACTCCAGCCAGGAGCTGTCACAGGCTCTGGACACTGGAAATCTTCCCGCCAGGCGTCCCTGACGGAAGCCCGGAGGTGGGGAGAGTTTGCGCAGGTGCGCTGTGCCGCCGGCGATGCGCGAATGTCCCGCACTGGGTCCGGGAAGTGAAGGACGAACGGGGAAGGGACCTTGCTGTCTAGGGTAAGGTTCGGGATGTGTTGTGGTGGAGCGTCGGACTGAGGCTTGCGACGGGATCACCGACCCAGGACACGGAAGATCAGGAAGCTGGCCTCTTTCTGGGGTCGATACACACGAAAGGGCGGCCACTCGACAATCCTCGCACTGCAGTTCATCAAGGACGCATGACGCATGTCAGACGCAGCGCTGTCCACGACCGCGTCGTAACGCTCAAGCTTCAAGCCGCCAGCTTCCGCGCCTCGAACTCAACCCACAACGAGGAGCATCCCATCTCAGACGTCAGCCCCTCGCACTCATCCGCAAGACGCACTCCCCCTCGCAGATCCCCCAATCTAGCCATCATCCCCCGCTCGCTTCCCCACAACCCCAGCGACAAGCGTCCTCCGCGTCCTCGCCCACCCTAGAGCGGGCCTCCGTCCGTCGCGTCCGCAGCGCACCCTCGCAGTCCGCGGCGAACGCAGTACCCGACTCCCGAGCGCCGCGCACGCTTTCTGGACCCCCTCGAGGCCCCGTCGTGACCACGACCGCGGCCACGACCCCAGGATCCCCACGCGCGTCGACCCCACCTCAAAACTCTATTCCGCCGTCTACGGGTGCTCGAGTTCGCGGATACCCACGACCATATCGGAGCGGGGAAACTCTGGGGCTAGTAGTATCAGACTACGTGCCTGGAGGCGCGCCGCTGGTTGGTGCGCGGGTGCGCGGGATCGCAGGGTGCGTGGTCGCGTATGATCGATTAGCTCACTGCGTTGGTTTGGGCCGTACCTCATGTTGCAGGTTCTGCCGAAGTCCACCTTGTAACTTACTGTCGACACGGACGGAACAGTTGGGCTGCGTACCTCGAGTGACCTCGAACGTCGAACCTCTTTCCCTGCTCCTCCTGGAACAGTCCCACTGCTACGCCCTGCATACAAGCTCTCCTCCGGCGACATCCTCCTACCTTACTGGCAGATTCTGGCGACGCGCTAAAAATAGACTTTGTCACTGCGTCCGCGCATCCGTGGTCGAAGTTTTCTGGTTCCCACATATATGTAGGCAGCAAAGTAAGGGGTGCGAACGCGCCGATGCTCGGGAGGCACGTTCGTCAACACGAAGACGAAATGATGAAGGAATCGGTGCGACGGGGCCCTGCCGACGGCAGTTTGGCCTGGGCTCGATGCTGATGTCATGGTACCGCTGCTTGTTGCGTCGTGCGAAACGTGGTCGGCGGGTTGTGGTTGTAGAGTTCGAGAATGATGTTATTGAACCCGAACATGATCAATTATAGACGATGCAACAGAGCCTGGTGGTATGAGCGGCGTCATGAAGCCACGAAAACAACATGAGATCGGCATAATGCAGTATGACGTGAGGACGATATAGACATACTTGACTGCACGCCGTAGGCATCGCGTTGATATCGGGATGTGCACTACGGCGCAAGTCAATACGCAGGTGGCGAGTGAACGTGCTGCACGAGATTGAGAAAGGCTTGCCTGGCGGCGAACGTAATTTCTTCCTTGCGTGATGGGTCTTGCGTGTTACGGGTGTAGCGTTTGTGCAACATCGACACCAGTTATTCCTGGCTGATCGACATTGCCTCCAGCGTGCAGGCTTCACCCTCAAACGGACCCTGACGTGTTCGACCTCCTTGGATAGGCGGGGTGCGGAGCGAGCCGGGTTTCGACGCCTACTTCGCAATGACGGGCAGACGACCAGAAGATACGACGTAGACGACGCGCCTGCAGGATGATTTGACCGACTGGTTAACTCTTTTTCGGAGGCGTCTTCAACGTGGCAAGCTCCGCCAGCAGCTTCGCGCGTTCGTTCATGAGAGCAAGGGTGTACTCCGTAGGCGACGTGTGCCGCGTGATGAGCCCCGAGCTTCTGCTCCCACTGGAGACACGCCGAGGTGTGCCTGTGGACCTTGACAATCGATTCGTTTCGAAGAACCCGACCTCGGAGTCGTCGTCTACGCGCCCGATCCAGCCGTCGTACCTCACGGGCGCAACCCTCGGTCTTGGTTCTGCGAACGGCCGGACGTGCGCCGCCTCCGCGGGGCAGTCGCAGTACTCGACGTCCGGCTCGACGACGGCGGAGGACTCTGCAGCAGGTGTGAAGACGAGCGAGGGCTCCTCGATTTCGTGGATGCAGCGCGGGCGACGTGGTGCGTCTCGCAGACCCGCTGTCGGCGTGGGGGCAGGCGGTCGGACGAAGGTGCTCTCCCCGACTGGCTCAAACACAATCGACTCCATGGTGGTCTGCGACTCCGCCGGTTCCGAACGCGTGAGAGAGAGGTTGGACGGCACCGTAGAGTGCGCGGAGGACGACACGGTGCCACTCCGCCGCGCGAACCGCGCCGGGAGCGGCTCGACGCCCCTCGCGCTCGTGCTGGGCAGCACGCCCATGGTCTTGCCGAGCCAGCAGAGCAGCGCACCGACGAAGACGCACTCGTCCCACGCGCCGCTGGCGAGGCGCCGCGGGTCGACGTCGCTGAGCCCGACGTCCTGGCCGATGACGTCGTTCTCGAGCACGCCGAGGAAGATCTTCATCGCGTGCACCTTGGCCGCGAAGTCGCGGGCCTGGCGGAGCTGCGCGGGGATGTCGAGGCGGGAGCGCAGGAGGCACTCGAGGACGGCGACGAGGAGCGAGGGGATGAGGTCGTCTGGCGCGTCCAGGGTGAGCGGGAGGTGGAGGGCCTTGAGGAGGTCGTTCAGGGCAGAGACGAGGTCTGCAGAGGAGGAGGGATGCTCGCCAGGCCTCAAGCTCTCCATGCGGGCAGTTGGACTTGGCGGTGTCGCGCTCGTGGCTAAGTTGTGTGCACTGTGGCGGTGGTTGAGCGGGCACGGGTAGCGGGCCGCCTCCTGCCTTTCTGGGTGATTGCCGGCGGTACAGTGCACTCCGCAACGCCGGTTCCATCAGCTTGTCAGTCGGTTGGTCGGTTGCTGGTCGGTTGTCTCTCAGGCTGTCCCGACTTCTAAGATTGAATATTGAATCCCTACGGAAACCTGTAGTCTGGCTTTCACCATGACTTTTTGTGCTCTTCAGCCTGATTCACGATTACACGGGCAAGTAGTAAAGCAGCACGTTGAGCCGTCGACCAAGCTCGCCGATAAGCAGATTGCCAGCGGCGGTGAAGATCGCGCCGGCACCTTCAGGGGTCATTCAGGCTGCTTCAGCTCAAGCAGCGACCTCAGGATCCATCTTGACATTGACCATGGCTTCCACAGGTCTCATTTGCGTCGGCACCTTCATCGACGCACCTACTCATGAGGCGCTCAGGGTACGGACGAACCACCTCTGCGTCGTCGACGGCAAAGGCAGGATAGCGCTATTTCAGTCGCTGCCCGAAGGCGTCGCTGAGGATGGGGAGAGGATCAAGACGTCTGTTCCGGAGGAGTACCGCGGCTTCGAGGTTCTGCTCATGAAGGAATGGGAGTTCGTCTGTCCTGGTATGATCGACTGCCACAACCACGCCCCGCAGTACCACCAGATCGGGACCGCCACCGACTACACCCTCTTCAACTGGCTATTCAATGTGACTTTTCCGAACGAAGCCAAGTGCCGCGACCTGGACTACGCACGCGACCTCTACACGAAACTCGTGCAGCGCCTGCTCCGGAACGGGACGACAAGTGTGCAGTTCTTCGCGACGAATGATATCGAGCCGACGAGGTTGCTCGTGGACATCTGCGCGGAGCATGGCCTGCGCGCTTTCGTAGGGCTTGTCACGGCCGACAGGGATTCACCCGACTACTACATCCACACGACGGAGGAGGCCCTCTCGCTTACGGAGTCATTCGTCCAGTGGACGCTGGCACACCCGGCCGGACGGGACACGCTCGGTGAGCAGGACGCACTCGTACACCCAGTCATCACACCGCGCTTCGTCCCGACATGCACGCTCCCTCTCCTGCACGGACTGGGCGCACTCGCGGCCAAGTACGACGTGCGCGTCCAGTCCCACGCCGCCGAGACCGTCGACCAGGTGCTCCGCGTGAAGGCCCTGCACCCCACGCTCGGCGGCGGGCGCGACGTCGCGATCTTCGAGTCTTGCTCGCTCCTCACCGCACGGACGACGCTCGCGCACGGCACGCACCTGCGCGACTACGAAGTGCGCCGCATGGCCGAGGTCGGCGCGGCCGTCTCCGCGTGCCCCATCGCGAACGTCCTGCACTCGCGCGCCGTCGTGCCCGCGCCGCGCTACAAGGCGCTCGGGCTCAAGCTCGGGCTCGGGACGGACATCGCGGGCGGGTACTCCGCGAGCATGCTCGGCCCGCTGAGGATGGCGGTCGTGGATGACCGCACGGACTCGTTCGTGGAGGTCGTGAGGGAGGACATGCCCCTGGAGGCGTACCCGGACCCGGACCCGAAGACGGAGTGGCCTGTGGGCCACGTGTGGGCGTACCATATTGCGACGGTGGGCGGGGCGGAGGCGTTGGGGATTGCGGAGCACGCTGGTACGATCGACGTTGGGAAGCACTTTGATGCTGTGTTGGTGGATGGGAATAGGGAGGATCAGGCGTATGAGTATTGGCCTGGGGAGGCGAAGGAGATACGGTTTGAGCGGTGGGTCAATACGGGTGATGACAGGAACGTCAAGGGTGTGTGGGTCCGTGGTGCGAGAGTGGTCTGGAAACAATAAATGAAGGTTGGACAGCAGTGTTTCCGGGTTGTCGTTTGACGTGATCCAGATGTTTGACGAGCTGATTGTGTTCATGCAGCCTGCGATGCGAATGTCTAGGCGAGTGTGTCCAACACATAGGCGCGGCGTAGCTAAGGCCGTCAGCGGTAGTATTGCTTGATGCCCAAAATCCAGTATCGAGTATGATGTTATGTAGGAGCTTCAGTCTTGAACGAGTACTACTGAACAGCCGTTTTAGAGTACGCCGACGCTTCGCGTCGATCAGCTGGCATCTGTAGCGAATAAAAAACTGACCTTTTTCTTCAGATGAAGGGCGACTCTTGTGCAATACACCAGGGATGTCCACGATAAATCGAAGATAAGTCTGTGCGCTGAGATGATAAACGCTACCAGTGACTCATACATCGAACTCCAGTGCAAGCAAAGTCCCTTGGGATTTCACATGTACTGTTTCCACCGCCGGGGGGAGGGGGGGCAAACGAAGAGTGTACTTCAGGAATGGCCAGCAGGCCGGTCACATCTCAAGTCCCATCATGGTACGGCTCGTCGCAGCCATGACAGCCAGCCCGGGGTTGAAAGAGCTAGACAGAACCCACTGCGTCTTCAGTAAGTCTTGACAAAGTCTACCAGAAAGACTGACCGAGGGTCAGGGCCGCGCCGTAGGTTGAGACCCATACGCGAGCCACTCTCTTTGTAGTAGACGCTGTCAGGCAGCGGCTTGCCCATACTGTGCCGAGGTCAGCAGCCTCACGCACGTCTCCGCTACATTCCCACTCACTGGCAGAAATCACACGTGCATGGCTTGCTCCCGCTCCCGTGGTGATCGCATCCGAACTTCATGCGCGCGTGTGTGCCGCAGCACGTCCAGCGGAAGGCCTGGGGCCGCTTCTTGAACAAGAGGGACCTCTTGCCTTTGTATTCGACCTCGAATCTGCGCTTCACGTCTTCGGCCTCCTCAATAAAGGCACTGCCCCATCCTATGCGGCGCCCCAAGTCGGGATCCGTCCATTCCCAAGTCATGAGCTCCAATTTGCCTGGGGAGAGGCGTGAGCGTGAGTGCCAGATGCCAGGACTCGGAGCGAACGCGCTATAGTTGCGCGTTGTCGGGAGGACGGACACACCTTCGTGCATGGAGCCATCACGGCACCCGCGGTACTTGTCATACCATCGATCTGAGTCGCTGCACAGCTCCCTATGGCTATCCCAGTCCTTGGTTTGGCAGTCGGCGTTCTGTCAAGGGAAAGGCTCGCTCAGCTTGGTAGACACTTGTGATAGACAGCACGGGCTACGTACACAGTAGAGGGCACCGCGGCAGCGCGAACAGCGCTTGAAGTCCTTCGTTGCCGCCGACTTGTGGCAGTAGAAACATTCTGACTTCAAGTTGTTTGACATAGTAACGTTGCGGTGTGAATTCCAAGGATGAAATACAACAAGTACCAGAGAGTGCCACTGGCACTAGTACGTTGCCAGCAGTATGCTTGGCGCGTTAACATGAGATCGGTCAGACACCCGAATCTCGCCTAGATGCAACTGAGATCGAGAACTAGAGCCGATTCAGAGGGTTCGTAAGTAGTGCGGTGTGGCCCCGACTTCTGCGGTGTGGCCCCGACTTCAGCAGGCTGAGTCGTGACTGTACTCACCAGTGGTAGGCGCTCATTCTTGGAGTCCTTCAGGTTAACCTTGCTGTCCAGCTTTTTCAAGGCTCGTACATTGCAATGAATTTGATGTATCACAGTTAAGGACTTAAGTACTTATGTATAACGACGAAGGTCCCTTTCGATTGGAAGCTGTTCGGTGTAGGCGTAGTAATTCTCATATTCGCTCGGCTGAGTCCGCACCAATGCTCAGCGCTTAGTAAACGACTGCGCGAAATGGTGAATACTTCTATATAAACCGGACTGGCATGCATGGCGACTGCAAGGCTACTATACACGATATCTGTCAGAAATTTCCATACCAGGTCCTTACACAAATGGTGTCCCTTTGAAATGTTATGGCCAGCACAGCGCGCCGCTGTCCTTAAGCAATGAACTCATGCATGGCAGCACGGGTTATTGTCGTCACAGCAGCGTGCGCTAGGTTGATGGAACTAGACAGAACACTTCAGCATCAGTGAGGTACGTGTGATAGCCTGCTAAAAAGGCGGACCGGGGGTCAGGGCCACGCCTGAGGTTGAGGCCTTTACGTGGGCCTGTATGGTCGCGGTAAATGCTAATAGGCAGCGGTTTGCCCATGCTAGCATTCAGTAGTCAGCCACGACTCCCAAGGGTCGGCTGCTCGCTCACACTCACCAGCAATAGTCGCAAGTACATGGCTTCCTCCCACTCCCGTGGTGGTCGCAGCCCGAGTTCATAAGCCCGTCTGCGCCGCAACACGTCCAGCGGAAGGCCTGGGGCCGCTTCTTGAAGAAGGTATGCTTCTTGCCCCTGCAGTCGACCTCGAACTGCCGTTTGACGTCCTCGACGTCCTCGGCGAAGGCGTTGCCCCAGCCCATACGAGTTCCACCCTCGGGGTCTGTGTACTCCCAGGTCATGAGCTCTAGCCTGCCTGAGTTGACGTGTGTGTGTCAGCCGGAGTAATGTAATTGTTAGTATGCGACACACACACCATTGTGCATGGACCCATCGCGACACCCGCGGTACTTGTCGTGCCACCCGTCCGAGTCGGCGCAAAGCTGTCTATGGCTCGGCCAGTGCTGTTTCTGGCAATCAGAGTTCTGTAAAGGGAGACGATCGCTTAGTCTAACACATAATCGGCATACGCGCTACCTAGTATAACCTACGCAGTACAGTGCGCCGAGGCAGCGCTTGCAACGCCTGAGTTCCTTTGTCAACGCCACCTTTCGACAGTACAAACACTGTGACTCTTCAGCCATGTCTAGCGTAAACGTGTAGGATTGTAGATTTGCTGGGGAGCTGCCCGTGGCCGTTGGTCGATCGAGAGGAGATCGATGCGAGACGCCCGTGGCATGTCGTTGGGATGGTACTTAGTACGGCCGATGGGTACCGTGACCTCACGAGCACAAGTCAGCAAGTACCAAGACACTGTACACTTACGGTACTATGAGATACAGCTCTGACTTGCTCAGGCAGTGTATTTCGGAATGCGCTAAACTTCTTTCAGGTCATCATGAGGACAAACACTACTAATACATGATGTTGCCGAGCACGAACAGACTATTGGGACGTCGTGACTAGTTCATGGTTTGCATTGAGAGATATACCGAAGAAATTGTAACCGCAAGAAATGAGACTCGCAGCCTCTTCACAACTCGAGTCCGAGCGTCGCACGGCCTTTCAGAGCCAAAGCTGCAAGCGTCGGGTTGAAGGAGCTATATAGAACATCTCACAATCAGCAAGCCTTGACAAAGTCCACAAGAAAAACTGACCGAGGATCAGGGCCGCGTCTGAGGCGAAGCCCCATGCTTGGGCCCGTCTGCCCGCGGTGAATGCTGTCCGAAGCAGGCACCGGCCTGCCCATACTGCTCGATGATCAGTCTCAGTCGCGACTCATCAGGCAACTCGCACACACTCACTGGCAGAAGTCGCAAGTGCACGGCTTGCTCCCACTTCCGTGGTGATCGCATCCCTCGTTCATAAGCTCATCTGTGCCGCAACACGTCCAGCGGAAGCCCTGGGGCCAATACTTGAAAAAGAGCCTCTTCTTGCCTTTGTAGTCGACCTTGAACTTGCGTTTGATGTCCTCGACTTCCTCGATGACGACGTTGCCCCAGCCCATCTGAATCCCATCTTCGTCTGTGTACTCCCAGGTCATGAGCTCCAGTTTGCCTGGTCAGACGCGTGCGCGTTAGCCGGAGTACCAATGTATGTATACGAGACGGCCACACCTTCGTGTAAGGAGCCGTCTTTACACCCGCGGTACTTGTCAGGCCACCCATCTGATTCACCACAAAGGTCCCTATGGTTCGGCCTGTCCTTCTTTTGGCAATCGGGGTTCTGTACAGGGAAACGATCGTTTAGCTTGACTGATCTGATCGACACACCCATAACTTACGCAGTACAGCGCGCCGAGGCAGCGCCCGCAGCGCCGTAATTTCTTCGTCGACGTCAACTTGCGACAATAGAAACAAGTGGACTCTGCGGCCATGGTGTTGTAGCGTATACTTGTAGATCGTATATATGTATGCTGGGGAGTGCTAGCCAGCTAAGTACTGGCGGAGGCTAGCGGCCCTTGGCAAGAGGAGATCGATCAGAGACGCCCGCATATCGCTGGTACTATATACTCAGATGATAGATCTAGCTGAGATAGAGAAGGTTGATTCATACCGTGACCCTCACAAGACAGTGCACAGTTATTACGGCACTACTGCGAGGTATAGCTCTGGTTCTGGAAGAAAGGAAGAACGTCAGGCAGCTTGAATTGAACTGTTGCTTGACATGTGTCAGCCATTCCACGAGACATGCTCAGGTGTCAATGTTGAGGTGAGGATGCTAAACGGCCTGAGAACCTGATCGTCAATGTTCATACTGGGCCGTACGCAGTACTTGGCATGACACTCTTGTGAAGTCGCGACTAGTTAGTTTGCATTGGAAGTAACGAAGAAATAAGAGCTCGCAGCCTCGTCACATCTCGAGTCCGAACGCCGAACGACCTTTCACTGCCATAGCCGCCAGCGCCGGGTTGAAGGAGCTATACATAAATGTTCATAATCAGCAAGTCTTGACGAAGTCCACAAGAAAAACTGACCGAGAATCAGGGCCGCGCCTGAGTTTGAGGCCCATGCGTGTGCCCGACTGCTCGCGATAAATGCTGTCAGGGAGCGGCTTGCCCATGCTGCTCGATGGTCAGTAACGGCCGCGACACCAGATACGTCCAAGCAGTTCGCACACTCACCGGCAGAAGTCGCAAGTGCACGGCCTGCTTCCACTTCCATGGTGGTCGCATCCCCAATTCATGCCCCCGTCCGTGCCGCAGCAGGTCCAGCGGAATGCCTGCGGCCACTTCTTGAATAAGAGGGACTTCTTCCCTCTGTAGTCAACCTGGAACTTGCGCTTCATCTCCTCGGCTTCCTCAATGATGACGTTTCCCCAACCCATACGATCTTTAGTCTGGGGATCGGTGTACTCCCATGTTATGAGCTCCAGTCTGCCTGAGTTGCCAGTAAGGCGTGAGCGGTTGCCAAGGTAGTGTAGTTGGTGAACGGACACACCTTCGTGCATGGAACCATCGCGACACCCGCGGTACTTGTCATACCACCGATCCGAGTCACCGCAGAGCTCCTTGTGACCTGGCCAGTCTTTCTTCTGGCAGTCAGCGTTCTGTAAAAGGGCCGCGGCCGCTTAGATCTGATTTGGACAGCGCGCTCTCATACTTACACAGTACAGCGCGCCGAGGCACCGCCCGCAGCGTTTGAAAGTCTTGGTCATCGCCTCCTTTTTGCAATAAAACATTGCGAAGTGTCTGCCATGGCGTCGTATTGTGAAGTCAAGAATCGGTTGTGCGCTGGAGGAGCCACCCTGACTACGGTGGTGGCCCGGGGAGGAGGAGACGAGTCGATCAGAGACGCCCACATCTATTCAGATCCGACTGAGATCGAGATCGTACGGCCGATTCGCAGTGAGCCACTCCAGCATCCTCTGTACATAACCATCCTCAGCGTCCCTTCTGTACGATCCAGCTCTATTAGAACTACATACTAGCAGTACTACTGCAACGTAGCTCATATTTCTTCGCCATCGCCAGATATCACGAAGGTCATGGATGTGTAAGCGTCAAATGCGAAATCTACTTCACATCGCCGCTTCTGTCCATATCCCACACCAGGCGACGATCATTATTAGTTCGAGGCAGAGGGCAAATACAGGCGGCCGTGCACTGCCTACACCTCAGGGGCATGTTATCTATCCATGCACCGTGCTTACGCACGCCTGCCGATAGATGCGACGCTGCTTGGGTGTCGCGTCATCCGTTCTGGGTCCCGAAATGATGTCGCATGGGAACATCCCAGACGTGATCCGCATGTTCCGCACCTTCCAGCTCTCTCGTCACTGCAGTCTGGCCGGACAAACTCTATGCGAGGCAGAGCACGCCCACTCGAGCAGGGATAGCTGGAGATGGCCGACGCTGAGCACGCCTTCCACATGTCGACCTCCTGCTTCGCGTGCCTCCATGAATCGTCACGTCCGTCGGACTTGAAGCTTGAAGTGCACAGCCGGATCCTTAAATACAGGGGTTTCGCCCACCGTCCACCAGAATCCGCCAACGTCTCTCTCGACGTCGAAGTGGCATCATCTCCTCTCCCCGCTACGCTTAACTCTGAGCCACTCGCATCGATACCATGTCTGACGCCGCCTTCAACATCTTCGGCGTCGTAGCGGGCGCACTGGGACTCGTCGGACTCGTTCCCCTCGTCTACATCCTGGTCAAGAGTCAGCTTCCGCTCTCGCACGTCAAGGCTCTGGACGACCTACTCTCGGAGACGAAGTCCTTGCTCCTCTTCGTTGTCGAGGGAGGACACCTGACCGACAAAGGCTTCACGTTCGAGATGGGGCTCGAGCTCCGCCGGTATGTACTATCGATCGTCATAGAGGTTCACCAATGATCTGACTCGCGTCGTCAGCCTTCAAGAACACGCGGATGAACTGAAGATCGAGGCTTACCGTGCCGAAGGCTACCTCCAGCAGATATGGGGCATGGTCTCCGGCTTATCATTCAAGATCTACGGTGTGTTTCGTCAGGTCAAGAAGGCGCGCACCAAAATTATGGTACGTACCTACCCACTTTTCGCCTCATCGACTGATGGCTGACGACGATCGCAGCACAAGGCCTTCGAGGACAAGAAGCGACGTGCAAGTCAGTCGCAGGTCGATACATCGACCCTTCGAGCGGCGTCCGTCGACAACGATGGCGCCGATGACCAGTCTGACAGTCCCAAGGAAGAAACGTCTCGAGAGGACGCACTCACCTTACAAGAGACTCCAGACGTCCCGCATGATACGCAGGATCCTCCTGCGTATCATACAAAACTTGCAACCACAAGTTTTATATCATACACTGAAGCACCGCGGGCCAAGGACGGGGATGCTGGTACGTACTTTGAACCGTTGACGCAGTACGACGCACTGACGACTCCAATGTAGTGTCTGCTACCACCTCCACGGATTAGTAGACGGCTGCGCAAGCTTGCGCAGCGAACACTCACCCGTCCTGTCCACTCGTTGGTCGTTTGGGTTAGACCGTCTGCTATCCCTTTGACCCCGACCATCCGTCGATGGTCGGATCCCCACGCTGCATGTGACTGGTTCACAGCGCGTTCTTCGACGGCCTACAGGCCTAGGCTCGCCTTCCCTTTCATCGCGATGGCTCCTCGTGCACACGTCCGTATGTTGTCCTGCTTCCTATGGCTTTTTCGACTCCTCTATGCTTCCTTCTTGCTATGTTGTATAATTCCACTTTTCTGGTTCGATCGTGGCCTATGGTCTTCTCTCTATGCTATCCTTACTTTCGTGTGCTCTGAGTCGTCGCTGTAAAATATTATATATCATCAGAATTGGATGCCTTTGAACCACACTCGCCTCTGAGCTGGTTGCGATTGAACACCAATGCGCGTGCTTCCATGAGCGCGACCTTGCCGGACAGTGAGCTGAGCGCAGGTGGTTCGTCAAGGACACGCGAGTGCGGCGAGGTCGAGTCCTGCGCAGATGCACGCTCCGCCTGCTCATGGTGCGTCTAGGCCATGACGGCGTGCAATGCCTGGGATCATTGCTGGTGAGTGGCCGAGTCAAGTCAAAACCTGCGAACTACTCACGCATGCGGATCACTACTGGACGACGGACATGAGGACGGATCCTGGGCCGCGAGGTCAACGCGTGTCGAGCGCCGCGGATGTGCCTACCGTACACGCTGATCTTTCCCTGCAAACGATGCATGGGTGCCGTCGCGCTGCGAATAGGTCCTAGGCCACGGCGATGGACGCGTGAAGGAGAATCCGGACCTGGATGATCGTCGACGGGCGTAACGGCGCCCGTCAGCAACAAGCTGGCTGGTGCACCGCATGCGACGTAGCGTCTGAGAGAAGCACAGGTGAGCCAGTAAGAGGTTCGCTGTTTGTAGCGTCATCTGGATACATCATAGCTTTGTGAGAGGGTACGTACATACGCGTTGCTACTGCGGTACACGTAGGATCGATATGAACGGGTAGTAGGAAATTCGACGCCGTCATTGCTTCGTCGTATCTGTCTTGTCAAGCAACGCTACATATCGACGCGAGAGACTGGTTCACATCAGTGAGGAGAGCTAGGCATGTTGTGCAGCGACGCACAGTGGGCAGTGCGCGGATGGACGTGAAGAACAAAGATCGCTTTCGAGATTACCAGCCACACTGGCACGTGTTCGCGTCTTTGCCTATCCTGGAATTTTGTTCGGCCTGTGGCGGCGCATCGCAGAGACGCACCACTTCTTGTGCACGAACACCATTGACTGTACTCTCCTCCTACTACCACCATGTCCAAGATATTCTCACTACAGGGGCGCGGTCTGAAGCTCAACACAAAGGCTGACATCGAGCCATATTTAAAGGACGTCCCTACCACGATCGAGGAGATCCATTTGGGCGGCAACACGATCGGTGTGGAAGCTGCAGAGACCCTTGCAGAGTTCCTCGCGAAGACGACACATCTGAGGGTACGTCTACGCGTCTTACATCACTTGTAGACTCGTCGACTGAATCTGAAGTCCACTCTACTCACAGATAGCTGACTTCGCGGACATCTTCACCGGTCGTCTGATCAGCGAGATCCCGCAGGCCCTCTCCGCCCTCTGCGACGCGCTCATCCCCAAGACCACGCTCGTCGAGCTCGACCTCTCCGACAACGCCTTCGGCGGGCGGTCCGTCGACCCCATGGTCCCCTTCCTCACGCAGAACCGCGCCTTCCAGGTCCTCAGGCTCAACAACAACGGGCTCGGCCCCGCGGGGGCACGATCGTCGCGCAGGCGCTCCTCCGCTCCGCCGAGCTCTCTGCAGAGAAGGGCGAGCCATCCAACCTCCGCGTCGTCATCTGCGGCCGGAACAGGCTCGAGGACGGCGCGGCCCCACATGGGCGAAGGCGCTCGCCGCGCACGGCGGGCTCACGGAGGTGCGCATGCCGCAGAACGGGATCCGGATGGCGGGTGCTGCGGCGCTCGCGCACGGGCTCGCGGGCTGCGCGGGGCTGGTTCACCTCGACCTGCAGGACAACACGTTTGGCGAGTCGGGCTCGACCGCGATGGCGGCCGCCCTCCGCACGTGGCCCTCCCTCCGCACGCTGAACCTGAGCGACTGCGTGCTTGCGGAGGAGGGCGCGGTCTCGCCTGTGTTGGAGGCGCTCGTGCAGGGGAGCAACCCGAAGCTCGAGCTGCTGCAGCTCCAGAATAACAACCTCGACGCGCAGAGCTTCGCGTTGCTTGCGGACGCGCTGGAGGTTCACTTGCCGGCGCTGAAGCGGATAGAGGTGCAATGGAATGAGGTGGAGGAAGAAGATGAGGGCATTGAGACGTTGACTGGGTTGATGAAGAAGCGCAATGGGAAGCTCGTACTGGACGACGATGAGGAGGAGGAGGAGGAGGAGGAGGAAGAGGAAGAAAAGGAGGAAGCAGAGGAAGAAGGGAAGGAGGCCGAGCCGGCGAAGACAGCAGAGCCTGCCAAGAAGGACGAGGCAGACGAGCTCGCAGACCTGTTCAGCAAGGTCGAAATCAAGACTTGAACGTTTGCAGGAGACATGGAGGAATCTTTTATGCTTGGGGCTTCATGGGGATTGCATTGTATCGAGCATTTGGCCGCCGTCGTCACTCAAATTGTATACCACACTCATCACAGCCCGTAGCCGTAGAATACCAGTGTCGACCTATAAGTGCTGACCTGTAACGCATGTCTGCTGTCTGTTGTCCGTTGTTCTACAATCGGTCGTCCGTCTACATCTAGATGTCCGTGAGGAATTAGTTCCCTTTCGCCGCCTTCCATTCAGTGATTTCTTCATGAGTCTTACGCCTCGCAAAGACATGTATGTGGGCCAGCCCCGGTACGCTTTGCAGCCGCTACCAACACCTGATAAGTGACGGACCAATTCCACCCGTAATACATCACTCACCGGCGGATTGACGAACCACGCAGTCTCCCACTCGTCCTCTCTCCACAGCCATTTCACAAATGTGTCTACCTCACTCCCTGCCTTCTCCAGAAGCATCCTCTCCTCAGGACTCGGCTCCGGGCTCCTCACAAGCTTATCCATTGTGAGGTTCCACTCCGACAAGGCGCCTAAGCACTCGGGAAGTGTGTCCGGCGACGGCGGGGGCGCGAGCGAGCCTGTGAAGCCCCAGAGGCCATCCTGGAGGAGGCGAGGTTCGACAGAAGGCGGGAGGTCCGGTGGGAGGATGGGGACGCGCGTCCAGATGAGGCTGTGCTCGACCTCGTTGGGTACTGTGGACAAGATGGCAGTCAGGCGCGCGGTGACTCTGGGGGTGCGTGGGGCGTACCGGAGTAGGGCCAGTCGTTCATGATGATGCTGATCAGCTCCGGAGATGTGTCAGCTTTGAAGTACGGTGGAGCATTGGATGGGAGTGGAGGGAGTTCGCCTGTAGGAGCGTTGGCGACTTCGTCCTTGGCGACGAGGGAATCGGGGACGTCGAGGGTAGACTTGAGCAGAGAACGCGCGTCACGCTTGCCCCATTGGAGGCGATACGTGAGCAGGTAGTTCACTTGCAGGTGTACCCAGTCAGAGCACAGAGGGGAGAGGATAGTGAAAGGGCGCTCTACGCACCCATACTCCCATACTCCTTCCTGATTTCTGCACTCCATGCATCGTACCGCTTCTGCAGCTTCCTGTCGCGCTTCAGTAATCCAAGGTCCCTGAGAGCCAATTCCTGAACATGAGTGAGAGAACAACGCAAAATAGACGGTACTTACCCTGCGTTGATGAACGTCTTCAGCTGATGGAAGGTGAACTTGGGAGGGTAGTGAATGAGCAACTCCTCGCGAGCGGGAGGACCGCTGCGCAGAGGAACCGTCTCCGGCGTGAGGTTGGACGCACTCGTCAGTGTTGTACCAGACATCTTACGTAGATAAGAGTGTGTAGAGCAGGGTTGACGCAGCAAGTCTGAGTGGTCCGAGAGTGCGCTTGAGCGGTGGCAGCAAGGTGGCAGGGACCGCAGGGACCGAACAAGGACCGTTTGCGGCGATGGCAAGTCGCCGGAGTCCGGGCCGCCCGCGTCATCCCTGTAAGAGTTGATCGACGATCGATCGGGCGTTCCTTCTCCGAGACTCCTCCGTGCACTCACCCTCTATTCCATATCAGGCAAGTCTGAGGGCCACATTCTGTGTAGCCCAGCGGGACAGACTTGTGGAGGCATCGCTTGCAGTATGCAGCCCGGTTGCATCTCAGGCCCTCCGGATCACTCTGACAGACAGCTACATGTCCCACCTTCAAGTTGCTCCCGCCCTGACCAGAAAAATAACACGCAGAACACTGGCAGGAAATAATATTACAAAGTACAGAATCATACATTCTTCCCCGCGCTCACATCCTCACCTTGGTATATCCTCCTCGTCCATCTCCGTCGTCTCGTCATACCGGTCGCCCGCCACTCTTCCAACGGCATCGACTGCGGGTCCAACCATGCGTCATTCGTGTACACCCACCCATCTTTGACCCCAAGAGTGTCAGTGTAATATTCAGTATGGGGACGAGATGTGAGCTTACTGCTGTCGGCCATCCCAGGCACAATCCAGCTGCCTTCCAGATCCGCCCGCCAATCCTCCGTCTCGACAAACGCCCAGCCTGGCTCGAGGGCAAATGTGAGGTTGCTGCTACATCGTACGCCCAGTCAGCTCTCCTCCACGCCATATGTCACATACGAAAACCTGACCTGACGTCTCCGCTGCCGTCTTCGCCTACGCCGCTCCACCCATCCCGCCCCCGCGTCCACGCCTTCCTCTCGCCTGGCTTCAAGTTCGCCTTGGCCCAGCCTACATCGGAGGCCAGACTGGCCTTAGACTCGTCCCCTGCGTCGCTTGCGGAGCGCGCCATTACGCCGCCCGCACGTCCCGCCGGCGCCGCCGACCGCTCGTTTTCGAAGAGCTCCACCTCGCGCAGCGTAGCACACCAGTGTTTATCATCTAACCTGTCATCATCGACCAGCCTGGCAAGCCGCGTGCGCAGGGCATTGAACACCGGTTGTGAGTTGGCTAGGAGCGCGGGCAATGTACGGAGGATGAGGGATGTGTGCAGAAGAGGGGGAAGAGCCCGAGGAAGAGGAAAGTCGGACGGAGAGGGAGTAGTGGGAGAAGAGGGAGGAGGACGAGCAGGGAGACGAGCGTGAAGGTGAGGACGATGGGGGTGTAGGGAGAGGCGTGGGTGAGGTGCGGGACGATTGGAAGGACGCCGTCGTGAAAGTCAGAGCTGTGTTTCTGTCAGACCACGCCGGTGGGTTCGGGCTGATACTCACAACACGCCCATGAGGTTCTGGATGGCTTGGACGTTGGCGAGCCAGTCCACGCTCCCTTCGCCGACTTGCGTAGGTGGCGGAGTCGGTGCCGGCTTCGACTCATCATCCGGATTGTCGTTCGACCGCAGCGCGGGATGCGTAGCAAGTAGAATGCTGAGCACAGTGGCGTGCGGGAGGAGCAGCACGAGCCGCGGAAAGTAGCCTATTTGCCAATCAGCACAGATTCCAGTCGCCACCCAATAGCACACGCACAGAGAAACGCGTACACCCCCATCCACACCGCTGTGTACCTGTTGCCCTTCCTCCACATCACCACCTCCTCAACCCGGTCCTGCAACCAGAACACCGGTCCGCTCTTGCTCACGAAGCGCCGGAAGTTCACCGTCGTAATCGGGATACTGAGCGGGTCGCGCATCGACAGGAGCTTCACGCTGCCCTTGCGCGTCCGCACAGCAGAATCGGGCACGCTGTTGGCATTGGCAGGGATCTGGAGCGTCGAAGCGAGGAGGAGCGAGGGGATGGAGCTGTAGGCAAGCTTGGACGGGGAAAGCGGACCCTGAGAGAATGAAGCGGAGGTGGGTGAGGAAAAGAGGGAGGGTGGTTGCGCTTGTGAGGGTTGTGGGAGGGCCGTGGTCGTCAGTTTGGGGATCGGGCGCGCGGAGGACGTGGGTGCGGAGGAAGACGTGGAGGGAGTGTCCCGGAGACGCGTCGCGCATGGCGGTATGGCGACGTACTGTAGAGGGGGCTGAATGTTACTAGTCGGCATCTTGTGTGTACATGCGCGGTGTAGATACAAGCGAGAAGACGGAGGACGACCGCGAGTGCTCGGAGTAAAAGAGTCGATCGCTGGCCGCAGCCACTGACGCGCTCGGGCGCTCTTCCACCATGATTCACGTGAATACGTCGTTGCATTGTATCATGTACAATGCTCACGGCAGACTTTCATCACTGAGTAGGGGGCGAGTCAATGAAACAACGAAAGCAGCTCGACAAATCGATATCCAATCCGACTATTCGTCGGAAACGTGTACTAACACAAACATCAAATCTCAACTGTCCGCAATTGCTCGGCGCCCGCCCGCGCACCCACAACCGCCACCGACAGCAACGGGAGCAGCAGGCGCACTCGGGCGAACGCGAGCGTACACTTCGTCCGACGTCCTACACGTGCTTTCCTTCCATGTTCTGCATGCTGACAAGGGTCGCGGTCGACGAGCCCGCGAGCTGCTTGTACGAAGACGGCGAGCCCATGTTGTTCGTCGGGAGCAGGCCCTTCGCCGCGGCCGCGGCGCGATTCTTGCGGCGGCGCACGAAGCAGCACCGCCAGACGATGATGCCCGTCACGATGAGCACGAACGCAAGGCAGCCCACGAAGATCTCGGGCCAGCGGCTGAGCACTTTCTCTTCGTATCTGCGGGCGCGCATAAGTCCATGTGATGCATGTGGAATGCGACGATGTGGAACTCACTCTTGCTTCTTTTCCTCCTCGGATTCGGGCGAGTGCTGTTCCTGCGAGGCGGGGAGGAGGGCCTGCGAGGCGTCGCCGGTCGAGTCGGTGCCGCTGAGACGGACCTGCACGAAGGCCTCGTGTGCGGCGGTTGCGTTCGTGGTGGAAAGGAGCTGGATGAAAGGATCACCGAGGTCTACACTCGTGTCTTCGACGAAGTTGCCGTAGTCAAAGAGAGTGTAGACATTGCGCACTAGGAACAGGCAGTTGAGTCAGCTCGGGTAAACAACCGATGGTGACTAAGGTACTCACTGAACGCCATGCCGAGGATCATGTCATATTCACCGAGTAGACTGAATGCAGACGTGCTGATGGGTTGGAACTACGCGGCGCTGAGAGGACACACGACCCAGTGGAAGCTTCAAGACTCACAGTACCCAGGCAAACCGTCTCGCCGTTTGAATTGACGATGTTGAAGTCGCTGCTCGACACGTCAAGAGGGTGTATCGGATATGTCTGCCCGCCGAACTTGAAGCTAATGTTTAGCATCTGCGAGCACGGAATGGTCCACGCGCCATACTGCGTGTTCCACTCCGCGCCCTGCACGCGGCCATAGATCGCGTCCGACACCGCGCGAGGCACCTGCGGGAGCGTGAAACCGGAGTCGAACACGACGGCGAGCTGGCCGTCAGGCGCGGAGGGGACGATGGAGTCGTACTTGATCGGGTTCCCGTCGGGGCCGATGAGCCCGTCGACGTCCGTGTACGTCTGCCAGTGCTGGTCGAGGTCCGTCAACTTGTGGTCCTTCGACACGGAGAGCTTAGGCATGCTCGAGATGGCGTCGAAGCCGGGCACGATCTCGGAGATAGTCATGTAGCCGGATGAGACACTGTTCGGATCGCCCTCGCGGCTGAGGAGGACGGACATATAGTTGGAAGAAGTGGTATTTTGCTGGAAGATACGCGCGAGGACGCTGTCGCCCTTAGGGTCGTCCATCTTGTCGCGGAGGACGGAGCCCGTGTTGGGCCCAAGCCCAATCAGGCCCTGGAAGCCCTCGGCTTCGATGTTGATGGAGAAGGATGAGATGTTTTTCACAAGGACTGTGAGTTCGTGAGGACGTGCGCATAGTAGAGTTCGTGAGAAGACGCACGGTATGCTTGGTCTTGTACAGTGTAGTTGCCGAACTGCAGAGTCGCGGAGTTAATGTCGCCTACATAGACAGGTCAGCTTTCTTTCAATATCAGAGGTGGTACAACATTCCGAGCGAGCGTAGACAATATCAAGGAGTCAAGCCGCCCATGATCCAGCAGGGGGCAGCAGTCAAAATGGCAATGGCATTGCCCGTCATGTTTGACCACTGAACCGATGACTTTTCAATCGGCCTAGGGTAGGATAGACATCTGAGTTTAGGACAACCTCCCAAAGAGATTCTGTGCGCTCTCGTCCTGATCCACCCTATTCAGAGGCGCTGCGCAGCCGCGGGTGTATCCGCACTCCGGAACGCGAGCGTCCGCAGCATTTATAAGGCCATTACCGCGGGGCGGAACAAGGGACAAAACGCTCCCAGTATTTCCCCTCCCACCCGCCTGACATTGCCAATACGGGCGCTCTGCTGTGATCTGAGGCGCAGGGGCCGTGGCCCATAACACGACATCCGGCGTGCACTCTCCCGGAGTTGGTAAGTACGAAGATGGCAAAGAAAATGCATCGACCCGACATTGCAAAAATATCAACGCTTCCTCGGGCAAAAAGGCTCTGGAAGTGAACAGGAATCCTAGTAATTCCCCCACGACGTAGAGGCATTTTGGGAAGATGTCGAAGGACCCTCTCCTGGCGGCCAAAACACTTTGAGGCCGGTCCATAGTCAGGAATGGTCCACTTTCCCAGCCCGCGAAGGTATGTGCAAGAGCATGCATTTCATCGTGACCCTTGTGCGCGGAGGAAACGACCAATTTTTGCGGCGCGAGTCGAAGGGATAGGGGCCGCGCCTTCCGATCCTAGACTGACACTCTGGCTGACGTCGATATGCCTCGAAGACGGGTTGCTCGAAGACGCATCTACGATGCGACCGCTCCATGTTGCGCACCATCAATCTGGGAGCGTTGTGCAGCTACGAAGGCATCCGCGGCATTCCTTGGGAACGGTAGCGGCAAGGAAGGGTGGATACCCATTCGTTAGGGTACCCCACGCGCACTACGTGACACAGCGCACCATCCCGCCTCTGTTGGTTGGTCACGTCGACCAAGCGGAACATCGCGTCGACCAGGCGGAACATCGCATCGCGCTTTCACAGGCTCCAGGTGAGACTGACGTCAACATACCCGAACGTCTAAAGCGACGCGCCTGCGACACGAGCGAACTGCGATAGAGACCATCGCAGTAGAGATAGACCGTCCACCAAGTGGGGGTACAGTGCAATGTCCGGAGATACTAATCAAGTGAAGCACCAGACATACCCTTGGCTGCTCCAACGGCGTAGGAGAGCGACTCTGGCATGCCCAGGTCGGTCGTCTGGGGTATGGAGCCTGTCACCCATAGGTCGGAACTGTGCAAGTATTGTCATCAAAGGCAGCGAGCGATCACGCGCAGCACGTCACGTACCTGCCCGTGTCGAGGAGGACGGGTATCTCTCTGCCTCCGAGGGTGATATTGGCGATGTACTCAGAGTTCTGAGTATTGAGGACAGGGAGGAGGGTGTGGCCGTTTGCGGCACGCGCTGAGAGCCTGCCAGCAGCTGAGGGGACGTCCGCCCGGGAGCGAACGTGGATGGGGAAGGTCAGAGCATGGGATGAGCAGGCATGGGAGAGCAGGCCGACGAGAAAGAGCGAAAGGACAGAACGCATGTTCCAGTGAACGACCGGAGGGTGTAAGGAATGACTGGCCAGGCTTCGCCAGCTGGAAGAGGGATAGACTGTGTCGGAGAAAGAGAGAGTGCGCTGCCCACCGCCAGCAGCTCTTCGCAGTTCAAACGTACTCGACGTCTATTTCCGGCACGGGTTGCCATCCCATAGGCGCCCGCTCCCCGCGGTGATCGACGCAGCCACCTCCCGCGAGTCGCTCTTCTACGCACAGAACCCATTCTTAATTAAAAGTCGTCTATGTACGCAGCAAGCTCGCGCGAGTATATCGACGCTCAAACCCCACCTGTCTCAGTGGTCGGAACGAATTGGTAGGGTACACATGCTGCGACTAACCTTGGGCCAACCGCGGCGCCCGGATCGCTCGAGGAGGTCGATTCCGCTGCGTACGGGTGTTGCCGTCAGACATTGAACGGAGTGGATTGCTGCCTAGTGCAGCCGTAGACCCATGTGCATTGTGAGCCAACGCACTGATGCAGTCCACTGTTCAAGCCAAGTAGCTGTTGGAGGGCCAGTATGCATGTATGGCCACCACTGGCCTGGTGCCACCGTCACACAGTATCGTCCGACATCATGATGCTCGGGATACTGCATATCGAGACGGAATTTTCCCGTGCGTCGTGCTATGAGAGCGAATGAAGTGTCCTGGATACTACCGCACGATTGGGTAGAAAGAAAGCACTGCCATAGCGTGCACGCTTCGCAGCCAATGGGACTGTTTAAGTCTCCCCAGGCAGATGAGCAATTTCTTGGAGTCTTTGTGTCAATGCCTCACGGCTTCCTTGTCTGCCAACTGATCAGTCCCGGTAGTGTTTTGGGACTGGTCAAAGGGTGACCGTCGTTGCACGCATGCCACATTGTGGAAAAACACTATCTTTCTTATATAGTAAAGGAGAGTGGTCCCGCTTTTGGACGCCGGCGCTTCCGCTCTTTCCGCATCCGGTAGCATAACCGTTTCGCTTATTCTGTTTTGCTCTCCGCACCCTCCTCCGCACAGCAGACGGCGGTGCTGGAAGACCCCGCGTGCTCTTCACCTTCCGACTTGCGCATGGTGTCGACGACGACGTTTTCATCGTCCTCGCGTCTCTCTTTGCTTTCATTTGTTTTCACGTCCATCATTCAGTTGCCATGCCCTCCTCAGGCTGCTTGCTCGCTCCGAGTTACTTCTGACGAATCTGACCATCCATGTTGCCCCTGCAATGCTAAGGATGGACGCAGGTAAGTGAGCAGGTACACCCGCATTGACATACCTGAGGTGTCCCCGGGTACAGGTGCGGTGTGCGTTCTTCGCCACACCGTAGGCGCGGATAACGAGTGGACAGCGGGGAAGGTTGGGCGGCTGGCGGGGGTGGAGGGTAGAATGGCGAGCGGCGGGCGAGGACGAGTGCCCACGTGTGAGTGCAGATGCGCGCGAGCGAGCCCACTAATGCAGGCACAGGACGCGGCGATGTGCATCACAACGTGTGCGGCGACTACGAGCGGGCAGGACCAGTGTCTCGCACGCAAACACACCCGACGAGTGCAACACGGCCACCGCCATGACAACGTGCAGGGAGGAGGACAAGCGGCTCGGCGGCTGCGTTTCCCTCCTTCTCCTCCACTTTGCCCCTCTCCGGTGCACGAACGAACAGCCATGCACTAGACTGCCGACGGACGGACGGCGAATGGTCGAGTGGACGAGCAGCGGGAGAGCGAGCGGGCGGGCGACAACACATGCCGAGCGGACAGCAACGATAGCCAGGGCCGGGACGCGCGCAACACGCGCCAACCGCGAGCGCGTAGGGCCAGTGCCGCACACGCAAACACGGCCGATGAGCGCGCGGGCGGACAATCGGACGGGCGAGCGGGGTTGGCGAGTGGACAGGTCACAACACATACGCCGACCGCGGAGGCGCCGGGCGAGTGCCCAGCACGCAGACACGGCCGGCGAATGTACATGCAGGCAGGCACACAGGCGGGAAAGCGGGCAGGTAAGTGGGCGGGCGAACGGACGGGCGGGCAAGCGGGAGGACGAGTTGGCGGATTGGAGAGAGAGCGTTGAAGAGACGGGAGAGCGAGGAGAGCGACTCCAGGTGGGTGAGCGGGGACCGTGGGCAGGGCCGAGGTGTGTGCAGCACACGCCGACCGCGAGCGTGCAGGGCAACTGCTCTGCGCGCAGACACAGCCAGCGAGTAAACGGCCGACAGCGGGTGCTGTCACGGCACGAGCGGGGTGGAGATGGGCATCGGAGTCCGCCCACCCGCCCTGCACCCGTGACCCGCGGTGAGCTAACCTCGGTTTACGCGGGTCGCGGGTTCGCTATGCGCCCTACAGTGAGTACGATCATTCTTCAGGTCTTCTGTCCTAATCCATTGTCTATAGAACTGTTGTCTACACCACCAATGACAGGTGGTGAAGGTGTCACGCGAGGAAACTTACATTTGATTTTACTACAAGTCCACTTCGCCGGTAATGCAAGAAGTGTACATGCATGGACAGTTCAGTTGAGAGTGTGTTAGATGGTGAGCTAGAATACATAGATGATATGTTGGATAAGGAGCAGCCCAGACATGTGTAGGGAGTTGCTGCGTAGATCAATCATATTGTATATGTTCTGTTCAACTGAGGCTTCCAACGACTCGCACGTCACCTGGCACTGCAGGTCAGTACCGAGCAAGTCTGGTGCTGATGAATTGAGAGATACTTTCAGTGACACAGGATTACCTGTGTGCACGGGCAGCCTGCTAGTAGAATCCAAAGAGAATCCAACCTAAATAAGTATGTCTATTGATGCGGGAACTCTAGTCATGATCAGCCACCGTCAAGCCGCCTCGTTGTGGATGAATACTGTTCCCTACCGTCTCAATATCAATCCTCCCCGTGTTGTCTCGCGGTGGGTTTAACTGGCCACCCTTGGCCACCGCGTGGAACTCTTGTAAAGTCAAGTCCAAGTGCAGATTCCGTTTTGAGACTCACATTATCCGAGCAAATATCCATCTGTGGTATGGTGGAGCTCAGTGCTCACCGCCTCTGTCCCGTCTTCAGACTACTTACTTGTTCAACGATTCTTCGCCCTCGCTCACTTTGATTCTGAAGCTTGAATCAAAGCGGCGACACAGACCGCGTCTCGGGTTCACGAAGGCGGGAAACGGACAGCCAAACGAGCGCCTGCTGCGGGGACACTGCCGCACAACCGTGCCTCGTCCCACCGCGTACGACTTATTCCACTTCACTTTCTCTCTCGTCGGGTCGTCGCAGGCAGTATGAAGCAGCTTTCTCTTCCGCTCCTTTTGTCGTTTCTCGCCCTCCCCGCGGAGCTCGTGGGCGCCATTCGGTTGGACGTGCACGGCCGGGCGAGGCAGCCATGGCGCAGGGACAGCATGACCGGCTCCTCGGGGCTCACGGACCACAGCAACATCCAGTACTATACGAACCTTACGCTGGGCGGGCAGGACTTTGAGGTGGAGATTGATACGGGGAGGTGCGTACGCCTGGTCGTGGACACCGCTGCGAGTGGCTGAGGCGCGTTCCAGCGCCGACCTGTATGTCGCGGGGAGCGTGACGAGCAGTAAAGACACAGGGAAGAGCGCAGGGGTCACGTATGCAGTGGGCGCGGTCAACGGTGCGTCGATCGCGGATGCTCGCTGTTGGGGTTCTGACGGTGGCCTGTTGGTAGGCGAGATCAGGACAGCCACGATGGACTTCCTTGGATACACCGTCGAGAACCAGGCGTATCGTAAGTTTGGGGTGCATCTGGTGGTCTGCGTGCTAACGTGTCTACAGTACAGATAGCCGCGAACAGCAACAACCAGACATCCGGGACAGGCCTGATCGGACTGGGTCCGCACACGGGGTCCAACATCCAGGGCACGCTGGGCAACGGGACGGGGAACCCGCCACTGGACCGGATATTCCAGCAAAACACGTCGACACCAAACTACCTGACTGTGCTGCTCGGCCGGTCGGACGACAAGTTCGACGACGTGCCGGGGAACATCACGATCGGGGAGGTGCTGCCTGGATACGCGAACATCTCGTCGCAGCCGAAGCTGAACGTGACGGAGCTGAAGCTGACGGAGTCGTCGGCGCAGCACTGGCAGACACTGCTTGACGTGAACGGCATCATTGGGCCGGACGGGACGTCGGTGGATGTGACGAGTGGGGTGTCGACGACGTCGAACGACAAGCAGTTGACGGTCGTGTTTGACACGGGCTACTCTTTACCGCAAGTCCCGAGGTGCGTACGTGAGGCTTCTTGAGACGAGCACTGGGCTGACAGCCGTTACAGCGCCGTCGCGAAGGCGTTTTACCAAAATGTCCCTGGGGCTCAGTACATCGACAATGTCGCGTCGCTTGCTGGTCCCGCATGGCAGATCCCGTGCGACTACGAGGTGAACGTTACGTTCAAATTCGGTGGAAACAGCTATCCGATCAATCCTCTGGACGCGGCATTGGACCTGGGAGCTACTGACAGCGACGGCAAGTCAATATGCTACGGCGGAGTGCGTGTCCAAATTGCGTGTCTTGCGCCCTCCTGCTGATCCCTTGCGCAGTTCCAGCCTATAGACGCTGCGAAGAGCGACCTTTACGACATCATCTTTGGCATGGCGTTCCGTAGGTAGCACCTTTGGTCATCGCAGGCTGCAGCGCTGACATCCCCGCAGTCCGCAATGTGTACATGCTGATCGACTACGGCGACTTCGCGGACAACGCGACGTCGCGCGCGGACCCATACATCCAGCTGCTCTCCATCTCGAACGACTCCGCCTCACTGCACTCGGACTTTGTCTCGATCCGCGGGTCCGCGTCCTGGGACCCCACGTCTGAGTCCACGTCCACCTGGGTGAAGGACCACCTGAAGCTGGTCATCCCGCTGAGCATCGCGGTCGCGCTGCTCCTGATCGGGCTGACAATAGGCGCGGTGGCGATGTGCCGGAGGCGGCGGGCGACACGGTACCAGCCGCTGAGCGACCCCGCGCCGCAGGAGGCGCACGACCTCCATCTCATGCGCGCGGACGGCACGCCGGCGTATGCGAACCCCTGGGACGCACGGTATTGAGATGCTCGGGCGAGATTGGATCGGGATCCCGTCGCCTGACGGACTGGGACTGCACGCTAAAACGCTTTTTATCACGCCGCTCTCGCTATAGTATTGTATCCGCCTGGTTGTACACTGCTGTCATTTAATTTATCTTACGTCATGGACATTGTCGTCATCGTCGCATCTCTCGGGTTACTCGTTGTGGCCTCTTGGTTTCGTCGCGGAAGCAAAGTACAGTACATGCTTGTCAGTGGTACATACTGGTTGACTGAAACTGTACTGAACAGACACTGCGAGTTTGAGATGGTGGTGGGTTCGTCGTCGGTTCAGTCTGCAGCCAATAAGGTATAATAAGTCATCTGGTAGACAGAACACTGTCCAACCGACTGCTGCGTATTGAAAGATTCTCGCGAATTTCTTGGGGTCCGCCTTCGCCTGCTTTCGCGACGTCGCGTCGCGACGATCAGTACGTATCACGTGCGGGGCGCGTTAGGTGCAGCCACCCTGCTGAATGCCGGTTCCAACGCGTCTGACATCTTACACAGTCGTCGGTCGCCGTACGCACGACACTCGCGACGACCGCGATGTCGCCCTCGGTCGAGTACTACTGCCCATGTCTTGCTGCCTCCCCTCATCCACCCCCACCACACCTCTCCTCATCCTCCTACAGCTTCCACCCGCTACACAACCTCTTCTTCTGCGAGGAGTGCGACGCCGTGCGATGTAACCGCTGCGTCATGGTCGAAGTGAGCGGCTACTACTGCCCCAACTGTCTCTTCGAGGTGCCCAGCGCGAGTGTGCGCGCGGAGAAGAACAGGTGAGGCTCGCTCGCCATTGTTCTGGTTGGGAGGAACTTGACGGAGAAATACAGATGTGCACGGAATTGCTTCTTGTGTCCGAATTGCCGGAATACGCTGACGGTGGTGCCATCGGACCCGCCGAATGACGGGCACGATAGGATGTCGCCCATAGTGTCGACATCCCTCGGCGAACCGCCTTTCTTTCTCTACTGCAACCATTGTAGATGGGACTCCGCAGAAGTCGGAATTACTTTCGAGAAGCCCACAGGTCTCGCAGGTGCGTAGCATCCCCAGTTGTGTACGCTCCAAGGTTGACTAATCGCCTTTGCAGCCCAGCTACAGAAGTTCGAAGACTCGGCTCCAGAAGCCCTGGAGTTTGACCGGCTGAAAGAGCATTTCGAACCCTTCCTACGTGCATCCTCCTCCTCTTCCGCCGTCACACCCTCGTCCTCACACCACCACTCGAACCCCATCACAGCCGCAGCGTCGTCCGCGCTCGCGCGGGACATTCCCGGCGTCAGCAAGTACAATCCGCTCTCGCGCAGCCGCTCAGGGCGGGACAAGGGCGCGCACAAGGCGGACATCCCCGACTACAGGGCGCGCGTGGAGGTCGGCTCCGCCGCGGGCCTCGGCGCGGGGGGCGGGGAGGCGGACATGGAGTACATGAGGCATCTGGAGACGGTCGCGGAGGTGGCGACGGTCGAGCAGCGATGGGTGAATAGCTGGGTGTCGTCGCTGCATACGGAGTGCGTGGTTCGCTTTATCTCTGCGTCTGTGCATCATGAGAGTGTATATTCCTCAGTGACCTCAAGCCACTGCGCATACCGTTGCAGTCCAAGAAGTCCAAGCGATGTCCGAGCTGTAGGCACATCCTGATCAAGCCGGAACAGAAAGCGCAGTCTGTGCGGTACAAGATCAAACTCGTCGCCGCGAACTACTTGCCCGCCATCTCCGTCTCGCTACCACATGCACGGGCGGCCCTCGAGATGTTGAAGCGCTCCTCCGCTATGAACCGGTCGACTGCACCATCGGACGACCAGACTCCGGCAGCAGCGCTGCTCGCGGGCAAGACATATTCCTTTCACCTGTCTTTTACGAACCCTCTCTACGACCCAATACAGGTGCGGCTGAAGAAAGCACAGGCGGTACCCACGTCCGGCAGCGAAGCCGGGGGAGAGAAAGCAAGGAGACCGCCATTCCAGGTGAACCTTCCCAGCGCAGCGTTTCCCATAGCCGCGTTCGCAGAGGCATGGGAGTACGAGGACGATGAGGACATGTTTGGCTTGGACGACGACGATGATCTTGACGGCCTCGGGCGACTCCAGAAGGACTCGAGGGGGAAGACGCGGACCGTAGGCGTCGTGGAGAAGCGGGCGAATGTGACCGTCGTGGCGGGGGAGGTCATTTTGACAAAGGAGGCGAGAGGGAACGTCAAGGTGCGTTGAGATGCCTCCGTTGCTCGCTCGATGCCGCTCATGATTGTTGGTGGCAGTTCAATATGTTGGTGTCGTACACGTACAGGTCGGATGACCCGGATCCAGCGGAGGAGAACGCGACGGGGACGCCTTCGCGCCATGCGTCGAGTAAGCAGCCAGAGATGAAGAACTTCTCGTTCTATACCATTGTCGACTTGGGACCTATAGTCTCGAGGGAAGAGACGAGACATGATGCAGATCTATGATGACCTCCCCTTCTCCTGGTGCTTCATGGAGACGAGGCTGAATGCAATGTGTGTAGCATAATGGATTATATCACGCATGCTTAATGTGCATGTTCTCCCCTGCATTCAAGGCCGGTGTTGATCGTAACTGTTACAGTATCTTCACTCTGGCTCCATGTATTCACAAAGACCCCCCCCCCCCCGGCGATCGACTTCGACACGCGTAAGCCTACTTGCGTGTCTCGACTTGGTCTCGGCTTGATTAAGCATGTCGCTGTCACGCCACTTGACCCCGCGCAGTGTGGGATAAGTATGCGAGTCGCCAGAGATCGTGTTGCCTCTCTCTCTTAGTTCGAACCTCCATCCAAGTGCACTTGGACAGACCTGGACATGTCTCTCGGAAGACTTGGATGACCTCACAGCTGGATTTGCGACATCTCTTCTAGTTCGTTGCCGGCTTTGAGGGTGCGAGTGAGTTGGCGCTCAGATTGTACTTGGTTTGTGGACAGACAATGTGCTTTCTTCAGGCAAGCGTGCAAGGCCTCTCAATTGTCATTGAAGCCAGACTGAAGACCATCAGCCAATCATGGCACTGGACTTAGACGGATGCGTCGGCAGTGAGTGCGCTAGAACCACGAGCCAATGAGAGAGCGGTACACTGGCCACCATCACGTGTGGCGCCGTAGCCATAGCGAATGGCGACGGGTGCCTGCGGATTTATGGAGACAGATGCAGTGCGGGGAGAAGCCTGCTTGAAGCCAGCCTTGAGCCAGCCTCAGACTGCTCGCAGAGTCTCTCTCTCCCTCCCGGGCTCCTCGCATGTCGCGCGGTCTGCTCTGCCAGGCGCATCCTTGATTCTCCCATTCCTTACATTCGCTTTCTACAGGCGTTCGCACCTAGCCTACGCTGGACGAGGCTAGAATTATGGCAACACCTGAGCACCCGGAATCACGACCACAGGCGGGCCCGCTTCCGGCTAAGAGGGGGGAGATTGGCTATGAAGATGGTGTGCATGGCCCCGCACAGCAGGAGCAAGCAGGCGAGGGTTCTGGTACGGCAGAGGTGTCCACTCCGTTGCCCGAGAGGCATCCGGCGGATACGCCCTTGCCTTCAGCCACACCACAACCAGACCCGTCTACGCCCACCGCCTCCACCCACAATGCCTCTTCTGCGGAAAGCCCATCCACCGCCAATCCACCAAATACATCTGCCCCTTTGAACCCGTCTGATAGCACTGGCCGAAAGCTCACCTCATTCCTCAGCTGCAAGCGCATCCCTACCTTCCGGGGCATGCGCGCCACGACCCTGTCCCTCTTCGTCTTCCAACTTGGAGTCCTCAGCGGCACTATCGCAGGATGGATCGTCCTCGTCCAGCGCATGCAGGCCGCCCAGACCTCTGACCAGCGATCCGGCCAAGATTCGTCGGGCGGCATGTCGATGGGCTCCGCACTCATCTTCGTGTACGTCGCCTTTGCGATGCTTACGCTCCTACAGGTCGTCTTCCTCGAGCGATGTATCTTCCGACTGCGCGCCGAACGCTACGGCTCTATGCACCCCGGCGAGATCCTCCCTACCCATCGCAACCGCGGACAACCGCGGCATCCAGGCATCGCCTTCGCGCCATGGAACCGCCCCCCACTCCCCACGTACGCGGCGACGCTCGCGCAGAGCGGCGTCGGCACGGGCGACGTCGAGGACAACATCATCGCGCAGGCGCCTCCGCCCGCGTACGGCGAACACCGCTCTAGCCAGCTACTCCTCCGCGGCGAGATCCCCGAGCAGCTCCGCGAAGAACGGCTCCCCGAGAGTGGGAGCGTACGCAGCTCGATAATGTCGTGGCTGAACATCCGGCGCATCAGCGTGCGGAGCACTGGGAGCTCTGGCCCGCGCATCGAACCTGACCCGGGCGAGCGCGACCGGCCGAAGAGCTACATGAGCACGGACCCCGAGTGGGAGGAGGCGCTTGATGCGAACCGGGCGGCGACGCTGGAAGAGACGTTGTCGAAGCTGGAAGAGGGCGACGGTGCTGGTGACGGTGCGGAGTCGCGGACGACGGCGGGCGACGGAGCAGGGTAGAGAATGAGGTGAGCCCTTTTGGTGGTCGATATACGGCACGCAAATTGACAACCGCCAGTGTACGCATCCGTGCTTACTGAAGATCTGCGCCCCTCCTTCGACATTCTTTATTCCAGCGCCCCGGACTCTACTTGGATATAACGCGTTGTCTTTGCTTGTTTGTTGTAGGAATCAGTCATTGACAACCGGCATTCTGTATTTAGCTTTCGCAGTTGATGCTGTGAACCGTTTTCCCGTGTATCAACAAGTCGAATCGGATCCGTACTGCATCGTGCTGGGCTACCCTGGGCGTGTGCCGCGGGCTTTTTGTTCAATACGGTCCAATGTTCGCGCCTTCAATGAAGTTGGTCACGCGTGCGTCGTTCAAATGTGTCGTAACAGTCATTGGCCTTTCTCCGTATAATACCGTACTTATCATCTTCGCCTGTCGGTTCGAGCGCATTCAGCGTTGCGGTCCTGTCCGATATCAGGCAAGTGTGAGGTTCAGACTTGGTTCGGACCGTGATTAGTTGCTCAGCGGTTCGAACCAACTCTAGGGTATCCTCGGCATTCAAACCTCTGTGCAGCCCCTCTGAGGTGCGTAGACGAACTGCAAAAGAGAGCACTAGTCTCACTACGGAATTCTCTGCTGATAAATTCTCATAGATGCAGAATCAAGACTGCATGAGCGACGTACGCAGCCATCTGCGGGCACAATGGGACAACGCCTGACTGGCCGGGCGAAAAGGCAGGCGGACGACTCGTCAAATGTTCCGCACAGTTGGTGCCCTCGAAATATACATCGGAAGGGATGTAGGCCGTTCATGTTCTCCTGGAAGGGTTGACCGAGAGCAGTAGCTGATCATTGTGCCTCCATCTCATCTCTTAGCGGCGGTGGCAGGATCATTGCGCAGTATCGTCCCGCACTTTTGTCCCCTCCGTTTCTGAAACTTGTACTCTGGCCAAAGGTGCACTGACCAGTATCTACAGCTCTCGAATATCCTTCAACCGGGCGGCGATGTCAATCGGACAGTGTCACTCCACCGAGTTTACGTCGCGCACTCCAATTGGGATCTGCGGATGCGTCGTCGGCGACCTTGAGTGTTCGAACACTCAGCTTGGTCGGAACCGATCTGCTATGTATGTGGTGCAATCAGAGATCTGTGAGTAATATTAAGCCCTGGAGGTGGAGGCCGTTGATGTTGCCTGCGAAATAAGATGTCAATGCCGATGTGCATGCCGCAGACGGGGCGACTGCCCGCCTGGAACCACCAGTGCTAGTGACCCAGTAGTGACCACTCGCGCTCGGCCAGGACGAAGAGCCTGACGCTGCTGCCTGAGCTCGCCCCGACTGTCGCTTCAAGAGGAAATGAATGAGTCGTTAAGTCGAAACGTCAGGCTACTATGTATTGCTTCAGTTGTAGAAGTTGCCCCTGGATACATATCTACTAGTTCATTCCTGTGCGATTCATATGTTTTGCACCGTATGACGGTGATGTTTACTGTGGGCGTCGGATTAGAGAACTGTATTACTATCTGGATGGCAGCAGTCGCCGGGCGTCTATCTGAACATACCAACTGACAACCGTACGTTGCGGCAACGATCTGGCTACTTAGTACTTAATGTTGTCAAGCATACTCTCTTACCTGCTGGTCACTGCCCTCAGAGTCACCGCAAACGCCCCTGCTCCTCGGTCTCAGCAGCCGGCGGGAGTCCAGCCTGGGAGCGATCATCAAGCCTTTCTCCAGGCAGATGCCCCTCACCGGCCTCACCGCGCATCCCACGACGCCCATGTGGGCTTCCATGACCCATGCATCCCATTGTCAGCTGCTTCTCGGCCATATGTCTCGTCGAGTATAAATACGGCTACGGTACGTTGCTCGCCTCAACACCGGCACCTCCAGCAAAATGCGTCTTTCACTCACGTACATCCTTGGCCTCGCCGGTGCCCTCGCTCAGACGAGCGTGAGCTCGTACATCACTACCGAGTCTCCCATCGCGAAGGCCGGCGTGCTCGCCAACATCGGTTCGAGCGGATCGCTCTCCTCGGGTGCTAAGGTGCGTCGCGCGTCTCCCAAGCAGTTTGCACTGCAATTGAATCGTGCTGTTCTAGCCGGGCGTTGTCATTGCTAGCCCGAGTACGGTCAACCCCGACTACCTCTACACCTGGACACGAGACTCGTCCCTGACGTTCAAGGCTCTCATTGACCAATATGTCAATGGCCAAGACGACACACTGGGTACTCTCATCGACGACTTCACCCAGACTGAGGCGACTCTCCAGCAAATCGACAATCCCAGTGGTTCTGTCAGTACTGGCGGTCTCGGAGAGCCGAAGTTCAACATCAACGAAACTGCCTTCACCGGCGATTGGGGACGTCCGCAGCGTGGTACGTGTTTTCACACTCATGGTCGGACACGGTACGATTGACTCAGTCTAGATGGCCCCGCTCTGCGTGCTACTGCTATCATGACGTATGCGACCTATCTATGGAACAGCGGGAATACGAGCTACGTGACTGAGACCCTCTGGCCGGTCATTGAACTTGATCTGAACTACGTCGCGGACAACTGGAACCAGTCTACGTGCGTCCACTATAAGATCGCGTGTCGCATAGTCGATCTCATATGTTCATGTCGCAGCTTTGACCTCTGGGAGGAGGTTGATTCATCGTCGTTCTTTACTACAGCAGTGCAACACCGTTCTTTGCGTGAGGGTATCACCTTCGCGAAACTCATCGGCGAGACCTCGGATGTAAGCAACTACGAGACCCAAGCCGATGCCCTGCTTTGTTTTCTGCAGGTCTGTACAGTCGCGCAGTTAGTCGAAATGCTATTGACTCTATGCAGTCCTACTGGAACCCCGCAGATACGTACATCACGGCTAACACTGGCGGTGGTCGGTCAGGCAAGGATGCGAACACCGTTCTGGCTTCGATCCACACTTTCGACCCTGCTGCTGGCTGCGATGACACGACGTTCCAGCCCTGCTCGGACAAGGCACTGTCAAATGTAAAGGTCTACGTCGACTCGTTTCGGTCTATCTACACCATTAACAATGGCATCTCGGCCGACGCTGCTGTTGCCACTGGCCGGTACCCCGAGGACTCGTACTACGACGGTAACGTCAGTGCATACGCATCGTCACGGTGTCTAGAGGGTGACACTGAGACATCTTTCTGTAGCCCTGGTACCTCTGCACGCTCGCAGTCGCCGAACAGCTCTACGACGCGCTCATTGTCTGGGACGCGCTCGGCGAGCTGAACGTCACCTCCACCTCCCTCGCGTTCTTCTCGCAGTTCGACTCGTCCGTGGCCACCGGCACCTACGCTTCGGACTCGGACGAGTACAGCACGCTTACGAGCGCGGTGCAGGCGTTTGCGGACGGCTTCGTCGAGCAGGTCGCGCAATACACGCCGTCGAACGGCTCGCTTAGCGAGCAGTACAGCAAGTCGGACGGCAGCCCGCTTAGCGCGTACGACCTCACATGGAGCTTCGCGGCGGCACTCACCGCGTTCGAGGCGCGTGCCGGGAACAAGTATGGCAGCTGGGGTGCGGCCGGTCTGAACGCGACTTGCTCCGGGAGCGGTAGCGGCGAGGACACCGTTGCGGTCACATTTACCGTCGATTACGATACCGAGTACGGAGGTGGGTGTCCCGTGTACGGAGGTGGGTGTCCCGTGGATAGTTTGAGATGAAGCTTGACATTGTGGATGCTTCGCAGAGAACCTGTACATCACCGGCTCCGTTGACGCGCTCGAGAACTGGTCCACCCGTGACGCACTGATCATGTCTGCTGCGGACTATCCGACCTGGAGCAGTGAGTGCCGCGTTTCTTCCTTCGTTGAGCGATGGGTGATGCTCATCGCTCGTAGTCACCGTCAACCTACCTGCGAACACGACCATCCAGTACAAGTACATCGCGATCTTCAACGGCGACGTCACCTGGGAGGACGACCCGAACAACGAGATCACGACGCCCGCGAGCGGCAGCGCGACTCAAGCCGATAGCTGGCATTGAACGGACCATGGCTCGTGTACGATGGTGTTGCAAGATTGTCGGCGAGCTGTAGCCGATTGGGACTCTCCTTTACCCTGCCTATCGCTTATTGCATTGTTGTGTCACTAGTCACTGATACATTCGTTCACCAATAATGTCCTCAGAACTCTGCGAAATCTGAGATTCTTGATCATGCTGTCGACACCTATTGTGCTTTCGTGTAAAATGTTGCGTTACGTCCCTTTAGTACTTAGGCTTACTACTCCATTGCAAGAGGCCCGATACTATGGTTCTGGTACGTAGCTACCCTGGCCCTGGCCTGCGAATGTTGACACTTACCTGGAAGATGATTGGTGTGAGTGTTGAATGAACGTTTGAACAGAGGACAATCTGTGAGTTGGCTCGCACAGTGGTTGAGGACGTGGCAGCCAATAAGCAGCCGCGGATCTCTCAAGCCACTGGCACACACGGCGTGCCAGTCGATTATTCAACGCTCAATTCACACGTTCACACTCACACTCAGCGGCGACTCTTCCGTCGACGCATCCAGCTGCACTCTTCCCTATAGAGGTCGTGCTTGGCACAATAGTGATCACTCGAGTCTCTTCTCAGCGGCTTGCAGCAGGGTGCCTCAGTCAAGTTGTTACATAACTTGCCACAGCCCTTAGAAGGATCAGTGCGTTCTGCGTGTCTCCTCAGTCATGGTATCGAATCTGATTTGCGTATCGCATACCGAACCGTTGTAAGACTGAAACAATGTCTCATGCATCCGCGTCGAGTGCTGTGTCATGGACGGATCTCCAGAACCGTGCGTACCTCCGAGACCGTTGATCTCCCCCCATACTTACCCCATATCTACCGTACTCAGATTGGAACGGGCTCTGGCGGCTCCCTCAAGAAATGTGGGACTGTGTCATGGAGCATCTGGATCACGACGTCGCCGCCTTGGAGGCTTGCTGCCTTACATGCAGGGCGTGGTGGCCGATTGCGCGCAAGCTACTATGGGCAGATCTGTCCTTGCTACCCTACCAAGCCCGCAGACAGCAGCCACAGCTCCCGCCGAGACTGAAGTCTCTTCTCGTTGAGCAGCCGGAAATCGCCAATCTAGTCCGCGCCCTGAGCGTCGCCCTGTGTATCAAAGAGCTCTCGTGGTTGACAGCCTTCCCCAACCTACGGGACCTGCGGCTTCAACCGAGTTTCAGTGGCGAGAGACAACCTGCGGCTTCCCTTCTTGATGGATTGCGGTTTCCACGCATCATGGCTCTGAGCCTCACGTGGAACTACTACCCGACTCTGGCGCTATTGGAGCAGCTGCTGGCTTGCTTTCCTCGCCTCACGAATCTGGACGTGAACGAACCGCAGGCATATAGCAGTGATGCAACGATTTTGCCACGGAAACCATCGCTCACACTGCCGCACCTGCGCAGGCTCTCGTTCGATTGCCATACTGTCATAAGGGCCGTTCCGACGCTTCTGCACACAGCAGGGACTTCCCTAGAGTCCGTCAAGATTGTCGCCTCTATGCATGACCCCCACGTGGTCTTGGACATCTCGAGGAACACACGGCTAGTGGAACTGGAGGTGGATGTAACATTCGTGCCCACCATGGATGAATGGGGCAACTGCTTGGTTGCCCCCCTTTCCCGAATCAGTGCCGCGCACACTTCCCTAAGGAGCATCGTCCTGTGCCTCCACCGCTTCTCCCAACCCGCAAATAGTCTGCGTGAGCCTGGGGAGAACCTCGGCCGCGAGCTCTCCCGCATCCTGGATGAGCTGCCCCATGTCACAGTCACGTTCGTACCGATGTGCGGTTCCGCGTACCTCTCTGACGCGGAGAAAATGCGAAGTCTTCTCGTGCATCACCTTCGGAGGCAGATCCCTGACTTCACCGCGTACTCAACGCGTCTGCGCTTCGCATGGAGGCTCACTAGCAACGACCCACGCGCGGGGGAGGCTCTCCTGCGGGCGCACCTTTGCTCGAAGTGCAACGTATCGGATGGCCTGCCAGTAGGCTGAAGAGGCTGACCCTCGCGCCAGCTACGAGCTCGGTAATCACTGCGTCTGATGTGTACCGCACTATTCTGAGCAGGAAGACTCTTCCGAATGTTGTGCGTGCTCTGATTAACATGAGCAATCGTAAGTAGGTGTGTATTCCTGTGAAAATGTGGCATGTAGTATCATAGTCTATGACAGTAGCGAAGTCACCTATGTGTTTATACAGAAATCAATGACCCGGCGGCGGACCTGCCAGTGCTTCCAGAGTACTCAGGCTATTGAAGACCAGCGAAGAGTGGCGTTCACTGTCAAAAAGCGCAGGATGATAACGATGCAGTTGAGCACTGAGAGGACGGTGCGTCTACAAAGACTCGCTGCTTACGAGTACTTGAGTACTAGAACGGTACTGTCTATTACTCCGCAACATACACTGGGTAGGAACTATGTGGTTACGTAAGCATGCCATGGGCGCCGTCGATAGCCACACGGTGATGTTGAAATTGTGCCACCGTAGCCACCACTGGCCGCAGTGGCACACCGTGACTTGGTGAAGTTCGCCCCGACACTGCAAAAAGCCTATTGATTTCGAGGCGACAGTTTATGACGCACGCCGTATTGTCTTCAAGAACAATTGCACCTGGAGGTTGTTTCAGTGCGTGCGTTCCCAGTATTCCGACTACGGCCCACTTCACTGAACTATGCATGTATAGATCCAAGATGTGCTCGGGTTCAAATGCGAAGGTTGTCTCACCGAGAGACTCGTATGGTACGTGCCACTGAACGTAACGGTCACGGTGGAGTCGACTTACGGGATTATCAGTGGGCTCCGCTCCAGTCCGAGCATACTTTTCAAATGGACTTTGGCGGCTGCCTCTCGAACTATGGTGTATCATCATTGAGCACCTGGAAGGATGCGACGAGGCTCTGAAGGCTTGCAGTTCGACGTGCGGTGCATGGCGGCGACCTGCGCGGCAGGTCTTCTTTCGCACTATGCATGTCCCTCAGTGGCCTCCAAAACGCCCTGCAGAGATCCCGCCGAGGCTAAGGACCCTGCTCGCCGAACAGCCGGAGATCGCTAAGCTAGTTCGGACGATGCGTGTCGATCTGGCGTTCCAGGAGTTACCCTGGTTGTCGGCCTTCACGAACCTGAGGTTCCTCGACTTGTATCTGGACGGAATTCATGGACGAGTTCCCTCGGAATCCGCACTGGACGGCTTGCACCTACCGCATCTCACGACTCTCGCGGTGTTTTTGGATGTGTCTCCGTCGCTGTCATCGTGCGAACGGCTTATGGCTTGCTGTCCTCACCTCACAGACTTGATGATGCAGGGTGCACCCTACGGCCGGATAGAGGAGTTCGCACACATCCAGGTAGAGGAGCAGCCGATCGCGACGCCACTTTCGCTGCCACGTCTCCGAAAGGTCTCCTTCACTGCCCCAGGCTTCGAGCGAAGCTTCACGAAGATCTTGCGTCTAGCAGGCGACAGCCTGACATGCGCTCACCTGGCCACCCCCCTGACGCCGACACTTGACCTTCTCCGGGACATGCTGGACTTCTCGCACAATACGCACCTGGAGGATTTGGAGATCGAAATGGACGCTCCAATCCTTGAGGATGGATGGGGTGACTACCCGGCCGCACTGCTCTCACGCATCAACACGTCGCATTCTTCCCTGACGCGTCTGTATCTTTCCATCCCCCGCTTCTGCTTAGGCTTAGTTTCATCGACTGGGCGCTGGGCCGAAGTAGGCCAGTGTCTCGGCCGAGAACTCTCTCGCGTCCTGGACAGCATGCCCCACGTCACCGTGGTGATTCTCTGGTTAAAATTCCCTATCTACGTGGGGCAAGAGCATTCGACAGTGGCGGATTGCCTTTTGCGCCAGTTCCCGGGCCTCAGTGCACATTCGGATCGTGTTTGTTTGCACGATCCGGTACACTCAGCTGCAGACGATCCGGATAACCACCCATTGGCTCATAAGACAGGGCTCACGCACAACCATCCAGCGTGACACCTGTGACCGGGCTTCGGAGTAGCCATACGAGGCAGGTATCGCACTCAAACAGGCAGCTGAGCGGCTATTGCTCTTACACTCGTAAACCTAAGTATAGGAAACTTCATGTTTACGATGGCTGCAAATCTGCTCGCACAGTTTTGTCCGCATTACAATTCTGCAGATTACTATGCGAAAGAATATTTTTAAAACGACTGATTGAAGCCTCCATTAGCTTAGCGCGCTAATGTCACGCAAGCTGGATGGTTGTGCGTGAGCCCTGTCTTACTTGATGTGGAGAACATCCACCGTGTGTACTCTGGTCCGGTGTTACGTGCAGGACTCCTTACGAATAGTCACCGACACCACATACGACCTTCGTGACTGATTCGTTATACAAAGCAATAAATTCATTTTGGCCCCATTAAGCAGACACTCTACAGAAGGCGTAACATGAACGTGATATGACGTCATCAACCCTCGAAAGTGAAGCTGGCACCGAACTGGTAGCAGCGGAACACACGGACACGACCAAAAAAAATCAGCGATCAATGCACAACCCATATGCGAACGTAGGCATGTACCTTGTGCGCGGGACCAGCGGGCGAGATGTCGTTCAGTCTCTGCGTGTCGAGCGCGAGGCCGAACGACGCCCTCACGCCGGGGCGGAGGGACTGGGTGTAGCCTATCGGGAGACAGCGCATCAGGCACGTTCGTCGGTCGCCCTCACACCACTAAGCGGAGCAGCACGTACCGAGAGCGAGGATGCCCGAGTTGTTGATCTTCGCCTTGACGAACGCGGCCGAGTCGAGGTACGCCTTCGCACCGACCTCGAGGTTCACGCCGGCGGTGGTCGCCTTGGTGTCGTACACGGCCTTGGCACCCGCCTCGACGTCGGGCGAGACGCGGTGGTAGTAGCTCGCGGCGAACGTGCTCAGGTTGCCGAGCCCGTGGAGGGTGACGGCGTACTCGGGCGCGGAGAAGCCGACCGCGGTGGCGTACTTGGTCACCTTGCCCTCTGTGACGTTGTACGACGCCTCGGCACCGAGCAGGAAGCCGTCGCGGCCGATAACGGTGTCCGCGGTCACGGTCGGGCCCTACGCGGGTCCGTGAGGGGGTAAAACGCGTGCGACGAGCGGGGACACGTACCTTGAAGAGGTCAAGGAAGGCGCGGGTGTGGAGCCCGGGCTGCTTGTAGGTGGACGTGAAGAGCGCGCTCTTCGAGCCCTTGTCGGGGGTGAGCGCGGTGCTGAGGTCGAGCTTGAGGCCCTTGGCGATCTGGTTCTCGAGCTCGATCTGGGTGCGGAGGGTGTTGGTGGTCGTCCACGCCTGCGTGAAGGTGAGGCCGTGCTTCTTGTCGGAGTACTTGCCCTCGAGGTCGCCGGCGATGAGCGATGTCTTGTGGTCCTGGTTGCCCGTCACGCGGAAGGCGACCTTGGAGGGCGTGGTCGTCTTGACCTCGAGCGCGACACCGTGGAACGGAAAGTCCTTGCCGAGGAGGTCATTGGAGGACTTGCCGAGGTCCTGGATGATGACGACGCGACGGTGAGCTGTGCGACGCGCGCGGGGTGCGCGACGGGGAACGTACCTTCCAGGATGGGGGGACGGGCTGGGGGAGCGACATTGTGTGCGGAGGTGGTGGATGGGGAGGATGGGGAGGGGGAGGGAGACGAGTGCTGGCAGTGGCACTGGCAACCGAATTTTGGTGGCACGTTATATGCTCCGGCTAGGCCCGAATACGTATGCGCGCGTTGGCAGCACGTTCGCTCGCCCCAGCCGGCCCAGCGCGTCCTCCCCCGCCAGTCGCCCGCATCGTCCCAATCGTCCGTGCTCGCGGCCCGCACGCCTGCTCGTGTCTTCCCTGGCCCGTGTGTGCGGAAATGCCTATCAATTTCGATGTCCCGGCGCGTGAGATACGCAGTGCAGAGACGCTCGATGACGCGCGCCTTCGGGCAGCAGCAGCCAGGCGGGGAGGCCGCACAGTCCAGGGCAATCACGGCCAGTCTGCTCTGTCCTTCCTTCCACGCTCACCATCCCAGCCAACGCCCGCCAGCTCACCGGGTCGCGCTCGTTCACAGCTCAGGATGCCGGTACGCAGACCGCGCGGGCAGAGAGGCTTGGGCTGCGGCGGACTTCTCGCAGCTTCGCGCCCACTTCGCCCGGACCTCGCGACCAGATATCGATGACATAAGCCCCTCATATGCTACCACTCTCTTCGCGCATCGCCCGGATCCCTGCCAGATCAAAAGCCCTCCCTCTGTCTGCCCCATCGCGCAGCCTAGCCAGGACGACCATGCTCAAGTACATCTCGCCCGATGTGCGTCCCCCGCTTCGTGTTCGCGACTCCGCATTCTTACTGACGCACGCACAGGAGCTCGCTGCCCTGATGAAGAGCGACAAGGTGGCCGGCAGAGACTACTGCGTCGTCGACGTCCGCGACGACGACTGGTACGGCGGTAACATCAAGGGCTCGCAGAACTCGCCGTCGCATGGGTTCCTCAGCAAAGTGGGCGAGCTCGTGGCGCAGACAAAAGATGTCCCGACCGTCATTTTCCACTGCGCTCTCTCGCAAGTCCGGTACGTCTCCCTGTGCCGCTCATTTGTATCCCGTTACTCACTTCACCTTACAGAGGGCCCAAAGCCGCTAGGGTATGCCATGACACTTCATCCTCCATACCCATGTAACACCATCCCTTCGCAGATCTACTCCGAGACGCGCGACCTCCTGCAAACCCAAGGCGCAGACAAGCCGCACGAGGTCCTCGTCCTCCGCGGCGGCTTCCAGGAATTCCAGGCCAAATACAAGACCGACCCCAAGCTTGTCGAGAACTGGAAGGACGAGGTCTGGGGGAGCGGGCTGCACTTCTAGCATTCCCATCCACCCCCCATCTACCACCCACCCCGGGCTCGATGGCTTCTTGATTTCCATGATCTTCGGAACGTCGAATGTTGCTATGTGTATCGCTACGGATATTATCGCCATAATCGTGCTGTATCGTTAGAGTAGGGAACGCGTCGCGTATATACACGGTCTGCGACACCCAACGCGCTGGACACCTCTCGGGCCTATCAGAGGATGCCCATTATGGATACAACCGGCGGGCCTCCTTGAGGATGTATTTTAGGTAGAGTGGTGTATTAGTACCACCGAATACGAGAATCCTAGCTCCGGGAGGCGACGTACGTATCGCGGACAGACTCCGTGAACCCGTGCGTATGCGCAGCTTGGACTGCCTAGTACAGAGCAACCCATGGCCTCTTACTTGCTCTGCTCATTGGACGATGACGTCTCCTGTTGCTGCTTCGCGAATCGCCTCGGAATCTGCTCGACGACCTGCTGGATCCGCCTCCGCTCCTCGTCCCTCGACCTCCTACAGATCGTCCTGCACCCAATTCGAAGAAACTCAGCTCGACTTCCTACCGGAAGGCCCAGCACATAAAGCTGGGAACGGACGACGCACCATGTACCGAGCGTGACCGCCATGAACGTCCCCACCGCCCAATTCGACGCTACGAACGGACCTGCCGTCCCAGCGAAGGCGTCAGCTTCCCATTTCAGCATTCTCATCCCCGTAGTGTGTATTTGGAATCCCGGGCAAAGGTAAGGGCGTAGGAGAGAATCGCACCTGCACTGAGTCCGCGGATGACGCCTACGCCCGCGCCGCTCGCGATCCCGCTCAAGAGGCTGCTTCGCGCGCAGGGTATCTCCCCGATCTTCTGGAAGTCATCCCAGAAGGAGATCCTCTGCCTTGGCCGCACGCGCACGTCAGCATGCTGCCCTCATCCGTGGGAGAGGCCTGGTTGTGGGGGGGCAGGCAGGAGGGACGCACCGTGACGGCCTCCTTGACGTCGGTCCAGTAGCTCCCCGTCGTGTCTGTCTGGAAGGCGATCTTCTTCGGCGAGGATGAGGAGCTTGGGGTGCTGGAGGCGGGTTGTGAGTTCGGGTCGGCCATGGTGTCGTGAAGGTGCGCTGTGCTTCAGTCAAGCGTGAGGCGGAACGACTCCGGGCATGTGACGGTGACGCGTCGATCGGGTGTCACGCTCAGATCCGGATCTTAGCACCTCCCGCCACACGGACGAGTACTTACAGTAAGGCGAATGTCGTAAGAGGCACCATTAGATTCTGCAGCCTCAGCATGAGACCGTGCTGCTCAAGATACATCGAATGTACTCGGGAATCAACGGAATTGTCGCAACATTCGGACAATGATTGAGTGCTGTCGTGCACGAACTATCCACTGGTTTCAGCCAACTTGAGGCTCACACCAGACAAAATCCACAGGTATCGCATCGGATTGACAGTAGTTACGACAGCACAACAACCATACATACACACCTCAGTCAAGCTCATCATAGAAATCCATGCGCTCCCTGAGCTCGTCAACGAACTCCCGCTTGGGGTGCACGCCCTGCATGGGGCGCTGCGCCTGGCTGAAGGAGTTGCCCGAGTGGACCTTGTGCTCGCCCTGCGGCTTGTGCTCGCTCTTCTCGGGGAAGACACCCAGCTCTCCCTTATCCTGCTGCGTCGGAGTGTTCGCAGGCTTCGGGTGGGAGTGGTGGTGGTGAGGGTGAGGTTGGGGCTCGGTCTCGTCGCGGACCCAGAACTCATCGTCGAATTCGCGGGCGTAGAGCTCCTCATTGACATCGCGAGCGAACAGGTCTTCGTCGTACTCCCGCGCGTAGAGGTCTTCGTCAAAGTCCCGCGCGAACATGTCTTCGTCAAAGTCACGCGCGTAAAGGTCCTCATCGAATTCACGCGCCATGAGGTCCTCCTCATAATCGCGGGCAACAAGGAAGTCCTCATCGTCAACCGAGCGCTCCTCAACGACCCCGGCGTCGTCCACGCTGCGGCCAAATATGGACATGAAGCTGTTCCCGAGTTCGCCCATGATGCCTTTGCCCCAGTTGATCTTGGGCTTGAAGGCCGGCTTCGCCGGGGCAGACGACTTCGCCGGCTTGGCGGGGGACGAGGTCTTCGTGGGCGCGGACGCGGAGGGTGTTTTGGCGGGGTCCGAGCCGGCATCATTGGACTTCGGAGCAGAGCTGGCGGGCTCCGCGGCGTGTGCGGATCCGGATCCGGAGGCGTCGCCGCCCTCGGGAGACTCGCCTGCGTCATCGCGAGTGTAGTAGTCTTCGAGGTATTCGCGCTCGTACACCTCTGGGTACACCTCTCGGACCATCAGGGAGTCATAGTCGCCGCTAGAGCGGATTTAAGGATTGGAAATGCATTTGAAGTCGAGAAGGACGTACCGGATTGGCGCAGCGAGCGCGGGCGCCGCAGAAGCAGCGACGAGCAGGACAGGGATAAGTGTAGGTGCACGCATTTCAGGCGGTGTTAGCGTGGGCGGTTGTAGTCGTTAGGTTGCGAGGAGCGTAGGTCGTGAACGAAGCGAATAAACGAGGCTACGTTCGCATTGCAACACTTCGTCAGCTTTCCGTTCAGCATGCAGAGTACGGACACTCACTAGCCAGTACCTCGGTGAGCTCAGAAGTGGAAGAAAGGGGGAGAGCTGGAGGACGCCAACGCATAGGCGAGTGTCTTATAGGACGGCATGTCCATCATGATGGCGGCGGTGCACGTTACATACGGAGCGGCTGTGTCGCAATCGGATCACTGACTGCGTCGCTGTGGCCACTGCGTTTCACGGTCTCGAAGCTGTCATCAACGGTCTCTGCAGGCATAGCGGCCTCGCCAAGTAGCGGGCGGGCTTTGCGTTGTCGCATAAGTGGAAGCAGCGCATTACTCGTTCGGGAATAGAACGCGACGTCCTCACAAGCCGGCGGCCCGGGAAGCGCTGATCGACGCCACGTTCCTTCGGCGCTTGGTGTTGACTACCGCGCATGGAGCGCGTTCATGTCAAACCACATATTGCGCCCGCTGCTGACAATTCAGTAAAGGAAGGCGGTAAAGAACAGCGCACAAGCCTCATGGTTGTATACGAGTTGAAGGTAGACTCATTACGTCGAAATGACATGTTGCATGAGGTCCTGGATGCTAGGGTCGGTCAGGCGGATGGTCAGGTTCACCTCCGTCTGGGACTTCGGGCAGGAATTGGCGGTGTAGCCATTTGATCTACTCGGAGGCAAGCGCATGGATAGAGACTACCCTGTCGCTGTTGGTCGACACGCGGCCTTTCAAGCTCGAGCCTCAGTTTCGACTGTCATGCCGGCGGGGGGTCGCGACTTTCGTCGAGGCGAGTTGGATCTACATTGGAAATAAACTTACACGGGGATCCGCTGGGCAGGAAGAAGTGCACGTGAACGTTTGAACCTTGGTTGAACGGGACTAGCTAAGCTTAAGCAGTTTGAACAGTTGACCACGCCGGCACTGCCATGATCGCCGGTGGAAGGGCTTGACATGGAGGTGACTGACCATGAATGCAGCCTGCGCCGTTTCAGATACAGATGTAGCTCACCGCAAAATGTCTGATAGCAGTCCGCCTGCGCGCCCAGGAGTGGTGAATCGACAAGAGTCAGGTTCACGATGAGCCCTTCCACGACCTATGAAAGATAACCGTAGATTTATGACATGCAGGGCTGCGACACGCACAATTACGGAAGACTTGCAGAATGAACGTTGTAGCGGCGTACGTTGCTAGTCTCTGTGTCTCTGTTCGATGGAGCCTGACACGGCGACAAGCGAGGACATGGTAGTCGCTGAGTCACCCTCGGATGTGTGGGCGTTCATGGCCTGGAAGTTGCGAATGCTCCTAGATGCTCCATAGGTGAAGACAAAATCATGCTATGGCAACCAGAGGCGTCGCCGCCGGTTCGTGGGTACCGCCATCTTGCCACGACGGAGTCGGGGCCACCAATCACGAGCGCACCTTCACTAAAGTATCCTCTTCCGCTCGGCGAATCGTGCGGCGTGCAATAAAGTATGGTGCATGTGGACGCATAACCAGCGTATAACGCCCCAATTGATGTCTCGGGATGAAGTTGCATCAACCACAACGGGGAGTGGTCCGCCCTCGTCTGGCTTCCCAAGCCGTGGCGGCTGTTAGTAGTAAGCAGGAGCGCGAGATGCAATCTTGGTGTCGCTGAGAACACAGAGTACTTAGTGCCTGATTTACGATCGAAGAACGCGCTCGGAGGCTTTTCATACTCTTGTACTTGGAGACGTCTGATGGTTCACGGCATGAGATTGCCACGCCAAGCGTTGGCGCATTCAGCGCGGGAAGAGACGAAATTGGCGAATGACAAGTGTAGTACTTACTATGTACAAGCGTACTGTGCGGGCCATTATATCGTCCCCTTCTCAGGGAAACGTATTGAGTGAGCGGATTGTTGCCTTCGTGTATTACCTGTGGTTTTCATGCCCGCATAAGCCTGCCACGTCAGATATGCCGGGCATAAATTAGCGACGACGTCGGTGGTTGAGTAGCGATTTGATCTGGACCTGGGCTTCCCGAGCGTTCAATGAAAGTGGTAGTTTCTGATGCTTTGATGTAGAACGCACCTGGATCAGCCTATGTTGCCATGTTGGCCGGGAACTAAAAACGCGGGTAGCAGGTAGATCTCGCGTACCGCGCTCGAGGTCGAGAACGATTCGCGATCGGACTCTAGTACTTACTGTACTGTAAAGACAGTTGCGTTGGCTTCTGTGAAGGAGGCCTCCCGGCAGGCTCGGCGCGCTACGGCGCAGATAGAGCGCAGAGCGCAGACTGCTCCTCGGCATTGGCATTGACGTTGCCGAAGCTCTCGTTCACTTATCATATGCGACCTGAGGCAGGCTGAACCCTCAAACGCAGTGGGAATGCTGCCGATGATATCAGCCGTTCGTCAGGCATGAGCAGATCAAGAGCAGATTGTACTTCATGCTCCAACATGACTGAAAGGTTGACGTCGAGCCGCACGCAAGACTGCGGCCGTGGCGATGGTGGTGAGCAGGACACCGACCGACGGGCCTGGATGGCGAACACAGCACCTGCCTCATTTAGGCAAGGTGGCGTTGTGGACGATCGGGCTGGAGCGGATCCGGGGCCGGCGTGGGAACTCCGAGACCGGTCTGGAGGTTTCCAGCGCTTCCCGGCTTGAGCCCGCGTCGTCCACGTTCTCGTCGTCGACTTTCCGTCGGACATCCTCCGCGTCTTCCCCCCTCCGGCATGACCTCCTCATATATGTCCTGGCTGTCCACCTGCCATTTTCAGGGCATGGAGAGCCTCGGGAAGTGGCTGCGCTAGTCTGTGGACCGGCTGTTTGGTGGGAAGAGGAACGGAGGGGAATGTTTAGCCGGAAAGCTGGAATAATGAAGGGCCAAATTCCAACCCGCTCCAGGGGTCGGCGATGCGCACGTCGGTGCCGGTACCGGCAGCTGTTGTGTAAGTTACCCGCGCTCTGCTGGAGCTGGGCGGCACTGAGTACCTGATCGCGCTCTGGTCGGTTCGTTATGCCCGGACGTCTGGTCTGGTGACGCTAAGTCCGCTCGGGCGGGTGCTGAAGCCAGAGGGCCGCGTTGCGTCGGGCGTTGCAGCCGCGTTGCAGCTGTCGGTCGGCGTCGGGCGGGATCTTCATCGCAGCGCGCACAAACTACGCCCGTTCGGTAACTCGGGCACACACGCATACGTTCTTACGAAGGTCGACCACTCGGCTTCTCCATATCCGACGCTTACTTAGCTCGCCATGGCGGGATTGGTCACTTCTCGACCCCCGTTCAGAGGCTAACTCTATTCATTCGTTTAGGTAGGACGTTGTACCCATGCAGAATGACCGTCCAAAATGGATCATGAGCCATCCCGCTAGTCTGCAGGTGACCATGGTGCCCCGCGGGGTCGGTCGTTCCCCACACCCGGCTCCGTGTTTACACAGCCTGCACAGGGGTGAACTGTCAGTTGAGGCTGCTCACCAGGGAGAAAGGAGGCGCGAAGTGTCGGGCGGTGCGGTCGCGTGAAGGTCGACAAACCGGCTCATATGGTGCCGATTAGAACCCGGACCCGAGGCCAGGGCGGATCAGGGCCATATATGGACATGTCGCGCTCAGCGTGCCTTGCGTGCGGCTCGGGCAAGAAGGCAGATAACCGATCGCGCACAGGCCACCCACGACGTCCGGCGTCGGATTGGCTGTGCGGACCGGAACCGTCCAGCTTCAGGAAGGCTCGCGCGGCTGGAGCGTGCCAGCGTGGACGCTTGCCGGCTATGATTATGGTCTGCAACGGAGACTAGCCAGCATGCTGCGCACACCACAGCCCGTGTGGCTGGTGTTGCGTAAGACCGCATGACTGAGCCGAACCCGTCCGACTTGCCGCGAATTTATGTCATTTTGCGTCAGATGAGTCTGGCCTACGGGATTGCTAGAATCTGATGAGGTGAGGTCTCAGCAGGTGTGTGTTTATCCAGAGACATGCGTCGAATACGTATGCAGGATCGGGGACTTTGCAATGCCCCGCTCTGGGGGCGGGGGTGATAAGCGGGGGAGGGACCAGAGTCTGGCGGCACCGCAAGCAGAGTGCAGTGTGGCCCGCAGTGATCGAACCAGAACGGGTAATGGACTTATCCAGAAGGAGTAGAAGATCTCCACTACGCCCAGTCGATCAGGTCGACCTCCTATGCGTTTAATCATGGGGCCTGCCGCCAGGCGCTCGGCTTCTATCGCACCCCCTCCCCATATATGACGGGCCAGCTCAGTCGCTGTGGAGCCGACCGACGTTAACTCTCCTCCGGGGCGCTGCTCATAACTGGCTCGGTTTCGTCTCTGACCGCCCACTTTCCTTACCTCCTGTACGATTACTGCTCCCCCCCAGGCCCCGCTACATTCTCGACCCTCTACGACTCTCCCCTCCTCGCACCGTCCAGTGATCCTACGTGATGTCTAAAGAAAGCAACTTCCAGAACATCGAGACCGAGCCCAGCCCAGCTCACCGTCGCCCCTATAAAGCCTCGACGGGCTCCGCTGAGCATGTTGAACACCACAAGTCCATGTCCAGTACAGTGTCTGGCTCTACCGTCGAAGGCGACGAGCTCTCTGTCCACTACACCCGATACCCCAACCGATGGTCGAAGATTCGGTACGTCGTCGCACCGCTCTAACTGCGTCGTTTCTGACGACTTCCGTCCAGAGAGGTTCTCCGCGAACCCATGGCCGAGTTCTTCGGCGTCATGATTCTGGTTATTTTCGGAGCGGGCGTCGACTGCCAGGTGACGCTCTCCGGCAACACAGGCGTCGCGCCTTCGCCGAAAGGGGTACGTCCCCCTCACTGATACTGCACCCCCGCAGTGTCTGACGTTGCACTCCAGAGCTACTTGTCTATCAGCTTCGGCTGGGCTATCGGTGCGTCACTTTCACCGGATCCGGCCCGAGTTCCGCCTGTCTCGGCTGACGCTTGTGCTTTCCTCCATTGCAGGTACCGCCCTCGGTGTATGGTTTTCCGGTGGGATATCCGGTGGGCACATCAATCCCGCCGTGACGATTGCAATGGCGACATTCCGCGACTTCCCCTGGCGCAAGGTGCCCGCGTACATTTTTGCCCAGGTCATGGGCGGTGTTGTCGGTGGCGGCATCGTCTATGCCAATTACTTCCATGCCATCGATATTTTCGAGGGTGGCCGAGGTATCAGGACGGTTCCTGGCACAGCAGGCTTGTTCTCGACCTATGCGGTGAGCTTGTTCGACCGGAAGCCTTGTCGTAATAAATTCTAATGCTGTGTTTCTGTAGCTGGACTACATGACGTCCGTCTCGTGCTTCTTCGACGAGATTGTCGGCACGGCGGTTTTGCTTCTGGTCGTCTGCGCGTTCGGCGACAGCAACAACGGCCCCCCGCCGCCTGGTCTCGTCCCCGTCGCTCTGTTCATCACTGTGCTCGGCATTGGCGCATCCCTCGGCATGCAGACGGGCTACGCGATTAACCCCGCGCGTGATCTCGGTCCCCGTCTGTTCACCGCCATGGCTGGTTACGGAAAGGAGGTCTTCACCTACCGCAACCAGTACTGGCTCTGGTGCCCTGTTATTGCCCCGATCATCGGTGCCCTCAGTACGTGTTTGACCCCACTGAGTATCCCACACCGGAGCGCTGACATTTATCTTGCTTAGTCGGCACCCTCCTTTACGACGCTTTCATTTTCAACGGCGCTGAATCTATCCTCAACCGACCCAGCGCGACCGCCCGTGCACATCACGAGCGTGCGCGTAACACCGAACGGCAAAAACCCATCGCGGGTGCCGCGGGCCCCGACATGTGCTAGTGCGCATGTCCTCGCCCGACCGCCCCTTTCCACACCACCTCTCACGGCGCGCCGCCCGCGCAAGCTGACTTGCCCGGGCCCACGCCGCATCCCCCCTCATACCTCCCGCGTGCCGTGTACGATGTGTCCGAGCGTGACGAATTACTTACGATTACGTTCCCTCCTGGGTATTGGCTAGTGTATCATCATCGTCTTTTGGGTTCTCTGTGTGCGCGCGCGCGAGCGCCCCCCTCGTCTCTCTGTCGTGTCTGGGCTTTTGTGCTTCGAAGTGGACTTCCCAAAATACATTCTTTTCTTGCGTCGTATGCGCGCGGCGTCGCGATCGCATGGTGGGGTGGCTAGACGGGCATGCGAGAGAGTACCTCGTGGTTGGTCTCGTACCCATCCGTCTGGACGCACCCCACCACCGCTTCACCTCGTGGTGCGCGATTCTTACCGAGAGTTAGTGCGTTTGTATCGTAGCGATCCGTCAGTGCAATAATATATCCTCCCCTCTTATAAGTCACCGAGGAGCCGTAGTTGCGACTATATCATGGAGCGCATGTCATACCTTAGCCTGTCACACCAAAGAAGGCATAGGCCGCATCATCAGCGAATTACGATATGTAACGTGCGACGGGTTGAGCGAGAGCGTGAGGTCGGTCCTAAACCGTCCTGTAGCACCAATGAAAGCATTCAACAAACGGTGCACAGATTTAGAACAGGTACATTAGTGAACGATCGTGAGAGACACTTGTCATCTTTTTATGTCGAGAAAGACAGCAGAGGCTCCATAACGTTAGATTAGAATATGTAGGTACACGGCTTGGAAATAAGGATTTACAGTCATGACACAGTCAGCGACACTCAACGATGCTGATGTTCGACCGGATTGTGTGAGATTCAGGCCGCTCAGTAAGTAAATGTAATCCCCTGAAGTGGTGACTGTCCGAGTCTCGAAAATATAATTGTAGACGCTTACGATGAGCATAAAGACCTGGGAACCGCTCCGACAGGCTGGCTTCCAGTGCCGTTCGAGTCTTATGAGCCATCGTTAACGAGATTCGTTGTTGGTAAAGGAAAATGGTGACACTGGGTAGGTCATCCAGAACGCGGGAGAGTTCATGACCGACAAAATCCCCTGGATCGATCCACGCACTCCCGGTTGTGGCACTAGTTGGTAGAACAGAAGGGATTTGTAACATGACGTGCGCCAGAGAAGTATGCGAGGAATTGATTTGTGTAAGGGCGGATGCCAGGTGATCAGCCCACCCATGACGGAAGGGTCCGCCGCCTTTCACCAAGATGATTAGACTCACGAGACGCATATTCTGCGAGAAGTCGAGCATATTGCGCAGAACGTGTACGGGAGCCGGTGGGATGCGCATATATAGGGTCTCTAGAGCGGTACTCGCTCCATGCAGGATGGTGGGGAGGACCCCCCTAAGGTCGATTGCTTCGAACACGAGATGCCGTAGGCATGGCAGAGAGAGCAGTTGTAATGGTCGTTCTATTGGATGGTGATCCACGTCTTCGTCGTATGTGATAGCGTCATGCACCGAAAGGTTGCAAGACGAGGGAAGCAACTCAGTACTTGCACAACCGACATCGCCGTCAAGCTGTCGTACGACAACCCGAGCTCGATTACGTTTGGTAGGTAGGGCCGCCCAGACTCCGGAATGGACTGCACGAGTTGAATGTCTGGCACCTCCTTCTGATCGTCCGTCGTACGTTCCAATTTCAGGGTCTTCATATTCGTGAAGATTGATAACCAAGAAAGCTCGGGAGAGGGAGATCGACACATAGCGACTGAACTAGTCCAGCGAGGTCCGGCGCTTCATGGAGGTATGACCGCAGTCTATCCAGGATCGGTGGGTTGCAAACGCGAACCACCCGCCAGATGAGTCCGCGAGCAGTTCGTCGCCATGCTCGGCACGTCAGGACGCAAGCCTTCAACGCCTGGTGATCATCGTGCAGATGATCGATCACACCATCCCACATCTCTTGAGGAAGTAATGAAAGCACCGTCTCGGCTGTACAAGATACGAGTTTAGTCCATGCGCCCGCGTGTTGATGCTCAATGCACGATGCAATGTTTGGTACCTACCGTGCAAGCCCTCTCGAGAAACTGCTGGATCCGAGGTTCCTGACATCGAGGATCCCTGGAGACCATGTGTCAGCTGAACGGGTCTCACTGGACCAGCCAAAGTGGAATAAGTACCCAGTGAAAAGCAGTAACTCTTGGTCTGAGCGTGCAGTACGTGCGCGCGGTTCAAATCTCAATGGCTCCCCGTCCCTTCGCGGCTTCAAAACTGGGATGGCCGCGTAGTTGTCCTGCCAGTGGAAAGCTTACATGTCAAGGTTAGTAGGAACATACAAAAAGCGATGATAGCGAGGCACTTACCGTCGCTTCAACCTTGGACTGCAAGGAAGTTCAGAATGAGCGTCACTGCAATTCGCCCCGTCGATGAGTCGTTGGTTGCTATTTGATCTGTGTGGCGCAATGTGGCTACAGTGTTTGGGCGCTTCCATCCGCGTCCGCGCTCGATTGCGACAGTGTTTAGGCAAGTATTGGGCCACTTCAACGCGTTTGTGCTTTTACGACCCGCCGAGCACCACACGATACATCAGAGTATTTTCATGAATCAGTTTCATTGAAACTATACTTACAGGGATGGCACATTAATGATACAACACAATCACGCATGCGGTACAGTCTATAGGCTGTGGGAGGGAAAGTCTGCCAGTCGGGAAATACAGTGTTTCAGAAGTCATGTAGCGGGATCCAGTAGAGCGACTAAATTCAACATGTATGACCGTGATCATTCGCGGACGAGCCTTTTGAGAACGTGGTGTCGCCCCGCAGAGGCTTCAAGCTCAAGCCATGAGTAACGATGTCAAGGGTCGAACAATGGGACCTTCTGGACGTGGCCGAACCCGGTGGCAGGCTGGAGGAGATGGTCGTGCATGCTGAAGTAAAGGGCGCTAGCTGTTGGCACAATGCCCGTAATTCGGGACTCGAGCCATGGGTAATTATCGAACCGTGACATGGACACAGAGTTAGAAAGCGTCCACGCTGATTATACGCGCGCTGCGTGGGCTCTGAGGTTGGATACCGTCGCAACAAGCTGAAGAACCGAATCATCGGGCCTGATTGAGGCGCCGCGGAGAAGCTGTAGTTCTGGTGCAGAGTGATGATGGAGACGTCGGGGAGGTCATCCAGAATGCGCAAGAGTTCGCGGCCGAGGAGCTCCTCGGGATCATACCAGGCCTTGAACAGACTCGCGACATTGAGGAGGTCAAAGCTGACGATGTTCCAGTTGATGACCAGCGAGGTGAGGTATTTATGTTCCGTGATAATTCGCGAGAGTGGTGAAGCGAGGGAGTCGCCCCACCCACGTCGAAGTGGGTCAACACAGACAATGAGCTCCAGCTCCTTGAGACCCCGGTTTTGCGAGAAGTCTAGGATGGCCATCATGTCACCGAAGGAGCGGACGGATGTGTAGTTCAACATGCTCCAGGGAAGCGCCTGCCGAGCGTAAGATCTCTGGAAGGGGCCCGAGAGAGTGACCAGTTTTGATAGCGAGCTTCCGTAGGTTTGGCAGCGAGACTGCGAACTGGGATGATGCCACTGCCAGGAGGTCCGCAGGACATGGGGAACCTCTCATGGACAGGGCCGTGAGACGGGAAAAGCAAGTCAGCAATCGCCCACGACAGTGACATATGATGACGGACATTCTCGAGAGCTGGGGTCGTAATGCTCTGCAGCCGCAGATCTCGAGGGATCAAATCCACCTGGTCTTGCCCCCTATCCTCCGTGCAGTGCAGCTCAAGCAGCTCCAGGTTCGTGAAAATCGCCAGAGATGGAACGTCTGCGGTCTCAATATACGCGATCAGCTCGCGTGCCATGATGAAAACGTCCGGTCAACTGCGGACGAGGGCTTGCAGACTAAAAAGGTCCCGATAGTTATCGACCGCCAAAGAAGCTTGCGAGCGGTCGGCCGCCATGGCTGCCCCAACATGTCAGAGCCCAGGCCTTCAGTACTTCAGTGTGTACCGATCGTTGCAGAGGTAGCCTGTGACCTTGTCCCACGTTTCTCAGGGCAGAAGATCAAGCCAGCCAACTAGGAGGAGGATTGCGTGAGATAAGTATAGTTGTGATATTATCTGGTATTTCAGTACGTAGAGAACATCGTGCGATGTATCCGTATTTGTGGACCTTGTTTGATGTGCTGAAAAGTAGTGCAAAGCTTGTAACAAATGTTAGATGGAGGGACACGCTCAACTCAAATTTCGTACTTACTGCCAATGCGCCGATGCTACGAGGTTTGACTTGAAGCAGTTGAAGCTTTGATACCCCAGTTTAATGTAGGCGAATGTCTATGAATCGGTGAGTCAAGGTGATCAGTCCTCTTGGTAGCAAGGATTCCTTGGAAGACGTGATTAAGCTCTGGCGCTGCTGAGCTTGGTGACTGTCGAGTTCAGCGTTGAACGATGGACGTGGCTCTCTGAGGCATTTGAACTGTGGCTTGAGCGCCTATTGTGGCTGCCCACTGCATGCTACACAACTTGTTTGCCAAATACTGTACTTACCGTCGACTTGAGCATATGGCCACATCGCCAATGCAGTGATACACTGGAATTGCGCAGTACGAAGAGCTCGGCGCGGTCAGACTGCGCCAGCCTTGGGCCCGCCGCTGAGTCTCGCCTCGAATCCGAGTCGACGCCCGAGTCAACCGGGCCGTGAGTATCGGTTTGGCACTGGGTTCTGCGTGACTACACTCGAAGCCGGGCTTGGACACTGTTCTCAAGCTTGAGTGCTGAATATACTGGCACTCACGAAGCCCTTCTACAATTCGCCGACGGTTGAGAACAATCACACTGCAGTTTGGCATGAGTGGCATTCGCAATCGATGCAACACATCATGGCGTCGAGAGTCGACAAGCTGACTATATGCGTGACATAGACAACGCTTCATGGAGTCTACTCGAAAACGACAAGTAACATAAAGTGATTCAGAGCTACACGGTGTTCGGTGTGAGCAATAGAACATAGATGGGGCTGATTGCGAGCACATACCACCAGTGTTATTCTACTGTCCTCCGTGGGTCAAACATCGAACATAGGGACGCTCCACAGGCCTTTGATGATCCTTCGTTGTTCAAGCCCCTCATTCAGCAATGCCCCACCGCAGAGGTCGAGATGTGACGCAAAACGCACACGGGTCGGATATGTGCGAAGGTCAGGGAAGCGTCGCAGAAGATGGCCCGCCACATATCGCCGTGCTTGATGCGCCGCATCCGAGGAGTAGTGTTCGCTGGCATAAGGTGACCACGACGCTCGGCAAGACATCCAGTATGCGGGAGACCTCCCGGCCGAGAAGCTCCCCGGGTTCTTTACATGGCCTACTCGGATCGGGGGCAAGTTTGCCAAAATATTGAAGGAGGCGGGAGTGCTGGTAATGTAGAGATGCAGGTCGATCAGAGAGTCATGCCGAGCGTTGAGCTGCGAGATAGTGGGGGCCAGACAGTCACCCCATCCGCTGCAGTAAGGGTCCAAGCATCCAGTGATCTCCAGCCTCTTTAAGTTTTGGTTCTGGGAGAAGTCGAGCATGTCTGGCAGGATGTTCGAAAGAACAGCCGGTGGTATACGCAATTCAACAAGCTCCAGAGAGGCGCCTGCCGAGCGCAGAATGGCCGGAAGGGACATTACGAGGTGGTCGGCTTTGACGGTGAGTTTTCGTAGATGGGGCAGTGAAATGGGCGACGTCTGTGGTAGCGATTCTGCCTGAAAGACTCTGAGACCCCAGAGATCGGGGCCATCACCTACAGATAGACTTGTGAGACGGGGAAGCACATCAAGAGTCGTTCAAGCGCTGTCGCCGACATGAAGTGATAGAGAGTGTGCACGTCAAGATTCGTGATGCTCGGAAACCGCAGCTCTTGAGAGATAGACTGGACAGGATCCTGTTCCTCGTGCTCCGAGAAATACAAGTCTAGCTTTCGCAAGTTTGCGAAGGCCGACAGAGAAGAAACCTCTCTGATCTCGACAAAGACGGATAATTCGCGGACCATTCCAGCAACATTCGGGTGCCTGTGGAGGAGAAGTCGCACGTGAGAAGCACTAATAAGGCTCAGCTGGCACCACAGAAGCTTGCGAGCGGTCCGCAGCCATGCCCGACATGCCAGAGCACAGGCCTTTACAGCTAATTTCAGAACGATAGTCACTCTCGAACGCGCGCGACATATGGTGACTAAGCGCTCCGCGCTTCGGGAGCGGCGCGCACCGTTCTTCTGCACCACTGCAACCTGCGCGAGATCTTCCACACACAGCGACCTGTCCAGGACCAGCCCTCGCAACGACATACACGACACGATCCCGTGAGCAATCAGGTTGATGCGAACCAATACTTATGCAGAATGTGTCTGGTCAGCCTTGCTCTACAACACCACTGACATTCCAGTGAATCCCATGCCTTGCCAGTCGCGAGCCATGTAGAAAGAGTTCAACTATTCGGACTCTGCGAGAGTCATGGTAGCTCTACACTACTACTGTAAATGGTAGAGAGACAGGTCCATAATTCAGATTTCAGATCATATATCATCTGTTGTGTCTGCTCGCGCAAAATTGACAGGAGACGATGAACGACAGTGGTGCAGAAGAGCGGTGCGCGCCGCCTTCTTGAAGGTTGGAGCGCTTAGTCATCGTCTGTCGCGCGCGTTTGCAAGTGACTATCGTTCTGAAATTAGCTGTAACGTGCCGCGGTCGTTATGAAGGTCATCGATGATGTGGTCCCACACTTCTTGAGGAAGTAGCGAGAGGCCGCCATTAACTGAAACAGGACAGACAAATAAGCTTCACATAGAATTGGCAACCCTGAAATGTATGGATCTCTGGTACCTACCGTGAGGGTCCAGGGACGTCGTGCGATGTGCCATTCGGATCCGGAACATGAAGCATGAGTAGCTTCCTGGATGTACTGTCAACCAATTCCATGCAACTGCTAAACAACGAGCTCGGGATAGTTTGAGATAGAGGAGGTAGCGTACCTTGGTGAGCCCACCGCAACTGCAGGTCGAGTCGACGTCGGAGCAGAGGCCAACTTTGGACGTCAGTGGGTACGGTAGAACGCCTAGTATCACGTGGAAGCGCTCGCGTACAGACGAGTGCACGGCCTCAGGTGAAGTCATCAACATACCCTCACATACCCCGCCCTCTATTCTCACCCAACCATCTCCTAAAACATGTTCGACAGAATCAAGCAGGGCGCACAGAAGGCGGGCAGACAAGCCACTCTACTCGCACAGCAGGGCTCTAGCAAGATCGCTAGCGAGTCCGCGCAGTTCGTGCACGGCTTCAGTCTCCCCGGAGAGGCAGACAAGGCAGCCAAGACCCTTGCTAGTTTCCTTGGTGCGTAGAGTACATTCTAATACGTATCGGACATTACTCATGTCCGTGAAGCCAACCCAGAACATCCCGAGTCCGCACTCAACTCTATCCCCAAGGCCGTACTGCAGCGTGCGCGAGGTGAGTAGACCTGTTCCTCCCATCGGCACCATGTCCCATACGACTTCACCCCGCAGGTCTGGCCGTATTCTCCGTCATCAAGGCAGGCTTCGTGTTCTCCGGCAAGGCTGGCTCTGGCCTCGTAATTGCGCGCCTCCCTGATGGCTCCTGGTCGGCGCCCTCCTGCATCGCCACCGGAGGCGTTGGTTGGGGCCTCCAGATCGGTGCCGACCTGACCGAGTTCGTCATCGTGCTGAACAGCGAGGACGCCGTCCGCGCGTTCTCGATCGGCGGCAACGTCACGATCGGGGGCAATGTTAGTGCCTCTGCGGGACCCATAGGCACCGGCGCGTCCGTCCAGGCAACGCTCGCGCACCCGGCCCCGATGTTCTCGTACTCCAAGTCCAAGGGTGCGTCGTCCTTCTGAGCATGTGTGAATAATCAGGCTGAACAAGAGTGTGCGCTCAGGATTGTTTGCTGGCCTATCGCTGGAAGGCACTGCATTGATCGAGCGCAAGGATGCGAACCGCGAGTTCTACGGTTCGCCAGTCTCCGCGTCCGACATCTTGAGCGGGCGTGTGCCTCCGCCTGAGGTCGCATCAAAGCTGTACGAAGTCATTGAAGCGGCTGAGGGTGTCGACGAGAGCGGCCTTCCCGAGAACGCGTACGTCCCCACCGCAACAGGTGACCACATGAACGTCCGGGAAGGCGGAACTGTCTTCGATGCTGAAGGGCATTAAGCACACGACCGATGTTGATGGAAAGGTTATGTACTGATACGACGTTCATCATGTGTTGGTTACTTTGTTTTACGATGTCCGAGTTCACTGCTGTATTGTAGGTGGCGTCTCGATGCTTAATGTTACGGTTTTTTCCTTCCACATCTTTCAATATCCTCCATAGCCAAAGAATCCATTACGCGAATACCAGGATGTATATCTACGACATGTAACGACAAGCCATCTAGATGAATGTCCGTGCTACAACAAACCCAACTGAGTGAGCACAAAATATAGGCTTCTAGAAGAACTGGTCCCAGAACCCCGTCGTCCCGTTATTGGGCGCCGCAAAGCTCTCGATCCCGAGCAGCTTGATCATGAGGTTGTAGATGTTGACGTTCTCGAACTCGTCCATGACGTAGGTGTCGTCGGCCGTCGAGTGCCAGCCCTTGTTTGGCCGCGAGAGGAAGCGCGGCAGGACGCGAGCTTGCTGGCGGTCGTGTTCGACCGCCTTCACCACTGCGGAAAAGGGCCCGTGCGCAACGAACATGGCGTGCATCGAAACCTCGTCGTTGTCATATCCGTGGTTCTAATCCAAAATTAGCAGGCAGTTCATTACCGTGCATCAGGTTTGTGATGACGCACCCCTTTGCTCATACCCGAGCCGTTCTCGACGTGGTTCGTAAGCGCGTAACCCATCTCCGGGACGATGTAGATCGGCGCGATGCGGTAGTTGTTCGCGAAGTGCCACCGCTCTGGCATGGTATCGTGCGTGTACACGTGGAACTTGCCGCCGCTCGCTTCCGATGCGTTGAGGAGGATGCGGAGGTACTTGTCGGTGTCTGTCTCGGGCTTGAAGCGCAGACCCATGGATGGCCAGCCTGTATGCAATGTAAGATCAGACCAAATCATGCTCCAGTAACGGAAGCTCTTACCGTCCTCGTGATCTATCAGTTCAAAGCCGTCGCCTAAGATGTCGTCGACGTAGAGCCACTCCGGATTGCTCGTGTCAGTCATGCCGTGGTCGCTCACAAAGACGACGTCAAAGATATCTGTAAGGTTGCGGGCCTCGAGAGCATCATGCAGGTCTCGCGCGAAAACATCTACCTCATGAAGCACTTTCTTTGGCAATCGTCAGCGCGCAGAAGGCGGTACGTCGTTGACGATAGATGACTGACATTGACGAGCTCAGACGCAGGCCCGGCAAGGTGGCCGGCTTGGTCAAGAGAAGGTTCATACGCTGGAAGCACAATTGTCAGCGGATTCCTTGACAGGTTTGCAAGACGTACCCGTGATGAGCTGTGGTCGGTCCTTCAGCGGCATATCTATCCAAGCAGTGATCTGGTCAAGCTTCTCCTTCAAAGGAACCTTATCCTGAATGTTTGAATTAGTGATGCAGTCAGATAGTATAGTGGTTACGATATACCTACCTTCCAAGGCACGAAGTAATTAGGAGAGAAGCCTGACATTGTCGTAGGCGGTCCAGGCCTAGAGCAGAAGGTGAGCAGACGTTGACCATTCGATCTCGTTGACGGACCACATCAGATTACCGGTGACAATCCCTGCTCGCTGTGCGGTCTCCCACATCTGAAATTGCATGGAACCGTAAGTGGACTACATCTTGGCAGTAGTCGTAAGACGCACCGGCTCTCCTAGCCACCAATTAGATGCCCGTGATGCCGCCGCACTGTTATAATGGAATTCCTGACCAGTCGCGGGGTCCCAGAAGTTCTAGGGAGTATGGGACGTAAGATTGACTAGGCAGTAGCGCTTGATGGACCTACGTTGGCGACAATGCCATGCGACTCCACGTACAATCCTGTCCTGCGGAAGGTTAATGGAACATTCTACATGTTCGAACAAACCTACATTAATGCCCAATGATTCCTGGTAGTGAACCGACATGACTTTCTTCCCTCTGGCAGAGGATACGGTGTTACTCACGGGAATGTAAGAGTCTAGTACCGCGACTGTGATTAATGACATTGCTTATACTGCGAGTTGATAACGGCGTACAGGAAATACGGGCTTCATCGACTTCGCCCGCAATCCCTTCTTGCTAATGGCTAGCAGGTGTGGTGTCAAGCCCCGGTCGAGGTAATCCGCCCTGTTGTTTCGTAAGCATGGCACAGGGACAGCACTTCACCCCGAGTACATGCCTCAGTCCGTCAATAGATACAATGAGTGCGCTCTTCTTGAAGTAGTGCGTGCCATTGCTCCGGAGAAGTGTGTGGTCGAAGTCCGGCTTAGGCTTTGGGCGAGGTCTGAACGCGTGTAGCAGAGGCCTCCCGAAGAGCGCTCCCAGGAGAATAACGATAAGTCCAATGCCAATGCCTACGATGAGCTTGCGGGACGACGTAGGTCGAGTATACACAACATCGCCATCTTCGTACGTCCTCTCATCGTTGGCGAGAAGGCCTGTGCGTTCCTCGTCGGCACTGGTGCCCAGCTCTTGCTGCAGCGAGCGACGGGGAGACACAACCTCCGCGGTCCCTTTCTTCGACATACCAGTTTGCGTGCAACTGACCAAAGAAGCGCGGAGAACGTCGTCAGTGGTTCGCACAGAAAGCGAGTACTGCAGTGCTGTACACACGAGGTGTGAGGGGGGTCCTGGACGCCGTGGGCGGTCAAGCCACCTAACGCTTGTCGGCTCTTATGGTCTGCAACGGAGACTACAAGCCACCGTAGCTCGCTGAATCTGGCAGCGACTGTGCGGTATCGTGGCTTACCTAAGCAAACCAGTGATCCTGTTTCACACAGATCTCTCCCAGATTCTCGGGTCCGGGCAGTTGTCTCTGTGCCGCTCAACCGTTCGCCGTATCTCATTCAGAACATGGCGCAAAAAGGAGCAGAGAACGTGCCCAATGTAACTCAGTAGCCCACCGCGAGGGTCGAACTCGCAGCCTTCAGATCGCACCGCCTAAGGAAGCTGAGGAAACTATCCGTATGGGGATAAGAGTCTGACGCTCTATCCGATTGAGCTAGGCGGGCCATGCACGTGCTCCCGCCTTGCCCGATATGGCCTTTGGCCGCCTTCTCGCGCTATCCCGGATCCGTACGCGTCTCAATCTTGGGTTTGTCCACGCCGCTGGGGGCGCGTCCTCCTGCCTGCCTTCTCCGTTCCATTCGACTTCCATACAACTGCTGTTATTTTAGCAGTGCTTCATCACGTTACGACTGTGCCATCATAGTCACCGTTCCAGGAGGTGAGCGACACCCGACTATAGATTCATTGGACAAAATGTGGTGAGTTACTCGTCCGCGAACCTTACACATTACACCTCCGCAATCGTCGTACCTTTTTCTCGCAGAATCATCTTTATTTCTGCTCCATATCCGCGGGCGAAACCCTGACAAGCTTGGAAATATACGTAAGTTCCTCCGGGGCGTCTACCCGCGTTGATTCGGTCATTCATGGTGAGTACAAAGTGTCCACCCCAACAATATCCGACGTAGCCTATCTTGGCATCTGACTGCGTCTCGCGCACAAGTGCTTGGAGTGTCCCCCGGTCCTCGTCTAACTTACTATGAGCTCTTGCTATGCCACAAGAGGAACAGAGCGAAGACGAAAACCGAGACCGGTTTGGAACTGGAGTGACAAAAATTCGTTACAAGGGCCGATCTACGAGTATCGGTGGACAATGATTACTTAGTACATTGGATTCCCTTAATCGTTATGCAATCTGTGAGTTGCAGCCTTTCTCTTCAAGTCCGCATGTTATGAGGCTAAACACTACCGAAGATTTCGCCGCGTACTTGTTGACGACGATGAGTCGCGATTCGTCGTACTTCCACCCCAAGATGCCGATCCCGTAAAGGATGATACGGCCCGACGTTCTGTCGCCAGTTGCGCTAATACGATCACTGTCAGGCTGGTATGCGTGATCTCTTCCAAGGCCGGAATACCCGGCGGGTGGGAGTACTCCGATACGCAGTCTGCGCAGTTCATCGTAGCCATGAACCGATGTCAGGGGAAGGACTATCCCACCTCCGGAGGGTCAAGGGCGTGTGATGAAACACGTCAATCTGTCCTTATATGACTGGGCTCGGTCGCTCCATCAGTGGATTCAGCCTGCTTCTTTATTGCCTGATCAGTATCCTCTGCGCGAGTAGCAAGGGGACGCACAATAAATTCTCTTCATGCTTGCCATATGCATGTGGAGAATCTTGGTATGAGACTACTGAAGCCTTGACGTACCAGTACCGAGGGGATACTGATAAAGGAGCGGGGAAGGTGAGCTTCGAAAATCTTGAGTGTCATCAACGCATGATTTTCAGGCAATAAGTACATGTACTCACTGCTCGCACCAAGATCATAATATTAGGCAGTTGGTAGGCAGTGTTGCAATTCACGGTGCGTGACATCGCCCGTGCTGCGTATGGCTTCGCGAACGATCATTTGATCAACTCAAAAGCGTTTTCATGGACCCACGACATGGCGAGCGCCTCCGGCCTGTACTTGTCGCTCACTCACCGGTGCGTAAATCAACTGGCTCGTCTCCTGATCAAATAGTGTGACTGTATTGTACACAGACTGATACTCGCCCGTGCCATGTGCCTCTGTCGGCATCGTCAGAGCGATTGCACTGTGTCTGTCATTAGATCATACTAAGCGAGCAGCACACGGGAACGTTGTATATATACACTGTGAGTTGCGACTTTCCCCCGTCGTCCGAGTTGAAATCCCACTAAGATGCTGTCGCTCACGCCAGGACTGCGCCTACTTCTCCGGTTCCTATCAAGTCTGATAATCCCAACGGTTTTCATCTACGGTGCTGCCCGTCTCGCTGAACATGGCATCATCTACGATGTCCCGACTTGGGTTCTCGCATTTGCTTGGATCGCGTATTTGCCATTGACGATGGCAGTGCGCTCAGTCATCACATGGGTGCAAGAAGAACGCGACATTCGCCGCCTCGGTGCAGTCCCCATTCCAGCGATCAAGGGCCGACTACCAGGGAACATGGATGTTGTGGCAAGACTGAAGACCAGGACGACGCGTACATGTGTAAATAAAGATTGCCCGGTCACATGTGGCATCATGGACTCACAGGTCTTCTTAGATGAACGGATTGAATCGCTGCAGCAAGAACATGGCATCATATTCAATACGAGGCTCATGGCACAGAACAGGGTGTGTGACCGTCCCACTCCACGTTGGAGATGACCGAGCTATTGACTCTGATGCGGACGTAGATCTTCACCGCTGACCCGAATCACATCAAGAGCATTCTGGCGACAGACTTCAATATTTGGGAGAAAGGCGCGTGCACCACATAGAGAGCAAGTCTTCACATCCGAGTCGCTGATACTGCTTTAACAGGACATAAGTTCAGAGCAGATATGGCCTCCGTGCTTGGATCTGGCGTCGTCGATGGTGTTTGGAAGTCAGTAGCTCTCATATACGCACTGGTCGTCGAGTAACTCACTGTCCCTTGTACGCAGGTTCCACCGCTCCATGACCCGACCATTCTTTGCCCGAGACCGCATCACCGATTTCGAGATCTTCGCTCGCCACGCAGACGAAGCGATTGCTGTGATACGTGCAAGGCAGGGCAACCCGATCGACTTCCAGGATGTCTTGCAACGCTTTACTCTCGACTCTTCTACGGAGTTTCTGCTGGGCAAATGCGTCAACTCTCTCCACGCCCTGCTACCCGCGTCGTATGGGAAAATAGAGATAGCTTCTCTCACAGCGGAGGCTTTTGGGCCGGCTTTGAACAGAGTGCAGGAACGCCTCTCGTTCGGAGGGAGATGGCGGCATGGCCGCTGTTTGAGATACTCGAGGACAAGACGACGTGAGCGTGAACCTCGACTATACATATAATAGACACTGAGTGGCCTTATAGGAAAGACATGCAGATCATCGGCGAGTTCCTTAGCCCATTATTCAGGCTGCGCTGGACAGAAAGAAGCGCAACAAAATGACCGACGGAGACATAGAAGGAAAGACTAACACCACCCATCACGTTCTCTTGGATCAGTTGCTAGACGTGTCGGATGGTAAGATGGTTGTCCAGAGTGTACATCTTGATGTGTCTCATGTCTGTCCTCCAGACCCTAAGCTCATCGCGGATGAGGTTCTGAACATCCTCATAGCAGGCCGTGACACTGTGCGTCGTCAATCTGACACTGTTCTTCATAAGCTGACCCTCAATGGCCCATAGACATCTACAACACTTACATTCCTCGTCTACCTCCTTTCAGTGCATCCTCACGTGCTAGTTCGCCTGCGGGAGGAGATTCTCTCTCGCGTCGGTCCCTCTCGCTATCCGGACTTCGAGGATATGCGTGAAATGAAATACACCCGTGCTGTTATTAACGGTGCGTGCGCCCCGCGTCCAAGCATTGCACATCTGACCCCGTGCATCACTCAGAGACGATGCGCCTCTTCCCTGCCGTCCCTGTGAACATCAGGTATGTGCCAGTGACGTCGAACGGTTGTTTTGTGCGCATGCTGAAGACAAAATTAAATAGGTCGAATGTACGAGCAACTACCCTACCTTCCAATGTGCCTGGAGGCAAACCGTACTATGTTCCTGCGAACAGCGAGTGCGTCTTTTACTCTCTCGATATTTACGATCTAAAGGCTGGTACTTACCCCAAAATGTAGGGTCGCCTACTTCGTGGTGGCGATGCAGAGGAGCAAGGACGTATGGGGTCCCGACGCTGATGAGGTACCCCTCATTGTCGCTATTTACAACGAACTGCCACACTGAGAGCCGCCTTTAGTTCGATCCTAGTCGGTTCCTGGATGAACGGCTCCAGAAGTATGTGCTGTCCAACCCATTCAACTTCGTCCCCTTCAATGCCGGTAAGCCTTCGACTTCGCACAATCTCTGTCTACATCCTCACGTGACTCGCGGCGGCATACCTTAGGACCGCGCATATGCCTAGGGCAGCAGGTGAGGCCCTTATTTTCTCAACCAGTCGCACGTTACTGACAAGCGGACGCATATCTCGTAGTTTGCATGACGTTCTTTTGGTCCGCTTCTTGCAAGTCTTCGACCGAATGGAGCTCGCACTCGACGCCCAGCCCGCTGAGGCAAAGCCCCCGGTCAAGTGGGCAAGCGGTAGTGGGAAGGCAATCGAGAAACTCATTCCGAAGAGCGCTCTGACACTATACGTAAAGGTGAGGTTTTCCGCGACTTGGCGTGAAAAGGTCTTTAGCCGCTTAGCCAATCGCTTTGTAGGGCGGCTTGTGGATGAGGTTTGAAGAAGCTACGGCCGAAGCATGAAGATCCCATATTCGGTTTGTATGTATAATCAATCAAGTATTTCCTGTCACTCCCACTGTATGTACACATCGGTCTCTGAGGTTATCCCCCTCAGGACGGTGATTTGCCTCGATTCTCGAGAAGATCGACGATGTCTTCGGGGCGGTGAAGAAGCAAATCGTACATCCACTGTGCATTCTGTTGGCGGCGTTAAACCGGCGTTCGGGCGCACCTCAAGACTTCGTCACTACGATGAAGCACGACTCGCAGAATTCCGGCATCAGTCAAGCTCCAACGTGCATCGCGATGTGTTCTGCGCCACGATGCTATTGAACACTTGAAGCAGCCTGATCACGGCACTGCCAAGGGATGACAAACCCATTTACTACACAGTACTCCACACAGCTCCCGTCAAGAAAGAAGACGCGCCCAACGTCTATCTACGCATCTACCGCGACCGCAGAGCTCGCAAGCGGCATGCGATAGACATTCCGGCCGCAGGCCGCCAAAGACAAAGACCTGTATCGCCTGTTGCCACCTGCATAGCAACGATAGACGCATCGAACAGAACGTCGAACAGTCTTGTCTGCTCGGCAGGCGCCTCGTGCCAGTGTCCGCTTGCTGCGCGAGAGTTATGGGCTGCGCGGGGATCCGTCTGCCGGTGCGCAGGGACCATCCGCGGATGCGGTGGTCTGTCCGGCAGCGAATACGAAATTCGGATGGTCGATTGCCAGACCCTGGAGGGACAATTCAGTCTCAGCGTGGCTGCGCATGAGCAATAGAGAAACGAACCAGTCTGGTCGCACTTGAACGGACATGACCCGACAGCTGCAGTAGAGGCTCCGACTCGCGCATGAATCGTAGGTCGTGTACCTCGAGCTGTCGCGCGAGTGATCAGTCGGTCGGCGAGATTGTGATTATGTCACTTACATCTCCTCGAATGGTGCCTACTAGTATTGCATGTTGGTGTATAACATTGAGATGAGTGATGGAGTTCGGCGAGCGCCGAAATCTGTGATTGAGGATTGTGTCGGATCCTTCTGCGACAAGCGCGAGTCGAAGCGGGTGACGAATCCACTCCGGGTCCCTGCGTACACCAGGTTCTGTAGTAACAGCCATCGAAGCGATACACATCGGCGTACAGCCTTTTGGATAGACAAGGAGAACACTGACATTATCTAAGGATACCGACAGCACGTCGCTGCCTGTAGGGAGGACTTGTAGGCTGTCCCAGTTTCTAGGTCAGGCACCAGCACGCATCCACCTCCGGCACCTTACGTTGTCACTGTGAGCTTGACTCGAATCAGGCGCATTGGATAAGCATACCCAACGCAAGTGTTCGATCTTGCAAGACAGCTGTTGCCACGTCGTGACAGACGACATCGGCAGACTCAGGATTGACCATCGTCTGGAGTCATGGTTCAGTCACCTCGCCGTGGAACTCAGAAACGACACCTACTCGACAGGTTGGATTTCACGGATAAATATCTTGCAAGGCCAACCAAACGACGCGGCACTTTACACCGATAGTCAGAGTATTCAGATCGGCATTCCTCATTTGGTACTCACACGCGTCGCGTGCCCCAAGAGCATATCGCGGAAACCTAATGAACGTGGGTCCTGGAGCTGACGCAGAAGGCAGTTGAGAACCAAAGACCTACCGATGAGCAATATTGAGCTCTGTCTTGCATTTGATAACGCGATCGGATTGTCGTCGCTAAGTGAGTACAGCCACCCTCTGCTATCGCCCAACATCACAAAGCAGCTTCCAAAGTCACCGGCAGTCTTGTCCTGTATAGATTCGGTTTAGACTCGGAATTACAATGTGAGCATGTCCTACCTCTGCGCAGACAGAAGTGATCTTCTCCCCCATGCTGACGGCGGATACGCTGCTCCGCCGCATGTGAGTGACAAACTCGAAGCAGAATACCACTGAAATGAACGACGATCCTTGGTAAGCTTTCATTTCTTTGCATAGCGTGAGACCTACTGCACAGCCCTCTGTCTATGGAAGTGCTCCCGCAGGAAGTCCGTAGCTTCTCGAGCGCAGAGAACGTAGGAGTTCCGCCTTCGACGCGTCTTCGCTTTCGGGAAGGTTCGTCCCCTGATTCTTCTACAGAGATTGAGTGCCTATAAAATCCGGAATGCTGAGACGGGTTGCAGCAACGTGTCCTATAGGTGGTTTCGGCTTCATAGCTAATGGGAAGTATCGCTTCTTGTCCTCATCCCAATAGAGTCCAGGCAGTTCTTTCGGCATCTCTTGGGGTGAGGTAAATCAGGGAACTAGGTAGAAGAAATTTCCAGAGACGTTTGCAGCTGAATTGCGCGGGTTTGCGTGAGCAGAGAATTACGTTCGAGAAAGTTGAGTCGCGCCACTCGGCGTTGATTCCATAATGGGAAACTACACCGCCATGCGGCTCTCAGATCTCAGATTTCAACTGGCACAAAGTTCCGCGGGTTGATGAGCCAATGTCGAGCGCTGTATGTTCAGCGCCAGGCCTGGTGCTACTCGGGTCCAGGTCCTGGGCGGATATTTCGTCCTGGCGCATCCCTGGCGCTCAGGTCGCGCGGAAACTCTGTGTGTCGGAGCGCGCAACGTGCTTTGCACCCTGAAATGAACGGCCAAAACGCCGTGTCATATGCACACTGGTAGATGGATTGCGATATGACAGGAACATGCACCGCAAACTCGAAGCTTGAAGGTTCCCGAGACAGAGTCGAGGCTCGCCAAATCTCTTACAATTTCGAACGGAACACCGCAGGCCTGCGCAGTTCCTGTGAGATCCCTCTAATAGAACTCTCGCCCTTGCCAAAAGGCTCTCAGACTCATTCTCATGAAACGAAAGATTGTACAGCCTGGTACAAGATAGACTACATACGTACGATACAACACAAGGGAGAGGACATCGAGGAGCTACGGCGAGGTCGGGTAAGCGGATTCCTGTTGCTATTCCTTCCCTGATATGTACCTGCTACTAGTCGACCATAGAAAACAACGGCACAATTGTCTTGTACAGTCAAGCCTTCCAGTGCCACTCCATCCGGACGTACGTCAGCGGCAGTAGTTGTACACAAATGAGCGAACGATACCCTCTGTAGACTGCAGCTCTCACGCTGCCTGTTCCTACGCAAAGCTGCGATTGAACTCTCCTCGACGTCAGTTCGGAGTTACGATACCCGCAAAGTTCACCATATCTCTCAATAGTTATGCATGAACTATCCGGACCTGCTCAACTTGGCTAGAGCGCTGATGGGCAGCGCGCGTTGGTGAAGCCTGGGTGATTTAGTTGCTCTCGGGATCATGCTTTGGCCTGACGAACATCATGGACCCGAGTTCCATCGTCCGGCATTCTGTGAGGCTGCGCCAGGGTGAGGTCTCTACGTAGCCATCGGCTGTAGAGCGTTGCCGTGAGATGAAGCTAGAAGCTTGTTAAGCTCGCGGAGGCGCGGGTGTTGTACGTGCAGCTGGCTTCCTCCGCTCCGACAGGTCTGCGGACCCAAAATGACAAGAGCAGCACGTTCGTGTACGTATATTTCTTGGCTTTGTGTCTTTGAGCTCGGTCGAGTGCTTCGTTGTCATGTACGGTCGCTGAGGCCCTCCGCATGTTATTGAACGAGCCCACGGCAACCTCACGATGGGTGCTGTCTTTTTCCTGACTACAGGAAGAGAAGTCAGGGTGCATGACCAGACGCACGAACTGTGCTGAGGAACGTACTGTACCTCGAGACATTGTATTCCCGCACTGACGCTTGGTCACGTCGATAGGCTGCACGAACAGCCTAGCTGCCGGGGAAGTTGCGTCAGAACGGGCGTCCGAGAACTGCAACGGTCCAACGGCGAGCGTCCCATTGCTCAATGCGTCAAAGTCTCGTAATTGACCGACCGTCGCCGCGACTAATCACCGATGGCAGCGCTGTAAATCTGATCGTAAGCAAGCCCGTAGGGAAATCATTGGTACGTACTCACCGGTTCCGGGTCTGCCTGATGATGATGCAACTAAGTGATTACGCGCGTCCGAGCGGGAGGCATGCTAACGTCTGATCAGGCGTGATCTCGAATGCGTTCCCGGTGACATCGACGTCGGTCGTCGAGACAGAGTGACGAGGAGGCGGGGGACCACCGGGACAACGCTCAGCCCCGACAACCTGCGTCAACAGTACCCGCGAGCGGAGGAGGCCTGGACCATGCAAGGCGATCCACTTTTCGGGGTTAGCACAGCAGGCGCTTTTAATTTGTAAAATAAACCCGACTGTCACGCATTGCAGACATGTCTCTCCCACGGAGTTCAACGCGCGTGTAGGACATCTTGGGATATCTTGGGACATCGGACGTGGCTAGAGGAGCTGATATGGTCGAGGATGTGGTCGGTGTTGGACCAGGACGGCAGCGTGACCGGTTATGCTAGTGACTGGCGTGTGACAATGCGCGTGACAATGTGACGGTCACGGGATTTATCGACGCGGGAGGAGGGCATGCCCAAGTCTCGACATCCCACCCGGCACCCCGGAGTCGCCCCTCAATCTGCGAAATTATCTTGGCCCTGATCTGCCACCCTTTTGGATACATGGACGCCATATGTACGCAACAGCTCGCTCGGTGAGACCCTCGTTCGCGCAACGCGATTCTCAGACCACGACTCCGCGTCACGCGAGACCGCCAACGCGCTCATCGCCGCCTTTGCCGCGTCGCAGGCCCCGCTGCTCGTCGAGGAAGTGCTCTGGCTGTACTTGGCGTACTTGAGGAACATCCCTGAGGGAGAACGTTCCTTCCCGTCGTTCCCAGAGCGCGCGACGGATGGCCCCGTCCAGGTAAGCACCTTACCGTACGCCTTACGTACGATGCTGGCAGAAAACGCCCGTGATGCGCGTGGCTTTCGTATTTAGGGAGGAAGTTCTCCGCGCCTTGGACACCCGCACAGGCGTGTTGCACTCCTACCACGCCGGCGTTCGCGTGGTCTGCACGCGCCATGCTTCTCTTGCCTGTATGATGAGTACACACAGCAGCCTGACGAGTTTTTCTTCTGTCCCAGGTCTCTCACTTCTCCGCACACCTCTCCAAGAATACCTCGTCGCGTCCATCTACCATAGCACTCGTGCTACCTAAACCCGACGCGTCCCCGTCTACCTCTCATACCAAATGCCAAGGAAGCGCCGCTCCTTACAGTCTATGTTCTCGCCGGCCAGCGCATTCCTGCCGGCTTCGCTCCCCGACTGTCCGTCGACACCCAGTAGTTCCCGGGCAAGCTCCCGGGCGCGCTCCAACTCGACTGCCACCACCGACACGTCCGACTGGGCATCGTCGTGTGTAGCATCTCCTCGCTTCCAGACCTTCCGCTGCTCGATCTGCCCGCCACTCCCCCGCGGGACTCGCCACCGCCCGATCTGCTGGACGACGACCCGTTCGCGAACCTGTCACCGGCGCCGTCCGTGCGACGCGGGCGTCCGCCATCACTAGTACTGACCGGGATCGACGCGCCACCGATCGCGGATGACACGCGTTCTCTACCTCCAAGGTCGCCACTCGCTGTCGACGCGACGGACGACGCGTCTTCGACGACCGGCTCACTCGTTTCTCTACCCGACGTGTTCTCTGCACCGCCCTCGACGCCGACGAAGTCGCGTCTGAGGTTCCGTATACCACGACCGAAGTCCTCGAATGGACTGCCCATACCAGGCCTGCGTTCGCGCAGAGGCCATCGTTACCGTCACTGAGCTCGCTGGCGCGTGCCCATGTGCCCATTCCCAAGGTGAGTCACATGTGGCGCAGAGCTACACTAAGCTGAGATGTTTATTAAACTAGGTACGCAAGGACGTGTGGGAGCGCAGTTGCCCGCAGAACCGTGGAATGCCAGCGAAGGCGAGCCTTCTTCCGCGTCACCTTCTCCGGAGGGCCGCAGGCGACAGAGACATCTGAGGCGGCCCACGGCGCTGTGCACGATCCGGGACTCGCGCATGATCATGGATGGTCAGCCGTGGTTCGTCAGAGATGGATCGCCTGTGCACGGGAGTGTCGTGCTAGTCCGAGAGGCGGCGCACGACTCAGAGACGTTGGTACCGCCTCTGTTGCGATCGCACGCTGCACCATTCCCACGTCACCTTGACTCCCCGCCGTCGTCGATACCGTCTCTTTGTCCTTCTTCTCCCACTTCTTCATCTCGTCCGCCGATCACTCCATCCAGCTTGACACCCCGCACACGGACGTGTTCCCGCCGGACACGCGGCACACGCGCTACTTCAACAGCGAGCTCGTCGCGTCGCTCGACTACGACTACAGCGACGCGCTCTCGCAGCTGTCGGGGCCGCCTTCGCCCGAGGCGAACATCCTCGACTACCTGTCGTCGGCATCCGCCGGGGCGGCCAACTATTTCAAGCCCGGTACTTCTGCGGACACAGTCCGGACGCTCAGCATCGAGGCCCACGCGCGGCCTGTGTCCGACGAGCCCGAGGTCCCCTTTCCCCAGTCTCGACCACATCCGAGTTCTCCATCGAGACGAGCACGAGCAGCAGTGGCCACTCGCGCTGTTCGTCGCGTTCCACTTCCACCGACTACGGGGAAGAACTGCCGCCGAGTGCTAGTCCCCGCCAGCGTCTGCGCGTGTCTGCGTTTGGCATACCGTGGCCGTCGTTTGGGAGGACGCCACCGCTCTCTTGCTACACTGAGTACAAGCTGTTTGACACGGATCCATCTGCCGCTGCAACTGCCGACGATATCACCGAGCGGGTGTCTGAACCGCACAGTGCGCGCTCATCGTACTACTATAACGACTCGGACACGGAGTACTCCGAACCTGTCGACGGCGAAGACAGTATGCATCGTGGAGCATCATGTGGAGGTTCTGGTGCTTCTGGTTACAACGGTCACTACAACGGGCGGTCCGGTGGGAGCGCCAGCGGAAGTGGCTACGGCGGCTCGGGCAGTGGCTTCGGCGGCCATGGTGGCGCAGGTGGTGGACGCCGAGGTAATGACGATGGCTATCGCCGTCCGCCAGGCGCTCTCGTCAGCTCGTCGGAATCCGAGACCTCTGAGGAAGAGGAGACCAGCTCGGACGAAGATGACTACCGCACCGCCCGGACAGCAACATCTCGCGGCTCGCGAGGCTCGCAGGACGATGACGTCCCACTCGCGCGGCAGATCCCGAACGCCCTCCAAGCGCAACGCACGATCCGACGACAAGTCCGTGATGAGATGAGCCAGAGGCGACGCGACAGGCAGCAAACGATCCGGCGCGAGCGCGACGAGACGATCCGCGGCGAACAGAGGACGCTCAGAGCGCAGTCGCCCAACGCCGCACACGAGGCACTCGCGCGGACTGCGTCAGCCAAGGCACGCGCAGCAGCAGCTGCAGCCGCTGAGCCGTCGAATGGCAGAACGCTATCGGGCACGACACGCGCGCACTCGCAGGCCGCGCAGGACTCTTCGCGCCCATAGGGCGCCCGCGCACAAAGACGCTCCCTGGGACCGTCAGCTCTTCGATTTCGATCGGCGACCTCACAAAGAAGCTGCTCGGCGTCCAGACGAGCGGCGTCTTGCCCTCGGTAGTCAACAAGTCGCGCCGGCCTTCAGTTGAGAGGGCCCTGCAGGCAAAGCACCGTCGCGGGATGCGAGCCTTACTCGTACGCCAGGCGCCGAGCGGTCTACGTCGCTGCAGAGGCAGCCCACTCGCAGCTCTAAGGTCGAGCAAGATGACGGCCGGGGAAGGCCTCTCCGCCCGATGCGCTCGTTCCATCGCCCGAACGTCATGCCTCCTGCAGATGCGGCTCGAGGACCCCCTCTTCCCATGACCATGGGGAGCCCAGTCCACAATGCATTCTTTAACAAGCCTCAGGAGCAATTGCCTCCCGTACCCTTCGTACCCTCTGTTCCATTATTGCCGGAAGAGCACCGTGCCTTGGAGCGTGCGAAGTCCTTCAAACAAGCCTCTCGCAGACCAAGTTTGGAGCACGACCGCCCGCGCATGCCCTCTCTTGAGCGGGAAAGCGCCTCGGCGGGACCTCGGGGCCGCAAAGCCTCGGTCAATGGCTCAGGTACTCCATCTCACGCCGTCCCGGCTCCCTTGCCCCCAATCCCCGCCGCCAAAGCCACCCCTCAGGCAAAGCCACAACAGCTATGGCAGCAGCGTATCTATGTCGGAACCATGCAGCAGTACGTCGTCGTCGAAATTGGACCTACGTCCAGTGCAGGGGAAGTCCTGCAGCTCGTCGACGCGCAGGGTGCCTTGGCGGGCGGTGCTGGTGAGGGTGGCTATATGTTGTGGGAGGTCGCTCAGGACTTCGGCATGGGTGCGTGTTCTGACTGGCTCTATGATCGTGCCTTACTCATGCTTTCGTCTAGAGCGTCCTATCCGCAGTTACGAGCAGCTGGCTGATATCTGCAACGCCTGGCACTCGGACAAGATGCTGCTCAACTTCTTGGTCATCAAGAGGACACTGTTGTCGTCGCCCCTGAGCCGTTCGGTGAGTCATGAACCGTGTGCAACTGCTGGATAATCCGCTGAACTGTCGTCCTAGAACTTGCCGCGCAGCTCTCCGATCCACAACGGATCCGTCCAGTACGAGTACAAGCGTGGCAAATGGCAGAAGCGATGGATGGAATTGCGAGAGCACAGCCTATGGTTGTCGAAGCGGGAGGGTGTAAGTACACTATCCCAGCGCACTTGGCCATTGCTTACTCTTTTGTAGGGGAAAGATTCCACATTCCTGTGCTCGCTGAACAACTTCGACGCCTTCTACATGATCCGGCCATACAAGGGTGCTAGCACGAAGGGTTACTCCTGGGCCGTGAAATCCACGGATAGTCTGACGTTCTTCGAGAACACCTCGGACTACGTGCACGTCTTCCACTCGAACACTGAGGCAGAAGGCAAGGCCTGGATAGAGAAGATCCTTCTCGCTCGTGTAAGTCTTATCCGATGTGTTACTCTTGTGAAACATACTCATCATGAATCTCTGTAGTCATACGTCCTCTACCAAGAGCGGAACGTCATCTCCACGTCTGCTGGATCGGCATTGGCTCGGACGACCACCCGTGCTGGTCAACGACCCGCGCAAACGCTCGTCAACGTCGGTGCGCCAAAGGCAGAAGGTCCAACCGTGGCTCCTCTCGGGTTTGAGCCCGGATCTCTGCTGGCCAAGCGGCTACCGGTGTGATGTACATATTTTTATTAGTTCCCTCGTCCTTGTATGTGGATCTAGACACAGTTGTAGAGTCACTCATTTCCCACCGTCTGGATATTTAGCGCACACTACTACGCTCCTTGTAACATCTTCTCTCTTTGTATCATCGTTCCTACTTGCACACAGAATTGTAGACGACGGAAATTGTCAAGTCGGGTTTGCAACGCGTTGCTGAGAATTGGCCGCTTCTTGGCCTTCAAACCTTCACGAATGAGGTGTTCAGTGGCACCCGTTAAACGACCTAGTCATGATTGAGCTCATGTACTTACAGCGTGCGCGTGAGGTGTAAACTACCTTCATTGATGTGCCAGATGTGGTGTCACATACACGCTTGAATCAGACTCATTTGACGCGGCAGTGATTGTGCAACCGCGGGTCTACTTGACGGGCACTGAAGTACTGAAGTACTGACGCGGACGTGCGAAGGCTTCCGTCACCATCTCTCGATTGGGAAGGAAGCTGATTGAGCTAATGAGTGCATCTACATAGCTTGCCCGCGTATTGCGGTTGTTAGTATGATATTCAGCCAACTAAGTAAAGAGTGTTCAATGATATGTATTCAACACAAGCGATGATGCAACAACGACAGAGCAATCGTGAAGGCGGCAACGCACAGGCCATAGAATAATCTAATCTGACTTCTTCAACTTCTTCCTCGCCGGGCCCTCTTCACCGTCGTTGTGCTTCGGTTTTGGCTTTGGCTTCGGTTTTGGCTTTGACTTAGGCTCTTCGTCAATGTCCATTGCGTCATCATCAGACTTCTTCTTTGGTTTCGGCTTAGGCCGCGGGGCAGCCTTCTTCGGCTTGTCCTCGTCCTCCGCATCGCTGTCGTCGGCCTTACTCTTCTTCGCAGGAGCTTTCTTCTTGGGGGCCTTGCCTTTGCCCTTGCCCTTGACGAAGTCACGATCACCACTTGCGTCTGACGCGGTCTTTGCACCCTCGTCGTCTGATGAAGACGCTGTTGGTGACCCTGAGTCCGAGTCTGATGCATGGAAGTCCTCGTCTAAAACCCAGATGTCAGCTATGTAGACAGAACAAGTGACTAAACACAGTTTACCATCTTCACTGTCCTCATCGTCGTTGATCCCCCGAGGCTTAGGTACCTCCTCACCGCTGCTCGCGACACTCTGCATCTCCTCGTCCTCATCATCCTCGCCCGCCATGATGAGCTCGCCCTCCATCATCTCATTCTTCACCTTCACCTTCTTCTCCTTGAGGTAAGCCTCCGTGCCCTCATGCTCCTCCTTGTTAATCGACGTGAATGTGTACTCCGGCCCGCTCTTCGTGACGATCTTCAGATCGAATGTCCGTGCGGCAGTAGCGCCCAGCCCGGCGCCGAGGCGGGAGAATACAACTTGGTGGATATCCGATAGCTCAATGAGCGTGGGCTGCTTGGACACGAAGAAAATGTATTTCTCGAGTAGGAAGAGATCCCCTTGCACGGCCTTCAGGTTGGCTTTGATGCCTGGATGACCAGCGTGGCTGGTAAAGCTACCCGCGCCGATAATCTTCTTGCCAGAAAGAGCACGGAAGACACCTGATACTACCTCGAAGGTCGGGTCTTCGTATTCTTCTTGAGACGATCATACTGAGCGATTTCGTCTCTGTGAATTGTCAGTTAATGGCGAGTAATAAACTTTACATTCCAACATACTCGGTCATGTTGAGCTCAGCGGTGATCTCCTCTTCCCTGCTGAACTGCATAACGAGATATTGATATCTCGTTTGGCCCTGACGTATCGGAGTGCTGAGACTAAGCTGAATAATACTGAAGTTAGTAAGGCATAATGCATCACCCATAACCTACTCACGATGAACAGTACGTGCTGGTCGTCCTTGGGCAGAAGGAACAACCTCGAGATGCTCGTGTACATAATCTTGTAGTCGTATGTCTTACCCCGTAGCCGCAGGAAGTCGGGGAACATATCGACATCGTATCGACCTCGAGGTGTGAGGACGAGCACTTCCTCGAAGCTGAGAATGAGATCGCCAGCCACCTGTCCGATCTCCGCCTTCTCCTTAATCGCGTCATGGAAAGCCTGCGCGGCGCTGATCTCCTCTTCCTCGTCGTCGGACTTTTGTGAACCAGCGTCGGAGCCGCGTTCACGGTTCACAGTTCCAGGCACGTAGAACCGGATCTCAGCCATCTCGTCTGGGGCGCCCTTCGACTTTTTACTGCCGGATGGCGGGGCAAACTCGAGGGACACTTCCGTGCGACCGGCAATATTGGAGTTGGCGACTTCTGAGAGTGGCAGCTCGAATGAGGTCTTGTTCGAGACGAGAAAAGCGAGGTCCTGGCCTTGGAAGTTACGCAAGGGGGTCAGATGAGACTAGGATATGCGGACGCCACATGCTTACCCTGGAAGTCCGTGACGCCCCAGTTCCATCCCTTGAACGAAACCTCCTTCGTTTCCAGAGTAACACTGAAGTGTTGTTTCAATAGTTGTGCGAGTTTCTCATGGTCCTGAATTGGGTCAGTCATTAGGATAGCAAAAAGACGAGTAGTCGCGTACCTCACGTCCAAACCCGTCGAACACTTCCCGCGACCTATCCTTCAACCCCACTCGCAGCTGGTAATTTCGTGCAACCCTTAGCCATTGAGCCCACTTGATATCTCCTGAGGACATGGCGACCATCTTCTCGCTCTCCTCCCCTTTCCAGGCCATCCCGCTGGCAGCGATACGGAACTCTGGTCACAAATCACACCGTTGAGTGCTCAACGTACAAGAGCGCGTCAAGGATCTGTAATACTCACTTCCGAGCTCGGGAGACAGTCCATGATAGATCCTGTCAAATTGCGTGGTCATTTTGCGCCTTCGGTGCGCGGATACCGAGGTAGGGCGAGAGGGGAGATGGAAGAGCGGAGGGAAGAGGGCACTGGCGCGTGTGGCCTATCGAATGGCCGAGTGAAGGACGCGTTGCGGAGTTTGAAAGCGCGCAGTGCACGCGTCGGCGCGCGAGGTGGTCGCGTATTCGTCTTTCTCTCCGTTCGCCCTTGTTTCGACTATTTTGACGTGTCGCTGTGTGCTCGCCGACATGGACTCACTGGAGGCACGCTCTCGGGATGTCCAGGAGAGGACCTTCTGCAAATGGTGCGTTGACTAGGTCTTGGAATCCTGACATTGTGCCGACTGATCGTCTGCTTGTAGGCTGAACACAAAGTTGGAATCCAACGGATATCCTCCGATGACCTCGCTGGTCAAGGACCTATCGGATGGTGTCCGGCTCATCCAGCTTATGGCAAGCACCTCTTCAGGGGTCCTCGGGTAGCGCGCTGATATACAGTGCAATATCGCAGGAGATCATGGGTAAGACGCACATTCTATGGCACGGATATCCAGTACAACGAGTATTTTGATACAGGCGATATATCTCTTGGAAGATATAACAGGAACCCACGGATGCGCGTGCAGAAAGCCGAGAATGTGAACAAAGCGTTGGAGTTCATCACCTCGCGAGGCGTCAAACTAACGAATATCGGGCCTGAAGGTATTGTGGAGCACTCAATACAACTGAGTCGAATTTGACAGAATAACAGATATCATTGACGGGAATCTCAAGCTCATCCTGGGCATGATATGGACTTTAATTTTGCGCTTCACCATCGCTGACATCAGGTATGTCTCGCTTGTGGCTGCCCTTTCGTAAATCCTAACATTCAGTAAGCGAGGAGGGCTTGTCTGCTAAGGAAGGCCTACTACTATGGTGTCAGCGGAAGACCGCACCCTACAAGGAAGTCGACGTGCAGGACTTCTCTCTGAGCTGGTCCGACGGCCTCGCATTGTTCGTGAGCCCATTCACCACTCGCCCATGCCTCAATACCAATCAGTGCATGGCAGATGTGCACTAATTCATTGCCACCGGCCGGACTTACTCGACTACGACAAACTGGACAAGGTCAGCCGTTGTCAGACGTGTTGGGTATTGCCTGACGGCATGCGTGCTTGTAGTCCGATCGGCACGGGAATACCCGGCTCGCGTTCCAAGTAGCAGCAGACCATCTCGGGATCCCAGTACGTTGCTCTTAGATCTTTCTTTTTGCATCGAGTCCCATAACTTCGAATGCAGCAACTGCTAGAGGTAGCCGACTTGTGCGATACCGCTCGCCCGGATGAGCGCAGTGTTATGACCTATGTAGCCAGCTTCTTCCACGCGTTCTCATCTATGGGTAAGTGGCGCTCTCGAGATGACTGCCTCGGTCACTGACAATACAGTACAGAGCAGGTTGAGACCGTGTCACGGCGAGTGGAGAAATTTGCAGAACTTATGTACTCTGTCTGGCTTAGCAAGAATGACTACGAACGACGTGCACGCGAGGTGCGTGGTGTCGATGACTTGTGTTCCGCGGTTAGCTAATGCATTCGAAACTTCACAGCTACTCTCTGCCATCTCCTCTATCCAAGCGCGCTGGGCCGCAGCCGAGTTCACGGGCACCTACACAGACGCCAAGGAACATTCCGCCAGCTTCACCACGTACAAGCAGACAAAGAAGCGAGCATGGGTCACGGAACGGCAAGACGTCACCACTCTCTTTGGGAACATCCAGACCAAGCTCCGCACGTACGGACTGCGGGAGTACACCCCTCCACCGGGGCTTGCGCTGTCGGTAGGTCCGGCATTGCTTTGCACTACGTGTTAGCTAGGGTCTTACTGCGCCGTAGGACTTGGACACCGCTTGGAATGAGCTATTGGGATCGGAAGCAAAGAGATCACGTGCGATTAATGCAGAGATCCGACAGTGGGTAGTGGGCGTGCGTGGTAGCGTGTTTGAGGCTGATGTAGATGATGCAGGATCAAGGAGGGTCTGCGCAAGGCGTTTGCTGATCTCGCCAACAACTTTGAGAAACGGCTCCGCGCGATCTCATCAGAGCTGGCCGGGATTGAGGGCGCACTAGAGGTTAGTACCTGCTCTTGCATGCGCCCTTGTCTCGCACTGACCATGTATCTGCAGGAACAACAGGAGCAAATGACACAACTCCGTACGAAGCTACCCTTGCTGACAGACGGACTTGCCGCTGTGGTGAGGGCGGAAGACGAATGCAGGGCTGCTAACGTGGACGAGAACGACTACACTGTATTCACGTGTCAGGATCTGGAGTTCGAGCTTGAGCTGCTAGAGCAGAGTATCTCGAAGAAGATCGCCTTCATAGACAACCAGGTGAGTTGGCCGATATGGCATCTGCCCGCTGTAGTGATCAATATCCGTGCAGATTGTATCGCGGAACATGACGAACTTGACACCAGCACAGCTGGAACAATTCGAGAGTACCTTCCGGTACTTCGACCGGGACGAAACGAACACTTTAAACCAAGCGGAGATGGCTGCCGCCCTTGCCAGTCTTGGCATCGTATATTCTGTGCGTACCTCTTGTGTCTTCCGGCGGACTTCGCTTATGTCGCGGCAGGACGAAGATATGGACATCATTTACGACCAGTTATTGCAAGACTACGGTGCGGTTACGTTTGAGGCCTTTATCAATCTCCTGGTACGTCATACTGCTCTGTGCTGGGCTTCTCGAAATTGTGATGTAACGATCTGCAGGTTGAGATCACGGAAGACCAGACATCGCCCGACCAGCTGCGTGACTCGTTCCGAGGCATCGCGAACGATAAGGTACGCGTATATGTTTGTCTTGCCATGAAAGGCGTCTAATAGCTTCGCAGCCGTTTGTGACAGAGCTGGACCTGCGCGTCGCACAGTTGCCAGCAAGCGCGATCGAGTACCTGCGGCAGGCCATGCCACCTGCGGCCAGTGGCGCTGAAGAGGCCGAGTACGACTACGAGGCTTGGCTGGACGATGTGTTTGCATGAGTCTCCGGCCTGCGACAGATATTCAGTGTTGTATCCATCATTATTCTGCTCTGCACAGCCCAAGTTCCGCATTCCTCTCCCGCAATTCGTTACTGTAGCATACATCGCGTAGACGGGAAGGTGTAGATTAGATCGTGGGTACCTACGTGTATCCGACGTAATGCAAGCTTCAGACTTCCGCGCTGCCCAGTTTGCGCGCCATCCGCTGCGCCCGCGTTCTGCCGCAGGCCCTGTACGGACCGCAGATGGATGGGTGGGTGTTGTGTCACTGCGGCCAGTCGAGGCTGTGGACGAGACGAGATTCAGTGAGCAGCCACCGGCGAATATGGGCAATCAGTGTGGCAATCGCCGGCGTCATCACCGTATCGCGATACTTATACGGACAAGCCAGCACCGCTGCACTCGACCTGCCATCTCCCTGCCTCGCCGCGTCCCATATCCTCCTTTCTTATTGACCCAACAACTTGACAATATGGTACGTGCTTCCCATCCTGCACGCGTCCACCACCGCTCATCGCAGCGATCGCATGCCGCCGTCGCCGCCACAGGCCTCCCAGTCCGGCGTCGCGGTGAACCCTGAGTGCTTGGAGACGTACCAGACCCTGAAGCTCGGGAAGAAGATCAAGTACATCATCTACACGCTCAACAAGGACCACACAGAGATCGTGGTCGAGAAGCAGTCCGAGAGCCCGGACTACGACGAGTTCATCGCGGACCTCCCTGAGGCCGAGCCTCGCTGGGCGGTGTACGACTTTGAGTTCGAGAAGGAGGGCGCAGGGAAGAGGAACAAGATTACATTCTTCTCCTGGTGCGTGCAGGTCAGCTTGGCCTGAACTCGAGTGGTCTAACACGGCTCGGATTCGTGCGCAGGTCCCCAGATGACTCCAAGATCAAGCAGAAGATGTTGTTCGCCTCATCCAAGGACGCCCTGAGACGTTCGCTTGTCGGCATCGCTGCTGAGATCCAGGGCACCGATTACAGCGAGGTCGCGTATGAGAGTGGTGCGTGCTCTTGCCCGTCGCGCCTGTGTCTTTACTCACCTCGCGTCGCGTCGCAACAGTGCTGGACAAGGTCTCCCGAGGAGCCTGAGCGACGATTCTGTCCGATTTCCACTTATACCTCCCTCTACTCTGTGCCGCCGTGCTCCATACTGGCCTGCCGTGTATAATCCCAAATCGGACGCCACACTACCTCACCGAAGAGCGGAAGAAATGTTGTAGAGTTGCAGATAATCGCCGGATCGCTGGTGTAGTAACAAATCGAAGTCCCTTTCACGATGCGCTCATACCCGGGGTCCGATGCCCATCTGCTGACGCGTATCTGTGGTCTATTCCGGCGCAGTAAGTATACAAACTGCACTGCAGGTATGGCCAGTTCGTCGAATACAGTCGCATTGCCCCCATGGCGAGGGCCAACGCCTAGCAAACTTACTGATCCTTGTTGAATAGAGTAGGACTACCAAATAGGCAGTGATGACTCAAAGCACGCTTGTTCTGTTACTACATCAGTTGGTCGAGTGGTCTATCATACAGTGCAGCAGGTTCGCAGTGTACAGTACGGGACATCATGCATCATGCGAAACCTTCAGTAGCAACTATCGTTCCGGTCCCGGCTGCCTATGTCGACGCAGAGACGCCTCCGCCCACAGTTGCAACCACGAGTACGACACCCACAACTTGTATAATGCGCAATAACGCACTCTCGCTATGCACCCGGTTCTGTTCCCGTGCCCTTGCTTCCGCCCTGGCCTCCGCGCCCGCCGCCCTCTCGTGCCCCGTACCCGTCGCGCGCCGGACGTGCGGGTTCGCGAATGGGTCGGGGCCCTGCGGTCGCTCGTAGTGCCGTCCTGGAGGCGGACGTGTGTATGAGCCCGGGCCGGGCGATGGTCGGTGTGAGTGTTCCCATGCGTAGGTTGCGCCCCGCCGTCGACGGGTGTCGTACGACCAGTGCGAGTAGGGCGAGTCTTGTCCGGAGGCGTATGTGCGCGACGGGCCACTACTGGACTGCGCCATCGAACGGTCATACGCTCTCCTGCGACCGATGAGTTCGCACGCCGATGAGCGTATGTTGGTGCGAAGGACGAACGGAAAGGAAATGTGGATGCGGAAGGGAGGGACATACCGCTTGCGATCATCCCCGAGCACGCCGTACGCCTCGCTCACGGCGTGGAACGTCTCCTCGCCCCCGGATCCTTGTTTACATCTGGATGATACTGCTTGCTCAACTACATGCAGTCCGTAGGACGTCTCAGCTTCACGCGCCCACCTCAGTCGACTGGTGCTCACCTTGTAATAGCTTGACTGCTCGAGCCTCAGTACGAATACGGCTAAGATAGGGTGGCGGAAAAGAACGCGCCTTGATCTGTGCCCTGGACGCAGTGCTCGGCACCTGGAGGATACCGTAGTGTCCTTCTGCACGTCGATTGCTGTAGTCCCGAACGCTCTCCTACACGGATATCGAAAACTTGATGGGCCTGGCGAGTAATCGTATAACGAGGCCAAGGATGTTTCCCGTGTTGGCACGAGACGGACCGCTAGACGAAGCAGCCGAGCAGCGCGCGGTATGCTGTAGGACCGACTTTGCGTGACGATATGTACTGATGTCATTGCATCGTAATCTTGCGTGACTCGTTCGGTGAAAAGGGGCTGTAGGTTGCAGACAGTACTTGCGCGCTGCGCTCTGTCGCGTCGGGCAAGAGGAGGTTACGATTATGAATTGGGTACGGGGGTGGCTGAGACCCTTGGCGCTCGTTAGCAGAAGCCGGTCCGGGTGTTGCCGGCGCACAAACGAGGACTACTAAATTATCAGGGCTTTCTGTCAACCCTCTTGTCTTGTTCCTGCGGTGAACTAGGTAGCTTGTGTCGCCGAAGCGTGGTTTTGTGGGAGTCATACAGTAAGTATGTAATTCGTAGGTCAAGTTTGCCACTACCCATACTTATTACGTAATCAGCTCTAGACGCTCCGCCCGTTCTACGTACGCGACGCCGGCACTGCCCGAGCCACTCCCGCTCATTCAATCATAATGACAGACTCGGACGTGCACACTGGCAAGTACTGGTATGTGTGGTTCAAGTTGCGAGTACATGGCTGAAAACCATATGAAAGAGGCTAAACAAAACATCACACATCGGAGTCCATCTTCTCGTCTACATGGACACAGCAGTGGTGATTGTAGTGACATCTATGTCGTAGACGTTCATTTGCACTGGCTCAGGTAATAGTACTGTAAAGTTCAAACTTTGGCACGTAGAATTTACCCTTGTTTGCTCGTTCATCGAGCCCACACTGGCATCGATGAAGCGGTTCAGAAACCCACAGTACTGTACGCTCGCTTGGCTCGCAACGGTGGCCCCGTACTACGGCGTAGCAGAGTACTCGATCAGCTCTGTCGGCCATGATACGAAGCATAGGTTCAGTCGCAAAGGTGCGCAATTGCTTCACTCATGCCCTTACAGGGCATCTGTTCATTATCGTTCACATTTGCGAGCATTTCAGCAAACCGCTCAGCTTGGCAAACGGTTTACCGAGACCCTTCAGTGTTGTATCAGTCATAAGAACCTAGATGATCTCTCTGGAGACTTTCGTCATAGCCTGGTGTGTATGGTCTCCCCTGAGGCTGAGTAGGTTTACGTCCTCATGTGTGTCTTTTACAGCTGCCACATCCCGCCACTCAACCTCAGTTGGGTGAACTTCGCGCCGCGATCCTGCAAGCGGACCATGAGTTCTCATCGGACGATCCACGTAGGATGCACGCCTATCAGGATATTGTTGACGTAATTCTTAGCAGCCCATCACTCGCGCGGGACACCGAAGTCCTTGACGATACGATTGCTGCCCTAGCCCTGCTTGTCGAACGCCTGCCAGTGCCGGACTCCGACCATCCCACCGCATCGGCCTTGTATTATCAATACGGTGGCGCGTTGATGGTGCGCTTGCGTGAACGCTCGAGTGATGCAAGGGCCAGACGAGATGCTCTCGACGGCGCTGTCACAGCGTACCACCGCTGTGTCGATCTCACACCCGAAACAGATTCCTCTCTCATCGATAGGCTGCGCAACTTAGCGGATGCTTTGGACGAACGTTCGTCCGTGATGGTAGTTCAAGGGATCTGGACGGTACAATTGCTGCGTATCGCAACTGCCTTATACTCAATCCCAAAGAGCCCTCAATAACAGCCGATCTATATGGCGCACTGGGTGACAGCCTCGAGGGCCGCTTTGACTACCAAGGCCGCAAGGACGACCTTGAAGACGCGATTGCGAGCTATCGCCATGCTATCAAAATTCTTCCGATAACGACACGACGAAACCCAAGCGGCTCATGCGCCTTGCGAACCTACTGCGTCGTCGCTCTGAAGTCCCAGGTTCTGATGAAGTCAACACCCTCGACGAAGCCATGGATCTACTTCGTGATGCTATCAATTCGTTGCCCTCCGGGAACGCTCAAATGCACGGCGTACTTGCCAGCCTTGCGAATCTGCTAGAAGCCCGCTTTGCCTTGTCCCACGAGGAGTCCGATATGAGGAACGCCTGTCTTTCGCTCATGAAGGCAGCTCAGGAACCAGCGACGCCACCCTTGACCAAGTTCGGGTACGCCTACCGTGCGGTAGAGCTACTGGAGTTGTACCCCTTCCTCGAGGGATGCTTCCCGTTGTTGCGCGCGTACGAGTGCATCATTGAAGCTTATCCTCAAGCCCGGATTGCGTCGCTCGGGAAAAACATCATCGAACGCCTGCGTGCGCTCTCCCTTCTTCCCTTCCCCGCAAAGGGAGCTGCGGCCGCGGCTATTGCGTCCGGTCAACTCGCTCTCGCAGTGGAGTGGCTCGAGGAAGGTCGGAACGTTGTCTGGGGACAAATCTTTCGATTGCGACACGTCGCGGGCGAGCTGAGTGAGCAGCATCCCGATATCGCAGACAGGCTCGCTGCGCTGTCGCGCCAGCTGGAGAGTGTTTCCATGGAGTACTCAGGCAGCATCTCATTCTTTGACACATCGGACCACTCTGGTCTGCCCCGTGTACGTATGCCGGAGCCAAACCAGGGGGTCCAGTCCAAGCTGGCGATGGAATACGAAGCTCTAGTCCAACAAATCCAGTCGCTCGATGGGTTTCAACGTTTCTTGAAACCTAGGCCTTTTGCGGAACTCGTGGCTGCAGCGACTGACGGCCCTATAGTTTTTGTAAACTTACACGAACGACGCTCTGTTTGTGATGCACTCATCTTACTCCCCGCTGGGAACATCGTGCATGTCCCACTCCCTCGATTCTCATATGCGGCGGCAGCGGGATATCAAACAGCTCTCCAAGCCTCATTAGAAAGCGGAGGGGTTCGCGGCGCTCACATCACCCATAATAACATCTCGATGGGAGACATCTTGGCTGCGTTGTGGAAACGTGTGGCACAGCCGGTATTGAGTGTATTACAAGGCGCGGTGAGTCATCTCCCTTCGTCCGCCTATGTTTGCGTCGAGATTGAATATATGTTCACAATATTGCAGCTACAACCCGTCCATGCTCAAGATCTCTTGCACATTACTTGGTGCCTCACGGGCCCGCTGTCGTTCCTCCCTCTGCATGCAGCAGGCATCTACAACGAGGGAGCTGCGCAAGTCACACTCATGGACTTCGCGGTATCGTCGTATACCCCATCGATCGAGGTTCTGCTGCGTTCCAAGGGCCGCTCCCCATCGACAGAACATAGGCAGCAGCGCGTCTTGGCCATAGCACAGCCATACGCATTGCCCAACGCACCGATCCCAAGCACACTACAAGAGGTTCGTCTCGTCAGAGCCCACTTTCCTGACGGCGTCACACTCGAGAACGAGAATGGGACCGTGGACGCTGTTCTCGCCGCAATGGTCCATCATAGCTGGGTGCACCTCGCCTGCCACGGCATGCAGGACTCTGTAGATCCGACGCAGAGCTCGTTCGCGCTTCACGACCATGTGTCGCTGAAACTCTCCCAGCTCATGTCGCTTTCTCTGGAGAACGCGGAGCTTGCGTTCCTCTCGGCATGCCAGACCGCGACAGGCAATGCGACCGTGCCAGATGAGGCCGTTCATCTCGCGGCTGGGATGCTTACCGCCGGGTTCAGGAGCGTGGTAGGAACAATGTAGTCGGTGGGTGACAATGACGCGCCGATCGTAGCTGACGCGTTTTACACTGCACTGCAACGGGACATTGAGGCTGGGGGAGATGTGAGGGTTGCGTATGCGTTGCATGGTGCCGTGAAGCAGTTGCGTACGAAAGTTGGTGCGAGGGAATTCGTCAAGTGGGTCCCATTTGTGCACTTTGGGCGGTAGTCGTTCTCCAGAGACTGCTATAGGAAGTTTGATTAGGAGTGCATTGATCACACGCTACAACGGGGCGCACGGTATGTCCTGAGAGAAGCCGATGAGTATGCGTCTTCACTGCAGTATGGCGAACATAAGCCTCACTGATTATATGATACATCCGTAATGTACAGTCTCTAGTCTGACACCGCAATCGATACGTTCACTCTATGTAGTCCACCGGGTCCTCCGCGGTCGTCTCCTCCTTGTCTACCGCCCTCTTTTCTTCCGTGATCTTCTCATCTGCGTCAACAACTTGCTCGACAGCCTCAGCAGCCTCCACCGCAGCCTTTCTCCGATCACGACCAGGCGCAACGACGTTCTTCATGAAGAACAGCAGAGAGAGCGTCTCCGCCGCTGTCATGCCCACGATGAACCACAGGCCAGCGGCGCGCCCGGAGAAGCTGTTCGGGCCACCGTGCGTCTGTTGGACGGTGGTCTGGATGGACGTGATGATGGCTGTGCCTGCGGCGCTCCCGAACTGCGACGACGCCGTCAGGATGGAGCCGACTGTCGCCGCGATGTGGGCGGAGTAACGGCGAAGAGCGCGATGCTTCGCACAGCGGCATGTCAGGCCAGTTTGTCACTGCGATTGCCTAGGGCAGCACTTACTTGGTCGTCCCGAAGACAATCGTCGTGCCCGCTGTGCCCAGGCAAAAGCCGGGGAAGGTGAAGGGCCAGTATTTCGCCGCCGAACCTCCGAAGGCGAGGAGGATAGTGCCGGAGAGCACCAGCAGCTGCCCACCGAGCATGACCCACTTCAGTCGGAATCGCTGTTGCAGGAAGCTCGTGAAGGCCATGAAAAGAATGGATACGAGGCCCACGGGTAGGCTGAGCGGCGGATCAGGTTGAGGCCACCCTGTGAATGATGAACACTTACAAGTGGACGGCGGTGTAGATGGTCGACCACCCGAGCGCATCTTGATAGAACCAGGAGTACAAGAGCTGCACAGACGCCCACCACATGCGTGGCTGCAGGCCCAGAATCACGATGATCGTGAAGTTCTCGTAGTTCCACATCTTCGGCGGTCTGATAGGCGTCTTTAGACAGACCCGGCTAAGTTGAGGATGATAGACGTACACTGCAGCACGTTCCTCCGGGATGTGTGCTTCCCAGACGAAGAACCCGACTCCCAGAAAAACTGAAATAACCAAAGGCGCGAGGGTCTCAGCCTTGGCCCACCCGACGGCCGCTCCGTCCGTGACTGCAAACACGAAGAGCACGAGCGCAGCTACCGGAGATGTCATTAGCCACTGTCGCTACGTTCGTGACTGGGTTGATGCTTACCTGTCAGTAGCGAAACACCAACAATGTCGACCTTCTTCAACGTCTCAAGGCGGGATCCCGTGTTGTTATCGTGGTTCCGCGAGAACGGGAGCAGGACAGTCACAAGGGCACCCATAAGGAAGCAAATCACGGTAATGAAGTAGAACACTGCCGGCCATGATGCAAAAGAGACTAGAGCTGCGCCGATGATCAGGCCAGATACTGGAAGGCCTCTGATCAGGATACTTGTGGCGTAAATCCCAGGCTTGTATGCTACATACCGTTGCCGAGGGCAGCCGATCCAGCAAAGGCAGCTACTGCTTTCGATTGGACGTGCGGCGTGGGGAACATCCGCACGATGATCTGCATAGCAGATGGGATGTTCAACGCGGCTCCTGTAGATGCATCAGTACAGTCAGTACATATATGATGAGTGACGTGGAGGAGGAAACTGACCGACCCCCATGAACGCTCGTAGGAGGAACAGTGGGACTTGCGCTCGGACGAACGCGCATCCAAGCGAAGTAAAGGAGATGATGAATGCTCCCGCGAGGAACACATACTCTGCAGCGATGATGAGCTACAGTCACCAACAGCAGTAATGAAGCTGGCACGCAATGATACGTACTCGGACTGTACAAGTCACTCAAGCGACCGCTCTACAGCTCCATCAGAACAGTGCACGCACAAAGCAGGTACACCACCACACTTACGGTGAGCAAAAATGCCGCGAACGTGAGCTGATATGCACTCGTCGTCCACACTGACACCGCGTTCGAGATGTCCAGGTCCACCGAGATAGGCGGAGTTGCTGCGAACAGCGCGGAGATATTGAACGAGTCGATGTACTGTGCCAAGCAGAAGATGACTAGCAGCGTGAGCTTGCGCGCGGACGAGAGCGAGCTGAGCTGTTTCCTGGCGGCCGGTGGCGACGCCGTCACGCTCGGAGTCTCCGAGGAAGGCATGTCTAGGGAAAGCGAGGTGCGCCCGTCTGAACCTCAGTCACTCGGGGGTGCGGGAGGGTCGCAGGTTCGCAGACGCGGAGGCAACTGCGAATGTGCTGGACCTTATGGAGGCCTGCACGCTGTCCGAGGCGTGGTTATTATTATGACTCTACACAATCATGGGTGTCTCACGGGTTTACAGCAGCCTGCAAGTGGGGCATCACCTAGGAAAAGAATCCGTGAAGAAGTCGCCCACGGAGCCGCCAAAGACGGCTGTGGTCCCGTTATATAGGGGACGAAATGAGGAGAAGAGAACACGTATGGTGGGAACACTCCGGTCAAAGATCGGGTTCGAATGATCAGATGGTCGCCACCTTCGAGGCGTTGCGGGCTTACTCGCTCGTTGTGAAAGTCTTACTTCCTGCTTGGAAGATTCCTTAGCATCTCATGCTGTTCGGACTGTTCATCGGGAGGAGTGCGGGAACATACAAGAGGATCGGTTTTCGCCTACTGGGAGTGTTGGTATCTGAGTGTCTCTGGACTGATTGACACACGAGCACGTTAACAGGCTGCTTCCTGACAATTCGGCGGGAGCACATACTTACCCAGAATGGAGGTGATGATCAAACGATGTGGTCTGCGCCCACACGGCCCGAACCTTCTCTATCAAAAGCTCCTGGAATGACACCCACTGACATTCGCGGAGTATCCCCATTTCAGATCCCAGAGGCTCAGCCACGACTTCATCGATTCATCTCTTGCCTGTGTGTCCCTCCTTGTCCCTCCGCATCCTCAGTACAAACGACTGCATGAGAGGTCAAAGGGAGCAGGACCTTCTCCGCGGCGGAACGCCCAACGCGCTCCGGGCGCGGGCACAGCCGTACTGTGTTGACATACGGTCGAGTGTGTAAGATTAAGCCACGTCCGATTCGTTGTCAAGCCCTTGATCGCCGAAGAGTCCGCTGCTTGTGTAAGTACTCCTGACCGCTGCATTTCCGGGTCGAGGAACGGAGCCTAACACGAGTTACAGTAACGTTCTGCATACCTCGTCCGTCTCGTCTAACAGGCGGTGGATTGTCGGGTGAATAATACGGTGGAGAAGCAATCATCGCGCGGCTTTTTCTTCCGCACGTCGAGTGAGACAGGCCTGCGAGTTGACTCATTTATTAGGTACGCATGGTCGATCGGAGAAAGAAGTCGAGGGCGTACCAGGTTCAACCATCAAATCTTCAGATTCAGAGACGACGAAGTGGTCAAGAAGAACTGAGTGTGTTGAAATGCCAATGCCTGGGTTCTCGGTGTTCAATGGCGTGCAAACGCTTGTTGCAGCGCCTGAAGTTCGCAAACCCGCGTCCGCTTGCGAAAGCGAAATAGTCTATGCATCGTCAACTGGGCCTAACGTACACATTCCGAAGGCGAAGCAGAAAACCTGCGATATATCCACGTGGTATATGACGAACCCGTCGCCTCGCGTGCACCGTCCCATCCTAGAGCCGTCGTTCCCAGTGTGACCGTTCCGTAAGATCACCTGGAGTTTGGAGCTTATCCTCCGTCGCGGCAGCGGTCCTTACGAGTCGAGGATACCCATCTCCCTCCAGCGCTCCCAGAGTGCGCCGATACCTACCGGGACCCCAGGCTGGCCCTTCACGTCTTTGATGTCCAAGAGCTCGTACTCCTTGCCGAAAGCGAGGAAGTGCGCGAAGAGCGAGTTGAAGTGGGGCTCGCTCCGGAGGTGGAGGATCTGTGGGTAGTGCGCGTGGTACAGATGCGCGAAGACACGAAGCAGCTGTCTGTAGACGTGCTTCACGGTAGAGGGAAAAGTCTGGGAAAATTCGCGCCCTGCGGTGGGGGAGATTAAGCACACTGCCTCTGGGCGTGATGGATAACGTACCGGACTTGGTGGGGAATACAGTCTCATCGTCCAGAAGGTTCTGTGCCCATGTCATGACATAATCAATGTATGTTGGCGCAGGTAGCTGGACGCTTTTCCGATCCTGGTTGATCCATGTGTAATTCAAGCTGATGCAGAATAGTCAGTAATAAAGGCAGCGGAACTGCGTTTGTGCGTACTTTGGACTAGCGGACATCGAAGGGCACGACTGTTGCGTGCAGCACTCTGCAAGTACACCGTAGAACGAGTTGAGGTTCTGGTAGAAGTCGAAGACTACAGAGACGCGTCACGAGGGACCACGTTTAGCTGTCAAACGTAGTACAACGTGGAGGAAGTTCGTACGTACTGTTAACGGCAACCCATTCCATGACGTCGGCGTACTTTGGCAGCATAACAATATGCTTGAAGTTTCCCTTGACGAGGGCGGCCTCAACGAACGGGCTACAAAGGTAGAGAGGCTTAGCAACCCCAGGTGAGGTCGGTGTGCCAGGCAGTGATTCTTCAGATGGACGGCGAGATAAGGTGGGTGTCGTAGAACGTTTAGGAGGACGAGGCGCACGGTTCATGGACCGCCTAGCATCCGTCAGTGAGACCTCGCACATTCCTCAAGCCAACACCTTACATACCCAATGGAATTGAAGAACGACATGGCGACGCGAATCGATGGGCAGACTGGGTGGCACTTGGGCGACTTGCAGGCGACGAGAGAGAAAGACGAGAGAGACCAGTCTCAAGACAGCTAGATAAAAGCGTTCCGAGCCCTGTGCAGACCTAGAATGGGAGGCGGAAGTAATTGAACGTCGATACGAAGTCGAAACCAGGACCCAGGTCGAAACGGCGGATCAGAAGCGAGTTCACGCACGTGACGGTGTGGGTGTCCAAGATGGAAACACGTTCCCGTGCTTGCGCGTATTTGGCTCCGAGGCCGTTGCTCAACAAGGACAAACAACGCGAGATGCGCGCATTGTATTCCGCACGTGCATCCGTTCTTGTAACCCGCTCACCCACCTTTCCCCTCCTACCCCTCCTCAGGAAGGCCTGCCAGCCCTGAGATGATGAAGACCAGACGAAAAAGCAAGGCAGCAGCTGCTGCCGCGGCCGAGGCAGCCGCTACCCAGGAGAACTCGACGAGGGAGAACTCTCCCGCACCTACTCCAGCCACACACGATGCTACCATGACCGTCGTCGTTCCAGACGACGTTGACATCAATGTTCTCTCTGGCTTGTTGCCGGAGATTGACCTGCAGATGCCCTCACCAGACGCGATCGTCGCTCTGTATCGCCTCGTGGCCGCCCAGGCTTCCGATAATGACGCCACTCAGCGGGAGCTCGAGGAGGCTCGTGCTGACATTGACCGCAAGAATGTAGAGCTTGAGCAGGCGTTGCAGGACAAGGAGTCTGCGAGTGCCGAACTTGAGAGTACCCTCGACTCTGTGCGAAGGGAACTTGAGCAGGTCAAACGAGAGAAAGACGAACTTGGTGCGTACACCGACCAAGTGACAAGTCCATGTGCACACTCCTAACACTCTCGGTAGCCGCCTCCCGTGCTTCTCTGCAAGCTCAGATTTCTACGCTATCGACTACGCAGTCGACCTCCTCTGTGGAGGTTGAGACGTTGAAACACCGGATCGAAGACGCGGGACGGGAGAAGCGGGACCTCGTCACTGTTGTTAGCAGGCTTAAGGATGACAGCGCACAGCGCGAAGGTAAGTCCTTCGTATACAAGTGCGGATCCAATCGACAGAGACTGCCGTGGCCTCTACTGCGTTCGGGTACCATGAAGGTAGAGGCGGTTAAACTTGCGTGTGCCGTTCCCCTTCCGTCGTGGCTCCCGGCTGCAGTGTATGTCATGGACGTCGCCTGTACACGCAAGGGGCGATACGTAGTGCTCGCTGTTAGACTGGTTTCACTTGGTGGAAATGCCTGTCATTGTCCCAGCAGTCCATGTGTTACCAGCGTCATTATGTCGGCACCACAGCTTTGATAGACCATACATGCAGCAAGAGGCGGAAAGCAAGGGCCAAATGAGCACGCATCGATATAGTCACGAACGTTGATCTACCGGTCTGCATTGTGGCTCGGTCATTTCATCAATCATGTGCAGACGCTGGTACGATGAACCGCTGCGAGGCAAAAGCGATAGTATCATGTCCCAATGTCTAGTCTACGTTTTCTTGACAGGGTTGCTGGAAGCAAAGTCTGACATACATAATTAGAGGAAATCCAGACCCTTCGCACCAACCTCAAGCAAGCAAGGCAAGAACACCAGACATTGGAGAGTCAAGTGCGCGAACTACGTTCGGCGGAGACTGCCACCAAGTTCAAGGTCGACTCGCTCAACCAGCAGCTGCAACTATCTCAAGAACACGCCGAGCGGACGTCCAACGACCTCAACGTCAAGGTCGAGGAGTTCGCCCAGTACCGTCGCACGAAGCATGCCGAGTTCGCGCAGCTGCAGGCCTCGCACGACTCGCTCCTCCAGAGAAACGATGTCACGACGAGCCAGCTCAAGGCACTCCAGTCCGCGCATTCCGCGCAGTCTCACCAGCTCACGCAGGCACTCGCGAGGGTGCAAATGCTTCAGGGCCAGCTCGCAGAACAGGAGGCTACCTTCTCCGGTGAGGCCGCTAGCCTGAAGAGACTCGTGGAGATGATGGAAGCGCGCGAGGCTCAGGCCAAGGCTATCGTTGAGGGCATCGAGCAGGATTACGCAGGCATCAACGAGCGCGCGGGCCGACGGGAGGCAGCGCTGAAGGACGAGATTGAGGAGCAACGCCAGCGCGCGGAGCAGGCGGAGAGGCGGATGGAGGAGCTTGAGGCGGTCATGGAGCGGCTGGACAGAGGCGAGTTCCCCATGCCGTCGTTCAGCTCGGAGGCGCTGCAGGGCACACCGCGTACGCCTGCTCGCACGCCGGGCACGCCGTCGATGATGAATGGCACGCCGGACTTCCTCTCGCAGAGCATGATGGGCCTGAGCCCGACGGTCGCGATGGCGAGTCGGGTGCAGAGGAATGGGAAGACGTTCACGGAGGTCTATGCCGACTATGTCCGGTTGCAAGAGGACTACGCTCGGAAGTCGGCGGAGTTCGACAACATGGATCGGACGCTATCTGCTGTCCTGGCGCAGATCGAGGAGAGGGTATGTGATTTACGATCTTATATTGTACCCGTGCTCATATACCATAACACAGGCACCTATCTTGTCCCAGCAACGCGCAGAGTACGAACGTCTGCAGCAAGAAGCTACACAACTCGCGTCGCAGCTTTCGCAAGCACTCAATGAGCGCGACTCGTATGCCCAGTCTTCCGAGGAGAACGCGCAGAAGCTCACGAAGAGCTCGCGCGAGAACGACCTTCTCCAGAAGCAACTCAATGACCTCGGAAGACAGATCCGTGTCCTGCTCAAGGAGCTCGGTCGCAACCAGGACCCCACTATCCCGTCCGACGCGGAGCTCGGACTCGACGAGAACCCGAGACCCGCGGAGAACATCGAGGAGGTCATTACGAACCATCTCGTCCTCTTCCGCTCGATTCCTCAGCTCCAGGAGCAAAACCAGAAGTTGCTCAGGGTTGTCCGGGATCTTGGTGCTAAGATGGAATCGGAGGAGAAGGAGTATCGGGACGCTCTGGAGCGGGAACAGAGCGAAGCTGTCAGGGAGGCACACGAGGCGATCAAGCAGCTTCAAGAGCAGCTCGAGAGCCAGGCCAAGAACAGCGAAGTGACTATCCAGGCGTACATGAAGGAGCGCGACTCGCTTAGGACCATGCTCTCGCGGGAACGTTCCGGCCAACCGGCTGCCATCCCTAATGGGGATGTCAACGGTAACGTCGTCCCTGCTCCGGCATCACAGACGATTTGGAGAAGGAGCTTGCTGAGGTTCAGAGCCAGTTCGAGGCGTACAAGAACGAGATGGGCGTGGACTCGGTCCATGTGAGAGATGAGGCAGTCTTGGCTCAGCGCGAAGCAAACCAGCTGCGTATATCCCTTGCTAAGGCGAACGCGAAGGTCGAGTTCCTCGACGGTCGGTCATAACTTGCACGATCTAGTTTAGTGGTACTGACACCCAGTTTCTGCGCAGAGCGTCACCGCATGATCCAAGAACAGTCCGTCGTACAGGGCCGCGAACTGGATAGCCTCTCGAAGCGCAATCAAGCTCTCTATGACCAGTACATGCGCATCGACATCGAGTGCAACCGTGTCTCGGAAGATCTGCACATTGCTAATGGACATGTTGATCAGCTGCGCAATGAGTGCGCTAACCTCCGTGCTGAGAAGAAGATCTGGCAGGTACGTCAGCATGCATTCTGACGAGTAGTTAACACTGACAGGCGTGCTACGTTGCTCAGACCATTCAAGGCCGTCTGGAAGAGGATAATCGTGTCCTCAAGGTCGAACGCGCCCATTTATCAGATCTTATGCAGAACGTGCAGCAGATGCACAGCGACCTGGAGCGCTCTGGCGAGAACGACCGTCGTCGATTAGAGAGTCAGATTCAAATGCTCGAGAACCAGACTCAAGATCTCCGGGCACAGCTGTTGGCGGAACGCGAATCTCTCAGGCATGTCTCTCTGCAGAAGGACATTGAGGTCAAGGAGTTGCAATCCCGCATTGAGAAGACGGTGAGCTGGTCTTCGCTGGAAGATGACCCATAATGCTTACATGTATTATTTCTAGACGGAGAATTCGCGAAGACCCGCGAAAACCTTGTCGCAGCGGAGACAAGCAGGAAGCACCTCGAGGAGCGCGTTGAGGAGCTAACTAGGCATCTACATGGCAATGAGGAGAAGCTTGCCGTGTATGAGCGCCGTGCCCCCAGTGTCAATGGCGTTCCCACTCAACGCAATGGCGAAGACCTGACCCGGGAACAACAGCTGGAGGCAGAAGTTGCCGATCTTCGGTAAGTCGTCATCGTTCTGTGCTCATGCGGTGGAGCTGACAATTGCCTCAGTTCTGCCTTGAAGGTGGCTCAAGTGGATCTGTCCACGGCGAGAAATCATGTCCAGCAGTTCCAAGAGATCAGTCAAGCGAACGAGACTGCCTTGGCCACCTTGAACGCTAGCTACGATGAATACAAGTCTTCGACAGAGGCTGAGCTCACGAAACGTGCTGTGAGTGACATGTGTCGTGTTGACGAGAGGTCGTCTCTGACGCGTTATCCAGTCCGAGTTCAATGCCTTGCAAGCGCAGTTGCAGGCTGTGCAGCAGGAGCTCGGTCAGCTGTCACAGAAGAACGCGGACTACAGCGCACTTGGAGTCCGAACGGTAGCTTGGGCAAATGACCGAAGACGCTCGAGGATACTATCATCGACATGAGCACGTCTGAGAGGAATACCGAAAACGATCGCGTCTCGCGCGAGACTGATGTAAGGCAGCAAGAGGAGCGAGCACGGGTATGTTGATCAGGTTGTCATATGCTTTCTGTTAGCTTAACCATATTCTTAGGCCGCTGAGGAGCGCTATGCGAGTGAAGTGGTCGCTCACGCCGAAGCACTCAAGACGATCACAGACCTCAAAGATCAGCTCGCTAAGACTCGTGCCATCGCTCGTGAAAACCAGACCGTGTCCGAGACCGCGCGAGCCAAGCTAGCAGCTTCTGAATCGAGTTGGAGGCAGCAGAAGAAGCTCTGGACAAGGAAATTGCGGACCTCAACACTAGGTATGCACTCCATTTACCAATTACATGACAGTTTCACTGACACACGTCTAGATGCAAAGAACTCAACACTCAGAACACTCTACTCCATCAGCATCTTGAGTCTGTCAGCTCGCAAGCGGCGCGTATCAGACAGGCTGCAGACACTTCGGATCCTACGCCGGGTGAGGCAGATGACACAGACGCCAAGGTTTCCGAATTGCGTTCTGTCGTTGCGTACTTGCGCAGAGAGAAGGAGATCGTCGAGCTACAGCTGGAGCTGAGCAAACAGGAGAATGCACGGCTGAAGACCCATGTCGAGCACTTATCGCACAACCTGGAAGAGACCCGCAAGTCACTCTCCGAGGTACGTATGAACGACGGTGCAGTCTGGATTAGCGAGTCTAAATGGCTTCGCAGGAACGTGAACGTGCTGTGGAGGCTGCTTCATCAGAGGCTCAGCACGCCGAGCTTGTCGAGAGGATCAATCAACTCACCATCCTGCGGGAAAGCAATGCTACCCTCCGAGCCGATTGTGAATCGCATGCAAAACGCGCTCGCGAGCTGGACGTCAAGCTGCGACAATTGTCCTCAGAGCTGGATCCCACGAAAGAACAGTTGCGTGTTACGCAAGCTGAGCTTGAAGCGAAGGATCAACAAATCTCGCGTTTGGAAGATGAGAGTCGGAGATGGAAAGAGCGTAATTCACAGCTCCTTAGCAAGGTATGAACACGATGCGTAGACGAGCTGCTAACCTGACCGCAAGCGACTAGTACGACCGCATTGATCCTGCAGAGGTCCAGTCCCTCAAAGACGAGATTGACCGTATAAAGGCAGCCAAGGAAGACATGGAGAACTCTGCGAAGGAGCGCGATGAACGCTCAGTTCAGCTACAAGAGAAGGTATGGTTTGTCTCTGGGATCGTCATTCATCAGAATTGACTTTCTGGTGTAGCTCACTGCTGCAGAGGCGTCTATTCGGCACTTGAAGGATATTGGTCAGAAGAACAACCAGAAGTACAGAGCAACCTTCGAGAGGTTCGACACGACGAAGGCACAGCTGAATGCGCAGATCACCGAGCTACAGACTGGGCTGGAGACTGTTACTGCTGAGAGAGACCAGTTAAAGGCTCAACCTCAGGTTGCTCCCCAGACTCGTCGAAGGAACAAGAATTGACGCAACAGTTGGAAATGCTACGCTCCGAGAAGGCTGCGCTTGAGAAGGCACTTGCAGACGAAAGAACTGCACACTCCAGTGCTGCGGCTCCTGTTGTCGCTTTGCAGACCACAATCGTAGGGAACCTCCTTGGTCCATTTGAATCGTCGCTGACCGTCCGCAGGCGTCATTAACGGAAGAGCGAGACAAGCTCTAGCAGAGAAGTCTACATGGGCCCTCAGCCGCTGTCCAACGAGTCAGCGCAAGCACCGCCACAGTGGGAGTCAGAGAAAGCGAGCTCATCAAGGCCCGTGACGAAGCAGTTGCTCAGCCAAGGTGTCTTTGAAACGGCTGCCGATGATTATTCACCCTTCGCATCTTTAGACGGCTGCTGAACAGCGCAGAAAGCACCGAAGAAATAAGAGTATACGCTTTGCCAACGTAAGTTTCTGCCATTATTGATGCATTTTTGTATTCATTTGGTTCCAGGAAAAATTCCGGCCAGATTCAGGACCTCTCAAAGGCTCGGGCGGCCGATGGTGAACGAGCTGCCGCGCAACAACAGCCGCTGTCAATGCCGCGGTCGAGAAGTTACACAACGAGTACAGAGCGCGCCACCCTCTACTCATCGGACGAGATTGTCGCTCGGCATGCGCAGGAGCTGCGTGATGTGGAGTCTAACTGACCGCAAAGTTCCAGGAGGAGATGAAGGCTGCTGTCGAGGCTGCGGCCGCTCGCGCAGGATCTCTGGCCGCATTGACACCGACTGGTGGCGATCAGGAGGCAGCGATCCAACAGGCAATTGCTGCTCATGATCAAAGCTGAGGGATCAACACGACATGGACATTGCTGCAGCCGTCGAACGCGGCAGGATGGAAGCTGCTGCCAAGGGCAAGCTGAAGGATCACAGCTTGTCAAGGCGCAGGCCAAGCTAAGGGAGCTCGAGGCGCAGATACTTCACTGGAAGCAAATAGGCGTCATCAAGGAGACCACACCTACGGGTGCCAAACCCACGGCCGGTAGCTCTGCCGCACCCGCCACGGCCAAGCCCGCAGCTGGAGCCACCGCTACAGCACCTGCGTCCTCCGTTGCCTCCACCTCCGCAGCAGCAGCAACTGGCGCCAAGGCACTTCCCCGGAAGCCATCGCTGAACGTCGCAGGTCAACCAGCACAAGCTGCCGGGGCCGGACGCGGAAGAGGAGGAGCCGCGCGTGGTGTGGTTCGCGGTGCTGCACAAGGTCTCTCGATTAGAGGAACAGCGGCAGGTCGCGGTGCACCGGCTCAGCTACCCACGGGGACTGCAGCTGAGAGCAGTGGCGGCGTAGCCATTATGGGGGCAGCCAACAAACGTGCTCGGGAGGAAGGCGACGTGTCGTCAGGGGAAGATTCTCTGGCGAAACGACTCAAGCCTGCTGACGGCGGCAGCAAACCCATAACGTTACGCCGCGATCGTGTGCCTCCACCCTCATAGTACTCTGCGGACAATCAGTTGCCTATCTGCCTTGTAGCATTGCATTTCTGTCAACCCATCGCATCTTGTTAAGTTATACACTTGTATCAGTTGGAACTCAGTGTCGCGCATTCAATCATCGCATTGCAGTAGTGAAAGGGGTCGGACGTGCACCTGAAACTTGATCGATGATCTCTCACAGGGCTTTCATGCAAAAGTTCTTGCTCTCGAATCAGTCGGTTCTGTTTGTTTTGTTTCGAGTCTCTGGTCATACTGAGTACTCTGCGATTGCTGGCCCCAACATAGCCCTGAAGTTTTCTGTCGCAAAGTATGTAGTAACTTCGGCGCAGCACGGTCGCTCTCATCTGGCACTTAGCCGACAACGCTTTCAGGAACCCTCTAGCGGTAGTCACTAGTCGCATTTGGAGCATAATAGAAGTTGCTTTCAACCCGCCGTCAGCCCGGTAACCAGAGTGTCGGACCGACCTTGGAATGTTGTGCAAGTCGTCCTATTAATCTGCTGTCCAGCACTGATCGACGAATGCTGCTGTATGGATATTGATTAATGTAAATCGACTGATACCTTTTGATAGCGGTATACCAAAACAAATTTGTGCGACATGGGGACAGTTCATGAACAAAAGCACGTCGTGGTGCCGGGCACCAGGGACTTAGCCTGACGCTTGATGGGGACCTGCAGTGCACGCATCACTAGCCAGTGGCAGTTGACACTGAGTCCATCTGCAAGTGTTGCCCCGCTCTTGCACACTGGAGAGCAAATTGTGGTAGGCTTCGTGTGCACTGGCCTCCTTCGCTCCATCCCTGGTCTTGGCCATGCCGCGTCCGAATTCGACGCCATTGACTGTCAATTCGTCCATTGCTGTGAGTTTTCAATCCTCGCATACGGATTGTAATAGGCTACTCGCTGATGGCAATCGCAACCCAAGGACCCTGGGTCCTGTGCAAGGATTCCAACTGCCAACGGACTCGAGTTTTGATTCCATTTGCGTACAGTCTTTTGTTCAGCTCATGCCTCCAGCCTGCGCAAATGGGGGTCAGTGTATTGCTGGCCTCGGAGCATGACATGACGCACTTTGGACGGCGATGTTATGATTCGCAGCCGGGGCTGCACTGATCGGCGGTGTAGCGTCTCCAGCGTTTGCGTGATTGGAAGCACCCCTCATCTTGCGCCTATAGAGTATGATGGTGTGAGAGATGCATTGTATGCAACGATAACGAACACACATCATGTCAAGGTGCTGGTCGACTGCGTGCGCCTCGATTGCTGTACCTGATGTCCAAAACACATTAATACAATTTGAAAAGTCGCCTTAGCAGAAGATCCATCATACGGCTATAGATCGCAGCTGTGCTTTCGATATCTTGAGAGGGGCTGTGGTGCGCAGCTCTACCTTCGTCATCCGTCGAGACGTCGTAGCCCACGATTGGTTGAGCTATATTTCTGTTAGGCCTATCATATAAAGGTTGGTTCAATGTGCGTGGAGTATGAGATGCCACCTTGAATGAATGGACATGCAGTGTGTAAATACCAGACACGACCGAGGCGCCATCAACGCGCTCTGTCCCAGTGCCGTCGTTCGCGATATACTCCCGCTGCCTCTGTCGTTCGCGGCGTTCAGCTGCCTGTCGTGATACGTGAACGATTACATCGGTCAGACTTATCTATGCAGACCACGTACCGAGACCTCAGCTAATAGAAATCGCACTTTTCGGCGAAGGCTGTACAACCGGCAGGACAAGCCACAGAAGATCGCCTTCAGCTCCGAGGTGAGTGAAGTCAGACCATTGACTTCGCTGCGCAGAATGCGAATGCACGCCTTATGTCTGCCGATGATCTGAATGCGCCGTTTGGCACGACGCAGATAAGCTACTCACTGGTCAAGCCCCGCTCGCGCCCCGTCCCAGCCAGTAGGAAAGCCATCATCAGGGATACCATCCGTTTGCATATCGACCAACACGGTGTCGAGCACCGCGAGGCTCTCCTCGAGAGTCCTCAACACACGGCGGGGGCGAATCTGCATGAAGAGAAAACATTGAAGCGTGAGTCCCAGAATGCTTGTGATGGCCCCCTCGATATTGAAGTTTAGATGGGCCATGTACGGGAGGGCGTGTGCCCAGTCGTCGGCGAGGATTCAGGATCGGGACGAGAGGCGGGAGCGTCCCGTGCCGCACTACAGCAATATCGTGCCTCAAAGCCCCATGCCTTGCATGATCAGTAGTTGACTCGCGTCCTAGGGTATCCCATAGGTTCTTCGTATTGAGTAAATGACACAGCCTCAAACCTTATCACATTCCGTAATTGCTAGCATGCGCTGGGGCGGCGGATTTCACGGTCACAGACCGCGCTGGCACTGCCTCCCTATTGTGTTTGTTACCTATATAGCGCAGCTATTAGTGTTCATGATATGAGTACTGTATGCGATCTTTAGGAGGTTCACCTACCGATCATGCGGCGCGGGCGCACGTTTGGATGGGCACAAACAGGCTAGCAGGATCGCATCGTCAACGTTACACAGTTACACTCCCAATGCTCCTTGTCGATATTCCCAGACAGCAGGAACTCCCAGTCGTGTCCAAGTCAAGAGACTTCTAGCACGTACATGTTCGGTACCCCGTTCGAACTTCGCACGCATGTCAATCAAACCCGGGATTACCCGGTGGCCAAAGTAGGCGCCAACGTCCGATACGCCAGTTCGGCCTGGAAAGTAAGTACTGTATTACTGTTGTGGAAAGTCTTTTTTCTAATTATCAGAGTTTGAAGCTTGAAAGCTTGGATCTGAGTGAAATAGGCTTGTCTGCCGGGTTCGTCGTTCGGCTTTTGCGCATCTGGACTACTGCTGGTCTTCAGTCACTGTATCGCTCAACCCGAGCAATGTACAGGTTGTTACGATCAAGACGCGCGGGCACGGATCCATTGGCTGCACAAGCTTGCAGGTTCATCGGTTCATCAGGCAGCCCTATGAATGACGTCAGTGACCCTGAGTTGAGCGTTGTTGTCTAACGAACTTGAAGACAGGCGGGTAGAACGAACAGATTCCGTCATCGACAGTATCCGAAAGGGAATGGACATGAGCGGAAGACAGTTTGCGACGTACATCCGAGTCGACATTGAACTGAGCGACGCAACCACAAAAGCGACATGATAGCAGCCAAGCAAATAGATGTGGAATAACCCTCCTACTCCGGCGGACCAGCAGGGTGTTCGATTGCATGCATGATGTTTCATGATTGAGCTTTCTCGTCAGATGCCAGCGGGGGTACACTTGAACATGAGGTTTCAGATGGGCCAGGTTATAACAGACAAAGAGATCGTGTACTCACCGGGGACACCCGAGGTCGTCACCGTCCTCGCCGACCACACCCATCAGACCAGTGGAGCCCCACAGGGCCCACTCGAGGCTGAGTTCATCCCTGTAGGCACCCTCGCCGAAGAGATGCACCTGGTCCCAGAACGCGTTCATCTGATACGTGCGTATCGTCAACGCCTCCATCGCCGTGTGCTCCCAGTACTCCGGATACCATCCCGCGTGTTCCCAGTCGAGGATCGCGGCGAGACGGCCGTCCTTCACCAGGATATTGTTGTGGTGAAGATCGGCGTGGGTGAAATAGATGCGATGTGTCTTCGCGAACACGGGCTCCGCCAGGCCGCGCAAGCCCGGTAAGCGATACTTGAAGAGGTTGCTGACTTTGCGGAACAGCGCCTCTTTGAACTGGGTCTGGTCCGCGAACGGGCCCATGAAGTACTTCTCCCCTGCACGGTTGACGAAGAGCGGAAGGTAGTCGAGCCCACTGACAGCCTGTGAGGAAGGCGCGAGGGCTCTGAGTTCGTTAAGTGCACGACGAAGATCCATTACGAGCGGGTCGTCGTCAGACATATCCACAGTCGGCCTAGGCATCTTCTCCAGTTCCGCTGCGATGCCCATTATTGGGTCGAGGTCATTGGATTCCATGCATGCTTCCAATCGCGCGATGAGTGCTGCTGCCTCGGGCACGCGTCGTATTCGCGGGATTACCCACTCCCATAAGGAATCCCCTTCTATCTCGTTCATAAGAATGATACCCCCTGGTTGTGAGTCAGCCGCGGGAAACTCGATGACATCGAGGATTCGGGGCACGGGAATATTGGTTCGGGTAGCCACAAATTGGGTGTTATTGGCCTCAAAATGAGGGTCCTCGTCCTTCTCTTTGAGTATCAAGCCAAAGGGCAGATGCGTAATCGAGGAGAACGGCTGTCGGTGGCTGTAGCTTGCAAGCCTACGATAGCAGGAGAGTCTGAATGACGAAGGAAGTAGACGCCATATTGACCATGGCAACTCAAAGCGCAGGATGTCCGTTACAGCGCGGGCCAGTTGTGCGAGGAGTCCAGTCCATAGAGCTCGAGGGACATGTGAGACGATTCAACACGGCAGAGGTGAGAAGCCTGCACGTACCATTCACGGGGAGTCCAATGTGAGACGCCTGCTTCGGTTCCATGCGATTTCAAGTTGCACAATAATGGGTGCGATGAAGCTCGCTTCGTTGAGCTCAACAATCAACCACCGTATCAGAACCCTACGAGGTGGCAGAGGATTCAGACCAAACGTAGGTGGACGGCAGTGGCCACTGACCGTGACAGCTATCAGCTGCAGTACGATTCGACGAACACGGGGCCGCTGAAACGCCCTGCGGCTGCCGCATTTGTCGGCCAAAGCCGACGCGGAGGCATCGACAATCTGATCGATCTCGATCACAACTACAACTTGAACGAGCATGCCGTCCGACCCGACCGAGCAACGCAGAGGTTCCTTCTTCAAGTTGGCGTATGTATGTGGTTTGTCTCATTAACGCACGCATGGTACGTCGAGAGACTTACTTCCCTGATGGGCCTGTCCAATGTCGCGCCGCTAATCTGTGTCTGTCGCACATGACTCAGCTCAGCAGATCACGAACGACGTAGAAGTCGTGCACGAAGACATTTTTCTCCGTATCTGGGTTTTCCCATCGATTACTGCCCTCGCTTCCCGCGCATCACGAGTGCCTAGTGCTGGAGTACTTATAGTGCATGCATAGGAGTCAACCCAGAAGCTACACGTCCCTCACCTGCACACGAGACTTGCAGCAGCTGATTAACGTAAACCTGGCTTGCAGCTCCCAAGACTAGAACTCACGGGTGTGGGCGTAGTTCCAGCATTATCCAGCTTCAAGTTATTTCTACTGTCACGATGTCGCTGACTCGGTATGCCCTAACATCCCTTACATTCGGTTCATGCGCTCATGTCGTCACCCTCTAGGGAATCTCTACACGTTCCTGGTAACATTCTAGGTGCATTGTGTAAACCAGTGGCCCTGTGGGCGCATTCCATTGGATAATATACATCTGCATAGTCAGGCGATCTCATTGCATGTGCAGGGACATATCGCTGACCTTCGGTTTATAGGATAGCACCAGCGGCGTCATGTTCCATGCTACTAGACCGGACGAGCAGGATCCAGATCGCTGGGAATTCCACACCGGACATTGGAAAGCCTTTGAATCTAGGACTTGCCTGACCGTCGCCCTCATCGGGCATGTAGCCGATCGCGAGACGCATAATCCTCTCCGAGTCGCTGAAACAATGCACGAATGCCTGGAGCCTATACCTATGGCCGTGCCTCCTGAGGACAGGGCGGGAGAGTGCAAGTTCACTTGCAGGGTATGGTTTCGTGCAGCTCTGCGCCGGCTGATGGCGCACCATGCATTTCAAGTGATAATGGGACCCGAGGAAATCATGGAAAGTATGAGGAACAGGACGACTGCCGTGCAGTTCATGGACAGCAAGCGCGTCACTCTTCCTCTTTGCTTACAACTCCAGCCTCGCTCTGCATACGCGGTGTAACCGTTTTCATACGCGACGTCTGTTTGTCACTGAACAAGGAGCCATAACTCTCTACATTAGCTACGATGGTCTGTCTTCCGCCGGCTATAGTAGTACTTAGCAAAATCTCGCTCGCAGGACTCAATTGCTGCCATTACTTACCCTTGATTTGGAGACCGATACCATCATGCCACTATTTTCCCTTTGAAATCACGTACTACACTCACTACTATGCTCATCATATTGGTCGACTCCGATTTCATTCGGAGACACTCGATTGTCTGCTATCTGATCATGGTGACCGCTCGGAACACACCAGTCCTCTCTCACTCAGCGCAGAGGCCTTCTGAGCGAAATATTCCATGAACCCAAAAACGCACACACACTGGCATGCTCGTGACACGCGAGCCAACCTAAGCCTTGCCCGAGTGGCACCTTGAACATCATATTGAGCTATTGTATCCGACTCGGAGTTCCCCAAGAGTTCTCAGTGGACGACATCCTGAAGTTGCTCTGCAGTACCGTACTATGTCGGTGGCACATGATCGGTAAGCACTGCAAGCCCTTAGGAGGCTCCCCATAGTCCATATACTGAAAGAGGTTTCAGTCAATCTCAGCACGTTCCGGGGACCATATTGGCTGCGCTCTGTAGAACAAGTGGCCCTGTAGGTGCATTTCACTGGTTGGTTTACTTGTGCCCGGTGAGCCTCCCCAGATGTGCGCGTACTGAGACGACGCGCTGATCGTCTTCTCGTCAGAACACAGAAAAGGGCGTCATCTTCCACGCCTCCAGGCCAGTGGATGGTGACCGCGATTCGGATCAGTGGCGATTCTTCACCTCCGAGTGGGATCCCTTCACCTCACAGAGTTGCCTGACCCTGGCTCTAATCGGACGCGTCGACAACTTCGATCCGGGGCACCCCTCTCGCTCGGTCGACGCAATGCGCGAATGCCTGCAAGCAATTCCGATGGTTATACCACCACAGGATACAGGACGCGAGCTGATGTTCACCTGCAGAGTGTGGTTCCGCGAGGCTCTGCGTCGGCTCAACGCACATGAGGCGTTCAGTATGATTATGGGGCCCGAGGAGATGATGGAAAGTCTGAGGAACAGGACCATCGCCGTACAGTACATGAACCCAGGAAAGCAGGCCCTCCCCGTCTTTTTGCAACTCCGGCCTCGCTCTGCATATCGCACAATGTAATCAATACACTCATCTTCATCGAAGACAGCCCAGACAGTCTGACGGTACGCACATTGCTGTATTGCTAACCAAGAGTTTGATTGAGACTAGCACGCAGGACATACGCCAGTCGGGTGTAGGGTCGCAGACCCAATGTCATCGCATTTCATCAGTCTGGAACGTATGGACATGAGCACGAAGAGCAAGTGATATGAGGAATAACTGAGCGTAGATCGTGAGGATGCGTTACAAGGATCATGAAGAGCAGGCTAGATAAACACGAAAGCAATGCGATAGCAACGACGACTGAAATGCAGCAATCCTGACGATTGGGGATGAGGTCCGACAGAGGGGAGAAAATACTGGGCAAGACGGAGACATGTAAGGCAGAGGAACATAGATCATGGCATGACTACTCTGGACTTGGTGGACATAGGTTTGCCTGAGACGATCGCCTTGAATGCCTTGCGAACGATCGCAACAGTGTTCTTGCTTTGATCGAAGGGGTCGGGACTGCGATCGTGAGCGCCGGCGGCACGCATGACTACGCCGAACTCGTCAATAGACGCAGCCCTACGGAGGTCATCGCTGGATACCGGCGGCGGCATCGGCCTTCTGGTAGAGCGGAAGAAATGTTGGTTACGCTTTGCGTGCGTCGCCATATGGACAGGTATGTTCGAGACGGGCACCGCGGCGGTTTGGGATTGATAGCCCTTGCCCACCCGCTTCACACCAGCAGTCGACATCAGGAAGCTATTGCTGGGGTCAATACTTGTAGAACAGTAGACGGAATTCAGACTCACCGATCATAGATGTCGTCCAAGTGCTTTCGCCCGGGCGTATCAAGAGGCGCGTCTATCTGCACGCTTTGACGCCGAGGCGGGTAAGGTTCAACATGGAAGGGCGACGCAGTCAGCTCGTCATGCGATCGATCCTGCGCTGCCAACACTTCCTGCGGTCCAGTACTAGGGGACGGTGAAATAAATATACTTCTGTCAACCATCGCGGAAAGCCGCTGGGGAGGGGCAGGCGTCGCAACTGTTGAATGAGGTGAGCATGAGATGAGCCGTACACAGATGCAGTCGCTGTACTTACGCTTCTGCAGTTCGAATTCCAGCTTCGTGACGGGCGTAATGGGTCGTATCAAATCGTTCTGAGAACGCGACTTCTCGCGGCGTTTCGACGGCGACGTGTCGATCTCCAAGCTCGGTTTCTTACGAGCGGGTTCCGGCGAGCGAGTCACAACCGTAGCACGACGCCGCCGAGAGGGTGTCTCAGGTACAACGAGACTCTGGTTATTGCTAAGAATACTAGGCTGCTCCGAGGGGATCGTCGGTAGGGTATCCTCATTGATGTTGTTCGGGCTCTTCGGTTCCTCCTTCTTGTCTGCGAAGAAGCTGGAGCCCTGAGACCTGTCAAAGGACTGTGCAGTCTGGTCCAGGAAACCAGACTCGTATTCGTCCGTGAATATCTGGTTAGCGGCCAGAATCTTGCGAGGTATGCGTCCAGCAGATCGCTGGCTACGGGAGAGCGAAGTACGGCGAGAGACTGGGGCGAGAGGGAGCGCAGGCAGAGGGCCGCTCGTAGACGACTCTGCAAAGGTCTGGCGCGCATCCTCAACAACTCCTATAATACATGAGGACAGGAACACATGACAGAATGTAGTTTGCGACATACTCTCAACATTGCGAACCCAGATCGTCATACGATCCAGCTTGTTGGCAGCAGCCAGCTCCTCGTTCCGGACAGCATGCCGCACAACGGGCAGCGATGACTTGGCTGCGTCGTTTAACTCTATCAGCGACTTGAGTGCCCATCTGTAGCCGCCATGGAGTGTGACTAACCTCTGTGAACTAGATCATCATCCTCCCAGGACTCGCGTTCGCTAACGCTCATCCGGGAAATGTCATCCTCGTCGTCAATTAGCAGCTGGAGGGCAGGTGTCGATCGACCCAACGCCATGGTCGATGACTTGTAGAGCCTCATCGTCTTATCTGTCGTGCCGTAAGCATTGTATGGTGATCAATCGCCAAACTGTGACTGACCGATCGACATCCTCAAGCCATGCTTGAAAAGGCTGATGCCAGACTCGTTCCCGATGCCAGGATATTCGCCCTGAGGCGACATAGGAGGCTCTGACTCTTCTGATGCAGTTGCATCAGTAAAGATGTCGTCAACAGTGAACAATATACTCACCCTCCTTCAACGGACTGAGTGGGGTGGGCGGGAGACTGTCAGGCGGACTTATCGACGTTCCGCGCAAGAGATTGAGCCTAGGAAGATTATGCCCTCGGTCTCTCTGCTGGCCTCTGCCCCTCTCCCGTCCGTTGGCCTTGTCTCTTGCGAGATCCAGCTCACGCTGGCGCTCAGCCTCAAGGTGTGCCTGATGCTGCTCCTCCTGCGCCTTGAGCCGTTCCTCGCTAGTGGCCTTCTCCAGCTCCCGCTCTTCCTTCTGCGCCTCCTCCTCGACTTCCTCCTCGATCTCTTCCTCCTCGCGCGTCTGTCGCTCCCGCTCCTCGTCAACCTCATTCACCCTCTCCTCCAGCAGCTCCATCTCCCTCAAACGTTCCCTCTCCCTCTCCCACGCCTTCATCCTGTCCCTCACTGAATTCGAGTGCGACTCGGGACTCTTCGCAGGGCGCTTCGGTGTCACGATCTCCGCAGCGTTCTCTGCGTTGCGGTTCACAGCAGTGACGTCCTTGAAGACGCGACTACGCCGTGCCTCTTTCTCCCTCTGCTTCGCGAGGGGGGCCGATGCAGCGTTCTCCTTGCCAGAGGGTGACAGAGGCAACGAGGCAACGACCGGCGAGGTAGGCGGAGTAGGACCGCGGGGACCCAGAGGCTTGCGCGTCGTCCGCGCAGACTTGCTATTCCCGCTCGGTGCAGGCGAGACGTTCTCCTTGCCAGCACCAAGCACTGAACTGAACACGGTGGGCGTCGCAGGCGGGGAGGCCTTGATCGGCGAGAGGGTATCCAGCAGAGATGGCATGACTCCGTTCTTGGCTTGATTGACAACGCGGGCTACTAAGAGCAACGTCAGCTACGCCATAGACAGGTCACACGATCGTACCTTCTGATACCAGGAGCTTGGGCTGCGACTGCGTACGTGCATGACGCGATCTGCTCGCCCGACGCTCCGGCTTTGCCTCCTCTGATTCTTGAGCGCCCACATGCCCTCTCTCAGCTGCACCGTTCTCCTTGTCGGCATCACGCTTCTTGGCGCGTTCACGCCTGTGTTTCTCCTTCTCCCTCTCCTTCTCACTTTCTCGGTCTTTCTCCTTGATATTCTCGGCTACAGATCGTGGGGACCAGGTAGAGATGATGTCCGAGAATTTGAAGACGTCCTTCTCGAGGCCAAGGGACAACGATGGCGCATGCGAGACACTGGCCCCTTTGCCTGCAACATACGTGAGCGACGATACGAAGCCCTGCCACGCAGACTCACGATGTGATGGAGGGGGTGCTTCCTTGTGCACCCAGTACTCATCTTCCATGGCCTGACTAGCGGTGCATCTCAGATCAGCATTAGGAAGGACCATCCTTCGCAGGAGCTTCTCGAGACCCCTCGACATCTTCCACGTGCCCACCCATTTGCCACGGAGCTGCTCGGCATATCAGCGCCAGCTCAACGCGCGCAGCAGTAGCCAAAACTTACCGTGCGGTTCCAGTACCTCTCGAGATCCTCCTTTGTCGTGAAATGCTCACCCTCCGAGTACTCGAATGGCGTGCGACCCATGAGGATCTCGAAAATGGTCACGCCGAGCGCCCACACGTCCGATTTACGCGTGTCGTGTGGCATCCCGCGCGCGCGCTCAGGTGAGAGATACTAAGGAACTCGTCAGCGTGAGCGACAAATGAACACGCTAAGACGCACCTCTGGTGTACCATACGAGAGATTGCTGTGGAACGCCTTACTGGATTCAATGTCGTACCTTTCCGCGAAGCCGAAATCGACGAGCACTGGGACGTGCTCTTCCGACATGAGAATGTTGGCAGGTCTAAATGGCCAGGATGTGAGCCGATCACTAAGACTCAATGATAGACAATCACCCACTTGATGTCATTGTGGACGACGCCGCGCTTGTGCAAAAATTCCACGCCCGACAATAGCGAGCGGAACCACGGTTTCGAGTGCTTTTCCGGTACTTCCACGGGAACCAGACGGGGATGATAGGCCCTATCACGCTGCGTCAGCGAGGCTTCTTGTCAGTCGGCATAACAGCCGACACCGTCACTATTCATGATACCAGCTGGGCATTCAACACTAGACCTCATCTCGACGCGACTGAGTATGGGCCGACACTGTTGGCAGCAACAGAGCATCGTCCCCACATCAGTCTCAGAGATGAGACCTAATTTTGCAGATATAGCTGGGTTACAGTCATGGCCACAACGCGCATTGTCAGGCAGGTGCAGCGCACTTGCCCAATATTGCTTTATCCCGCAAGCGTGGTGATGCAGCCGGGTTCAGCATCCACGCCCGCATAACTGGCCCGCGACTATACAAGCGTAGCCCACTCCAGTATTGACATCTCGCGAATCACACTGCTGTGACCCAAGACGAGCATATCATTGATGCGACAGCGGCGCACGTCAACGACGTGTTTCTTCTGAGCTTGACGCAGACTGTCTGGCTAGGTGTGACGGGAATAGAGGGGCTCACATTGTGATCAATGCATATGAAGGTGTGATGATGAAGGAATAGAAGGGGATGATCGACGGGTGAGGTTGGTGTTTGAGTGATCTGACGACTTTCATTTCGTTCCATCTTGAATCAACGTCGGTGAGCGACAGAACACGCAAGACATGAGAATCACGTACAGCGACCGAACACGCGCAGCTGTGGTAGACGTCTTTGAGCGATGAACGAGTTTGACAGCGATTCTGGTGTCTCGCAGCGAGTCAGGGTTGTCCAGAGAAGGAGAGGCAGGATCGGGTTTAGGACGGCATAGCCAGACGCTTCCCCAATTACCGAACCCGATCTGTAAGAAGGAACAGCTGTAAGCACGACTGTCTCCGCTGCCCGCCCAAACATCGTACCTCTTCAATGAACTGGAGTCTGTCGGCCAACACCTGGTCGGAAATGGAGAAGATGTCAGTAGCTTCTTGCGGGGGTTGCGGAGGCGGAAGCATTGCGATAAAAGACAGCTAGGATTACAGAGCACGACAACAGAGGTGGGAGAGCAGGAGAACGCGACGGCGAGGAACGACCGAGGGCAATGACATGCGGAACAGGTTCAACTAGAAGCCAAGTCCAGGTTGAACTTGCTTCTGATCGTGAGAATGATGCACGCGGCGTTCAGCCACAAACGCGTCGCGACGCGTCTCAGTCCAACACGTGCCACTTGTGCGCTCCGTGTCTGACGAGTGGCAATGGATGTTCTGATACATCTTCAGTCTTGACATACTACCGCAAATGCTTTCCTGCAGGATCGACCATAGACCCACCAAACTGGATGATAGTGCAAAAGTGTCGCGGAAGCAAACTCTTGTGCTTAATGTCAGGAACAACGCCACCGTTCGGCCGGCGGCACGGGCAGGGCCCTGATGAAATCATCAATTAACGAATTCGCCAAGGCTAAGATCGTCCGAACCCACTCGAAAACTCGCGGTTCCTGTGACGGTACCAGTGGTGTTCACGCTCGGAAAGAAGACAGCGACTCAAGACCGTTCTGGCTCCCGAGTGCCATCGTGTAGCGGAAGACGATGACACTCAGGCTGAGGCTATCCACAGTCAAGCGAAACATAGCGTGCAATACGCGCGGTTGGGTTCCATCAGGGTGCTTAAGCCGTATGTAGCTAGCCGCTTTCTACAGTCGGTGGGGAGCTAGGGTTTTAATTTGTTTACGGCTTCAAGACATCTTGAAACGAGCTGTATCTTATGGCATTTGCAATGCCATCTATGTAAATGCGCGCTGGCAGGCGCCGACCAACCTTCGTCCACCATGACGCAGGCGGCAGGGGGTCCATCTATTGAATGACAGGACCCCGGAGGGTGGACTCTGCATACAGAATGCTATAATCAACTCGGACCGGGCGTGTGGACAATTCCACGACCATCGACTTGGAGGCTGGATATGTTCAAGTAGCACCTCCTGCTATTGATACTACACTGCGGCGGCCGACCCAAGTATGCGGTACGCTTACGACCTACTCGACACTAATGAGCCAAACGACTGGTAAGTTATCAGTAAATGACCGTGATGAAATATGTACAGTAGCCTGTGATCCATGTGTCACCACATGGTGGCACCATATCCTTTGTTCTCAATTGGACCAGCAGCAACAGCCAGGAGACTGATGTAGTATCGCGACGGTGGCCAGCGGAGCTGAAGAGAAGATCAACGGTGTTAGCACCTCGCTGGTTAACGCGCTGAGTTCTCTCTGTCCATGCATGTCATCTGAATCCTTATGCAAGCTCCGGACGCTCAATTTGTCCTCCCGAAGCGGAACCAACCTTTCCTGTCGAAGTCTTGCCAGTGGGAACCGGGCGGTCCCATGGGAAGCCCTCGGGCTGTGTTCGTTTGCCATCTCCGAGTAGTCACGGAGGATTCAGTGGTGGCAACTCGGACACGCTTCAGGCCGTGTAGGAAACAAGGAAGGTCGGTCACCGCCTTACGGCTATAAACTCGTCAGCGTTCACATGAGAAGGGAGAGAAGAAACATGGCGTACATTAGTAGAAAGTTGACTAATCGATGGTCGGCCAGTGATATTCAGCCAAGCAGTGCGAGCGCTACGGTATACTTGGGAAAAGTTGCTTCGTTGACTGAATCCTATTATACGGCGAAGCTTCTCCCATCATGTCATTCTAGGCCATGGTGACAAATCTAGTAACAAGCGTTTGAAATTTAACAAGAATCAGGGACACCCTCACCGGTATGGGTCAAGAACATCGTCACGGTGAGACATAGTGCGACTGCACGTCTTATTGCCTAGGACATTGGAGGGATACTTCTCGACGCTGGCATTCGAACACTGGCATTTTTCGACTCGGAGTTCTTGGTCCATCATACAAATACATAAACTGCGCGAAACGGGATGGACCAGCCTTCGACGCCTTCCCTAGTACGCAAGCACATATGGGCAGTGATTATCAGCGCAATGTCCACGCAACCACTGCCATGAAGGACCATACTTACCTCAAGCCCCACACTCATTGTTCTTGTTCGCCAGGTGACGCTTGAGCGCATCCGGTCGGGAGAACATCTGTTGGCAATTCGGACATTGGCAAGCAAACATCCTCAGATGCACGTTGCATATGTGCTTATGCAACTGAGCCGCCGAGAGCCCTTCTCCGCACGCATGCCCTGTGTTCAAGCGCCACTCGCAGTTGGTGCGCTGTCCCTCGAGGTGCTCGGGGTGAAACTCGCTAATATGGTCTTGTACCGTTCGCGGGGATGCATCCGTAATCGCACGGTCGCACAACACCGGCGGATGCGAGTTGCGAGCTAGGAGTTGACAGATGGTAACGCCGTTCTGGCCAGCAGGTGCGGGAGGGGGCGCAGCCATAACACTGAGAGCAATATCAGCACCCATTGGGTCTCAATGAATGATAGCCTGTACGGACCACTGTTGAGAGCGGTGATGGTGCGCTGGGGCCCCGGGAAACAAGTTGCCTGCCATTTATACTCAGGTCGGTGGTTGTTATCGGCTGCCACGAGACACTAGCGAGGAGCGCGCTTTCCACCCGCGTTGAGCTACACGCCGTGCCATACATCTAGGCAACGTGAGGTTCGGGAGAAATATGGCTTTTCTAAGTGAATCGATGAGCCGTTTACGTCAAAGTATACATTGGTGTGCCAGCGCCTTGAGCTCCCTGCGCCCGGGCTGATGCAGATGCATAATGCATGATGGCTTGACACTCTGCTCCAACGGTGACGAACACCCTGAGTCTATTGAGGATCGGACCTGCACAATGTCGCGTCCATCGCATCAACGATTCAACCGTATGACTTGAAGGTTCACGAAATACTTGACTTACAGAAGTCGGCCGCATGTGTGCCACCAGCGTTGAGTTTCGTTCCACGGAAATCTCTCATGGCTGTCACCGTGCGCATCCTCTGTACCACCACGAGGGCGGGCAACTTCTCGCTGACAAATGAGAGCCTGCAATTGCTTCGACGATTCACGAGAGTACTGTCAAGTGATGCTAGACGTAGACAAATAAACAGTCCACCGGCACCGTTGTCGCAGGTCTGCACGGACTCCACACTGCAGGAAAGTCATCTGAGCGAGTAGGCCAAGTACGCTATCTCACCTGCTGCGATCGAAATGATGGAGCCTCGCAGTGTTCCAAGGGCACATCCGCCACGCATGGTGCTAAAAGGGAAGGGAAGTTGAAGTGCAAGGGGACCCTCAGAGTGAGAGAATGCGGGGCCGTCGTCGCTGACACTGAGCAGGCTACTTGAACCATTCTCAAAAGACTCGAAGCGCCTTCCATGCCTCTGTGTGGCACACGGACATGACAGGTATGTCCAGCAAGGAATGGATGCGGCTCGCAGTGGCTGAGCGCATTGCACATGCGACTAGTTGCCGCACAACCCACGCCCAATCTATCACTGCCTTCGCAGCATGCCTTGTAGGACATGGAATCATGAGCTACTATCAAGCCTTAGAGGAAGAATGTCTGTAGCTCGGGTCCTGCTCCTAGGCAACGCTCGCGCGTGGAGGGACCCGGCATGCGTCAGCTGCTACTCTTCCAACTTGAAGGTAGTGAAGGTGGTGTATGAAAGCTTGGAATTCCCAATTCTCTGCTCAGCTCGAGTAGCCACGACGGCGTGCCGAGCGCCGCATGTTCACATGCGTAGGTGCGGCCGCCCCACGTTTCTCGACGAAGGGTGGTATTCTATTCCATCAGCAGCAGCACTGGCACAGGTGGACAAAGGGACACTATCCGAGCACATTCGCACCCCGAATACATGATCCATGCCAGTGCAATTGTCTGTCTTCGTGAAGACGTGCGCGCAGGGTGTGACGATAAGACCAGCATCGTCTGCACGGTTCATAGCGTTCCGTAGAGAAGGCCGTCGCCCACCGGGCGAACACCATGAGTCGAGGTACAGCACGGCCTTGCCTGCTTGAAAAGAAAAAGTGGAGGACCGCTGATCACCCTAATATCGACCCTGCTTTCTGGTTCAGCCGTGGGGAAATAGACCACAGCAGCGTCAGCGGGGGCAGTCACCGCTGCCATGATCATTCCCCCTCGCCTGCCCCTGCCCCAGCCCCAGCCGCTGCCCCTCCGGTTCCTCTCATCGGATGCAAAAAGACAAAAAAAGGTGGACTCACCCTTACTGCCGACCATTTACTGTCTGCCATAGCATTTGGCTGCTCGCTGAACCGACTCTCGTATGGCGCGGTGGCGCGATCGATAACATGGGCGTCCTACGCACGTATCCGTCGTCGGATGCCTGATGTCGAGGTGGCGAGGAGACAACCTCCCTCGATCGCGACACGCTGGGACACGAGCTGCGGCGGTAGTATGGGCTTTTCCAGCATAACAAGCGGGCTAGGGCCGGGTCCTCGAGGGGACAAAGTCGGGAGGTCCTCAAGCGAAGGCAACCACTGTGAGTACCGCTCGGCTACATCGTCAGTGCGCAGAGGGACATGGAGGTCACGGTGCTCGTCAGTTCTGCTCTGAGAGCGAGCCGTCTCGCTTCTCGCTTCACTGAGATGGTCGGCCGCACCGAGTCGGGTTCCCATGTAGACGTCAAATAGTCAGGAGCACGACAGGTATTTTGGATATTGACTACTCACAGTTCAATGCACATTGACCCGCATATCTTGTCCTCCTGGCACGCGGAACCTTGCCTTGGTTTTCTGGTGAGTCGTACTAGCAGAGACCTGCTAGAACATCATCACGCGTCTTCTGCATTTAAATGGGATTAACTTTGATACAATATTGTATTTTAGATCAACTTAAAGCCCATACACTTTTAATCCAATCCTATGCTTAGCCATGGCTTAGCCATTGGATTAGTCATATAGGATCAGTACAGCTTATCCTCAGGAGATTAAGTATGGCTTAGCCATACCCAATCCCAATCCAATCATGTAGCAATCCAGTTTTATCCCATGCTTAGCCATGGCTTAGCCATTGGATTAGCCAATGGCTAAGTCAAGTCTGGATTAGCCATGGCTTAGCTGTTACCAATCCCTTGGTAATCAATTTCTGAACCATGCTAAGCATAGTTTTTAGCCATACTTAATCTGAACTCAATCCTATAGTGGTCCAGTGCTTAGAGTTGCTTAGCCATCATTGACTTCTTCATATAGGATTAGCTGTACTAATCCTATATGGTTTAGCCATGGCTTAGCAATACTTGATCCATATCTAATCCATTCACAGTCTTGTACTTAGCCATCTTAAGACTTGACTTAGGCAATGGATTAGCAATGGCTTAGCTATACTTGAGCCACATCAGCAAATTGGGCAATTGCTGAGCATCTGACCAGCTGACAGCCTCATCTCAGAAGCTCAGTTCACTCAGGCTTACCAGTTGCTGTCAGAGACGAACAGTTGTCAGATAGGTGAAGTATTCTCTATTGAACAAACTTGACTACAGATGTCGTGCATATTTGTGTTGAATGTTCGAAACAACATAGGCAAAGCTCGTAATACACGGTAAACAATTGGGAAATGTCAGATTTCAGCAGCTCTACTCTTAGACTCGTAAGTTATAGCATAGCTTGTACAGTACTGATACGGTCACGCCGGCACTCATTCGTCGGCATACATCACTCACGCCCTCGATGGCAACACCACATCGCCCATCCAACACCATTATATCAGATCGTTAGCTACTCACATATGTAAGTAGATAGAGAAGCAGATACAACCCTCTCGCCGCCCGTTCGTCGGCCGGCGAGTCTGCACGCAGGGCTGATATGCTCACGGTTACCATGCGCATCGTGCCGGACGTCGTTGTGCCTTGTGCCCACCTACCCGTTCGCTTGTGTGCGTGCTGTCCGGACGTCGTCCGTGTTTGTACGCTGGGCATTCGCCCGGCGCGCTCGCAGTCGACGTGCACAGTGTGCTTCACGTCGCCGTGTCCTGTAGCTGCAGTTAGCTCGCTCACTCGCAGGTCTCTGCACTCACCCGTCTGCGCTCGCGCTCGCGTGTCCTCACCATCCGCTTGCCTTTCCCCGCCATCCACTCGCCGTCCGCACACCGGACGCACGCCTCCTGCCCATGTCCGCCCTCGTCACTGTTGCCGCGCCCACAGTGCATTCGTCGCCCGTGTTCACACGCAGTACCTTTGCCATGCACGCTTGGGGATGAGACTGTACGTAGGGGGCGCCGTGACCTTGGTCAGTAGAGTCTGGAGGGTCAGGCCCGAGGTCGAGCCAGAGCTCCTGCTGAAGGTTGTGACGGAAGAACTTCTGAGGTTCGCGAGGGCCGAGGTAGTTTGAAACGAGGACGTATCGGGCAATGGGGATGAAACGGGGATGTTGGGCATATGTGGATGGGAGGAGAAGGGTCAGCATCACTCAACAGAAGGAGAGACAGTATGGGGGATCCCGCACGGGTCTGCGCGGACGAGAGGGTCGACCGGTGAGAGGGTCAATAGACGAGCGGGTTAATAGATGAGAAGACGAGACGATCGACAAACGAGAAGGTCGACGAACGAGAGGGCGAGCGGGATGGCAGGCGGGAAGGACGGCAGGTGGGAGAAATGACGGGCGAGCGCGAGCGCGGGACGGCGGGCAAGACAGACAATGGGTCCGAGTCAGCGGTGCGGCGGCTGAGCGAGACAGCGGGCGAGTGAGTGGGTGGGAGAGCGAAGGAAACAAGAGGAGCGCAGACGAGAACGGGCGAGTGGGCGAACCAACAAGGCGGCGAGGGTGCGCGGGCGGGCTAGCGAGAGGACGACAGTGGGCAGACGAGCGTGCGGATGAGCGGGTGGGTGAGTGTGCAAGCGAGTAGGCAGATTGGCGAGCTAGCAAGAGGCCTAGGGCGGGCTGGCGAGCAGGCGGGCGAACGAGCAAGCAGGAATACGCAAGGGGGCGGGCGTCGCACTCACCTATACTATCTTCCGTGGCCCACCTCCTCCAGCGTTGTGTTGTCCTCGCGTCTCCATCGCAATTTGCGTGTGCTTTGACGCTACCGTAGTACCGACGCTAGTGTTGAACGTTGAACGTGATCCGAATCGTGGAGGAGGCAACTGAGGCAAGGAGGAGGCGACTCGCAAGAAGCGCTAAGCGCCTCAGCCACGACACGTCACGCGCGCCTCGCAGGACTTTCCTTCGAGTCCGCCTTCACTGCCATCCTCCAGTGTCCGTCCCATCCTCCCTGCCTGCTTCGCCCTCGCTAGCCCGCCGCCGACCTCTAATATATACAGGAGGGCCCGTCCGCAAGAGACAGCACGTGTCAACCGGACCACTGCACGGCCGAAGACCGAAGACCGCGCTGTACGCGACTGCAACGAGCCCCAGCGACGCGCTAAGAGCGTCGCTGGAGGCTCGCGAAGGGCTGACATGCAGGGAGAAATGCGGGTTGCGGCCAGCAGGGCCAGTCAGTCAGGTGAGTACGCCGCTTTCCACCTCGACTCCGAGAATGCCCACCAAGGACAAGTGGATGGAGTCGAACCCAACGGAGACAGCCCCGGCGCACGTTTGCCCAACGAGCACAAGCGCATACGGATACGACGCGCACTGGTATGACAAGAACAGCTCGTCGCACACCCGCTCGCCTTCCGTCTCGCTCACCCACTATTTCACTCGCCTGCTGTTTCATGCGCCCGCCGCTCTCCTCGCCTGTTGTCGAACCCGCTGTCGCTCTCCTCGCCCGCCGTCCTGCTCGCCTCGCCCGTCCTGCGCCCACTGTCTCGCGCTCCCTGTCGTCCCTCTCACTTGTGTCCCTCTCGCTGCCCTACCTACCCACCGTGTTGCTCACCCACCGTCCCGCTCGCCCGTACGAGCCCGCGCATGACCCTCCAGACCTGTTGACCCACACAGCACCCGTAGCCGCTGTGGCGGGTCTGTACCGGGGCGGGTATGGGCCCGGGTCGAGCCTGTATATAGCCGTGCTCGGCCCTAGCTGTCATGCGCAAGCTCAAGAAGGATATATCCTTCGAGCACGAGCGTGGCAAGGAGCATGGCCTGCCCACTACTAACATACTTACACCAGCCTGATGAGCCCGAGCCGAGCGAGTGCGAGCCCGCCCAGTGCCGCTCCGCGCAAGTCCGCCGAGTGATAATCCACAAGCGAGTGTGAGCTTATCAAGCCTGGTGCGTCGAGCCCGACAGATGGTCGACACGCACGTTTCTCATCCTGTGGATGCTGCGCCACCTTGGCATGCAACACTGGGACGAGGTGTATGGCCCGAAGTACGAGATGTCGACGAAGACGAAGTGTGAGTATATGTGAATCCTGACGGCGCGTGACCAGCTGACAACACAGGCCCACTGGTGTAAACCAACAGATATGCACCTGACGAGCCTCAGCATACTGCGCACGGACCCACCAGCATCGAAGACTTGGCTGTCTACGGATTCCGGATCACGAACCGACGTGCACTGGTACGACAGGGGCCAATTCGCGGTACATAACACGCCCAAGCCTGGTACGACAGAGCTCAATGAACAGCACTGCGACAAGCAACAGTCCACCAGGCACCCGGTGCGACGTGCAAGGGCCCGCCGAGCAACAGCCGAGCGTACCCCAGGTCGATGCGCATACGCCCGTGAAGGATGAGCATGGTGCACTCTAGCCCGAATGAGCAGGAGAGAGCCTGCCACGCGCACCCACTGGGTAGACGAGAGCTTGCACAATTCTACGGTACCCATATATTATGATTAGCTGGCGCTATTCTGTACAGTAGTAGTGATCAATAGCATAACATTGAGTCGATTTCTATGCCCTGGCTGATCTGGCTGACGAGCTGGGAGGTCTGACAGGCTGTCTGAACAGTCTGAGGATCCTGTCTGACGAGTTAGCATCGAAAAAATCCCAGGTCATGAGGGCTGAAAATCTGAAGCAATCTGAAGCAATCTGAAGGCTTCTGAAGGCTTCTGAACCCCCTGACAGGGCCGTCAGACAGATTTCATGTTTTCCTGATGCCATATTTGATCCATTCACAATCTTGTACTTAGCCATCTTAAGAGTTGACTTGGACATCCTTGATCTAGTTTCAATCCATTGTAATCCATTTGAATCAACCTAAGTATCTACTAATCGCTTTGTAATCTTGTCTTCAGCTGTACTTAGCCATGGCTTAGACAATACACTAACCAGTAGATTACCCTAAGTAAACATGCCTAAGTCTATGCTAATCTGTTTGCTTGTATACATTAATCCGTTGTCCATAGTCAGCTAATCCAATGCAATCCATTCTTCCCTAAATATGCGCGGCACCTCGACATTGGCAGCCAATGCTGCTTTTCAGTGGCAGTACCTAGAAGGTATTGATGTCCAGAGGTTGCCGTGAACGTCGACGCATACAGGAAAAATAACCGCCCGAAGGTGCATTGCGTAGACCACGGTCACGAAGCGCCGTGGGCGGTCGCCGAGTGCATAGGGATACAACGGCGCCAGCACTAGACACGTCGAAGCACACAGGGCATTGAGGATGGGGTTCATGAGCTATAGATAGACCCTTACTCACCTGGACATAGCCCTTGCCCACGCCTACTCAACCCCATCCAACGACCTCTAACATCATATTCATCGCCACCCACCACCCCCTACCATCGCTCGCCGTCAATGTCTGACAAAGAGATCAGTTGGCTCAATGTACAACGCGCACAGCGATATGCGTGGAGCGCTTCGCGCGAAGGAACGTGTCGCGGCGATGACTGTAACCGAGATGTCGAGCAGGGCGAGGGGCAGGGTGCTGACGAAGCATACGTAGAATACACTCACCCTAGGCTCCCTCGCTATCGTCCGCGATCACTCTACTTCCTCATCCGTCTCTTACTCCTACTCCCTTTCCCACTCCCACTCCTTGGCCGGTTTCGGCTGGCGTAGATGTAGTCGACGACTGAAGAAGGCGATCATTAGCGTAGTGCTCGCGTCGACCATATGAACGTACATTCGAGTAGTCCCACTTCTCCGCAGGATCCCTTCGTGTAGTCGCAAAGGCGTTCGCACATTGTACACTCAACTTGTTGAACATGTCCGCCTTCTTCAGTGCGTACGCTCGCGCGCCCTCTGACAACGCAGCCCTCGCCGACATGTCTTCCCAAGCTTTAGACATATTCTTGAAACCGAGGATCGTCCGCTTGAACTCGGCATGGAGCTTGTTGATCTCCTCGGTCACTCGCTTCACCTCCGCCCGCGCCCGAAACCATTGTACTCGATCGACTAGCGAGCTGTTAGCACTACTGCATGCAATGAAACAACGAACAACTCGCCCTCCAGTTGCCATGCCTCCGCATCATCTTCGGTCGCCCACGGAGGGACAACCGTCCAGATCCATGCCCGCTCTTCGCGGCTGTCCCCTTGTTCTCGCGGTTTACGCCAATTCTTACTCTTGAGGTCTGTTACCAAGTTGATCGCCTGTAAGACGTCCTCAGCCTTGCCGTCGCTCAACGCGATGAGGCGGTCACGGTTGTAGTTGTACAAACCGGCTAGTACCCGCGTGCGTGCTGTCGCGTTTGTTACCTGCTTTTGCGACCGAGTGTTGTCCTTCTGCCCGCGCGCGTGCTTCTGTTTGTCCTCGAGAAACGCACCCTGATGGTTGATGGACTGCTTGACCGCAGCCAAGAGGTCGTACGCACGTCCATGTCGAATTCTTCGCTTGAAGACCGCCAGGGCCTCCAGGCCTAGCGTGCTGCGCTCAGAACTCGAGAAGTCGGATGGCAGGGCGAGAGGCTCGTCTTCAGGCCTACCGCTTACACCGTCGTCGTCGTCGTCGTCGTCGTCGTCGTCGTCGTCGTCGACGCCGTCCCCGTCGACGTCCGGAAAGTTGATGTGCGGCATCAGTGAGCTCTGGAGGTCCCGCCATTTCTCCAGTTCGCAACGCAATGCACGTCGCTCAGTACCCATTCCGGTCTGCCCTGATCCATCCTCCGCCAGTTCCGCATTGAGTTTCGTGGCCTTCTTGAGTTTGGCGCGCAGCTCGTATCTACATGGCGTCAGTCACGCTCCTTATTGGGAAGCACACTCCATATTGGGTGCAGGCGAACTTACTGCCGCTTCTCAAGGTCGAGAGCCTTGCTGAAGAAGTTGGTCGTGCCTTGAGGTACCTTGTCGGCCGCCGCGGCCGTAAATTTACCTTTGGGAGTGATCTCCATCTTCGCGAGGTCTTCGTACACCTTCCCTGCGCTTGGAACTGAACGAGCGTGAGCACGAAACCGTAGCTAATCAGGTACGGACGTGACCGTACCTTTACTTTCGTCGAGCATGTACACGCTTTGAAGAGGCTCCGTTTTTTTGCGCTTCTTGCTCTTGCTCGTACTCTTGCCCTTCTGCTTCGTCTTCGCCTTCTCCATCGATAATGCGACCGGTTGGGCGACCTCCAGCTTCATCCACTCCGCGACCTTGTTCCCCGCGAGTTCCGTGAGTGCGTTGTAGAGTGACGTCTTGTGGTCCTCTAACGCGAAAGCTTCGTTGAGTTTTCTCGCGAGGAATGAGGCTGCACAGGAGGTGTCAGTTGCTGACCAGTATGCAAGGCATCCACTTACCCGCCGTCTCCATTTTACACCAGTTCCAGTAGTTGTGGACCACGTTGAGGGCGTTGTGGCGGTGTCCAGCGCCCATCTCGCGAGTGCTGAGACCGACCTGGTTATGCTCCGCCCACGGGTGTTCGACACTCTCTCCATGCGAAAGACCGGCCCCCCACGAGTAGCACAGCGCGTACAAAATCTGGCATAGCTCCTTGTGCGCGAGCATGTGGAGCTTCGGTAAGAGCAGCTGCATGCGGTCGAGCAGCGGAACGAGGTGGGGGAACCGCTCGCCGAAGCGTTTCCGCAGGTTGACGCCGTATATACAAACAACATCGTAGGTGAAGATAAAATGGAGGAGCTCATCGAGCCCCTCCAGTGCGCCTGCGAGTGCGAAGTCCATATGTCCATAGCTACTTTATGGTCAAACACCACACTGGTATTCGATAAATGTATGGACGACGTACCGTTCGCCTTTCTGGAGGTCGACCATGGCCCCCTGCCGAAAGCAGCCATGCCGTATGCATATCACGGCTACGACGCCGCTGACCTCCAAGTTGCGGAACTTCCCTGGCCGTTGAGCGCGTCCAACCTTGAACCCGCTGCACGTCTCGGGCTAACACCATGTGAGTCCGCGAGGAAGGAAGCTAGACGGGTGTTCGTACTTACAGCCGGTTCTGACGCAATCTCGTCAAGGTAATTCTTCATCTTCTTGGGGTCGACGAAGTAACCCTTGCCTTCGCATAAACTGACGTCGTCCGGGTCGTCACGTTTGCACTTCTTCTGGAGGCCGTGGTTACCGTCGCCTCCGAGCTCGCACGCGTGTACATAGCTGTTGCGATGTAAGTCCTTGACCCGTGTACGAAATCGCCGACCATTTCACTTACGACAGATCCTTCGGCGTGTCTTTCCAGTTCACGGGCATGTTGAAGCCTGGCCACGGACATGCGAAACATGGTACCGTGATGGAGGCGCGTCGATTGGGTAGAGATAGCCCATGGTGCAGGCCAGCCCTTTTCTCCGCAACTAGGTGCTGCCATAGTCGTCCTATGAGATTAAGTTCACGATATCGGTTCTGCGAAACGGTCAGTAAATGATAGATCGGGACGTAAGGAGCTCACCTTTACAGGGCGAGTTCCCGAGTTGTCGGTGAGCCGACGCAGCGCCTCAAAATAGTCGTATGCTCCTTTCTTCGACGCCAGGAAATGGAGATCCCACTGTCTAAGGACGTCGAACGTGAACGCGCTCTCAGGGCGCTCCAACGTTGCCGGAAAGAGGCCAGCACGGAGGAGTTGTGATACCGTGTCGAGCTTGTGGGGACAATGACATTCGTGAAGTCGTACACGATGTATGCCGTTACTGTGGGTGATCGTGTACGTGATGGGGGTTGCGGTCGGTCGAAGATAACGACAGCGATCCCCATGGTGGCCCAGATAAACAACGAGACCGATATCGCTGAGATCCTGCTTCTCGAGAAAGCGGCCGGTCCACTTGTCTATCCAGTGGAAAGGGTTGCGGGCGTGCGAGGAGACGAGGCACGAGCAGCATTGCAGGGGCGCCTGCAGGCAGTCGCCGCAACGTACCGTAGCGGGAGCTTGCCCACAAGCACACTGCGCCCCAATCCCCACCGGTACCTCTCCGGCCAGAATGTCCTCGAGGATACTGGCGAAACGAGGCTTCCACTCGTCTAAAACTTTGGAAATGCCGTTCTGCGGAGGCGGAGTGAGTGGCGAACACACATTACATTGCCGACCGACGTACTTTCACCGTGCGAGGCTGCCCCACATTGGACGAACTCCCGGGTGTCGCGCTACTCGGCGGTGCATTTACAGACGCAGGCTTACTCGGCGCCTGTGGAGGGGGGCTTGCGAGGCGCGGTCGCTTCTGTGCAGGAGTCGCGTCTGCGCGGTGGGTGAGAGGTATTGAGTATTGTGCAGGACCGTCTCGGCCGGCAGAGATAGCTTGACTGACGGCGATAGCAGGAGGGAGGATGTCGTCGACGTGTGCAAGAGGACGTTTGAGTCGTCGACGCGATCCGCTCATGATACACCTTCCACGCGGAGGCAAGGAGACGAGTACAGTATTGAAGTTCAGTGGAGGATTCGTCGCATGGACTGTAGCATACAACGAGACGTCAGACTACCAACAGACTACTCTACTCCGTAGGCACTAAGTCGCGACAGACGCCGCGAGACCATAGATCCCATCTCAAGCAACACGATTCGACCCGGCAAATACATGTAGAGTACTAATTCTAGCCGCGGATATGCGACATGGCGCATCAGCGCGTCGGCCCGTTGCCACATCCGTTCGCCCGCGCGGTGGAAGTACAATACTCCCGGCAACGGCCTTGGCTTCATCGACGGCTGGTTCGGTGAAGTACAGCAATCGAGGTCGCTTGCTGGCTGGTCGTGAAACGATCTCCGTTAGGTGGATCTGCTACGTGCTTCGACTCGGCATGACGACTTACTGTTCAGCCCCCTGGAAATCTCCTACACTGTATTGGCGTCGGGCGATGTCCGGGTCGCCGCCCGTCTGCGAAGAGCGCGAGTGATGAGGTCTGTTGAATGTTTCATTGGTCAGCCGGCCGCATGACCAAACGTCGCTGCCATGTTACTTACGCATTGAAGCCGTTCCCGTAAGTTATGCCACCATTGAGGCGAGTGGATCGTTTTGTGTGGCAGCTAAGGCAGTCAGTAGTGAGCGATACGCTCTACCGTAGCATACCACAGTGGCCTCGTACCACAATGAGAGTTTAGAAGTCGGCCTCCAGAGTGAAGACGCGGCACCTCAACCGCAGGAGACCCCACGGGAGCGTGTCGTGCGGAGGCTGAGACAGCTGTAAAGCCATCTCGCTCACCCGCTTCTTGATGTCGTTCTTGCGGCGGCGCAGATTCCTCGAGCGGCGAGGAAGGTCGAGGGAGACGTTGGGAAGGTCGAGGGAGACGACAGCGACGAAGCTCGAAGGAGACCACGACGACGACGGTGATCAGTAGGATGAATCGGATTGGGAAGGATTGACTTAGACGCGGATTGGCCGCGAAGCGTGAGTCACAGACGTGACTCAAACTTCCTCACATGGTAATAGTCACACAGGTCTCACGTGTGTGACTAATCCGCGCGTTCATTCCCAACCGTTCTCTATTCACTCGCTAATCCGTCGTCCTCGTCGCCCGCGCCCTTCCTCAAGTCTCGACACCGTCAAGGCCCGCTTCCCCTTTCTTTGAGTGGCGCGATCCAAGGGTTTACACCCAAGGTCGACCCTCTTCAAACTGTGCGCGACAGGGTGTTTCTCCCTGTCGACCAGTTTGTTCGACCACTGGGCGCGCACCCATCGGCGACCGCTTCAAAGACGGTAACCCAGGATTAGAAGGATATACTCGTAAGGTAAGCTGGTGAACATCAGTCTCGTTGTACACGATCCGCTACAACTGTCGGTAGGGCTACGACTCAAGAGATAGCCCACGGCGCGCTGGACCTCTGGCGGTACGATCGTGATATCGTACTGTTCTCATACTCCCGTTTCAACGTGAGTCGCGTGGCCTACTTTGGCATGCCGATCTCAACCCGTTCATCCCGTAGAGATCCCTATACGAGCAGGTCAACGGCGCCTGCAGACTCAATCCCAATGAACCGGTGCGTTCTCGTAGCACTGACTTGTCACTCCACATTGCTGATATCTCCTCCACACAGTGAACCGTCACGCCGGCGAACGCTGACAGGCGATCACCCTGCGCCAATCGCGCAACAACGCTTGACCGATGCAACCCGGCGGCAAGAGACCGATCCCCAACGCCTGGGTGGATCTGTCCGTTCTCAACAGGGCCCGCGGGAAGGTGTCGATGAAACATGTTTGGAGGGCCAGAGGACGTCCGAGACGCGACAGCTTGTGCTTCGCGAGACACCCGCGCTCTTCGGTACGTACGCGCAGCAGCTCGTCCGATTAACCAAGCTGACTTTCGCGCAGACAAGAACAAACCGCCAAGCCTCGCGTGGAATGACGCTCGGCTCGCGACGGAGTGGAAGATGGATGAGCGCGCTGTTGTCACGACGGCCAATGCCTCGTGGATGCCGGAATTTCCGGTGGCGTCACCGGGGCGGATCTGTACGCGGGCGGACGGTCGATGGGGGCCCCAAGAGTATTCGTTGTGGCCCCAGATGTATCACAAGAATGTATTACACCACGCATGTATTCCTGCCATGGGCGAATACGTGGAGGGCTTCGAGCTCAACGTGAAGTCGATGTTCGACCCCGTGGACCCAAGCCGCTGGGCTGTCGACCTGACCTGTGGGGTGCCCGACCTCGGACTTCTCGACTCTACGTACCTGAATGAACTCAAGAGGACGGCGCAACGAGCGATCCTCAGATATCAAAGCTGCGGCGCCGAGAAGGAGGAGAAAGAGAAGCAGTTCGGTAACCACCTATGTCAAACCATCTACCAGGCCCTCGACCAGCTGGCTATTCTGCCGACGTGGAGAGCGCACGCCGTCGCCCTTGCGACGCATATCCAGAGGCTTGCCTTGGAGCTCTGCGGCCTCATCGTCCTCTTCGACGTCGTTCAACCCCGTGTCAACAACCTCTCTTTCGTGGCGAGGAAGGCTCTCGGCGTGCGCGGCGCATTCACGGACAATGCGGGGACAGCGCAAGGGCTCTTCCGTCTGGGAATTCCAGTATGGTACATCCAGCCTCTGACGATGAAACTCCGCGTCGTCGAGGTCGTTGACCCCACCCCGGTCTCCTCGGTGATGAGCGAGAACTTGTCGCAGCCGCGCTTGTATAGTGGTAGTGGAGATCTGGCGGGCATCGTGCAACACCCCGGTGATTGGCCATTCAAGATGCAGCACGAAACCCTGAAGACCCTTCTGGACGCGAAACTCCCGGTGTTGCCGCGCGAGATACCCGATACGGATGGACCGCCCCCAGCCAAGAAGGCGAAGGCGGGCGACGACACAGATCCGAATCTCGATCGCGCCAACGCGTCCCAATCCGGTAATCCGTCGCGCCGGACCCACCGTGGCAAGCGAAAAGCGGCGCCGGCTCAGCCCGTGGCAGCACACCCGTCGTTGTGCTACCAAAAGCCGTCCGGCTGCGTAGTGCCGGACGTCTGGGCAGACGTTCTGACGGCGGTTGGCACTCTGCCGCCCCCGTCATCCGCCGCCACGTATTTTTGGCCTCCTCCCTTCTGGTTCGAGAGCCAGGGAGAGAAGGTGAAACGATACTATCATAACTACGTCAGGATCCGGGCGTTCTGTCGGCAGCGGTTGCTCGATCCCACCATCGGTGCTGAGCCACTGCGGATTGCAGAATGGCGCGACACCCTATGGGGCGATTACTACGTGCAAGGGAGCGAGACGGCGTCGAACGACATGGGGAAGAAAAAGAATAAGGACCGTCGGGACGTTCAGCAAAACGTTCGCCGCCTGTTCTCGAAGACGGCGGCGTTGCCGACGTACGACAGTGCGCAAACAGTGCAGTGGGGCGCCATTCGGCTGGATGTGAACTCGACGAATGAGGCCGCCGTGCGAGCACAGATCTTGTGGGAAGTCCACGAGATCAACTGGCGGTGCGAGATGCTGCAGCTGGACGCAGCTCTAACGAACTCGAGTCAATGGGGGACACTACAACGTTGGGAGCGCGAGTCGCGAGTGAGCCGTATCTGGAGTCCCTTGGGATCGGGATTGCGTGTGATCCCTCGTTGGGAGCAAGGTGAACGCTCAAGTGCGGTCTGGTTGCGTCCTCCGCAAAGCGGATGGCATGACGCTATCACCACACTTGTAGAGTTCGTCGAGGTCATGGCACGTTGGCCGCAGCTGCCGGCAGAGTTGAAGGTCTTGCCCATGAGCCTCTTCGATCACGACGAAGAGGTTTTGCTTAGATTACAGCGCGCCGCCGTCACGTTTTACGTTCGCTCTTTCGTAGACACTTTCCATCGTTTGCCCACGCCGCCCGCGCAGATACCGAATGAATGGCTGTAATGTATATACCGTATACTGTACCATGTATCACTCAAGACGCAACGGACATACCTCTGCGTGTCGGACGATCAACCTAATTCCTGCTAAGTGGCCGATACTTCATCTTTGCTGAAAACTGACTTCGATAGTGACACTCGTGACAGTGTTATTGGTTTAGTACTAACCGGATCGCATAAAAGGCGGGCCGTTCGACAGCCCTCAAGCCATCGCCCTCGTCTCGTTCTTGCACGATGCCGTCGAGCGATCGTCGTGTCAAGGCAATCGTGGCCAGTTACCTCCCCCGAGGGCGCTCCTCCGCTCTAACCTGCTGCGGTGCGCGATTTATCACGATGTGAAGCACCTCCCGGTCGTCAGCCTCGAAGACACGGCCCCTCGTCATTTAGGCATGGCATTCGGTTTGGTAAGTGACTTCGTCAGCATGTGTCTATCTTCTTTCGCTCACGCAGTATATACCAGTGCACTTTGGCGGAAGGCCGCAGGTGTGTGAACCATCTCAAGCCCGCAACTGCGCAAATGAGCGATGCCGACCTGCGACGGGCTCGTCGAGAAGTCGCACAGCTAGATCCACCCGCCGTGTTAGGCGGGTTGCTGTACATCAGCCCAGGCGCACCAGACCCCGAAGAATCCGAAACAGAGGCGAGTACGGCGCCACACAAGAGAGATGATCGCCCGGCAACGATCATCAAGGAGGCTTACATTTATGTCAAGGTACGTCGACCTTGAAGTCCACGAGTAGCACAACTGATCTTATGATACTAGGATGGCGACGCTCCAATCCGGGTACCGCTAGTTTGCGCGGTACGCGAGGACGACCTCCTGGAAGTCATTTTCAATCAGCCAATCACTCGCGATGTCCTGGGGCTCAGCGAGAACGACGCGGAGTACGAGCCGTTCGACATACGCTTCTCCCGCTTCGTCTCCTGGCCTCGCCCGCGTGTCCCGCGTTACATCCCTCGAGAGGACGTTCTAATGTACAGGCGAGTTGGCGTCCGTGACTGCCCAGGAGCGCAGAATCTCGCCTTGGGACGTCGCGACGCCCCGCCTCTCCCGTCTTTACTCGATCACATGCGCGCGAGCTCGCCGCGCTCCCCCGCACGGTCGCTCACCGCGTCGACGACGTGCACAGACGGTACTTCGTCCCCGGGACAAGTCCTGCGTTCCGGGCGGGTCGTATCACAGCCGACAACTCCTTCGACGTCTGCCGGAACGCCTTCGCGCCGCGCTCGACTCCGACCAAACAACGATTCCCCTAGCACGAGGGTTTCAGCTGGGAAAAAGAGGAAGCGTGAGGACGAGGCGGAGGGTGAGGCGACGCCGCGCCGGGCAGCCAAGAAGGGAAAAAACTTGACGCTCGGGCCTGACGCCCTCGGGCAGGTTTGGGAAGTGTTGGCTGAGGATATATTGGTCTTGGTGAAATAGGCGTAGCCGTAGTACTACGATCGCGTTTACGATCTGCTCAACCAGATCTTTGATACCTTAGGTTACTTCAACCAGATCGCGATCGTTTCTGTTCCGGAATGGGAAGCACTAATTTGGGGTGGTCTAACCGGCAATACCGTCGCCTGTTGCGAAGTGAGCCCAGATTTGCTACATGTCGATTGGCGTCTCAAACTGTTTAGGAAAACAAACGAGCATTTGGAAAAAGATGTCGCCAATCGTGAGATTGATTCACCTCAAGTTCACCTGGAGTTCGGACTGACCTCGTCTTAAGACTCACCAAGGTTCAACGACGTTCATCCGCCACCAATCCTGCTCAATCCCCACTTGACTTGCTTTCGATATCACCGTCTTTGCGACCAACGACATGGCAGCCCAAGACCAGCCCAACCCCTTGCCAGCCGTGCAGGCTGCGGCTCCCGCGAACCCGAAGGCCGATGACAAGGCAAAGGCCCGGCCGCGCACGGACTGGACCGTCAATGGGCTCGACGTCGTCATGGACGGGTTTCTCAAGGAGTGGAACGGCCTCCCGGACACCAAGAAAGCCAGGAAGCAATTCCGCGTGCGTGTCCTCAAGGAGATACTACCCAAGTGGACGCAAGAGACGGACCCGGAGGACGTAAGTTTTTGCTTTCATCGCGTGAGACCCGAGAATGACTATATTTTGTACACTACAGGCTATCTACAACTACTTCAAGAACCACGGCGGCAAGTCCTTGCAAATCCGTGCGTCCAGCCCCGACGACGTGAGCATCAATTCCAAGGATCTGTTCGCGAAGACCCGAGCCAAGGGTCCGTCTGAGCTGTGGGCGGAGGTGCCGGAAAACAAGGCACTTGTCTTGCAGAACAGCGAAGGGATCAACCAAGTCGGAGCTGGAGGGCGACAGGCGGCGTCACGGCGATTGCTCTTCGAGCAACTACCACCGGAGGAGAAGGCTATTTGGGAGGAGAAGGCGCGTGCACCGCTGTCCCGCGAAGTCTTGGACGCGTCGATGGCACGGTGCGTGTCCTTTCGTACATTGTACGCAACCGCTAACTCAAGCCCTACCTAGCAACCGAGAGACCTTGGTAGGCAGGGTTTCCACTCTTTTCCAGAACTCCATTGGCGAGGGTGTCAATCGCGTCGGCGACGCGGTGTTCTACCTGTTCCTGGGCTACAAAGATCCCAGGAACCCGGTTCAATGCAAGCAGTAAGTGCACAGGGTTGCCGACGTGATACACAACTGACACATTCACAGTCTTTACGTAGGGAACACACTCGAAGGGCAGAACTTCCCGAACTGGGCGGGCGGACTCGCCGCCCAGCATGAACAATGGCGACAGTTCTGCTGCGCCGTCCTCCGTAAGTTGTCGTCTCGCTCGCTGAGATGTTGGTACTGACAATAGATAGCTGACCGGCCCGCCGAAGAGCTCGACGAAGAGTCTGACGAAGAGTCCGCGGATACTGAGGTCGGCATAACCTACGAGAACGACAGGCCGATGCTGCCGCCCTGGGATGCTGACATGACATCGCGGAAGGCGACGGAGATCCTATTGGTCTTCTTCCGTGCGTCGTGGAGTGAGTAGACACGAGTCTCGCGGCGAAAGGGAACTAACCTATGCTCTGCAGAACAGGCTCATCGTAGCCTCGCCGAGGTGCCCAACCTCCCGATGGACACCATTACTCAGCGGCTGATGGCGCTCGAGTGGCCGGCCCCCGTCTTCAGCGATCCGGATGGACTGACAGTCGTGCGGCTCAGCATGCTGTGGGAGAAGATCCGCGACAATCAGCTAACAGCTAATCACTTCGCCTTCGAGAACGTCGCGCCACATGGCGAAGACGAGCGCGTTCGCGACGACGCGGTCGAGTCGGGGTCAGCCGATGTTGGAACGGATGGAGGCGAGGAGGAGGGTAGCAAGGCTGCGGAAGACGTCGTCATGGTGAGTACTTGCGATGTAATCTACTAGGTGTACTCACAGTGCTTATTAGCACGAGAACTCCGTCGACAATGGCGGCTCGGGTGATGACGAAGATGTCGATCGCGCTGACGCTGCCTCGGACAATGGGTCGGTTAATGGCGGCGGCGCTACGAGCGTCGCGGCGATCAGTGAGGACGAGGAGGACGAGGATTGGGAGGTTGTCCCGTCGGAGGGAGCGAGTGAGGATCGCGGCGGGAAGAATGGTACGTCTACCAACCAACTAGACAGCTTCCGATGGCTCATCACCTTGTGTGGTTGATAGCCAACAAGCCCATGCCTGCGAAGAGGCTTACGAGAGGCCGACGCGACGGTGAGACCGAAAGCGAGAGGATGGACATCGACGGCTCGGCGAATGAAGACGACGATGCGACCGCTAGCGACGCGGACAAGCCTACTCGCAAGAAGCAGAGGGTGGCTAGTGGTCGCGGCACGGCGTCGGCGTCGGCGTCGGCGTCGGCGTCGACGAGCATCGGCAACGTCAACAGGTGAGCCTTGTCTCTGTAAGTATGGACCGTGCAGGCTGGCTGATGTCTATTATGATGCGATGTCTAGTGTCGGCAAGACTCGCAAGGTCACGAATGCGTCTAAGGCTCCGTCTAAGGCTCCGTCTAAGGCTCCGTCTAAGGCTGCGACTGGTGGCACGTCGGCGTCTACTCGGGTCCTTCGCTCGACGCCTCAAGGTTCTAAGTAGGTACAGTATTCCGTTCATGTCTTCCATTGCTAATGTCTGTTGTAGGCATATGACTCGTGCAGCTGCTCGCAAGTCCTGAGTATGCCTCCGAGTTCGCTGCTTGCAAGGCCTGAGTATGCCTACGAGTTCTCAATGGTATGCATCTATGCCTGACCTTTATGTTATGTGACTGTGTTCTTGTGGTTGGTTGGCTTCGTGGCTGATTGGTTAGTGGTGGTTGGTTAGCTTCGTGGTTGGTTAGTTAGTGGTGGTTTAGCATGTCCTCGGATTAGATATACCCTTAGGATTAGCAGTAGAGCGGCCTAAGTAGGTTCTTAGGAATGGTTCAGTAATAGATTAAGTGTTTGAGACAGTTGACTTTGTAGTGGATATGTGCGACTTAACATTGGATTAAGGTTGCTTTGGAACTGATTAGTATGGATTGAGTGGTGTAGTATATGGCTTAATCTCGGATTGATACTGGATTGATTCATCTCAGTAGATAGATTAGTAGATGCTTAGGTTTGTTTGAATGGATTACAATGGATTGAAACTAGATCAAGGATGTCCAAGTCAACTCTTAAGATGGCTAAGTACAAGATTGTGAATGGATCAAATATGGCTCAAGTATAGCTAAGCCATTGCTAATCCATTGCCTAAGTCAAGTCTTAAGATGGCTAAGTACAAGACTGTGAATGGATTAGATATGGATCAAGTATTGCTAAGCCATGGCTAAACCATATAGGATTAGTACAGCTAATCCTATATGAAGAAGTCAATGATGGCTAAGCAACTCTAAGCACTGGACCACTATAGGATTGAGTTCAGATTAAGTATGGCTAAAAACTATGCTTAGCATGGTTCAGAAATTGATTACCAAGGGATTGGTAACAGCTAAGCCATGGCTAATCCAGACTTGACTTAGCCATTGGCTAATCCAATGGCTAAGCCATGGCTAAGCATGGGATAAAACTGGATTGCTACATGATTGGATTGGGATTGGGTATGGCTAAGCCATACTTAATCTCCTGAGGATAAGCTGTACTGATCCTATATGACTAATCCAATGGCTAAGCCATGGCTAAGCATAGGATTGGATTAAAAGTGTATGGGCTTTAAGTTGATCTAAAATACAATATTGTATCAAAGTTAATCCGACTTAACTGACATCACTGCATCACGCACCTCTTCGGTCCGATGCTATTCTCTGGCGCCGCTGACCCTGTTAAGTCTTGCCATTGCTGCATCGGATGGAAATACGCTGGACGCCCCGGTCACTAGCGGCCTTCCATAGCCCCCGTCGCGACGCTGTCAGCGCACTCCATATCCAGGATTCAATCCCTTGAGTGGGCGAGAAACGAGCGGCCTTCAGGGTCTTTACACCATCTCATGCGTGCGTGACTTCGATGTGGGGCGAATTAACCTGTGCCAATGGGGGGTTCTATCCAGAAGATTGCCTAGGATACCTCCGTCGCGCCACCTCACTGCGAAGATCCCATCGCAGTGTCCGGCCTTGAATCCCGAAGATGTGCAATACGGCGAAGGCGAAGCGGCGTATCGTATGTCCCATTCTGAATAAGCATCTATACATATTCATCTAACGATGATCGCAGTACTCACCGTGTCAGCGTATCCTTCCATCACAATATACTCGGATGAGTTGAGCATCGCGCCGATTTCTCGAGCAGTCAAGTTACAGTTCGCAGCCGACGCATTACACACCATGCAGTGGACGACGACGGCAAGCGAACCTCACGCGGCGACGAGATCGACGGCGTGAGCGCGTCTCGTATCCAATGTGCCAACAACATCGCCCCAGGTATCCACACCCACCACTCCCCGATCACCATGAACCCGATGGCTAACGCCACCGGGCCCACGCTGTTGCCAGGGGCGTGGGCGCGAGTGGCTTTGCGTGATCTTGTTGTAGCGTGTGTGTCCATGTGTCGCAAAACTACTACTCACCTTGAGAATGTTCATAGGAGACGCGGTCGCGGCCCAGCGACACCGTATCATGAAGTATATGACGGTCGTAGACCGAAGCTTTGTGAGTGCTTACGTGTCAGGGTCGTTGGCCAAGTGTCTTCATCATAGCAACCGCGGTTTACGAACCTGACAGCTCCACAGGGTAAGTGGGCAATAGAGGTTCTACAAATGAGCTGCAGGAACGTATCATGAAAGACTAATAGGAAGCGTAACCCTAAGATTCAATGACCGTTGAACGCGTGAACTTAGAATCTTGTATGGTACGTACCACTCCGCCTTTACATGGAATAAGGCATTACAGCTGTCTGCTTAGGGTGGCTCGTTCGGAGTGACGTGCATAGTTTGAAGTCGGTCGCCGTTACTAGCGCTATAGGAATGAGAGTCGAGCGATTGCGTTTCAAGAGAAACACGGATGCAAAAGGCGGCCTAGAGAACGAAGGAATGACTTGATCAATTCTTCATTCCAGTAGAAAATGACGCGGAATAATAAAATAATCAACTTAGTAGCCCACCGCGGGGGTCGAACCCGCAGCCTTGAGATTCCAGTGGCTGGAAATGCCCGAGCCTTAAAAGTCTCACGCTCTATCCGATTGAGCTAGGCAGGCTTAGGGGGCTTCTTACGTACGTTGTCCTTCACTGGAGCAAGTGCCAAGCATAATGAAATCATTATTGCACCGACAGTGACGTCACGGAGTGCTCTGGCCGACGGACCGGGACTGTCCGAAGCGCGCAGAGGGTGTCGAAGAGGCGCCAGCAGCCTGACCTGGCAGTCGACGGCATTCCCTCCAGCTCGTACTCACTGCTCTTCCAACATGACTTCCCGTCTTGGACGACGCATTTTCGCGCAGGCTGTCCGCCCGAGCGTGCGCGCGACCGGCCGCACCACGGGCGCGGGCAGGCGGTGCATGAGCAGCACCGCGGACGCTGCGAAGAGCAGCGACATGCCTTGGATTGTGAGTCTTGAGTGGACCGTCGCGTTTCTCGTGTCGACCGGCGTGTTGATGGATTTGTCGTTGTAGATCGGCTCTGCTGTCGTGTTTGGCCCCGCTGTACGCTCGCGGTACGTCACGCGAGTACAACAGAGCGCTGACACCCCCCCGCTGGAATTAACAGGCCGTCTGGTTGCTCACATCGCAGTCAGACAAGAAGACGCTTGACGTCGCATTCAGTCAGGCGGATCGTGGCGCGCACAGTCTCGGAGATAGCAAAAAGGATGCTGAGAACACGCCGGAGTCTTCGGGAGAGGATGCAAGCGCCGAACCGAAAGAGGCGGAGGAGACTGAAAACACGCAGGTGTGTATGCTGTACTCTCGTAGTCATGAGGCTTTTAAGAACTTGCTTTTCTTAGGAATCCAGCGATAAGGGCGCCGTCACTGATTCTGAGGGAGAGACCGTCTCTGGCAAGGAGGTCAATGAGTCGATGCAGCAGAGTTTCGTGAGTCAATTGCATACGACCCGTACGAACACGATTAGATGTTCACGTATATCAGAACGAGGACTCGCCCCCAGATGCTCAGGCTGCTGAAGAGAAGGAAGCGAAGGACGGCAAGTGGACCGAAGGCGCCCCCGGCCAGAGCTCCGAGGCTGAGACGAAGCCAGACCAGAAAGAAAAGCCAACCGAGAAGAAGGGCGAAGCACCGTCAGACCTGGGTGATGCTCGCAAGACGGCCAAGGTGAGGAACGAAGTACGATTCTTGCTCGACAGTACTCATGTGCTGTGCAGGGTGGCGAGGCGCCGAAGGAGTCGGGCGCGTCGAAGTGATGTGACCTTGTTATTCGTAGATGTTATTCGTAACATTAGTACACCTACAATGCGCATATGGACGTTCTCTGTAATGCCGGGCGTTGTGACAGACATTCACTTGTTGCGATTCGAGTTGCTCGCGTCCGCTCCGGTTGCGAGTGACTTCTGACCGGAGAGGGTGGCTCAAGGGTGGCTATGGAAGGCGTGGGAAGGTGGGCGCTAGGGACTCTGGAGGGACTGGTGCCTGCCTCGAGCGCGCTGCGCAGTCTATCTGCACCCTCCCGGGCCCATACCATCCCCGCTAAGTTATAGCTCGGGCCCGTACCCGCAGACTGGTCTCTGCTCCTCACGCTCTTTACGCCCCTCTCAGCGATGTCCAGCAGCCCCCGTCCGTCGACCAGCTCCGCTTCTTCCGGGCGTAGTTCGCCCGTGCACGGCTTCGATTCTTCCGCGGCCCTAATCCTCGTCCCGGACACCGAAGACTCCGCAGCGAACACACCGTTCAGTATCTCCAGCGACGACGAGTACGACTCCGACGACGACAGCGGCGTCGGGGGCACCGCCGATCGCCTCCAGGCCTCCGCCTTCCCGCCCCTGTCCTCCGTCTCTGTCTTCCTCTACCTCCTGTCGCCCTTCCTCAAGCTCGGAGCGCTCCTGCTACCGAATGCAGACCTCCCGCTGAAGGTTGCGATACCGGCGCTGCTGTTCTTTGCCGGTTTGGCGGCGTTCACGCGCCAGATATGGTACATGCTTGCGAGATACATCCGGCGGGCAGACCTCGAGGAGATCATGCTCGAGACTTTTGCGCGGGATCGGAGGAAGGAGGGGCGGAGGTGGGCTCTCAGGCAGGTCGTCCGCCTGGCGTCGGGCGTGTTCCGAGTCTTGTTGGCTGCGGTGTATGTGCGAGGTGAGCATCCTGACATTCTGTGCTGCGTGTGCGTGCTCGATCGTGTGAGGTGCCATAGGGCCCCTGACGATCTCCGGGAAGCTTGTTCTGCGTTTAGACTGTTGTTCAATTCGCTGTCTATTGTAATTGAGTAGACATCCCCATGCAGCGTCCACATACTCAGGTTCCTTTACGTGCTCCATCTGACCAGCGCCGGTGCACTAACGGCATGAGCTGGAGTTTGTAGAGGAACCGTTCTGTATGTGCATCAAACAGGGGTGTCTATTGAAATACATATCGCCGTGTACCTACGGCTTTTCCGTACGAAAGCAGGTCCATGTATATTGCCAAGGGTCGTTGTACTCTACAGTCCGGACTTTGTCGAAGACTGCTAACAACGCTTACAGCATCAGTGGATGTCCTATTGCCATTCCTACCGGACAAGCTCGCTCTACCATCAGATATCATGGTGACTATTGTGGTCGCCATCATGCTCGCTCCGCTATATTTCGCGCAGTCACTTGGTGTCGCTCGCGTTATATATGCTACCTGGGCATCCGTAGCCGCCTACGTCGCATGGTTTATATGCACGGCATATTCCCATTCGCAGGGCATGCTGGCTGAACGCGGCGTCCCTGCATCGACAGGCACGCTGTGGCAAGGCGTATGTAAGTAGCTCTTCCTAGCATGTCAAGCACTTGTCTTACTGTGCGTAGCTATGATCGCGTTCGCCTTCACTACCACCTCTACCAGTCCGCTGTATACTGCCCTTCGTGGCACGACGCAGCCAATGAGCCCACGCCCCCGGCGATCTCAGTCATTCAAACTACTCTCCGCATTGTCCGTAGGGATCGCGGTGCTGTGTGTATTACCACTTGTGTTTTTCCAGTCGACTGATTTGCCAGCGGTGAGTAGCATCCTTGAGTTCTGTAACAGCCTGGCCTGACTGCCTAAAGTCGCAGGAGAGACCCATTCAACCCCCGGATGCGCTAGCCACGACGCCCGAAAATGTCCTCGCTGCACGAGCGCTGTTCGAGACAGCCGCTCTCATGCTCTCTGTACCATCCGTCCTCATCCCAACTCCCGCTCTGCCCATCCCCTCTTCCATCCGCCGTGCCATCCGCGTCCCCTTCTCTCGAGTCCTCCTATACGTCGCTGCGATCGGCCTATCGCTGGTCCCGTCACCTCTTGCGCGAGCCCTCAGCGACGCCGTCTGGATGCTCGCTTTCCTGAGCACGTACATGCTTCCGGCGCTTCTCCACATCATCCTGCACAACCTCCGCAGCCCGCTCTCAATCATCATCCCGCCGAGCACGCCCGTTACGGCGATGTCGAGCCCTGGCATGCCGAGCGCGCGGTCGGACGTGAGCGACTCACGGAACGACGAGCTCCTGCAGAGAAAGGAGCGCACCCTGCAGCGGAGGCGGCTTGGGCGGAGGTTGGTCTGGGACTTTGGCGTGTGGATGTTGTTGGTGCCTGTCGGTGGAGGCGGGACGGTGTGGGCTGCTGGGAGGCTCGCGAACAAGTGGTAGGCCGAGGAGTGTATGGAAACAAGCAAATGAATGTCGTCTTGGATAGTAGTTGCGTCTAGAACGTGCTCTATCTTGGCTTAGGGTTTACGGTGTCGTTTGTTGTATGATAAGTGTGTACCTACATATCTCTGTCTTCTTACCGTTGTAACTACAAAGAAGTAAAATCTAGGCTCGCTACACTCAGTACCGCGAAGTTCATTGTGAGTGGGCGTCACACATGTACGACCACACTTCGTAGAATCACTGTGAAGAGCAATATTTCACTCTCCGCGGCACGTTCGTCCTTCCCTCAATCCGCTTGACCACGACCTCGACCGCAACCACCACGACCAACGCGCAGACCCTCATACACGAAACAGGTCGAAGACATCGCACACGATGAGTCGCAACATGCGCGGATTCCACGGCAACCAGTTCGTGCCACCCCAGGGAACACAGACCGCCCGCGAAAAGGTGGTTGCGGCACCGTGGCAGGTCGCGGCGCTGAAGCAGCTCCTCCGGCGCGCCGGGGGGAGTCCGCCGAAGGAGGAGATCGTGCGGACGGGGAAGGAGACGGGACTGTACGTCCGACCTATGCTGGACCACGCGTCGCAACTGACCAGGGTAACGGAATGCAACCCCGCGTCTTCAGGGAGGTTCGGTGGATTAGGAATTGGCTCAGTCGACAACGTAGGGGCCGAGCGAAGAGCGGCGACGACGAAGATTCTTCAATTAACCGCAAGGAGGAAAATGATACGTCGGCGACCACCGCTTCAAAACAGGATATCTCTACCTCCTCTCACGGCTCTTCCGAAAGTAACGTCTCCATTCACCAGCTGCTGCAAATTCAACTAGACGGCGCGCGTCAACGAAAGCGCAAGAAACAGACGGACACTGCCTCTCACAGTCTGGAACTCGCTGCGGAACCCCTTGCTTCTTCGGAGACCTACCTTCAAATAGGAAAACCTGGGACTTCCTTCTCTCTACCTCTGTCTCGAGCTCCTCAGGCTCAGTCGACTACATCGAACACTCCTTCGTCTGCGGGATCCTTGCAAGTCGACGACAAACTCAAGATGCGCTCCTTGACTCAGTCGCCGTCTCTCGGCTACATCCCTTTCGCTTTTCCTCTGGCATTCTCGCAAATGTCTGACACGGAAGATTCTGACCCGTCTCTCTCGGGTGATACATCTCTCAGCTCAAGCGGCGCCAGCTCAGTCGATGCTCTGGCAGGCTCCCAGGCTCTCATTGGCACTCAGGTCAGCTACCCGACGATGTACTCTGAACACTTCGTCCCCACCGTTCCGACTCTGCCGCCGGACCACACCCAACCCAATCCCGCAGATGCGGAGAGTCAACGCAGCTCGAACATGCTCTACCTCTCGCAGCTGCTCCTCGATGCCACCAACGCGCACGTCCCGCAGCTGGCTTCTAGTCCCTCTGGCGACTCTGAATACCTCTCTGGCCTCTTGCCGCTGTCGTTCGCGCCTTCGCTTCAGTCGCACTCGACCTCTGTGCTGGGCACTGTTAGCACGAATCCCGCCGGGCGACGCACGGACTACATGTGGTACCCCCCGCCGCCGGTGGCGTTCAAGGCACGAGTGACGGACTTGGCGCTGTTGACAAAGAGGATACGGGCGACGTACGAGGAAAATGCCGGCGACAGTAGTGTCACAGGTAGGTAGAGGACAGAACCGACCTGGTCTACGACAGTCTGGCATTGTGTTGACATGACTGACATACACCGCGCTCTCTTCGCTGTCAGGCTCTGTGACTGAAGAGCGTGGCAAGAGCGCATCGAACACGTCTCGCCAGCCATATGTAAAAGATGATGGTGTGCAAGGCGCTACCGCTGCCGTGGCTGCTGAAGACACCGACTCAGACGAGGAGGACGAGGAGCTGTTAACGCCTGCTGGAGACCTTCCTGCTTTCATCGGCAATCTCGACCACGCTCACCATGGGACGAAGGCCACACGCAAGGGTAAAGAGGTTCTCTACAGGAACGGAGTCTTTGCCAGAGCGGCGTAAAGTCATACACAGATACTGTATTCATTCCCAATGTGTTATCAACATCGAGCCGATTGTCGTGCCGTGTTCTACGTCATGTTTTCTTGTCCTTGTCATCGAGCATCGTGATGTTGAAGCGAACGACGTCAATCATACTTGTACAATTGTAATGTTGAAACGTAGAGCCGGGTTCTGCCTGAAACGTCGACGATTGTTTCTGTTAGCGATGCCAATGAGGGCTCGAATATTGGCGACACTCACTGAGCAGTGACCATCAAGTGCGCAGATCGTACTCCAACTGTGAGGGAAGCGATGCGAACTTGAACAATCCACGCATATACAGCTCCGGACACTTCTCCTTCAAGGTAGCGGTCAGCTCATTCAGGTCCCCCTTACCTCTGATGATAATGCTGCGCAAATTTGGGAGCGGCTTTCCCTGTAACGCGGTTTGTATAGCCTTCCAATCCAGTTCCTGGATGATCTCGATTGGGATGGGTTTACCAAGATATCCTCGCGTCGCGATGATCAGCGTTTCCAGCGCTGGGGACGCTAGACTCTGCAGGATCAACTGAACGCAAAGCAGTACCGGGGGCCACTCCTGCTCGAGATCATACATCTGGATGGTTACGCTGAGCACGCGGAGGTTTGTGCAACGTTCCAACGAGGCAGTCGTTTGCGGGGAAACTGAGTTGTTCAATCTGCATGAGAGATGAACGTTCGGGATGACGAGCCACTGACTTACCGTCAAACTTGTCGCGGTAGTACGGCTGCACGTACGCTGAGATCCCTATGTAGAGAGCGTTCAGGTTCAGAGGGCCGAACAGGTCCAGCATTGGCTGCGCTTCGTGCGTGCAGTAGAACGTGCTTTGGAAGCGTAGCGTCTGGAGGAGTTCGGCGCTGGGATGGCGAAGCATCCATTCGGACGCGTGACGGAGCACATAGGCAGGAGTGTCGTAGGCGGAGACGTCTAGCTCACGCAGATGCACAGGCGGCATCATAATCGACCCCGAGGAACGGGGAGGCCGAGGCTCGCGCAGTAGCCTGGCGACGGACAAGAGCCTAACCGTGTCGATGTGCGGGAAAGATCTCGACATGATATCCAGGACGCCAACACCGAACCTGCACTTGTGGATGCCCAGTCGTTTCAGCGAAGGCAGGTACGGGCTGAGATCGTAGTCGTAGTCACCGTCCCTCTCGAGGACGTATCCTGCTAGAACAACTTCCTCTGTCGCCTCCATGACTGGCAACCAGGTTAGCAGCCCCATATTGGGCAAGGCCGGATCCGGAGGATCATCACCCCACGGCGCGGCTATCCACAGCTCACGGACCAGACTGCGTATTTCCGGCGTGGAGGAGAGCACCTCGCCGAGCATCGCGTAGTTGTCGTGCTGGAGGTGTACTTTGAGCGTGCTGAAGCGATGGAAGCGCGCCGTAGTCGTCCATTCTCTGCCGACGAGAGCGCATGTAGCGAGAGACGCAATGTCGTCGTGGAGGTGATCGATGACATGGTCGACGAGTTCGGGAAGTAGCTTCTGGGTAGGAGCCTGGCTCGACGTCTGCGCTACCGCCGGGGTCGATATGACCCCTCCTTGGCAGGGTGTGATAGACATGAGGCGTACGACGGCTCTAGCGACTGGGGACGGACCAGTGAGTCGCAGCAGCTGAGGGGCATTGGCATTCGGCATACTCACACTTGATAAACCCGTCCTTTGCGATGGGCGCTCATAGTACAATGCAGATCGTATGCCATTGTTGCACCGGCTGGGATCGTGAACAAAAACCGAATTGGTTAGTATCGCTTGAGATCGTCCATCTGATGCAGGGGGAAAGTTAATCCAAGCCAGCCATCGTATCATGAGGCTTCAGCTTCAGCACTTGGGACCTTCCGCGGCGATCCACGCTCGGGTTTGGATGTCGGCATAGAGCCTGACGCTGTTGAAGATGATCGCTATCGGTTAAGGCGAACATATTGTCGCAGACGAAAATGCCGGTAACCCTCCGCATTTCCACCCGCCGTCATCCGTTCCACTTCTGCAAGAGAAATCAGACAGCGATGTACCATCGGTATGTAGATGACGACGAACACGTCTCAGACGACTTGCATCTCCATGTGGAGGACCCAGTAAGTGACATTGGGTGAGCTTGGGGGACGAAGAGAGTTAGCTGCTTCCAGAACAATGTCCACGTCGAATACTCACCGCCGCACTTCGCGATCGCACACGCACCGCATAGGTTGCCTTTGCCTGAAGTGCCGATTTTAGTCCTATGCGTCGAGTTCGTGCTTCTGTCGCTCGTTACAATCCACGCTGAGGAGACCACGATTAGGAAGGAGGGTACTGATGAATGCAACACAATCCACTTGTCTGGGATTCGCGCATGGATCAGGGACATATGATCTTCCACAGTCCTTGTTCGCTCATATGCTAGAGATTGGAGCACCTCTGCCTTCGAGCACGGCCCCACAAGGGCGAAAGCCGGCCGACGAGGCATCATTGCGAATGTCGCGTAGTCTGGCAGGCGAACATACCAGAGTGTTAACTCGCGTAGAGCAGGGAACCTGATGCCGGCGTCGGCGTGCCTGTAGCCAAACCAGTCAATGCCTTGCAAAGAGATGTGCTCCGACCGCCGGAAGCAAGGCCGAGCCGGAGATTATGGAATGCATTTGTAAGTTTCAGCGTTGTGAGAATGAGCATATCTCTGGCGAAGAGGCTAGGAACTGATTGGACTCATTGAAGGTTTCACGGCCCACGGATACACAGAAACGATGGTAGCGCACGGCAGGCAACACGGCACGCCAGAGCGCATGAGATGGGGATTACTTGTCCTGATATTGGTAGTCGATGATACGTTCCGTGCGTTCTGCAGGTAGACGAGAGCCATTGCTATGCACTCGCTCGCAGGGAGAGACGGTAATGGTCTCGGAGACACCCTCGGAGCGCCCGTGATCGCTTGTGGCGCACTTGCTCAGTTGCTGCCCACCTGCCCGGTTTGTCATCTTCACTTTGAACTCGACCTCATCACTCCCTGCCTGGCATCGGCGGAGGACGCAGAAGATGAACAAGCGAACATTTGTCGCAGAGCAGGAACGTACAGAAGGACATACGCATGTCTTGCTCATTACGACCGGCAGCGTTGCCTCCATTAAAGCACCATTAATTGTCACTGAGTTGAAGTCCGTCCGTGTCTTGCTGTATGATTTTCAAGTAACGTTCGACTGACACAAACGCTAACATGTAGTTTGAGAACGTCAAAGTCGAGGTCGTGTCGACCAAGGCCTCGTTGTCGTTCTTCGACGTAGGCGCGATAGAACGAGCAGGCGCCAGGGTCTGGCGCGACGAGGATGAATGGGCTGCAGACGTGTGTCCGACTCCTCTACGTTGTGAATAAACTTTGACATATTGAGCCAGGGAGGATATAAGATCGGTGACCCTATACTTCACATAGAGCTGCGACGATGGGCGGACATCGTCCTCATCGCACCCTGTTCAGCGAACACGATAGCAAAGATCGCTCACGGCATTTGCGACAACCTAGCGGTATGTTCTTCTCACAGCGACGCAAGCACAGCATGACTGACGGGACGACAGACTTCTCTGCTCCGCGCACTCGCGCCTACAACGCCTACATACGTCTTCCCCGCGATGAACACGCTCATGTATGAGCATCCGCTCACGGGAGAGCACCTCAGAATCATTCGAGAGGTCATAGAATACCAGGTCGTTGGACCCGTTGGCAAGACACTGGCCTGTGGCGATGTTGGTACGCGAAGATGCTGATTACTGATGCCTATTGGAACCCTAACGACACCGTTTGCAACAGGTGTGGGTGCTATGGCGGAGTGGAAGGACATTGTACAAATTGTGGTGGACGCGTTCCATCTCACCAAGAAAGTTGATACGCCCACATGAGTTGTTCAGCTGACGAGCAGAGATGTAGTTAGGCAGGGCATCCATTTCGTCCGTCTGTATCGATACACGATGCAATTGTATATTATACTTTCACAGCCACTTTGCAAACGATCCACCTCCCTTCCGCGCCTTCCTTCCGCTTCACCTCACCCTGGTCACACTTCTGCGCCAACCACTCATCCACCATCTGCATCATCTCATTAACATCTGCTGCAGTAGATCCAAGAGAGTGCAGCGCCAAGGAACGCGCGAGCCATTCACTCGTCGGTGAAGGCTCCTCGGCACCTGTCTTCGACGAGTTCACCGGAGGAGGAAGACAATGCAACTCTCGGTACGCGCTGCGCATGATGAGCCACACTGTCGCGCGAGCCTTCGCGCGAACTCCCTCGACGAGTGTGTACATGGCCTCCAGTGCAAGGTTGTACGGTCCTGCACGTTGACGAGCACCCTCCGGCTTGTCGGAATGGTCGCCGGTTCTAACGGGAGCGCCTCTACCTCCACTTGCCTCTGTCGAAGCCTCGAAGAACCGTTCGAATGCACCGCGGTCCGTAAGTTCTTGCAACTTGGCGTAGTTGCTCGTGCGCAGACAGTGCGTCAGGTGGGCGAGCCATCGATACGCTGCGCCGTCGCGGGGGAGGAACGTGCGAGGCAGGGAATGTAGGTGCTCATGGAACCGAGTCTGCGAGGGGTAGCCTAGGAGGAGGTGGTGAAAGAGAGACAAGAGTGTCGTCGAGAGCGCCCCATGAGTAAACTCTGGGACTTCAGGACGCGCGAGGTAGAGGTGTGGGAGGAGATGAGAGAGAATGGACGTCGTCTGTTTGTCGGAGCGGAACAGAATCGAGAGATGGAGAGATGTTTCGTATACTAAGGCGCGTGTTTATTCACGCACATGTGTGATACAACGGTATTTGACTCACCTTCGACTGCAAATGCGTCCTTACGGTCGGTTGCAAGGAGTCCTTCCCTGAGCTTTCCTGATGCGATGTGAGCACAGCGAACCTGCAATGTTAGCGCGGGCACAGAGAATAACACATACTGAACAAAATCAAGATATTCTCCTGCTCTTCCTGACGATGTTTTGTCGCATCCACATCTCTTCCGCTCGCCCCATGGGGGTGGCGCTTCCAGTGTTCGTTGACCTATACAACTCAACCGTTCGAACTCAACTCCTCAGATCGAACAAGTACAGTATACCTTGCCCTCAATGAATGCACGATATTCCTCCTGGACGGCACGGTCCCTCAGCCTACGTGCCTATTCAACGTCACGATCGAGCTATCTTCAGAGGTCACTGGCGACGACTCACGCATCCCCGTCTTTGTCCAGGCCGCTGCTCCTACTCAGAGAGGGCATGAGCTCCATGTGCCGTTTGCCGGGTTTGTACACCCGGTGTGCTCGAGCATGCGGAGGCTTGTAAGCCATCTTCAGGAAGAGGAGGGCCCCGGGGAACGGTTTGTAGGGCTCGAGCTCCTGTTGCTACCTATGCAGCAACAACTGGGGACAACAAGAACAGCTTCAACTTCAAGTGGCACTGGCAGTACTTGCGGTGACGCTGCGACGTGGTACCTGGACGTGGATACTAATAGGGTGGAAGTCACATTATACAACCTACTATATCGGTCCGGGATCTCGGCCAGGACAGGGAACTCGGTCAGTCATGCATTGCTCAAGAACGGCTGGGATTTTTCGGACAAAAGGTACCTTGCTGTGTTTGTTTCGATTACAGCTATCGACTGGTATACTTACTACACGAAACGGATGGGAACTTCACTGCCTACGCTCGACTGACCGAGTTCCCTGTCCTGGCCGAGATCCCGGACCGAAATAGTACCATATATGCAATGGTAGGATAGGCATTAATGGGGTAGTGGTAACCTGGGTCGTTGCCATCGACCCGCCGGGGGTTCGATTCCCCCTTAATGCATGAGCCGTGTTCTTCATTCAGCTCTTTACTCGGATCATCACACTACTATTTTTGTAACTTCTGTGAGTGAGACCCCGCATGCCATGTATGTATGTACCGATCGCCCTTTCCATCACAGATCGAACCCATTATGTAACATGAGATACTTAACAGGCTTCAGGCTATTGCGGCTTCTGCCGGTCTTGGCTTTATCTTGTCCTCGCCGAGGCGCCTTGCGATCATTGCGGCGTGCGCGCTGCTGCATTGCCGCTGCTGCACCTGGCGTCGTGCCTTCTCTTTCTCTTCTGCAGCGTATGTTCAGCTGATCCGCCACATCCGCAATGGAGTCCATCCCTATGGCGAGGATGCGCTCGCCGAACAGTGCATCCCGTTCTGCTTATGCGCCCCTTCCTACTCCTCGTGCTGCCGAAGAACTTCCTCCAGCGAACTCCCTTGAAAGCATGGACGACGCACACGTACAAGAGATTCACCCGGAGTGGAAGCGCAACCTGTACATGCTCGTCGAGCGGCCAACTTCCTCGTATCCCGCCTTCATCATCCACGTCGTCACTACGTCCCTCATCGTCATATCCGCTCTTGTGACCGTCCTCGAGACCATCCCGTCCTTCCACTCAATCTCACCCCAAATTTGGTTCGGCTTCGAGACGACGGTGGTTGTGCTGTTCACGGCGGAATACGTTGCGAGATGTCTGGCGCACTCAGCGAACGTATGGACGTTTCTGAGATGGTTTGGCTGTATGTGAGTCGTTGCTTCGTGCGCAAGACACCTGACCGGACCTCCGTACTCTCTTCAGCATTCTTCGGAATCATAGACTTGCTGGGTATCCTGCCGTACTACCTAGAGATAATGCTCCACCAGGACACCGTACGTCGACTCACCCCGTCTGTGCTCCTCTCACAAATGGCTGGCAGTCAACCTTTTTCAGGTTCACTATTTTGCGGACGTTCCGCTTGTTACGCGTATTCAGGCCATTCCGCCATAATAATACGATCCTACTGTGCGTAACGGAAGCACCAACAACGTATTGTCTGCTCACTTCTGAGCTAGGACGATCGAGGTTATGTATCTGTCGTTCCGCCGCTCGCAGCATGCCTTGTTAGCCCTTGCATTCTTCGTAGTCATGGTCTTAGTCGTGTTCAGCACCCTGCTGTAGGTCCTACCATGCGGATACTTGCGAAGTTACTGACGCTCGGTACAGGTATTTCGCTGAACGTGGAACATGGGACGAGGTCTTGGGCACGTTCATCAACTCTGACGGTGACCCTAGCCAATTCGCGGTGCGTGCGGGTTTGCTGGCAGTCCAGCCTGTTGATCTCATTCCGTGCCTCAGTCTATCCCAGCTGCTGCATGGTGCGACACGTTTATTATCGTACAGATACAGCCTGTCTAACATCGCTTGTACCACAGGTTTGTGTTAGTCAGTAAGTGTTACATGCGCGTCCGCATCTTCTCGACTCACCATGTCCAGCAATCACAACCGTTGGCTACGGCGAGATCACTCCTCGTTCCTTCCTCGGACGGCTGATCACCCTCCCCCTGCTTGTCTTCGGCTTGCTGCTCATCGCGCTCCCGACCTTCGTGCTCGGACGCGAATTCAGCTTAGTCTGGGAAATGATGAACGAAGACCAGGTGAGCCTCTTCATTCATCTCTCACCGAACGGTCTTCGCTCACTTTATCTCCAGCAAATCTCCCGCGAAGAAGTATTCAATGCACACGCCCTCGACCCGCTTGCCTCCCCCACGCTCATGCGGCGGCGTTCTGCGTCCTCGTCCGTGCAGCCTTGGCGCCACACGCATGACGAGCCACAAGCGAGCGGCAGCTCCCCGCGAGAGAACAAGGAGCTCCGCGGGCAGATAGCGGAGCTGAAGGCGGCCGTGGAGATGCAGGGCGCACTGTTGCGCCGGCTCGTCGACGCCATGGAGGGAGATGCGCAGGGGCACGGGCAGAGGCGAGGGAAGCAGCGTTTTAGAGGGCCCGGTAACGATGTACCGTAGAGCGTAATCTCGACCCACGCAATGTCCTCCACGCAGTGCTAGCATAGAGGATGTGTAGCATCCTGTTGTAATTAATTACTTAGAAGAGTCATCAGGGAGAAGAGCAATGGGTTGATACGTTGAAGCTGAAGCCTAAGGCGGCCACAAAAACTAACGAAAGCGGGGATGCATTAAGGGGGAATCGAACCCCCGGCGGGTCGATGGCAACGACCCAGGTTACCACTACCCCATTAATGCCCATTTATGGCCAGACCCTCGCACTTACATTTATGTGTTGTACTGAGTCACAGGCTCTGAGTCTGCCTCATCGGAGAGGCTTCCTCTTTCTATCACCTAGGCTGATGCTGAGTCGATTTCGTCGCGTTCAGGAGAGCCCTGCCTTGGCATTAGGTCAAAGCTACGTAGCGCTGTTCACTGGCTGGCCGGCTGCTCTACCCATGAATGCTCCATATGGAATGGCACTGAACTGTCTACAAGGTCTATAGGCACGTTCTTTCTATAATCGCCTTATACTCTACGTATTCAATTGCAACCGGCACTTTGCTTTGCTTCGAGTGAATGGCGTCTATCTGATTGTTTGTGGCAGGCCCAAGCAGATCGGCGGCACTGGCTTCGACCGTATAAAAAGCGGACACCGCCGTGACGCCGCAGTCCTCCTTCCTCCTTCCTCCTTCCTCCTTCAGCCTCAGCCTCCTTCGAAAGGCGAGACTGTTATTCGCTTCTCCACATCGCCGTCTGTTCAGGTGAGTAAGGCGCACCGTAGAACCTGTATCTACGAGCATTCGCCTCGGGACCGAGCGGGCGATCGAGATCGCACTACTGCCGTTTCGATCTCGATCCTTGGTCGCCCACTGTCCTCTGTGGATGTTGTCAGCATCAGTCCTCTATTGAAACATGCTTAGCCTTTTGCTTAGGACACGCGTCGCTAATGAGCGAAATGGGCGATACTACACCTCCGGAAGTCGCCAATGCCGCGGCGACTGTATTCCACACGCGCAGCTACCAACAGGAACTCCTTGAAGAGAGCTTGCGGTCCAACCTCATCATTGCGCTTGATACGGGATCTGGCAAGACGCATATCGCCGTGCTGCGCATGAAGCATGAGGCGGAGCGGGAACCGCGAAAGGTGAGTTATTCCCTCGTCTGCATTCTCGTTGACATCGATTGTTCCAGGTATCGTGGTTCTTCGCACCTACAGTGGCGCTTGTCGAGCAGCAATGCGATGTCATCCGCAAAGCCATCCCAGTACCTGTATGCATGATCTCGGGCGCATCGGAGCCCAACCAGTGGAAAGACCGAGATCTATGGCGACGTGTTCTAGAATCTCATAGGATCATCGTCTCTACGCCACAGGTCCTGCTAGATGCACTTCTGCATGTAAGTCTACGTCTGACTTCACGATCAAAAGTTCTGATCGGAAGCTTATATGCGCAGGGTTACGTTGATCTGGGTATGGACATAGGTCTTCTTGTCTATGACGAAGCCCACCATGCGATCGCTAAGCATCCGTATAACATGATCATGCAACAATTCTACTTCAACTTGAACAAGCGCACTCGGAACTCCGGATCGTATGACCGGGCTCGTCCCATGGTGCTCGGCCTGACAGCTAGTCCGATTTATGGCGGTAACCCAGATGCCGCATTCGAGTAAGCTCTGACACCTATCGCTGGAAATATCCTGAATGATAACACTTTCTTTGCAGTAAACTCGAACACAATCTCGATAGCATCATCCGCTCGTCGCGCATGCACCGAGAGGAGCTCGCTCAATATGTTCATAGGCCGGTTTTCAAGCACGTCCTTCATAGCTCTCCATCATACGATTGGGAGACACTACCATCTTACAACACGTTCTCGCTCAAAACAGTGGTCGACTCGCTCAATATCGAGCACGATCCGTACGTGCAATCCATGCGTGGTCAACTGGCACGAGCGCATTCAGCGGAAGAACGGCACCGCATCGACCAGAAGCTGTCGAAGGTCATTCACAAGGCGGACACCTTCACGCATCGGGGTCTCAGGGACTTCTTGAGGGCCGCCGAAGAGATATGCATGGAACTTGGAGAGTGGGCGGCAGACTGGTACATCGTCAAGGTCATCGAGCAGGCCCGCCGCGCGGCGAACCCATACAACAATATCATGACTAGCTGGCAAGCGAACGAGAAGCGTTACCTGCTCGACAATCTCGACAAGGTGAACGTCGTCCCTGTCTCGACGGACCCCGACGAGATCCGGCATATGCTCACGCCAAAGGTCCAAGCGCTGGTCTCGTGCTTGGTCACTGAAGAGGAAGACTTTCGGCTGGCAGACGAGACGTACAGCGGCCTCATCTTCGTCACTCGGCGGGACACGGTGATTGCCCTAGCGGAAGTGCTGTCCCGACTCCCAGAGACTGCGCAGCTCTTCCGCATCGGCTGTCTCCTAGGAAGCTCGTCGAGTTTCAAGCGCCACTCCTTCCTTGACATCACCCGCGAGATCGTGAAGGAGTCGCAAGTGAACACGCTGGCAGAGTTCCGCGGCGGCGACAAGAACCTGATCGTCTCCACCTCCGTCGCTGAGGAGGGCATCGACATCCAGGCATGTGGTAGCGTCATTCGCTTTGATGCTCCTCCGAACGTTGTCTCTTGGGCGCAAAGTCGAGGAAGAGCCCGGCAGCAAAGGAGTAGCTTCATCATGATGTTGGAGCAAGACTCACAGCACGAGCAAGACATTCAGAAGTGGATCGGCATCGAACAACAGATGATGGATCTCTATACAGACCCGAACAGGGTGGCCCCGGAAACCTTTGAGGAAGACGACGATCACGACGAGCGTACGTACCTTGTTGAATCTACTGGGTATGTTTCCGTCACGATATATGCTGTTTGCTCGCTGAGTACTGGGCTTACAGCGCTGTCCTTACGCTTGACTCTGTGACAAGTCACCTCAACCACTTCTGTTCTGTTTTGCCCAACGCGTCGTATGGCGGACAGCACGCGCTATATGACCTCGATCCACCCGACTACCCCGAAGACTGGCACTCGCAGCAGGACCGTCTCAAAGACATGCCGCCATATCAGGGGCCATGGGGAGCTACGGTCACACTTCCACGATGCCTTCCCTCACAGTAAGTTCACTAGTGGCTCATACTACCAATAATCGGCGCTGAACGGTCGATCTCCTCAGTCTCAGGAAATTCGCTACACCGCGAGAACACAAGACGAAGAGGTCGGCACAGAAGCATGCGGCTTTCAACGCCTACGTTGCGCTGCACGAGGCCAAGCTCCTCAACGATCATCTCCTGCCTTTGATGAGCGCGATCGAGCCCGACAAAGGAGAAGAGGTCAAGAAGTTGCTAGCCGATATCGAGAAGCGCGCTGGCACAGAAAAAGTATCCATCCAGACGGATCCTTGGGCACCGAAGGCAGACGAGGATACGTGGTGGAAGGCCGAAATGGTCATTGACGGCCTACCGGCTCTGACCATGTTGACACCGAACCCGCTGCCTGCGTTCGCTGAGGAGGAGATGCCGACGATATACATCCCAGGCAGGGGTGCCACTCACGTCTTGGTGCGTCCGATGGGCAAGGTAGGCCAGGACGAGGCCTACCTTGAGCGTGCTCGCACGTATAGCCATCGGATGTTCTCGACTCTGTATTTTGCGCGTATGAAACCGGACGATCGCGCTTTCGCCTACTTGTTCTTGCCGGCAGAGGAGGGCCCAGATGAGCATTCCTGGGAGGACCGGCGAAAGTGGATGCAAGAGCGGATCGATCGTGGTACCGACGTTCGTCTGGAGACAAACACGAGGGCAAACGCGGATATGCTGCGCCAGCAGTACGGCCTGCCCACAGATCTGGCACTCATTCGGCCGAACGAGAAGTTCGGCAAGCCCTTCCAATTTGTGCGTTGGTTCAACGGTCCGTTGAGTACTGAAGACGAGGACAAGCTGCGGGAGAGATACGATGGCTTCCCCGACGCGACTACCACGTATCCCTTGCTTCAGGTCAAGGAGTTCCCTCAGCGAGCGAACTTCCTTGCGCCGTTAGCTTCGGATACAGCTGGACTAGGCCGCGACGAGGCAGTCTACCTTCTGCCGAAGTATACAACCGTCGAGCTCGTATCGAAGGAAGATCTACAGTACGCTATGTATCTTCCTTCGATCCTCAGGTGGATGTCGAATGCCCTCACCGTCGTATCTCTTCGCAACGAGCTGTTACCAGCGGACTCCGTTGCCAAAGTCGCATTCGATCTCCTCCGCATCGCTACCACAGCTCCCGTTGCTCAAGAGATGATGGTCAACGACCAGCCACTCAACTATCAACGACTTGAGACGCTCGGGGATTGTGTCTTGAAATGCTTGACAAGCACCCAGCTTTTTGCCGACCATCCGTTTTGGCACGAGGGTTACCTCGCCAGGCGGAAGGATCACGCCGTCTCCAATGTGCAGCTAGCCAAAGCTGCTATTGAGAAGGGCCTATACAAGTGGATCATTCGAGACCGATTCGTACCGAGAAAGTGGAAGCCACGCTACCTCTCGGATTCTGTCGTCAACGAGCCCGAGCCCGAGCCCGAGTCCAAGCCTGAACCGAAGCCCGCCGAAGAGGAGACGAAAGACGAAGGTAATAAGAAGAAAAGGAAGAAAAAGCAGACCCAGGAGCTGTCGACCAAGGTCCTCGCGGATGTTGTAGAGTCGCTGCTCGGCGCCGCGTACGAGCACGGAGGTTTCGATCTTGCAGTGGAATGCGCAGCGCTGTTCGGCCTGGGGTTGTCCTGGAAGAAGCTCACGACCCACATCGACGAAGTATTGGCAAGGCATGAGGAACTCGATGTACCTCCTCCCCAGCTCACTCTCGTCGAACGCATGATCGGTTACAACTTCACGCGTAAAGCCTTGCTCATACAGGCCCTGACCCACGCCAGCTACACCGGCGACTTGGCCACCATGTCCTACGAACGGCTGGAGTTCCTAGGAGATTGCGCATTGGACATGATCGTCACCGACATGCTCTATCATGCCGAGGGATGGAATTACAAGCCCGGCCATATGCATCTGCGAAAAGAGGGCCTTGTCAACTCGCACTTCCTAGCATACTTCTGTCTCAAGACGTTCACCACTTGCGAGTCGCCGAACCCCTCGTGGTCACCGACGAGCGGCGTAACCGTTGGCACCGAGGAGCAGAAGATCTACCTCTGGCAGTGCCTGCTGCACTCCAGCCACCGTGTCCTGGAGGACCAGAACGTCACCTCCACGCGCTTCGAGAAGATTGGCCCCGAGATCGAGAAGGCTCTCAAGCAGAAGACCATCTACCCTTGGGCAGCGCTGACCAGCTTGCAGGCCCCCAAGTTCCTCAGCGACATGGTTGAGAGCTTGCTCGGCGCCGTGTTCCTAGACTCCGAGGGTGACTTCACGGCTGTGTGCGACGTGCTGCGCACCCTCGGCATCATGGACGTCCTCGAGCGCATCATCACGCGCAATGAGATGGACGTGCTGCACCCCATCTCGCGCTTGTCGATTTGGGCCGCCCAGCAAGACCCGCAGCAGAAGGTCAAACTCGCTGTGGAGAAGACGAAGGGGAACGTCAGTTGCGCTGTAATTTTGGACGGAGAGGAGCTCTTGAAGGTGACGGAGGTGTATCGCAGCAGGGCGAGTCAGGAGGAGGTCCGCTTTGCTGCTGCCGAACAGGCGATCAAGAAGTTGCGAGTATTGGAGGAAGAGGAAGAGGAGGACGCCATAGACGAGGAAGATAACACCTGGGGTGATGAGGTGCCCGAGTATGAATGGTGAGCATCGAGGAGATGATATCACATATACGGCTATGTTGCTATGATATATGGACGCTATCCATCGCACACCTTCAATCGCATTTAGCCTGTGGTTAGATATCGCAGATACTGTATCATTACAACGTTACAATAAGCAAGACGTCGCACCCAGCTGCAGATGGTGGCCGAGCTACACCATGAATTTCTAAAGCCCGATCTCAATGCTCCGTCTCCTCCCACGTGCGCCCGACAGTCTTGATGAGGTCGGCCTCGGTGACAACTTTCGCGTTGCTGAAGTATCCAGCCGCAATCTTTGCGTCGATCTCCACACGAGAGTCGGGTGGCAGAAGATGCTCTGCGGGAGAATGAGTTCCGAAGGTGAAGCATGGGCGTGGCACGTACCAGGAATGTCATAGCGTTTGATAATCGGGATACCGGACTGTACAATCGCGTCATATTTCCTGTAGTGATGCATGATTCAGCCTCTGCTCTTTCCCTAACGCGAAGGAGGCGTACATGTCACTCATAGAAACCATGTTGTCGATCTTCTTGATACCGAACCAGTGCAGGACGTCCGGCATGAGCGCCTGGAAGCGCATGTCCTTGACACCTGCGATGAGCTCCGTCGCCTTGAAGTACTTGTCTGCAGAGTCAACACCCCGCTTGCGTAGGTTGTAGACCAAGTACCTGTCCGCCGATCAGCAGTGACTTCGCAGGGCATGAAGAGGAACGTACTTGGTAACTTCGCCTAGCGCACGACCCTCCTTGCGGAAGTAGACCACGAGGCCGACGCCTCCGCGCTGGGCACAGCGGACACACTCCTCGATGGCGTAAATCAGGTATGGCTTGCATGTACAGATGTCAGATCCGAACACATCGGAACCATTGCCTGTGAACGCCATGTAAGATGGGGTTATGCTTTAAGAAGTGGGGAACATACATTCGTCATGTACACGCAATGTCAGCTCCTTTGTCTCGTCGTGGAGATATGCAGGATTGCCGACTAAGGGACGTTGTTGGTAGTTGACTCGCGGTGAATGAACGCTACTCACAAATGTACGCAGTGAGGTTACCGATTGGAGGAAGGAAGACCTTGATGTCTGGTCGAGTGATGAGTTCGGGATACATGCCTCCGGTGTCCTCGAACAGTGCTCGTCGGAGCAGGCTCTCGGAGCTATCCACGACGTCAACATACGATCTGCTTCTGCAAGCCTCACAAACTCACATGCCGAACCGCTCTGCAACACCCGGGAGGTACCACACAGGCTCAACAGCAGCCTTGTTGATAGCAATCTCCACACCAGAGTCCGCCGTGCTCTCCGTCCCATCCGCATTCCTCAACGGCAAGCTCTTGATCAGAATCTTCCCATCCACCACCAAGTCCCCCTTCCTCGTCGTCTCGTCAATCTCGCTCAGCTTCAATGCCCCCGAGTGACCGCGATGCTCGGGCGCACATCCAAGCCGAGCTCCTCCAGCTCGCGCCGGAACACCTGCGGGACGACGTGGCCCCACGGGTCGAACGAGACGATCTTCGTCGGGTCCGACCATCCCGGCTGCGGCGTGATCGAGAAGCTCGGCTCGGTCTTGAGTATCGGCTTGTGCGAGGGCATGAGCGTGCCCATCGCATCGCGAGCGCGCGGTAGATGGAGTAGGAGCCGGAGTGCGCACCGAGGGCGTTCCGCTGCTTGATGGAGGAGGGGAGGCGCGAGCAGATGACGGGGCCGCGTACGGAGGGGTCTGCGACGCCCCATTGGAGAGGGTAGGGCTTGATGCCGTGCTGGTCCGGGTAGGCTAGAGGCGACAGATGTCAGCATAACGAAGGAGGTTGTTTAGTCTCAACAATTCCAAGCGAAGTCCGACCACCATCATTGGCTTCAGCTCTGAGGCGCTATGTATGAAGTCATTGAGAAGAACATGGATGTCGTCGCCGCCTCACACTTGAGCTCGAGTAGGAAGGATTCCAATCGTTCAGAGAGGTCCAAGCACGTCAACATCTCCAGTCGAGGGACTCACTCGCTAGGGCTAAGAGCAACTGAGTCTTGGAGGCTCATTTTGAGACTGTCCTCTAAATTGTCAGAAACAGGTGATCAAAGAAGATCCGCGTGTGTGGCCATGATCGTAGCCATCCGCCGCTGGTGGATAGCTTCACTGGGACGCAAGTCCACGACCGACATAGGAGGCCCTGCAACGACATTCACGGAAGAGGTCGTCAACTCACTCGTCAACAGGACTCGCCCCGGGTACAGCAATCTCTCGCGCTCCTTGTCGCCCAACGGCTTGTCCTTGTCAATATTCAAGGCAGGGGTCGGTGGCGACTGCGTGCCCGTCAAAGAGTTCAGGGGCGAGATCGTCGTCGCCGTGATCCCGGACAGGGACCCCTCTCGCGAGTGTGCTTGGGGAATAGGGATGCCATTGCGGGGCGGCGAAGACACCGGGCTCACAGGCGGGTTGGTCAACGCATCTAGCTGCGATTCCGCTTCAGCTGCCGCGCAACGGTTCCATCGTGTTCCACACGCACCTTGGCTTGCAATGCCTGCTGGGAGACCTGGAGGGCCTCGAGCCGGCCAAGGATCTGGGTGAGGATTGCGTCGGAGACGGGCTGCTGGGTCGTCGACATGGGAGGGGAGAAGAGATTGCGTGGATTCAGGGGATGGACTTATATGATATGCACTCAGCCCACGCCCGGGCGGCGAGGCTGCTCGTCGGTCCCTCTTCCGCGGTCGCGGCACTCATGACACGATACGGCGGCGGGAGTATGTAAAGAACAGCTGATAACACCAGGCGCTCGTCCAGTTCGAGCACATCCGGTTAAGTTCTGTAGTACGCCAGTCCGACTCTGGTCCGGTCTAAGTACCTCGCCTCCATGAGCTTTACGGTGCCTTTGTGAGAAGTTGGCTACCCAACAAATACGTAGTCATACATAGGGGACAATCCCGAGGGCCGTACACCAGTTGCCACTAATCTACAGTAATACAACAACCGAGAAGAACGAAGCAAGTCATGGGGATACAACGATATGTGATGCACCTGGAACGAACGAAGGGAATGGTGCAAGGATGATGATTGGGGATAGGCATTTTGTAGTTCGGAATCTCTGCAAACTCAAGTCGTGTAAGGGAAGAAGCAATGTCCTTTCCTTGGTCGTGAAAGGTACAAGGCAACGATGTGGATCCGTGAGACAAACATTTGCTGGCGCAGCTCGCCTGCCATCGTCTCCCTTGGTGACAAGAAAGACTACCACGGGGATCAAACTCTCCGCTTGTCCTGCCTGACGCGGTGTGAGGGTGCCGGCGAGAACGTGTCCAGAGGCTGGCTGGGCTGGCATCTCGCAAGCGAGAAGAGGTGCATCGTCGACTGCACGCGACGCAGTTTCGTGGCTTTGGGAGCGCATCGCCCGCAGCCGGTCGAGCACGATGGCTACCAGCTTTATCGAATGCGCCGTAGTGACTAGCTTGATCCGCAGGCCCGCTGTACTGACCAACGGTGATAGCAGCGGTGACCTCTGGGGTCCGTAGGGTTCTGCTCGACGCCACCCGCTTCGCCGAGACCGCCCGCATCGTTTCTCTCGCCGCCATCTCCCGCCTGTAGTGCGACTCGCCTGCCACCAACGTGTTCCACGAGTCGACGAGTGCGCACGCCTTCGAGCAGTATCTGTCACGCTCGGGCTTGACACTGAACCAGTTTCCGCACAGGCATTGTTTGCGGCGAGTGTTGGGACGGCGAGATGGGGGAGAGGAGACTGAAGTCATTGCGAATAGGGTTGATGGCGAAGACGAACGGGAAGAGTAAACAAAGGCGTGTTTCTGGGTGTATGCTGGTTGACGTTTGAAAGGAGGAGCACGTACGTGTGGTCTTTATACGACTGGCTCCGGAGTACGACACCCATACCATTATGGACAAAGCGTGTAGTGCTCTTTCCTTTGGCACCACTAACGGGCTTTGATTGTCCAGGTAACCGGAATCGCCTCAGAGGGTCAGGTCAGATGATGTTGTTTCGGTAAGGCTAGGAGCTGGTGCTGTATCGCCAGTGCGGACGGAGTCGCAGACCAGTGAGAACAGAACCAAGGATCGTTACGTCCATGGAGACTCGGAAATCCGTCAGAGAAAGCTGTCAGCAATTCGACGAGCAGTGTTGACACAAAGGAAGCCGAAAAAAACATCGTGACTCTCCATGCGGAGACAGCATGCAACCCAGCGACGGAGATGGTGGTTGAAAACGAAGACGGGGAGTTGGGCGCAAGTTGGGCGGACCGGTGGATGATCCTTCGCTCAGCCAATCAGCGTCTGGGTACTGGAAATTTAGTTAGACGCTCGCGATCATACTTGTCCTTCTCCACTCGCTCCCTCACCAATTATTGCACTCAGGCCTCTAGAAAGCGGGGTTGGATCTTTCAAGAGGGAAGCTGTACTATTGGAAGGCTCGATCTATCTTCTTCCTTCAACAGTCGGTAGAACGACATGCGCAAGCAGCTCGACCCCCGCTTGCCCATCCTCATCAATAACAATGTCAAGAAGAACCACCGTTCATTCGTAGTACTAGTTGGAGACAAGGGAAGGGACCAGGTGAGCTGCGTTGCTACATCTCACATGGATCTGTGTAGTAGCTCAACCCACATAGGTCGTGAACCTGCACTTCCTGCTCTCCCAAGCCCGCGTGTCTGCGCGGCCTTCCGTCCTATGGTGTTACAAGAAGGAACTGGGATTTACGAGGTGAGTCGGAGAGCCTTAATCCAAATAAATAGGTCTGACTTTGTTCTTAGTCACCGCAAGAAGCGAGAGGCAAAGATCAAGCGTGATGTGAAGCGTGGTGTCCGAGAGCCCAACGAGCAAGACCCCTTCGAGATTTTTATCACCGTCACCGACATTCGCTACACGTACTAAAGGAGTCGCACAAGATCCTTGGTCAGACGTATGGGATGTGTGTACTGCAGGACTTCGAGGCGATAACGCCGAACCTACTCGCACGGACGATCGAGACGGTGGAGGGAGGCGGTTTGGTCGTGATCTTGCTTAAGACGATGAGTTCGCTGAGACAGTTGTATACTATGTCTATGGTACGTCCATGCGCCTGACTCCTTGAAACCTCACGCTGATTGCGTGCAGGACGTTCATGCCCGGTACCGAACGTCTGCGCACGATACCGTGGTTGCTCGCTTCAACGAACGCTTCATCCTCTCTCTCGGTTCCTGCGACGACTGTCTTGTATTGGATGACGAGCTCAACGTCCTCCCTATATCCCGTGGCAAGGACATCAAACCCATCGAGGAGGAACGCGGGAAGGGCAAGGCCGAAGGCGAGCTGAAGGACCTCAAGGATAGTCTCGCAGACACGAAGCCCGTTGGCGAACTGATTAAGCTCTCGAAGACCCTCGACCAAGCGCAGGCGATTCTCACATTCGTCGATGCGATTGCGGAGAAGACGCTGAGCTCCACGGTCACCCTCACCGCGGCCCGTGGACGAGGCAAGTCTGCGGCTCTCGGTCTTGCGATCGCCGCGGCGCTCGCGCATGGGTACTCGAACATCTTCGTGACGAGTCCCAGCCCGGAGAACTTGAAGACGCTGTTTGACTTCGTGTTCAAGGGCATGGACGCGCTTGGTTATGAAGAGCACCTTGACTATGACATCGCACAAAGTACGAATCCGGACTTCAACAAGGCCATCGTGCGAGTCAATGTCTTCCGGCAACATCGACAGACCATCCAGGTACGTATCTTGCGCATCCACCCGTTCCCCCACTTACTCCAAGTTCTAGTACATCCAACCACAAGACGCTCATGTACTCGGGCAAGCCGAGCTGGTCATCATCGATGAAGCCGCCGCTATCCCACTACCACTCGTACGCAACCTGATCGGCCCATACCTAGTCTTCATGGCCTCCACCATCAACGGCTACGAAGGCACGGGCCGGTCGCTGTCCCTCAAGCTCATCCAGCAGCTGCGCGAGAGCACCCGACCCACCCTCTCAAAAGACGCGTCCGCAGACGACGCCGCCCCTACAGCAAGCTCGTCCAAGAAGCCCCTCGCGAAGGCCCCGCCCAAGTCGCGCACACTGCGCGAGATCAAACTCGAGACGCCGATCCGGTATGGCACGGGCGACAAGGTCGAGAAGTGGCTGAACGCGCTGCTCTGCCTCGACGCGACGGTCGCGCCGAAGAGCGCGGTGCACAGCACGCCGCATCCGTCGCAGTGCGAGCTGTTCTACGTGTCGCGCGACACGCTGTTTAGCTATCACCCCGCGTCGGAGGTGTTCCTGCAGCGCATGATGGCGCTGTACGTCGCGAGTCACTATAAGAACCAGCCGAACGACTTGCAGTTACTGAGCGACGCACCTGCGCACCACTTGTTTGTGTTGTTGCCGCCGATTAAGGACGATGAGAGCACACTTCCGGAGCCACTCGTCGTGCTGCAGGTCGCGCTGGAGGGCAACATCAGCAAGCAGGCGATTCTGGACGGGCTGAGCCGAGGCTACAGAGCGGGCGGAGACATGATTCCTTGGTTGATTTCTCAACAATTCCAGGAGAACAAGTTTGCGCTGCTCTCTGGAGCACGAATAGTTCGTATTGCGACACATCCGGACTATGCCAATGTGAGTTGACTGTCCTGTCTTCGGCGGAGAGTGCCTAACGAGTGTGTACTACTCAGATGGGCTACGGAGCACGCGCACTGCAGGCTCTGAACTCATTCTATAGCGGGGAGTACTTCAATCTCGACGAAACCGCTCAGCTGGAACCATCCTACCCTGACCCCGCTGCGATCGACGAATCTACAAATCTCCTGACGGACAAGCCAACTATCCGATCGGCGACAGCAATGCCACCACTGCTCCAGCGCCTTACTGAGCGGAAACCTGAGACAATCGACTACCTCGGTGTGTCTTACGGTCTCACGCCGCAGCTTCTCAGATTCTGGAAGCGTGCGGGATATGTCCCGTTGTATGTTCGACAGACGACGAGCGAGCTTACAGGGGAGCACACGTGTGTCATGGCGCGGGGCCTGAACACGTCGATGAATAGCGAACTCGAGTGGCTCGGAGAGTTCGCCAAAGGTAAGTGTTGGAACTCTCGTTGTGTCTATCCCGCTCATCAAACCCCCAGACTTCCGGAGACGATTCCTGTCGTTGCTATCGTTCAAGTTCAGGGAATTCGGCAGTGTCACGGCTTTGAGCATCTTGGAAGCCGCGAACAATGGAGTCAAGAAGCTGGGTTCAGAGCGTACGAAAGGTGGGAAATCTCATTTGTCATATACTAAGTATGCTCAATGAACCTCTTCTCCGCAGAGCTGACAAACCGGGAGTTGTCCTTCATCCTGTCGCCCTTCGACCTCAAACGCTTGGAATCATATGCCAACAACATGCTTGACTACCATGTTATCTTGGATTTGCTGCCAACTGTCGCTTCTCTGTACTTCGAGAAGCGGCTAGTCGAGGATGTCCACCTCAGCGCCGTGCAAAGCTCAATATTACTTGCATTGGGTGCGCAACGCAAGACGGTTGAGGAGGTTGAGGTAAGCTCATGCTCTGGGAGTACATGAAGGAAACTCATGCCATCGCACACAGTCCGAGCTGCAGCTTCCGGTTTCTCAGGTCCTAGCGCTCTTCGTTAAGATTGTTAAGAAGATCAGCAAACGGCTGCACGACATTCAGCGACAAGCCATCAGTGCCGAGATGCCAGAGGAGCCCGCGGCATCTCGTATTGACGGGGACGCCAGTGCGACAAACTGGAAGCCCGTTGAGACGAGCATTACGGACGAGCTGAAGGATGCTGGCGACGAGGTGACGAAGTCGCTGCGGGAAAAGCAACGGCAAATGATTGACTCGCTCGATTTGAGCAAGTGAGTCTGCTGTACCCTGCCACGATTGAATTTCATCGTTAGTGGTGTTCGTGCCGCTTACAGAGCTTTTCCACTATAGGTACGCCATTGACGACTCCTCAGCAAATTGGAGCGTGGCTGAGGCGCAGGTAGCCAAGCTCGCGAACGGTGAAGGCGGTGGCAAATCTACCGTCGTCAGTGTCAAAACCGCTGTGACCGGCCAGAAGAGGAAGGCGGACGTTGGCGAGGAGAAGCCAATGAAAGACAAGAAGGGGGCACGGAGGAGTATAAAGAAGGCGAAGCGGTAGGAATGAGTGCGTATCTATTGTCTTTTTGCTCTAGTCGGGTACATTGCTGTCTCTTTACATGCATTGTTATATTTCAACAGTCGCAGATGATGCTCGAGGTTTTTTTTCTTTTTAGAGGGCCAGTCGGCTACAACGAGGTAATCCTCGTTTCCCCAGGGAAAGATGCATTGACGCACGAACATCCCTGTGGAGAGAACCTCCCCAAGGATGAACGGTGTGAGACTCAGACCTTCGTCGCTCCCGTCGCCGAGCAGCGACGGTCGCTCAGGTATACTACCCACTAAAACCCCCCATCCTAGGGCCGCAGCACGCCGGTAGGGGCCTTCCCATTGCGCCACGACCTTTCGGATTCCTCAGGAAGAAAACCCAATTGCAGTCTGCGCACGAGACACTCAGTATATAATCAGATTCCAGCGCTCCCGATCGACTCACCTTCCACTTCCCGGACTTCATGGGGCCCGCTTGCCTTGACGCGCATCTCTGTAAAGGGTCAAACGCATGGAAATAACGGATATAGAAGGCTGATTAGTACTACTTGAGCCCGCCGAAGGCCAGCAGATTCAGTGGTCATTAGGTCATGACTCCTCGCACTGGTGATCATACCGGACGACATTGGGCCCATACCTGGAGATATCCTAGTCCTGGGGCCAATCCTGGGGTGGTCTTGAGGTCTTGAGGTGATCCTCAGTTCGCTCGAACCAGGGACGGTGTGGGGGACGGTGCGAGGGATGGTGTGCTGCGGTTTGAGTTGAGGCTGAGGTCTGAAAGAGAACCAGAAGAAGCTCAGTAGACAATGGGGAATGTCCGTAGCTCAGTATGGGTAGGTCCAGTCTGTAGTCTAATGGAAGGGAGGGGAGGGAGGGAAGGGAGGGTAGTAGGTCCGTCGGTGCGATCGTAACGTAACGTATCCTAAGTATCAAGCGTCCGGTCCAACAAAGCAAGCACTCATTCACTACACGTCCACCTCCGGGCCGAAAAACTCCTCCCACAGATCGTCCATCGACCGAGCAGGCGCAACCACAGAGCGCTGCGTCCCTGCCTCCTTGAAGTCTGCTCGGGAGACGACCGCCGGCGTCGCTGGCGTGACGACGACCTCCGGGACTGTCTTCGCCGCCGGATGGAACGCTTCCAGCAGGGACTCATCGGAGTCCGAGTCGGCGTCATTGGCGGAGAACGCAGGGAAGGACCTCCCTACGACGGCGACGACAGGCGGAGGAACCGAAGCGGGGAGGAATGCAACGGCGGGGATCCCCTCCGGAGGAAAGCAGAACCTAGCAGGCTCATCCTCATGCCCTAGAATGTCGTTCATGTCCGCCCAGAGCTGGCGCTCGAGTTCCGAGTCCGATGCGATCAGGGTGCCAGCCTCGTCATCAGTAGAAGCGGCCGGAGGCATTGGCACCTCAACAGGCGCACGAGGGCGACGACGAACTGGCAGGGGCTTCATAGGGCGCGAGGGAAGAAGTGTGGAGTCCTCGGGCTTCGCATGCTTGTCCTCTGCGAAGGGGAGAACGTCGACACTAGCGCTGAAGTCCACATCGAACACATCGACCATGACTGTGTCCTCGTCGATTGGCGTGGGAGGGATGGAGCTCGAGGAGGAAGCCGTGGTAGAGGAGAGGGTACAAATCATGGGAGGCGGAACGGGCTCCCAGTTCATCGCAGACTCGTCCCTGGCGTCGGCAGCTGGGGAAGGTCAGCGGGCGTGCCAACAGGGACAGCAGGGACAGCAGGCGTGCGGGGAATCGACTCGTCGGGCGACGTCCAGAACGATTGGGACAGCGGCGAGGGTCCCCTCTTAACCTTCGGCTCACTAGGGCAGAACCGTCAGAACTCGAATCCCCACAATTAGTTGCGGCTGCCACTCACGAAAGAGAACTTGTAGGAGCAGCCTTAGCCACCGGGAGGGTTCGAAGGTGATTCACAGCCACGACAGATGTGCCCGTCTGTACGGCCTCGATGATCGTAAATGGGCGGGAGCGGACAGGCTTGTAGGCAGGCGAGGGAACCGCCGTCATTGGAGCCTTGACCATCCTATGCACCCGCGGCATCGAGACCCTAGCTTTTGTCGAGGTGACCTTCGGTGGCGACCGGGCACGCATCCGCTCAGAGTCGTCGTTGGATCCACCTGAGATAGTACGGCGTTGACGCGGACGCCCTCTCGCGAGCTCGGGAACAGGCTTACCGCGAGACTTTGCGAATAGCTTGGAGACTGAGCGAATGATATGTGACCTGCTCGAGCCGGAGGGATAGCTCAGAGCTGATGCGGAGGCGGGGGCCTGCCCCTGCTTTTGTTGGGCCTGCTGCATGTGCTCGAGGCGCACCTCGCTGAACTTGGTGGAGGTAGCACAAGAAGGGCGCCTATGTTCACGAACGGGTACAGACTCTGCAGCGTCCATACCCGCCGTTGCGGCACCCGGTGCTACCACCAACATTTGCGAGATGATTGCCTGGCGGAAGAGCTTGGAGGAAGGCATGACAGCAAGAGTGGGAGTTGTGAGAGAAAGGTGTGGTAGGGGATCGTACAAAAGCACTGAGATGATGGTAGTAGATAGCACAATTGAAGGAGCGGATGGCTACTGACGGCCGTATATAAAGCCTTTGGGTGTGGTCAGCCCCCGAATTTCGATTCAACCTGAAGGGCGAATCGAAATTTGGCGGCGGCTGACCACGCTCGTACACTTTATGCTGCACGACCCGTCAGTCATCATCTCTAGATACATTTTCATGGAGGACAGTCTCGGACTGCAGTGAAGAGCACCACGTCGCTGCTTCGCATGCAGATGCGCATGAGACTCACCGGGTACCGCGTCCAGTTACTAGTAATACACTAGAACTTTCCTTGAAGTTGTGTTCCTACATTGATGTTGGGTTTGTACGCCCGTACAAACCCAACATCGATGTACGGTGAGTTACTCAAAGTGCAGATCATGGTTCAAGTTCATTCCTTCGCGTCGCTCTGACTCAGTCGCCGCGCTGTGGTACGTAAGACGCGTCACGGTCCCGTGATCATCGAAAACTCGTCGGATCGTCGGATCGGTTCATTTCGGCGAATCAAACTGAATCGCAAACATCGCTTGCGTCTGACTGTTCGCACCGGCCAGTGACTCTGAGCGCACCCAGTTTCTCTAGGTCCTCAGTATGGAAACCAAAAGTGAGCAGCCTCGCTTCCTGTCACAGAAGTGACATCTCGTGATCCGTGATCTCGGTTATCGGGTCACGGTTAGGCGACGCGCCACATCCGACCACGCCGCGCCGCGCCACACCCCCGACGCGCGTGCTTCGTTGTCGTTGTCGCCCATAGCGAGCTCCGCCCTAGCACGTACGAGTTCAGTGCCTAGCACATGTCGAATACACTGAGTACCTGTTCATATGTAAGTGTATCTGTTGTTTGCTACGGGCCTGTGGCACCTACAAGGCAATATTAATGAGCCCGGGCCTCACGAGTGACGAGCCGTGGTGCAGCCCTTCAATGGTGCGTGAGGCAACTGAAAGTCAGGATACCATATATTAAGAGCCCTATGTTTGTCATAATTCGGTGACTGTACCTTAGAAAATAATCCCCCGCCTACAATCATCCACACGAACTTGACCGGCGGCTAGCGCCCGACGAAGCCGCTCAGTCGGAATCTCGCAGCGGCGTTACTGACTTGCGGGTCGAATACTGCAGTCTGCCAATCAGACTCATTCTCGCGCGCTGCGCTCTTGAATGGGCGTGCTGACTCCATAGACTCGGAGTCTCTGCTTGTGACGAGGTTCAATGGAGACTCACTCGGAGCCATAAGTCCGGGAATTCGACTCGGAGCCTACTAGTAAGGCTCAAACTCGTTTTATAGTGCCAGTGACTAGTCGACTGGACTTGGAGAATCACGACGCCAATTCGGCTGCATTACAGTAAGCACATAGGTAGTGAGGGAAAGTGTGAGATGGAGGATTATCAGCATATGTGGATGCGTGGCAGCGTAGTGATGAATGTAGCGTAGTTCAGAAAGTCGCAGTGATTAAAACTCGATACTACTATGAACATTAGCACGTCTTGCTGAACGAATGATATACTGCAATGGACGTCCAGGATCCCAAGTCAGTACTTCAAGTGAAACTGGACTGTAACTCGGAGCCAATCATCATGACTCACTTACCCGGCGGCCGACGCCCACTTGGTCGCTCGAGAGTCGAAAGCCTTTCTGATGAAGATCTGAAGCTTCATAACTCGCCGCAGTCCGGTAGCTCGAAGTACTTGCAGAAGGTGTTGCAGACGTGGTCGCGCTTGAAGTTGCGGTGTGTATTGGCGAGGTTCCCTTTGCTGAACAATTCGCGGCCAAGGCAGCTACCAGAGTCCAAATGGCATCAGAATATCGGAAGAGACAGCCAAAACAATTCAAACTTACGGATCTGTGATGATCTGCGGATCCGACAATAGAGTATTGCCTCCTAATGAGTATCGTCTCTTTGTGAGCTTGTCTGTGTCTACGAAGAAACAACTTGAAGCGATCATGTCTCCGAGGAGTCGTACCTTGGAAGTCAGCAGTAAAAGCTTGAGTGCTCGTATGCCAATATTGGAAGTGCTGACAGAACGCGAGGAACTCTGCTCGCTTGAAGTTCTGTGGATCCGAGTTGTTCATATCGATGAAGCGATGACGAGCTGTGTTATTGTTCATATACTTTCTCCACTCGCCTTCCACCTCTGAATCGATTAGTTCCTCCACCAGATACACGGCCTTGTCCCTGGGGCGCATGGCACTGTCGGGAACATTTGTAACTGCCAAACCCGTGCGGACGTAACGAAAGCGAGGGATCTCCCAAGGGAATGTTGAGCGGTGCTTGGCCTCGTACGTGTCAATAAACTCGTAGACGGCCCGGAGAAGTGCGTCTGCCCAAAGCGTAGCAAGCACGTCAGTGACAAGCTGCGCAACATGCTCCGTCAGGACTGTGACGTGATCCGAGTCATCTGGCTGGACACTGCTACCAGATGAGATGCTGGTGGCAGTGCTGTTGCGTAGCTGCTTCACTGCAACACGTCCATCAGGCGAGGAGATGCTGGGTTCGAATGGTGATGGGTTGATACGTCCACGTCGCATCGTCTTGAAAGCGCCAGACTGGACTCGGTGGCCAGTGTTGTAGAACATTGTTGCTGCGACAGGTTGAGTCTCGCGCATCCAAGTGAGAAACCCACTGGTGTTGGACGTTGCATGCTCGCTAATGAGATCGTTGTACGACCTAACTGGGCAGTCATAGAACAAAATCGGGACACCAGTTGCACTCACTAGATATTCAGGAATACGTGGTTCAAGATGTGGCAGCAGCATCAGCAAGACAATCACTTTTATCATGGCGACAAACATAAAGACTCACAGAAGCCCAATATCTCCTTAGACTGCGGTTCACGTTGACCAGAAAGAGCCCGCTGAATGCGGACTACAGAAGAATTCGCATCGGGAAGGATGGAGACATCGCGAGAATCATTCAGTGAACCATCAGCGACAGGCGCTCCGAGACGGCGCCGCTTTGCAGCTGACTCCTGTGGCTCCAGCGTACTAGGCCCGGGCGCATGGTCCAGAGTAACAGGCTGCGGCTCGTACTGTAGCATCCTGTCAGGCTAGCGATGAAATGAACATGTTAGTGACCTATTCTGCACAAGAAAGAATCAAATAGATGCAAACCTGCCGATCCGAGGCCTGCGACTCAAATTGCGGGGGCAAGTTATCTCTCTTTCGCTTTTGAAGTGATTTTGCGAGGGGGCGAGGCCGTGGCTGCGGAGGGCGGGATGGAGCCTGAAGGCGGTTGCCTGGTATGGAGAGCGATGGACTCTGACTCAGTCTCTGAGGGCGAGCAGTGATTGAAGCGACTACTAGCTCCGTGACTGGCTATACAAACAAGTTAACTTAAGGGAAAAATCAAATGAGAAGGGGGTCTTCGACGAACCTCGTCCGAGTCACAGTCACCTGGGTCCAGTCCGACATCGGCATCCTCAATGGCAGGTGATAGCTTTGCATGAGTTTTCTTATAGAACTCGGCATCAGAGACGACCTTGCTGTCAATCACAGCCATGACGATGATCTGCTGAGCTACTTTCTTTGGCTTGCCGTTCGCTTGAACACCACCACAGAGATCCCTGATTGGATGGTCGTCGTCATCAACGTCACACTGCCTTGAGTTCAATAACGCCCTGATGTGATCTGGCTGAAGGCGATGACCGCGATACTCCTCGAGCCAAACTCCACTGAAAGCATGGAGGATGAGGTTCGTCAAATTGTGCTTGTTGACGCTGGAGGGTATATACTGCATCAGGAACTTGCGCAATCTGTCTGACGGCCATCTCAGAGGCTTCAGAAGCCTTCAGAAGCCTTCAGATTGCTTCAGATTGCCTCAGAGCATCAGCCCTCATGACCTCGATTTCTTTCGATCCTAACTCATCAGACAGGATCCTCAGAACGTTCAGACAGCATGTCAGACTACTCAGCTGGTCAGCTCGTTCAGCCAGGACACAAGAAATCAACGAAATCATATATTTTGTATTGTATTCATTGCTACTGCTGTACAAAAGAACACGAGCTAATCATTATGTATTGTACGCGTGTGCGAGCTACTACTGCCGAGTGGGTTCACACATGTATCGGGCTCACTCCCGCTCGTCGTGTTCGTACTCGGTGCCCTGGCTCCTTCTCGTGCTGGGGTACAGCACGCTCGTCCTTCACGAGCCTATGCGCGTCGAGCTGGGGCATGCCGGGCTGTTGCTCGGCGGGCCCTTACATGCCGCGCCGGGTGCCCCGGTGGACCTGTCGCAGTCATGGTCATTTAGCTGGATCGTACCGGGCTTGGCGAACTAGCCCGCGTCGTACCAGTGCGCGTCAGTTCGAGATCAGTATACATAGGCGGCCGGCTCTTCAATGCTGTTGGGTCCGTGCACAGTATGTTGCATACCTGTTGGGTTTACGCTAGCGGGCTTGTGTCGTCAGCTGGTCGCACGCCGTCAGGATTCACATGTACTCGCACCTCATCTGCATCAATATCTCGTACTTCGGGCCGTGCACCTCGTCCCAGTGCTGCACGTCGAGGTGGCGCAGCGTCCGCGGGATGAGAACCGTGCGTGTCGACTATCTGTCGGGCTCGCATGCACCAGGCTTGGTGAGCTCGCACTCGCTCGTGGATCATTGCTCGGCGGACTTACACGGAGCGGAACTGGGCGGGCTGGCACTCGCTCGGCTCGGGTTCGTCAGGCTGGTGTAAGTACAGCGGGCGGGCTATGCTCCTCCTCGCCATGTTCGTGCTCGAAGCATATACACTTCTCGAGCTTGCACATGACAGCTACGGCCGAGCATGGCTATATCCAGGCTCGACCCGGACCGTCCCGGTACAGACCCGCCACAGCGGGTACGGGTGCGGCGCGGGTCAGTGGGTCTGGGGAGTCATGCACGGGTCTGTACGGGCGAGCGGGACGGTGGGTGAGCGACACGGCAGGTAAGTAGGGCAGCGAGAGGGACACACGTGAGAGGGACGACAGGGAGAGCGAGACAGTGGGCGCAGGACACGCAGGCGAGCAGGACGGCGGGCGAGGAGAGCGACAGCGGGTTCAACAACAGGCGAGGAGAGCGGCGGGCGCGTGAAACAGCAGGCGAGTGGAATAGTGGGTGTGTGAGACGGAAGGCGAGCGGGTGGGCGAGCTAGGGAGAGGGAGAGAGCGAAAGCGGCCGACCGAGTTGGCGAGCGAGCGAGTTGGCAGAAAACCCAGTAAGGGGATACCGTGGCGTGCCCGTCCTCAACAAGTCGATGCTCGGTGGGCCCTTGCACGCCGAGCTAGCCTTGTTGTACCAGTGCGCGTTGTATCGGTATGCACTTGCACTTGTTAAGCAAACGTGCGCCGGGACTGTCTCCGTTGTGTTCGACTCCATCCACTTGTCCTTGGTGGGCATTCTCGGAGTGGAGGTAAAAAAGCGATGTACTCACCTGATTCATTTGCCCTGCTGGTCACAACCCGCATTCCTCCCTGCATTCTAGCCCTTCGCTAGCCTCCAGCGACGCTCTTCGTGCGTCGCTGGGGCTCGTTGCAGTCGCATACAGCGCGATCTTGAGCCGCGTAATGGTCCGGCGCACATGGCGTCTCTTGCGGACGGGTCCACAGGTCTGTACTGGAGGTCGGCGGTGGGCAAGCAAGGGCGAAGCAGAGCGGGCTGACAGTGCTAGTGAAGCTTGAAGCTTGAAGGCGGACTGAGAGTCGAAGTCCAGCGAGCGCGCGTGACGTGTCGTGGCTGAGGCGCTTAGCACTTGTCGCGAGTCGCAGCCTGTCGCAGCCTCCACGTCGACGCCGACTCCACTTCAACACCGCACGGTAGCGTCACACTCAAGGCACATGCAGAAAGCGAAGGAGAATCGAGGGTAACACGGAGCTGGGGGGGCATGGAAGGGATAGTAGCAGGGATAGTACAGGTGAGTGTGTTCTTACCTGTTCGCCCGCCTGCTCCAAGTCGCCAGCCCTCTTACTATGCCCGCCTATCTGCCTACTCGCCCGCGCTCGCCTTCTTGCTGGTTCGCCCACTCGCGCGTTCTCGCGTGCTCGTCCTTAATCTCTTGGTAGCACACGCGCCTGCCCGTTTGCTCTCGTTCGTCTAGTCTCGCGGCTCGCCTCCCCACTAGCTCTCTCATCAACCCGCTCCTGCCCTTCCGCCGTCGTCCTCGATGTCCTGCCCGCACGCACCCGCACGATCCTACCAGCTCGCTCGCCAATTCACCTCGCTCCGGCTCGTCCGCCCACCCGCCAGTTCACCCGTGCGCACGCTCGTCTGCCCACCCGTGCGCCCGTTCGCCTGCCCACCCTTTCGCCCACTTGTACCGCTCCCGCTTCCTCTTGTCTGCGCTCCTGCTCGCCCGTTTACCCGTGGATCCATAATCCCGCCTTCACCCGCACGAAACCCGTACCAGCTCAGATGAGTCTGTACCCGGGCGGGTCATGGGTACGGGTCGAGCTCGGGACACCCATAGATATACCCGTGCTCGGCCCTAGCTGCCGGAGGTTTGTTCTTCAACACCGTTCGATTTTCATTGACTCATGTCCCGACGCCCACACCTGCAGCGCATCGCTCCCGACACGACTTCTCTCACACCTACTGCCGCGCTCGACACACAATAGGACAAGTTGAACGAAGGTACGTACGAGTATCGACAACCGTCTTAATCTACTCACAAAGCTCATCTCACAGGCTCTGCTAACGGCTGCGTGCGTGCCCGTACACTACCTCCCACTGTGCGATGTCTCACGGTTAACCAAGACACCGCCCACCACATCTCGACCAGCTACGCGTGAACCACTAGCCTAGCAATTGGCCCGCGTACATCACAGCCCACGTTGTCCTTCGACCTCGTGGCGCTGAGCGACTTTATCTACACCCACCCGCCAGTCATCCGAGTCAAACACTGTGTTCCGCCCTCGCGCGCCCCATCGCCAGCGAACGTATACACATTCCTGCACGGTATGCACTGCCGACTCGCAAACGTGCCGGCCCGCACGCTCGTCCGGTGAATGTTCGCGGCCAGTGAAGGTGGTAGCTGACGAAAGATGATCTGCGGGTCCCGCCGGCCCATGCGAGTAGGATAGCAAACGAGTATATGGGGTGGCCAAGATAGCAGATGGGGCAGACGAGACGGCAGACGAGACGGCAGACGGGTCGAGAGAGGGTACATGGGGCGGGCGAGTCAGCAGATGTCACCGGCGAGACGGCGAGACACGAGCGAGGCGGCAGACAATGTGGGCGGGACAGCAGATGGTGCGAAAGAGTGAATAGATGGTGCGACTCGTGAGCCTGTGTCGACGGCGACCATCTGCTTTAGTGTAGTTACTCACCATGTATTCTCTACGTACAATGCTCTCTTGTCATCGACATCTACCGGAATTATTGGGAATTGAATAGATGATTTATTATATGGGACAGTCCTATACAACCACATTGGCTCATTGAACTATCTGACAAGTCTGAACTATTCTGAGGAATCTGAGCTATCTGGTGCTCTGAGTCACTCTGAGGGGTCTCCGTCAGTCCCCCAGATGCTCAGAAATTGCCCGATTTGCTGATGTGCAGTGTCTGGGCGGGCTGTACAACGAGAGATAGGCCGAAAATAGTCAATCATAGGAGACTTGTCAATCAGTGTATGAACATACCATGATTAGACGTGGGTTCGCACGGCCTTTCTCCTTTGTCACTAGCCGGGCACTCAAGACGACGGTATGTTCTGTGTAGCCCGCTGACTGTGCGCGCATTCGAAGCATGTCTCGGGTCTCCCGATATTCACTATGGGCCTCAGGATAACACAAGGCGGAGGGCAAGGGAACAGCAAGAGGGGGCATAATGAAAGGACGTCCTTGCCCAGACGGGCCAGGTGCATGGCCCTGTGGGAAGAGGGGTCGTTGCGATCCAGATGTTTTGCGAGGCGGCGGGACAGGCGGCGGCGGCGGCATTGATACACGTGGGAATTCAAGTTGGTGCGACCGCGATAGCGCAACAGGTTGCACGTTCGACTGGTTTCCTGCTCCCAGAGATGCAGCCTTGGATGACTACAGTATCAGGGCCTAAAAGAATTTTGTAACATACCTCTTTGTGCAGCTGAGACTTGTTTGCGAATCTGATCATGATTCGCCACCGAAACTGGCTGGCCCGATGCTATGTGGTGATATTCATAGAATTTATCAGCCCGTAATCCTGGTGAAGTGAGAGATGGAATTCGGGTACCTTTACTCTGACTCGGAGACTGTGACGTCCGAGTCGAGGTTCTCGGGACAGAAATAGACCCAATCTTGCTGCTGTAGTAGCGATAGCAGTCCGGGCAGACACGAATGACTTGCTTAGTGCTGCTAGTACTCTGTCCTTTCAGATTGACCTTCTTCCTCTGGCTAGAAGGATATTGCCTGTGACAAGCAGCCCTCTCGCATGTAGCCATGGCATCGCCTGCGACATAGGATGAGCCAGGGTTAAAGGACACACTGGCAATGACCCTTGAGCTTGACGAGTCCGACATGGCATGCCGCGGCACCAGCCAGCAGTCCTACGGTAGAGTACCAAAGTTAAGACCCGAATGAAAGCGAAGCAGGACTCAATGATGCGGGTGGATGAGCAAGGACTGGCGAGCTGGTCGCGGTCGCAGTAGTGGATGGACCGTTATGGCAATAGGCTGGCAATCCGCAGTCTTTCCCTCAATGCATTTTGCCGACTCAAGATCAGTCAACACGAACTACTTTTCACATCTATAGTGGCAGAATTGCTGGTATAGTTGCGAGTACGTATGAGCTAGTCCAATCCTACTAATCAGAAGAAGTCCAACCCAATCCCATGACTATCGGAATCATCGACGGCCTCCGTGTCAGAGATATCAACAAACAAGTCGGCCTCCGACTCGGCGTCGCTCTGCTCTACTTGCTCTGAGGGAATAACTACATCTCCAATACACTGGCGAGCGAATGGAACATCAAGGTTAGCTGGCATACACATTTCGTAACCAGATTCTTCAGGCGTGTGATGAGCCTGCTGAGTATCGCTTGTTTCGTCAAGCATGTTCTGAAATGCGACATCAGCGGGCATACTGCGCAGACCTGCAAGGATGCGCCGGTAGATGTCCCAGGCAGTGTCAAATTGGGGTTCCGGACGGCCAATAGCCGTCCACACAGCATTGGCACGCAGCGCAAACTCGTCTGGGACAAGCTTGAAGACGGGATCATCCCGAGGGGCATATATAGCCTCTATCTCATCAAAGAGCTCATCAGAGACAGGTATCTAGTATGTCGCTCAGCTACTATCAAAAGTAACAGAGCAATAGACAAGACGAGCCTTGTAATCGGCCGCATTGAATTTGTGCGGCTTCTGCATCACGAGCATTGGGATACCATTTGGAAGGACCTTCTTGCGGTCTGCACGTCGCTTCGTCCAGTTCTGGAGATGGACCCAGGCATCCGTCTCACGCTGGAGATATGGTATGAAGACGTATCGGAATGTCAACCTTTAACAAGACTTAGGAAGGCCAGCAGTAAGGTCAAGGTGTATCTGGCTTACATCTCAAGCGGATCTCCAATGTCGTACCACCCTTGTTCGACTCCATCATCGATCATCTGCTCGAATCCGGAAATGAATGACCGACGAAACAATGACCAGAAGATCTCAGGTTTGATGTTCCCGTGCTTGCGAAAGAAGCGGTGCTGAATGGAACCAGAGAGCGCAGCATCGAGCCTGTGGCGCAGAGCTGTCTGCGCATAGGCAACTCCGAAGTTTTCTGTACCGGGATCACTCTGAGTTGTGAGCGGAATTCCTAGTGGCCGGTGAATATTGAGTGAACTACGTATGCATGTCGCTATCCGCGGAACCTCATACCTTGTAGTTTGCGCCCAGCATCCAGATGATACCTCGTGATCAGAGTAGGATTCTTGACCGTCCACCACACCCGGCACCAATGCGTAACCCCAGGAAATGGATCGAGCCCAACGTGCCAAAAGAGGCCGTGGCGCTTGAGCTTCTCATGCTGGTCAATACACCACATGTCGTGGACACCCGCTGCAACAAATTGGCGGCGCGTGAACTTGCGAAAGCGCCTCGCCGCAACTGCCTCAGGCTCTGTAAGCCGCAGGTACTCAAGGACGACTGGCCTTCGATTAATTAGTGCTGCGCACCCACAGAACTTGAACTGCATCTGAGAATGGTACTCACTTGGAGACGCGAATCTTCTCATTGTGCCGCAGCACCTTCCGGAGTCGGTCTGCTCCCATGTTTGGGAACTGCTTCTTGATCGCCTGCACATGGGTATGGATGCTTTCGACGGTGTGTCCCTGCTTACAAGTGCTCCGGATGCCCCATGCTTTGCGGCGGCGGCGGATAGTCCACACACTGAAGACCGGGTCCGCGACTCAGGTAGGCTGACGCGAGGCCTAGGGTTGCATAGACTCACGTTATGCCATAGCTCTCCTTGTCGAAGTGATCCATCACATGTGCAGCAATGTCAACGTCGGACATGCCGAGATGCCAGTAAAAATCAAAAACAGGTCGGAGCTCTTCATCTGGCGCTGCTACGAGTAGTAATCAGGGTGAATTGCGAGCCGCAGCGGTGAATGTACAACATACGGCAAGGAAGGTGCTGGTTGATCTGCTTCGTTGGACCTTGAGCTAAAGTGTCCTTGGGTGGAACAGGCACCGGCGCTGTATGTGGCCAGTGCGGCAGTCAGCTACAGCGACCACTGATGTATTAAGGAATCACGGACGGAGCGATGCGGCAGTGTGCGAAAGTTTCGGTTTTGTTCTCTTGCGCCTCGAAGCAGGCATACTAGTGAATCGCCACCCAAGGACACAACGAGACAGTTGCCCGATGCTCAGAGCGGACAAATGGAGACACTGACGATGGTTGCAGTCCAAGTGCAACGCGCCCATGAATTGCCGCGCATGAATAAACCGCACGTGCGCAAACTTTTATTACCAGTCCTTCATTATTTCTTGCTGCTAGAAGCGGCGATGCCACTCTTAATACTCAAGCGATGCAGGCAAGCCCTGCCACGGCATAATTTCAATTCAGCTATTGTTTGTCGTGATGTATCCTACAATGATTCATACCGCTGGTTGCACGTATTACGACTAGTGATCAGCAGGGCGAGCTACTCAGCCTGCCTGCATCCGCCTGCTCCCCGCCAACCTCCATAAGCAGATCTTGTGGTCTGCATGGAGGCCGAGAACGAGGCGTTGCCAATCCAGTGCGCAGGCTCCTGCACCGCAGCAGGTGAGAGTGGATGCAAGACCTTGCGGACACACCTAGGCGGCATGCTTGAACCCGGGCACGGAAAGGTCAATTCGGAGTGCTTTGAAAGTGGCATTGATATCTTCTTGAAGGTCGAGATGCACTCTACAAACTGCTGGCGCGTAGATCAATAAAGTGGCAGACACTTAGGAAGAACGAGGAACGAGGACCAATCTCGTAGAATGGGACCAACTGGACGATGGAACGACTGGGGCTGGGCCGCCATCGCCACATCGTCTAGCAGAATATCATCTGCGCAATATGAGTGTGATGACATAGCATGCAGTGACATCGGCGTCTTGCATGCACATCCGCCAGGCAACCGGCGCGAGGCGGACGCCTGCCGTGTTCGAGCGAACGAGCCTGGCGACCGTAAGAATCCACAGGTTCGCCCCGCAGCCTCTGAGCAGGGCGGTTATCTATGTCTGAAACAGCAGGCACAATATCACTAGTGACATGTCCCGTACCTTGCGAGGCTTCGAGAGACGCAACAGGCGCTCGGGATGCGCAACACGAGCTGCTCCGGAAGCTTGACGGCGATGCGCTCGCTGGTGGGGTCCCAGCGAATCACGTAGTCGCTTTGGGGGTGTTTTAGAAGGCTAAGGGCACATCGATGAGGGCGCGCCGAACGCGGGTAAGCGGAGAGCGACTTACACATAGAGCTCGATCAATAACATTGCCTGCGGTTTGGTAGCCTGCTGCCACCGGGGCTCGCTCTCTCTGACTTGTGTATGAGAACGGGGTCATGCTTGGGGGGCCAGATATGCGCGTCGGGGACTGGGTGCGCAGCGGGTGGTAAATTTCAGGTGGCCCCGCGGCGCTGAAGACCCGGACCAACCGGGAGCAGCGAGCCAGGGAAAGCACGGGGGGAACAGCACCTGTCCCCGGGGGGCCAAGGTGAAGCCCATCTCCGCACCTGCGCGCTGGCGGGCGTTGTCCCAGAGGTGGGGAAGGCGGTCGCGGCGGCGCTGAGAGAGACTGGCCGCCCGGCGCGAGGACGTGGCAGCGGCAACCATTTGCGGTAGGGGGATAAACAAACCGCAACAAATTGCAGTTCGGGCTGCCAATCATTCTGAAGTGCATCGATGATTCGAGCGATGGCTCGTTGGCAAGCTAAGAGCTTACTGCTATCTAATGAAGCACAAGAGGTGCATATACATCAATAGATAACTTGAAGCTCGGGTTCGCTGCCGCGCAGTGCGCGCGTCGGGCATGTGGCGCGGCGCGGCGGGGTTCTGCGGTCGGATGTGGCGCGTCGCCTAACCGTGACCCGATAACCGAGATCACGGATCACGAGATGTCACTTCTGTGACAGGAAGCGAGGCTGCTCACTTTTGGTTTCCATACTCAGGCCTAAGTACTCAGTACTCAGTACTTGCGCCTTTGTCTGCAATGGACTCTGATCCACTCATTCTGCCTATCTGTACCGCTCAGCCAGATTTCTTGTCCGTGATATCCGACGTCCACGAAGGTCTGGTACCCGAAGACACGTTCTGGCTCTCTTGTTACAAGTTTGGCGAGCCATCTGTGCACGGCAAAGTGTACGCCACCCTTGATGAAGTCAATCGAGACCTGGTGCGTTTGGAGGGGCGAAATGGTGTAGAACTTCGTAGCAGAGAGGTGAGCATCTGCTGCCACTAGCCTCCTCGCACGTATGCGCCCTGTTTGTGTGTCCCGCATGTTCAAGCATCCGACGTGAAGTCGATGACCGATCTTTAGGCACTGTACTCTGCGTCGTGTCCTTCGTTGCAAATGCCACAAACAAGACTCGCTGTGCCGATGAAGACGTATGCGGAGAATGAGGGTCGGAAAGTAAGTAATTTGGCAACATACATACCTTTGAACCTCACCTCTGACTGTCCCTGAAGGTTATCAAGATCACAGCTTTCGACGTCTCCCCAGACGGTTCCCAGTTCGCGACGGGACATATGGATGGATCGATTTACATATCCCAGACGTCGCAGTCTCGACCTACCGACTTGTGTAGGCCGCATGTGAGCACCGTCACCTCTCTCCGTTTCTTCCCCTCTTCCCGCGTGCTCCTTACCGCCTCGTCCGACTTCTCCCTCTCTATCTTGCCCGCTGCACCGCCAGAGGATCCATCCGCACAAGGGCTTATCACACCAGCACGTCGATTCCGTGGGCACACGCGCGGCATCACTTCAACAGCGATCGTATCGAAAGGACGCAACTTGCTCTCCGCCGCCAGGGACGGCACTGTTCGCCTCTGGGATGTCCCTTCGGAGTCTCAGATCCGTATGATGGGCTCAGCCAACGGCAGCTGTGTGCCAGTGCTCGCAATCAGCGTTGGCGAGGGAACGCTCCAGGCTGGAGACGCTGCGACCGATGAGGCCGGTGTCGACCCGCGTGAGGTCGACACGGAAGACAAGCTCGTCTTTACCGCGCTGCAGGACGGCACATTTGAAACGCTCGATCTGCGGACGAAGCGCAGCGTATTCCGCTCGCGAGCCCCGCCGGCGGGCGGGAAGAGCGTACTGCAGGCGATCGCGTACGCGCCGACAGAGAACCTTGTCGCGACGGGTTCGACAAAGGGAGTCGTCTCAGTGTACGACACGCGTGCGCTCGCGACGCCTCTGACTACGTTCAAGCGCAACACAGCGTCCATAGAGGATCTCGCGTTCGTTCCGCTGGATGCCTTGTCGTTCGCTACAGACGCCGGAGCTCGAGGTAGCGTCGGGGATGGCTCGGGCCTTGGACTGGCGATCGCGACGGAGGATGGACTTCCGTACGTTGCGGATGTGCGCCCAGAGGGACCTGGGGTACGTGCCGAGCTAGTAGGATCAGATTGCGACGGGGTCCGCGCCGTTCGTGTGGTGCAGGCTCAAGAGCGAGAGGTGTGGACGGCTGCGGATGATGGCGCTGTTAGGCGTTACCGGGTAAGGTGAGTGATGGTCTTACTCGATTATGCGTGTCTTATGTTCAGCGACAAGGGATGTATAGGTCACTGCCCAGTGATAATCAGAAGCGAAGAATGTACTCTAGTCGGTAAACCTTGTGTTTGCAATTCATGTATAGTTCCAGCTGTCTTTGCCGACAACCCGCTACGTAGTCCGACTTAGTGCGGACACACGCGTGTCGAGACGTGGACGAGCGACCATGTATGTTCGTCGTCGCTTTGTTGTTCTGCTGTATGATCTAGTGGTGAGTACATCACAAGAGATTGGTTTAAGGGTTCTCCTCTGGCGTCACTCTGTCGTCTGCTAAGTTATCTTCCTCCGATACCGAAGCAGGACGGACAAGTATGCACGTGAAGCCTTGAGGGTGAGTTTCGTCCCTCCCAACGATGTGATGCGATGAAAACATCATTCCTATCGTTTGCAGCCTAGTATGCCGAGCTCAACCCGAGCTCCTGCAGTAGCTACGCAATACAGCACCAGGCACAGTCAAGGATCGCGAACATGATTGATGGAGGATGTTCGGTGAAAGACCGAAGGGCTTGGTTCCTTTCGTGTCGCACTTTGCCACGTTCATTTTCTGGCAGTATGCAAGAGCGGCCAGAGGCCGATGCAGCTGCTCACTACATTGTCAACACCTCGTACAACGTACAAGATGCTCGGCTCCCAGTTGGCCGGTCCCGGACGTGGAGACATGTGTGAGGTAGTCAATGCCGTGGCGAGGCACGCTGTTCTGCTCCAAGGGCGGGCTACTAGCGCGTTTTGCTGTGGCGCGTGAAGTTTGGACCTTCGCCGAAACACCCGCGGAATGCGCTGTGTTCAACTGCCGTGGCGGGGCGCGCGTCCGAACGAACCCAAACCCCCGACCTGCTATACAGGGTGAGTTTGGCCAGGCTCATCGAGCGCTAACCTCTTGTGTCGTCATCCCAGTCTAAGGCTGTGTATGGTGCGGATGGTCGGGTGCAACAATGTTGCGCCCGCGACCAACCCGCGACCTCTGGATGTGCCTCAGCACAGAGCCCCACGGGATCGAACCTAGCTTGAGGGGCGATAGTGTATGCTGTGACTGTGATATGCGTGATAACGCTCTCGAGGAATATCGAAGTGCCTCATCTTCTAGGACAGGAACTATAAGCGTCTTGAGATCTCTACTGCCACGAGTATGTACTACAGTGAAATCGTTCTGTCTATCGTTCACTCACAGCTGAAATTGAGTGTTGCCCCCATAGACTCAAAGATGCGATAGCGCACACGGAGCATACGCAGTCCGAGGGTCCGAGCAGGTCCGAGCGCATTCATTGTCGAAATGCGGCAATGCCAAGAGTGCTGCACAGATGCTGATCGCAGAGATGATCGAGCGCGTTCGTCTCGAAAGCAGCTTCTTCAGCCTTCCTGGGTGGTGCCACCGCCACCCGGGAGGCGCTGTTCCGGCGCTGTGCTGGTCTCGGGATAGACTCAGTGAGTCTACATTGTATGGCCGGGCGGCCAGTAGAGCTTAGACGCTGACAATAGGAGTCTTGGGCCGTTTTGCGACCCATTAGTGCCCGCACGACCCAAGGCTGCCCTTCAAGCTTCAAGTTTCATACCACTGGGCCCGAGGATTTACGGATCGACGATGTCTGTTCGCCCGGACATCTGCTAGCCATCGAGTTACAGTGAATGAGGGCAATTGTATAGTCGGCGCAAGCATGGGCCCGATCACATCAACCGAACATCCGAGGAGCACCGAGAGCTCTTGAAATGCTGCCACTCGCAGACATCAGTAAAGTAGGGCACGGCGCGGGATGTTCCCGCCATCAGAGAATTGGAATACTGATGAGCTACTGAGCTACTGAGCACCCTGGACTTTCGGGCGTTGGTAAGTCGATATGCACGGTTGTGAAACTCGGGCGGCATTGCCACAGCGCTTCTCGATAGTTTCACTGAAGAGCTGCGCAAGACCGCTCATCGGCGCAGGTGTATATAAGGACGGCACTTCCTTCGGGGGAACCTCAGCTCTTTCTACTTCTTTGAGTTCACATTCCTCGAAGCGGGTACTGGTTGGTGAGTATAGGGTAGCCTCTCCTCTGGAATGGCCCAGACTGATCACTGTTCGCTAGCCTTGCTTCTTTCTTGTCGAACGACACTTACGATCTTTACCAACCGCACGCCGTCCAACGTCCACAACCTCAACCCTTTCGATCTACACTTCTAGCTCATTATCATGCGTTTCTCCACCGTCTTCACTATTGCCGCTGTCGTCGCTGCTGCGACCCCCGCCCTCGCTTACCCGTACGTGTTGGTTTATCTGACCTCGTACCCCTTGCCCTGACAGCTGTTGCCTGATAGAACGGTGCCTGAGGCCACCGGTGAAGTCACGGAGCACCCCCATCACGCCGGCAAGCATGCCCACGCAGGTGCCCACGCTCATCAGGGCCACCACGGTCAGCACCACGGCAAGCATGGCCATAAGCACAGCAAGCACGGAAAGACCGGCAAGCACGGCCGCAAGCACGGTCACCACGGCGGCGTCGCGCACCACGCCGGGTCCAAGCACCCACACACCGAGGCTTCCGAGGCGGAAGCCCCGGCTCCCGCCGTCGCGGAGCGTGAGCTCGAGTTCGAGGAGCTCTACGGCCGTGCTCGTGAGGGCGACGGCCACCACGGCCACAAGCACGGGAAGCACGGACACAAACACGGGAAGCACGGACACAAGCATGGGAAGCAAGGGACGCACGGCCACCACCACGGCGGTAAGCACCACGCCGCGGCTGCTGCTGCTGCCCCTGCCACAGAGCCCGAGGAGCCTGTCGCAGCGCGCGACCTGGACGAACTGTTCGAGCGCTCGCTGGAGGCGATCTTCGCTCGCTCGATGTACTATGATGAACTTGACTGAGGAGATAGCAAGTAGTCACCTAGTTACGCAGGATGTGCGTAGGTGCATAGACGACGTGCGCCTACGCGCTTCCTAGAGATGAATGTAATGGATGTTGTTTACGGACCATGCGTGGAGTGCGTCCCTAAGTCAAGTGAGCCGTTCGAAGCGATGACTTGGCAGGCTGAGCTTCATGGCGTCGAAAGAGGTGAAGTTGCGCGACCATATGCAAGGCCAGAACCTTTTATTCTTACATCGTCTCTCCTACGACAAACAATTCCCTAGTGAATAGAAAGTGGCTAAGGCTCAGGCTCGCAGGTTCTATACATCATGGGTGCAGCGAAGTGATTATCGACTCGAAGCATTAGTGGCATACGCCACTCGTCACCGTATACTTACCGTCACCATGAGGCGACCCAAATCGGACTTGACTAGGCGACGGAGGCGGCGCGCGCCGCGAACGGTGTGCTATTGTCGACTCGAGTTCCGTTACCTTTCTAGAGCACATCCGAGTCGTGGGCCAAACCCGTAGCCACACACATATACACACTGGCAAAGTTGGACCCACGCTAATACCAAGAGTTTCTTTCCCATTGCCCCGGCGACAAATCGGACGAAATGCCAAGCCTCTCATCGCTCCAGCTCAGGCTTGACAGCGTAGTGCAGTATCTTGATCAAGAATTCTGTCGATGACCTTCTCAGGATCTTCTCCACCATGACACCGATCATGATCGGTTCATATCGAAGTGCATGTACATATGTAGAAAGGGCTACCAACCGAGGTTTTTGGCGCCTCGAGCTCAGTTGTCTCCGTTGCTGACCAAAACGAGATACTCTCGTGTTTGCGAGTTCAGCAGTTCGCAAGCCTCCGATTCCGGGTTAGACTCTACTAGCCTAGACTCCGTACGTACTCACCAGCACCGGTGGCGGAGGGCGCCGGCACCCGGGTTGCTTGTGTCTGTGAAGATCTAAAGGCTCAGCCTTCCCGATTTGGGTACGCTTCTCTGCGCCTTCCCGCTTCGCCGGCTCTTCGGACACCAACGGCTTGCCAAACGTTCCGGTTCGCACTCATTGCTGTCCGCAAACGTTCATCTTGTTATAGGCCCTCAAATTCGCGTAGCCTCATCGAGATACCTTTTGTGCGACGTAGGGAAACATAGAATCAGACTGAGAGCGCTCGAGTGTTTCATGGTTGTGTGCCCAGCATAACGTACATAAGGATGCATCATATATCGGACTGACTACACAGGGACATATATGGCGCAGCCCGGAAGGAAGCGGCGGAGCAGCGAGTCCGCCAAGACGGTCAGGGCGTCGTTGCTGGGTCGGCAAGTCTCACATCCGCTGCGTCTGAAGCCTATAACATATCCGAAGCTAGTAGTGTCTACTCCCCACAGAGGTACCGAGGTGATGGCTCCTACTTACAATGTGCGTTTTTTCTGCCACATCTCTCGGATATGAGACTGATCCCGAAGTCTACCACCCCTGCGAGGACATTCACTTTTGACTATGTCTGCGACATGTACGCTAGGATCAGTGCTCTTACGTTTTAATAGCGTTTCGATGAAACAATGAGTCGTACAATTGAAAACTGCTGGTATTAGCCTTCTGAAACTATGCAGTCTCTCTACCAGGATGCTATGGTCGCACTACAGATACGGCGGCGGCGGGTCGTCCCGCTATTCTCCAACTGTTTAACCAAGATAAGCTCCTGTCGTACGGTCTACAACTCGCCATTGATAGATTGCATGTGTCTCATTACACGATGAACTTAAGACCGCGAGGCGCAAGCAACGTGCACTGACTTCGTCTGTTTATCAGTAAATTGCGAGCAGTGCCAGCGTATAACTTCCGAGACTGACTTACATACATGAGCTCCGGATCCGTTTGAAACTCGACGGTGTCTTGAACAGGCTGACTCTCTCCCTGCCTCTGGGTCATTTCCCTGTCCAAGCAAGGCGGTCTTCAAGCCACAGACCTTGGGCAAGAGTTCTGGCTGCTAAACGGTACTATACATATGATCATGACACCGTTGACTCGTAAACGGATCGGATGCCAGTGAACGTGAGAGTGAGCACCTCAACTTCACACATTTCAAGCAGATGTCGACATCTGAGAACGATATCTAGTCTGCGACACGCCAGAGAGGAGCATCAGGGTTCGAGTCTGAGAGGAGAGACTGGCCAGAGACGGCGGTCCGCGCCATCGAGTCAGTAAGCGTGTGTCCGGGGCAATCTTCGATCACAGTCTGGTGAATCGATCATGCCATTCTTGGCATGATCCGTGCCTGACGCTCTGCGTGTCCGACGGTCGACCACCGCGCTGAGGGCTCTGCCTGAGAGTCAGTACTGAAGGCTGCTTGGGAGACACGGAAAGCATCGCGAGGCCTGCATGCAGACTGCGTGTACGGACTGTGTCGGACGCACTCTTCCCGACGGCCCGGAAGTGCGAATTGCCCGAGAGATGGGGGGAGATCCGGCAACCGGTACCGGTGCGGGGTATGATGTGGGGAGTCCGGGGGAACCGTGATCGCGGCAGACGCTCCAATAACGCCCGCCGTATTTAGTTCATTCGTCTGCCCGCTGATACCCTCGCGTCCCCCGCCTCACATCCATCATGTCCTCTGCGGTCACTCGATTGTTCAACCACTGCTTCGCTAACCTCATCCCGCGTCGCGAGAAGAAAATCGATGATTCCGGCCTGACGCTCTGGCAGGCCATCCGTGGCCTGACATTGATCCAGTGGGCACACTTCTGGTGTGGGTGCGTATCGAGCTTTTCTCAATTCACCCTGCCTTCGTCGCTGACGCGTGCATTGTGTGCAGATGGCTGGCGTGGATATGCGACTCCTATGATTTCTTCAGCGTGTCGCTCAGCGTCACGGCGCTCGAAAAGCAGTTTAGCAAGGATGCCAACTCTATCGTGCGCCCCCATTCTCCGTGTCCTATATAATCAGCTCATTGTATACCACCAGACGACCGCTATCACGCTCACGCTGCTATTTCGCTCATTAGGTGCTGTGAGTACCTCGCCTTCATTAGACCGCACGACTTTGCGGGCGGCGCACCCACCTTCGGGCGCGAGTCGGGCGTGTTCCTGACCGACGCCATCGATGCGTCGCCGCGGTTCCCCTCCCCAAATATTTCTACGTCCCCATCGTTGACACACACTGACTCACTCTCCCTTTTCCCAGATCATCTTCGGTATCGCTTCCGACCGCTTCGGCCGCAAATGGCCGCTCGTAATAAACCTGCTCATCGCCGCTGCCTTTGAACTCGGCTCTGGCTTCGTCTCCACGTTTACACAGTTCCTCGTCGTGCGCTCATTCTTCGGTGTCGCTATGGGCGGCATCTGGGGCCTCGCCGCGTCGACGGCACTGGAGAACCTGCCGGTGGAGGTGCGTGGACTCGCGAGCGGGTTCCTGCAAGAGGGATATGCCGTCGGGTACCTCCTCGCTGCAGTGGTCAACCTGACCCTCGTCCCGGAAACCCCAACCGGCTGGCGCGGGCTCTTCTGGCTCGGTGCGGGGCTTAGCATCCTCGCAGCGGCCATCCGTGCCGTGCTCCCGGAGAGTGGGGTCTTCCTGCGCGCGAAGGCGGTGGAGCGGGCAGCAGGCCGGAGCACGAAAAACAAGACGAAGGTATTCCTGCGCGAGACGAAGGAGATGTTGAAGAACCACTGGATCCTGTGCTGTTATGCAGTCGTGCTCATGACCGGATTCAACTTCCTCTCGCATGGCTCGCAGGACTTGTACCCGACGTACCTGCAGACCACGAAGGGCTTCACCCCGCACGACTCGACGGTCGCGACCATCATCGGAAATTGCGGTGCCATTGCGTATGTGCATACAAGTGTTCTTGACGTAAACTATGCTGATGCATTGTGAATGCAGTGGTGGTACCATCGCCGGATGGCTGTCTCAGTACATCGGTCGGCGACTCACAATCATCCTCTTCGTTCTTCTCATTGGCGCGTTCATCCCGCTGTGGATCCTCCCGGCCTCGTTCGGCGCCCTATCAGCAGGCGCCTTCTGGGTCCAGTTCGGTGTCCAGGGCGCCTGGGGAGTTGTGCGTGTCTCCGCTTCTCCGTGTATAAGTACGTGACGTTCTCACCGACATCTCCGTTCGTAGATCCCGATCCAGCTCGCGGAGATGTCCCGCCCGCGTTCCGTGCGACCTTTCCCGGTGTTGCGTACCAAATGGGCAACATGGTCTCCTCCGCATCCGCGCAGATCGAGACCAGTAAGTCCGCTCTCGCAACCCCACACACATGACCGCTAACCCTCCCCTAGCCGGCGGGAACCACCTCAAAACGACGATCTTCAAAGACGGCACCTTGCAGACCGTCCCGGACTACGCGACCGTGCAGGGGATCCTGCTCGGCGTTGTCGCCGCGTTCGTCGTCCTCTGCACGATCGTCGGGCCGGAGAACCACGGGTCGCACTTTGAGAAGTACAAGGCCGCGTTCGAGGAGGGCGCGGGGCGCGACGAGGAGATGCCCGACCTCGACGAGCACGGGAACCCCATCGGCGTCGGCGCGCGGGGGACGTCGAGGCGGACGGGTCTCGCCCGCGGAGCATCGAGGAGGTGCGGGAGAAGGACGTCGATTAGGTTCGGTGTGGCGCGGCGGGAGCATGTCGCTTGTGCCTTCGTGCGTCGCCGTTGGATAGCGAGCGCAGTGCTGGCTGGTGAGATAGCGGGCCCGGGGTGCGGCCGGGTTGTACGATCACATGGAGTCATGACCGTTCACGATGCTTGTGTAGTGTATTTTTACGATGTAGTCCGTTCGTCGGCAGATATAAATATACCTGTAAAGCCTTCGACCATCTGGCCTGGCCCGTGCGCAGATTCAAGTTATACCTATCACCGGCCGGAGCCGCCGTCGACAATGTCAGCCAAGGTATGCCCGGCATGGAGCTGGTGATGCGCGTTTGTTGATGTTGGAACGTTGTACATATGCGTATCGGAGAGGGCGACCGTGACTGTGTATGGTTCAGGTTGGGTTCAGGTCGCTCAAAGGTCGCTACTGCCGCTCGAGAAGTTGATGCGCCCCTTACCATATTTGGCAAGGCGGGTGCACGTGTACGGCCCGCCTAGCTCAATCGGATAGAGCGTCAGACTCTTACATATGCCCTGACGTCGTCCGAGTCGTTCGACCATAGGTGGTGCAATCTGAAGGCTGCGAGTTCGACCCTCGCGGTGGGCTAATGGATTTTTTTTGCATTCAGTGTATTGTATGTTGATGCTCATTCTAGGTGACTGAGTCGCCTCGAGTTTTCAAAACATTCACTGTGCAATGCATAATCAATGCATATCAGGACTGCCGCACGTTGTTCGCGTTGTTCTCGTTATTGAAAGTGGTGTCTAAGTAACATGGAGATCTGTGAACCGAATATATCATTGCATGAAGACAAGTCTGCTGCTGATCTTCCGCTAGTTCATCGTTTAGGACAAAAACATCCAAAATTGACTGGCACCGAGACCAAAACTGTACGTTATTAGTAGCCCACCGCGAGGGTCAAACTCGCAGCCTTCAGATTGCATTGCCTACGGTCGGGATATGCTCTGTCCATGCATAAGAGTCTGACGCTCTATCCGATTAAGCTAAGCGGGCTTCGCAGTGACAAGCTCAGGTCCATTGAGTGCTTACCTAATATCCATGAACGACGTACACACATACTTACCCGATTCAGATGACGCATCTCCGACGCGTTCGTTGACTGCAAGCCATCGAGTCGCCCGACGTCGGAGAGGATGCTCGGACGCATTCCTTCCGGATCCCTGCTACCCCCTACGATACGCCAGCTTCTCGGCGGCACAACGAGCAATGCGCGCGTGCAGGTGAACGGCTGGATCAAGTCGGTGCGGCGCCAGAAGAACATCACGTTCGCCGTCATCTCGGACGGCAGCTCAGCAAAGGGCATCCAAGCGGTCATCCAGAATGGTTCTCTGGCGAAAGCGTGCGTGCTAGTGGCTTGGAGGGCTGTGCAGCTTGTGAGCTGACTCGGTAGTGTATAACGCGTGTCGTCAAGGTTGACGAACGGCGCGAGCGTGAGGCTGGGAGGTACTCTTGCGGACAGTCCCGGAAAGGGTCAGGACAAGGAGTTGCGTGTCGAGGATGTCGAGGTAGTGGGCGAATGTGATCCTGCGGTGCGTAGCTAGTCCGGCGTTCTCCATGCGCGACTGAGCGGCGCGCGACTAGGCATACCCAATCCAAAAGCAAGCCCTGTCTACCGAGTATCTACGGGACAACTGCCATCTCCGAGCGCGAACGAACACAATCGCCGAGATGCTCAGGCTCCGCGCCACGACCTCCGATGTGCTCCAGCACTTCTTCAACGTGAGCGTATCGCGAGGTGTGCAGGCGAATGTAACTCATTGACAGGCAGTCATTAGGCTTCTGCTACGTGCACACGCCGATCACCACCTCCAGCGACTGCGAGGGTGCCGGAGAAACCTTCCGCATTACCCCTCCCGCCCCCTCCGAGCCAGCCACGGAAGATAACAGGCCTTCAGAATTTTTCGGACACCCCGCGTACCTCACCGTCTCGTCTCAGCTTCATCTCGAGGCACTCGCGACGGCCCTGTCGAGGGTGTACACACTCTCACCGTGTTTCCGCGCAGAACGCTCACTGACGAACCGGCATCTCTCGGAGTTCTGGATGCTCGAGGCGGAGTGGGCGTTTACCCAGTCCGTGAACGACGTCTGCAGCGTCGTCGAAGGCGCCGTGAAAGACGTCCTTGACAAGACGCAGTCCCATGCACAAGCGTTCGCGAACGACGCCGGTCGCTCGCGGATTCTGGAGTACCTCCAAACAGCAAGCTCCACCCCGGTCTGGACGAGGCTGAGCTATAGCGACGCGGTCACGGAGCTGGCGAAATATCAAGCGTCGGCGCGGAGGTTCCAGTTCGAGCCAGCGTGGGGCAAGCCGCTGCAGAGCGAGCACGAGCGGTGGCTCGCGGAGGAGCTCGTCAAGGGCCCGGTGTTCGTGACGGACTATCCCGCGTCGCTCAAGCCATTCTACATGCGCCTCAACGACGACGGGAAGACCGTCGCGTGCTTCGACCTTCTCGTCCCGCACCTCGGCGAGCTCGTCGGCGGCTCGCTGCGCGAAGAACGGGGTGACCTGCTGGATAAGGCGTTGGAAAATCACCAGCTAGACAAGACGCAGTACGGGTGGTATTCTGAGCTGAGGAAGTATGGAGGGGCTCCGCATGGTGGGTTTGGGCTTGGCTTCGAGCGTCTCATTAGCTGGATATCGGGCATCGAGAATGTACGGGAGTGCATTGCGATGCCGAGGTGGGCGGGGAGGATGCTGTTGTAGTCGCAGAGGCATGGTAAGCCCGCCGTGCCTAATCGAAGTACGTTCATCCATGCACACGAAGTCAAATAAGGTCGTATGCAGGTGGCTTTCGGATACTTGTTCTTGTGTACGTGAATTACAGGGCATAATACCACCACCACTCTGCAAAATCCCAGGCTTGTGATATGCAGCACCAACTAAACAAGCATTGGCCGCCATTCCGCCAGAATAGGCTGACAGCGAGCATACAGGCTAGTACACTCTACTGCGGCGGACGCTTACGGCTGCGGCGGACGCTAACGAAGACCGCACAGACTGTACATGAACCTCGTCCTCCCATTCCTCGTCTATGATAGCGGCCCTGCGCGCGTGAACGTCGACATTGCTGGGCTCTGCAGGGGAGGCCGCCGTGCGATTACGTGAGAGAGCGTCGTGGTCTATGTGTTGTTCAAAGTGCCCTACGACCCCGGTCATGCAGATGCCGGCCAATTCCGTATGCGTGCCAACGGTTGAGTATATCGACGGGAGGTGTGCGAGGGAGGCGAAGATACCGGAGAGGGTTCGTGTGTTTGGATTTAAGTGCACGGTCGGGATGGATAGGTTCGAGCCGGAGGAGATATGTCGGTAGCGTCAGAATACAGCTCCCCGCGTGCGCTGAACACATCCCCCGTGGCGACGTAAGGACCAGGGCATGCTGGCTGGACCACTTGGTACTCCGACCTGGTGCATCTGCGGATAAATCAGTCGTGCCTCATCTCAGAGATAAAAGAACAAGACCTCACCAGCAACAAGCGATGCAACCACAATGCTAGAGCATCCCCGCAGCACAAACTATCTTGCCTCCTCCTTTATGGACACGCGTTTTCTCGGTCTCGCTGGAGGATGCGCTGCGCGACTCGCAGGCTTTGGCCCGAAGATCGTATAGCGGATTGCCCGGACCCACAGACGCGCTCCGAGACCAATGCAGGCGGCGCAGAGCAGGCTCGCACCGAGGAATACATAGATTGGGTAGACGTTCACTGCGATGGCCTTGACCACCGCGTATGGCGTCAAGATGAACGCGTCCAGCAGAACGTTCAGAAACACAAAAAAGGGGGCGAGCAGGTACGAGAGAGGGTGATATAGCACGGCGAGCGCCGTCCACAGAGGCTTGCTGATTGCATAGCTGAGGGAGCGGCGAGCGAAGGTCGCGACGACGCTGAACGAGGACGACGCGAAGCGGAGGAGTTCGACGATGGGTGGGCTGGTCGATGCCGGGGGCGCAGTTGTGGGAGTGTGAACCATGGTCACCGTTCGCGTTGGTATCGCCTTGCTCAGGAAATCCATTCCAAGTGGAAACTCAGTGCGTACTTGTCACAGCTGGCCGCGTAGAGTCAGCTGCAGTGCGGTCCAATTAGTAGACGCCAAAGATCAAAGTGGCGGAGACCAATAGCAATACCGCTGCGGCGCGCGGAGGGTGTTCCTTCCCGGACCAGCCATATACAATCGATGCATGACAGTGGGTACATAACTCTCTGCAGCGCATATCTGTGCTCAGTGGCAGGACTCATGGTGAACTGCGGCCAGCATATGAACTTGGCTCGGGCCTATGTGCCCTCCTCGTCAATTGAAGAGGCCGCTAACCGTGGTCTATCACTACTAGGGCATATATGTGGCCGTGACGGATTTCTCTCATGCTTGGCAGTCCCACGTCACTCCTCTGCATGGAACTTGCCCATTGTATCTCTTATAACGAGCTACAATAGGGTAGCGTCCTGCTTGTATTTGACTTCTGTCGTACCAATCGTGAGTTCTGTCCAGTACGGCGTTCTGTACGCGAGCCTTGGTAATGCATGCTGGTTTACGGGTCACGGAAGCAGGGATACATTGCAGTGTACTTAGCGTGATTGGTGCTTCATTCGCTGCAAATGTGGCGCAGTTACTGCCATCTACCCCCTGGTGAGTTGTTACCCTCTGATGTCCGTTAGCGACTCACCAGGGGATATATGCTGACAGTATGCTCGCCTATTAGTGGCATTGTCGAATAGGAAGCCTGCTTTCCCCGAAACTTGTCGGCTGTGTCTCAGGTCCAGGCACACCAGGCTAGTCTGAGTCTGCCATTATTGCGTAATGAGAGATTTAATGCAGGCAATATAGGCATAAGTTTGTATGATATCCTTGTGGTGAGCACGGAGTGATCATACATAAACTCCAGTACTTACCTGCAGCTGTTTTCATACATGAGCTGCCACTCGCTCATGTAAAAGCGAGGCGCCGTCATGTATGAACGAGGCGCCGTCGGTCGTTACCTGATATGGCAGGTACCCCGGGCTAGCCCGGCCCCTTTGTCCCCGGCGGGGCGGTACCACTGACGCGCGATGCGAGGCTACCCCATATGGATGCACATCGGGGTCAGCGCATCTGAGATCAGGTACGATCTCGGATCCCCTGCGCCGCCGCCTGCGTGGCGTCTGCCTCGGACAAGCCCGGAAGGCCGCAACCAGCCGAGCGAGCGGCGAGCGGCGAGCGGTTCCGCCCGCCGTTTGCAACCTCCTTGCGACCTCCACCATGCCGCGTCGACCACCGCCGGATCACCGACGTCGCAAGAGCACAGCGCGTACGACGACGGCAAGCATGTAGGGTCACTGCCATGCACGCAGGCGCAGCCGACGAACGGCGGGTGGATGTGTCTGCGAGGAGCTGGTATCGAGGTGAGTGTAGACGCACACGAGCATCGAATGAACTGACCATGCTTACAGGACGCGGCGATGCGCAGGACATGCGCGTCGACCGTGAGCACGCAGGGCCAATGCCTCGCGTGCAAGCGCAGCCGACGGTAGACCGCAGGTACGGGTGCGAGCACGAGCGCGTGAGCAGGCGGGCGGGCGGGCGGGCACTCGCGCGCGCTGCGAGCAGGCTGATGGGTGGGACAGATAGGTATGCGGATGGGTAGTAGAGCGGACAGGTGAGCGAGCGGATAGGTAGGAGAGCAAGCAGACGGACAAGCGGCCAGACAACAGCACATGCCCACCGCGAACGCACTGGGCAAATGCCCACCGCGCAGACACAGCCGACAGATGCCCACGCAGGCGAGCAAGCAAACCGGCATACGGGCGCGCAGGCGGGCGTGCATGCAGGCGAGCGGATGGACGAGCGGGAGGGCGAGCAGACGGGCAGATGGGCAGACGGGCGGCCGAACAGACGGGCGGACAACCGGACGAGTTAGATAAGCCGGAAAGTAGGCCAGCGAGTGGATGGACGAGCAGGAGGGTGAACGGACGAGAGAGCGGGCGGACAAGTGGGAGCTCGAGGGCGGACAAGCGGGCGCCGGGCGGGCGGACGAGAGGGCAAGCACCGAGCGTGGACCAACACGTACAACGAGTGTTAGAATACAGTACTAGTAGTACTAGTAGTAGGAACATAATCTATGTCACTGGAATGCTATCGCCTATGATTGCTATCAACGAGAACAGTGTATATTGCGCCGCAACACCGGTTATGACTCGAGACTCAAAGAACCAGTACAGTACAGTAATGTAGAGTCTAGACATCCCTACCATACACGAGAATAGTCTGTACCGCATCTCATCTGTTCTTTAGATTCAGTGTATGCCACTATACATACATCTAGTACCTATTCCAACTTACAGAAGATGCATACACAGTGCAAAGGACCCAGAACGCGAGTCGCACGTATGTTGCAGGCCTAAGTAGGACCGTTAAACGCGTTCTGATTGGCCAGGAACAGCCCGAGCACATCGGGGTTGCCAAGTTTGGTGAAGCAACAAATAGATACAAACGTTCGGTTTACCGGGGCGCCCGCAAAGCTCACCCAGTTGCTACCACAACTCTACCATCTACCCGCCCTGGACCGACCGTTGGACCAGCCCAAATGGGGCGTCGACCAGCCCAAACCTCGGCGCATTGACTAGCACGAATGGCGCGTCAGCGGATGCCGGATACAAGTCACGGCACGTCAGTGAGTATGTACTGCTAGTGGTACGTCAACCAGCACGAATGACGGTGCGTCGAGCAGTACGAATGGCGCGTCGACGGGTACGTATGGTGGCGCGTCGATGATTGTGAACCACACATTGACTGGTGTGAACAGGGCGTTGGCCGGCCGTCAACAAGGCACTTCGCACTGCGAGCGAGCCCTTGAATAGGGCAGGCGATGCGCGGGAGGCTGTGGGTGACCGAGGACGACACTTGGAGAATTGCAGGGACTCCTGTGGGCGATGGGTGCGGGTGGGGCAGCAACGTGCGGGGCAGCGATTGGTGGGACGGCGGCGGCGATGAACAGGTGGGCGACGGACAGAGACATGGTAGTGCTGAGGGCATAGACGATGTTGCGTTGTAGAGATCCTCGTCCACTTGTTCCAGATGTACCATACGTAGTCGATATCTTAACTGAGTACAGAATTTGTGTTGAATCGCAGCATTTGTTGGCGCTTCAAACATACCAAATCGGGATGGCCACTTCATGACTTCATTTTCGGCGCAAATCACAGCACTGAGACTTGAATTGATAAGCAAACAAATGAATAAAAGGCCACAATATGTGTCATGGGGCGCGACATGTGCAGTGCATATGTCGTGCAGCACAACATACGTGCCGTAATACGCGCTGTATTTGTTCGGATCCCGATATACTGACTATTCAGGCACTGTGCTTACATAATGAGTCGCGGCTATTTACGGTGCCGTACCTAGCTCTAATACTAGGACGTGTCAGATCAAGCAGATCGCAAATCGCGATTGCACGCGCCCGATGCCCTCGCAGCGCGCAACAGCTCCTATTTAGGGCTGCCGCCGCCACCGCAAGCTGCCGCTGACAGTGGATCACCCGGGCTGTCCCTAAAGGGCAGTCGCCCTTTCGGGTAGTGAGCGAGACGCCGGCTCCAGTTATTACAGCACCTTTATACATGAAGGCTTGCTGTGAGTTCTGGAGTTTATGTATGATCCATTTGTGCTAAGCACAGGGATTCATACATGATTCTGCCAGCATCTGGTGTTTAATGACCGTCCGAATCCTAGCAGTGAGTCTCAACCATACCCATTAGTACTGCTGTCACTGACGCCTATATACGAGGCTCCGTTTCCGGAACTGGTGCAAACCCTAGGTGGTAACCCTCACGTTAGCGGTGAATTGACCGAGTCTCCTACGTTCCAGTAGTCAATATCAGGCCATGGCCAATCGTCATGATCCATTCACTGTTGGAGATCAGAGACTCGCGCACAGCTGCCCTATGGGATTGCATGTTGCATTGGTAAGCGGCTCACCAGGCGCCATCGGCGTTCGCTGACACGGTAAGAAAGCCCCTGACTCTCGGTGTATGGCCATTTGCAGTGGACTTGTCAGTGCGGTATCCATTTTTCACACGTGTGGCTTCATCTGATGTGTCCCGGACCACTCTGGCAGATATGCGACACGCGTCGAAAGGACGTGGGTATCTCTACGATGACTACGTCTCCGTATCTCAGGGGACGTGCGCTAGCACTCGGCAACTCATATATATATGAAGTGAGTTGATGCCCATGAACCTTGAACATTGACTCCGGGTCCTCCGGCTAGAATCATGTCGAACTCGACGATCTTCATTTCGTGGAAAGCTGATCCTGATTACCGTGGTACATTCGACATCCTATCCAGCTGTCCAGCACCCTCGGCATCTGCGTCTGGTCTGCTGTGCATGACGACATATCTGACCACCGGCGGTGGTATTTGAGGTTCATCAGGAAGTTGGGTTGGCTCGTCGTTGGGCTCTTGGCGCCGGAATTCCTGCTATACATCGCGGTGGGCCAATTTGCTCAAGCAAGATCGATATTGAAGGAGGCCGAACGAACGTTCACCACAGAGTCGCCTTCACCATCGTGGTTTCAGGAATTGATAGTCAGATCTAGGTTCGTAAGGAAGTTGTTCGGAATTCCGGTCAGTACAGTACTTATCCCGATGCGACCGATGCTCATTCTAGCGAGACAAATAGGAGTCTAATCCGGGTTCTCCCAATGAGGATGCTGTTCCTCTGGTTCGGAGCGCGAGGGACGCAGTGAAGACCTTTCGTAGGCATCGGTGGACGATGACACATGCGTTCTACGCTACCATGGGCGGGTTCAGACTCGACGTTGTCGACGAATCGGGTAGCCACTATCTACCAGCCTGGCAATCAGAGGGCATCATATCGCCTTTCGGAATCCTGTTCCTCATGAAGCATGAGCCCACGCTCATCCCTGATATCTCTGTCGCAGACATATGGGACAAGAGCAAAGCAGACGGACTGGCGAAAGCGCTGCTCATATGGCAGCTGCTGTGGTTCATCACCAACGTCGGGAACCGCCTCGGGCATGGCTTGCCCCTCAGCCTCCTGGAGGTGACGACTATCAGCCACGGATTATGCACATTGTGGACGTATGTGTTGTGGTGGAGCAAGCCCCTAGGAGTGCGGGAAGCGACGGTCATCACGGGAGCGTCACAACTCGGGGCTTGGATGACTATGTTGACTCCTCTACACAGGTACATGATCGAAGGCCTCATGTGCTTCCGTCGTGATCCTGAAATTGACAGCCTCGACGCTATTCAAGTGAAGGATCTGCTGGAAGCTGCATGTGAGTGCATGGCATCCAGTGCGGCACCAGGTGAGCGCACTCTGTCCATAAGTATCATCATGATCGATTTTCCTGACGATGCTGCATTTGTCTTCCAGAGCTCCTTATAGAGATCCGTAGAGAAATATCGGTCTATCACGATATCGATCACGCTGCCCGAGCGCGGTGCTACTTGACATGGTATCAGCTCCTTCTCGAAAGACATACACACGAGATGAAGGGTAGTAGGAATACCACCAGTTCTGATCGTATCATGATGTGCTCTGGTCACTGAGGAACTATTGGCACAGATTCATGGAATTTTAAGCTGCTAGTACAAAGCAAGGATCCGACGAATTGCCAAACCAACACGAGGTGTGGCATTCCGCTATGTCAAACAACTCTATCTATCCATCCTTGTCCCGCGAATGCTATATGCCGCCGAAGTGTGGCTTACTCCCACCTACGACGTCCCGGGCAAGTCTCGTCGCCATGGCTCTGTCGGCGCAATCCAACGCCTGTCACGCATACAGCGACAGGCCGCACTGTTGATCACAGGTGCCATGCGAACCACCGCATCAGACGTCCTCGACGCACATGCGAACCTTCTCCCGTTCGATCTTCTTGTTGACCGTGTTACGATACAGGCTGCTACTAGAATACTTACTCTACCTCCCTCTCACCCACTCTACGATAGAATTCAGGATGCGCGTATCCCCGTGACTAGTCACAAATCCCCCTCCACGAACTCACTGAAGCCCTCCGACTAGACAGATGTCGGAATGCCGAGCAGATCCAGGCGACTCGCCAGCCCCCAGGATGGGCACCGCGACACAAGACAGAGATTGCGAAGGACAAAGATGCAGCGGAAGAGGAGGACCAAGCTTGGCAAGAGAAAGACATCCCAGCGATCTACACAGACGGCTCCGAAATCGAGGGCGGCGTTGGAGCATCCGCCATACTCTTCATCCCTAACGACCCGCAGCTACACATCCTCCGGTACCACCTCGGATCTGCAAAGCGACACACTGTGTACGAGGCCGAGATCGTCGGACTCATCATGGGACATCAGGAAAAAAGCTCCCTCCGAATTATGCTATATGGTCAGGAATTCTGAATAAAACGTAGAAGCTCAGTAATGTCGGATCATTCTGATGTCAGTCGCAATAATACGTCGAATGCTTATTTCCGTGCACGTCACTCCAGCATGAACCGATGATTATGCATTCATTCGCCAGCATTCAGAGCCCAACTATAAGCATCTCAGCATTATCATGGTAAAATGAGATACCAAGTACTTGACAGGAATGCTAATCGGACGCAAATGAGTGATCACGACCTAACAATATGTATTCGCTGAGCAATACTATACATTGGGTCTGCTTCGCATCACTGTGCATACTGAATCAGTGCCTGCGTCAGCCGTATCGAAAGCGCCATTCACGGGAGGGCACCATGTCGATGCACGCACCGGTTCACGAGGACGCATCTCCGCGGCCTGTCCACTGCACGGAGCGTCGCTGTCCGCTGCCGCTCCTCCGCCCTCATCGCAATCCGAGGCGTTGCCGCACCCACGCCCACGGTCGTCCTGAATAGAAGCCCGCAGCTCCCGCCGTGCCCAAGGCCCGCTGCCTCACGCATCCAACTCACCGAAAGAGACCATGTCAAGCCTAGAGAGCGTCGCGACAGCACTCACCTCGCACGTCCTCGCACCGCCGGCGACGGTTGCGTCCTCAAGAAGCTTGCGTAGGAGGCGGGCACGGATCGGTCGACGAGTCTGGGCGAGTCTGCACGGCGGACGAGGAAGCGAACACCGCGCTCGCTCGCTCAATGCGATCAGCTTCGCGTGACGAAAAGAAGAACAAATTTGGTGCAGTGGGCTGGACCCAGGAGCAAGTAGGGCCAAGGGAGCAGCGGTGGGTGGGCAGGCGAGCGGGTGGGCTGGTAGGTGGGCAAGCGGGTGGACAAGCGGGCGGACAAGCGGGCGGACCAGTGGGCGGACAAGCGGGCGGACCAGTGGGCGGACAAGCGAGCAGGCACGTGGGAGGAAGGGAGCATGGGCGGGCATGCAGGCACATGGCTGGGCCGGAGGATAGGCAAGGGAGCACGGGCGAGCGCGAGTGAGTGGGCAGACGAGCAGGCGCACGGGTGGGTGCGTTATTAGGCACACGGACAAGCGGGTAAGCTGGAGAGCGGGCAAGCAGCTGAGCAGATGAGCAAGAGAAAGACAGCGCGGGAAAGACAGAGCGTGCCAGTGAGCAAGACAGAACGTGGATGGGTGGGCAGGCAAGCAAGTGCTGGTGCCGAGGGTAATGCTGGTGGACATGAACACCGTCGTCAGCGAAAATTCACGGCATAGCCATTCACTCACCTGCTGAATGTTTGACTCGTTGTCTGCCTGTCCTCTCTCACGTTACTCATCTGCCTGTCCACCTGTTCACTCGTACGCTCGCTCTTTCGCTCTCACGCGTCATCCATCCTCACGCATCCGTTCACTCGCCTGCCCCCATACTCACCCTCTCTTCTTACCATGCGCCCAAGGCTCCGAATAGCCTAGCTGACCGCTCGTTCAGCGTACCCCGCCGCCACACGCGATTGTCGTAGCTGACGCCGCCCGGCGTTCAATGTCTGGGTCGAGCTGGAGAGTTTGCAGTGGGAGTGGGTCATGACGCGTGGAAAGATGATGGTGTAGCAGACGACGAACCCCGCAAAACAAAAAGAAGCCAGACATGGTTGAGTTAACGCTACGAGTAGATGAGCGGTAAGCAGCGAGACGCAAAAGACACGACGGCATCGTGCGCCAGAGTTCAGTTACTGCTTGCCCTAAACTGAATCTCGATCGAGTTCTGCCACGTCACTCCGCTGGCTTCACTTGCTACGTCGCCGCCGCCTTTGCGTCGTGTCGTCGTCCTCCTGGCACACTTTCCTTGCCAGCCATATCCTATCTCTGCATTGTCTATGTCCCCCGTGTCGCTCGTGTGGTTTGTCTTGCATACTCACTCATTCACTATCACACATCTGACCGTGTTTGGTTCATCTCCTGCTCGCCCACTCAGCAGCTCTTGCTCGCCCACGCATCAGATCTTGCTGACTCGCGTCCTTGCCTCGCCCGCGCTTGCCGCCCTCTTGCTGGTTCAAACGTTCACTTGCCATTGGTATCTCGCCCGCTCTTGCCTGCCCGCTCCCTTATTAACCTTCCGTCAGCTTATTCATATGCTAGCTCGCTCGCCAGCGCCCGCCGTTCGCTCATTTGCCATCTGACTCGCCACCTCAATGTCCCCCTCGTCTGCCACCTTGCTTGTCCGCCCTCGCGTTTGCCATGCCCCGCTGAACCGTGTCCTATCTGCTGTTGACCGTGCCGGCCATTTCGTTCGCCCGTTATCTTGTCATCCCTCCTGCCCGCCGTCTCGCACCCGCCGACTTGCCCTCTCGTGCCTGCGCATTTGCTTTCTCGTGCCCGCCCGGCGCCCACTGGCACTGTCTTTTCGCGCCCGCCCACTGTCTGTTCGTGTTCGCCCACTGTCTTTTCGCGCCCGCCTGCTTGCACTTTCGTGTCCACCCATTGGCTCTCTTGCGTCCACACGCCCGCTCTGTTGTGTCCGCGCCGTGTTCAAACATTCTTGTGTGTGCGCGCGTGCGCATCCTCCGCGCTCGCTTCCAGAATCCACAGCTGCTCGCTCTCGGCTTCTTGACTGCGCACCTGCCTGCTGCCTCATGACAAACATTGATCTGTGTGCGTACCTTCTCGCCGTCTATGACAGCCAGCTAACATACATTCACATGGAGACTATTGCCCCTGTCACCTGCAACCTACGCGCCCATGCTCATGGACACACCATCTCACTCTACACCCACACACCCGACTCCGTCTTGCCCACAGTCTGTCTCGCACGCCCCCTCCCGCCCATGCTCTCGTCTGCTCGGCCGGCTGGCTACCTCCCCATTCGTGCGATCACCCACGCGATTGGTCACTCGTCCATCCGCCGACTTGCCTGCGGACCCGCTTAGTGACCCGTCGACCCGCGGACCCACTGACACTGTTACTCTAGTCATATTTTACTGCCTGTGCTCGTCATCTATCTCCCTCCCTAGTACCTATCTCATCTGCTCGTGGCCTCGGACCTCTCATAATGCATCACAGATTCTCACATCGGACTCGTAGTAGTATATGACATGCACAACAATGCATTAAATGTTTTTTTCTAATCACTTTGCGTGAACGAACATTAGAGTGAATTTTCATCGAATGTCCCGAGAACGGCATAGAAGCCACGACTTATTGCGTGAACATGCCACAGAAATTCACGAGAACATTGTAATTACTCGAGTATTACTGAGTATTCGTACACGGACCCATGGGGACCACGGAATATGGTCTGTTATTGGATTAGGAAGATTAATGCTGTTTATCTTCTATTCCTACGAATTTGCCTCTATTCTTCCGCATTCAGGGGAAGGTTTTTTCCTGATGATGTTGCGAAGGGGATGATAAAAGGGACAGATGTCGCGGAAAAGACGGCGTCGCCATAGCGGTCAACTGCTCGTGCGGCAAGCTCCCATCTTCGTAGACATGTCGGGTCAACGGCACTGGGATGGTGGCTTTGGAACATGGACCACGGAAGCGCTGAAGGAAAGACATAATTCGTCAGCAGCCGAGAGATGGTTTTCGACAGCCAACCCCACGACGTCCATATCGAGCGATCGCGATCCGGCTTCGCATGTGCATAGTCAAGGACTCTGGGTGCCGGCAGGAATACGACAGACTTGTAACATGACCTGAGAGTGTCGTAAGCGATCGTATAAGCCTCGGATGTGTTCGCTGCAAGGGTAGCATCCCGCCCGATAGGTAAGGCAAGGATGTCGCCGTCCAACGTGATGGAGAATGATAACATGTTTTCTTGCAACGAGAGTTCCTTGCTTTGTTTTTTTTTGTTTGTAATCCCGTTTATCGTCATTTGAGGGCGAAGCCCTATGTAGACTCGAACAATACACATGTACACTACTGAGGTTCGATTCGATGGTGTCTAGCTGATCATTGGCTCAGTGCGCCTCCGTAGAGGTGACTTCGCCGGGTGGGACAAATTATCGTAGGGGTTTATGGTGCATGTACAGTAAGGGTCATTAGTGTGTGTTGTAGCGTCTATGTACAGTCCGTGGGTGGTCCATTTGGAATGAGATGAAATGAAACGAGACAGAGTAGTGGGAGTGTCAGGGATGCGCGTGTGAGGTCGTCAGTCATTGTCCTCCGTGTCTGGTAATTCAAGTCCTCCGAAGATATTGTCGAAACGGCCGGTGGCGTGTATGAAGCGGAAGAGCGGCCGGATGGTGTCTGTTTGCGAGAGCAAATGTCTGAGAGATCGTGCTCGGCTTCCGATTTCGCGTCGTAGCCATGCGCGTTGTGGAGCGTATTCCGGGCACTCGAGGAAAAAGTGTTGGACGGTCTCTCGGTGGGCTCGGCATGCGGGGCAGCGTGCTGTGTCTGATCGGCGGATGCGATGGAGGTGGTAATTGAGCGGTGCGTGTCCGGTCCGGAGTTGGATGAGCAGGCTGGCGTGACGGCGAGGGAGGGGTGCAATGAGTTTACTGAACTTCCTCGATGGCATATCGGGATCTATGCGAGCGAGGGTCTCGAATCGAGGCGAGTCTTTCCATCGCTGGACAGCCGCAGTTTTGATTTGCTCGAGGAGATGCCTACGGATTGCGGAGATACTGGATGGGAGGGTTGAACGGAGGAGTTCGGGGAGCTCGTCTGGTGGACTGCTTTCGCCTCTAGCTGCTTTTTTGGCTTCTTCATCTGCACATTCGTTGCCGTCGACGCCACGGTGTCCTGGAACCCAACGAAGCGTAAGTCGTGCATCGGGGTGTGTGTTATAGAGTGTGTCGATGGACTGGTGTAAGGCGTCGAGGAGATAGTGTCCGGGTTGGCGGGAGCGTGTCTGCGAAGCTCGGAGACAAGGCGTATTATCGGCGGCGCAGGATGTTTGGGCGAGTCGGTATGCGAGCCGTGTGAGCAGTTCAACTCCATCAGGAAAAAACCTTCCCCTGAATGCGGAAGAATAGAGGCAAATTCGTAGGAATAGAAGATAAACAGCATTAATCTTCCTAATCCAATAACAGACCATATTCCGTGGTCCCCATGGGTCCGTGTACGAATACTCAGTAATACTCGAGTAATTACAATGTTCTCGTGAATTTCTGTGGCATGTTCACGCAATAAGTCGTGGCTTCTATGCCGTTCTCGGGACATTCGATGAAAATTCACTCTAATGTTCGTTCACGCAAAGTGATTAGAAAAAAACATTTAATGCATTGTTGTGCATGTCATATACTACTACGAGTCCGATGTGAGAATCTGTGATGCATTATGAGAGGTCCGAGGCCACGAGCAGATGAGATAGGTACTAGGGAGGGAGATAGATGACGAGCACAGGCAGTAAAATATGACTAGAGTAACAGTGTCAGTGGGTCCGCGGGTCGACGGGTCACTAAGCGGGTCCGCAGGCAAGTCGGCGGATGGACGAGTGACCAATCGCGTGGGTGATCGCACGAATGGGGAGGTAGCCAGCCGGCCGAGCAGACGAGAGCATGGGCGGGAGGGGGCGTGCGAGACAGACTGTGGGCAAGACGGAGTCGGGTGTGTGGGTGTAGAGTGAGATGGTGTGTCCATGAGCATGGGCGCGTAGGTTGCAGGTGACAGGGGCAATAGTCTCCATGTGAATGTATGTTAGCTGGCTGTCATAGACGGCGAGAAGGTACGCACACAGATCAATGTTTGTCATGAGGCAGCAGGCAGGTGCGCAGTCAAGAAGCCGAGAGCGAGCAGCTGTGGATTCTGGAAGCGAGCGCGGAGGATGCGCACGCGCGCACACACAAGAATGTTTGAACACGGCGCGGACACAACAGAGCGGGCGTGTGGACGCAAGAGAGCCAATGGGTGGACACGAAAGTGCAAGCAGGCGGGCGCGAAAAGACAGTGGGCGAACACGAACAGACAGTGGGCGGGCGCGAAAAGACAGTGCCAGTGGGCGCCGGGCGGGCACGAGAAAGCAAATGCGCAGGCACGAGAGGGCAAGTCGGCGGGTGCGAGACGGCGGGCAGGAGGGATGACAAGATAACGGGCGAACGAAATGGCCGGCACGGTCAACAGCAGATAGGACACGGTTCAGCGGGGCATGGCAAACGCGAGGGCGGACAAGCAAGGTGGCAGACGAGGGGGACATTGAGGTGGCGAGTCAGATGGCAAATGAGCGAACGGCGGGCGCTGGCGAGCGAGCTAGCATATGAATAAGCTGACGGAAGGTTAATAAGGGAGCGGGCAGGCAAGAGCGGGCGAGATACCAATGGCAAGTGAACGTTTGAACCAGCAAGAGGGCGGCAAGCGCGGGCGAGGCAAGGACGCGAGTCAGCAAGATCTGATGCGTGGGCGAGCAAGAGCTGCTGAGTGGGCGAGCAGGAGATGAACCAAACGCGGTCAGATGTGTGATAGTGAATGAGTGAGTATGCAAGACAAACCACACGAGCGACACGGGGGACATAGACAATGCAGAGATAGGATATGGCTGGCAAGGAAAGTGTGCCAGGAGGACGACGACACGACGCAAAGGCGGCGGCGACGTAGCAAGTGAAGCCAGCGGAGTGACGTGGCAGAACTCGATCGAGATTCAGTTTAGGGCAAGCAGTAACTGAACTCTGGCGCACGATGCCGTCGTGTCTTTTGCGTCTCGCTGCTTACCGCTCATCTACTCGTAGCGTTAACTCAACCATGTCTGGCTTCTTTTTGTTTGCGGGGTTCGTCGTCTGCTACACCATCATCTTTCCACGCGTCATGACCCACTCCCACTGCAAACTCTCCAGCTCGACCCAGACATTGAACGCCGGGCGGCGTCAGCTACGACAATCGCGTGTGGCGGCGGGGTACGCTGAACGAGCGGTCAGCTAGGCTATTCGGAGCCTTGGGCGCATGGTAAGAAGAGAGGGTGAGTATGGGGGCAGGCGAGTGAACGGATGCGTGAGGATGGATGACGCGTGAGAGCGAAAGAGCGAGCGTACGAGTGAACAGGTGGACAGGCAGATGAGTAACGTGAGAGAGGACAGGCAGACAACGAGTCAAACATTCAGCAGGTGAGTGAATGGCTATGCCGTGAATTTTCGCTGACGACGGTGTTCATGTCCACCAGCATTACCCTCGGCACCAGCACTTGCTTGCCTGCCCACCCATCCACGTTCTGTCTTGCTCACTGGCACGCTCTGTCTTTCCCGCGCTGTCTTTCTCTTGCTCATCTGCTCAGCTGCTTGCCCGCTCTCCAGCTTACCCGCTTGTCCGTGTGCCTAATAACGCACCCACCCGTGCGCCTGCTCGTCTGCCCACTCACTCGCGCTCGCCCGTGCTCCCTTGCCTATCCTCCGGCCCAGCCATGTGCCTGCATGCCCGCCCATGCTCCCTTCCTCCCACGTGCCTGCTCGCTTGTCCGCCCACTGGTCCGCCCGCTTGTCCGCCCACTGGTCCGCCCGCTTGTCCGCCCGCTTGTCCACCCGCTTGCCCACCTACCAGCCCACCCGCTCGCCTGCCCACCCACCGCTGCTCCCTTGGCCCTACTTGCTCCTGGGTCCAGCCCACTGCACCAAATTTGTTCTTCTTTTCGTCACGCGAAGCTGATCGCATTGAGCGAGCGAGCGCGGTGTTCGCTTCCTCGTCCGCCGTGCAGACTCGCCCAGACTCGTCGACCGATCCGTGCCCGCCTCCTACGCAAGCTTCTTGAGGACGCAACCGTCGCCGGCGGTGCGAGGACGTGCGAGGTGAGTGCTGTCGCGACGCTCTCTAGGCTTGACATGGTCTCTTTCGGTGAGTTGGATGCGTGAGGCAGCGGGCCTTGGGCACGGCGGGAGCTGCGGGCTTCTATTCAGGACGACCGTGGGCGTGGGTGCGGCAACGCCTCGGATTGCGATGAGGGCGGAGGAGCGGCAGCGGACAGCGACGCTCCGTGCAGTGGACAGGCCGCGGAGATGCGTCCTCGTGAACCGGTGCGTGCATCGACATGGTGCCCTCCCGTGAATGGCGCTTTCGATACGGCTGACGCAGGCACTGATTCAGTATGCACAGTGATGCGAAGCAGACCCAATGTATAGTATTGCTCAGCGAATACATATTGTTAGGTCGTGATCACTCATTTGCGTCCGATTAGCATTCCTGTCAAGTACTTGGTATCTCATTTTACCATGATAATGCTGAGATGCTTATAGTTGGGCTCTGAATGCTGGCGAATGAATGCATAATCATCGGTTCATGCTGGAGTGACGTGCACGGAAATAAGCATTCGACGTATTATTGCGACTGACATCAGAATGATCCGACATTACTGAGCTTCTACGTTTTATTCAGAATTCCTGACCATATAGCATAATTCGGAGGGAGCTTTTTTCCTGATGATTGCAGTCATGGGTTGGGACCATCCGAGTCGGGCCAGCCGACCATCGAATTGTCTTTCCCCTGACGATGTTCGCTACCCTCTTCTGTGCCACCTACGGCATGCCCCACCTGCTAGGGTGGCACACATCCTTCCCGACCGACCTGGAAGGGTTCTTGTGGCGTGCTGCCACACTCACAGTAACCGGGACGGCGTGCGTGGCCGGATCCATGGTCCTGCTAGCGAGCTACATCACCAAGCGCGTCAACGGTGATATAGTTGCTGTGCAGAAAGGTGTAGTCTATGTCGCGCTCTTGGTCTATGTGACATCGAGCGGGTATTTACTTATCGGGAGTGTCAGACAGCTGTCTGCGTTGCCTCCTCGCGTATTCGACATCCCACCGTGGACGGAATCGTTGCCTCATCTCGGGTAGTTTGGTTTGTTTCCTTAAATACCATGTGTGTCAATTCTACTAGTTCGTTGGTGTACTTACAAGCACCAGCCCCGGCCGCCTTTACTTTACTTCGTATCGTTCTAATCTTTCTCTACTAGGTCTCTTAAAGGTCGTGCCATGTTGTCCTGGCAGTTTGTACGGAGTATGTGCCAATTAATGATACATCGACTCGAGCTTTCGATATGTATATCGATAGTACCAGCTATAGGAGCTGCCAATGACCGCCTAGGTGCGCGCACACAAAAGCCTTTCCAAAAGTGGAGCATTGGTGCCCTTATACGGCAACTCTAGATGGACGAGCTCGACGCCACTTGCAATCGCAGGGATGACATCACCGTGACGCAGCGCTCTCCAGCATCGCCAGGCGCGTCCTCGAGCGCATATAAACCATCGAGCACGTCGGTTGACCCAGCACAACCTACCACACCGCTTGCTTCACTGCAACTCTCAGAAAACAAACTCTTCTTAACACTACATAACATCCTCACCATGGACACCACGCGCAAGGATTTCATCGAGGACCACACCACCGATGACCAGAAATTTAAGAAGCAATATCAGACTGTCGGCCGACCCCCGGTCACGGATCACGACATTAACGACGAGTATATGCGCGATCCTCCAGACGTGGGTAGTCCTCTCACTGGCAGCTCAGGGCTGGATACTGAACTGAGATGACAGAACCTGAACATCCCTGGAGAGACGTCGACGCTGCGCAAGGCACCCGGCCTGAAGGAGGGTGCACAGGAGGTCACAGACCCCAAGCAAGACGGCGTCCTCGGTGACCAGCCCACGGGCAAAGTCCAGAAGAATGTCGCGCTAGCAGACTTAGCGAGTGAGAATACCGTCCACCCAAACTCGACGTCATGATTTGGTATCGGCGATAGGTTGGAGGGATGAAGGAAGATAGAAGGACGCTGTAACGCTGTACCATATAATCCTGTTGCAAAGGGGCTTTAGTGAGTCCAATGACATTGAAGTCACCACTGAAAGTGAGATGTGGTCTTTCCTGCATCGTAACGCGACAGAAATTGGGACGCTGACCCGACAAGACGCGGCGCAACGAACCCCACAATATTCGCCCAACAACACTGATTCCGGCGGAATCCAAGCTAGACGCTCGCGTGGCCTCAGTATTGTAACTGACCAGTATTCGACTTCGCAACCGCGCAGAACACAGTATATACCTTTCGTCGAACACACGACGTTCAGCGATTTCGGCCTGCTTGCAGTCCACATCCCAGGCAGTGCGAGCCTGTTCTCAATACGGAGTAATCCACGCACCCTATCACCGAAACTGCCACCACTTTGCTTCGAAGCTGCTGAGGGCTTGTCTGACTGCATAGACCGCGGTCAATCATGCATCGAGAAACATTGGAACCATTCAATGGCACAGGTCCGACACAGCCATCGAGAGTGGCTGGACGTCCACTACCCATCCTCAATGTCCTAAGCACATCGACACGAGAATGGTATAAAAGAGCAATCAACAGGAAGCCTTCAAACAAATGAATTCACACTACTTCTGCTATATCATCAGTTCACCTGCAAAAGACCATGGCACAGTATACGCACTTGGTTCTGCCATTGCAATCATCTCGACCCGCAGTCAATACCTCAGGGTATCGTCTTCTCTCCGCCTACGTTCAACCTCGGCCTCGATCTCCACTGCCTCCCGATCCAACCTCTCCCTCTCCTCCGGCCTCCCCCACTCGCCCTTATACGCCTCCGGATCCCTCAGCTTGAACCCCAGCCTCTTCTTCACCATGCCTACGTACCCCACCTCGCTCACGCCCCGCGACACCCAGTCCATGTGCTTCTCCTTCTCGCTCATCCGCGCGAGGATGTGCGCGGGTGGGCCCTGCCTGCGCCGCCGGAGCGTGCGCTTGAGCACGACGCCCGCGCGTTCGCGCTGCCGCTCCCGCGTCTTGTTCGCGATCCTCTCCCGGCGCGCCGCCATGATCTGCTCAACGAGCTTGGGAGGAAACGGCGTCCGCGCGCGCTCCTCGTCACGCGCGAGGGTCGCCGTTAACTCTTTGTCGCGGTCCAGCAGGTGTTGTACTGACAGCCCGCCAGCGTCAGCGCGCAACAAAGACAAACACCGGTAGGGCTACGCACCCCACAGCTCGTCCTTGTCCTTGAACACCCCCTCGAACGACGCGCCGTCGCGCTTAGCCAGCCGCGCGAGCTCGCTCTCGAACTTCGCCTCGCGCACGAGGTCCTCCCGGAGCTCCCGGTTCGCCACCATCTCGAGCATGCGCTGCTCGCGCTTCTTGCGGCGCTTCGCGATCAGCGCGGAGATGTGCAGCGGCTGGGGAGTCATCCGCGGGAGCGGGCCGTTCACGACGGTGGGGCGCCAGAAGACCCCCGTGAGGATGGGCCGCTTCGCGAGCTTGTCACGCCACGCCTGGATGCGCGAGGTGAGGTGAGGTGCGAGGGAGGACGGAGAAAGAAGGAGAGGACTGACGAGCATTTCTTTGGCCATTTGATCGTTCCGTGCTTTGATGCGGCGGAAGGTGACCATCCTGGCGTACCGCTCGACGATGGCCTGTGAATGCGGGTCGCCTGCTTTTGCAGCCGCGAACATGTCTCGCCACTGCAGTAATTCACTGAGCATCCCATCGAGCTCCGGAAATATATGAACGCACTTTATGATACCGTGCCAGTAGCATCCTCACCGTGCTCGCCTTCCTCAGCCCTTTCTGCTTCTGGAACAGCGTCCGTATCCTCGACCTAGCTTCGCATCAGGCCAGAGTCACTCCCAAGCCTCGATGATCGAATGGACGGACTGCACGCACCGGACGTCGTCGCTCGGTGCGTCCCGCAGGAGCCCACGATAGAGCGACCATCGCGTAGGGATGCGGTGGGCCAGGAGGTCGCAGACTGCTGTGCGGAAGCGTGCCGGCCGCAGTGAGGAGATTATGGCAGCAATTTGAGCGCGGTGTGTGAGCGATTTGGCAGACGAGATAGAGTGGAGGGCCGTAGCCATGACGGAGGATAGTAGAGCAGTTGCGGTGAAAGGCGTAGGTACTTATGAGATACCCCGGTCGCGCGACCAGAAACTGGATCGTTGACGGATGGTCCTGGTAGTGCTTGATCGAAGAGGTCTGTCGCGTTCAGTGAGCGGTGGGTCTCGCCACTTCAAGCTTCAAGTCTTCCCGACATAGGTGTGCGAGGACTTTGGCCGGTCAGTAGTTCAAATCGAAGAGCAGGACAGTATGGCACTCAGAGGACGTGTGTATCCGAGGCGCCCAGCAGCCACCGGCCCAGCACCGGTCCGGCTTTGTGGCTGAAACCTTAGCTCTATTTAGCGCATCCATCCACTGCGAGCACGTCGAATGCTCCTGTCATCATGATGTACCGCAAGGTAAGGGAGAGAAGAAATGCTATGAAACCCCATGTTCCCGCTCTGGTATGTGCTGGCGATAATTGCGCATCGCTCGTTCAATGCCATGTGGACAGACAGCGGTACTTAAGTGCTGGCTAGTACTTGCTCGAGGTAAGTACTGAACTATGCCAGGGTACTCACAGGCCGGGAGTCACGGTCAACTTATCTCAGGTAGGGTATCTCTTCGCGGCGCTGACAATGTTCTGTAGTGAAAGTCGTGTACGGATGTGGATCCCAGCGGCCAGTGCGCAGTATCAATCCACTCGCCCCAAACCTATCCCTGAGGCAGTCCCTGGATTTGACCTCTTTGATATCAGGGGAGTCGTATCAGGCTCGCACAAGGAAATCAAATATGAGTCCTGGCGCGCCAACGACGAGGTTCATGCAGAGACCAGTCAATTCCAAGCGGATCCACGCGTAAAAATGGCTGGTTACGACCACACCGAGTCGCCAAGTTCAAGGTCAGTCTGTCACACGCCGACTGCGCCAACCAAATTACTTGATGATTGCATGGACAGGTGGACGGACCCGAGCCATACTTACGCTGACGGCAGCGGGCCTCCTCAGGGTGCGCGAGGCTCGGTTGAAACGCAGCTGGAGTCAAGCCCACGACGAGAATGCGTGGCTGAAGATTGGCTGGAGATGCGGCCCTACGGCGGTTGTTCAAGATAAGCCCCAAAGACAATAGCGGAGCCCAAGAAGCCCAGGATTTAGAAGCAGTACTGCAGAATGTGCGAAAGGGTACGGCGACTCTGGATCAACAGCTGAAGTGCTGCGTCATACAAGATAGTTAGTACAGATGTATGAAACCGTGTCACGTACAGGGTATGTATCCTCTTCCTCCGCAACTCAGGTCATACCAGAGAAGCTGCGGTCTACATGAGCTTGGGCTTCGAGTGCATGATGCATGAGGCCTCATGAGGAGCTAAGCCTCAGCGGAGCGCCATAAGTACACGTGAAGCGCACGCGCAATACCATGCGTAGAGCAGACTGCAAGTGGACCAGCCTGGCCTGTACGTTCATAACGGTAGTCTGTATCAAATTCGCATAGCAGGCCGGCATACGTGTTCAGCGGACTCCTCAACGCATCGCCTTCGACTACGATAAACGCAATCACCGCCACCAAACGTGCTGCTAGAAATGCGGCCAACCTCCAACTTGGAGAGGCGTGCTCAGAGACCGCCTCAGGGCCCTAAGCCACGCTGCATGTCTATATAACGACAGCCCGGAAGCCGACTCGTGCACCATAATCTTCACATCCACGACACTCATGTTCGCGAACCGCCAACCCACTCGCAAGGCCACCACCACTACGCGCCCGTCCGCGCTTTCGCGCTTCGGCTCAGGCTCTGCCAAAGCCACGCCGAGCGAGGCATCCTCGTCCGCTGCGTCTTCCACCGTTGTGTCGCGCAGCCCAGCTTCCTCCGTCGCTTCCCTTACGCTCAGCGATGAACCCGCACCCACAAATGGTCGCGCGTCGCCGTCGAAGGCCTCGACCATGCCGGCGAAGCGCCAGCTCACCCGGCAGGATTCGCTTCGGCCTTCTGCACTCAAGCGATTCAGCACCAGCGCCGTCAGCTTGGTCAAAGGACAGGGACTCACCAATGGCGCTGAGACGCCCGTGCCCGTCGCTCCTGTCTCGGGCAGCCCCACGTCGTCAGTGAGCTCACTCCCAATTGGGCCCGACCCTGGAGAGGGTGCAACGAGGACGATCGAGGAGCTGCGTACGAAGGTAAGACCAATGGGCAGTTTCGACGTTTTTCCCCATTCGCTGACGACTCATGGCTAGCTGGATGCGGCGGAGGAGGCTTTGACTACGGAGCAGAGCAGGCTAACAACACTCGAGGAGCGCATCAGGATCCTCGAAGTCGCGAAGGAGGAACATGTCCAAGAGGAAGCCACTCAGCGGGAGAGACAGCTTGCCCTGAACGCCCAACTCGACGAGCTACGGGCGCAGCTTGCGCGCTCCGAAGACGAGGTCCACAATAGAGACCGGGAGCTAGAGGCTGCACGAGCAGAAGCCGCGCAAGGGAGAGAAGCCCAGGAGGGGATCCGGAGAGGGCTCGAGCGCGAACTCGCGGATGTGCGGTCCCAGCTGCTGGACGCACAGGAAGTGTCACGCAGGAGAGCGGACGAGCTGGAAGCAGCAAGTCGCGAGGCAGGGGAGGCGGTGAACGAAAGGAGCGCCCTGCAGCAGAAGGTCGGCGACCTCGAGGTGTCACTCAAGACGGCACTGGACAACGGCGAGCAGGAGAGGAGGCGGTTGAACGAGGAGATCGCCAAGTTGAAGGAGGATCTGAAGAAGGCACCGTCGGCCGGGTGTACCATTCAGTGAGGGCGACGCGGGGAGTGCGCGCGTGCATCGGGGGGCTATTGTTTGTACACCTGATCTTGTAACATATCGTTTATCAGAGTGTTGTATGTACGCTGTCTAAGGCCCTGGAGTGGAGATGTCTCGATATCAGCATATGAAGCCTCGCGATGAACGTACGCACGTTGTATACCATGCACCTGTTGCACGGTATTGCATTCGCAGTATGCCCCTTGTCAGGAGGTTATTGACGGGCCTCGAACTACCCGCTGCGCGACCTTTAGCTGCTATGTGCGTGCCCGACGGTTCCTGCGCAGCTGCGAGCCCCATGAGGACCTCGTTCATAGGTCGCACCAACGCACCATACATATAGGTTTGACGGTTCCGCACAGACCCACCTCGCATTTCATCCACAACCCAGCTCCTCCCCACCTTTCCGATTATCCACAGATTGTCATGCTCGCCAATCGCCCCGGTTCACTTTCCAAAAAACCGACCCTCCGGCCCTCGCCGCTCACGCGGTTTAGTACGAGCGTTGTGAGCCTACTCAAAGCCCAACCCGCTGAGGCGTCTGCGAGTGTTGCAAGTGCGACGCCGACACCAGCACTGCCGGTGGCGAGTCTCACAAGCAGCCCAACGAGCTCCGTGCTCTCGCTTCCGTTGAGCTCTGACCCAGGTGAGGACGCAGCGAGCAAGACCACTGAAGATCTGAGGAAGAAGGTGAGCACAGTCAAATGAACGATAAAAGCCGTGTATTCATAGCTGTATAGCTGGACGCGTCCGAGGCTGCACTTGCAGCAAAGTCGCGCACCGCAGCAGAATTCGAGGAGAAGATTAAGGCTTTAGTTGCTGAATGTGCGGAGAGAGAGAAGCGAAGGGCTCTACAAGAGGATGCGCAGAGGGCAACCGAGAAGCGATTGACCGACACGGAGCGACGCTTTGATGAAGCACAGGCAGAGATTACGAGAAAAGACCTAGAGTTGGAGACAGCTCGCAGCGAGGTACGCATCATACACGTAGTGCACATAGCTGTAACAGCTCACCTTGAGCAAAACAGATTGACGAGACGGAAACGGTACTTCATGAGACAAGAAGTGATCTGACAAGCACCAGGGCTGCGTTGCGTAGCAAAGACGTGGAGCTCGGGGCGATACAGGAAGAGGTAAGCCACCAGTGATTGCTTCGGAGACACAGGCGAGGTGACCGAAACGCTTTAGTCTGGCATGACAAAAGCAGCGTTGGATGGCGTCGAGGCCGAACTAGCGGAGGAACGTCGCCTCCGCTCTTCCTTGCAGAGCAGTCTGGAAACATCGAGTCGCCAACTAGAAGAAGCCAACGAAGCAACAGCCCACTTCCGAAGTGACAACGAGGAGTTGAAAACGCGTGTCGCTCAACTGCAAATCGACGCCGCAAAACAAGCGAAGGAGCGGGAGGACACCAATTTGAAGGTATGTTCGATGCATCGCCACACGATCCTTTCGCAGGCCTCATAGATGTGCTGCTAGCTAGACGAAGTTGTGAAGGCACTGCAGAACAGCTCGAAAGGGCTGAGCATGGAACGCGAAATCCGTCGGACTGCTGAGTCAGAGTTAGAACGAACCAAGGCGGAGAATGTACGGCTCAGCGTCTCACACGCAAGTTTAACCTCGGAGCTCGAGGCCAAGTCAACAGAGCTAGACGAGCAGATCCAGCGTCTTGCTGAACGGGACCAAGAACTCGAGTCTCTGCGCAGCCAGGCCGACGCGAACACGGCAACCGCAGAGGCTCTTGCACGACAGCTGGCTGAGGGGGCCCGTACACGCGATGACGCTCTCTCCGAGCTCAGCGTTATGAAGTTCCAGTTATCTGACGCACAGATGGCCGCCCATCGAGCAGCAGACACTGCGATGCACGAAGTGACCGAGGTACGGTGGCAGGCGATGAAGACAGAGAGCGCACTCTCCCAGCGAGTACGCGACCTGGAGGAGGCCTTGCGATTAGCACAAGATGACGCGGCCCAGGAGATCAAAAAGATGAGGGGTGAGATGAGGAGGATACGGGAAGAATTGAGGAAGGCGGACGTCAACGCTGGTGGTGGTTGCGCCATTCAGTAGCTTTCGTCTTCTATCAAGGTGATTCTGCAGGTCAGGATATACTGTGCGAGTATCTATCGTAGTAAATATGGCACTTAGTTTCGCAGATGGGCCTCTAGCTTCACGACGAGTTGTAAACAACAGCGTGGTCGCATTGCAAATTTACTGCTGATGAGAGGTCAGCCAATGAGTCGACTCTCCAGAAGGAACGAACCCCCTCTGTAATGCCGTCCCGTCCATATGTGACCACCTATATCACTTCATTGTGAGCTCGGGTCACATGTAGCGCACTTGCAATATGATCGCTGTATGTCGGCATTCCTCCAGTGCCTTCGAGGGTTCAAACGAGCGGCGAAAACGGGACCAATTGCAAGATCTAGAGAGGCCTTGCCCACGGGAGCGAGCATGATGGTGCTCAATCAAGAACGCCATTTTACGCACATGGAGTAGGGAAGTTGGACGCAGAGAACCTTTAACGTCTGTAGGACTCCGCCGCCAGAATCAAGCATGTGTGGGCCGGGTCCACCACTGGCACCAGCGTCGCGGCAACGGCGCTCTCTAGATCTGAGATCTAAGGCCAACTTAGAAGAGGACCTTCTTGTTCACCGTGAAAACCCTAGGAATTCCGTGATCTACATAGAGGATAACACAACAATGCTAAGAATACATGAGATAGTAAAGACTGCCGTCTTAATTTAGGGTCCTCTGCGCCTGCGCAGTCATTGTATGCAACAACCCGTCTCCTGCATGTGTCTCCGCGCCGCGGCTTCGATGTCAGTCGCATGGCGGCCCAGGACCTGGAACTGTTCCCGGACAGACGCATATGCAACGCGAGCATTTGCAAGCTCGTTTCGGAGGCGCATGTTGGTCGCGTCGTTGACCTGCTTGTCCAAGCCTGCCCGCCGCCGTACGTCATCGAGAGCCCGCTCTGCGTCCTCCGTCCGCTGGTGAGACTCCTCGAGCTGCGAGCGAAGACCTTGGATCTCAATCTCGAGGAAATTGTTGACCGCATCGCTCTTCTCCGCCTTCGAACGGGCAGCCTGCAACTGCTTAGCAAGTGAGGTGGAAGCCTCCTGCGCGGCGTGGATACCCTCTTCTTTCCTGCCAACCTCCTCGACTGCTTGCTGCAACGCAGATGACACCTCTGCGAGGCGCTGCTCGAGAGCCCGAACGCGGTCCTCGGCGGTAGCGCGATCGAACGCGCACTGTTCGTAAGAGACCTGCGCGTCCAAAAGCAGCCGCTCAAGCTCGTCCACCCGGGCCGACTTCTCCTCTTGCTCAGCGTGAAGCGAAGCGAACTTGGCCTCCAGCGCCTCGATACGAGTGGTCAGCTCTTCTAGGTCGGCGGTTTTGGACTGCGCCTCGGACTGAGCTTGAGCGTGTGCCTCCTGCAAGATCTCGCACTCGAGCTGCACGGTTTTCAGCTCAGACTCGACTGTCGAGCGATGATTCCGTTCGGCATCGAGTGCCGCGATACGCTCCTCCAGTGACGCTTTGGCACCCTCGAGCTGCGATCGCTGTCAGAGACGACGGATGACGATAGGTAGCGTGAAACATACCTCACGACGCGTGGCATCAAGCTCGACGCGGCTTCTCTCAAGCTCGGATTCTGCAGTACCCAAACGCTGCTGCAGCTCGGAACGTTCCTTCTCCACGGCAGCCTTCTCCCCCTCTGACGCAGATAGGGATGATTGATGCCTCTCGGTTTCCGCGCGCGCGGCATCCAGCGAGGCATTCAAGTCATTGACACGCTCTTCTAGAGATGCCACTGACTTCTCTTTGCTGGCCAGCGTTGCGTTCGCGTCGTCGAGCTAGCCAGAACGTTAGTGGGAATGGAATGGAAGCCAGCTAAGGATCCGCACTTTGCGTCGCAAGGTGTCTGCCACCTTGGCATTCTCGCTGTTGTCAGCGGCCGGGAGGGACGCGACGGAGCCTTTCGGGCTCTCGCTAAGGGGCTTGTCCGTCTCTGATAACGGAGGTGAATACGGCGCTGTCTCTCGCAGGAGGGCATACCTGCTACCGACGGTTCGGTCGTCGCCTGGCTCTTCAGCATACCCACCATGTTCGAGCTGAATCGCCATAGCGGCGAGGGGCGCGCGCTGGCGGGGACGGCAGTGGGCCTGACTTGTCGGGATGCCAGCATCATTCAAGAGTCGAAGTCGGTGAGGGAGAAGTGAGCGCGCAGCGTACGGATGCGTCAAAGCAAGAGCGAGGCACAAGTGATATGAAAGGCCTTGCATTGTTCCCTCCTGGCTATATCTACAGACGGAAGTGAAGAGTACACCTGCCTGCATCGTCGTGGGACGAGCAATGCGCAGGCACACCTTCAACGCGATTTGCACTCTCCGTGCGTGCAGCCTTTGCGTGTATCTCAAGAGTCAGCTTCTCGGAGCCCGAGTACCCCTGGGAAATCACATGAGGATAAGGAGAGCCTGCCGACGATCCTGCTGCGAAAGGCATGTCAGATATGAAGTGCTCATGTTTTCACTGCCACACCAAGTATCCGGCGTTAGGCTTGGACCATGCGGCATGGTCTCAGCGTCTTTCGCATCCGAAGACAAGCGTCCAGTACTCAGTACTTGACCGGCGGCCATCGTAGCCAAAAGCATGAGAGTTCAAGTTTTTGGCGGGATCCGCTTTGCGCGAGACTCGTTATAACATACTGTGACTCCGAAAAGGATCAGCGAAAAGTCAAATATGTAGTGAGGTCAGCGGGACCATTACCTTTGTGGCTGCGATCTAGCCCACGTTGTGACCAAAGGCAGGTGGATGCTGTGCACACCTCTTCACAAGTAGTCTCACTGGACGAAGCACCATCAAAGCATGCAGGCAGTCCTATCCCAGTCCATCCCAAAGCGATACATAACACGACAATGACAACGAAACGTATTACATGAGCTTCCCGTTGGAGTATCCTTGATGCGCCCCGGAGCCATGCTGCTTGAGGGCGCGTGTCGCGGAGAACAACATGCTGTCGATGAGCGCTGCAACCGTGAGCACTCCACCGACAATCGCGCATGTCCTGTGCCGTCGCCGCTATCATCAGCATGGGACCGAGCGTGTGAGACGGACGGGACGTACGAGGTCAGGAAGTGCGCGAACGACTGGCGCGTCGCGTCGTGCACAATGAGGATGGGTGAGATGTCGTAGTTAAAGAAGGCGCCTGATCTAAATTTCAGTTTCCGAAGCCACGCGCCAACATACGGATGCAGACCTGGAATACCAGTCGAGGTGTGCGCGATGTGCGTTCCCTCTTTACTATCCTCTTGTTGCCCTTTCGATAGATCCCGCTCAAAGTTTGTGACACTGTACTGATGCGTCTTGTACTGTATGCAACGTCGCGATCGTCAACGTTGTGAGTATTATGGGGAGAGAAGATGTCACCTACCACTCTGCCGTCCAGCATGTTGAATTGCGTCGAAACGACCTTCAAGAAATACTGAAACATGTACTGCTGCTTCGATGTCTGGAGGAACTGCGATCAATGTCCACACTTCAAACGATCTTCGATCCGCTCACCCTCTTTGTCGTCTTATCGAGCGGGTTTCCCTCGATGCCAAGCATAGCCCTGAACTCGCGTTGACGCTGGCGATCGCGCTCCTGGTCGCTCTCGAACCCGAACTCGTGTATGACGTGGGTGAAATCGTGACGATTCTTGTCGTCTCGCAAGTATGGCACCAAGTCGTAGATGTTTTGCGCCGCAGTCCGGAACGATCGTCCTGGCGAGAGGTGGATGTTGCCGACGACCTTGTTAACGCGCACCTTGCCCGCGACGTTGCAGCCCTCGTCTGCCTGTTCCTTGAGCTTGTCCGACCAACCCTCGCTGACGCACTATAAGCGTTGCAGATCAGGTGATGTTTTGAGTAAAGATTCCACGATGTTCACCTGTTCGATTGAGTCAGGTCGGTTGAAACTCCATCCTCGGTCGAGGTAAGCCTGTCGCACGGACTCGCACGTGTTGCAACATCCGCTCTCTGGGGGCTTCCCACCGAAGCAAGAACCGCAATACGTCTCGCCTCGCTGCTCATTGAGCTTGTCCAGATCGTTGCGAAGTTCATTGTTTGCATTTAACGCCTGCAGGGACTCGCCCTTTTGCGACAGCCGCGTCTTGACGATGTTATGTGAGATGTCGGTTTGAGTCTCGCCCGAAATGTCCATCACATCCAAACTGAGGACTACGTAAAAATAGTGAGTTTTAAGTCGACGCCGTTGTAAATCAACAGATTCCAAGGATATGTTGGAACGTGAGGCTTGGCCGACAGCAGTCATCGACTCACACCAGTCTGTACGGAGTACCACCTCGGAATTGGCCTGCTTCGGCCATTAGGAAAAACCTTTACTGGCAATTAGATGCATCACCAGCATACAATGAAGCCCAATCAACTGCGTGAGCAGGGTCATGATTACCATCGTAGGCAACGGACTAGGAGCTGCTAGAACCCACCTTGGGTAACGTACTGCTCGAAGCATCTATAACCCCAGGACAGAGGCGAACACGCTGTGGTGATATATGCAACGCCACGGCCAATGCAGTCGACGAGGGCCTCGTCAGTTCAAGAGGACTGCGGAGGGTACCAAGTCGTTCCAGACCACAGCTTACTCTGGACTCATGCTGGGCCTCGGCAGCACGTCTACGCGAGGACCTTACATGCATCCGGAGAAACAGTTTCGCCGTCTCCATCCGTTTCGTATTGGAACGAATACAACTCCAGACACTAGCCGTACACCGGGACAACACGAAAAGAGATTGGAAGTCGTACTCACGATAGCATGGTACCCTCGGGAACGTAACGTTCATTCGGACATTCAGCTTCTCTCCACGACTTTTGTCAACCAGGATAGACGTGTCAATGTTGACCCTCCTGTAGTCGAGAAATTCGATGGTCGTGAAAGCCAGAATGATGGCAGCAGATAGGATTGTCACTGCCTGGCTTCAGCAACAACTCCAACGTGTGCGAAATTGCGTGAGACGACTCACAGAACGCGCCAGTACGCGTCTTGACCTTCACATCTTCTGTAGTCTGTCAATATTGTTAGATCGCCTTCGCAGTCAAGAGACTTCTGATCCCGCGAACCTTGCCGAAGGCGTCGATGCCTTTGAGCGAGCTGAATAGCCCTTTCGCCGGCATGTTTAGTCCGGGAAGTGTCCGTCAAGCAAATAAACCAGTCCTGGCCAGTACCGAGACCAAGTCCCAAAAGAGAGGCCAGCAAACCCTGTTGCGAGAGAAAGAAGAGTAACAGGATGAAGGAGTAGTCGTTGTGAGATAGAGACGCTCGTGGCAGTGGGTACCGCATACGTGTCTGCTCTCGCGACGCGCGGGCACGTGCCTCCTCGAGGCCAGTCTGGCTGTGACTCTAGATCTTTCAGAGTTCATTCCGAGCTTAAGTTCTCAGTTTGTTGTCGGGGGACCAGCACGACGAAGAAATTGAGGCTATCTCGCATTCACGAACAATGTAAGACTAGGTATTCATGGTCCGATCCAACCAACAGCACTCGCAGCCGAGCACTGGCATCCGAACTACCGTGGCTCTTGCGATGCTATTCGATCTACGCCCTGCCGCACCTTTCCAAAGAGGTTTCTCACACCGTCCGTTATGCCATCCGCCTGCAGGCTCACGCCTTCCCCGCTCGTCCTGTACACACCAGTTCCGGCTGGTCCTCCTAAGCTCACATTGACACCGCCCAGGTTGAGGTTCAGAGATGGCATCGTGCTCGAACTCCCTGGAGGAGGCTCGTATACCGACGAGGGGAAGTTGACTGCTGCAGAGCGTATCATCTCCACGAAGCTGATGATGGCGTCAATGAGCCATCGCCGAAGCCCAGATTGTAGGGCACTCACCTGGACGAGTTGTGGACACATGTCCCGCCCAGAAGAAGACGTGTCCCCGCGGAAGAGGCACCACTTTGCGTTGACTCTTGATTCAGCATTGCAATGACGCGGGCTTCAGCATAGGTTGTCCCGCCGATCATGAAGATGATCACGTCCTGCGGTCTGAGAGTAGGCAGGTCACAGCTCAGTGGATAGCATTTCGTTCAGCACAACGCACCGCTGAAGACTGGCATTCGGTCCAGCGCCGTCAAGGAAGGGATGGCTAGTGTCACGGAGACGGCCCCTGAACAGATCCTCAAGTGTCTCGGCTAAGTGTGGCTGGTGCTGCATATACACATTCTCCACGCCCTTCAGACCCTTCAGCGCTGAACGACCCTTGGCGAATAATGACTCGGCGGAAAACAAATCGTCTTGTCGCTGATCCGAGCCGGCAATGTTGAGGATCATATAGACGAGCTAGACAGAATATGCGTTTGACGCTGTTCAATGCTTCATCTAGGCCGACAGTACAACGACTCACCTTAGCGTCCTCACGGTTGACCCCATTTTCGAGCATCAGGTTGATGAGCGAAGCCACGTTATTTGCTTGTGATTTCTGGTACCGCAGGGCGTACAAAATGACAAGGCGCAGCTTATTCCACGGTTGAATTATGGGGTTGGTGATGAGTGCCTGCACGCTCTATATCCCAAGGCCGACATCAACGCCTGACCCGAGCGAGCGAACTCGATGAACTCACCCTCAAGTCCGCCCCAGACCCAGTGGCCAGCCCTTGCTCGACCTCTCCAAGATCCAACATCTTGTCTCGCTCCACTAACCGGCTGAGCTCGCCCACGAGCGCGACATGCTTGCTGACGTTTCCGCCGAGCTTGCGGAACTCGGGGTACTCTTCGACAAAGCGCTTCATATCGCTGATCGAGTTGATAGACTGCGGGTTGTGAGCAAGGGAGTGAGACTGGTATGACTGCACGTAGGCTTTGAGGGAGGTCCCGAGGTCGCCGAAGGTGGCGAGGTGGTGTGCTTGGAAGAAAGGATCGGTGGAGGGCGTAAGGGTGACTTCCTGCACAAAGGTTGGCATCGGCAAAGACATGTATGCATAGTCTCACGGCATACCTTTAGCTCTGGTCGGATGTCAGGTACGAGGCTAAGGTCTACCCGGCCGTTCTGGATACCGAATAGCTCATGCACCATAGCTTGGTATGTCCATTGCGAAAGCAGAGGCGTGACAGGATCATTTCGTCGATCCAGAATCAAGAGAAGTGGGGGCACTTGGGTCAACCTGAAGTCAAACAAGGACGACTCCGACTGCATCCTATGCTACATCTCCAGGTGAGCCTGCAACGACGAGACAATTTCATGAACCTCTTACCTGGATCTCTACTCCGAGTTTCTTCGCCATCGGACTCGACCGCTCGTAGCGGATTACCGGCTTCTTCTTCAAGCTCAACAGGACAGACGTCACACCCTGCACGGCGCGCTCGAGCGCTTTCGGATCCCAAGAGTTGGGCGACGAGCCGTAGAGGGGTTGCGAGGCGTTTGGCATGTGGTTAAGGGAGAACAGGCACGGGAGGATTGGTGCGTAGTCTGCAAAATATTCCTTGTATGTGTATCAGGGGATACGCCTCCAGCGAGATGCGCTCCACTCACCTGCACCTCCCGCACAACCTCATACTCGTCAGCGTCCGCTAATCGCTCGATGGTGGTCTTGCTAAGGATGTTGCTGAAGTCTGGCGGCACGATGGTGTGAATGGGTGCAGCTACCAGAATCAGCGCATGATTCACCCACACAGGTAGTATTCGCCGTACTTCGGCTCTCGCAGTTCCGCTTCCAGTGCCTCGAGACTGTCCTCACTCGTCTGGAGGAAGCATACGCACTTCATGTGCGGCATCCGGTCGCGTTTTGTGTTGTCGATCTTGTCTGTAAGATACACTTGGTGGGAGAGCAAGGTCGACTGTGTTACTGCCAATGATACGATGGGTGTCTGGCGAGACGACGTCACAACCCCGGCGAAGCATAGATGGACGTCTCGCGACGCACCGTATGGCCGTCGAGTATCAGGACCTTCATCGTCTGGGGCTCAGAGATGAGCTTCGTAAGATACGTCTCCACGGCTTTGACGACGTCCATGGTGGCTCAATGAATGGGAGCAAGAATCTGGGGTATGGCCGAAACGGTCGAGCGTAGCTGCGTATGGGCTTAGACTTCTTCGAGGGCCAGAACACTACAGCTTGGACACTCGCTGCACCACAGAACCGAGCTCGTATGCCACTTCACTGCTTTGCACGCGCGCAGCTACGAGTCACAGCGACAGGGAAATAGGCTGAAGGATAGGAGGACGTAGAGGTTGACCACAGGTGTGAGTAGTGCTGTGCGCCGCGTCACAGCGCGTCGAGTGCACGCGTAGGCGCCCATGTGCGATCATGGTCACGGTCCGCCCTGGTCGGACGTCTGCCTCCACTTGTCTTTCCCCTTTTTCACACAAATCGAGGTCTAGCAACAACTCGTCAATGACAGCACACACACGCAAAACCAACTCTTGCAAAGGCCTAATGTTTCGGAACACGACAATGATGACTTTTTGATGACGCGATGCAGATTCGATAAAGTTCCCGCCCCCGAACTCTGTGTACCTGGCTGCCTCTCTTCCTCTATTTCCGTCTTGCCATACACAGTGGATGCTCAAACCATGGAATCTCCGTCTACTTCACAGCCTCCATCTCCAGGGTCTCCATCGCCGATACCCGCCGACTTTCCTGGCGGCGAGCTTTCGAACGCGCTGAAGGAACATTCATTTGGGATATCTCGTTTCGAGATCGTGCACACATCGTCTCATGAGGCGAGGGCACGCATCACACTCCTAGACGAGAGAGAAGTAACGATAGTGCTTACGACGAATGGATATAATGTGCGTCGGGAGGTCCTGCTGAACGCTGTGCATGTGCCTTACCATCTCATTTGCACGCGCAGATTGTGGAAGACGCTCAGTCTCCAGAGAGGACATTCGAAAGCCTCGACGATCTACTGGTATCAGTTAGTCCTCAATATAGGGAGATCCAGCAGCAGGCACTGTTGACCAAACTACAATTGCTGGCGGAGAGTCAAGGTCAACTAGAGGAATCCTGACCACAATGCTATGTAATTTACAGAAGCAATATAGGTTCCAATGTCATGCCCCTCGATGACACGGCAACTCTGGACTCACCTATTGCTCTGTATCCACTGCGCTGAGCTCTGCCAACTTGCCCGTTTCTTTCCGTCTGTTCAACGCCTCCACATACATCTCTCTTATGAACTCTCCACGTTCTCCTCCCTCACGTTGCGTATCATCTCGCCGATCCACTTCCGCTCTTCTTCGTTCCGCACACAATTCGCCCACCATCGGTCCATGCTGCTCCGGATGCCAGACGTGTTGAGTTCGCCATGCTCGCTCTGCTCGGCAAGGATAAAGAGCAGAAAGCCCGTGTTCAGCCGTTCCAGTCCGAGGATAGAGAGGCATTTAAGTATCCGCGAGATACGGAGGTAGTTATGCGAGGAACCTGCGTCTCGGTCGTGTCAGGTCGCGAGAATAAGTGGCGTATAACTTACGAGTCAGATTTTTGTAGCGATCCTTGTAGTTCTTGTCCGATCTGGCGAGCAGACCAGTCTCGCTGTCTTCGAGGCGCATCCCATAGAAGTCCAGCATCAACCTGTACGAACGCAGAACGCGCTCCACGATCGTCTCGTCGGCCTTCATGGCCTCCACCTCATGCCGTTGCAGTGGTTGGGACTCATAATTCATGCCATGCTCCGGGATAGGGAAGCTAACGGAATAGCGCATGCCTCATTCGACCAGTTATCCAAGAGTGCATGAGGGACATCACATACAGCCATTGAATGAATCCGTGCTTGTACTCCAGCTTCGAGTAATCTCCGCGCCACCTGCATACGAGCGCGACACTAAGCTAACCAACTCATAGGTCAAGCCAGCAGATGCTCACTGCTTGTGCAGGTCGTCGATATAGAGATTGTCTGGACGGCATCGCAGCTTGTTGGAGTAGAATCGCAAGTTGTCTGAGAACGACGGGTTGTCGCTGTTATCGGGGTAATCTTCCAGGAACTCGCGGACGTCTCTCGGTATAGATGCAGACATGCTGGAGAGAAATCTAGACGAAGCAACCAGCTGGATCCGTTTCGAAGGTACACGAGCAAAGCGGCCGACTGAAAGCATCAAGTGGCGTGGCTTGAGCGCGAGGGAGGCGCGTCGCGCTGCAAATCAAAATGAATTTGACTGTGAGGGTGTGGCCGATCAGATTCACAGACAATTCAACGTGCCTACGATTTGTTACGTTCCCCACTTCAGTCAAATTGATCCCTGCATCCAGCCGACCTGCGATGCCACCTACACCATCGTCCATCATCTCCGACGCCCTCAACTCGCTATCCAAGGCCGCAAACCTCGCTGTGAGCTCTCTGTCGTTTCAGTGGCGTTCAACCATCTCAGGCGTGCCCTAGCTCGCTACTGTCGAAGAACAAGCACGGACGGATGTCACGCGCGCGAATGCCGAGGTTTCGGAGGCGCGTCGCGAGCGGGACGACGCGCTGAAGACTCTGCGCGACCTCAGGCTGCAGGAGAAGAGTTGGGAGCGTCGAGAGGAGTCGTGGAAGGCTTCGGTGCGTGTTTCAGGACTGTACCAATGTTTCAGAGAACCGACTACGCTCGCTGCAGGTTGATAAAGCCGAGCTTACAGTCAGTTTTTCGCCTTTGTGACCTGCTCTACCCCTGACAGTCTTACAGGTTAAACACCAAGCTGAGACGATATCCCATTTACGCGCCGAGTCTGCTCAATGGAAAGCACAACTAACGAGGCTCGAGGAGACATCTCGCCAAGAAGTCAACGACTGGAAAGAACGTTGCCTGCATGCCGAACAGGAGCGGTGTCAGTTATCCTCCCGGATAGATGAACTTGTCGCAGAACAGCTAGCGGTGTGTGCGAGTTGTCGACAACTTCCCCTCCATAACTCAATCTTGCAGCAGTACAACACACAGGCTAATGCAGCTCTGGGTGCTCTTGCCTCACGGTCTCCCTACCCAGACCTCTTCGAGCTATCTAGCTCGTCTACGAAGCGCGCTTCCACCTCATCCGTTGCCCCGCCTCTCAACAAACGACAGACGTCCCTAGCCCAAGCACCTGACCATGACGCTCCGCCTCCAGCGCGGAAGACCAGGCCAGTGCAGACACCATCCAAACACGCCTCCCAGATCGACCGTCCCGTCGACCCTCCTCCCTCACGCACGCCAAAGCATAAGTCTCAGCCCACCGAGCCCCCGCCGGCGGCCACCAAGGCACCACGCACGCCGAACACACCTCGCGCCACACCGATATCGCGCGCCGCACAGAACTCACACTCACACTCGCATCCACCACCACCTGAGCCATCAAGCTCGGTCCCACAGCAGCGTGTGATTCGTCGCGTGCAAGCGGTGATCTCCGTCCCTGTGAAGGAAGAAGAAGAGTCAGATGTTGAGCCCTTCGAGTCTGACGCGTCAGGCTCGGCGTACGAGCCGGAGGACGAGCAGCCTGTGCTGAAGCGAAACAACAGACGGGCGACCGCCGGTCAAAGGCAATCGCGGGCCAGGCGAGTGGTCGAGGATGAGGACGAGGGCGAGGAGGAGACACGAAGTCATCGTCATGTTCGGCCCGGTCGTTACGTTCTAGAGGACGAGGATGACACGGACGAGCTCGCAATGGGTCGCGAGGTGCGTCTCTCGTTAACTGCGATCCTGGTGCGGATCCCAATCTACTGGCAGGATGAGTTTGACCCTCCTCAACAAACGACGCCCAGGACAAAGACAAAGACGGCGCGGACGCCTGCAACACATCTCCGAAGAAACGAAAGCTTGATGTCGATCAAGTGAATGGCACCGCTGGTCGGGCAACTACCAAAGTTGCGCGAAAGAAGTAAGCTGCCACCATGAACATCACGAGCAGAATGTGTGTGTATTCCTCATTACCCCATCGTGTCTCCATGTCTCTGCTATAGCAATTGCCGTTGTATCATACATACATGTTATGCCTCATCTACAAGTAACCGGGGTGTACGTCTGCAGTCATAAGAATATACGTGGTCAGGCTCATGAGGGGGATGCTGGTGGGAGTGTGCTGCTACCGGGATACGTGAGTCTCATAATTTATGTGCTATGTCCGTATCATGTCCGTATCGTCCGCTTGGGCTTAGATAGTCAGAAGAGAAAATGCGTCAACATCGCTCCAGCGACTCCGAGTCCAGCAGCCACGCCGCGGGCAACGCGCTCTCTTCGACCCACGCCGTGCAGAAGAAGAGCGTGCTCCTCCCGTAGCTCACGGATCTGTATATTCCAGCGGTGCATCACCTCCTCCTTCTCCGCCACCAATGCGGCTATCTGCCCCTGATAGTCATTGTGAAGCTGCGCAATGATCCCGTCCTTTGTACGATCGAGCGAGCCAGTGCTGTGCTGGTAGTTCTCAAGCGTCGCCTTCAAGGTGTTGACGTCTTGCTTAGCCGATGCAAGAGCTGCATTTGCGGCCGCAAGGTCGCCACGAACCGCGCGGAGCTCAGCGTCTCGTTTCTCGATTTCCTGGAGGGACTGCTTTACCTGCTGCTGCAGCGCTGACCTATGCTTGCCATGGAGTTCGTCGACGGCAGCCTGGTGCGTCGCGCGGAGCTGCTTGGCCTCGTCCGCCCGCTTCTTGTTGCTGTCTTCGGCCTGCAGGAGATGACGACGGGCTTGCTCGTTGCTCGTGTTGAGCTTCTTGGTTAGGGCGTTCCGCGCCTCGCGGACATCGGCGAGCTCCTTGGACAGTCGTGCGATCTCCTGGTCCTTCTCGTCGGCCGCGGAGAGGCGTGGGCGCACGGTATCCAACTCCGTCTGTAGCGTCTTGGCCTGCTGCGACGCCCGGGAGAGCTCGGCGGAAAGGCGAGCGACTGTCTGCTCTTTCTCCCTTCGGAGGCCAGGCTCTTTTGACGGATCGCGTCGGACTCCATTTGCAACGCCCTGGCCCTTTGCGAGGAGTGGGATAGCGCTGCCTTGCACTCTGCGTACGCTTCCTCTGTCCCCTTGAGGACGTTGTTCAGCTGAGTGATGCGGCCCTTGGCTTGATCGCACTCACTCTCCAGCTGAGTGATCTGTACGCCGCCGGCCTCGACCATCTGGTCTAGCTCGGAGACCCTCGAGTACGCAGCGTCGGCTTTGCGTTGCATGTCAGCCTTATCGACGAGCAATCGGACAGCTCGTCCTGATGGGCGGCATGGAGCTGACGGATCTCGTCCTGAAGGGCCCGGGCGGTGCTCTCCAGCTCCTTCGCATGGCGATCTGTGGCAAGGAAGGTCTCCCGAAGGGCGGCTTGAGACTCGCGAGCGTGTGACAAGTCCGCGGACAGTCCTTCGATGACTTCAGCTTTCGCCCGCTCGATCTCTGCCGTTCGCTGACCAGCTTCCTCCAGCTGAACCTTGGCGGCATCGAGTTCCCGCAGGGCAGACCCAAGAGCGCCCTCCGCCTCAGACAACTCAGCTTGCAGCTCCTGAAGTGTCGTTTCCTGTTCGTCATATGAGTTTTGAAAGCGTCCGCTTCGGTCACGAATCGCTCGCATTCGTCTCGGAGCTCCTCGAGCTCTCGTGCAGCCGCGTACACCGGTGTTGGAGTTCATCGCGCTCGTTGACGAATGTGTCGATCTCTTTCTGATGTGAGGCGTGAACATCCCGGAGCTCGCGCTCTTGGCTCTCTTCCTGCGACTGCATATACTACTTAGAGGATGCAACATAGGGGCGAAGTGTTGACATACCTGGAGCTCGGCTGCCAGCTTATCAACCTGTCCCTCGAGTTCAGCGTAGCCCTGTGCGTGACGTTTCTCAAGCTCCTCGAGTTTGCGAAGGTGCGCATCGGCATCGGCACGAGCCTGCCCTTCGCCTGGTCAAGCGCATCAGCGCTCCTGGCGAGTTCAGCCGCCAGCTCTTCAACCTGCATCGACCGACCCGCCGACTCAACGCGGGTGGCGTCCAACTCATCGGAGAGTCTGCGGGAGTCTTCCCGCGCTGCCTGCAGGTCGACTTCCTTGGCCTCGACCGTATTGGCCATCTCCTCCATAGCCGCCGCCGCCTTGTCTAGCTCTGCCTCGAGCGCCTTCACACGGCAGAGGTAGTCCTCGCTTCGTCGGTCTAGCTCCGCGCGCTCCTTCGTCACGATGGAGAGGTCGAGCTCAAGATCCGCTGCGCGGTCGGACTGCGCATCTCGCTCGTCGCGCGTGGTGGTCAGCTCTGAGGCCAAGGTTTGCAGCCGCCGAGTTACTTCCTGTATTGCCGCGTCTCTGGCTGCGATGACTTCCTCGTCTTGGCCATGCTGTGTTTTCAGCTTGTCGCGATCTTCCTCGACCGACTTCAGGCGTTGCTCAGTCGAGAGACGTGCTGCGCGCTCTGTCTCGAGCGTCGACATCGACTCAGCGACCTAAAGGAACCAGGGTGAGCATGCGATCTAACGTTCGAAGTCTGAGGTCAGATGTACCTGCCGTCGGGCATCCTCGAGCTGAGAAGACTGTTCCGCATGGTCGTGCCGCGCATCGTCAGAGCGTCTCAACGCTTCAGCCAGGTCGGTTTGGAGTTTCGCTTTTGCGTCCTCCGCAGCTTGCAAGGCTGCATCTGCGTTGCTAGACTCTGCTTGCGCTGCCTCCAGCGACGAAGAGAGTGTCCGGACACGTTCCTCGAGCGAATCGACGGCTCGTGTCTTTGCATCTAGTGCTGCTGTCGTCTCGTCAAGCTAGACGACACATCATCAGTCAACGTTTTCCCAGGATGCCAGGGAACGCATACCTTGGTTTGGAGGTCGCCGACTAGCTGCTTGGTCTCTCCTTTAGAAGTCTTAGATGCTCTAGACAGTAAGCTCTTCGTATCCCCTAAGTTACCACAGTCGATGAGCACATAGCTAAGGGAGTTTGAGGGCCTGAAGACCTACCGTCGGCGTTGGCTGCATCGTTAGGCTTCCTCCATAATAAATTAGTGAAATAAGAATTTTGACGCGTTGGTTGCTTCGGAGGCATGATAGGTCGTGGCCGTAGAATATGTAACAGTGTCTGAGTTCAGGAGAAAGGGAGATCGTTGCAAACGACAGTGGAAGGTATGAGAGGTACAGGTCAAGAAGTTCGCGTGCTACCTGAGCAGTGCGGCGAGCGAGAAAAGAGGTTCAGGAGCGGATGTGAAGGAATGCAATGTACCCTCGCCCGCTCCAGGAGGGCACCAGGCAGTAATCCTCATTACCGTCGGCACCCGTCCGAAATGAAGGAAGCGTGAACCATCCCCTTAGCCTCATGTCATACATGAGTGGGTGCGGTCCTGTGAAACGTGGAGGTTACTGTGCTTTGGCGCATGCACCTGGCTGTGCACAGAGCGAAGACTGCAACGTGGATGGCACTGTCTAGAACGCTTGATGTGTCAACGGGGGTCGATTACTGTAAGTAAGGTGAAATACCTATCGCGCTGCTCGTATCTTGCAATTGAAGCGATGCTTAGTCGACCGAGCAATGGCCCCACGGCGTGCTCGTCAGAGCGGCCCGGAACGCCTGAATTCTACGGGTAGAATCAGCAACTCGTCTGAATGTGGGAGCCGTCCGTATGCCTCGTTTCACTCACTGCCACCGACTACTCCGCACGTCCGCAGTTCAAACACCTCGCGATGTCCTAACCAGCCTCTATTACTTCCGTGCGCTCGATGACCGCGCGCCTTATCAATACGTGCACGATCCTCCTGCAGGCATCGCAAAGGAGAACCTCGGTGTTCAGGCGTATCCGGTCAAGATCGACGATGCACGAGGCAGGGAGATTGAGTTTACGTTGGATAACAGCGGATTCCAATTCATCACGCACGTCAGCGAGGAAAGGCAGTTCGACGATGAACAGTGTATCAGGACGACCTATTATCGCGAAATTGTAGAACTGCTGAAACGCGCGACTGCTGCGAAGCGAGTTCACGTATTCGACCACACGATCAGGTTAGTAGTCGATCGTACTTAGGGGTACGTGTACTTGAGATTGAGATGTCACAGGACAAAACAGACAGAGATCGGACAGAGAAGTCCAAATCGTGGCCCTGTGGTCCGTTGACTCCGTGCCCAACATGCTTGGAGGCTGCATGTTGACACTTTTCATAGGAACGAGTGCACGTCGACCAAACGTTTGACGCTGCACTCCATCGCGTACGGCACGAGCTACCAGACGAAGCAGATCGGCTCCTCCAACGGCGAATACGCATCGTCAACGTCTGGAGGCCCATCCACCACCCCGTCGCACACAAGCCACTGGCCGTTTCGGATTGGCGTTCCGTCGACAAGGAACATGACCTCGTTCCTGTTCGGCTCATCTACCCCGACCGCGAGAGTAGCTCGTTCAGCGTGCGGTACAACTGCGCCCACCGCTGGTACTACCTCTCGAATCAGACTCCTGATGAGGTCATCTTGATCAAGTGCTATGACTCCGCGGTAGACAGAGCTAGGTTGGCTCCCCATTCGGCATTCGTGGACAGTGGTAGCTCGCCGTCGGCCCCGCACAGGCATTCCATCGAGGTGAGATGCCTCGTGTTCGACACGGAGTAGTAGAATGCATGTTACGCACCGTACTCGCACCAATCTAATCCTCCGCGATGTCATTTGGTCACCAGCTGCCATCATGACGCTCTGACTGCGGCTTTCTAGCCAACTGGCGGCCACCGCCCTGAAGGTCTCATGTCATATTCCCTTGCCATTACGTGCAGCATCGAGGTCCAGTGGAGAGTGCGACTTTTCCTCGGTTTCTGTGTGCTATGCAAGCGACGAGCGTACTAAGAAAGAGTGGTTGCAGTACAGAATGATCGATTACAGTGAACTTGTGTTGAGCGCCAAATTACGTTTACAGCCAGCTCGGCATCCTACGCACTGAGCCCGGCCGGCGGCGAGGTCGGTGGGGGCCCAGTATGATTCCCTAAGTACCACACACATTCGCGTCTGCCAGTGAAGCTAGTGAAGGACTGCCAGTGCATTACAGGAACGCGGGCGTAATCATTACGTCGACTAGTCCAAGCCGTACACAACTTAGTCCAAGCCATACACTCCCTGACCTCCGAGGAGGAACTACATGATATTCGAGACAACACAAGTACAGATACGCATGAGTCGCGCGGAAACGAGACGTTAGCGAATAGAAGATGGATGCTTGGGGCGCGTGAGTGCTTTCGTCGTCGCTTTTGGTACAAACCATTCCTACTAGTGGACTGAGGCCCAGTTCCCCCAGCCCTTCAGTAGTAGGAACATGGATAACACCAGCACTGGCAGTAGGAACAACGCCGCCACTACCTTGATAGGCCATCCAAATCTGATCACGATGACGTCCAGATCAAAAGGACTTGCAGTCATCGTGCTTGATGCGTGGGCACTGTTCTGTTGTCATCACACCGCATCAGTAAAGCAGGCGTCGCATAACTGCGAGCACCGTACCGATTTGCCCATGGAGAGCAGTCGCACAATGGGCTCGTACACTGTCTTCAGCATCACGCCGAACTTGGTTCCTGTGTGAGAGTCTAGAGACGGCTGTGACACCGTGGGCAGACTTGATCGCGCCGTTATTCCAGCCGTGAGAGATTCGATTATATCATCTTGTGTTGCCCCCACTTCTTTGAGGATATTGAGCTGCCGTTCAGATCTTCAGACCTTCTTCGATCACAGCTTGACACGGTAGACTTACCCCCAAGACCGCCGTGGCGCAACGTTCTTTCAACAAGATCACCTCGTCGACGCGGTACTTGAGCTCTTGACGGGTGGTAGCGAGTTCCTCTTGGAGGGCGTTCCTGGCCTCTCGCGCGGCCTCCGAGGCTGCGTTCGCGTCGAGATACTTGGCATGCGCGATCTCCGCCTCACGTTTGAGATCGTCCCGCTCGCGTTCTAGCTCTGACATGGCCTTCGTCGTGGCTTCGTCTATGACTTGTCGCGCATGCCGCTCGATCTCAGCCAGCGGCTGTTGAAAAGAGGCCGTCAGTCTGTCTTGAACAGCGGCGCCGATAAGCTGTGTTTCGGCCGACTGGGGGTTGCGTCACTGGCAGAGCCCTTCGCAAATGAACTGGTAGGAGACTTACCTCTCGTTTCAGCTCTTGTAAAGCTTCACGCATACTCTCCGCATTCTCCAGAGCTCTGTCGCGTTCTGAAAGTGCCTTCCCTACTTCGACCCTGAGCGCGTTGCACTGGGCCTCGAGATCGTTGAGCGCATCTTCACTGATACGAAGTGAAGCACGGGCCTCGCCCACAGGCAGCTATTTCCGCTCGTTGTCAGTATGCCGAGTGCCACAGAGAATAGGATAAGTGTCGTACCTGACGCTGCAGGTAGTCCGGGTTGAGGGGATCTGTCCAAGCGTGACATGCACATCAGAGAATGCTCTGAGATAATGCGTCGATCGCACTCGCCTCCACCCATGCTATACGCTCCTTTGTACCCTGAGTGGCTGTATGGAGGAGGAGCAATGCCTGTGACATGTGTGTGATCGAAGACTTGCGGCAGCGAAGGTGGATACGCACGAAGATGCTCTCAACGGCCAGTCAGGAAGTAGATGGACTATGATGTGCGCACGTCTTCTGAGTGAAGTGTTGTCGACCGTATTTATATGCTACTGCACCTCCTGCAAGTCTCAGACCGCGTAAGGTGCCGATGCCACCGCGCGACCTAGTAAAGAACAATCGGATGAAGAACGTGGACGAGACATATTCACTGAGGCAGAACTCATGGCTGAGTGGGTTCAGAGAGCTAAATGAGGGGACAATGAGACGTCGTGGATTGGCCGCAGTGCAGGGCGGCCTCGGGAATGGCCCAAAATGGCCCACTACGCCACCACGTGATCGCCCACGTCTGGACATAGCCGCGTTAGCTCGGCTCGGAAATCTGACTGTCTCTTGTCCTCGTACTTATAGCTAAGTACTGCTCTTAGAGCAGCTGCTTCGTGTCGTCTAGTGCATACTCACGCAACAGCGACCTCCGCCTGCCGCAAACACGCTCGTAGTACGAGCCGGCACACCCTACTACTGGTTCGCGGTCTGAAATCACTATGATATGCGAGGGTTGTCTCGTTCTCTCACAAGACTACTATTAGTCTGTATACAGTACCATGAGACTGGGTGAGACGGATCCGAGGTGCGATCTTGGCGCCCCGCTTTCTCGTGCTGATACTTACCGTGCTCACCAGACGAGTTCATCGAACGCTGGGCCTACGTATGCAGCAAACACGGCTTGTTATAGCTCAATCATTTGGATAATGACCTTGGATGGTAGATTGGTTGTCGACATCGATACGTTGGCAGGTACTGCGATGATCAGCACTCCGAGCGACTTCACTGGGGCACTCGGAGCTGTGGCATGCACAAGGGACGTCGGCTCAAGACAAGGTGTTCACAATCACCTCAGAAGATGATCCCGGAAGAATGTATTCAGACGGTTCTGCGTTAAAATCCCGTGTGCGTGTTCATTGGTCCTTGCGTTTCCTCTAGGAACAGCGATATGCGTTGACTCAAAAGGTATGTGGTGCAATACGGCACTTCTCCGTGGCAGAATACAATCAAGTCATCTATTCATGCTTCAGACGCAACCTGAAGTACGCCATGATCATAGTCATGCGGATAAGGAGGTGAGGTCATGATCTGTAAAATCGACAACACCAGTACTGCCGCCAAGCAGGCCATCAAGGAGATTTCGAGCTTTCCTTGACCAATGTCCCCGTCGAGGCGTCTCGGGCTCGAGTTATTCGTCCCTACGTCGCGATTCAAATTTCCCTGCATGACGACAGAGTCTCAGTGGCCGTGAATCACGGAAAAATGTAAGTTGCCTACTGGCGTGTGCGTGGAAAGCAGCCATTTGACTGGATCTGATGCCACCTTCAACAGCACCTTGCCTTCCGCGCGTATCTTCGCCCAAGGATCCCAAGACGACTGCGGCCCCGAAGGCTGATCAGACGTCTCCTGCTTCACATCTAGTGCCCCAGGCATCAGCGTCATGCTACCTTGTCGATGTCGGGGACGAGTCACGGCTTCTGCTGTGTCTTCCCCGTATTCCACGAGATCGCCAAGGTCATGTTGAAGGTTCGTGGAACCTGGATGCTTCCTCGTGCAACCTTGAGTCATGAGTTCCCGCAGCTCGCGGATCTCATCTCGAATGCCACGGTACATCCAATCCTCGCCGTCGCCATGCTGCGTGTCCGTCTCAGGGTGTCGCCTTGAACTATCCTCGTGCCCGTGCGGTGTCTCGCCATTCGTAGCCCTTTTCTCAGCCATCTCTCGCGCACGTCGTTCAGCTTCCAAGGCCATCTCCAGCTCGGCTATTCTGCCCTGCTGGAAGCCGTCCAGCTCGTAATGTGCCGCGGCGGCCTTTCTCAGCGCTTCTAGCTGCCGTCGGGAGAATCAGACCCTCGTCGATCGCCACCCGACAGCAGGCCACATCGAACTCACCCCGAGCTCCACGGCGCCACGGCGGTCTTCCAACAAGCCCAACTCGTCGACTCGATGTCTCAGTTCTTCCCGAAGGATCATGAACTCCTCTCGCAAAGCGTCCCTGGCCTCTCGCGCAGCTTCCGATGCAGCGTATGCATTGGCGCACTCCGCCTTTGCGCCTTGCAATTCACGTATCAGGGAATCCCGCTCGCGCTCCAGCTGGTTGATGCTCCGTGTGTTCGCTTCCTCCATGAGCTGTCGTGCACGCCGCTCCGCTTCGACAGCCGCCTGCATCTCAGCGAGTGGCTGGAAGGAGGCCGACAGTCTGTCTCCTGTGGTTTGCCTGGCTTCGGCCAACTGTTGTGATGTCATCAGAGGCCGTCTCTTCAACAGTTGACGAGCTCACCTCCTGCCGTAAGGACTCAAGCATCTCTTGCAGTCTGTGACTGCTCTCCCGCGCCTCGTCACGCTCCGCTAGGGCCTTCCCGACATCGATCTTGAGGGCGTCGCACTCGTACTCGAGGTCGTTGAGCGTGTCTCCTCTACTCCGGAGCGAGGCACGAGCCTCATCGAGCTGTGTACATCGACGTGAATAGCCTGGAACCTGAAAGGAATAGCCATCCCCACCTGGCTTTGTACGTAGCTGGGGTTGAGTGGCTCTGCCGAAAGCGACAATGTTATCAACATCCCACTTGTCGTCCAGGATCGCTTACCTCCTCCCATGCTTGAGAGTGTGCTGCCGCTTCCCTGTTTCCTGAGTGTCTGTGTGATCTTGCTTCTCCTTCCTAGGTTGAGCGACATGATTCTGGCGTGGTCGATTGTATGCGCCCGGGTACTAGTAGAGGCTGAGAATAGTGAAGTGTCCGTGCTCCGCACTTGGCCTACTTATGCACCATTGTGCTATGGCTTCCGACTTTCAATCGCTTGGTCTACGCCAAGAAGCTGTGCCAATTCGCGCACGATGTCAACGTTCTATGCACGCGGTCTTCATGTGGCGGCGCACTAAGCATTCATGTTGAGTAGCCTAGAACTAGCGGCTGTAGCTCGTGCATGGTCTCATCATATTGATATTGTCAATGCAGTCATGCTGAATGCCGCCGTGGACTGATCATGAATGGTACTATATTCGCTGCGGCGACAGGCTTGGATCAGGCTCGGAGGAGGCGGAAGTACAGTTGGGATAGATCCGATCGTCACAGCGCTTCCAAGTGTCCACGTGACGTGAAGACGTGGTGGCGGTGGAGTGACTGTGGCTGAAATGTGGCTGCCTCGTGTAGAAGCGTACATATCCGTGCCATTGTTCGATCATTCCGGGTTGCATTGTTGCACCAAAAGAGAACAAGCGGACACCCATACAAGGAAGTAGTCCACGGGGAGAACTCGGCGCGGGTTTCGCGCCGTTCTCATATAAGTCTGCTCCCTTCGATCCTGAACTTGGTACGTCTTGTCGTTCGAACGCCACCGTCCGACATCATGCCTGAAGTTGACAACAATTCTAGTGGGTCTGGCTCCCAGCCACCCTCTCCGACACCGGCATCTGGATATTTTCGCTCTCTGAGCCCGCCCTCACCAGACGTTGACCACTTCGACACTGCCGCTGATTCGCCTGGTGGTTGGCCCGAACCAACGGAGTACGCCGGCACAAGCGAACCATCTAGTCCACTTCCAGACTTTGACGATAGGGAATCTGTACCTCGCTTCTGCACTTTCCCTATCCCGGGTTCTTTTGTTGGTACACCGCCACCCAGCCCTGAGCATCAGGCCGTAGGCCAGCGAGTGTTAGAGGGGAGTCCTGGACCCGTGACGCCAGACAAGCAGTCGCAGTCGTTCAAGTTTGAGTTCAAGACTACGCCAGTTGCTAAGAAGCCATCGAACTCGCAGCCGAACTCCGTCGGGTCTATCCAAGGGCGCGAGCATCTGGAATCACTGCGCGGCGACTACGCTGCCGATATGGAAGACAAGACGGCGCAAGTTAGTCTTGACGTATTCATGCGGGAGTTCGTCCCTGGGCCAGACCCTCCACCGGACCTCACCGTGGAGGCGTTCGACCCCGCTAAATTCCAGCGTCAGGAGCAGGCTATGTATGGCGAATTGGTGAGTGCCCTTTCTGTCCAAGTGACTACGCGCTGTCCTCACCGATTATCGCACCCAGTGTAAGGTCGCGAACTCGGTCTTCAGCCACGTACCCGTCCAAGCCGAATCCCAGAGGCTTGTGGCAAAGGACACGCACAGGTGGTCTGACCCTACAGACGAGTATGACTTCGAGGAGAATATGCGACCGGACGTGATGTTCTATCCTTCGCACGACGACGCGCAACGAGCGTTTGCTATCAAGTCGACCACTACCGCGAATGACGAAGGGCCAGAGGAGAAGGCACTTCGCAAGAACAGGGCCAGGACGGCCTGGCTGTGGGCGACTCTGTGCATCGAGGCGAAGGCCGATGATGGACATTCTCCGTTCGTCATCCCAGACTCGATGAAGGAGACGAAGAGTGAGAAGAAGACAGAGGCAAAGAAGAAAAGGTCTGGTCGCAAGACGGCAGCGCAGCCCGCGACCAATCCCGATACACTGGTCTCATCGACCAGTCAGACGAGCCAAGCCCCATCTATGTCGGCCTCAGCCACCGCAGGGCCGTCCACGGCGCCTCAAACACCCTCTACGCCGTCATTGGCGCCTTCGTTGATGCAGGCCTCTGCGACCGCTAGCTCCGCCCAGTATACCTCGCCGCCCTTTTTGCGACTGAACACGAAGGACGGTGCGCAAACGATGGGACAAATGGCCCATTACGTGTCCAAGATTCTGCGAAGACAATTCCTTGTCTTTTTCTTCACGATATTCACTTGCCGCGACCTCGCGTGGCTGCTCCGCTGGGATCGCGCAGGACTCGTCGTGTCCGAGCCGTTCAATTTCGTTCAGCAACCGCACCTCATGCACTCGTTCCTCTATCGATTCGCTTGTATGGACGACGTGCGCCGAGGTTGCGACCCGACTGTGAAACGGGCGACCGAGACGGAAGCCAAGCCCATGCGCAGTTACGATAAATTCGACTCTGCCACTGACTGGCTCAAGGTCGAGTTCACGGCCACGATGAGGCCAGATTGGCCGATTTACAAGATCTCCGTCCCGGAGGAGGACATGGTATCGGCGGCTGAGCTCGAGGACGGAAAAAAGGCGGCGAAGGACGCGTCCAAATCGGCAAGTGGACGCGTGCGCGAGTTCCTTGTTGGCGCACCGTATTTCATGAACAGTTCGGTCACTGGGCGGGCGACGCGATGTCACATTGCCTATGATGTCGCCGAACAGCGGCTTGTATTCTGCAAGGAGTATTGGCGTGTAGACACGCTGACGTCGCATCCGGAGGGGGCTGTATATCTACGCCTGCATAGCAAAGGCGTGAGGTACATAGCGACGCCGATCGCAGCTGGCGATGTGCGTCACGAGGGCGGCAGTACGCATCAGACGCGCTCGCAGGAGTTTATTGCAAAACCGGGCCCAAAGCTCGTTCAATACCGTCTTTTCTTGCGGGAGATCGGTCAACCCCTCAGAGACTACGAAGATTCGCTCCACCTGGTCGAGATTCTGTATTACTGTTTGCAAGGTTCGTCGGGCATCTTCAATGGTGTCGTTCCACGACGAACTAATTGTGGTGTTGCAGCGCACGAAGACGCGTGGCTTCTAGCTGGCATCTTGCACCGGGACATCAGTGCCGAGAACCTGCTTATATACTGGTACATGGAGAATAACGAACTCAAATGCAAGGCATTGCTGGTCGATTGGGGGTTATGCAAGTATCTCGAAGAGATGGAACAGCCTATCGTTAGAAAGTCTCGCTCCGTACGTGTTGATCGCGGTGCATTCTAAACATGGGTCTGATATTTGCGCAGGGTACATGGCAGTTCATATCTGCTGTGTTGCTGGTCTATCCAGGAACCTTCCCACATGAAGTGTGGCACGACCTGGAGTCGTTCATCCACGTTCTACATTGGATGTGCTTGCGGTTCCAAAATACGGATTACTCAGAGAATCCCGTAAGGCTGCGACGACTCGTCTCCAGCATCTACGAATCAAGTGAAGGGGCAGTGCGTGGGATTTCAACGGGCGGATTCGAGAAGATGAAACTCATGCAAGAGGGGCGTGTACCGTTCGCGCTTGTCGGGGGCTCTGCAGGAGAGCGATCGCCCGGCCTCCACACGCTCTTGCTTAAGCTTGCTGCTCTGTACAAGGAACACTACAGGTGGTTCAAGCCAAAGCTCCCCGCCTCCGCCTCCGCCTCCGCCAAGTCGCAGACGGCCAAAGCACCTCAATCAAGGCGTCGTCAGATTCCCTTGCCAACTCGGATCGCGACATCGATCTGGCACCCCAAAGGTGCCACGACAGAAGAGGAGCCCGCAAAGGCCGTCCTCAGAACTCACACAAACATCTTGATGGCGTTCGAGGAAGGGCTGAGCGACATGGCCGCATGGATTATTGACGAGAAGACCGAGGATCAGTTTGCATACGAGAACAGTTACCTGGAGCAGCAAAAGAAGAAGTCAAGGGAGGCCTCCAGACGTATTTCGGAGGAGGAGACCTCCGTAGAAGACAAACCTCGAAAGCACGGCAGAAGCGACACAAATGCGATGCCCACGTCATCCGCGTCTCAAATGGGCTCAATCGCAGAGATTATTGAAGGCTAGTAAGTCAGTGTGGATCATATACGACGCCTTCATTTCGGACTGTTCGCGTGCGTGTTCTTGACGGGCTTGTATTCTCCGTTTCGTATGATTGCCACTGGTATGACAGCAGTATAACGTATGGGTGCCGAGCCTATCCCAGGTCTATACTCTCTGATTGATACCGGTCACCTTTGTATATATCGTCGGATACGCGTACTTCTCGAATGAAAGATCGTGTGTATGATGACCAGGTTACGCTCCGTTGTAACCTTCACGGCCTTGTCTATCTCACTATCTCAACATTGAAGTTCGGGCTTGTCATCCTCTTCGGTGGCGTCCGCAAAGGTCCCTTCAGACAAGTTATCTCGCTTCGAGGGCAATACAGGGCAGAACCTCACCTAGAGCCTGTTCAAAGAGACAACCAACGCGACTTCTTTATCCGAGTATGAGCATGCAGAGCGACTGATAAACGTCGATAAACCACTGACTCACGCAGCATCATTGAGCTAGGGGTTTGAGAGACGCACCAGCTGCCATCATGTGAGCTCCTGATCGCACACGTCCAACGACTACGATTGACCGATGTAGGCAGGCCGTGTACACGCGGCATTACGCTATCTTCGTGTATTACCATCCAGTCTCAGTCATCCGTCATGTCCAATGCCAGCCTTCCTGGGCTCCGCGTCGTCTCTCATAGGGCCCGCGATCTCATTTTCTATGCCTTGGAGAACGTTCAGTATGCGCGGCGAGTCGAAATCACAAACATATCGAAGTCGTCATTGTAACCAAAAGTTTGATACGATTCGTCCGTACCATGCGAGGACGTCGGAGCAGTGGTAAGGTAGCAGGCCTCTCCGCACCGAAGACCCTACGTGACGTCGTCAGGAACTTTGTGCGGAGGTCATCTTCAGTTGCAATTGAATGTTTGAGAGGGCCAATTCGTCTGTGTCGAGGATGAACTTGGACATGTGTTCATTCCGCCACCTACGCCAGAGACGGGCACTAGCCAACGATACAATACGCCAGTATGTTGTGGTGTTAGATGGTCTACGTCAAGTCTAGACTGATGGGACCGTGCTAAGACGACACGCGAGAGGGCAGATACAAACTCCGTGAAGCCGGTTCTCGACTCTTGATTGAGGTTAGTGTGCGGGTGTTCGATGTCGGCATGTCTTGCCACGAGGAAGACTATCGGGGCGATGAACATCCATGCCTACGCGGAAGCTGCCTGGTGTGCCCTGTGCGCGTTCGCCAACCACCGCTCGAGCTCTTCTATCGCGTGCTGCATTCGGCTTTTCCTGGTTCTGGGCTGACAACCTCACTGTGAGAATGATACGCCGCCTGCTGAACCACAGCCTGCGATGAAAGCACGCAGGCCAGCGTTGCTTACTTCGTAGGGCGGTCCCAGTCAAGACGCTCGCGCGCACGACTCTTGCGGCCGCAGAATGAGGTTTTGAACGTGCAAACGCCTCAGGACGCCTTATGACGGCAGTGTGACGTCGAGCATACGCAGGAAATACCAGATATCCCTGATGTGAGAATGAGCGTAGATATCACCGAGTTGAAGACTGACATTCACCAGCGTCATCGTCTTCCTATGGCTCTCCTCATTTTGTTTCGTCGCCCTCGATCGCCTTCAATATACTCGAATCTATGTGACGATAGACATTCATCCCCTGAAAGTCGGACACTGGTGGCGGTGTTTCCCGAGAAACAAGCCGCCGAGTACATCTGTGGGCCATGGTCTCTCAGTCTAGACTCTATGACTTGAATGTGGTCCCTGTATGGCCATTGGTGTGTAGGACAACCAAACGTGTCGCGCATCATTCGACGCACCTGCCCATGTTCCCAAACGTACATGACTGACACAACACCATACGCGTAAGATCCGGAAATCACTGAATGCTCTCGTCTCACACGTTGGCAGTGTGATAGCCATTCACGACAACGATCAAAGGCCCAAAGTCTTCTCCCGTGCCCACCGACAGTGAATGCTGCTTGATCTTGAAGCATACGTTGTACCAGCCGTGCTTTTTCCGTGTTCGGAGGGATGTCAAAAACCCGGCAGTCCGCTGACTCCATGAAAATGTTGCTGGAGTCGTATTGGGCTTGGTGCGGAAGGCAGTCTCTCGAGCTGCTGGAGTCACGGTCGAGCAAGACTGGCCATCCCCGACTCCGACCGGAGGGAGAGGAGGGCTTTGTCGACCATAAGTCGTTCGCAGCCGGCGATGCCGCTCCCTCCGTGAGAAACACGTGACTTACAATTCCCATAAGCGGTATCGCAGCAATGCTCGAGTGTCTTACGAGGCAGCTCGAGGCAGTTGGATCCGACCGCGCATCTGGCTGCGTCTGGACGTCTGGATCTTTGACCACCAAATAACTCCTCCCAAAGGCAAGAGGGCCTCTATTACGTTGGGAGCCCTCGCATGCACTGTAGTGCTTATGTATTATGGTAAGTAAGTTCACCGTGTACTTAGCTCAGACTCGTGGAAGCCCGAGACGCCCGGGCGGCGAAGCCGCCGCGGGCGTGAGGGCTTCCAATTGAGTCTCCATACCATTCCGATGGTACAATATTACAATACACAAATAATATACTATGGTGCTGCTGTGGCAGGCTGAGTAGCTGTGTGCCATGCAGGAGTCGGGGATCGGCGCTTGCGCCGCTACGATGAGTACTTGAGAACGAGAACGAGATAAATTCAGCAGTAGGCGCCCTGAGCTGCACGGCCACGTGACCGGTCAATCATACTACGGACGCGTAGTTCGTGTTCTTCAACTGTTTACTTACGTTGCTCAGAGCTCTCGCTGGCAGGCTCCGCCGGCATCTAAAAGTCATAACAAGCGCGACACCCTGCAGCGCAAGCCACTCCGGCACGCGCAGTCAACAAAGTATCTATTGACTGTCTTGGCACTTGGTACGTCCATGCACATTCCTCTGTCGGACTGCCAGCGGCTCCGAGTCGCTGCGGCCATACTGATATGAACTCAGAATCTCTTCAGCAAGCAACTACTTGACTTGATCGCGATTGGTGACGGGCAACCAGTAACCGCTGGTGTGGTGTGGTGTAGCTGGGCTTATAATATTGACTCTGTTACGGAGACTACTAATTGCCAGTGTGGCTCGAGATGGAGCGCAAGATCGCACAAGTCAGCCTGGGGACGTTCATCCAGGCGTTCGTGCCCGGAGTGGACCTTCTCCCCGATGTCATCGTGGACACATTCGACCCCGTTTGCTTTGAGGGTGACGAGTGGCCCATGTATGACGAGTTGGTCAGTATTTTCACCGGATGGTGTATAATCTTGGTGGGCTGATTTCTTTCCGACAGTGCAAGGTGGCAAACTCGGTCTTCGACCACGTCCCCGTCAGAGACGGTATCCCGAGGCTGGTAGCGAAGAACACGCATCGCTGGCCTGACCCTACCGACAAGCCCGACTTTGAGGAGAACACGAACCCTGACGTAACTGTCTATCCCGAACACGACGACGCGAAGCGCGCATATACGATCGAGGCGTCAGCGCTCAAAGGAAAGTCGGAGCAGAGAATCAAGCACTGTGCAGAGAAGGAGGCTAGGACTTCGTGGCTATGGGCAAGCCTTTGTATCGAAGCGAAGGCTGATACCGATGACTCTCCGTTTGTGGTGCCGCCGGCCATGAAGAGTGATAGAGCCGAGAAGACTGAAGCACGCACGACAGCTACGCCTGATAAGACAGAGTCTGGATCATCAGGTCGGGCGACGGCTGGGACCGCCTCAGCAGCGTCGACGACGTTTACTCCTGCTACTCCGGGACCAAGCAACACAGCCGCACCGCCTTTCCTCCGTCAAGACACCACCAGCGGTCGGCAGACAATGGGGCAGATGTTTCAGTACGTTTACAAGATCCTGCGAAGACAGTTCCTATCCTGTCTGGTCACGGTCTTCACCTGCCGTGACCATGCATGGCTACTCTACTGGGACCGGGCGGGGCTCATTGTCTCGGAGCCGTTCAACTTTGTGCAGCAGCCGCGCCTCTTACAGAACTTTTTCTATCGGTTCGCCTGTATGGATGTCATCCAGAGAGGCGGCGATCCGACGGTCACTCGGGCAACCGAGGACGAGGTTGAGCTGATGCGCAGCCACGACAGGTTCGACTCTGACTGGCACAAGACCCAGTTCAAGGCCACGTTAGCACCAGGCTGGCCTATCTACAAGGTTTCCGTTCCGGACGAAGACATAATCTCGGCAGCTGAGCTCAAGGAGGGCGAGAAAGCGCGGCGGGATGTTTCCCAGTCGGACAACGGACGCAAGCCCGAGCGGAAGTTCCTGGTCGGGAAGCCGTACTTCATGAGTGACTCGCCCATCGGAGGAGGAACCAGGGGATATATCGCGTATGACGTCGCCGAACATCGACTGGTCTTCTTCAAGGAGTATTGGCGCGTGGACGAGCCGACCTATCATCCGGAAGGAGAGGTTTACCTGGAGTTGCATAAGCACGGGGTGCAGTACATAGCAACCCCGATCGCTGCCGGCGACGTTTGCGGTGCGACCGGCGAAGCTCGTTCCACTCGTGCGCAAGCCTTCCTCGAAGGCTCGCCGCCCAAGCTCATCCAATATCGCATCATTTTGCTGGAGATTGGTAAACCGCTGAAAGAGTATGAGACCTCTTACGATCTAGTAGTCGCCATGTACTGCTGTTTGACGGGTTCGTTGACCGATCGTTTTAAATCAGCTCTCTGCATGCTCATCTGTATTTTCAGCACATCAAGAAGCCTGGGGAAAAGCCCATATCCTGCACCGCGACATAAGCAGCGGCAATCTGCTGCTATGCTGTGTCGTGACCAAAGACGGCGACATCACATGGATCGGCATATTGGTTGACTGGGGTTTGTGCAAGTACGCGAATGAGTTAGGAAAGCCGAGTGTGCTGAAACCCCGTTCAGTGAGTTTCACAAGGGCCTTAACGGCTGTACATTTCGCTGACTTTGTGTAGGGCACATGGCGGTTTATCTCAGCGGTCTTGCTGGTATACCCGGGACACTTCGCCCACGCGGTGTGGCACGATCTCGAATCGTTCATACACGTCCTTCATTGGATGTGCGCGCGATTTCACCTGACGAACTATTCGGACGACATGGAAAGATTACGCCAGCGCGTCAGCGGGATCTACGACGCATCGTATTCTTCGAAGACGGGTATCTTCCGTGGGGGCGACATGAAGATGACCATCTTGCAAACAGGAACGGTACCGTTCCAACTCGTCGATGGATCTGCCGGCCACACAGCCCCTGGTCTGAGCCGTCTACTGACTGACCTCGCGGTGCTCTACAAGGCACACTATGAGTCGCTCAAGTCTGAGCTGCCTACTGTACGTCGGGACGTCGCGCCCTCTCTGGCGTCCTCCAATGAGTCGAAGACGCGCGCACTATCGGGAAAACAGCTTGCGGTTGTTCCCATTCCGGAGAGGAGGCTGGCTAAATCTCGGGTGCGAACAGTGGTGCAGGAAACGCCGGCGCTCGCTCTTCTCGAGGACCACACAGAGATCATGCTTGCGTTCGAGAACGTGTTGCACCCCGACCAAGACCCATGGATTTTGGACGAAAAGGTCGGGGATAACTTCGCTCACTTCAAAACGCACATGGATCAACAGAGCAGAGTGTCGAGGGAGTCCTTCAAGAGGTCTGCGGACCATTCTGTGGACGACAGAGCCGACAAGCGCATCAGGAGCGACACCAGCAGCGTGTCTGTGTCGACCACTCCGTTGTTGGGCCCGATAGTGGAGAACGTCAATGGATGAGGTCGAACGGGACTGGGACGTCAACTCGGATATCCGACGTCCGTATGTACTCGTAAGTATCGTATCAGTTGTTTTTGTCTGTCTGTGTACGCAGGATTGCCATTGTTGCCCAACCGATTATCGGAACTTATTGTATACCACGCCTTGCCTCATGGTCTTTCAAGAGAGTATCCACTCACCAACGAGTTCTCCTGGGTAGTTGTAGCTGGCGTGCGCGTGTAGACGTACCGGTACCTCTGCTGAAACAGATGCGCCTCGGGATCGGCATGAGACAGATGCCTCACAACCCTTCGCAACCATAAAAGCATACTGCATACGAGGGACGAACAAGCGCTGCATGGTACTGTATACAGGCTGCGGAGACTACATCACTTTGTACATCCTGAGAGCCTACACTTCGGCATGACGGCTGCCACCCGTGGCAGAACGAGAAAGGAATACCAAAAGATCAAGCACATGCAGAAGGTCGAAGGTCGAAAGCAAATAGGATAAGTTACTGATCAATCACGAAGCAGACGGCGACCCGATCGCGCGCAAGCACCCGTGCGCGAACGCCCCCGCATCGCACGACGTCACGCTGAACAGCTCGCGCAGGTCCAGGTGGCCTACCCACCACAGCAGCGCGCGCGTCCCCAGCACCGCCGCCACCACGCCGAGGATCTCGACGTACCGGTTCGTCTGTCGAGCGAGCAGGCTCGTGAGCGCCTGGCGCAGACGATCGCGGGGGGCGACGAGACGTACCCATATCGATGCCCACGAGCTCCGCCTCGGCGCGGCATGCCTCCTGGGTGCCCGCGGCGGCGCTGCTGCCGTCGCAAATCCGTTCTGTCCCTGCGCCTGCGCTGCGTTGAGCCTCGCCAGGAGCTCCCGACGCTCCTCCTCCACGAGCTTCATCATCTCCTCATGCGCCGCCGACTGCGCCCGCTCCTCCTCTAGGGCAGCCACCCGCTCTAGGGCCTCATGCAGACTGTCCTCTGCGCGCGTACGGCCATCCCGTGCCTCACGCAGGGCCCCCTCCAGCTCCGCCACCTTTGCGGCGCGCTCGCGTTTGTGCGCGTCCAACTCAGCGACGCGTGCGAGGATCTGGCTGTTCCGCGTCTGCACCTCGCCGAGCTCCCTCTCCTTCTTGCTCATCTCCGCCTCGACGCGGACCCTGTGCTCCCTGAGCGCGACGCGCTCCGCCCCACTCGCGGCCGCACGGTCGTCCGACTGCTGCTTCGCGAGCCTCTCAGCTTCCGCGGAAAGCTCCACCTCTGCGAGTCTGCCTTGCAGGAAGCCAACGAGCTCGTCTTGCACGTTGGCTGCTTCCTTCGCTTGCTTCAAGTTGAGCTGCCACCACGACGTCAGTCAGCATTGTTCAAACTCACCGAGACCCAGAACCTGCTTACCTCTTCCCGGATAGCCAGCGCGGTATGAACCATCTCTAATAACCCGAGTTCCTCGCGCTTCTCCTCAGTCGCCTCCTGCATGCTCTTCATCTCGCCCCGCGCTTCTTCCAGCTCGCGCCGCATAGCCTCACGTTCGTGCTCGAGCACAGCGACCTCGCCCTCCTTGCTCCGCAGCGACGCGCGCGCCTCGTCAAGCTGGAATCCGCCCATGTTAGTCCAATTGTACTTTCAGAGCGTGATGTAGCACAACACACCTGGCTCTGCACGTAACTCGAGTTAATCGTCATCGGCTCCTCTGCGAACACATCCCGTCAACGACCATCCAATCCAGACCTCCAGGACGGACTCACCATTATGGCTCTTGCTCCCGCTGGACACGCTCGCCACGCTACCATGCCGCCTGAGTATATCCCCCCGGCCGCTTCAAGCTCAACAACCGCGTCCGCTTCTTCACGCCCGCGCCCGCGGCGAAACTCGCTTCCTGGCCAGGCATCGCGCGCGACTCGATCGACGTCACGCTCTTCACGTCCGCTCCGCATTCCACCAACGTCAACGTCCGCGGGTCCAACGGCGTCATCGATAACGCCTGCTCGTTCGCCGGCTTGGTTTCAGCCCAAGTTGCAGGCGGCATCCCCGTCGCGTTTGCGATATAAGCCACGCTGGCGCCCCAGCGACAGCGACAACTGGCGCGAGCGCGGTTTCGCCGCTGCCTCGCGACGCCGAATCAGATCCTGCGGTCCTCTCCGCACGACTCGCTACAACTCGGCCCCTTCGTGACCGCCTGTGTGTTCGTGTGGAGCTCACTGGACATGTTGAAGACCCCTGGTTAGTCATGGCGTGTATACTGCACCGAGAAGTGGTCGATCGGTCCTCTCCATGGTAAGTTACCGGTCAATGCACATGGCCAACTCTGTGTGCTGTAGACCATGCGCTCGCGAAGCAACCCAAGATCTAGTGGATGGCTGACAAAAGCAGAATGGAATCGCGCACTGCGCTCCGGTGCTCGTTCATGCACATGTACTTACTTGTTTGGCGATGAACATAGAGTCTGTGCGCAGGTGCATGTGCGGCATCATGATCATGCGCCCACGAGTTCTTGAGGATAGTGACATAGCTACGCACCACATTGGAATCCTGCGGAAAGCCAGAGTGCTGAATGCGTCGGTAGTGTGGGCCTATTTCATGGCACCGCACTCATCGGGTCAGTCTCAGTCCAGCGAACCTGAGGGCATCATCGCAGCTACCTTCACAGGCTGTGTTGCCGCAGCGAGACAGGGCAAAAGATGAGCAGAGGTTCACCGGCTCCATCCCAGAAGAGGTCATGAAGACTCCGATCGCAGGCCGTAGACTGAGTGCTGAGCGCTGAGCGCTTCGGAGGTCCACAGTGCCTGCGCCACAATGGCAGCACGTGATCGTGATCGGTGGTTGGTTCGATGTGGCTTGCGCGTGGCTCGCCGCCTTGTGGGTCCTGCATTGTTCCATTGTTCCACGAATTGGGAACAAGCACACGCCTATATTTGGTAATTTGCTGCGTTGCCTCGCAGCTGACAGTTCAAACCCCGCAGAGCACCGCGTGGGCCACCAGTACCCTGCTTAAATATCCCCGTCTCGCCGTCAAACTCGGTACGTCCGCGCACTGGCAGAATGTCCCCGCTCGCGATCTCTGACTACGAGTCTAGTGACGCCGGCTCGCGATCACCCTCCCCGGGATCCGCACCGCTACACTCATCCCCTCGACCCCGTATTTCTCGGACGCAGGCTACAGCTCTCCCGGCGACATCCCCGAGGAGTCAGACTACGCCAGCGGCAGCGAAGGCATCGTAGGCGAACAAGAAGAAGACGACGAGAACGATCCAGACGCAGCATCGCGTGTCAGTGATACATCAAACCAAGCCCCGCATCTTGACGGCTCCGCATTCGAGCCTCCACCTTTCGTCGTCTCGGACGCCCCAGAAGTATCTCTCGTTGCACGACCAGCCGCTCCAGGGACCGGTGTCGAAGGCGGAGGGGCGCCAGTAGACACAAGATCTGTGACTCCGCCAAACGACCCGACCAACGCGTCGCACTTGGCTGACGTGTCGGGATCCACGCCTGTTGCCCACAAATCATCCACCGCACGCCCCAACTCCTTACATCCAATTGGGGGCACCGAGTTTATGCCCAAGATTCGTCGTGATAACGCCTTCGAGATGGAGCGCAGGATTGTACAGGTTAGCCTGGAGACGTTTATGCAGACGTTCGTGCCCGGAGCGGACCTTCCCCCCGATGCTGTCGTGGAGGACTTCGACCCCGTTCAATTTAAGGGTAAAGAGGAACCCATGTACGACGAGCTGGTCAGTGTTTTCAGCGGATGGCGTAGGATCATGGCGGACTGATTGTTGTTGGCAGTGCAAGGTGGCGAACTCGGTCTTCGACCACGTCCCCATCAAAGCCGGTGTCCCGAGGCTGGTAGCGAAGAACACGAGCGTCTGGCCCGATCCTACGGACAAGGGCGACTTTGAGGAGAACACGAAGCCTGACGTGACCGTCTATCCCGAACACGACGACGCGAAGCGCGCATATACGATCGAGGCGTCAGCACTCAGGGGGAAGTCGGCGAACAGAACCAAACACTGTCGAGAGAAGGAGGCTAGGACGTCGTGGTTGTGGGCAAGCCTTTGTATCGAAGCGAAGGTTCACACAACCGACTCTCCGTTCGAGGTGCCGGCAGCCATGAAGAGGGGTAGGGCCGGGAAGACCGGAGCACGTACGGGAGCTACGCCTGACGAAGCAGGGTCGGGACGATCAGGCCGGGCGAAGGTTTCTACCCCGTCGGCGACTGTCTCTGAGTCTGTCCCAGCAGCATCGTCGGCTTCTACCCCGGGCCCCGCTGCTCCGGGGGCGAGCAGCACCGCCGCGCCGTCTTTCCTGTGTCTGGACAATGAGGGCGCCAGGCAGACAATGGGCCAGATGTGTCAGCAAGTCTCGAAGATCCTGCGAAGGCAGTTCCTGTCCTGCCTGTTCACGGTATTTACCTGTCGTGACTATGCGTGGCTACTCTACTGGGACCGCGCGGGGCTGGTTGTTTCGAAGCCGTTCAACTTCGTGCAGCAGCCACGCCTCTTCCACAACTTCTTCTATCGGTTTGCCTGTATGACCGACATGCAGAGAGGCTTCGACCCGACGGTGACGCGGGCGACCGAGGAGGACGTTGAGCTGATGCGCAGCCACAACAAGTTCGACTCTGACTGGCATGAGGCCCAGTTTAAGGCCTCGTTGGCACCGGGCTGGCCGATCTACGAGGTCTCCGTTCCTGAAAAACACATGATCTCGGCAGATGAGCTTGAGGCGGGCGAGAAAGCGCAGCGGGACGTTTCCCGGCCGGACAATGAACGCAAGCCTGAGCGGAAGTTCCTCGTCGGGAAGCCGTACTTCATGAGTAGCTCGCCCACTGGAGGAGGAACCAGGGGATATATCGCGTATGACGTCGCCGAACATCGACTGGTCTTCTTCAAGGAGTATTGGCGCGTGGACGAGCCGACCTATCATCCGGAAGGGGATGTTTACCTGCGGTTGCATAAACATAAGGTGAAGTACATAGCGACCCCAGTCGCCGCGGGCGACGTTCGCGATGCGACCGGCGAAGCTCGCTCTACTCGCGCGCAAGACTTCCTCGAAGACTCGCCGCCCAAGCTCATCCAGTATCGCATCTTCTTGGAAGAGATCGGTAAACCGCTCAAAGAATACAGGACTTCTCGCGAGTTAGCGGCCGCTATGTACTGCTGTTTGACAGGTTCGTCGATCACTGACTTCATATCTGGTCTGGGCAGATGCTCATCTGTTCTGTCAGCGCATCAACAAGCCTGGGAAAACGCCGAAGTCTTGCACCGTGACATAAGCAGCGAGAATCTGCTGCTACTCTGTGTTATCCACAAAGGCAAGGTTGTTGGATGGATCGGTATATTGGTCGACTGGGGTTTGTGCAAGTACAAGGATGAGTTAGTAATACGGAGTGTGTTGAAGACCCGTTCAGTGAGTCTCTGCGAGGGCGTTAACGACTGTACATTTTGCTGATTTTGTGTAGGGCACATGGCAGTTCATCTCCGCTGTCTTGCTGGCATTCCCGGGACACTTTACGCACGCAGTGTGGCACGATCTCGAGTCCTTCATTCACGTCCTTCATTGGATGTGTGCGCGATTCCATCAAACAAACTATTCGGACAACATGGAAAGATTGCGCCAGCGCGTCAGCATCATCTACGACGCATCGTACTCATCGCTCACTGACGGTATCTTCCGTGGGGGCGACACGAAGCTCGATATCATGCAAACAGGAAAGATTCCGTTCGAGCTCGTCGGAGGATCTGCTGGCCTGTCAACGCCTGGTCTGCATCGGCTCTTGACTGAACTCGCGGAGCTTTACAAGTTGCACTACAAGTGGCTGACGCCTCAGCTGCCGACTCGGACGTCGCAACCGGACGTTGCACTCTCCGTGCCGCCCTCCGTCGATTCGGAGGAACTCGACCCAGGCCTCAATCTCATTCCAGTTCCGGCTGAAGAGTTGACCGGGCCTCTGCTACAAGCGGTGGTTGAAGAAGTACCGAAGAACTCTGTTCTCAAGGATCACATGCAGATTAAGAAGGCATTCGCGCCAGCGGCGAGTAACGATCGACAGTGGACTCCAGATACCAAGGTCGGGGACAACTTCGCCCACTTCAACACGGCCATGTGTCAACAGAGCAGGGTGTCAAGGGAGTCTGTCAAGAGGTCCGCGGACAATTCTGTGGATGACAGACCCGACAAGCGTGTAAGGAGTGACAGCAGCGTGTCTGTGTCGACCACTCCGTTGTTGGGCTCGATAGTTGAGAATGTCGATGGCTGAGGTTGAACGGGGCCGCTTTTCGCGTCGAGGATTGGGTTGTCAGCTCGGATATCCGACGTCCGTATGTACTCATAAGTATCGTGTCAGTTGGTTTTGTCTGTCTGTGTATACGTAGGATTGTCATTTTGTTAGTTGACTAGGCACCGTGTACGTTCGGCAGCATGCACGTTCGTAATGTCAAATGTATGTGGTTCATGTGTACTGTGATAGTCGCAGCAGCTCCGAGATGCACTGCAGGGACCGCTAGGCCTCGAACCCTCGAGCTCTACATCAAATACTGGCAGGTATCACTCACGCTTTCCTGAGTCTTACGACGTCCGCTCGCAGACAGGACCTTTGCTGAAGCAGACGCGCCTCGACGCGGCTTGAGATCGGCGCATCACAATCCCCGGCGATCATAGAAGCATACTGCATACGAGGGACGGTACAAGAGCTGCATAGTACTAGGTATACATTGAAGTTGCGGAGACCACATCACTCTGTACATCCTGAGAGCCTACACTTCAGCATGACGGCTGCCACCCGTGGCAGAACGAGAAAGGAATACCAACAGATCAAGCACATGCAGAAGGTCGAAGAGCAAATAGGATAAGTTACTGACCAATCACGAAGGAGACGGCGACCCAATCGCGCGCAAGCACCCGTGCGCGAACGCCCCCGCATCGCACGACGTCACGCTGAACAGCTCGCGCAGGTCCAGGTGGCCGACCCACCACAGCAGCGCGCGCGTCCCCAGCACCGCCGCCACCACGCCGAGGATCTCGGGTTCGTCTGTCGAGCGAGCAGGCCCGTGAGCGCCTTGCGCAGACGATCGCGGGGGGCGACGAGACGTACCCATATCGATGCCCACGAGTTCCGCCTCGGCGCGGCATGCCTCCTGGGTACCCGCGGCGGCGCTGCTGCCGTCGCAGACCCGTTCTGTCTCTGCGCCTGCGCTGCATTGAGCCTCGCCAGGAGCTCCCGACGCTCCTTCTCCACGAGCTTCATCGTCTCCTCATGCGCCGCCGACTGCCCCCGCTCCTCCTCTAGGGCAGCCACCCGCTCTAGGGCCTCATGCAGACTGTCCTCTGCGCACGTACGGCCATCCCGTGCCTCACGCAGGGCGCCCTCCAGCTCCGCCACCTTTGCGTCGCGCTCGCGTTTCTGCGCGTCCAATTCGGCGACGCGTGCGAGGATCTGGCTGTTCCGCGTCTGCACCTCGCCGAGCTCCCTCTCCTTCCTGCTCATCTCCGCCTCGACGCGGGCCTTGTGCTCCGTGAGCGAGGCGCACTCTGCCTCACTGGCGACTGCACGCTCATCCGACTGCTGCTTCGTCCGCCTCTCGGCCTCGGACGCGAATTCCAGTTCCGCGAGTCTGCCTTCCAAGAATCCGACGAGTTCGTCCTGCACGTTGGCAGCTTCCTTCGCTTGCCGAGCTGCCACCACGACGTCAGTCAGCATTGTTCGAACTCGCCCAGACCTAGGACGCGCTTACCTCCTCCCGAATAGCCAGCGCGGTATGAACTTCCTCGAATGACCCGAGCTCCTCGCGCTTCTCCTCAATCGCCTCCTGAAGGCTCCTCATCTCGTTCCGTGCTTCTTCCAGCTCGCGTCGCATAGCCTCCCGCTCGTGCTCAAGCACCGCGACCTCCCCCTCTTTGTTCCGCAGCGACGCGCGCGCCTCGTCAAGCTAGGGACCGTACATGTTAGCTTGCCTCCATCAGCACAACAGTTCCACGAACCTGGCTCTGCACGTAACTCGGGTTAATCGTCATCGGCTCCTCTGCAAACACATCACATCAACGACCATCCGACCCAGACCACCAGGACGAACTCACCATTATGGTTCTTGCTCCCACTCGCCACGCTGCCCTGCCGCCTGAGTATACCCCCGGCCGATTCAAGTTCAACGCCCGCGTCCGCTTCTTCACACCCGCACCCGCCGCGGGGCCCGCTTCCTGGCCAGACATTGCGCCCGACGTCACGTCCGCCTCGCGTTTCAGCCCAAGTTGCAGGCAGCATCCCCATCGCGATCGCGGTGGATACCACGCTGACCGGACGGCGCCTCAGTGACAGCGACAACAGGCGTGAGCGCGGTTTTGCCGCTGCCACATCTTGCGCTCCGTTGCGACGCCGAATCGGATCCTGCGGTCCTCTCCGCCCGACTCGCGACAACAGCTGAACTCAGGCTCCCCGCGACCGCCTATGCATTCGTGTGGAGCTGACTGGACATGTTCAAGACCCCCGGTTAGTCATGGCGTGCATACCACCGAGAAGTGGTCGGTCTGTCCTTCTCTCCACGGACAATGCATATAGCCAACTGTGTGCTGTAGACCATGCACTCGCGAAGCAACCCAAGATCTAGTGGATGGCTGATAAAAGCAGAATGAAATCGCATACTGCGCTCCTGTGCTCGTTCATGCACATGTGGTTGTTTGCCAATGAAAATATACTCTGTGTGCCGCAGGTGCGTGTGCGGCATCATGACCATGCGCCCACGAGTTCTCGAGAATAGTGACACAGCTACGCACCACGTTGGAATCCTGCGGAGAGCCAGAGTGCTGAATGCTCTCTGCAAGCGTCTGTGGCGTCCTGTTTCATGGCACCGCACACATCGGGTCAGTCTCAGTCCAGCGAGGCGGCCTGAGGGCATCATCGCAGCTACCTTCACGGGCTGTATTGCCGCAGCGAGAAAAGACAAAAAATGAGCAGAGGTTCACCGGCCCCATCCCAGGAGAGGACATGAAGAAGCTGCGCAGCTTCAATGAAGCGCGACTATGTGGGCTGCGACACAGTGACACCGCAGTGCGCACGGTCAGTGTAGCGCCCGACGCGCAACACGGACCGCACGTGATCGCGATCGGTGGCTGGTTCGGTGTGGCTTCGCTCAAGCGCTCAAGCTCAAGCTTGGCTTATATTACTAGCTCTGCGACAGAGACTGGTGTGGCTCGCGTGTATGCTCAAGATTCGTAAGGGTTACGCCTTTGAGATGGAACGCAAGATCGCACAAGTTAGCCTGCAGACGTTCATCCAGGCGTTCGTACCCGGAGCGGACATTCCCCCCGATGTCGTCGTGGACACATTCGACCCCGTTTGCTTTGAGGGTGACGAGTGGCCCATGTATGACGAGTTGGTCAGTATTTTCACCGGATGGTGTATAATCTTGGTGGGCTGATTTCTTTCCGACAGTGCAAGGTGGCAAACTCGGTCTTCGACCACGTCCCCGTCAGAGACGGTATCCCGAGGCTGGTAGCGAAGAACACGCATCGCTGGCCTGACCCTACCGACAAGCCCGACTTTGAGGAGAACACGGACCCTGACGTAACTGTCTATCCCGAACACGACGACGCGAAGCGCGCATATACGATCGAGGCGTCAGCGCTCAAAGGAAAGTCGGAGCAGGGAATCAAGCACTGTGCAGAGAAGGAAGCTAGGACATCGTGGCTATGGGCAAGCCTCTTTATCGAAGCGAAGGCTGCCGCCAACGACTCTCCGTTTGTGGTGCCGCCAGCGATGAAGACTGGTAGGGCCGAGAAGACTGAAGCACGCACGGCAGCTACGCCTGATGAGGCAGAGCCGGGATCATCAGGTCGGGCGACGGCTGAGACCGCCTCAGCAGCGTCGACGACGTTTACTCCTGCTACTCCAGAACCGAACAACACAGCCGCACCGCCTTTCCTCCGTCAAGATACCACCAGCGGTCAGCAGACAATGGGGCAGATGTGTCAGTACGTTTACAAGATCCTGCGAAGACAGTTCCTGTCCTGCCTGTTCACGGCATTCACCTGCCGTGACCATGCATGGTTACTCTGTTGGGACCGCGCGGGGCTCGTTGTTTCGGAGCCGTTCAACTTTGTGCAGCAGCCGCGCATCTTACAGAACTTCTTCTATCGGTTCGCCTGTATGGATGTCATCCAGAGAGGTGGCGACCCGACGGTGACGCGGGCGACCGAGGACGAGGTTGAGCTGATGCGCAGCCACGAGAGGTTCGACTCTGACTGGCACAGGACCCAGTTCAAGGCCACGTTAGCACCAGGCTGGCCGATCTACAAGGTTTCCGTTCCGGACGAAGACATAATCTCGGCAGCTGAGCTCAAGGAGGGCGAGAAAGCGCCGCGGGAAGTTTCCCAGTCGGACAATGGACGCAAGCCGGAGCGGAAGTTCCTTGTCGGGAAGCCGTACTTCATGAGTGACTCGCCCATCGGAGGAGGAACGAGGGGATATATCGCGTATGACGTCGCCAAACATCGACTGGTCTTCTTCAAGGAGTATTGGCGCGTGGACGAGCCGACCTATCATCCGGAAGGAGAGGTTTACCTGGAGTTGCATAAGCACGGGGTGCAGTACATAGCAACCCCGATCGCTGCCGGCGACGTTTGCGGTGCGACCGGCGAAGGTCGTTCCACTCGTGCGCAAGCCTTCCTCGAAGGCTCGCCGCCCAAGCTCATCCAATATCGCATCATCTTGCTGGAGATCGGTAAACCGCTGAAAGAATACGAGACTTCTCGCGAGTTAGTACGCGCCACGTACTGCTGTTTGACAGGTTCGTCGATCGTTCACTTCATATTTGCTCTGGGCAGATGCTCATGTGTGCTTCCAGCACATCAAGATGCCTGGGAGAAGGCCGGTGTCTTGCACCGCGACATAAGCAGCGGTAATCTGCTGCTATTGTGTGTTATCCGCGTTGACAAGATTGCGGGTTGGATCGGTATATTAGTCGACTGGGGTTTGTGCAAGTACAAGCATGAGTTAGGAATGCAGAGTGTGCGGAAGACCCGTTCAGTGAGTCTGCGAGGGTGTCAACGATGGTACATGTCGCTGATTTTGTGTAGGGCACATGGCAGTTCATCTCCGCGGTCTTGCTGGCATTCCCGGGACACTTCGCGCACGCAGTGTGGCACGATCTCGAGTCGTTCATTCACGTCCTCCATTGGATGTGTCTGCGATTCCACGTCACGAATTATTCGAAAAACACGGAGCAGTTGCACGAGCACGTCAGCTTAGTCTACGACGCATCATTTCCGACATCCGATGGTACTTCTGTTGGCGGAGAAGAGAAGCTGATGACGATGCGAGCAGGCACGGTGCCGTTCGAACTCGTCGGAGGATCTGCTGGCCGGTCCACGCCTGGTCTGCACCGGCTCTTGGCTGATCTCGCGATGCTCTACGGGTCACACTACAAGTGGCTGAAGCCTCAGCTGCCGACGTCGCACTCGTACGTCGCATCCTCCGTGGCGCCCTCCGTCGTTTCGGAGGAACTCGACCCGGGGCTCGATCTCATTCCGATTCCGGCTAAGGGGCTGACTACATCTCGACTACAACCAGCGGTGCAAGAAACCCCAGCGATCTCAGTTCTTGAGGACCACGAGGAGATTAAGATGGCGTTCGAGAACGTGCTGCGCCCCGAGGAAGGCCCGTGGACTGCCGATCAAAAGATCGGGGACAACTTCGCCTACTTCAAGACGTCCATGGATCAACAGAGTTGGGATTCAAGGGAGTCCGTCAAGAGGTCTGCGGACAGTTCTGTGGACGACAGACCTAAGAAGCGCATTAGGAGCGACATCAGCAGCGTGTCTGTCTCGACCGCCCCGTTGTTGGGCTCGATAGTTGAGAACGTCGATGGCTGAGGTTGAACGGGGCCGCTTTTCGCGTCGAGGACTGGGTTGTCAACTCGGATATCCGACGTCCGTATGTACTCTGAATCGCAAGTATCGTATCACTTTGTTTTGTCTGTCTGTGTATATGTACGATCGCCGTTGTTTGCCAACCGATTATTCAAACTTAGTAGATCATGTACCGTATATGTTCGACAGTATGGACATGCGTAATGTCAAACGTATGTGATTCATGTGGTAGTCGCGCAGCCCCGAGACGACCGTATGTGGGCCATCAACGTTCAAACACTCCACGTCAACTACATTCTGAGGAGTATTTATTGTATCACACACCTTGCCTAATGGTCTCCCAAGCATCCACTCGCCAGCAATTCTCCTGGGCAGTTCGAGCTGGCGTCCGCATCTAGACAGTACCTCTGTTATAAATGATGCGCTTCGGAACCGGCATGAGATCGGTGCTGCACAACCCTCCGTTGTCATAAAAGCATACTGCATACGAGCGACGGATAAGGGCGGCATAGTACTGTATACAGGTTGCGGAGACTACACATCACTTGTACATCCTGAGAGCCTACACTTCAGCATGACGGCTGCCACCAGTGGCAGAACGAGAAAGGAACACCAAAAGATCAAGCACATGCAGAAGGTCCAAGGTCGAAAGGAAATAGGATAAGTTACTGATCAATCACGAAGGAGACGGCGACCCGATCGCGCGCAAGCACCCGTGCGCGAACGCCCCCGCATCGCACGACGTCACGCTGAACAGCTCGCGCAGGTCCAGGTGGCCTACCACAGCAGCGCGCGCGTCCGCAGGACCGCCGCCACCACGCCGAGGATCTCGACGTACGGGTTCGTCTGTCGAGCGAGCAGGCTCGTGAGCGCCTGGCGCAGACGATCGCGGGGGGCGACGAGACGTACCCATATCGATGCCCACGAGCTCCGCCTCGGCGCGGCATGCCTCCTGGGTGCCCGCGGCGGCGCTGCTGCCGTCGCAAATCCGTTCTGTCCCTGCGCCTGCGCTGCGTTGAGCCTCGCCAGGAGCTCCCGACGCTCCTCCTCCACGAGCTTCATCATCTCCTCATGCGCCGCCGACTGCGCCCGCTCCTCCTCTAGGGCAGCCACCCGCTCTAGGGCCTCATGCAGACTGTCCTCTGCGCGCGTACGGCCATCCCGTGCCTCACGCAGGGCCCCCTCCAGCTCCGCCACCTTTGCGGCGCGCTCGCGTTTGTGCGCGTCCAACTCAGCGACGCGTGCGAGGATCTGGCTGTTCCGCGTCTGCACCTCGCCGAGCTCCCTCTCCTTCTTGCTCATCTCCGCCTCGACGCGGACCCTGTGCTCCCTGAGCGCGACGCGCTCCGCCCCACTCGCGGCCGCACGGTCGTCCGACTGCTGCTTCGCGAGCCTCTCAGCTTCCGCGGAAAGCTCCACCTCTGCGAGTCTGCCTTGCAGGAAGCCAACGAGCTCGTCTTGCACGTTGGCTGCTTCCTTCGCTTGCTTCAAGTTGAGCTGCCACCACGACGTCAGTCAGCATTGTTCAAACTCACCGAGACCCAGAACCTGCTTACCTCTTCCCGGATAGCCAGCGCGGTATGAACCATCTCTAATAACCCGAGTTCCTCGCGCTTCTCCTCAGTCGCCTCCTGCATGCTCTTCATCTCGCCCCGCGCTTCTTCCAGCTCGCGCCGCATAGCCTCACGTTCGTGCTCGAGCACAGCGACCTCGCCCTCCTTGCTCCGCAGCGACGCGCGCGCCTCGTCAAGCTGGAATCCGCCCATGTTAGTCCAATTGTACTTTCAGAGCGTGATGTAGCACAACACACCTGGCTCTGCACGTAACTCGAGTTAATCGTCATCGGCTCCTCTGCGAACACATCCCGTCAACGACCATCCAATCCAGACCTCCAGGACGGACTCACCATTATGGCTCTTGCTCCCGCTGGACACGCTCGCCACGCTACCATGCCGCCTGAGTATATCCCCCCGGCCGCTTCAAGCTCAACAACCGCGTCCGCTTCTTCACGCCCGCGCCCGCGGCGAAACTCGCTTCCTGGCCAGGCATCGCGCGCGACTCGATCGACGTCACGCTCTTCACGTCCGCTCCGCATTCCACCAACGTCCGCGGGTCCAACGGCGTCATCGATAACGCCTGCTCGTTCGCCGGCTTGGTTTCAGCCCAAGTTGCAGGCGGCATCCCCGTCGCGTTTGCGATAGAAGCCACGCTGTCCGGAAGGCGCCCCAGCGTCAGCGACAACTGGCGCGAGCGCGCTTTCGCCGCTGCCTCGCGACGCCGAATCAGATCCTGCGGTCCTCTCCGCACGACTCGCTACAACTCGGCCCCTTCGTGACCGCCTGTGTGTTCGTGTGGAGCTTACTGGACATGTTGAAGACCCCTGGTTAGTCATGGCGTGTATACTGCACCGAGAAGTGGTCGATCGGTCCTCTCCATGGTAAGTTACCGGTAAATGCACATGGCCAACTCTGTGTGCTGTAGACCATGCGCTCGCGAAGCAACCCAAGATCTAGTGGATGGCTGACAAAAGCAGAATGGAATCGCGCACTGCGCTCCGGTGCTCGTTCATGCACATGTACTTACTTGTTTGGCGATGAAAATAGAGTCTGTGCGCAGGTGCATGTGCGGCATCATGATCATGCGCCCACGAGTTCTTGAGGATAGTGACATAGCTACGCACCACATTGGAATCCTGCGGAAAGCCAGAGTGCTGAATGCGTCGGTAGTGTGGGCCTATTTCATGGCACCGCACTCATCGGGTCAGTCTCAGTCCAGCGAACCTGAGGGCATCATCGCAGCTACCTTCACAGGCTGTGTTGCCGCAGCGAGACAGGGCAAAAGATGAGCAGAGGTTCACCGGCTCCATCCCAGAAGAGGTCATGAAGACTCCGATCGCAGGCCGTAGACTGAGTGCTGAGCGCTGAGCGCTTCGGAGGTCCACAGTGCCTGCGCCACAATGGCAGCACGTGATCGTGATCGGTGGTTGGTTCGATGTGGCTTGCGCGTGGCTGCCGCCTTGTGGGTCCTGCATTGTTCCATTGTTCCACGAATTGGGAACAAGCACACGCCTATATTTGGTAATTTGCTGCGTTGCCTCGCAGCTGACAGTCCAAACCCCGCAGAGCACCGCGTGGGCCACCGGTACCCTGCTTAAATATCCCCGTCTCGCCGTCAGACTCGGTACGTCCGCGCACTGGCAGAATGTCCCCGCTCGCGATTTCTGACTACGAGTCTAGTGACGCCGGCTCGCGATCACCCTCCCCGGGATTCGCATCGCTGCACTCATCCCCCTCGACCCCGTATTTCTCGGACGCAGGCTACAGCTCTCCCGGCGACATCCCCGAGGATTCAGACTACGCCAGCGGCAGCGAAGGCATCGTAGGCGAACAAGAAGAAGACGACGAGAACGATCCAGACGCAGCATCGCGTGTCAGTGATACATCAAACCAAGCCCCGCATCTTGACGGCTCCGCATTCGAGCCTCCACCTTTCGTCGTCTCGGACGCCCCAGAAGTATCTCTCGTTGCACGACCAGCCGCTCCAGGGACCGGTGTCGAAGGCGGAGGGGCGCCAGTAGACACAAGATCTGTGACTCCGCCAAACGACCCGACCAACGCGTCGCACTTGGCTGACGTGTCGGGATCCACGCCTGTTGCCCACAAATCATCCACCGCACGCCCCAACTCCTTACATCCAATTGGGGGCACCGAGTTTATGCCCAAGATTCGTCGTGATAACGCCTTCGAGATGGAGCGCAAGATCGTACAAGTCAGCCTGGAGACGTTCATGCAGACGTTCGTGCCCGGAGCGGACCTTCCCCCCGATGCTGTCGTGGAGGACTTCGACCCCGTTCAATTTAAGGGTAAAGAGGAACCCATGTACGACGAGCTGGTTAGTGTTTTCAGCGGATGGCGTAGGATCATGGTGGACTGATACTTGTTGGCAGTGTAAGGGGGCGAACTCGGTCTTTGACCATGTCCCCGTCGAAGACGGTGTCCCGAGGCTGGTGGCGAAGAACACGAGCCGCTGGCCCGATCCTACGGACAAGGGCGACTTTGAGGAGAACACGAAGCCTGACGTGACCGTCTATCCCGAACACGACGACGCGAAGCGCGCATATACGATCGAGGCGTCAGCACTCAGGGGGAAGTCGGATAATAGAAAACAACACTGTCGAGAGAAGGAGGCTAGGACGTCGTGGTTGTGGGCAAGCCTTTGTATCGAAGCGAAGGTTCACACAACCGACTCTCCGTTCCAGGTGCCGGCAGCCATGAAGAGGGGTAGGGCCGGGAAGACCGGAGTACGTACGGGAGCTACGCCTGACGAAGCAGAGTCGGGACGATCAGGCCGGGCGAGGGTTTCTACCCCGTCGGCGACTGTCTCTGAGTCTGTCCCAGCAGCATCGTCGGCTTCTACCCCGGGCCCCGCTGCTCCGGGGCCGAGCAGCACCGCCGCGCCGTCTTTCCTGTGTCTGGACAACGAGGGCGCCAGGCAGACAATGGGCCAGATGTGTCAGCAAGTCTCGAAGATCCTGCGAAGGCAGTTCCTGTCCTGCCTGTTCACGGTATTTACCTGTCGTGACTATGCGTGGCTACTCTACTGGGATCGCGCGGGGCTGGTTGTTTCGAAGCCGTTCAACTTCGTGCAGCAACCACGCCTCTTCCACAACTTCTTCTATCGGTTCGCCTGTATGACCGACATGCAGAGAGGCTTCGACCCGACGGTGACGCGGGCGACCGAGAAGGACGTTGAGCTAATGCGCAGCCACAACAAGTTCGACTCTGACTGGCATGAGGCCCAGTTTAAGGCCTCGTTGGCACCGGGCTGGCCGATCTACGAGGTCTCCGTTCCTGAAGAACACATGATCTCGGCAGATGAGCTCAAGACGGGCGTAAAAGCGCAGCGGGGCGTTTCTCAGTCGGACAACGGCCCCAAGCCTGAGCGAAAGTTCCTCGTCGGGAAGCCGTACTTCATGAGTAGCTCGCCCACCGGAGGAGGAACAAGGGGATACATCGCGTATGACGTCGCCGAACATCGACTGGTGTTCTTCAAGGAGTATTGGCGCGTGGATGCGCCGACCTATCATCCGGAAGGAGAGGTTTACCTGGAGTTGCATAAACACAAGGTACAGTACATAGCAACCCCAATCGCTGCGGGCGACGTTTGCGATGCGACCGGCGAAGGTCACGGTCGTTCTACTCGTGCGCAAGACTTCTTCAAAGACTCGCCCCCCAAGCTTATCCAATATCGCATCATCTTGCTGGAGATCGGTAAACCGCTCACAGAATACCAGACTTCTCGCGAGTTGGTACGCGCCACATACTGCTGTTTGACGGGTTCGTCGATCGTTCATTCCTTATCTGCTCTGTGCATGCTCATCTATTCGTTCAGCTCATCAAGAAGCCTGGGAAAAGGCCCATGTCCTGCACCGCGACATAAGCAGCGGTAATTTGCTGCTACGCTGTGTTATTAGCGACGGCAGGATTGTGGGATGGATCGGTATTTTGGTGGACTGGGGTTTGTGCAAGTACAAGGATGAGTTAGGAATGCGGAGTGTGCTGAAGACCCGTTCAGTGAGTCTCTGCGAGGGCGTTAACGACGGTACATGTCGCTGATTTTGTGTAGGGCACATGGCAGTTCATCTCCGCAGTCTTGCTGGCATTCCCGGGACACTTTGCGCACGCAGTGTGGCACGATCTCGAGTCATTCATCCATGTCCTTCATTGGATGTGTCTGCGATTCCACGTCACGAATTATTCGAAGAACACGAAGCAGTTGCACGAGCACGTCAGCTCAGTCTATGACGCGTCATTTCCGTCACCCGATGGTACTTCTGTTGGCGGCGAAGAGAAGCTGACGACGATGCAAGCAGGAACGGTACCGTTCAAACTCGTCGGAGGATCTGCTGGCCGGTCCACGCCTGGTCTGCACAGGCTCTTGGCTGATCTCGCGGTGCTCTACGGGTCACACTACAAGTGGCTGGAGCCTCAGCTGCCGACATCACACCCGGACGTCGCACTCTCCGTGGCGCCCTCCGTCGACCCGGAGGAACTCGACCCAGAGTTCGATCTCGTTCCAATCCCAGCTGAGGAGCGGACCGGGCAACGGCCACAACCGGCGGCTGAAGAAATCCCGAAGGACTCCGTTCTCAAGGATCATATCCAGATGAAGAAGACGTTCGCGGCAGCGTTGAGTGCCGATGAAGGCAAGTGGACTCCAGATGCAAAGATCGGGGACAACTTCGCCCACTTCAAGACGCCCATGTATCAACAGAGCATGGTGTCAAGGGAGTCTGTCAAGAGGTCCGCGGACAATTCTGTGGATGACAGACCCGACAAGCGTATAAGGAGTGACACCAGCAGCGTGTCTGTGTCGACCACTCCGTTGTTGGGCTCGATAGTTGAGAATGTCGATGGCTGAGGTTGAACGGGGCCGCTTTTCGCGTCGAGGATTGGGTTGTCAGCTCGGATATCCGACGTCCGTATGTACTCATAAGTATCGTGTCAGTTGGTTTTGTCTGTCTGTGTATACGTAGGATTGTCATTCTTGCCGAAACGACTGTCCGAAATTAGTAGACCATGTACCGTATACGTTCGGCAGCATGGACGTTCGTAATGTCAAATACATGTGGTTCATGCGCTTTTTTCTGTGATAGTCGAAGCTCCGAGATGCAGGCACGGCGAGGTTACGGCTAGGCCACAAGCCCTCAAACTGCTCTACATTAAATACTGGCAGGTATCACTCCCGCTTTCACCAGTCTTCGAACGTCCGCTTGTAGACAGCACCTTGGCTGAAGCAGACGCGCCTCGACGGGGCTTGAGATCGGCGCATCACAATCCCCGGCGATCATAAAAGCATACTGCATACGAGGGATGGTACAAGGGCTACATAGTACAGGGTTACATTGAAGTTGCGGAGACCACATCACTTTGTACATCCTGAGAACCTACGGTTCAGCATGACGGCTGCCACCTGTGGCAGAACGAGAAAGGAATACCAAAAGATCAAGCACATGCACAAGGTCGAAGGTCGAAGAGCAAACAGTACGAGTTACTGATCAATCACGAAGGAGACGGGGACCCGATCGCGCGCAAGCACCCGTGCGCGAACGCCCCCGCATCGCACGACGTCACGCTGAACAGCTCCCGCAGGTCCAGGTGGCCGACCCACCACAGCAGCGCGCGCGTCCCCAGCACCGCCGCCACCACGCCGAGGATCTCGACGTACGGGTTCGTCTGTCGAGCGAGCAGGCCCGTGAGTGCCTTGCGCAGACGATCGCGGGGGGCGACGAGACGTACCCATATCGATGCCGACGAGTTCCGCCTCGGTGCGGCATGCCTCCTGGGTGCTCGCGGCGGCGCTGCTGCCGTCGCAAACCCGTTCTGTCCCTGCGCCTGCGCTGCATTGAGCCTCGCCAGGAGCTCCCGACGCTCCTGCCCCACAAGCTTTATCGTCTCCTCATGCGCCGCCGACTGCGCCCGTTACTCCTCTAAGGCAGCCACCCGTTGTAGGGCCTCATGTAGGCTGTCCTCCGCACGCGTACGGCCATCCCGTGCTTCGCGCAGGGCCCCCTCCAGCTCCGCCACCTTCGCTGCGCGCTCGCGTTTCTGCGCGTCCAATTCGGCGACGCGTGCGAGGATCTGGCTGTTCCGCGTCTGCGCTTCGCTGAGCTCCCTCTCCTTCTTGCTCATCTCCGCCTCGACGCGGACCCTGTGCTCCCTGAGCGTGACGCACTCCGCCTCACTCGCGGCCGTACGGTCGTCCGACTGCTGCTTCGCGAGCCTCTCAGCTTTCGCGGAAAGCTCCACCTCTGCGAGTCTGCCTTGCAGGAAGCCAACGAGCTCGTCTTGCACGTTCGCTGCTTCCTTCGCTTGCTTGAGCTGCCGCCACGACGTCAGTTAGCATTATTCAATTCGCTGAGACCTGGCAGAACCCGCATACCTCCTCCCGGATAGCCAGCGCGGTATTCGCGCTGCTCCTCAATCGCCTCCTGCATGCTCTTCATCGCGCCCCGCGCTTCTTCCAGCTCGCGCCGCATAGCCTCACGCTCGTGTTCAAGCACCGCGACTTGGCCTTCCTTGCTCCGCAGTGACGCGCCCGCCTCGTCAAGCTGGAATCCGCCCATGTTAGTCCAACTGTACGTTCAAAGCACGATGCAAGACAACACACCTGGCTCTGCACGTAGCTCGGGTTAATCGTCATCGGGTCCTCTACGAACAGAACCTGTCAATGACCATCCAATGCAGACCATCAGGACGGACTCACCATTATGGCTCTTGCTCCCGCTGGACACGCTCGCCACGCTACCATGCCGCCTGAGTATATCCCCCCGGCCGCTTCAAGCTCAACACCCGCGTCCGCTTCTTCACGCCCGCGCCCGCCGCGAAGCTCGCTTCCTGGCCAGGCATCGCGCGTGACCCGAACGACGTCACGCTCTTCACGTCCGCTCCGCATTCCACCAACGTCCGCGGGTCCAACGGCGTCATCGATAACGCCTGCTCGTTCGCCGGCTTGGTTTCAGCCCAAGTTGCAGGCGGCATCCCCGTCGCGTTTGCGATAGAAGCCACGCTGTCCGGAAGGCGCACCAGCGTCAGCGACAACTGGCGCGAGCGCGGTTTCGCCGCTGCCTCGCGACGCCGAATCAGATCCTGCGGTCCTCTCCGCACGACTCGCTACAACTCGGCCCCTTCGTGACCGCCTGTGTGTTCGTGTGGAGCTTACTGGACATGTTGAAGACCCCTGGTTAGTCATCGCGTGTATACCACCAAGAAGTGGTCGGTGTGTCCCCTTCTCCGAGTCCACGGTACCGCACATAGCCAACTCTGTGTGCTGTAGACCATGCGCTCGCGAAGCAACCCAAGATCTAGTGCATGGCTGACAAGAGCAGAATCAAATCGCATACTGCGCTCCGGTGCTCGTTCATGCACATGTACTTACTTGTTTGGCGATGAACATAGAGTCTGTGCGCAGGTGCATGTGCGGCATCATGATCATGCGCCCACGAGTTCTCGAGGATAGTCACACAGCTACGCACCACATTGGAATCCTGCGGAACGCCAGAGCGCTGAATGCTCCCCGCAAGCGTCGGTAGTGTGGGCCTATTTCATGGCACCGCACTCATCGGGTCAGTCTCAGTCCAGCGAGCCTGAGGGCATCATCGCTGCCACCTTCACAGGGTGTGTTGCCGCAGCGAGAGAAAATGAGCAGAGGTTCACCGGCTCCATCCCAGAAGAGGTCATGAAGACTTTGGGCAGCTTCAATGAAGCGCGACTATGAGGGCTGCGACACAGTGACACCGCAGTGCGCACGGTGAGTCGGTGTTCTCGGACCCTGTGATCGCGATCGGAGGTTGGTTCGGTGTGGCTTCGCTCAAGCGCTCAAGCTTGGCTTATACTACTGTAGTATTCAATACAGTCCGGCGGTCACGCGTCACAAGGCCCCTCGCCACACCGGTAAAGGACCCTTGTCACGGGTCACTGGGGGTCCCGCCGGTTGTGACAAATGCACAAAAATTTGGCCGCCTCCGGCGGCGGCCTCAGCACTCGTTTTGACGACGTTTATAGCCCATCGACGCTCCGCCGCACCGTCTGCACCGTCTTTGTCACACGTCACCGTCGCTCGCGCCGCGCCGCCTGGCGGCGGCGCGGCTGTCACAGTCACAACCTGCGCCGGATTGAATTGAATACTACAGTACTAAGTAGCTCTGCGACAGACTGGTGTGGCTCGAGTGTATGTTCAAGGTTCGTAAGGGTTACGCCTTTGAGATGGAACGCAAGATCGCACAAGTTAGCCTGCAGACGTTCATCCAGGCGTTCGTACCCGGAGCGGACATTCCACCCGATGTCGTCGTGGACACATTCGACCCCGCTTGCTTTGAGGGTAAAGAGTGGCCCATGTATGACGAGTTGGTCAGTATTTTCACCGGATGGTGCAGAATCTTGGTGGGCTGATTTCTTTCCGACAGTGCAAGGTGGCAAACTCGGTCTTCGACCACGTCCCCGTCAAAGACGGTATCCCGAGGCTGGTAGCGAAGAACACACATCGCTGGCCTGACCCTACCGACAAGCCCGACTTTGAGGAGAACACGGACCCTGACGTAACTGTCTATCCCGAACACGACGACGCGAAGCGCGCATATACGATCGAGGCGTCAGCGCTCAAAGGAAAGTCGGAGCAGGGAATCAAGCACTGTGCAGAGAAGGAAGCTAGGACATCGTGGCTATGGGCAAGCCTCTTTATCGAAGCGAAGGCTGCCGCCAACGACTCTCCGTTTGTGGTGCCGCCAGCGATGAAGACTGGTAGGGCCGAGAAGACTGAAGCACGCACGGCAGCTACGCCTGATGAGGCAGAGCCGGGATCATCAGGTCGGGCGACGGCTGAGACCGCCTCAGCAGCGTCGACGACGGTTACTCCTGCTACTCCGGGACCAAGCAACACAGCCGCACCGCCTTTCCTCCGTCAGGACACCACCAGCGGTCAGCAGACAATGGGGCAGATGTGTCAGTACGTTTACAAGATCCTGCGAAGACAGTTCCTGTCCTGCCTGTTCACGGTGTTCACCTGCCGTGACCATGCATGGCTACTCTATTGGGACCGCGCGGGGCTCATTGTTTCGGAGCCGTTCAACTTCGTGCAACAGCCGCGCCTCTTGCAGAACTTCTTCTATCGGTTCGCCTGTATGGACGTTATTCAGAGAGGCGGCGATCCGACGGTTACTCGGGCGACCGAGGACGAGGTTGAGCTGATGCGCAGCCACGACAGGTTCGACTCTGACTGGCACAAGACTCAGTTCAAGGCAACGTTAGCACCAGGCTGGCCGATCTACAAGGTCTCTGTTCCCGAAGAAGACATGATCTCGGCAGATGAGCTCAAGACGGGCGTGAAAGCGCAGCGGGATGTTTCTCAGTCGAACAACGGACGCAAGCCCGAGCGGGAGTTCCTCATCGGGAAGCCGTACTTCATGAGTGACTCGCCCATCGGAGGAGGAACGAGGGGATATATCGCGTATGATGTCGCTGAACATCGACCGGTCTTCTTCAAGGAGTATTGGCGCGTGGACGAGCCGACCTATCATCCGGAAGGAGAGGTTTACCTGGGGTTGCATAAGCACGGGGTGCAGTACATAGCAACCCCGATCGCTGCCGGCGACGTTTGCGGTGCGATCGGCGAAGGTCGTTCTACTCGCGCGCAAGCGTTCCTCAAAGACCCGCCGCCCAAGCTCATCCAATATCGCATTTTCTTGAAGGAGATTGGCAAACCGCTGAAAGAATATGGGGATTCTTACGACTTAGTACTCGCCATGTACTGCTGTTTGACGGGTACGTCGATCGTTCATTTCATATATATGCTGTACATGCTCATATGTTCTATCAGCACATCAAGAAGCCTGGGAAAAGGCCCGTATCCTGCACCGCGACATAAGCAGCGGCAATCTGCTGCTATGCTGTGTCGTGACCGAAGATGGCGACATCACATGGATCGGTATGTTGGTCGACTGGGGCTTGTGCAAGTACGAGGAAGAGTTAGCTATGCGGAGTGTGCTGAAAACCCGCTCAGTGAGTCTCCGCGAGTGCCTCAACGACCAAACGTGCCGCTGATCGTTTGTAGGGCACATGGCAGTTTATCTCTGCTGTCCTACTAGCATTCCCGGGACATTTCGTGCACGCAGTGTGGCACGATCTCGAGTCGTTCATTCACGTCTTCCATTGGATGTGCCTGCGATTCCACATCACGAATTATTCAAGGTTCAGGAAGCTGTTGCGAGACCACGTCAGCGCATTCTACGACGCCTCAGATGTGTCACCCGATGGTACTTCTGTTGGCGGGCAAGCTAAGCTGACGATGATGCGAGCAGGAACGGTACCGTTCAAGCTCGTCGGAGGATCTGCTGACCGGTCCACGCCTGGTCTGCACCGGCTCTTGGCTGATCTCGCGGCGCTCTACGGGTCACACTACAAGTGGCTGAAGCCTCAGCTGCCGACGTCGCACCCGCACGTCGCATGCTCCGTGACGCCCTCCGTCGAGTCTAAGAAGCGCGCAGCACTCAGAAACCGGTTCATCGCGATTTCGGCTGAAGAGCTGACCGAGCCCATGTCAGAAACAGTGGTTGAAGAAGTACCGACGGCATCTGTTCTCGAGAATCACCTGCGGATCAAGACCGTGTTCGCGGCGGCGTTGCTCGGTGAAGCCCAGTGGACATACGATGACAAGACCGGGGACAACTTCGCCTATGTCAGCACATCCTTGGATCAATGGAGCTGGGGGTCAAGGGAGTCTGTCAAGAGGTCTGCGGACAATTCTGCGGACGACAGATCGGACAAGCGCATCAGGAGTAACATCAGCAGCGTGTCCGTGTCGACCACTCCATCGTTGGGCTCTTGAATAGTCGAGAATGTACATGTCAATTGAAGACTGAGGCCTGAGGTCGAACGTGGGCGCTTTTCGCGTCGAGGACTGGGTATTCGACTCTCTGGTATTCGGCGTCCGTAGATACTCGTACTTATCCGGCCGTTTATCTGTCGGTGTAGACTACGTAGGATCGCCATTCTTCAAGCTGCCGAGCAAATTATTCGAACTGAGTAGATATACTGGCCAGAGGCGCCCAGGCTAATCTGTCCGACCACGTGATAAGTCGTTAGAACGCTCCGTTGTTCAGCAGTTCCGAACATTGTTCAGAGCAAAGCCACAGTGTAGAAGTCCTCCTCCGAGTCTACCTCCGCAAGTCCACGTGGGCATGGAATAGATGATCAAAAGTGAGAATAAAGATCCAGCGAACTCGGAGCACTCAAAAGGCACTCCGGTACTCAGAAGCACAACTTAAGGGGCGGAAACTGAGCGCAGGAGGTGAGTTCCTCGATATGATCTTCCAGCAACGAGCACATGATTTCGTGCTGTTGATACAATGACTATGATGATAGCCTGTTTTGCTGAACGCGCCGAACAGAAGTACAACGGAATTCATTCAACGTGAGGGGTCGCAGGCCCTTGACTGCGAACGAACAGCCTTGGTCGTTGATTTCCTCGGGGCCGCCATTGAGTGCGTGACCATATATATCGCGATCCTGACAACCTCCCATTAGAGAAGAATCATGGAGGATAAGATTGCACAAGTCAGCCTTGATACATTCCTGCGGGAATTCGTGCCTGGGCCCGACCTTCCTCCCGGCGCCACCATAGAAGGCTTTTGCACCACAGAAGCTATCAGTACAGAAAGCACGGTGTATGGCAGACTGGTGGGTGATAGGGCAACGAGGCATGAGCTGAGTGGGCTGACGATCGTTCAAAGTGTGAGGCGGCGAACTCCGTTTTCAACCGCGTCCCCGCCGAGGCAGGCGGTCAGAGGCTTGTAGCCGAGGACACGCACCGTTGGGTTGATCTTACGGACGAAACGGATGGCACTTTAAGAACGTCTCCTGGCGTGATCGTTTATCCCGTCAACGAAGATGCAATAAAGGCGTATACAATCGAGGCAGCGATGCCTAATCAGAGGCGGCCACGCAAGAGGCAACGCTGCGAGGCAACGGAAGCAAGGGCGGCGTGGTTCTGGGTGTCCCTGTTGCTACATGCAAAGGTCGATCCGGACGATTCTCCGTTCGCGATACCTGATTCGGCGCAGGAGGCGAGTTCTCAGACGACCTCAACGCAGGGCATAGCTACCCTCGTACCACCGCCACCTGCGGTTCCAACTATGGTGACAGCAAGTGCCGGCGCAGACCTTCCGCCTTCGTTCCTGCGTCTTAAGACGACAGGCGGTGCCACGCGAACAGTGAGACAGTTGACCGACTGTGTAGCGAAGGTGCTACAGAGACAGTTCCTGCTCTGGTTCTTCACGGTCTTCGTCTGCCGCGATCATGCTTGGCTGCTCCGCTGGGATCGCATGGGACTCGTTGTATCCGAGCCCTTCAACTTTGTGCAGCAGCCACACGTCTTGCACAACTTTCTCCACCGGTTCGCCTGTATGAGTGACTTGCAGCGAGGTCGTGACCTCACAGTGGTACCGGCGAGCGAGGAAGAGGCCAAACGCATGCGCTGTTTCACCAAATTTGACTCGCCGTCGGACTGGCGCAAGATCCCATTTGCGACTGCGCTAGCACCGGGATGGCCGATTTACAAGATTTCCGTACCAGAAGACGATATGATATCGGCAGCTCAGCTGAAGAAGGACACGAAAGAGCCGCAAGATACGTCCAAGCCGTCGAGCGGACGTATGCGCGGGTTCCTTGTGGGGAAGCCGTCTTTCACGAACACATCGGTGACCGGACGGGCGACGAAATGCCACATTGCGTACGACATTTCTGAAGACCGGCTAGTCTTCTGCAAGGAGTATTGGCGTACAGACACGCCAACGTCGCATCCGGAGGGAGATGTGTACCTGCGCCTGCACAGCAAGAACGTGAGTTTCATTGCGACGCCAATCGCAGCCGGTGATGTTCGCAACAAGTACGGCACGGTGCATCACACGCGCGCTCAGGAGTTCACTGGAGAATCGGACCGGATGCTTGTTCAATATCGGCTCATTCTGAAGGAAATTGCGCAGCCCCTGAAGGAGTACACGAACTCCCTTCACTTGGTACAGATGGTGTACAGCTATCTGCGAGGTTCGTCTGAAGTTTCGCTTATTGCACTCTTTCGATAGCGCTGATCTCGCGGTATGCTAGCGCACGAAGAAGCGTGGCTAGAGGCTGGAGTCTTGCATCGAGATATCAGCGGAGATAACCTCATGATATACTGGTACTTTGAGAACGGGCAGTCGAAATGTAAGGCGTTGTTGGTCGACTGGGGCCTTTGCAAGTACCGTGAAGAGATGGACAAACCAGTTGTCAGGAAAAATCGCTCCGTATGTGTTGATGTTCTCTCGTCAACGTGGAGCTGATCGTTGCGCAGGGTACTTGGCAATTCATATCCGCTGTGTTGCTGGTCTACCCAGGAACATTTGCCCACGAGGTGTGGCACGATTTGGAGTCGTTTATTCACGTCCTACACTGGATGTGTCTGCGATTTCATATCACGGATGCTTCGGCGGACATCAAGAATCTGATCAACCACGTCAGTGCGATTTACGACCATTCTCATAAAAACGCCAGTGGGTCATCTGTGGGCGGTTACCAGAAGCTCAGGATCATGCAAAACGGCGATGTACCATTTCGGCTTATTGGAGGATCTGCTGGATTGCAAACTCCCGGCCTCCACCGACTCTTCCTTGCGCTTGCAGCTCTGTACAAGGAACAGTACAAGTGGTTGGAACCGCAACTACATAGATTGATCTCGATACCAGCCGAGTCGCAGAAGGATGCGCCGCCTCAGGTTCAACAGTCACAGGTCACCATGCCGTCCCGGAGGTTGCCAGCGCGCGTCAAAGGACAACTCGTAGTAGAAGTCGTCCCTGCTCAGCCTGTCCTCAATGATCACATTAGATTCGCGGAAGCTCTCGAGCAGGCACTGTTTTCGGAGTCAAATCCTTGGACCGACGACGAGAAGACGATAGACCAATTCGCGTACGATAACAGTGTAATGAAACAACACATGTGGATGTCGAGGGAGGCTTCCAGGCGATCTCCCGAAGAGGAAATCTCCGTCAAAGACAAAGCCAGGAAGCGCGTAAGGAGCGGTACCCACACGGTGCCCTGGAGCACGTCGTCCGCGTCCCAACTGGGTTCCAAAGCTGGACTTGATTTAGAAACGTAGCGCATAACTTAAACGTCGGTGTCCGTGTGTTGTCGAGAAGGTTACTCGTCCCGTATTGGTCGCTGTTGTACGCTACCAAGTAGTATTGTTGTGTTGCCAAGCCACTGGTGGTCGAAGAATGTCGTGTCAGTTTGTTTGTATTACTGCAGATGACTGAAGTCCCGAAGTCCGAGTATGTCGGATTCAAGGCGGATTCTTGGTGGCTTATTGATACTATGAGGCTGAGCAAGCATAGCGGTATAGCGTTCACGGCCCTACTATACTCCAGTCATATGTGTTGCTACGTCGTGTACTCGAGCTCGTTCTCGCCAGCATCCCTAGGCCTTCCGGCGTCGCTTTAGTAAGCAGAAACGGAGATTATACTCAGCATTCGGTGGCCGAAGTTGCGCCATGGTGCTCCGAGAGCACGACAGTGCTACCCACAGTTTCTCTGGCGGCCGGCGAGCTCATAGTTGGCGCGCTCACGTTATACTATGGCGTTATAGATTAGCAGGATCGGTGCGAACCTGCTGACCGATCCAACGCTAGCCCGAGCGTCCCCGTGGTATTTCAGCGATGTGAGTATATAAGAATGGGTGCGACGTCACCCTAGCACTATCCAACAGTTCTTAGAACCTCCTACCAGGGTCTTCACAACATATCCAAGATGGCTACCGCTGCTACGCTCTCCCCTCATGACGTTCAGACCACGCTGAACTACTACGCTCCGCTGAAGGGCTCGACGGAGGCCCCATACCAGTACGTGTACGACCCGCCTGAAGGGGTGGCCAAGAACAACCTCGATGTTGACCCGCACCCTGCGGTCATCCACGACGGGCGCGGACGGGAATCCGAGTTCTCCATCGACACGACCGGCTTCCAGTTCGTGCAGTACCCGAGTGTGGAGAAGGAGTTCGACGACGACGCCCGCATCCAGGACGTGTACTACAAGGAGGTCGAGGAGCTCCTCAGGAAGGAGGTGGGCGCAAAGCGTGTCTTCATCTTCGATCACACTATCAGGTATGTTCACCCTCCGATGTGGCAGAATCCTTGTGGCTCACATCGATACATAGGAGGAAGCCTGCGGACGACGGTGATAGGTCTCTTGCCCGCGGTCCAGTAGTGAGTACCCGTCGATGCATATCTCGAGTACGAGGTCGTCGAACTCACATGGCGTACGCAGGAACGCGTCCACATCGACCAGACATTCGAGGCCTCCGTCGCGCGTGTGCGCTACCACCTCGCAGAGGATGCGGATCGCCTGCTGAAAGGCCGCGTGCGCATCATCAACGTCTGGCGGCCGATCCACCATCCGGCCGCGCACAAGCCGCTCGCGGTCTCCGACTGGCGCCACCTTGACACGGATCACGACCTCGTCTCCGTGCGGCATATCTACCCTCACCGCGAGGGCAGCACGTTCAGCGTGAAGTACAACCCGAACCACAAGTGGTACTACCTGTCGAACCAGACGCCCGACGAGGTCACGCTCATCAAGTGCTACGACTCGGAGGTGGACAGGGCGAGGCTGACGCCGCACTCGGCGTTCTTGGATGCGACGACCCCATCGGAGCTGCCGATGCGCGAGTCGATCGAGGTCCGTGTCCTCGTTTTTGACCAGGAGTGATTGGGCGGGCCGTGGGTTGTACGATGTGTAGAGTGTAGGATATTCAGATCGGGCCTGTGTGAGAGCAATTCGATTCTGTGAGTTTGGATTTGACAGTAATATGCGATGCCAACGCCGGAGCAGCGGCCTTCCGCCGAAGTTTGTTGCCGCTCTCAAAGCGATCGCACGGTGCAGTCGAGAGCTTTCCAGACAACTTGACAGTAAAACAGCGACACTCAAAGCATACGAACGCGAAGACTAACGCTACAAAACGCACCATCCCGCCGACAGATGGCGGAGACGCACCAGTGGAATCCCGGCCCATAACGACTCATGCACCAACAGCTGACACCGTATTACCGTCTGCGAGACCATTTGCGTATTGGAATTCGCCGGAGTTCTCGTACTGTCAAAGAAGGTCTTTACAAACGTATGTCAATTGACACGGAGGAGCCCACGTACCTCCCACATATCGATCGCGACGATACAGCTCTCCTTCACTACGCGCGGCGAGTCCTCGCGCTTCGACCACTCCTTCAAATGCGGGAGCACCTCGGGGGTCGCAATGCCCCCGAGGGCCTCAGCAGCTTCGTGGCGAACCATGTCAGACTCTGATGAATTCTGAAGTACTTTCAGGAGGGACGGGACGGCGTGGGCGGAGAGGAGTTGGCCAAATACGAAGGCGATCTCGTGCCTGCGGGTTCAAACGATGTTAGCCTTGATTTAACTAGTTAGGGAATGGATGTACTTGAACAGAGCGCTGTCATCAGCGAAACCGGCTGCTAGCGCATCGACTGCAGCGGGAGTTCCGATATTTCGCAGGGCGAACATAGCGCGATATCGCTCGAAGAGAGGGCACGACGTGTCGAGGAGGGTGTCTTTTAGTTTAGCGATAGCCACCTCAGAGGCATCTTCCGGCGTCGCTTTACCAGAGAGGAGTTTTGAGGAAGGCGGAGCAGGGTCGATGGAGGTGTAAGTCCTGGTCAATTACACCATGAGCAGGTCCGACACTTATTGGGAAGCTAAGGTTGACGTACTGGTCTGATGATGACGCCACGCTATTCCAGTGCTTCTTCCCCTCCTCCGAGTTATCCCACTGGATCTTCGCAAGTGCGATCTCGCATGTCTCACTCACGCTCTTGTTCGAGTCGTTCAGGTAGTGCTTGAGAAAAGTTATGCTGGCTGGAGCGGATATGGCTCCCATCGCTTCGGCAGCCTACTTGGTGTGCGTTCGCGGTGGGTCCGGACGGGCGAAGGCGTGGAGGGACGCACCTCATGTCGGACCATGGGGTCTTCGGATTCGTTGGCGAGGACGGCTTCGAGGGTGGGAAGAGCAGAGATGTTTTTCATTTGGCCAAGGCAGTAGGCGAGTTCGTGTTTTAGCAGAGCACTGTCATCCGCGAAACCTTCGAGGTCGTCGTGAGTGAGCGTCGTAGCGGACGGAACGATCTGACAGTCGCGATATACGTTCACTCGATGACATACCTTTTGAGATGATCCTGATAGCCTCCTCTGACTTGAGTGACTTCAGCGTGAAGAGGGCACGGAAACGATTATGCAGTGGGACATTTCCGGACGTGTTCAACAGGGTCGCCTCGAGCGCGGCAAGCTTCGCAGCGTCGGTCTGAACCATATCCCGATAATCCGGGGGCGTGATTGGGTGGATGGTGAGAGGAAGAGACAAGGCGTATGTGAGAGTGAAGGCGAATGAAGTGCCGGTTCGTAAGACAGACCGTGACCAGGCGGAGGAACTTGAAGGACTGAAAGTGGCGGAGGACGAGATCAGCGCCGCGAGATTAGATTGCGGGGCAATTTTTGCGAGATCAGATCGTATGCATCTGCATGGGCGCCTCCGTCTTCTCGTGAAAATCGTGCTTGCTTGCGCCGCGCACAAACATCCCTGGCGCTCTTGTCTATCACTTTATTGCAATCACTTTTAACAGAGACAAAAACCTCTTTCCAGGATGCCAAAGTCAAAACGCCAGAAACTCGGTGAGTCTTGGTCGCCAGTGTAAGGAAGGCATAAGCTTACGGCGGTAGTTGCGTAGTGTCCCTGACCAAGGTCTCGAAGAAGACACGAGAGCAGAAGCATGCCCTACTGAATGAAGTGAGTCTCGCCGGTCAATCATTGCGGTAATATCTGACGTCGTCCGACCAAGGTACAAGAAAATGCGGGCAAGTGGGAGTACTGTTGGTTGTTCGAGGTGGGGAACATGCGGAACGCACACCTGAAGACAGTACGAAAACTATGGAAAGAGTATGTCTTGTGAACATGATTTATGCGACTAACGGTCTGATCAGCCTGCAGCTCGGCACGGATGTTCTTTGGTCGAGGAGCAGTGATGGCGAAGGCATTAGGCACAACGCCAGAGGAGGAGTGTCGCATGGGTCTACACAAACTCGCAAAAGTACGCAGCCCCATCTGACATCTATCGTCGTCCGCGCTCACACAGACCCTTCGTCCAGCAAATAAAAGGCCAGGTTGGGCTATTCTTCACCTCCTCCCCACCCTCCGAAGTCCTCGAGTGGTTCGCCGACTTCCAACAACCCGACTTCGCACGCTCAGGCAACATCGCCTCCCAAACCTTCACGCTCCCCGCCGGGCCCATCATGCAACAGCACTCCACGCCGCCCGAGCCCTTCCCGCATAACGAGGAGCCGCAGCTGCGCAAGCTCGGGCTGCGCACCCGGATGGTGCGCGGCGTGCCGACGCTAGACGCGCCCCACACAGTGTGCGAGGCGGGGAAGACGCTCACGCCGGAGCAGACACAGCTACTGAAGCTGGTCGGCGTGAAGATGGTGAAGTTCAGGGTGGGGTTGAGGGCACGGTGGGAGGCGGCGAGCGGGGAGGTCGTACAGATTGAGGGACAGGAGATTAGGGAGGAAGAGAAGGCGGGTGGGGAGGCGCCCGAAGCAGAAGTTGCAGATGGAGATGTGGGAGTTGACGAAGAGATGGAGGGATTGTAGGGTGTTGTCGTGCTGATGTGGTATTGTGTATTCTCTACTTTCTCATCTCGCTTGTATCGGTGCTGCTGCCTATTTCATTCTCTTGCAGATCCTCGATCAGTGGCAGGATGGGCGGTCGGGCTTTGGAGCAAACCCGCTACGCTCCCATGTCCCGATGCGTCGGTACACAGCACCAGTTGCACGCTGTGCGTCGGTCCGTGGTCGCAAGACTGGAAGGTCGCTCCTCGGAGGACGAGGTATTCAATTGATCATGCACATGGCATTACATGAGCTCGTTCTTCGGCCGTACGCACGGATCGTGATCTGAAGATGTCGAAGACTGATTTTATAATTCCCTCTCAAGGTCTTGCGATAGTACGCGAAGCGTGAGTGACGATCCGCGTTCTTGTTCTTCTCAGGCTTTCCAATCATTCGTGAAGGGACGCTCGCGGCAGAGACCCGAATTCTTCTTCGATCTTTCGTCGGCCCTCCAAATCGCGTTGCCTCAGGCATTTTGTGGATTACGACCAGCGAACTGTGGCAATTCGCGTCGACTCAAATCGTAGCTCATGAGCTGGAGGGTCTAAAGTCAACTTCTTCACGAGGCCAATAGATCTATGTCGAGGAACCATCACATGGAATGCCCTGGAGGCCAGTCTCATGGGAAGGTAGGCTTCAAAGCTTCAAGCGTGTCAGGACCACTCGAGGATCCCGCCAGCTGCTGTCCGATAAGCTCGGGAGACCTTAGGCGTGTATGGTACTTCCCGCATCAAGCCTCCTCAGTGAGTAAGCGGTGGGCTTGTTTGTGTCGGTGATACTTACTCGTTTTACCCGAGTTAGATGATCATGATCGCTCAGAAGATGTTGTACGCAGAATTTGCATTCGTAGCTCGTGCTCTGGTCTCAGCTAGACTCACCGGTGAACGTACGTGAGCAACCAAGGGCAGTTGTTAGTTCTTCTGTGTCGAATCAGCTTCGAGTCCCTGATTTTCTGGTGGAAGTGATGTATCATGATGATGAACTGACTCGTCTCACGCTTTCACTGGAAGTTGCACTGCTTGCTTAATTGCTGTTTTTTGTCAGAGCTCACCCGTTCCATTATCAGAAGACGTGCGGTAAAGGTCAGGGTGTTTTCGGATGTCGCTAGCCAACGCATTGTAAGCCCGGCTTGGCCCGCGTATACGGCGTCCGAGAAGACGACACAAACCTTTACACGTGTGCACGACAAGCTTGCACTGTAACTCCACTTCTGACTAGTCTGAAGTTTGCTCTCAAGTGTAAATGCGGTGCGTCTCGTCACAGTCAACAATCTCCCGAGGGTCCCGTTCGCTGATTGGATGAACTACTGAATATCTCAGCCGTCATTCGGGGTTTCCTTTACCTGGACGCGATTCGGGATTGTGACCGAATTTTACTATCCGCGCTGCCATCCACTGTGATTGCTGAGAAGGGACATGCTGCATAGATGTCAAACAGAAGACGGAAGGAAGCCTGATTCTCGGTGCCGGCGAACTCCAATCTCCAGAATGATGTCAAAGCGCCACTTCCCGTTCAGATCGGTGCGCTGGCTCACGAAGCATGCACACTTATTAGCGTGAGTTCTGCTCGAGGACGGCCACCTTATGATGTGTGTGCCGTTTCGAGGACTTTTGATGAAGTGGTCACACCTTTGGCTTTGTCTGTGCTGCTGCTGCTGGACGCTTCGCTGGGGCGTCGGTTTGGGTGACGGCATTGTGCGGGACGAAGGACGGCGGCTGTCAGCGTGGACGACTGGTATCCTCATGGGGGCCCGATCGTGCCACACGTCGCCAAATATGGACGCGTCGGTCGCTTCCTCATCCGGATCCTGATTAGTATGTGGCTTCCCGTGGATCGTCCAAGCTCACTGCCTGTCAACCCACACAACTCTCTGCCACTCTCGCTGACCCCTCACCGTCACCCGTCTGCGCGCCGCTGCGTCGGGGGCGTGGTATAAAGGCCGGAGTGATGGTTCAAGTCGCCCCGGCCTCCCTCTCCCTCTCTCCCCCACCTCCCCTCCTCTCCTCAAGTCCGCGGCGGCACCCTTGGCGACATCTGCTTGCGTCCGCGAAAGACGCTTGCGAAGCACTCTTTTATCCGACGCGTTGTATCATCTGGGCACTTTTGTAACGACTTGTATAATTCTCTGCGGTAGAGAATAGCGGCACCATGACTCAGTCTCCAGCAGCAGAAACGTAGGTGCTTGCGTTACGCCCTGTCTATGCATTAACTAACTCTGATCCTTTCAGATACGGCCCCATCTTTGTCGGGGTCGTTCTCAACATCGTCTTGTATGGTATCATGATAACACAAACCTTTCTGTACTTTACTGTGTACAAGCGGTGCGTCTGCTCGCTCCTTCCACACGACGATGTTTTGCTCACGATCCAATAGGGACAGGTTTTGGATGAAGCTTTTCGTAAGCTACCTTATCAATGGATATGCCCATCGCACTAACTTCGCACAACCAGGTCGGGCTCCTCTTTTTCTGTGACACCCTGAACTGCGCTTTTGACATCGCCTTCGTGTATGCACCACTTGTCAACGGGTTCGGTGCGTCGAGATGGGAAGTGAACATAGTACATGAGGCTCAAGGTTCACGTACTCAGGTGACATTGTCGGGCTCAACTACGCCTCCTGGGTCTTCGCCACGGGTGAGTAGCACTCGTCGCTAGCGCTGTGATGGACTTCCACTAATTAATTCATGACAGATCCTGCTATGACGGTATGAAACCCGCGCGTCATGTTGCATCTGGTCACTGATGTCGATCTAGGCGATTATCGCCTTGTGCGTTCAAATGTTCTTCGCCTGGCGAGTCAAGGTCCTCACAGGCAGCATTCCTGCTGTCTGTCTCATCATGTTCTGTTCGCTCTGCCAGTGGTGTAAGTGTACGATTAAGATTCCAGTGAGTCACAGCGACTGACGGACATGCAGGCGGTGGCGTCGGGACAGCGATCGCTGTGGGGATGATTCCGGAATTCACTCACTTTCAGCAGTTTGAGGTCATCGTCATCGTCTGGCTCGCGTTCTCTGCTGTCGCCGACACTGTTATCTCTATCTCCCTCGTGTGGCACTTGGTATGGCTTCCAGTCATGATAATTTCCGTCACATTGACTCGCTGTTGCAGAGGAAGCATAAGACCGGCTTCTCCCAGACCGATGACGTGGTCAACAAGATCATCAGGAGTGAGTTTCGTGAAGTCTATCCTCTGTCTCACTGTTATTGATCGTACTCGCAGTGACTGTCCAGACGGGGTTGATCACTGCTCTGTGCGCTATCATCGACCTTGTACTCTTCCTTGCGACGGTGCGTACGTTGCAGCAACACATGCAGTCGACGACTCATCTTTCTTTTCTAGCCCGCCGGTCTTCACTTGATCTTCAATCTGCCTCTCTCAAAGCTGTACACCAACTCGTTGATGTCAAGCCTCAACTCGCGTGCCGGATGGAAGTACGGGAACGGCGTCGGCGTGGGTACGAGCGCGAGTGAGCTTGGCGGCCGGTCGCAGATCAAGGGCCTCCAGATGCACAGCGATTACGGGAAGCGGGTTAGTGTAATGAACTCGGTCATTAACGTCCCTTTCTCGCCTCGCGATGTCATTGTCTGACGCGTGGTCAATTATCTTCATACAGGCCGGCCAGGAGGTGTACATTGACGTCGAGAGTCATGAGATGATCGACTCGTTGGACAAGGCGCCCCTGTCCAGTGCTGAGTCGAGCGACATCGGCACGGTGAGGGTGAATATTATTCTGCCAACGTGAGAAATCGTTTACTGAATTTTGTACACATAGATGTTCGCGATGCCGAGGAAGAGCTCGGAGAAGCCGGGGCGCGCGAGCGTCGGTCAGGCTCCGAGCCGTCCATCGGTCACTATGTGAGAAATCGAGGCCACACTTTATCATCCGCACGGAGCAAGTCGAAGGTTAGCGTGGACCGATGGCTTGTTCTATCTGTGAGGTTCTCAGCCGAGAGGATGCTCTACTTCAGAATTCTCGACCGTCGGGGGGCCTCTCGGTACCTTTTATCCATTCGATCTTGTTCTGATTCGCACTCAGCAAGAGCGCTCATTCTGCGAGTCGATCATCCTTACCCTTGTCTTCAAGTTGACTTTTATCGTTACCTTTGCATCGACGTCGCCTATGGACACGTAGGACAGCTATGTTGGACCATGATTTGCGCTTGTAGGTACTTGTGTTTGGTATGGCTATGCACGTCACGGAACAGAGCGCGGAACCTCCTTTGACCACGTTTGATGCACGCGCCCGGGATGTCCCTGGAGTGTACGCATCGATGGGCAGCACATGTGAGCGCGGCAGGCTGATAGCTGTGGAGGGAAGGAGCAGGCTGGAGTAGATTCAGAGGACTCGCGGCGGACAGGAGGATCACACGCGAACGACAACGTGCCCTGCCCGGAATTCTGTGCGCGAAGTTCATTCCGGGCGGCGACGGTACCCAGGCCGTGCACCGCCCTGCTGGCGCACGTACGTACGGATCGCACTCATCGCGCCCCAGAGTCCAGCCATGCACAGGCCTCGTGTAGGACATCCTACATACTTATCAGCACATCCACCTGCGAACTGGGCGACCGTAACCATCCCCCTCCTCTTCACACCCACGCCCACCGACTCCGCATCCGGGAGCATCCCTGCTGCAGGACCAGCAACGACATCACTAACAACGCTACACACGAATCAGCTACTTTAGCTATCACACGACACGACACCATGACCACCACCCCGCCCACAGCGACCAACTCTCTCCCCTTCGTCCCGCTCACGCCCGAGTCCATCGGTCGTGAACGCGGACGGGCGTCCTCGCCTTCGCCGTCCGACCCCGGCTCGCCGTCGCCCTCGCAGGGCCAGCGGAGGCGGTCGCGGTCGCGGCTCTCGTCGCTCTCGCTGAGGCGCCGCCCGACGAGCGTCATCCATATGTCGAGCGAGCCGATCGTGCTCACCGCGGAGGCGCTGCTCGCTATCGAGACGGACGCAGACAAGCGCCTCGCGGCGTCGGTGCCGGCGCTGCCGTCGGAGAAGGCGCATCTGAGGGAGGGGTCGGGCGAGAGCCAGTCGGGAGAGAGCGAGGGCGCGGGGATGGACGACCTGAAGACGCCGACCGCGCCGACTGCGAACGGGAACGGGACTGCGAGCGGGCCGCACGGGATACGCGCGCGGGTGTTCAGCCTGTCGAAGAGGGGCCGCCCCGCGGGGGTCGTGCACATGTCGAGCGAGCCCAACCTGGGCGCACAGGCGCAGGCGCAGGCGGTCGCGGAGAGCCTCCTCGCGAGCCGGGCGGCAAAGACCGCAGGGACCGATTCCGCGTCGCTGCATAGCAAGACGTCCGAGCCAGCGCTGAGTGCGGCGGCGGCGAAACCGCGCTCGCGCGTGCTGTCGCTGTCGCTGAGGCGCCGCCCGGTCAGCGTGGTGTCCACCGCGAGTGCGCCGACCGCGCAGGCACTCGCCGACGCCATCGCGACGGGGATGCCGCCTGCAGCTGGGGCTGAAACCAAGCCGATGAGCGGGCAGGAGTTCCCGATGACGCCGCCGCCGTCGGAGCCGCGGACGTCGGTGGAACGCGAGGCGGACGTGAAGAGCGTGACGTCGACCGAGTCGGGCGCGATGTCTGGCCAGGAAGCGAGCCCCGCGGCGGGCGCGGGTGTGAAGAAGCGGACGCGGGTGTTGAGCTTGAAGCGGCCGGGAGGTATACTCAGGCGGCAGGGTAGCGTGGCGAGCGTGTCGAGCGGGAGCAAGAGCCATAATGGTGAGTTTGTCCTGGTGGTCTGGATTGGATGGTCGTTGACGGGATGTGTTTGCAGACGAGCCGATGACGATCAACCCGAGTTATGTGCAGAGTCAGGTGCGTGGAACTGTTGTGCTGATGGAGGAGAACTAACGTGCATGGTTGCTAGCTTGACGAGGCGCGCGCGTCGCTGCGGAACAAGGAGGGCGAGGTCGCGGTGCTCGAGCACGAACGTGAGGCTATGCGCCGCGAGCTGGAAGAAGCGCGGGACGAGATGAAGAGCCTGCAGGAGGCGATTGAGGAGAAGCGCGAGGAGCTCGGGTCATTAGAGGAGGTTCATACCGCGCTGGCTATCCGGGAAGAGGTAAGCGGGTTCTGAGTCTCGGCGAGTTCGAACAAAGCTAACTGACGTCGTGGTGGCAGCTCAAGCAAGCGAAGGAAGCAGCCAACGTGCAAGACGAGCTCGTCGGCTTCTTGCAAAGCAGACTCGCAGAGGTGGAGCTCTCCGCGGAAGCTGAGAGGCTCGCGAAGCAGCAGTCGGACGACCGTGCGGCCGCGAGTGAGGCGGACTGCGCCGCGCTCAGGGAGCACAGGGTCCGCCTCGAGGCGGAGATGAACAAGAAGGAGAGGGAGCTCGGCGAAGCGCAGACGCGGAACAGCCAGATCCTCGCACGCGTCGCTGAGTTGGACGCGCACAAACGCGAGCGCGCCGCAAAGGTGGCGGAGCTGGAGGGGGCCCTGCGCGAGGCACGGGATGGCCGTACGCGCGCGGAGGACAGCCTACATGAGGCCCTAGAGCGGGTGGCTGCCCTGGAGGAGGAGCGGGCGCAGTCGGCGGCGCATGAGGAGACGATGAAGCTCGTGGAGGAGGAGCGGCGGGAGCTCCTGGCGAGGCTCAATGCAGCGCAGGCGCAGGGACAGAACGGGTTTGCGACGGCAGCAGCGCCGCCGCGGGCACCCAGGAGGCATGCCGCGCCGAGGCGGAACTCGTGGGCATCGATATGGGTACGTCTCGTCGCCCCCCGCGATCGTCTGCGCAAGGCGCTCACGGGCCTGCTCGCTCGACAGACGAACCCGTACGTCGAGATCCTCGGCGTCGTGGCGGCGGTGCTGGGGACGCGCGCGCTGCTGTGGTGGGTAGGCCACCTGGACCTGCGCGAGCTGTTCAGCGTGACGTCGTGCGATGCGGGGGCGTTCGCGCACGGGTGCTTGCGCGCGATCGGGTCGCCGTCTCCTTCGTGATTGATCAGTAACTTATCCTATTTGCTCTTCGACCTTCGACCTTCTGCATGTGCTTGATCTTTTGGTGTTCCTTTCTCGTTCTGCCACTGGTGGCAGCCGTCATGCTGAAGTGTAGGCTCTCAGGATGTACAAGTGATGTGTAGTCTCCGCAACCTGTATACAGTACTATGCCGCCCTTATCCGTCGCTCGTATGCAGTATGCTTTTATGACAACGGAGGGTTGTGCAGCACCGATCTCATGCCGGTTCCGAAGCGCATCATTTATAACAGAGGTACTGTCTAGATGCGAACGCCAGCTCGAACTGCCCAGGAGAATTGCTGGCGAGTGGATGCTTGGGAGACCATTAGGCAAGGTGTGTGATACAATAAATACTCCTCAGAATGTAGTTGACGTGGAGTGTTTGAACGTTGATGGCCCACATACGGTCGTCTCGGGGCTGCGCGACTACCACATGAATCACATACGTTTGACATTACGCATGTCCATACTACTGTCGAACATATACGGTACATGATCTACTAAGTTTGAATAATCGGTTGGCAAACAACGGCGATCGTACATAGACACAGACAGACAAAACAAAGTGATACGATACTTACGAGTACACACGGACGTCGGATATCCGAGTTGACAACCCAGTCCTCGACGCGAAAAGCGGCCATTCAACCTCAGTCATCGACGTTCTCAACTATCGAGCCCAACAACGGGGCGGTCGAGACAGACACGCTGCTGATGTCGCTCCTAATGCGCTTCTTAGGTCTGTCGTCCACAGAACTGTCCGCAGACCTCTTGACGGACTCCCTTGAATCCCAACTCTGTTGATCCATGGACGTCTCGAAGTGGGCGAAGTTGTCCCCGATCTTTTGATCGGCAGTCCACGGGCCTTCCTCGGGGCGCAGCACGTTCTCGAACGCCATCTTGATCTCCTTATGGTCCTCAAGAACTGAGATCGCTGGGGTCGCTTGCACCACTGGTTGTAGTCGAGATGTGGTCAGCCCCTTAGCCGGAATCGGAATGAGATCGAGCTCCGAGTCGACTTCCTCCGAAACGACGGAGGGCGCCACGGAAGGTGCGACGTCCGGGTGTAATGTCGGCAGCTTAGGCTCCAGCGACTTGTAGTGTGACCCGTAGAGCACCGCGAGATCAGCTAAGAGCCTGTGCAGACCAGGCGTGGAACGGCCAGCAGATCCTCCGACGAGTTTGAACGGTACCGTTCCTGCTTGCATCATCGTCAGCTTGGCTTTACCGCCAACCGAAGTACCATCGGGTGACACATATGATGCATCGTAGACTCCGCTGACGTAGTCGTGCAACTGCTTCTTGTTCGTCGAATAATCCGTCATGTGGAATCGCAGACACATCCAATGCAGGACGTGGATGAACGACTCGATGTCGTGCCACACGGTGTGCGCAAAGTGTCCCGGGAATGCCAGCAAGACTGCGGAGATGAACTGCCATGTGCCCTAGTACACAAAATCAGCCAAATGTACCGTCGTTCAGGCCCTTACAGAGACTCACTGAACGGGTCTTCAACACACTCCGCATTCCTAACTCATCCTTGTACTTGCACAAACCCCAGTCGACCAATATACCGATCCATCCTACAACCTTGCCGTCACGGATAACACAGCGTAGCAGCAGGTTACCGCTGCTGATGTCGCGGTGCAAGACACCGGCCTTTTCCCAGGCATCTTGATGTGCTGGAAGAACAGATGAGCATCTGCCCAGAGCAATCATGAAGTGAACGGTCGACGAACCTGTCAAACAGCAGTACGTGGCGCGTACTAACTCGCGAGAAGTCTCGTATTCTTTCAGCGGTTTACCGATCTCCAGCAAGATTATACGATATTGGATGAGCTTGGGCGGCGAGCCTTCGAGGAAGGCTTGCGCACGAGTAGAACGAGCTTCGCCGGTCGCACCGCAAACGTCGCCGGCAGCGATCGGGGTTGCTATGTACTGCACCCCGTGTTTTTGCAACTCCAGGTAAACCTCTCCCTCCGGATGGTAGGTCGGCTCGTCCACGCGCCAATACTCCTTGAAGAAGACCAGTCGATGTTCGGCGACGTCATACGCGATGTATCCCCTTGTTCCTCCTCCGGTGGGCGAGCTACTCATGAAGTACGGCTTCCCGACGAGGAACTTTCGCTCAGGCTTGGGGCCGTTGTCCGACTGAGAAACGCCCCGCTGCGCTTTTACGCCCGTCTTGAGCTCATCTGCCGAGATTATGTCTTCGTCCGGAACGGAAACCTTGTAGATAGGCCAGCCTGGTGCTAACGTGGCCTTGAACTGGGTCCTGTGCCAGTCAGAGTCGAACCTATCGTGGCTGTGCATCAGCTCAACCTCGTCCTCGGTCGCCCGAGTGACCGTCGGGTCGCCGCCTCTCTGGATGACATCCATACAGGCGAACCGATAGAAGAAGTTCTGTAAGAAGCGCGGCTGCTGCACAAAGTTGAACGGCTCCGAAACAATGACCCCCGCCCGGTCCCAGTAGAGTAGCCATGCATAGTCACGGCAGGTGAAGACCGTGAACAGACAGGATAGGAACTGTCTTCGCAGGATCTTGTAAACGTACTGACACATCTGCCCCATTGTCTGCTGACTGCTGATGGCATCTTGACGGAGGGAAGACGGTGTGGCTGTGTTGTTCGGTTCTGGAGTAGCAGGAGTGAACGTCGTCGACGCTGCTGAGGCGGTCTCAGCCGTCGCCCGACCTGATGATCCCGGCTCTGCCTCATCAGGCGTCGCTGCCGTGCGTGCTTCAGTCTTCTCGGCCCTACCAGTCTTCATCGCTGGCGGCACCACAAACGGAGAGTCGTTGGCGGCGGCCTTCGCTTCGATAAAGAGGCTTGCCCATAGCCACGATGTCCTAGCTTCCTTCTCTTCACAGTGCTTGATTCTCTGCTCCGACTTTCCTTTGAGCGCTGACGCCTCGATCGTATATGCGCGCTTCGCGTCGTCGTGTTCGGGATAGACAGTTACGTCAGGGTTCGTGTTCTCCTCAAAGTCGGGCGTGTCGGTAGGGTCAGGCCAGCGATGTGTGTTCTTCGCTACCAGCCTCGGGATACCGTCTCTGACGGGGACGTGGTCGAAGACCGAGTTTGCCACCTTGCACTGTCGGAAAGAAATCAGCCCACCAAGATTCTGCACCATCCGGTGAAAATACTGACCAACTCGTCATACATGGGCCACTCTTTACCCTCAAAGCAAACGGGGTCGAATGTGTCCACGACGACATCGGGGGAATGTCCGCTCCGTGCACGAACACTTGGATGAACGTCTCCAGGCTGACTTGTGCGATCTTGCGTTCCATCTCAAAGGCCTAACCCTTACGAACCTTGAGCGCTTGAGCATACACTCGAGCCACACCAGTCTCTGTCGCAGAGCTAGTAATATTGGAAGCCAAGCTTGAGCGAAGCCACAGCGAACCAACGGTTACCAGCCACCGATCGCGATCACGTGCGGTCATTGTTGCACGGGCACCGACTGCGCGCAGTGCGCACCGCTGTGCTCCGCTGTGTCACCGTTGTCTCTCAGCCCACACTGTCGCGCTTCCGTCAAGTTGCGCAGATGCTTCATGACCTCTTCTGGGATGGAACTAGGGAACTTGTCCTCATCTCTTTTTCCTTTCCCGCTGTGGAAACGCAGCTGGTGAAGGTGATGCCCTCCGAGTCAGGCTCATTAGACTGAGACTGTGACCCGATAGGACCCGATGTGTGCGGTGCCATGAAACAGACGCTGCCTACGCTTACAGGGACCATTCAGCACTCTGGCTTCCCGCAGGATTCCAATGTGGTGCGTAGCTGTGTGACTATCCTCGAGAACTTGTGGGCGCATGATCATGATGGGCCGCACATGCACCTGCGGAGACTATTTTCCTGTCATTGGCAGACAACTACATGTGCATGAACGAGCACCTGAGCGCAGTATGCGATTCCATTCTGCTTTTGTTGTCGTGAGTCGGGCGGAGAGGACCGCAGGATTCCATTCGGCATCGCGAGGCAGCGCAGGGTGCGGCGGCAGCGGTGGAACCGCGCTCACGCTTGCTTTCGATGTCGTTGAGGCGCCTTCCGGTCAGCGTGGTATCCACCGCGATCGCGACGGGGATGCCGCCTGCAACTTCGGCTGAAACGAAGCCGGCGAACGAGCAGACGTTCCCGGTGATGCCGCCGCCGTCGGACCCACGGACGTCGGTGGAACGCGAGGCGGACATGAAGAGCGTGACGTCGATCGAGTCGCGCGCGATGTCTGGACAGGAAGCGGGCCCCGCGGCGGGTGCGGGCGTGAAGAAGCGGCCGGGGGATATACTCAGGCGGCAGGGTAGCGTGGCGAGCGTCGAGTAGGAGTAAGAGCCATAATGGTGAGTCCGTCCTGGTGGTCTGGATTGGATGGCCGTTGACGGGTTCTGTTCGTAGAGGAGCCGATGACCCGACTTACGTGCAGAGCCAGGTGTGTTGTGTTGCATCGTGCTCTGAAAGTACGTTTGGACTGACATGGGGGGATTCCAGCTTGGCGAAGCCCGCGCGTCGCTAAGGAGCAAGGAGCAAGGAGGACGAAGTTGCGATGCTCGAGCACGAGCGTGAGGCTATGCCGTGCAGCTGAAAGAAGCGCGGGGCGGGATGAAGAGGGGATTGAGGAGAAGCGCAAATACCGCGCTGGCTATCCAGGAGGAGGTACGCGGGTTCTGCCAGGTCTCAGCGCATTGAAAAATGCTAAGTGACGTCGTGGTGGCAGCTCAAGCAAGCGAAGGGTGCGGCCAACGTGCAAGACGAGCTGGTCGGCTTCCTGCAAGGCAAACTCGCGGAGGTGGAGCTTTTCGCGGATGCTGAGAGGCTCGTGAAGCAGCAGTCGGACGACCGTGCGGCCGTGAGTGAGGCGGAATGCGCCCCGCTCAGGGAGTAGACGGCCCGGCTCGAGGCGGAGATGAGCAAGAAGACGGAGCTCGGCGACGTGTAGACGCGGAACAGCCAGATCCTCGCACGCGTCGCTCAATTGGACGCGCAGAAGCGCGAGTGCGCTGCGACGGTGGCGGAGCTGGAGGGAGCCCTGTGCGAGGCACGGGATGGTCGTATGCGCGCGGAGGACACAGTCGCGGCGCATGAGGAAACGATGAAACTCGTGAAGGAGGAGCGTCGGGAGCTCCTGGCGAGGCTCAATGTAGCGCAGGCACAGTGACAGAACGGGTCTGCGACGGTGCTGGAAGCAGCGCCGCCGCGGGCACCCAGGAGGCATGCCGCGCCGAGGCGGAACTCGTGGGCATCGATATGGGTACGTCTCGTCCCCCCCCCCCTCGCGATCGTCTGCGCAAGGCGCTCACGAGCCTGCTCGCTCGACAGACGAACCCGTACGTCGAGATCCTCGGGGTGGTGGCGGCGGTGCTGGGGACGCGCGCGCTGCTGTGGTGGGTCGGCCACCTGGACCTGCGGGAGCTGTTCAGCGTGACGTCCTGCGATGCGGGGGCGTTCGCGCACGGGTGCTTGCGCGCGATTGGGTCGCCGTCTCCTTCGTGATTTTTTTTTTTTTTGGAGGGCCATTACGGACGTCTGCAGGTGACAATTGGTCATCCCAGAACGCCCAGTCTCCTTCGTGATTGATCAGTAACTTATACTATTTGCTCTTCGACCTTCAACCTTCTGCATGTGCTTGATCTTTTGATATTCCTTTCTCGTTCTGCTACGGGTGGCAGCCGTCATGTGTAGGCTCTCAGGATGTACAAAGTGATGTGGTCTCCGCAACTTCAATGTATACCTAGTATTATGCAGCCCTTGTACCGTCCCTCGTATGCAGTATGCGTTTATGATCGCTGAGGTTGTGATGCGCCGATCTCAAGCCGCGTCGAGGCACATATGCTTCCGCACAGGTACTGTCTACAAGTGGACATCGTAGGACTCGGGAAAGCGTGAGTGATACCTGCCAGTAGTTGATGTAGAGCGTTTTGAGGGTTCGAGGCTCAGACTAGCCGTGCCTGCATCTCGGAGCTGCTGCGACTATCACAGTACACATGAACCACACACATTTGACATTACGAACGTCCATGCTGCCGAACGTATACGGTACACGGTCTACTAACAAGAATGGCAATCCTACGTATCCACAGACAGATGAACAACTGCTACGATACTTACGAGTACATACGGTCGTCGGATATCAGCGCCGACAAATCAGTCCCCTATGCGATAGGCGGCCCCGTTCGACCTCAGCCTTCGACGTTCTCAGCTATCGAGCCCAACAACGAAGTGGACGACACGGGCACGCTGCTAGTGTCACTCCTGATGCGCTTGTCGGGTCTGTCGTCCACAGAATTGTCCGCAGACCTCTTGACAGACTCCCTTGACAGCCTGCTCTGTAGATCCATGGACGTGTTGAAGTAGGCGAAGTTGTCCCCGGTCTTGTCATCGTATGTCCACGGGCCTCCCTGGGGGCGCAGCACGTCCTCGAATACCATTTTCATCTCCTTGTGGTCCTCGAGAACTGAATTCGCTGGGATTTCTTGCACTTCTGGTTGTAGTCGAGATGTGGTCAACCTCTTATCCGGAATCGGAATGAGATCGAGCCCCGGGTCGAGTTCCTCCGAAACGACGGAGGGCGCCACGGAGGATGCGACGTACGGGTGCGACGCCGGTAGCCGAGGTTTCAGCCACTTGTAGTGCGACTTGTAAAGCTCCGCGAGTTCAGTCAAGAGGCAGTGCAAACCCGGCGTTGACCGGTCAGCAGATCCTCCGACGAGTTCGAACGGCACCGTTCCTGCTCGCATCATCATCAGCTTCTCTTCTCCGCCAACAGAAGTACCATCGGGTGACGGAAATGATGCGTCGTAGACTGCGCTGACGTGTTTGTGCAACATCTTCGTGTTCCTCGAAAAGTTCGTGACGTGGAATCGCAGACACATCCAGTGAAGGACGTGAATGAATGACTCGAGATCGTGCCACACTGCGTGCGCAAAGTGTCCTGGGAATGCCAGCAAGACTGCGGAGATGAACTGCCATGTGCCCTACACAAAATCAGCAAAATGTACAGTCATTAACGCCCTCACAGAGACTCACTGAACGGGTCTTCAGCACACTCCGTTTTAGTAACTCCTCCTTGTACTTGCACAAACCCCAGTCGACCAATATACCGATCCATCCCACAATCTTGCCATCGCGGATAACACACAATATCAGCAGATTCTCGCTGCTTATGTCACGGTGCAGGACTTGGGCGTTTTCCCAGGCTTGTTCATGCGCTGACAGAACGGATGAGCATCTGCCCAGACCAGATATGAAGTCAGCGCTCGACGAACCTGTCAAACAGCAGTACATAGCGGCCGCTAACTCGCGAGAAGTCCTGTATTCTTTGAGCGGTTTACCGATCTGTTCCAAGAAGATGCGATACTGGATGAGCTTGGGCGGCGAGTCTTCGAGGAAGTCTTGCGTGCGAGTAGAACGAGCTTCGCCGGGCGCATCGCAAACGTCGCCCGCGGCGATTGGGGTCGCTATGAACTGCACGTTATTTTTATGCAATCGCAGGTACACATCCCCTTCCGGATGATAGGTCGGCTCGTCCACGCGCCAACACTCCTTGAAGAAGACCAATCGATGTTCGGCGACGTCATACGCGATATATCCCCTCGTTCCTCCTCCGGTGGGCGAGCTACTCATGAAGTACGGCTTCCCGACGAGGAACTTCCGCTTAGGCTTGCCTCCGTTGTCTCGCCGCACTTTCTCGCCCGTCTTGAGCTCATCCTCCGAGATCATGTCTTCTTCAGGAACGGAGACCTCGTAGATCGGCCAGCCCGGTGCCAACGAACCCTTAAACTGGGCCTCGTGCCAGTCAGTGTCGAACTTCTTGTGGCTGCGCATCAGCTCAACGTCCTCCTCGGTCGCCCGCGTCACCGTCGGGTCGAAGCCTCTCTGCATGTCGGTCATACAGGCGAACCGATAGAAGAAGTTGTGGAAGAGGCGTGGCTGCTGCACGAAGTTGAACGGCTCCGAAACAACCAACCCCGCGCGGTCCCAGTAGAGTAGCCACGCATGGTCACGACAGGTAAATACCGTGAACAGGCAGGATAGGAACTGCCTTCGCAGGATCTTCGAGACTTGCTGACACATCTGGCCCATTGTCTGCTTAGCGCCCTTGTTGTCCAGACGCAGGAAAGACGGCGCGGCGGTGCTGCTCGCCCCCGGAGCAGCGGGGCCCGGGGTAGAAGCCGACGATGCTGCTTGGACAGTCCCAGAGACAGTCGCCGACGGGGTAGAAACCTTCGCCCGGCCTGATCGTCCCGACCCTGCTTCGTCAGGCGTAGCTCCCGTACGTGCTCCGGTCTTCCCGGCCCTACCACTCTTCTTGGCTGCCGGCACCTCGAACGGAGAGTCGGTTGTGTGAACCTTCGCTTCGATACAAAGGCTTGCCCACAACCACGACGTCCTAGCCTCCTTCTCTCGACAGTGTTGTTTTCTATTATCCGACTTCCCCCTGAGTGCTGACGCCTCGATCGTATATGCGCGCTTCGCGTCGTCGTGTTCGGGATAGACAGTTACGTCAGGCTTCGTGTTCTCCTCGTAGTCACCCTTGTCCGTAGGATCGGGCCAGACGCTCGTGTTCTTCGCTACCAGCCTCGGGACACCGGCTTTGATGGGGACGTGGTCGAAGACCGAGTTCGCCACCTTGCACTGCCAACAACAATCAGTCCGCCATGATCCTACGCCATCCGGTGAAAACACTGACCAGCTCGTCGTACATGGGTTCCTCTGTACCCTTGAATTGAACGGGGTCGAAATCCTCCACGACGGTATCGGAGGGAAGGTCGGCTCCGGGCACGAACGTCTGCATGAACGTCTCCAGGCTGACTTGTACGATCTTGCGCTCCATCTCGAAGGCGTTCTCACGACGAATTTTGGGCATATACTCGGTGCCCCGAGTTGGATGTAAGGAGTTGGAATGTGCAGTGGATGGTTTGTGGGCAACAGGTGTGGACTTCGACCCGTCAGCCAAACGCGACACGTTGGACGGGTTCTTTGGCGGCGTTACAGGTCTGGCGTCTACTTGCGTCCCTCCACCTTCGACACCGGTCCCTGGAGCGGCTGGTCGTGTAACGAGAGATACTGCTGGGGCGTCCGAGACGACGAAAGGTGCAGGCTCGAATGCGGAGCCGTCAAGATGCGGGGCTTGGTCTGATGTATCGCTGGCACGCGATGCTGCGTCTAGATCGGTCTCGTCGTCTTCTTCTTGTTCGCCTACGATGCCTTCGCTGCCGCTGGCGTAGTCTGACTCCTCGGGGATGTCGCCGGGAGAGCTGTAGCCTGCGTCCGAGAAATACGGGGTCGAGGGGGATGAGTGCAGCGGTGCGAATCCCGGGGAGGGTGATCGCGAGCCGGCGTCACTAGACTCGTAGTCAGAAATCGCGAGCGGGGACATTCTGCCAGTGCGCGGACGTACCGAGTCTGACGGCGAGACGGGGATATTTAAGCAGGGTACCGGTGGCCCACGCGGTGCTCTGCGGGGTTTGAACTGTCAGCTGCGAGGCAACGCAGCAAATTACCAAATATAGGCGTGTGCTTGTTCCCAATTCGTGGAACAATGGAACAATGCAGGACCCACAGGGCGGCAAGCCACGCGCAAGCCACATCGAACCAACCACGATCACGATCACGTGCTGCCATTGTGGCGCAGGCGCTGCGGACCTCCGAAGCCCTTAGCGCTCAGCGACGAGCCCTAGGCCTGGCCCAGTACGATCTAAATTGACCACGCGAACGTTACCGCCTACTAGTATATTATCACTGCAGGCCATCAGCTCTATTCTTGAGAGACTGTCATCGGTACTACACTTCATACGACTCAAGCAGAATACCGCGCGCCTCTGGACGGTGCCAGAGGAGTTCGCAGATTAATTCACAGCCGTACAGGGTCCACATCGAGGTATAGTGCCATCTAGGCTGAGAGATCATGCGTGCATGACTCGGAGGCGTCCTCGGGAACTGCCTCAGTCTGTATCTCAGAGGATGATGGCTTGACGAGGTTCTTGAATACATCGAGGACGATTGGGAGGCATACCCACCAGGCTTCCGCCGGCCGTTGAATCGATGCCACGGTGCCGCGCTCAGCTCATACTATCTTCTCCCATAAATCTCTGGTCTTCTCGGGGCATGCTCTACGTCATTCGCTCATCAAGGCCAACTCCACCTGCACATATAAGAGTCGTGTGTGCGAGCTGCTTGGCTGGCCCTAAGTTACCGCCGACATCTATTGCTCTGACTGGGCCCTTGCAGAATATTGACAAATCAACCACGACTTTCAGATGTCTACCGTCGACTTGCCGTGCAATGTGAGCACTTCCCAAGGCAACGTACAGGAAATTACGGGTTTAACAAGCCAGGCGGAGCGTCCCATAGTCGCGGCTCAGCGCAGCGCTCAGCACTCAGTCTACGGCCTGCGATCGGACGTGGAAGATGGATGACAAGGAAACAGTAGCATTGCGAACACAAACTGATACTACCGTTTGCGATGCCTAGGGCTTCTGTGAGTATATACATCGCACGCAGTCCGTGGTTTGGCCTGTCTAACCGCCTATCGTCTTAAGACCCAGGAATGAAGGCGAAAGGTCTGCGCCGGCACTTGCTGTCACCGTAGTTGGGTCCGCAAATGGCAGTGGTACGAGGGTAAGTATGCCATGCGTTGAAGTCGTCTGAAAACTCGCCTCCTGCGCCGAGTCAGGTATCGCGAACGGAGAATCGACCTTTGCATGTAGCAACAGGGACGCCCAGAGCCACGCAGCCCTTGCTTCAGTTGCCTCGCAGCGTTTCCTCTTGCGTGGCCGCCTCTGATTAGGCATCGCTGCCTCGACTGTATACGCCTTGATTGCGTCCTCGTTGATGGGATAGACGATCACGCCAGGAGACGTTCTTGCCTTAGCATCAGTTTCGCATTTAAGATCAACCCAGCGGTGCGTGTCCTTGGCTACAAGCCTCTGACCGCCTGCCTCGTCGGGGACGCGGTTCCGCCTTACACTTCGAACGATCGTCAGCCCATTCAGCTTATGCCTCGTTGCCCTCTCACTTACCAGTTCGCCATACACCGTGCTGTCTTTACTGATGGCTTTTGTCGTGGAAAACCCTTCGTGCCGGAGTTACCTGCACTACAGAGTGTCTTGATTGTTATGACATTTCGATGCCGGTGGAGAGTCCTGAGCAACGTTAACAGATGAAGAACGGCGAACGCGCGCTACGCGTCGTGACTTATCACGTGGCCGTGCACGTCAGGGCGCCTACTCATGTCCAGTGGCAGTGGCGAGTCTGACGAACGCTTCCTCACCCACCTCCATTGTCGCTGCGCCTGGACTTTGTTGGAGGCTCTAGAGACTGTTTTCCGTACCAAACACAAATATCGGACCCAAGCAACAGTTGCAATTCTGCCTCACTGGTATGGCGGAGTCAGCAGACTGCCGGATCCTCGTCATCTCCCCGAACGCGGAACAAGCGCGGCACTTCATACAACGTATGTCCTTCCTGCGGTTTTCAACTGCGCATGAAAGCGAGGAACGTTCCAGGGGTTCAGGGGCTCTCTGGAAGTAGCACACAGACTGTCCCGTCACCTTCGGAAAGAACGGACAATGTCTTTCCTTGGACCATCGTGAACAGGTACTACACTGCCGACGTGCACTTTCAGATAAGGGCATTCAGTGAGTTCCGGATACCTCACGCGGATGGTGTTCCGGCAGTTGTGTACGTTTGGGAACGTGGACAGGTGTGTCGACGGATTTTTTCTCCAGCTTCGGTCATCTAACACACCCACAGTCATACAGGGACCACATCGAAGACATAGCGTCTAGGCTACGAGATCATGACCCGGAGGTGTCCTTGGCGGTTCGTTTCTCGGGAGACGCCCCGTCCAGTGTCTCAGAGGAGGACGGCTTGGACGAGTTTCTTTCGTCGCATGGATTTGAGTACATCGAGGGCGATCGAGAACCGCGCCGACCGACACACGATGAGGACAAGCATACGGCAGACGACGACACTGGTGGGTTTCAGCGCCTGACTTGAGGACGTTCACGCTCAATCTCCGCGTCCTCCTATTTCAGGGATCCCCGGTCTTTCGCGTGTGCTCGACGCCCTGAGTACCATCATGTGGCCTTCGCTCGTCCAATCCGAGTCTACCCGCACACGCAAGAGTCGTGCGCGCGAACTGCTCGACTGGGCGCGAGACGAGGAAGGCGACGACGGCTTGCGCGCTCTCATCCCAGGCTCTGCCTCAGCAGGCGACATATCATTCTCCTCTGACGCTGACGTCGATGGCCCGGAGCCCAGGAAAAGCCGAATGCAGCGCGAGATGGAGGAGCTCGAGCGGTGGCTTGCGGACGAGGATAGGGAGCGCCAAGCAGCTGACGCGCAGGCATGGATAGCCGTCGAGCGCGATGTGCCGCTGCAGTCTTCAGCATGGCAAGATATGCCGACACCGAGCATCCGTACACCGACGGCAGAGACGCTTACGCTCGGGTTCGACGATGACTTCACGGAGTTTGTGTCCGCTCCTTCGCCTGCCGTCTCTGCACGGTCACATCACTCTGGACTTGACGTCGACCACCTGATACCCCAGCATACGGGCGCATCATATCGCTCGCTCGCGTCCGTATCAGATTTCGGTGGCGAAGGTGAACACATGTTTGTCCCGGACATAGACGAATCGGCCATTTCAAAGCCAACCGAAGATGACCCAGACCTCCCTTCCCGCGCAGAGGTCCTAGCAACGTCGCGTAGGATCTTCGGTACGGAGCGACCTGCGCCTTCCCCGCCAACCTCTGCTCCTCCGATGTCCTCGCACGTTACGGACGAATCGCACTCGTCTGACCACGATGACGATGATGACTTCGGGATGTCTGCGTTCGACTTACCGCGGGTCCTGAGCGCTCTCCAGGGCATGAAAGAGGAGATCGCGGGTATGACAGATGATGCGGAGCGGAGGAAGGCTGCGGCCAGGGTTGCTCTGGGGCTTGTCTACGGCCTGCAATTGGACGGTGCGGATGATTGAAATCAATGGTGACGAGGATAGAGTGACGTTGCGCGTAGCGTTTGTAGTACATGCGCTCGATGTGGTACGTTCGAGCTGAAGCTTAAAGCTTGAGGGATCCCATGCGGTTCATGACCATAAGTTACAGTACCATGGCCATGTATTCCTTATTCACACGTGCGCCTGGCCCTAATCCGCAAGATTGCAAACTTCAGTCAGGCATTCGTGACGACTGCTCAACACAGGCACTCACTCAAACATTCGGCAATCCGACATCTGTGCAGAGAAGCGGTAATGGCCTAGCATACCATGGCATACAGGCCCGTCAATATGGTCAAAATGAGAACACGGTCACTCCCTGGCGGCATGGGGCGAACCCACTTGCAACGCATACACGCATAACTATGTTTGTCATTTACCAATGACTTCTCGCCGGCTACCACGAGTCTAGCAGCCACCTTGGAGGCACTACTTACTCTGAGTCCCGTTGGACGATGCTTGTTCAATCCGCAATGTCTGAAAGGGCTCTCAAATCCATATATTTAATTCAGGCAAAGCTATCTCGGAGAACTGTGCGGCCGTCTCTCCGCCTGGGCCGCGTAAAACTTTTGGACATAAGTCACTAGGGATCCGCGCCGCTCCTGAGACGGGAGGAGGAGGAGGAGGGTATTCCATTTAGTCACGACATCTAGACGCCTCGGCGTTTTCGATGTGTGACAGCGCTCACTAGGTACATGACTACCTCCAAACCCAACATACCCCTACTACCTAATCCTAAACTACCTAATCCGACTCCCACTATCGCATAATTACAATACTGTCCACCAGCGGGGGTGCCCGGTACGCACTGCGTATTCAAGTTCAAGGCACGTGCACGTGATATTCAATGTGGCCGCGCCGTTTCTCAACCAATCGCGGATCCTCGCAGTCGCACTTGAGCTTGAACTACTAGCTATACATATTCAAGATATTGTCCACTAGCAAAGGTCTGTAAGCTCGTCAACGGATTCTTCGTTCGTTAAGCAAAGCTCATACTCTGCCCCTCAGCGAATCTGACCTAATCTTGTCATGGCATCACCGTCTTCGATGAGACAGCTCTCTCCATGTCTCACGAGTCAGCCGGGCCTCAGGCTTCTTGGCACTGGCAGGATCTTTGCTCTCATCACCGGGGTCAACTCATACCAATACCCTTACGCTTTGCATGGTGCTGTCAATGATGCAGAAGCTATCGCAGACTATCTGAGGAAGAACTTCGTGGATTGCAAATGCAAGATGCTACTCGATGACCAGGCGACTCGAGCAGCAATTGAGGCTAATTTCTGCGACTTCCTAATCAACAATGATGACATTGGACAAGGGGATCCCATCATTTTCTACTTCGCCGGACACGGGAGTGAAATCTGCGAGGATTGTGATGATATCAAGCAAGCTATCTGCCCTCACGACTTCGACATCATGAACGAGGGTCCTACCAGTATCAAGCTAGATCAGATCAGAGAGTGGCTGCAATTCGTCGCTGCGAAGCGGGGTAACAACATCGTGCGTACCTTATGCGGGATCTTCAACTACAGTGGCCTCGCAGCTGATTACTTTGCGAATGTCAGGTTGTAATTCTCGACTGTTGCTATAATGCCCCGGCTAGTGCGATGAATTACCTTCGGGATCAGGCCGTAGTCCGTGTCCGTTGTATTCCATCGCGCACAGATGTTTCTCCGGAGACCCAGGAGCGCCATCTCAAGCAAGATAGACACCCTACATCGATGCGCGGGGGAGTCCCATACTTCCCATGGATCGACGCGTACGTCCTCATGCACGCTTGTCGCCGCTCCGAGCCTGCCATCGAGGAACCAAGCCCCCGGTGTCCTGGCACTCCGGCGCGTGGCGCCTTCACTTCTGCCCTGATAGAGCATTTGATCGATATTGATCAGAGAGAGGAACAGACGACGTACAAGCTGCTCGTATGTGGCTTGAGCGGTCTGCCTCAGGGACAGCATCCCTTCTGCGTGGGACTACACCGTGACCGCTATCTGTGGAGCATGGCAGTGGCCGAGGCGGACCGTCGCATTTGGCGAGCGATCTTAAAGGTCGATTATGACTCTTACTACCTGTATCACCCTGGATACAGCGGGATTCGAGTCGGAGATACCTTCAATGTCGTCAAGGATGGCTTCATTGGGCTCTCGAACATGTACGGCAAGCTCGTATCAATCAGTGAACAGCGATATGCACATGGCGAGGTCTGCATTTGCAAGGCGGTTGGTGCCGTTTTCGACATCCCCGAGGACGCCGTTGCTTGTCTCTCTGAGCGGAGCATCAAGACCACAGCGAAGTTGGGCCCCCGCTTGTGTACCGCACGAAACCGGAAGCCGTCAACCTGCGACTCAATGATCCTAGTCGACGAGGATCCGGAGGTGGAGGTGGAGGTGGAGAAGCACGGGCCGAGACTTGATTTGTCAATCACACGCAACGATACGTTCCTGGAAAAGTACGCACGCCGCAAAATAACCGTGAAAGTACTCGGTGACGAGACACTCAAGAAGGCTCTTGAGAACATTAGCCGATTCAACTACCATCTATATCGAACGCCACAAGTCGAGGAAAGCGGACGTCACTGGGATATCACTGTCAGATTGCAAAGATTCGAGAGAGAAAATCCTGACGTCGACTTGACGCTCGGCGACCCCTCCCCTACCAACACCTACTTCGCTAACGCAGAGATAGCTGTTCCAAGTAACCGGGCCCCTCAGGGCACAATGCAGCTCAAGGAGGGCAATTTCAAGTACCACTATCTCAATCGCTACGCCATCGAGCTGGAAAACAAATCAAAAGACGACTTGTATGTGTGGGTCTTCATGTTTGATCCCGAGAAGTATACGATCACGGTAAGTGCTTCAAGAATGCTTCGAGCTGGAGTCATCACTTACGGCAGACACAGACGTGCTACGGCGGTCCCGAGAGTGAGAATGACATGCCACCGCTCCGCGGTCTATCCCACACCCCGAGAAAGCGTATATTATCGATAGGAGCCTCAATGACGGAAGACGACCCGGCTGGAGAATTCTTCAAGCTTGACCTCGATGTTGAACGAACGACGGCCACGCATTTCCTCAAGATCTTTGCCTCAACTGAATATACGAATCTGAAAGCCATCTCACAGTCATTGCCGACTGAACAAGCATCCTCGACCGAACCACAGCAGACTCGTAGTCATACCTCGAAAACCGGATTTACGGATCTAAGAGCCATCTCGCGTCGGATATGGGATGGGTCGGTGTCGTTACGAAACGACTCGACCAGAGACCACCTTACGCCATCCTTGGAAGGAAGATGGCAGTCCTGGATGTATGCATTGAAAGTGGTTAATAGTCGATAGGATGCTTCGCCCTACGCACGATGAACGAGCCCGAGAGATCCGGTCAGAAGAGCAGGAGGACACTCAGTAGCTACCATCTGAAGCGCTTGCGGTGTCGGTAGGATGTAATCGAATGGTTAAACCCGTCATGGTGAAATACTGCCTACCCGAACCGTCACAGTCATGCGGGTACATAAGCCAGGACAGTACACATAGACAACACTGGAATGGCTGTCAAAAAAGAAGTCTCAAATTTGCCCTAAGCTGTGGGCGTATGATCCGAATGTTCCTCATGCCATTCGAAATAATACTGACACACGGCCGAGATGGCAGTCAAACTTGGACGTTCGTTCGCGTCGCCTTGATATGAATCGTAGCCTTACTCCGAGTCGCTCAGTCTGTCTCCCAAGAACGTAGAACTTGAGTGAATGTACTGCTACCGGTAGCCTTATGAATTGTTATACGCGGAGATTATCCAAGTCCTTCGATAAAGAGAGATGTGGCTGCTGCAGAGTTTGCTCTCACCCAACCGTGACTGAAAGAAAGCCTGCATCCTGTAAAACCGCATCAACACACCGAGATGGCGCAATTATTATCTTCAAACTGCTTACCACCAGTGATGTCATGAGCCTCTTCTCCTCTCCGCGTAAGCTCTCCCAGTCTATCTGCAACAGGTTGTCTTCTTCAGAGTCTTCACTCATGTACAGCAACATCGTCGTGAGACTGATGTGCAGCTTCGAGAGTGCAATGTGTACAATGAGTCGACTGTCACGGGGGTCAGCAAGGATATGAGTGAGGTAGCGTTCTGCTCCGACAACTTTGGAACGTACAGAAGCGAAGGCTTATAAATAGCAGTGTCAGGCTAATCCTTACAGAAGAGCTCAGCCACTCACCGAGTAGATGTACCAACACGCATTCAATGTCATCAGTGAATATCCGATAGAGTTGAGTACGGTGATGCCTAATTAGCTGTGTCTGCATACGGATGTCACACGTCAAGTGTATGATACGACGGACCTGTACAGAGCCAATGGCCCGTTCTTTCGTCTTCACTGAGGGCAGGTAGATGCCGCAAACCCTAGCCAAATGCAAATCCTCATTTAGCTGCGACACAGCCTGATTACAGGGTGGTACGTACCTTGAGTGAGATGACAAGCGACGTGCACACCATCGTTACGTGCCAGAACCATACACCCAGTGTTGTATACAGCAAGGGAATCCTTGCCGTGTTAGATGTCGAGCAGATCGCCGCAACGAAGATGATGCCAGAAGCTAAGAAGTGACGTTCAGCGGTAGTACTCGCCAGTATGTAAAGCAGCAACTACATACCTAGTAGAGGGACCTGGTGCAATGTAGTCTGCATGAACGATATATAATGGAGTCTCCCGCCTGCCAATTGAGAAGCCCGTTGCATGGCGCTTAGTTGCAGTAGTATGATAATGAGCGTCTGCAATAGTAGCATCCGCCATTAGTGCGTTGCGCTGGACGATTCCTGACAAGTGGTATACCTCAAGAAACAAGCCTTCTCGGTTCATTTGTATCACCACTCATGCTGTGTATGACTCGAGTACTCACAGGGAACGAAGTCTGATGCTCGTGTTAGTATTGCGTTTCGTATCAGCTGATCCTGCCACTTACACTGTCTGGCGGAGCTGGACACAGCTGCTACGGCTTCGTCCCATATCTTTATGAGAAATACGGACTCGCAGGAACAGGCTACTGCAAAGCCCAGAAAGAGAAGAAACGTCTGCGGGAGGGATTTACAGCGCGAGTCGTGAGCATCAAGCGGCGAACGTACATGGGTCCACCTCAACAAACGGCTTGCTCGCAAGGTACTTGCTCGTCATATAGTCAGTCAAGGGTACATGACGAGGTAATGTTGCACTCACGCGTGTTGAGGGGAGTCAGTGAGGTAGAGGCTAGCTCTACTGCCAACAGTGGCAGTCCATATCACGTTGAGAAAGAGAGCAGGTAATATAAGACCACTGATGTGGGAGCGCAACAGTCAATGGTCACAAAGTCGCATTGCGCGAACATACTGTCATTTTGAGAGACGCTCACATGATCGCGGAAGCCTGAGGCGCCACAAGGGAAACATTGACAAGAGAATCCATGGTGTCGGAAATGAATGACGAGTGCGAGGTCTTATGGAATGAGCGACGACGAGACAGCAGGTTTAGTAGCTATGTAGGAGGCTTGGACAACGCGGGCACGGACACAATTCCCGTTATAAGGCCCACCCTGTCAGCTACGAGGGCCGCTTCTATCCCGCCGTTGACGTTGGCAGCGCAAGTGAAGCCCGCACAATCGGCCGCGCATCCTCCAACGCTCCGAAATCGCAAGCCGGTGGAGGAAGCAGAGTCTTGATATAGTATCAGCTAGTCTCAAATGTACAGCATTACCTCGTATGGATAATGTTCTGTGGATGGCTCCCCCGAAGTCTTGCGAGTTGCTCGCTTCTGCCTCGGGTCATGCACCAGAACCGAGAGAGCAGTTATTATATGAGCGAGTAATGGCACTTCAAGCGAGCTGGATCTCGCAGAAGCAGATAACAAGACCATCAATGCAGTAGTCGCCAACCAACACTTACAGGCTGAGTATATAGGAACTGTGATCCGGCCTATCTGCGGCTACGATAGCTTGGAGCATGGTGGGCTTTACCCGGAGCTATGTAGTAGTATATAGCATGCCTTGATGCAAGCCAATCACAGCACTAACCACTATAATTCTTCAATATGAGGTTATATACAGACGCAGACTGACTGACAGTGTGATGAGCCCGAGTCGGAATCGCCAGCGCCTTCAGCAAAGACCAGGCTGTGGTTACATGGCGGCGGCGCCGGACATCACTGGCAACGCAGAACAGTGAAGATACGAGCTGCAGGGAGGAGCAAGCAGTATTCTTTTCCGAGAGGGTAGTGTGGTAGAACCGCGGCCGCCGCAGTGACTGATACACTAGATCGCATCATTACAAGACGCAGAAACAGCGAGGGTGCGGCGTGTGAGCGAGCCACGTGAAATGCAAGGCGTTCAGTAGGTTTTCCAAATTAAGCAAGCAGGATTTTCATCTCCCGTGTGGCTGCCGCCCAGCGCTACTAACACAATCGCCACACCGACTTTCAGGCTCTATACAATCACTCTTTGGGTCATTCTCTCTGTCTACAATGGCAAGGAAGCGTGGAACAGGCAAGGCAAAAGGCTCTCGGCCAAAACCGAGAGGAGTCAACCCGAAAGAGAGCAAGATCGCGAAATGGGACAAGCCGTTAGACATACCGCTGGACGAAGAGGACCAGTGTATGTGGCGAGTTTTATATTCTTTCGGACACAAGTTGATTTATTTGTCATTGCACGCGCAGTCCACACATCTCGCGACAAGATACTTGGGGGCGACGGCGAGGACGACGAGGACGAAGGCGACGAAGACGAGGTATTCGCGTTGAAGGGTATGTCTGAGGGCTCAGATGAAGACGAGAATGCAGACGAAGAGGACGTGGACGATCAGGATCACATAGGCGAGCTGAGCGGAGGTTCCAAGAGTGACCACAAAGCAAAAGGGAAGAAAGGCAAGGCTATGAAGTCTCCGTCAGCGTCTGGGGATGAGGAGGACGAGGAAGAAGAAGGTTGGGGGAAGAAGAAGGCCGCGTACTACTCGTCCAATGCTGCACAAATTGAGTCCGAAGACGAGGAGGCGAATGAATTGGAAGAGCAGGAGGCGAAGCGGTTGCAGGTCAAAGCCAGGGAGACCATGGCCGACGATGACTTCGGCTTGGGGGATCCAATAGAGACTGCAGCAGAAGCTGACGAGTGAGTGATGCATGCCCCGGTATATCCTACATCTCTGACATTGTATAGAATGATATTGGACGTCCCGCCGCCGGTCCTACAGTATTTACCGACAGACAAACAATCGTTAGTGAGGCATCTCGAGAAGAATAACCCAGAGGCTCTCGCACTTGCACGGGACTGGGACGATACAGCACACAAAGTAATGGAAACACAGTCAAAATTATCCTCGTATGTCATTCTATCCTGAGTTCGGTCTTCATTCTCACTCTCCTTACAGACTAGAAACGAGCGTTCCTGACGCTCTCAGCTCCGGCATGTCTCACTTATACTATCGTATGTCGTTCGGTATATTATCGTTTGGCGCCATGAGCTCACACGATTCAGAGGCATTGCTCACATATGCGACCACGGTTGCCTTTTATTTGCACCTACGGACAAGCGAGAAGTATGTGCAACGGCCTGACCTTCTCCGTACCCATCCCATTCTCCAAAGGCTCCTATCGCTCAAGCAAGCTATGTCTTCACTCGAAGATCTGAATCTCGCTCTCGATGAGGAGGACGAGGACGACAGCCTATCACACGACGACGATATGAAGGACGCCAAAGCACTCTGGTTGGAGGAGCAGCTCAGTAGTCTGGAACCTGACGAGTTGCGCGCCCTTCTCAAGGAAGCCGACTCACTGGCCAAGGACGCGCAAGGTGAATCCTCGGCGAAGCGAAGGTCTAAAGCCTCCAGCCAGAAGTCAGAGGAGCCTCCGAAAAAGAAGCGGAAAACAAGCAAAGCGTCCGGAGAGTCTAAACCCGCTACACCCGTGTTCGATCTCGTCGAGCCCGACATCGCGCAAAGCAAGCCTGTCGCTTCGAGCAGCCGCTCGGGTCCCTCGTCAACCGATGTCTACGGCGAGGCTACGTCCCTCCAGGCAGCCGATGCTGCCGACAAGCAAGCTCGGAAGAAGTCCCTGCGCTTCCATGCAGCGAGAATTGAAAACACGAACGCGCGAAGGCAGAATGCGCGCAGTAACGCCATGGGTGGAGACGACGATATACCGTACCGTGAACGGAAGAAGGCGAAGGAAGCTCGATTGGCGCGCGAGGTAGCGAAGGGCCGCGGTGAGGGCGGTGACGACCTCGATGACGCGGAGCCCGAGCCGAGGCGGCGAGATAAAAAGCGGGCCCGAGATGAGGACAGTGACTCCGACGGCGGTGACGGCGATGCCGATGGCTACTACGAGCTTGTCCAACGCAAGTCTAAGGAGAGGAAGGAGAAGAAGAAGGCGGAGTACGAAGCGGCCAAGGCGGCTGAGAGGTGAGCTCCGAAACTCAATCCCGTCTCCTGCTACATAAGCTTACTTCCCACTCAACGTAGGCCTGATATCGATGAGAGTGCTGACGGCCCTCGCGCCTTGACGCGGGCTATTCTCAAGAACAAGGGCTTGACTCCCCATCGCGGGAAGTCCGTTCGTAATCCTCGGGTCAAGAAACGGCAGAAGTACGAGAAAGCGAAGAAGAAGGTCTCCTCGCAGAAGGCCGTCTACAAGGGTGGTATCAGCGATACTGGGCACTACGACGGCGAAAAGTCGGGCATCTCGCGTGTGGTGAAGAGTGTCCGTCTGTAATGCTGTCAATGTCATAGCGGTCACGCAGACCTCGGGAGGGGTTACACGTTTTGTATCTACTGCGTAACGTACAGAACGCGCTTTGTTTTTGGATCAAGTACAGTAGATCGTGTCCTATACCACAATGATCTATGAGATGCAAGGTCCCAGGCAGACACTCGTACTACAGACATTACATATCCAACCTCACAGAACAGAACGTTGAGGTCGCTACATTCCATGACTACAATTCCATGAAGGTCCGTCCCCGTACCCACCGCTTACACAAGCCCTAGTCCGTTGGATGCAATGCTAAAACAAGGAAACGAAGGTGTCCGAATGCCGCACTGAGCGAGCTCACCCGACATACCCACCAAACATAGGTGGGTCCACAACCATCGCGTTGCTCGCTGGACCCATAGACGCGCCCATACCCCCGCCGGACCTGGGGTACACCGACATCATATGGTTCAGATCCAGCTCGCCCGCAATAGCCAGTGCGTACACGCGCCGCATCTCTGCAGCCTGCTCCGCGCACTCCTCGTACGCGTAGCCGTACTGTTCGAGGCCCTCGATACAGTTCTTGACCTCCGGCCGTCCGAGGCGCGCGAGAAGCATGCCCGCCTGGATGATGCTGACGTGCATGACCGCCGAGTCCAGCCTCTGCGAACGACCGAGCACGCCCATCAGCTCTCACTCACGCTTCCGGGGAAGCCCCCCTCTCGTAAAACGCACCAGATAGCCGTTCAACGTGAGGATGCCGGCCTGGGCAGGCGGAGGTTCGCGTGAGCTGCGGTGACGTACTCGGAGGCATGCCTAGACTCACCAGGCCCGCGATGCGCGTCGCGGATGCCAACGCGGTATCCAGAACCTTCTGCTTCTGCCCTTCGATCTCCATCGCCTTGGGGTGCAGGTGACCTGGGCTGCCCGTGCGCTGGAGGTCGTTGATCTCCCTGATCCCAAAGTCGTCCACCGCGCTGAACAGCACGATCCACATGATATGGTACGTCGCGTCGCTCGCACCTACAGCCGCCAAACGAACGCATCCTCAGCATACACAAGCGCTCACCTGCCTGAGGTACTCACAAGCCGTCACGGCGCTGACAAAGTCCCAGCCCGAGTCAAAATTGTTCGGCACGCCGACGTGCTGGAGGTACTCCTCGCGCCAGTCGCTCAGAAGGTTCATGAAGTTGTTCAGGATCTCGAGCGGGACCCCGTCGGACTCGGTCGCGGGGCGCCAGAGCTGGCGCGACATCTGGCGGGAGATCCGCGCGAGCGCATGCGACGCACGGTAGTACCCCTGCGGAGGATCGTCTCGATCAGTCCGCGGACGATACGAGCCCTGTAGGTCACTGACCAGAAACTGCAGCGCAGACGCGTGTCAATAATACTACTCTAGCGGGATGCATGTGGGGGCACGGCTTACCTCCAGCTGCTCACGGGGCGACGGCTGAGTCCCCTGGGTTTCGAGGTGCTCAGGCGCGACGGGACCCACAGTGTAGAAATCGATATCGTAATCGTCGTCGTCCCTGCAACACCGACGCCGCACAGTGCGCGGCTCATCAGCGACTCAAAATCACAACACCACCCCAACTGTATAGCAGGGGAAGCGCACGAGCACGACGGGAGCACTCACAGCATCGGCTTGCGCCTGTAGTACACGCTCCGATACGCGTCGGCGAGACAGGCCATCCACCACGCGAAGATCATCGTCCCACGGTCCTCTTGGTCCTGGATGTTCGACATGACCGACTTGTGGTTGATCTGTGTGAGTGGGCGCGTTAGCCGATGATCGAGGATCGGGCTTGCCGGGCGGGACGATCGTGACGTAAGAAGCGCGGGAGAAACAGCGGCTCCGAACGACGAAGGGTCCGACAGACGCACCTGGAGGTCGAGTAAAAGGCGGATGGCGGACATCAGCCAGAAGCCGTGATAACCTGCCAATACGCTGAATATGCATTGTTGGTGTCCATAGCAGCAGAATTGGCTCACCATCTGCGGCGTCCATGTTCTCTGGACAAAGTTCCAGAACGGTCAGCTGCGTTCGACTTCTCAACCAGAAGTCTGCTCGTACGATTCTGCATGGGCTCAATTAAGAGTGCAATCACAACGTGGTCCGCCGTTGGGATGCGGTGGACCTTCAAGTCCTCCGCCAGATCGCGCGCACGGTTGATTAGCGTTTTCGCGATATGGCTCTGGTTGCCATTCTGATTACGGTCTGCCATGAGTAGCGGGTGCTCCGAGAACTTGGCGCCCCATGCAATGACCGTCGCGACGAGCCTGAAAAACATACACACGGTTCAGCGCTCCGAGTACAACTCAGAGACATGGCTCGCAGGGACGCGGTCGGACAATGGAACGCACGCGGGATGGAGCGGTTTGTGCGCGTCATTCTGCGGCTGGGCGCTCTTGGATAGGAAGGACGCTGTCGACGACGCGGACGGTGGCGTGTGCGGCGAATGGCTGCGCGATTGCGGCGCGACGTACAGGCTGAAGTGCAGCCGCGCGCGGAACTGTGCAGGATTGAGCAGCGGGAGGCGCGTGTGCACGATCTGGAAGTAGACCTCGACCAGGTCCAGAGCGAGTCTGCGACGTAAGACGCACATGCGCACGTCCGTTAGCGAGTCTGATCTGGGGTGCGAAGGGAAGGGGGAAGGACGCAACTCGACGCGGAAAGATTCTTCGGATAGTCGGGGCGCCGCCTCGCCCCAGTCCGCGTACGCACCAGGAAGCCCCGCCGAGGCGTGATACGTCGAGCTGGAGCAGGCAAGACGTCAGCGCGGGGAACGTTCTGGGGTGAACATCTGGGGAAATGAAATGAACCTGGGGACCGGGGGCGAGAACAAATACGCGAGCAGTTCTCGCGTGGACGTGTGCGATGTGACGGGGTGATACTGCGGCCAGTATGTCTGAGACGGTCGGAGGGCGGTCGTGCTGGGGTAGTTGGGCGACGTCGGTGCGTGGCCGGGCGTAGGCTGCTCTATTACGGTGGGGCTATTCCGGGGCAATCACGGTGAGTGGGAATATGTCAGCGGTCGAGCGTACGTACCCCCGGGACGAACTCGCAGTCGGGCTGTTTGGCTCGTGCTCAAAATACCATAACGACCACTATCTGATTAGATATGCTTACATCTGGGCGGGGGTGGTGATGGTGCCGCTGAGAGCTCGGGGCCGCCTGGAGGCAGCGGCGCTGCGCTTCTTCTCGGTCGTCGCGGCTTGGACAAAATGCCTGCAGGGAGATCGTACCCAATTTAATGGTGAGGTATGCGCAGGTACAACGGACACTGACGTGCATGGATAATTCTTGGACAGACAGTGCTACAGTGGCGCTGGAGTCAGCGCTGGCGTCGTGGGAGCCGACGAGGAATTACCTGGCACTGAGGGAGATGTAAGGCGAGTCAGGGAAGAGGTAGGCTGAAGAGAGGAGGGGCGTGTACCTTGTCGAGGCCGGGGAGCTGGTTGCACTTTACTTTCCGTGCTCTGCGGAGATGTGCGAGGCGTTGAGCGCGCTGGTAGATGTACAAGGCGAACAAGCGGGCGCGGGGAGAAGCGTACCTGCAGGCATCACAGGCGGTGTTCTGCTTGCGGGGCGGGGGCAGGGTCTTTGCGAGTTCGTGGATCTGGTTCTGCATGGTGGTGCTCGTGAGTTTGAAGGCCCCTGGCGAGGGCGGGGTGAGCAGGCTGGCTGGGACGGCGGGTGCGGGGCTGGGTGGCCACCGACCTTGCGCGCCCGCACGCGAGGACTCTGGGGCGTGGCCGCTGTTGTCCATGGCGGGGGAGGAGGACTGTGCGTTTAGGGAGACGATGTCGCGTCGAATCCGGGGCTATGCGCCATCCAACCCACTCTCCTTACGATTTGCGGCGGAGCACACGGCCCAGATCAAATCTCGGTCCCGATTGCCCACGCGCCTCCGTCACGCCCTGCCATCGCCCAATAGCAACCAGCCGGTTCGTCGCAATTCCCTCATTTGGCCCGCTTTTTCCACGCATTTCCCAGTCATTTACGGCAGCCGTGACTCCTCCGTGACTCCCGCTGCCACCTCCCACGTGCCCGTGACGCGCGGCGCACCGGCCCAAATTTCGGAGGCAAAGGCGCCCGCCGTCACTGTCAGTGCACGTACACACACAGTCAGTCGCAGCCAGCAGCCAAGTCGCCCGCCATGGTCAAGGTAGAGATCGTCGAGGAAAAGGACAACCAGGAGACCAACTCCCCCTACGCGTCTTCCTCCTCCTCCCGCACGTCCTCCTCCGTCTCCCTCTCTTCCGTCGGCTCCGAACTCGATGGCGAAGAGTCCTTCTACGAACGCCTCGCCGCCCTCGTGGACATCGTGCCCCCCACGACCCGCCACAAAATCTCCTCGCGCCTCTCAAAGACGACCGGCTTCTTCAAGACGACGGTAAGGTCGTCGGCAACATCGTCTGGATAGTCACCACCAGCGCCCTCCTCGTCGGCCTCCCGCTCGCGCTCAGCCTCGAGGACGAGGCAAAGATCGTCGCCCAGGAGAAGGAGATGCTCGCCCAGCAACAAGGAGCCCAACACGTAAGTCCTGTCTGACCACTCCGCGTGCCCGCACGCGCTCACGTCCGCTGGCAGATGGCATCCATGTACGCACCCCCCATCGCCGGCGAGAACCAGCAAAAGGGCGTCGTGCCGCCCGGCTTCTGATCGCACGCACACGCACACACATCGCATATGCCCGCGTCGTCACGACTCTGCTTGCTTCCCACTCCCCACTTTGTACTGTATCATAACCATACATACTAGTCAGCTTTTCTCGCCTCTCTGTCCCCACCTCATCGCGCTGCGTAAACGCTTTCCCCGCCCTCGGTGTCCCGCCGGCGTGCAGGGTCTCCGCGAAGATCTATATAAAAGTCCGCACCTCCAGCCTCCCATTCTCATGGCCACCATATCCGGATTGTTGCGACGTCGTCCGTGTGAGTCTCTATGCCATGGTCACCATTCTGACGGCGCTGCGCCGTCACCGAGCACGCCAATAATACGGTGGTGACCGTTGGGTGACCGCGGTCCGGTGAATTCTGAGCGTGAACGCCGGCGACCTCGGTACTGCTGCAGCTTCGCAACTATTAAGTTAGTGCAGCTGTCCGTACATTCCTCGGGCAATCTGTTGCCCTGGCGTCTTATCCCTTACGCAATGTCAATCAGACCAATTCACGACTTTGCATTGAGTGCTCTCGTACGACGTGCGACGTGGAAGCCAGACAAGCGACACCTCTCATTGAAGCAAATGATATTCTACGAGACGGACCACATGTCCACGCCACCGTTACAATCCGTACTGCGGAGAACCATCGTGAACCACTCAGCGCATCACAGGATGGCAGGACACGACTCACCTCGGCATCCCTCGAAGAGGGGAAAACAACCGGCCGGGTGAAGTTCTCCCTGCAGGTCATAATCAATTCCCATCAGCATAACCCATACGACACGCCACAACGACGCTCGGCGACAGAAGAAATGTCACGTACGCCGAGCGGTACCGCCTGAGGTACGAGATCGCATGCTGCTCGATCTCATCCGGGACGACACCGACTTTCCCAGTCGCCGGGCACGTCAACATCGTCGATGTACCGGCGACGACTTCGTCCGGGCTCAGCGCGGGCCACCACACCGCCTGCGCGGCCCTGGCGAGCGCGAGCGCGACGGGCTTCGGCACGACGGGCGCGCGCGAATGGGGGTTGTACGTCACGCTCGAGACGAGCGTCAGCAGGTACTCGTACGTGAGCGTCGACGGGCCCGGGAGGTTGAGCACGCCCGGGAGCGAGGGCACGGAGATGAGGTTGGCGAGCGCCTGCGCGACGTCGAAGACCTACGAAGACGGCATGGGTGAGTGGGCGAGAGCGTGGGCGCCGGCGGGCGGGGCTCACATGGACGGGGCGGATCTTTGTCGCCATATTATTGAGCTTCCACCAGATTGGCCAGACTAGAAAGAAGAACGAGTGACAGGGAAGGCGACAAATACGAAGTACGAAGGGCGAGGGTGAGCAGAGGGTCCAGCCAACGAGAGCACGCGAATTTGAGGGGACGTACGAGCCATGTTGTTCAGGAGCCTGTCCTCGTAGCCGAACATGATCGCCGGGCGGACGATGGTCGCGTCGGGAAACGCCTCGCGGACGAGGTCGTCCCCGCGCGCCTTGGACTTGTAGAACGCGGACGGCGAGTCGTGCGCCGCGTTCAGGTGCGAGACGTGCACGAACCGCGGGACGCCCGCCTTCGCTGCGATTGCGCGATGCGCTGCGCGCCCTGCGCGTGCACGGCGTCGAAGCTGAAGTTCCTGCGAGGGGATCAGTGCCTAGAGAGCAGGTGCGTGGTGGGGGCTTACTTGGTTCGTATCCCGGCCGACGAGGTTGTAGACGATGTCGGAATGTCTCAGACACTCCTCGATTTGGTCGTCCCTGCGGAGGTCCCATTCCTGGTTCAGCGTTAGCATGCCGCACACATAACCTGAGCGTCGCTGTACACACCGTCATAACGATCTGGCCAAGATCGCCCATGGGCTTCAAATGCCTCTTCTCATCCTCCTCGCGGTACGGAATGACCACCTGCGTGCCAGCCTTCGCTGCATCCCCATTTCACGTCGGCATCTGCTATGATGCCCCATAAGCAGACTACGTACCGAGCTTCGCAACGGTGTACCTCCCCAAGAACCCCGTGCACCCAAAAACAGTAGCGACATGGCCCGTCGTCGCGCTCCGTCCAGGCGGGCCGTACGAGACGATGGGCCCTTTCTTCGGCAGCGCGACAAGGTCATGATACGCCCTCTGCAGGTTCTGTATACCACCGTCACCACCACGCCCAGCCTCAAACTCAACAGCACGACGCACCTTTCTTTGCTGAGCGACTGCGCGCCGCAAAGGCACGCAGTTCGTCGACGTGGCCAACATCTGCGCTGGCGGCGGTGAGTAGAGACTGAAGGGGACGATGAGCAGCGGACTCAGACGGACGGTACACTCGTCCTCGCCGCCGTGCGTGACGCCGGCGAACCGACCGGCCTTTCCCGGCAGGTCGCATTTTCGCTCGATTTGGGAAAGCTATGGGCGCTTCTGCCGTCTCGTCCTTCCTTCAAGTTGCTCTCCTCCGCGTGCCCGTGTAGTGACCGATCCTGCTTCAACTTGTCGCTTTCATATAAAAATTCGCTGCACCTATTTTCGGATTTGCAATGGTGCAAGGTAAACCAAGGCATGCAGAAGTCACAGGCTTCCGGCTCCCGCCACGCTGCGAAAGCCGCTGCACAGACGAAGAAGGGCAGGCGGTATGCCGCACCCAAGAAGAAGGACGCAGCACAACACGCTGCCATACACAAGGTGAGAGTTTCTGCTCATTCCAAGTCTAATAATATCAAGGCCGCGGTGCTGACGGAGCTGCGTAGCAACTGAGCGCGAAGATCAACAGGAGCATCGAGCAGCAGGTCGCCTCGGCCGCCTCGTCTGGCAAGCTGACCATCATGAAGAACGTTGCGATGGAGGGGTGAGCCGTGTGCGCGATGCTACTCTGAGGAGTTGGATTTGACCGCCATTCCAGGAACGCCACGAAAGAGAAAGAAACCAAAGGCAAGAAGTCGTAACACCGTCATGACTACGCACAGTGGGTCTTCCCCCGCGGTCTCGTGCTCTGTTGAATGCTCACTAGTACTACTGCGATATAGAACAACGGTGTGCCATCCATAGCGAGGGGCGGAATACGTATCCGCCACGATCGCTCCGTGGCCTATGTTCACCAGGACAGACACCATGGCACGTCCGGCCAGCCCACAGACACTGAGATAGGCTCACAAGATTCCACATCGAACACCGCATACGGCCTAAAAATACGATGTATTGCTTGCTTTTATGATGCTACAATGACGGGGTGGGGATGGGGGAAGGATGCATTGTATGTTACGGAACGAAACCATTGCCCAGTGCAAGAGACGCAGAAAGAAGACGACACTCGGGGGAACCCTGGCACTATGAGACACAGAGACAGACGAGGGAGTACATGCGAGGAGAGCGACGAGACAGTGATGATGCGATGCATGACATGAGAACTGCGTGAACGACGATGATTGTGTATGAAGGCGATTGCGACTTGGTGGGTTGTGGAAGGGGGGAAGGGGAAGTGGTGATGGATGATTGCATGGGTGATTGAGGGTCCATGATGCGTGAGACAAATGAACCCGAGAAAAAAGAACGGAGACTCATAAAGCAGGAATGCGCGAGCGCGCTTTTGACATACATACCTAACCGGAGAGGCTGGACCTGCGGACGGCGTCGCATACGACGGAGCACGCAGGCAGCAATACGATACGATACAAAGGGCGAAAGTCGTCCCTCGAAGGTCGGAAGTCGACGAGCGGGAATCAAAGGCAGTGGTGGTCGGACGGCACCGGGCAAAAGCAAAAGGCGCATCACAAGAGAACGCATCCCGTCAATCATCGTGATGACGGACGATGGCCACCAGGATCTCACGGAGGACCTCGTCCTGGTCGGCAGATATGATGTCTTGGTGGGTGGACGCAAAGTCTCGAAGTGCCGCGACCATGTGCTCCGCTTCCTCCATCGTCTCCACCTTGGGCGGCTCCTTGACGATGTTCATCTTAGGCACGACGTAAATCTCCTGCTGCGTCAGCCCGTCCTCGGACGGCACCATCACCGGGATCGGATCGGGGACGGTGACAGGGACTGGCTCGGGTTGCTCGTACTCAGGCTCTGGAGCAGGCGGGACCCATACTGGCTGTGGGTCCTGGCGCGGGACAGACGGTTGGGGCGACGCCGTACGTAGGAATCCGCACCCAAACGCACGCATCTTATCGGCGTCCGTGCCGTTGCCGGTGTACTTGCCCTTCTTGATGCCATGGCGCGCCTTGAAGTTCTCCACCCAACCCGAGCTCGCCTTGAACCTGTCTTCACCGATGTTCAGGAACCCCGCGATCTCGCGCGCCTTGTTACGGATCATCGCGTCGGTGAAGACCGTCCCAACGCGCTCGTTCCTACCGAGCCAAACGAGCATTTGCTGTTCGATGGCAGGGAACTTGCTCGGGCTAGGCGACGGCATCAGACCGCAGCACGCACACGACACGGACGAGGCGACTTACCGCCATTTCGCGACCTGCAGCTTCTCGTCGTCTTTGACGTTCAACCAGCGGTCCTTCTCCTTGAGTATCTTGCTGACAGTGCTGCGCTCGACGCCAAAGCGGGCAGCGATCTCCTCCTGCTTCATGCCCGGGTTATCCCGGTGGCACATACATATCTTCTTGCGGTCGGTGCTCCAAAGCCGCTGTTTGCGGTGCTTGGGCTGACGCGGCTCCTGCGGATCGGGCTGCTGCTGAATCTGGGAGCCCGAGGCGGAGGAGAAGGATGTCCTGGACGACGCTAGTGAAACGACGCTATTGGCGGGTGATGCAGAACGAGGATTCGAAGATGATATGGAGCTGGACATTGCTCGTGTCTGATAGCACGGGTACGGATACGGATACGGAGGCAGACCAAGCGCTGCCTGTATCTCAGAGTCCGGGCTCGCATAAAGCGGCGGTGGAGGATGGCGGAGAGGCGAGGGCGGGCGGGGACTCTGCTGGCCAGGCAAGGCCACAGAGTTTGTGCGCCGCTTGAGTGATATGGGACGTCAGTACGACAGCACAGAGGAGAACGTGGAGTACGAACGTAGTACGACCGGGGCGGCGCCTGAGCCGTTGTACGCGCCCTGCGGCGCGTGAGGATGCGACTGGGCCCAATGCTGCTCTCGATCTGGGGCGAGTCGAAGGAGGCCCCGTGGCTGGATGCGCTCGAATCGATGGTGGGTGATGCGTAGACGTTAGCGGATCGTGGCTGCGTAAGGGGCGTGGAGGTCGTCGGGTAGTCGATGCTCTCGTCTGAATGGCTCATGGTCGAGTAGAGCGACGAGTTGGAGAGCGACGAGCTGGTGGATGCGGAGCTGTTGGGCGGGGACGCATGGGCTTGCTGGGGCTGCCAGGCCATGGGTTGGTGATGGCCGTTGTGGACGACGGGGAAGGGGCGAGGGTGGTGGTCGAAGAAGGGCGACGTGTTGTGATACACGAGGCCGGCGGGGCCATACTGCGTGTCCATTGTCGTGAGCGGCGTGACTGGTGTGGCGTTGTCTTCATCCGCTGCCCGCGACTACGACGCCCCCTCGCGCAGGTGATGGTCGAGGGAGACGAGCAGTGCGCCGCCGCCTTTTGAAGTTTTCCTTCACGGCCAGAATCAGTCGGCAGCCAGGGAACTCTGTCGATCGGGCTGCGATCCGACCAGGCGTGGCGCAAGCCTGCGTGGCTCACGCTCGCCCGTCGCTGCAACTCGCCCTCCTCCTGCGCTATCTCCCCCAGTCAGCCCTGATGGGCTCTCCGTGCGTGCAGGGTGCTCGTGCTCTCCCCTCCCTCCTTGAAACGTCGCCCCAGCCACCGACACGCCCTGCAGCGCGGTGGCTGAACTGCCAGAAGCACGACTTCTCGTCCAAGCGCCCGTCTGCCACCTGCTGCCTGTGGATCTGCCATGCCAGAACACAGGCTCCTCCCTCCGCGGAGCTCTGTCTGTCCTCTCCTCCGCTTCTCTCACTGGACACTAATATAACTCTGTCCTCTTTCTCTCACAGCCATCTTCGCGGCGCCCACACAGCAGTACGCCGCCGTCTCACACTCAGAATTGAGTCCCAGTGGGCTAAACACGCTTTCTGCGTAGCAAGTGCCAGTCCGTCTTGACATGCGATCAAATATGCTGCCCCCATACCTGGTCAGCGCAACATGCCTTCTTGGCCATAATGTCTCCCTCCGCCGGCCAGCCGTACAAAGACCGTACTGTCGTGCGAGCAGCATGATATCGAAACGCATCCATACAAGGCCAATCAGCGAACCTGGATCACCAGAAATGCGTCCTCTTCATGAGGATTCGGCATGATGTCCCGAGCCTAAAGTGGTTCCGCTTCTGCTGATCCACCCTGGTCCCATAAGTGGACCTTCCACCAGATCTCCGGGAGCATTCATTCAATCTCTCTTCATTGCGCCATCTCTCATGTTCATACTACTGGCGATGCATTGTACCCCGTTGATCCGCGCCATATATCAACTCCTTCCATTTTGACGCTACCCAAATTCGGCTACTGAGTAGTACCTCAAGCGATCCATGAGCCAGACCCCGGCACCCACCCTCTGCGCCGCCCCCCAATCGTATCCAAGACACCGAAAACGCCTCTCCTCACCTGCGGCTGAGTATTCCGCCCGGTACGTCAGGCCCCTCTCTCTCCCGATCAAACCTCACGCCGACACGTTGAAACAGGACACCCTGGGTTCTTGGGTGCGGCTAGCGAGCGGAGCGAACCCTGAGTCAATGGCGTACGTACGCATGCCCACCCACCGTGCTCCATGCCGCTGGCGTGCGGCGGTTCCCACCGCCTCTGCGAGAAGCGTCCAAGGATGACGAATGGGACCTTCTCGACTCCTCCTGATGGGAGCTCCTCTGGCGCAATGTCAAGGCAGTAACTTGAGGCTGCGTCGCAGGCATCCAGAACTGCTACGCTATCCGTTGACCAATTTCTGCGACCGTGCATCCGTAACTTTTCTGGCTGCTGACCGATCTGCCTGCACAGCGACCTGCCGCGATATTCGTGCCAAACGTCAACAATAGGCCCGCTCCCATGATGGTCCCCGGAACAGTGTCAAAGACACCAGGCCCTCGCGGACCCAGAACATGCCGAAACAATGCGACGCGGGCGTCGCAAGAAGACCGCTGCCTATCCGGGGCTGTTAGTCTGGGAACCTGTATACGAACGCTGGTCAGGAAACCCGGAACGGCTCCCGGCATCAGCAGCCGGAGCTTCTTCTTGCTGCTTGACGAAGTCCTCTCTACTTGCGATCCGCGATAGGCCGAGGCGTTACCGTCGCACTGAATGGCAAATGTGGCAGCAATAACAAGTTGCCAATGTCAAAACTCTCGATTTATGGCGGCCGAACGATAGAACTGCCTGCCAACCTTTCTAGGGTACGTTGATCTGGGCACTGTTGCTCTATCTGGCTTGGCTACGGACCCATCGTGCATCAAATTCCGGGAGGGAGAATTGCCAAACTATCGCATTCGCCCATATACCCCTGAACGGAACCTGCAGAAGCCTTCATTGCGGAGGGAGCGCCACCATTTGCGCAGACAGCGGTATGGTCCGAAAACGCTGCAGGCGTATCCACGTTCAGTCGCCCTCGCGCGTGGTCCTGGCCGAATTGGCGTAAGGCGCATGGCTTCCGGAACCGAGATAGACGCATCCACGTCGCTCGGGGCGCCCCATTCAACGGCTAACTAACCAAGCCTTTCGTCGCTAAACGCGCTCAGCTACATTGACCGCCCATACCGACGCCAACCTGTGGGGCCAACCCTAACGGCGTTACTAAACGGGCCCTTGATGCTTAGACGCCGCACATAGCCAGAGAGGCGGAACAAACACTATACTCAATAAACTACAACAGCTAGGAAACAGTCCGTACAGCCGCAACACCTGTTCTCCTCCTACGCCTGCATCCACCCTACCTCCCACCGCCAACGCCAATCGCCGTCCGCATATAATGCCCATTCGCGCCCATAGCGCCGTACGGCGTTCCTGGAGGTAATGGCGTAGGCAGCGTCGACGCCAACGCCGGAGTACTCATCGAGCCAAGGCCCATCGCGACGGCGGCGACGTTATGGTTCTGTGCGGGGCCGGGCGTCTGGTTGTGCTCGCGTGCGACGCCGGTGCGGTCCTCGCGCTCGGCGATAGTCGCGGCGGTCCCGCGCATGGGCTCGCCGATGCCGTTCGCGATGAAGGTCTGCCCGAGCCCGTAGAGCTTGTGGTTGTACTCCGCGTCGTCGATGTAGTCGCTGAAGTAGAGCTCGCGCATTTTGAAGAAAGTGGATGCGGTGAGAAGCGAGTCGGAGCCTGCTTGATGGGAGGGACCTATTCGCATGACCTGCAGTGTGGATGGGTTGGTAAGGTGTCGAGAGGCAGAATAGAGCCTGGTGCGAGGTGGATCAAACCCTTACCCCAAGGTCGTCTGCAACATCTTGTAGGCCGCCCTTCAGCACCTTACATGCTCGCATGACAAACTTTATGTCGTATATTGTTGGGAACCATGTTCGCAGGACGTCGAAGAACATCTCTTCGGTCGTGGGTAATGATTCGGCAGTGAGGAGCTTGACAAAGTAGCCAAAGTCGTATCCGCTTCGGGAGGACACCATGTAAGCATGTTGGCAACGCGGGGACCCGCGCACGGGGTACATACCTGTGGAAGGATATCCACTTCGTTTCTGGCGTGAGCACGAGGCCCGACGTGATCATCAACTCGGCGAAGTCATTGGGCTCGATGCCCATTTCTTCGTGTCGTTGAAGGTCGATGCCAGACTTCTGCAGCAGCTCTATCGACTCGGGAGCGTACATGTCGTCGCTGCACGTTACGTAATCAACGCGCCGGGACAGAGTCACTAAGAAAGGGGATCCTCACTTCACGCTGAAGTGGAAGTTGAACTGCCATGTCGAGACGTCCTGCGGGTAGCCCCCATCCTCATCTGCCAGAGTGAGACCGACCTGGATGATCTTGAGTAGGTCGACGTTACACCGCATGGTCTGGTAGTGGTAGTCGGACGATGTCTTGAACGAGCCAATCGGACGCGCGACAACGCCAGGAAACTCGGTGTCCTATGAGATCGTAAGCACTGGAATGCCCTCGAAGAGCGACGAGACGGATATAGACCATTGCGACGTAGGGATACTTGTCAATGAGGTCGCGGATGTTATTCATCTCTTGCTCGAGATTCGGTGCCCATACTTCTCGTATTCGAGACATGCTCCTGCTTCCACCTGTCTCTCCCGAAGTTCAAGTGTAGATTCCAACGAGGCGAGCAGTAATGAGAAGATAGCGCGGTAAACGGAGCGAGCTTTGGGACGGAAGGGTGGCTGAAGAGTCGAGACGCGTACCGCATGTTGTCGATCGTTTGGTCCCCGCCACCAGTGTCGGCGCTTAGGATGCTCCCCGAGAGCCGTAAATGGTAACTGCCCTCTCCCAAACGCCGAGCGCTTGCTTCCCGAACTTCGTGCAGCTCGTTCACTGCCCACATTTACTTCACAGCATGATGCTGTGTACGGCTTTACGTGCTAAACGTTTTGCTAGTTCAAAACTGGTAAAGTGACCCCGGTGGTAGTTTATTATTGGCAGTGGCCTCCTGGCATGCATTGAGATGTGTATAGGATAAGAAAAATAGGAAGTTCAATACGAAGATTGATTTCTGAACATCCGAAGGATTAGATTAGCTGGTGAGTACGCTTTGGCTCCTCAGGATGGTCGTCGCAGTCATCCATCACAAATAGCACAGTTCTCAGCTTGTCCGAACTCGAACAAGTCTCAGGCAACTCGCTATTTGCGGTGTACGGCTGCAGACGACAATCCTCAAGGAACCGAGGCGTGTTGGGTAGGAAAGCTGCTCCACGAATCATCAGCGAACTTCGAGTGTGACAACGATGTAATATCAATACTGTATGCTAGTATGCCAGTGCATCCTCGATTCTTCCATCTTCTTGTGCGCTGTCTACCACCTTGATGGCGGTACATTGTGAAGTTTTCATGGTGTATGTGTGCATTATGCTTACCACTACTTTGCAAACTTCCTTGGCTGCATTGATAGCCCAGGCTGGGGGTCAGTTGATACACAGTGAGAGCAGGAACTTGAAGCGGACTGTCGACAGGGAATCCTCCAAAGGATGAACCTTTATACCTCTCAGTAAGCGCAGTCGGGCTCCGAAGTAAATTGCGTCGATGACGGACTCCGATGCTTTGCCGCAACACAACAAACCTTCTTTTGCAAGCACCCCAATATTGCGCGGTACCTGGCGGGCGAAGCCTCGGATGTCGTCGTACTCGAGTGTACCTCCTAAGTCTACATGACCGCGGATTCATATCTGAATCTGCGGTCATATCCGCACTTTAGTATTCTTGGCAGCCGTCTGAGGGATGATTTGTGGGGGTATGTTGTCGTCTACAATTGTCTGGGGCGCCCATGACCAACCCATCCAAACTCTCATCCCGCATCTGATTCATCAAGCCACCTACGAGCCTGCGTGCCAATTTATCAGCTGATTATCACGTATCATTCATTGCATTGGATTCAAGTCTTAGAGACATAGTTTCAGCCGTTAACGAGTCTGACACGAAGCAACGGTTCACCACAAAACTCTCAGTGTGCGCCTAGGCCATTGACTACGTGGATGCGGAAAGCATGTACAACCACCGAACCCAGACCCTTAGAACCACAAAAGAAGACGTAGCCAAATACCTCTCCTGGACATGCCACGTTCTCAGAAGAAGTACGCATTCTCCCTGAGGCATTCAAGCTGGAAGATGACTAACCATGTACCCACAGCCACAGGCCGTGTCAACAGTCAAAGGCATACAGATTCAGGTTCAGTCTAAACAATCTCACAAACATCGACAACTTTCTTATTGTGCGAGTTCCACCTGAAAATGCCGCATGAACAAGATCACGCCCGGATAGAAGAGGCAAACTTACGTAGTTACTTGGGAAGATACCCTTCCTTCCGGCGGAATCCACGCCTACGGGCAGGTATGCTTGTCAGTCTAACTAACAAGGGGTATCCGACCGCGGAGACGTACCCTCCCACCAGCCATCTGCGTAGTTCATCCCTCCTCTCGGTCCTCCGGTCAGTTCGATTAGGCCGCCCTCTTGCACGTTTAGCTCGTCCGGGCCTTGCGATTGGTACGCGTAGACGCCCCGCACTACGACCGCATCAGTCGTTAACCGGTTCAATCAGCACATAGAAGGGAAACGTACCGGATTTTCCTTTGACCTGCGGACGAGAGGTAGCAGGAGGCACCGGCGGCGGTCTCGGCGTCGCACTTGAGCTTGAAGACTCGATGACTTGTACGTACGCCGCTGGGACTAGCCCTTTGCCCCCGAGTTCGTCCGCTACCTTGACCCAGCCGGATCCGTCATCTTCCTCAAGAACTTGCACGGTGGTTCCGGCTAAGGGTGCGTGTCAGCGTCTGTCGCTTTGCCGAACTGTCCGGACCAACCTGTCACAACTAGTTCGAACGGCGAGGTGGGCGTAAAACTGTAGACAACCTGCGCGCTTGGAAGTGCCTCACGGATGACCGAGTCTCTAGGCGCAAAGGAGGACGGAGATGGTGTCATGCCTGATCAGTCGAAACGTGAATCAGTCTTCGATAACTGTTCAGTCACTGAGACTGACCTTGACTGCCGCTCTTCGATGTTGTGGAGGACATTGTAGAAGAACGTGACATGGTAGACGCGGCACTCGACCGCACGGCGCCTTTGGATCCCGCACAATCGGCAGGAACCTACATAGCCGAAACGTCGAGGTGAAGACACAGAGCATACACATGTGCACGAGCAATCGAACCTTCAACTCGCATTTCGCATGGACTGAAATGCCGCATGCTTTGCATGTCTTTCCTTGCTTGCTGAGGCCCCAGATAGAAGACTGCGATCATATTCAACGAAGTTGAATTCGTTACGTTGCCGGCAGCGAGACAGACGCCGGGAACACCCACCTTGCAGTAGGCGCACGGAGTTGGAATGGAGAAGGAAGTGCTCTTGAAGGCGTGCAGCTTCTGTTCGCCTTCATCACCTACACAGCGATGACAGACAGACCAAATAAGCGAGTCGAGTGCATCGGTCAGTGCGTGACGTACCGCTCAGTGCCGCCGATATCACATCGATTTCGGCGAGTAACATGTACTCTGACGACAAGTAAAATGTGAGTTGGTGATGCGCTTCAAGATAGCTCTACAAGAAGTTCAGCACTGACGTCAAATTGCGGGCACACTGCACAAGCAGGGACTATTCCCCGAGAGATACTTACATCTGTTGCTTCTTCTCGGTTCGCTGCTTTGTCGATTCCCACGTTGTTAGCCATCATTCTGGCAAACGACTCCATTTCTTTGCCTATCCAGGAGTCATATTGAGTACCGGCATGACTAATGAAGAAAAGTCGAGAATCTCGCGCTGAGACTTACGTTTGGAGGTGATCACCGGTCGCAGCTCGTCCAACTTACTCCGACATTTCGTCAGTCTGTTCTGTAGGTACACTTTGGGTGCAGGCTCGACGACCATGTCTGCCTACAGGATCGACATTCGTTGTGAGCCAGCTCTTTCGAAGCCTATCGGTAGACTTACGGTATCATAGTGAACGGTACATGGCTCGAAGCTCCAATCACCAGGCTTCGTGAACGGACGAATGTTATGCTCGATGAAGAGCTCCTGATCGGCTTGTGGGTTGACGGCTGCCAATCTACTCTCCACGCCGTCTATGTGAGTGCGCAGGGTATCGAGATGGCTCTTCTGCAGTGACTGCGCTTGCACCATGATGACCACAAATCTCTCGAGTAATTGTGCCTGCAGGGTTTCTGGCAAGACCTCTGAGTGATGACCGCTGATAGTCAATGAGTCGTTGGGCCGACTCACGAAATTGCTACAAGACACGGGAATATGAGCGGTGATACGAAAGTGTATATTGAAACAACATACGTCTTCTAGGCTGGGTAGATCCTCGTCGTAGAATTTGTCCTTAAGTCTGTTAGATGTCGATGTCGAGATGAGATAAACACTGATTGTCGAAAGTGAGCCGTAGTTCGTGATCAGATAGTCGAGGTCCCCACTTCTTGCTGTTCTGCATATCGACCTGCTGCGATTCAAATTGCTTCGCTGCACGGTCGGCGTGTCGGTCATCCGCGCGACCCTTCGCACGGCTGCTGAGACTGGGATTAACAAAGCTTAAAGTGTCTGGACACACCTGCTTTTGGCGGTAGCTTTCTACCTCGCTGCAATCTTCGTCGTACTGCGTCAGTCATGAGCGATAGGGCGAGGTGGTCAACAAGATTAATGCACAACCTTTTGTTTGCTCTAAAAGTGTGGATCATGAGCTTGCGTTTCCACTACTAAGTCAGGCTCACATACCTTGATGCGATCGGTATACACGCGATCCCTCTCGGATAGGAGCTTCGAGAAGTGCTGTTCTTGTTTCTTCTTGGCTTCCTCCTGCCGCCGCTCTGTCACTTTCAGAGCCTCTATGACTTGCGCCGTCAGCGAATCCGCAAGACCATTGTGAGCCTGCGCCGAATCCATCATAGAAGAGATGAGCTGCGCATAGGCGTTGTGGAGAGTGCTACGTTCGCCGATCGTTGAGCTATCGACGTTATCGAGAGCATTCAATGTACCTTCTCTGCAAGACGTCTTCTCCCCAGGTCTTGGTCGGCTCGGTGCCAACAACGAGTGCAGCATCTTTCTTGCTCTTCTTTTCCGCGGCCTTGCGGGCGAGGGCTTGTAGCTTTGTCGCGTATTCACGTTCAAGAGCAACACGTTCCTTATGCATCTCGCGAACCTGCACAGTACCACGGTATCGTATCATCAATGTCAGATGTAGATCAAGATGGCCTCGACACCTACATCGGCGAGTAGCTCAAGCTGTACATCGGTCAGAGCGACCAAGCGATCCACCTGGTCCTGAATGGATGTCAGCTACCCGGTCCTGCATTGCTAGCTGGTCGTCGCTGTACCGGCAGTTCTTTTCCGTAGGTCTGACCGCTGCTCATGGTTGAATTATCTGTGATTCCGATAGGTAGTCATGGTCCGGGCTGGGTCATCAAGATGCAATCTCTCAACTTACGCAAGATTCAATGTAACGGCTTCTGGCAAGCAAACGAGTCAAGCCTGCGGCGTTCCGTGAAGGTGAGCTCGGGCCAACGTTGAGAAAGAGACTCCGCTAGTGGTTTCAGGCGATGCAATCGCTGATCTACAGGGATGAACAGTCAACGTAGTCGCGGCGGTCAGTGCGAACAACAACTTGAAGGTGTCTCGGTGGCAGCAGTGCCACACTCGGCATCGTGATCTTGAGATCTCGGGCGCCCCGAAGTCATCGAGATTCGAAGATCATGACACGACCGTGACTTGGCAGTGTCCTATGTACTTTGTGTAATACCTTGTCACGGTTGAACCAGACCAGAACTCTTGGCTATGGCTGGCTTGAGCACGACAATGAACAGTTCAACGAATTGCTAGCCCGACAAATATCTCAAATATCTGCTCACAAACAGGTTTGCAGGCCGCACACTGGCAAGCAGCCCTAATTGCGGCGCCGACGATCGTGAGTCGCGGATGTCTCTGGAGAGGTTTGTGATGGGCCTCGATACATACATCGACGTGATGCATGTGGACTGTCTCAGGTTTGACGGGTGAGTCGCAGGTCAATTGGACCGCCTGCAGACGCTACTACCAACCAAACGGGTCTAGACTCGGACTCGTCGAACTTCCAGCATATCCACGGCGCTCACGAATCGAATGCTACACCTACTGCGTGTGGATGATCGCAGACGTGTCTGTGTCCAGAGCTCCAGCTAAGGTGAGTGTTGCATTTTCGCTATAGCAATGCCCTCCTGCGACTTCGCTTGCTGTGATGCGTAGAGATGCACCACACAGAGAACCGGTCTCGAACTTCGAAGTCTTCCGACGACAAGACTGACTCCAAACCTCGCTTCTGTCCGGGTCATCGTCTCCATCCCATCACTGGTACTGCTGTCGATGGATCCCCACGGCGCACTCGACTTTGTTCAGTTTGCTGCCTCGAGGGTACAATGGACGGTGCTTGAACTGTCTTCCCAAGGGATTCGACATGTTTTCCAATGCCTGGGTGGGCCAAACATTCGGGTACTAGTTTCGGCGGCATAAAGCGCACCGCCACCTGCAAGCTAGTGCCTGAACGAGTCGAGGCTGTCATGTGACGAACAGAGGCATCCTCATGTCTGGCCACTGGATGTTCCTGTCTCCGGCGTGCTCTTGCTGCTTATTTTTGCAGATTGCTGGGCACGGTGACGTCGAGGGTATAGGCCCGGCTTTCGTTGCGGCACTTACCCTCCGGCCTCTGCCAGCAGCTTGAATACTTATGTTACCTCGAGCCGCACGTACATACGCTTATGGATGCAATGTTGTCCCTGACGCTCTCGGTCGAGACCCGAGAGCGTCTTCATGCCAGTTTCATGCTGTATTATCGCTCGATCAGTTCTGCAGGTCGACATCCTCCACCGTCGATGAGGAGCATCTTCGCTGGATGCTCTTCGAAGGCTTTTGGGCGGCGAGTCCATTAACAACAGTCCCAGCTCCCTTAACGAAACTCGGTTGTAGGTCGCCACCAATCTCGGCTCGCCGAGACATGATTCCATTGCCAAGGGCCTCAAGGGCCTCTCCAAAAATTTCCCTCCCAGTGAGTTTCAAGTTCTCATATTCCATTGCCTTTCGGGGCACGTTGATTACGTATGAATAGCAAGATCGAGGTGGCGGGCCGCCCGTCTCGATCAAGCATTCCGATTGGCTGAGCGATCCTGAACCCTCAATTACCTCGAAGACCGCCGGCCTATAGGAAGACTCGGCCGGCTTAAATACTTACACGGGAAGGCCGAGCGAGCACACACAGCCACACAGGTGTTCAGGGCCAGAAACCTCCGGGAGCCGTCGGTGCCTGCTCATACGGGCATTCGTTTTGACGATCCGAAGACACACCCCGGATTGTGGGTACACTCAGGTTACTCCGGTTTTGGGGGTTGTTGTGGTCGACTCACCGCGCGTTCGCCGAACCGGTCTGGGCTCGAGAGACTTTCAGCTTTTTTTGCTCGTCGACATGTGGGGGCGGAGAGCGTCGGCGCATAAAAGGGCCAGTTAGCAGAGGGTTGCACTCCAACGGGTCTGCTCGTCTCATCGTCTTTGGCACCACCGGTCTCTTGCACTTGTGCAACGTCCTTCCTTAGGTTCTCCCTACCTCCTTACCGTCCTTACACACGATGTCTCGCTTCGCCGTCCTCGCCACCGCGTTCTGCGCGATCCTCGCTTCCGTCTCTGGTTCGCCCGTGGCGACCAACGAGACTGTCACCCTCGAGAAGCGTATCACGCACACCGGCCGGGTATGTCTTGTCTTTGTGGCCTCCGATTTCGCCTTGAAACTGACGTTCTCGTCCCACAGGGCACTTGGTACGAAGTCGGTCTCGGTGCCTGCGGGTACAACGACATCGACAGCTCTTACATCGTCGCCATCTCTCACGAGATCTACAACAACGGCGGTAACTGCAACCAGGTTAGTCGCCCAGAGTCACGTCCCAGTGCCGCTCAAACTGACTTCGCCCTTAGTACATGCGTATCGAGAACACTGCCAACGGCGCTGTCGCCTACGGCCAGACTCGCGACGAGTGCATGGGATGTGACGCGACTGCCATTGGTATGTATATCTCTCGCCGCTTCATACCGGTTGCTAACAGCTCCGCACAGACCTGAGCCCTTCGCTCTTCCAGGCTCTCGGTGCCGACCTCGGGGAGGGCGTCCTCAGCCTCTCCTGGCACTTCATGTCCAAGGACTGGAAGCCCTAAGCGGCCCAGCCGACCGACCCCCGCTGGCGTCACCCGACGTCAGCCCCCACCCTCGCTCCTCACCACGACATAGACGTCCCTCATTCGCTCTACCATTCCTTACGGCTCTCCGGTCTGTTGTCTTAATACACCCGCCGCTCCCTGGGGGACGCGGCGCACCCTCGCCGGTCTAGGCCAGCGCACATTTATCTATAGGCCCTCCGTTGGCGCGGACGACATAGAGTCTCGCCGCAGGGGGTGTGATTGTAGCATAATCCTTGTGTAGCGGTGTTCACTCTGCCCTTAGCACCTCTCCCCAAGATGGGAGAGTATTGTAGCAGATCAAAAAGTATGTTGGCGTATAGACGTAGATGCAGAAATACAATGAAAACCTGAAAAGAAAGTGTCTTTCGTGTGATGGTCATGATGACTTTTGCATCGACTTCTGAGTCGAAATTGTTCATTGATAAAGTGATCACAGGGCCGAGCGCTGCCCAGTGGACATCGTAGAGGATATGCTGCACACCGACCTGAATGTCTACAACAGGACCCGTACATCGCGCATTGGCATGTACGCTTCAAGTTGTCAGAATCGTTGTTAGCCTTGGCCAGACCGAACAGTATTATATACTGCACTTGTCTTGCAGGTCTTGATACCAAGCCCGGACCGGATGGGCCATTCATCCTTCAGACCGACGGCCGCATGGTAGGAAAGCAGGAAAAGGAACATATTGACGTAAGAATCGTAAAACGTCACAGTACATGGGGCGCAAACATAACTACACGCGAACGAACAGCGTTCAGACAGTCAACATGACGCAGACGCATAAAGTCCGAGGGTATCCCGGAACGCGGACCATTCGAAATAGGACGTAGCGTAGATCCATAACCACCTGTCATCATACCTCCTCCTACATCATGAGCATATACATGTCTTCCTTGATCCGGCCTCGACCGAGGGTGCATCGCGTCGGACATAGCTTCATCAGAGCATGACGAGCGACAGGATTGCGATGGCGACCGTTAGCAATGGCTGGAAGGGACTTGCATGCATGAGTGACAGCGCGCCGCTAGTGTTGCCGCTGGCATCGCTGGCAGCAGAGACCGAGCTCGACGAAATAGGAGCTGAGGATGCAGCAGATGCAGTCGACACAGACGGCACAGAAGTGGGAGATGAGGGGGATGCAGAGGATACGGTGCTCGGGGTGCTGGACGGCGTATCGGCAGACGAGACAGTGTCTGTCTGCGATGGGACGGTCGTCACGGTTGTCGATAGTTCGGTCGTTACGGTCACGGAGACGGACTCAGAGGTCGTTGCAGAGACTGGGGCAGCGAGCTGTGAAGAGAAGAGCGGGATGGAGGGAGGAAGGACATACCAGCTACGGAAGTGGATGCAGCCGCTGTCGAAGCAGCGCTCGAAGCGTCCGAGGTGCCGATGATGGTGAAGTTCGGGCTGATGTTTCCGGAGTCACCGAACACTGATAGCAATGATGTGAGTGTATGCGATATCATCGATATAATAAGACCCACGATCCACGATGTAGTTGTTGCGCGTCGGTACAGAAGGTACTGCGAACGAGACCTGGCCAGCGCTTAGCAGGAACTTCTGCGCAAGCGGGGTATCTGAGTGCGTCATTAATGTCAACGCTCTGCTGCGTGTAGATTCTGAACGCGTTGGTACTCACCGAGCATGAGGTTCTCACTATTCCAAGTATCGTAACCCAGTACCAACTTCCCAGTGACTCCAGTAACGTTGACGTCGGACGGCAGGGCAGACAAGTCCCTGCAACGCGACACCGCCGAAAGTCAGCACACACTCGAAGGGCAGCACAAGCCACATACCATGTCACCGTCACCGTCTCGCCTACATTCCACACCGTGCTTGCATCAGGACTCGTTATAGGTGGGCTGATCACGTCGCGTTCCTCCAGCGCACGTCTCAGGGGAATGGCATGGACGGCAGCGAGCAAGAAGCACAACGCGTAAATCGTGAACGAGAGCATGACGGGCAGCAGCGACGAGCAGGACAGCAGGCCGTCGCAGTGCAGGTGCGGGCTGGGAAGAGCAGAGCCTCGCTCGCATCGCACCGCTGGCGGCCCTCTTCAATCTCTCGGCTAAGCTGTCTGACTTGCCGAATCAGGGAACCTCCTGCAGCGCAGATCCCGTCACGCGACCCTCCAGCACCCGTACACGCCTAGGCACGCCCTTGGCACCTCTTGCCAGTACCAGGCTAGTGGCCACCTCTTGCCAGCTTCTTACCGCCTCCCTCTTGCTTCATACTTATGCGCTGCCGTGCAAACATGCTGTGCAGAAAACCACCACAACTCGGAAGGAAGCTGTTCGAAGCGAACCAGCGCATACTTACGATTGTTACGACAGTACTCCGGAGTCGAGATGCACGGTTGATCGCATTCAAATCGCTGGAGTCGTATCCCTCCGCCCTCTCGCTCGCACGAGGCCTGTCTAACCAACCGAGGATCCTGAAGCTTTGTGTTCTGCTCACATCATACAGTATCTAGTTCGCCGTCATGCGCGCGTATTCGTGCGTCTGTAGTAGGAACACGCGGATGTCTATGAGTTGGGGACTCCGAGAATGTCGATCTAGGCCTCTCGACTCACTGCGAGTTGCTGCTCGTGGGGTCAACGACTCAACATCAGGTCCATCTTTCGATATTTCTGGTAATCACATTCAAAATTCGGTTTGCGCAACGTGGCAAGTTATTGCTTGCGCACGATTGTTGCTGAGTATGTACCATGGCGAGGATTGCGACCAGTACCGGTAGAGTTTTGTTATACGGACTTCCCCCTATGTAGTAATAGAAACGATATATCGAGAGCAACTAAACGCATCGTATTGAATCTGGGACAGTAGGGTAAGTACCTTCTGGGGCAAGTACTAGTACCGTCGCGGCGGCTCTTATAAATGCCACTGGTGGCAGAGTGGCGTGAGTGGCTGAGATCGACTTCCGCCGGCCGGGCCGTGGTACTTGACCTCGCCGCCGGCCCACCATCGGACCACGACACTCACCTTGACCTTGCCTCAACTGCTCACATCACGTCGTTGTACCGACCCTACCATCTCTGTATGTTGCACACAGTTTAGGCAATGCGGTCCACTGCTCACTGTACACCGTTGCTGCAGGCTTGCCGAGGCATCATGGACGCAAGCAGTAGCCATGCGAGTCCGGCCCTGCCGGTGCCCCAAACTCGCAAAGCGATTGAGGACGAGATCGCCCGCTACCTGAATCACGTCTTCGACCTCAGATCGCGCCTGAACACCTTCGCACCCATATCCGTACTTCCTCCGGAGGTGCTCTCCGAGGTCTTCATGCGTACGGCGGGCCCCTATGCTAGCCTGTCGTGGTCCACCCGCCCATATGGCTGGATTCGCATCTCCCACGTCTGCAGGCACTGGCGCAACGTGGCGCTGGGCTGCCCTGCCCTTTGGGGAAAATTGGCGGTGACGACGCAGCATGAGTGGACGGAGGAGCTACTGGAGCGATCCAAAAAGGCGCCCCTGTATGTCACTATAGACTTGCGGACCTCGCCCAGCATGTCGTCTCGCATATCACCGAAGGAGGAGTCACTGGCGCTGGTGCTCTCGCATATGTCACGCGTACGCTCGTTGTCTATCACGACCACTGGTATGCGTCCGTTGACAGAGAAGACCTTACAACTGCTGGACGGGCCGGCCCCTTGTCTCGAATCGCTGACTGTCCGGTGCGAGGATGTCATGCACACTTCCCTCGGCGAGCATGCCCATATTCACCATCTGTTGCTCCATCCCGAGACTGTCCGTCTCCGACATCTGGAGCTACACGCCGTCTCCCTGCACTGGCACAAGACTTCGTTGCCGCACCTGACACACTTGACCATCTCCAACAAACCCCGTCAGGCCAGAATACATGTCGCCCCCGAAACTATGCTTGCTGCCATCGCGCAGATGTGTCGCCTCGAAGCGCTCGTGATTGAGTCAGCAATGACCGTACCTGCCGACTATAATCAAGTCCCGATGGCGTCAACTCAAGCCTCCTTGCCTAATCTGTGGTCCCTGCGCATCTCGGATACTACGCCGAACACCATCTGCCTCCTAAATCACTTGACGACCTCGGCCCTCTCGCGCATCTTCGTGGAAGTAGACTCGCATTGTCCAAGGCCATTGCGGGGTGATCTCCTCGCTGCCATAGCTGCCAAGACGTCTAGCTTGGGGACCCTGCTCAGCTTTGTTGTCACCCTCACCCACATGGCGCTGAACTTGCAGGCATTCAGAAGGGGCTTCGGATGCGAAGCGATGAAAAACGGTGCGGGCCGGCCGGACGAGCACACTCCTGAACTTGAGGTGCGCTTCGGGCGATTCGACGTTGAAGTTGTCATCACCAAGGCCTGTGAACTGTTCCCCATCCGTGACGTTCAATATCTCTTCGTCTCCGGGACGTCATTGTCCAATGAGTCGTGGCTCGCTCTCCTCGAGAGCACGCGGAATGTCACGGAGCTCAGTATCATGGATGGCGCGAACGATGACCCTCTCCCGGAAGTGCTTATCGATCAGCACTGCGGAAGCAAGAAGAACGCATACGTACTGCCCCAGCTCCGTCACCTCATTCTGGAGGACTGTTACTTCGGAGACCACAGCGGCGAGTATGAATACGGTGGTGACGAAGAGTTTGAGGACGAGGACAGGCTCACTGGGCGTCTGCTCGACTGCTTCATGGCGCGGTACGAGTATGGCGTGGAGATCGAGCACCTGCACATCATCCGCCCTATCAACATTTCGCGGTCAGAGATCGACGAGCTGAAGGAGGTTGTGCGCTACGTGGGCTGGGATGAGACAATACAGTACGATGAAAAGGAACACTTCACGGACGATTTATACGACGACTTTGAGGAAAGCGAAATTGATCCCTATGAAGATGCTCCCTTTTGGGGCTACGGGGGCATGTGGGATGGCGGCTTCTTCTAGGCTTGCTTGCCTATGTCGTTTGCTGGGACAGCATGCATTGTTTAACGTAGCGCACACATTTCTCCTTTCACAATATCAAAATCAGTGTCATAGTTTTCGTTGACCACAATATCATAGCACGTATTCTGACTATCAGTTGCCGGACAAGAAGAGATCTCACTCCCAGTCCGCACTACGTGTACATCGTCGCACTTTGCACGCACGCGGGTGTGTAGTACTCATACTATGTAGGAACCCGGCGCGATGGAAGCTGTTGAACGGGCGCGCCCGCCACATGCTTATATCAGCACGTAGATACATTGCGCGAGCCTGTACCGTCACGTAGCTTTTCGCCATTCCAACACCAGCATGTATATGGGTCCTTCTCGTGCGCGGTCTAGCTCGCTCCGCCCGTTCCGCGCGACCGCAGCCACTACGACCGCCTGAGCCGACCTTGCCCATTACAGAAGCGTTGACAACACCGGCGTCAGTGATCGAGTGTGGCTGAGATCGTATCTTGATCGCACAGCCTGAGTCGCTCTTTGTTCTCGCCCCATCACCACGTCTGAACGTTCTGTACGCCGCTACACAATCACTGCCGCCTCTGTATGTTGTATAGGCTCTCGATGCTGCTGTAGCTCACTTACCGTAAACCTTCACAGTTTGGGTACTCAAATGGACGTGAGCGAATGCCGTACAAACCCAGCCTCGCCGGCGCCACATACTCGCCAGGCGATTGCAGACGAAATAACCCGCTATTCAAGCTACCTCATCGACCTCAAATCGCGTTTAAACCGCCTCGCACCCATATCTGAGCTTCCTGCGGAGATCCTCTCCGAAGTCTTTTTGTATGCGGCTGCTGTCGACGGCAGTGATGCATATTCCAGCGTGTGGCCGACTTGGACACTGTATGGCTGGATATGCGTGTCCCATGTCTGCAAGTACTGGCGCTTCGTGGCGCTAAGTTGCCCTGCCCTCTGGTGCAACTTGACGGTGACGCGGCGCGAGTGGACGACGGAATTACTGGCGCGATCCAAGAAGGTGCCCCTGTACGTGACCATGACTTACCCAGTGGAAGACGTACCGGCGTTCGGAAGCTCGCGACCCTTGGTGCACGAAGAATCGGAGGAGACGGCGGCGCTTGTGTTGTCGCACCTGGCGCGTATACGCTCGCTGTCCGTCACTGTCAAGCGTCCGCTCCCGGACAGGACACTGCAATTGCTGGACGGACCGGTTTCGCTTCTTGAGTCGTTGACCATCCAGTACGGATATGCCCCACATACGTCCTCCGCCGAGCACCATCATACCCAGTCGTTGGTGCACCGCGCTGGGGCTCATCGTCTCCGGCGCCTTGAGGTGCACAATCTCCATCTGCAATGGAACCAATTTCTGTTGGCGCAACTGACACATTTGACCATCACCGGCGTCGTACAACAACGATACAAAGCACTAGTCGACGCTCCAAATATGCTCGATGCTCTCTCTCAGATGAGCCTCCTCGAGGAGCTTGTCATAGAGACATCGCTAGCTGCACCGTTCGACCAGACCGTGGTCCCGACGGCTTCGACCCGAGCATCCTTGCCTCATCTGCGACATCTACGTGTCCGGGAAACTCCATCCAACTGCGCCTGCCTTCTCATGTATTTGGAAACTCCTTCGCTGTCGCGCCTTTCTCTGCAATTGGAAGGGGACACAACGCCATTTGGTGCAGCACTCCTCACCGCTGTGGCGACCAAGATGGCTAGCTTGGGGACTTTCTTGACTCTCCGTGCCGACTTCTCTGGTCACTGGTCAGATTGTGTCCACTTGAAGGCATATCAAACAGATATCGACCACCATGCGATGCGGGATACTGCAAGCGTGCTCGAAAAGTACACTCCCGACTTCGAGATACGCTTCAACCGGATGGATCTCGTCATCATGATCATAGATATCTGCCGACTCTTCCCTATCCGTGACATTCGCAACCTCTTCATCGCAGCTCGCTGGTTTCCGCTGGCCGCATGGCGCACCCTTCTCCACTCGACGGGCAAGGTCACAGAGCTTTTCGTCATCAACTCCGCGTCGTGCAACTGGCTCTCGGAGGTGCTACTCGAACGATGCCTTGGAGAGCCGAAGGAACCCGGCGAGAGCCACTTCTATCATTACGTCCTCCCGCGACTCCGCCGCCTCACATTGATAGAATGTTTCTTCAGCGAGCAGGGCTATAATGAGCTCATCCCAGGGGTCCTTATTTCGAGACTCGTCGATGGCCTTCTCGATTGTTTCATGGATCGGTACGAGTGTGGCGCCGAGATTGAACAACTGCGCATTGTCCAACCTGTCAACGTTGATAGGGAGGAGATCGATCTGTTGAACGAAGTCGTGCGCGACGTGGATTGGGACGGCACCGTTGACTATCAACGAAACACCACGAACATAGATGACTATCGCTGGGAGAATGGTGTCGATTTGTTGACCGACCCCGATCTGTTTGGAACTCACTTCATACCGGCTTTCGGAGACGAGGAGGGGATGGCGTTTCATGTAATCTGATTTGCCTTATTGCAGTAGTGTACGCTTCTGCAGTGTCATGTACATTGAGCCCTAACATTGAACAGACCTGGGATATAATTTCGGATTGCAACAGGTCGACTTCGAGGATTAACTCCATTGAGGGTGAGTGACCGTTCAACGACATCTCCTAAAGGTCGACGCTTCGGAAAAAGATATGCCTTGCGGGTTTGACACCTGCAGACGAGGAAGGAGGGTCGTTGGTTGATCCTGGTCACTCCGCTGCCGAGGTCGAGTACTAAGGTGAACCAGTCTGTCATTTGTCCCAACACTCAGACCACCTCCAGAGCCGACCGACTCGGAGACCGGATATGAAGCGACCTCGCCCCTTCACGCTGACGGAGTATGACGAAGAGCACCTCTGAGTTGAGGGGTAGACCCTCGATGCATCACGGTCATGCGACGTAGAAAGATGGCTTGCGGCACGGTGCGTCAGTCAAACGAGATTGGAAGGGGAAGAAGCGACTAGTGGCATGGTTGCAGGAATAAATAGTCGCAGGGAGAGTTGGGTCAGGGTTGCAAGACAAGTTCAAGTAGAGGGTGCGGCCGCAACGTGCCATGGTGTCCTGGACCTCGGTAATTGCCTTCCTTCCTTGTTACTATGGAAGGCGTTGTTGTATTCGTGGACTCAAACGGGACATTGTCCTTGTGCCACCGATCATTGATGTCAGATTACGATCTGATGGGCCCGCATCTCAGACATTGATTCAGCGAAGTAAATCCCGCTTGTAAACATACAATGTTGTTCTCGAAGCATGTTCTCGAAGCACTGCGCACCGGACAAGTAGCACTGTCAGATTGTTGTGGGCGCACTAAAATGCTACAGTTGGTTGAGACTTCCTGCGATACTACGACGATACACAGCAACACGACGACGACGGAATGACAAGTTACAACGAGACCGTACCAAACTACATCAGCCTGCGCGACGGACACATCTCACGCTACTGCCTTGCCCTTGCCCTTATCCTCTTTCCCCGTCTCGTCCCGAATCCCGCCGTCGGAGAAGTTCAAGATACCGGCGATATCGAGCATCTTGACGACCTGCTCCGCGTCGTCGACCTTCATGTTCCCCAGCACCTTGTTCACCTTGTCGAGCTCCTGCGTTTTCAGCGCCTCCTGCAGCTCCGGCGGGAAGCCGTCGAAGACGTCCCACCGCAGCTGCAGCATCTTGCGCACGTCCTCAATGTTGACGTCTTCGAGGCCCTCGCCCTCGAGCTGGAGGTTTTCGGGCGGCGCGCCGTCGGGGACGTTGAACGAGATCTTCTGCGACGGGTCTTCGGGAACGAGCTGGATCTGCTCGGAGCCCTCCGCCGCTGTCGCTTCCGCCTTGGAGATCCGGACGCGCTCCTTGAGGTGCTTGTACGTGTCTGCGACATCCTTCTCGAACACGGCGGACGCTCGAGGATCGCGGTCGATCATCCTGCCGAAGGGGCTGAGCACCACTAACGCAGCAGCGTGACCGAGCCACTCACTTTCGGAAGAAGACGCGCACGCCATCGCCACCGAGCTTCTCGCAGTACTGAATGAGCAGACTTTGGTTCACGCACTGCTGTGCGTAACGGTACTGCCCGTTGCTTTCCGCTGTAAACCCGGCTACGAGCAAGGCGTCTGAGGCACCTGGAACCATGACGTCCCGGTGGTTCTTGATGAACTCCCAGGATTGCTCGTAACCGCGCAACGGAAGGCGAGAGAACTGCTCTAGTGACGGTGTCAACTCGGGCAGCTCGTCGTCGTCGGTGCTAAGCGAGGCGGATGGGGCGGACGGGGTGGCTTCCTTGAACGTATCGACCGCGACATCGACACCCTTCGGGTTGATGACCTCGAACTCGGTCTTCGCGCTCGTAGCTTTGTTCTTTGGAGGGTCGACCTTGGCACCCTTGATGGGTGGGGGAGCAGGCTGTGGGGGCACATACTTGGTGATCGTTAGTGCCGCGATGCATGTCTGTATGGTCTGGCACACTCACATGCGACTCCCATCCCTCATGAATATCATCGCTCGTGATCTTTTTCTTTGACTCCTCCTCCAGCTGTTCCAGCTCCTTCCTCAGCTTCGCTTGGTGCTCGCCCATCTGCTTGATGTGCTTCCTCAAGCCAGCCTCTAGCGCATCACCCAGCTTCGGGTCGTCAGGTTCCATGCCCGACCTCTTGATCTCATCCCACACTTGCAGCATCAACGAGAGCAGCATGTCGTCGTAGGTCTTCTGACCGGGCGCGTCGGTGGGTGGCTTGTCGGGGGACGGGCTAGCCTTGAACTGCTCCGTCAGGGAAGAGAAACGTGGGGGCCCTTGTGCTGCGACCTCGTCCGCGATGGTACGCAACCGCGGTCCAAGCACATCATTGCACGCGATGTCTGCTTCCAGCTGTGCCGTACGGCGTCGGTGTACCTCGCGCTTCTCGTGTATGTCGCGCTGCTTCCATCTGCAACAAAGGTCATAACGCGTCATCTTCAGCACCGAGCCGAGACGCACCTTACCAGAGACTTGTGGTCGACGTTCGGGTGTCCCTCGATGTCTGAATCGTCGGAGATCTAGTGCATCGTCGCGTCGGCAAGACGTCGCGGTGGGGTGACATCGGCACTGACCTCGAGTGCATCCCACTTGGAGTAGTTGAGAGGCATGCTTGCAAGCAGAGAGGATCGATATTCAATGAGCTTGTGTAGGCTTGTGTGCTCGGAGAGACGGTAGATGTGTGGATGGAGTGTGCGGGAGTGGATGTGGCTGAGCAGTGGCGAGGACCAAATACAGCATCCGGTATACTCGGGAAGCTTCTCGAACCGGCCGCCATCGATCAAAGCCGATCCGGGCACGACTCGGAGACGACCTGGCCTGGATGGGGTCGAGGAAACATCGCCCCGACCTTCATTTCGTTCCTTATACGGCCGTCCTCATCAAGTTCGTGCTTAGGACATGCCTACGGGAGACGGGCATATTCCTTTTGGCCTGCGACGCAACAAATCCGGCACGTCTTCCAAGATGCAACAACCTCATTGGCAGCGACTCTTCCGAAGAGCCCATCACATAAATATATACAGAGCTTTCGATGACTGCCGTATTGCCGATACGGTTGGATTGCGTACTAGTACGTTGTGTGGATGTACCGCAGTTGCTAGTTCATCGTACTTATTATACTTATTAGAAGAGTCGGAGTCACAGTTTACAGCGACGAATCCTGCCAAGGCCTGGTGGGTCCTTGTTGCGCCGTATAACCGCTCATTTTTGCTAATCTAGGCCTGGTTATCAGTCCTTGGTCGCGCTTTAGTTGGCATAGCATCCCTTGCCACAAGCCTATCTCCTGGGAGCCGGAAATGCCATTGGCAGAAGTCAATAGTCATCGCTTGTCAGAATGATCGTATGGGGCCTCATGCCCATGCCCAAGGCCATATATTCATTTAGCGCGGACCTGTGGATGCGAAGACGCCATGGGCACGACGTTCTATCCCTGCCTATTTGCGCTACCCAGATTTGGGTCGAGCCGTCGAACCTCGCTGCCCCACAAATCGCAATCTGATCGGGGAGATTCATGAGAGATATGTGGTTAGGCACTGCACCCGTACTCCGGAGCGGCATTTCCTTCCATATGGCGCACCCTGTCGGAGCTGATACAACCAGGCTATTACTTCTCGCAACGACATGGCGGCTTACCTCCAGACCGTCTTCCCCCGGGCCTGCACCACGGTCGAGCTGCTGCCCACACATCACCGCCGCCGTCGACCCAGTGTATCGCAGCGACCGTACCTACCACGTCCGACAGTCGTAAGCAGACGGATCCCTCGTAATGTCATGGTCGCTCACCACGCATGCCTAGTCCTGGTAGCGCTTATAGTGCGAATAGCGCGCGTGAGCAGTTGGCGACGATGGCCACGCAGCACCCCATGGCAATTCCGAACCGCAACGGCCTCTCCCATCCTCTCCGCCACGAGGTTTCTCACGAGTCAGTGAGAAGCCATACACAAGCGGGCCCAGCCGACGTGCGCCCAGCCGAGACCCAGTCGAGTGTCCATCATGCCCCTCAGGCTTCTTCATCCGACCACCACCCACCCCTCGCACAGCGAATTGCGTCTACCTTGCGACGGTCGAGCAGCGCTGCTCTTCTACTGCAAGAAAGACAGCCAGAGGAAACGGCTATCAGACCTTCACAACCCTGGATCACTGGCCCGTCGCGATGTTCATCTAGTCCCTCGAGCTCGATCGACAGCCAGCCATCTACAGCTACTTCACGCCCTTCGAACGTATCGGGCCGCGCAAGTCTCTCACACTCCGCCGGCTCACACGAGTGGACCCCTGCTGCTAATTCAGTACAGTGCCATCACTTTTGCAGAGGCCGCTCAGAGTCTGACGATGGCACCTGCACCTAGGAAAACTCATACCACGATCCAAATCGCAGACGCCAAGACAGCCGTTCTGCAAACGTCTACACAGACTCAGGGCACGGTAGCGCGGACTCGGACGCGTTCGAGAGCGAAGAGGTAAACCTGACCGCGCTGAGACGCATCGTCGAGAAGATGGAACAGCGAGAAGCGCAATTCATAAAGCGCAATGGGCGGAAGCTTCACCGATACCCAGCCAGCGCGGTGCCGTACCCGCGAAGCTACGATCGCACAGTCGTGGACCAGTGAGTAGTCGTCACGCACGAGGGAACGTCCGGTTCGGATAACACCGTGAGAATAGCGATGTGTGGTGTATGATGTGGTCGCAACAGCTCTCTGGGAAGGTCGCGTGGCACTTGTTCAACACGCCACCGCAAAGAGTGTGCGTGACGTCAAGCTTCCTTCTTTGTTGCGAGAGGGAGACTGATACCTACGAACAGTTTGGATCTTGGATGCGGCAAGTTATACATGATATTGCATCTCATTTCTTCCTGAACGCAACTGCGTCTTTAGGGACAGGCACTTGGATTCTAGATGCAGCCAAATCGTGGAAGGTATGCGCAGAAAAAGATAAATGCTATAATGGCGTCCGCTGACGTTTGCATTCCGCAGGACGCTCACTTCGTCGGTCCGTGTTTGACCGTGCTGTGTACCAACCCTGCCTGACAAGTGTGACACATAGGTTTGGACGTTGTCCCTCTTCATCCGAACCTTGAAGAGATCGACCCAATACTAGCGTGGCGAGTCACATGGGTCCAAGCGAACTTGTACGTCCACATCTTATCACTCAACGTGAGTCTAGCTTCAATCCCTCGACAGTCTTGAACGCCTACCCTTCGACGATGGGGAATTCGACTTCGTGTAAGTGGAACGGGCATTAGTACACCGCCGCGTCTTCTGACGCGATATCACACAGTCACGTACGGCGAGTAGCACGAGGTATTCCAGAAGACAAGGTCTGTATCGCAGTATCTCAGTCTCGTTGACATATCTGACATACGGGACAGTGGGACCATGTACTTGAGGTCTGATACACACTATTCCCGACTCGAGCTGAGCGGCTGACACATTGTGACAGGAAATATCGCGCATAATGAAACCCGGCGGCGCAGTCGAAGTATGTGCTATTTCTGAAACAGCGGACCACATCTCACCGTATGATTAGTTAACAGAAGAAGATATATCCTTTCCCGGAATTCGTCAGCAAACTCCTGTGAAGAGTGACGACGCCCCCACAAGCAATACACCAGACCAACAGCCATCTACGATGGGCTCCCCGCTTGCACGGCCGCGCGCTCCCACACCGTCATCCATGACAAGCTACGAACAAAATATACCCTTATCCGCGATACCCAGTATACCGCAAAGCACGTCCAGCAAGTCGGCTGCAGGTTCCAAGATGTCGCCGAACGATCTCTCGCATAATGTGCCTGACGAGCCTCCCATCAACCCGCATGACCACTCGCTTCTAGAATTCATCTACAACGAGATGCATGCGGCCAAGTTTATCAACCTCGCACCGCTGTCACTGCTGAGCAATATGTTGCCTTTGTACTTCCAAGGTCAGCTCGAAATCCATGTCTTCAGACGTCCATCGACAGTATGTGTATGTTGACAAAGTTGCCACAGGGGTACGCACACACCCTCCGCTGGTAGTCATGTTCCCCCCTCCGCCCCACGAATCCTGCAACCTCGGCACTGTGCCTGACCCCGCACCGCCTCCCCTAACAACCAGCTACGCCATTCCCTCACAAGACAAGGTGTCGCCGTCCGAGGGTGGGTCTGAACCGGCGGACGACCTGATGAGCTCGGAGACCATCGCTGTGCGACTCGAGCGGCTCGATCTCACACGGATCAACCCAAGCGCAGACGGAAAGACGCCCTTCGTGTCCGTCCCGCAGCTTGTCTCCGGCGCTGCCAAGTACCTCAGTGCGGACATGGCGCGGTATACCGCGTATGCGCCACGGTCGCTTTTCCAGCCGAACAAATTCCAGCAGAAAGGACCGGCGCCGCCCCTGCCTAAGGGCGCGAAAGGCGGCGACTCGCAGAATGGCGGGGACGCTAAGGAAACGTGGGGTGAGGAACGCCTCCCCATCACCGCAGTCAAGTGTGATACCAGGACGCTCAATCTGCACCTAAGCGTAAGGGTGCAGGAGGTGCTTGCCTGCGCAGAGGCGATGTGGGACTTCGTGGAGGCGTACCAGGAGAGGGCGGGAGTGGATCTGACGTGGGGCAAGGCTTCGTCGATGACATCTTCATCCACGGGATCGGACGCCTCGAACATGGCGCCTCGGAGGCCGGTGCAAAAGACCACCAGGAATCCCAAGTGGAAGCAGCTACTGGGTTTGCAGAGGTCGCACTTCGACGCACTGCTTATGCGCTTCAAATTGTGAGCATCGTCTGCCATTTTTCCTGTTTCAATCCGTGGCTGTCATGAAGTAACGTAGCTGACATGACTGCGCCAGTGACATGGAGGACTGCTTGGGCTTCGACGCAGTACTGGAAGACCGCCTCGGATGGAACCCAGTGTCCCTCTCGCGCAGCGAGGAACGCATGGAATTCGACGCCATGTGCGATGCCTGGGCGGACCACCAAGAGGTGCTTGCTAGATCGCGTACGTCTAGCGGCAAGGACAGCGTACCCCGGTTGAGCACGCCGCCCCTCACACGTTCCTCGTTGTCGATGGAGCCTCACACCTTTCGGACTAGCGAAGGTCAGGACACATTGCGGGGACCGAAGTCAGGCGCATATCCTGCGCTGCAGAAAGTACGCGAGTCGGGCGACGTGAGGTACTCCCAGGGCGAGTCGTTCACCAGCAGGCCCCGCCGTCAGCAGCCCATCCCGCCACACGAGCGCCTGAGTAGGACGATACGCTCGTTCGTAGCGTTCAAGCCGTAAGGGGGGTGGAGGAGCGCTGCGCCTCACCGGCCGAGACCGCTGATCCATCATCGGAACCGAGCGTCATGCGCCAGGATGGAGCACAACATGGCAACAGGCCCCGACCTCGTTCACGATTCCGGTGCTGACACGGTACGTTTTGGGAAGATGACAGCGCAGGGGCGCGACAATGGGAAGGTGGCAATGGTCCTGATCCCGACGCAGCGGGGGGAGGTTACCCAGTTGGTCGCGAAGGGGCGACGGGTGCATCGGCGCGTTCTACAGAACCCGATCCAGGTGGTCTGTTCTCGGCGTCGCGAAGCTTCATTTCCGGACGCCACAGTGCGCGGGGGGCGTGGCACGTCGCCCCGGGCGGTATCTTGACAGGGAAGAAGAAGGCGACCTCGCTCATTGAGGACTGTACGGCTCGCACTTCGTACGTACGGGCCTATGCGATCGAGCGCACCTCCGTGCACCGGTCCTCCACGATGTCGGGTCTAGCCCCCTCCAGGAGGTCGCAAATACCAAGAACGAACCCCTCCCGGGTTCTGATGCAGCTTCTCTGGGCCTCTCGTGCCAGCGTGTAGTCAGCGTACGATGCGGCGATCTATCTCCCCGTCGGTGATACTCCGCAAATGAAGCTTCCTGCAAATAAACGCCCCCATGAAATCTTGTTTAAACCTCGTGTGGGTGCGATGCGCTGATCATTAACGGTGCGTATTCTGCTGTGAGTAATCCTCCCAGGGCCCTTGGGGCACAACATCACTTGCTTTCGAGGCGCTCGCAGGATCCGAGTTCCGTGGTCTACACTACGAGTGGCTGGCCTCTGCTGACCGTTGGGTGCCTGTCGTATCGTTCGTACTGAGCGGGCACAGCCCATACACATGCTCCTGCTCATCAGACGTCGTCGGGCGCCATTACGCCGGCTCATATCAGAGGACCCTAATAAGGTGCGAAGACTGCCTTTCCGGGGCAAACCTGCCTTTCCTGTCCGACGTCCGTTCATGAGTAGTAAGGTATGCACCACAGGGGCCGAGCATCGTGCACCACTTGGCTCAGGGACTCATGAAGCTCCTGTGCACTACTGATCGTAAGCCGTGGGTCTGCCTTCTGTTCTGCTTCAAGCTCGCACCCCAGAGGCGAGACTCGGAGTGGGACGTCCGGCCGCTCGGATGAGCCTATTTGGCGAGTTCATTCTGGACCGAGGTGTCTGCCATCCACGTGTTGTGAGACAAAGACGAGTGAAGAGACTCGGGCAAGGATTCCACGCTGAGGAGGACAAATAAGCTCTCTTCATTAGATGTATCTATGTACTCTGTTCGGCTCTGGACTGCAAAGTCCAAAATCCCACCCACCGATCCAATAGACTTCGAGTTGCTACGCAACGCCGCGACCGGCCCACACTCCGAACCATGGGAGCCTCCGCCCACCGCTCTCCCAGGCCGACTTCGCGTCCCTGGCCATGGCCGCGGGCCTCGAACGTCGAAGAACCGAAGCGCACGCTAGGCCGGGACGAATTTAGGTGAGGATTCATCTCGGGTCTTTTCATGCATGCATCCCATTGGCCTCGGGAGAAGGCGTCGGCGCGCGATTGGCGGCCGGAGGGCCTGGAGCGAGATGCCTTCATGTTTGCGGACCCTCGCCAATGCGCTGCTCTAGGATTGGCCACGTGGAGGGTCGGTGTCGCGGAAGTGGAAGTGGAAGCGAGGGAAGGGAGAGTTGGAGGAGGGCGAGATAAGACTGAGGCGAATGGTCCACTGGCATGGCTATTTGGCTATGAGCTCATGGGAGTAGGCTAGTAGAGTGTGGTCCGAAGCTTAAGGACGTTTACTCATCCACCTGCGTATGATCCCATGGAACCACAACCGAATACTTCGCGCCCCGGTGTCTGCGAGGCATGCTCTTAAACTCCCGGGCGCGTTTCCCCTTGAAGCTGAGAAGCGGTCCACTGACATATCAAGTTGTCGAAGTGCTACCTTCGAGTACGTAACTGTCAAATACACAAGACGGTGGTGTCCATAGATGCCCAAGCCGATAGCGGGAAGCACTGCAGCTATCCAGAACGGAGACAGTGATGTTCTCAGTGCTTGTTATTTGTCTCGCGCCGCGCCGAATTTCACTGCTGCGTTAGCCCCAGGCCGAATACACACCCTGTAAACAATGAGAACACAAGGACCAAACAGCCATAAGTCCTACAGTGCATCAAAGTATCATTTCCGGAACGAACGCAGAAGGTCAAAGTCCCTGAAATTACATTCGGGGATCAAACAATTGATGCTACAGTACGGACGAACATGGCATGCATGGGCAAAAGCCCGAGGCCTGTTTGTCTTCGAAGCCCGGAGGCCGTCAATGAAAGTGAACAGTTAGACAAGGCAGAATAGCGCGGACGACAAAATGGACTGTCCTATCATAATGGAAGCCACATGAGCGGGGCGCTCACAATATGTATTGCGCGTCAAAGTCATAGACTAAGACTCTGCGTAAATGAGTGCAGCGGAGGGCTATGGTCAAATATGCGATCATGAATGCATCCACAGTGTCTCTGGGGAAGCCACATTCTCATTAAGGACGAGGTATGAATCGAATGAAGCAACGCGTCACGGGGAGGACTCGAGGAGTCGAGCACGCACCGACGAACGGTACGAGAACCAACTTCCATGAGCTGATCTGGACCCCGCACACGGCGACGCGGCGACGGACATGTACCAGACGAGGCACCCACGCACCAACAGCAGCCGTCTTCGCCCCCGGGCCCTCTCTCCCCCTATTGAGCCCCACAGCCATGGACGCTGAACCATCCACTATCATGCACAGTTCCCACCGGCAGAGCGCAACAGCGACATGCCGAATCGAGTTGCGCAGGCTAACTATCATCGACGCTCGCCCAACACGGCAGGCCTCGTGGCCCCGCATCGAGCGACGTCGACGTGCGGGCCCAGCGAAGGTTCAGGGAAGGCGCCACAGCTGATCGCAGGGACACGTTCATTCATTGGATGCACGGCGAACAATGCAGCGCTGTGGTTCCGTCAGCGCACTGTGGCAGAGATGTCGTATCATGAAGGAAGTGCACGCCGGCGTACCACTGCACCATTGTCCCGGCCCTTTCTACTTTTCGATCCACCCGTGGGTTCGTCCCAGCAGTTCCTCACCAGCTGCAGGACAATCCGAGCCGCGTTCAGCAGAGCCCACGGTCGAGAAGCGTAGCGATAGGCTCGATGCAGACTCTGCGGGACGGACCATACGCAAAGGAGAGAACAATGACGAAGGGCTCGTGGCGCGCTCACCCACACCGCTTCCTAAATCGAGCCATGCCCCAGGCCACAGCGCATCGGCACCAAAGCGGCATGCACCTGAGCCCACATTCCCACCGGGAAGAGGCCCAAGCTCAAGCCTCGGGAGTTCTCGGACACGATGCACGACGCACGGTGCACGCTCCCGTCTGTGACCCACGAACGTCTATGTAATCATCACACCGTGTCCCAACCGTGTCCTTCATGGTCTTCCCTTGCCCACCCGCCGCTTCGGGCAGGGATCCGCGCGCGCACCTACCCTGGCCCAACACAGAGCCCGAAGCGTAGCATGCCGCACTAGGCCGTCCGCATCTGGATCAGAACTCTGCCCACCCGAGATGGAACCCAGTCCGACAGCCTGTGCGCACAGCGGCAATGCACTGTACAACGTCCGGCGCTCTCGAGGTCCTGGGACCAGCGGCGGGTCTACTCAGGCGCAGACGCCCCGAGTCCAACGCCTGTACATAGCCACGCGCCCAACGTCCGCGTCAGCACCGGATGCAGCACCACAGTGGTCCTGTTGTGCACGGAAATCGCGCTAGAGAGCCTCTGGGGCCGAGGCCCATCCGTCCCTTCCTCGATTTAGTCTCAGCAAGTACGTGGGATCGCCCGCACACACGCTTGGCCCACCAGGAACGCGGTCCTCCCACGGAGCGTGCTTAGAGTCTGCTAAGGCGTCGGACTGCGACCATACCCAGTTGGGCCCGGCGGCAACCTCGACTCGGGAGGCGTTTGGCGCGCGCTTGCGCGGCGGAGGCTAGGCCAGCCAATTGATCGCCAGCGACAGGCGGGCGTATGGATCCTGGAACTCGGAAGTCTCATCATATCCGCTCAGCACGGAATGAACGGGGGATCGAAACCACGTCCCCCTTCTCTGTGTGCCTTGGCCGTTAGGGACAAGTACGCGATCCATTGTTGCCGCTGTCGTGAGTCCGACAAATCATTGAAGTCGATTTAGGACCCTGTACGCACAGCTTCCTAGAGACGAGGGTGCTGCTCTGCGCCGCGTACGTCTTCGGACTGGTGCTATAGAGCGGCGGGCAGAGGTCCGAATGTGACGAGCCTCCGTGCGCTCCGCCACTCCGTCTGCGCTCGCCTTCGAACTCGAGCGGGTGCAGTCGCCACCAAGCGAGCGACGTACAGGCTCCGAGCGCACACTGGAGATGCAAGGGGCAACCCGACCCTGCAGTGCGATCGCCCGCCCGCTTGGTAGCGTGTTCGCGCCTCGAGATCCAGCGAACACGTCCCGCGTCCCCGGGTACGGGCGCTGAACGTTGAACCGCCGGCATACATTTCGGGCAACCCTCCTTCCTACCTTGGGCATCCCACACCAGTCGGCGCCTGCACTCTGGAGGTATTTCAGCACGTCGTCCAGGAGCAGCACGAGAACTTGATCCCAACGAGCCACGTTGGGCGGTCATGGGCGCCTCCGCGAGGCCTCGACTGAGCGGGGAGTGAGGAGATCGTCGGAGAGAGACACGGAAGGACCGCGGTTGAGCGTTTCGGGCAGTCGAGTTTCCTATCTCGGGCCTGTCCATTATGGTCCGCGCGCGATCTGTCCCAGTTCGGCTCATCCGTCCAATTTGAATGACGACCAGGTCCGTTTGCCTTTCTCTGTTCGGCGTGGTCTTCACCACCGCCGGCGGAACGATGAGGTACGGCAAGTGTATGTAGGACAAACCAAGGACAAACGGACCGTCCTGGGCTCGATCCAGGGGCGTGTCCGAGTCCACCGTCGAACTTCGCGCGTCTATGTGATCGATGTTGTTCCAAGAAGAGGCCAGACACGGAAGGGCCACGTTCAGAACCTTTACAGCAGTTCAAAGTCCCTATATATCCCGACCCTGTCAATGGCCAGACCGCGATCCGTCCGAGCTGCGAGCATCAAGCTCAAGGCCGCCTTCGTGCGCACGTCATCCACCCAGCAACACCTCGGCTCAGCTGCAGCCCGGGAGGGGTGCCCGAGTCGGACATTCGACCTTCGAACTTCGAACTGAACATCATCGCGTGCCCGGGCGATCGGTGTGCGTGCGTTATTTCGGGAACGAACCCTCCTCGTCCGAGCGGTTCGGTTTACTAATTGAGACTCGACGTACGCGTTCCTTGAGCAGACCGCGATCCGTCCTCGCTGCGAGTGTCAAGCCCGCCTTCGCGCGTACGTCATCCGCCCAGCAACGCCGACGGTGAAGCGCGCCAGCCTCACTACTACTCGGCCCACTCGCAGCGACCCCGACCCGCCCCTCCCTGCGCCGAGGAACAGCAGACGGGATCACGGGCTTAGGACGAACGCACCTAGGTCCAACTTCGAGCCTCCGGAATGGGCAACCGCCCTGTTCTTCTGGTACGCAGCCGAGTTGGGAGGGCCGACGCGCGGTACGTCATAGAGGCTCGTGAGGGGCGGAACTGGTTACGAGGGCTGGCACGAGGTTACTGCAAGGATTTCGAGCGGCCCGCGTCTACACGGAAGCCAGGTCTGCGGCGATGTTGAGGCGTCGAGGAACGGAGCGGGCGTCGATGCACCAGATGTGTACCGCGCGAGGTTGGACGTAAGTGGACGCAGGGCGTGATCCCGAGAGCTACTGGCACGCGGTAGCTTGCTGTCTAGTAGGACGTTGACTGCGCGTCACGAAGGCTAGGTGGTCGCAGGACGGAGGAAGCTTCGGGCGTGTGCATGCTCGAGTTCTGGACGAGAAACTCGGTGCACGGACAGCTGGGCACATAGGATGTAGTACATGTGCAGCGCGTCCGCATCCGTCCACTCCGTAATACCCGGACGATCGCCCGCGTACACACATACACACGTGGCCGCGCTCGATCGTTCGCAAGTTCGAGCCACAAGGTTCACAGAGCCGGAGATGGGAGCCGTGACACAGACGCACTGACCACGGCCACCGCAAGTCCCGAGCGGTGCTGACAGAGAGTGTGTGTGGTACAGCCCCCGACGCATAGATAACTGTGGCACGCAGCCGGATCCAGTCACATCTCGTACGCCGTGACTCGCCGCCAGTGCCCACAGCAGGCGGCTGTGCGGGCGCGGCCGCTACGAGACGAGAGCGCACCTAATCCGGTGCATGCGGATCCGCTGCCGACTGCGGGGTAGAGTGCAGCGGAGGATCCAGCGTCCAGCCGGAGGGCATGCTAGCAGCACGTACGAGCGGGAGCCTGAGAGCAGTGCCGTCCGAGACGCGCAGGGCAGGGAAGCCGCACCGCGCAGAAGGCAGGGGATTTGCCAATTCGGGCGTGCACGAGAGCTCCTCAGGCTGGCCTCGGGGCCACATCCGTGGAGCGCGTCCCTGCCCCCGTCTTCGCGCATTGAGTTCCGCGGGCGGGTGCGGGGGGCCTATCAGTTGTGGTAGAGTTTGTCGTGCGTGCAGAGGAAAGGGGCGAGCCTAGAAGCGTGATACCTGTGGCAGAGCTGGACGTAGTTTGAGGGGCACGGAGAGGCCAGTGGCATTCAGCCGCAAGAGGCACTGAGGCGGGGGCGCCGCGGCATGCGACTGCGCGGGGCTGTGGCCGCTGGCCGCCATTCCGGCTGAGCATACAGGGTATTACAGTGATACGGCGCATACGAGCGAGTCAGCAAGCCAGTATGTGGTCGGGAGGCCCGCACACAGCGGTGCCGCATCCGAGACACTGGCGTTCATCAACAAATAGCTTATATGGTGTGTCGCCTGCCTAATGCGCGCGCTGCACAGGCTCCGCGCGTTTGGTACGAGCGCGCGGCGGTGCGTGCGTGGCCGGGAGTCGAGGGCGGTGGGCGACGGACGTGCTCGGCTGTGTTGGGGTGGGAGGCTGGAGGGCGATCGGCGGCGCGGGGGATGGGCGTGGGCAGATGGATCTGAGGTGCCTTCGAGATGCGAGGCGGAAGCAAATCTGCGCTGGCTGATGCCTCCATGGAACACGGACATGGACGCGCCTCGCCACTGGCCGCTCGCTCGCTGAACGGCAGACCGTCGTGAAGACCCTGAGCGAGCGCTGGCACGGAGAGCAATGCGCTAAGGCGAGGAGAAATGGCAGCTAAGCAGCGCGTCCACAGGAACTCGGTGCAGGTGAGTCTAGCGCAACGACGACCACGACGCCGCCGCTGCCGGGGACGACGAGCAGGGTGCGCCGGCAGCGAGCGCGTCCCGGAGGACAAAAGGCCGTCCGGCGTGTGGAACGGTGGACAATGCGGGGACAGAGGCGCCGCCAAGCCGGGCCACCGCATCAGATCGCAACGCGAGGCGGGGGACGGATCTGGGATGCATGGCGATCTCCCGATTGGGCGACGCCTTCGGGGTGCTCGGATGACTGAGCGCCCCAATATAGCAGCCGACCTGCCATATGCGCCCGCGTGCCTGGCCTGCCGGATCCAGCGGTCATGCGTCGCCCGGCGAGGCGCGCAGGCGCAGCGCGAACGTGTCCGTGCGCGATGCACACTGCGCGGGTGGGCACAGCGGGGCAGCTGCCAGTCTGGCAGGGCAACGGCAGCGGACAGCAAACGAGCGATGCGGTGGCGGGGGACAGGGCACTGCGGAGAAGGGAGGGCCGGGAGAGGGCGAGGCGAGGCCAGCGGTGGCGGGGGGTGCGTGATGGCGATAAGATAGGACGCGGGGTCTGGACTGAGGCGTGGGAGAGCGGCGGCAGGCCCGTTTGGGTGGTGAGGATATATAGGGCAGTGTCAGAAAAGGGAAGGGAGTTTCCTCGTCTGCTCCTCCCATTTCCGGGCAACCCTTTTCGGGCACCCCCCCCATCCACACCAGACGCGTCCGCCCCCGCCTCCCTCCCCGTCCCCCCTCCCCCTGCCCTCTCCCACCATGCCAGACTCCGCCGCACACGGCCTCGCTGGCAACAAACGCCGCCTCGACGACCCCAACGGGCCCCACCACCCGCCCCCGAGGACGCGTTCATCACCGACCACGACGCCGCGGACTCGGGCGGAGAAGACGACGACGACGAGGAGAAGCCAAAGAGCGACAAGAAGGCGGGCAGGCGGAAGATTAAGATCGAGTTCATCCAAGACAAGTCCCGCAGACACATCACCTTCTCCAAGCGCAAGGCGGGCATCATGAAGAAGGTGCGTCCCCGGACGCGTCTCGCGCTCCCGCACTCCGTCTAACCAACGCGTTTGTCGCAGGCGTACGAGCTCTCGACGCTCACGGGCACCCAAGTGCTCCTGCTTGTCGTCTCCGAGACCGGTCTCGTCTACACATTCACCACGGCGAAGCTGCAGCCTCTCGTGACCCAGCCCGAGGGCAAGAACCTCATTCAAGCGTGTCTGAACGCGCCGCACGGCACGCTCCCCTCCTCAATGCCCGTCGGCACCCCCCTCGGCCGCTCGAACCCCATTTCGACTCCCATGCACCACGGCGGGCCTCCCCCAGGCGGCGCGCCCAACGTTCCCGGCGGACTCGCGATCGGCTCCGGGAGTGGCTCCGGGAAAGATGACGAGGGAGACGACGCGAACGACGGCGAGCCCGAGCCCAACAACGACTCGCGCCGCAAGCGCCGCCGTGCCTCCTCCACCTCCGGCGGCAACTCCGCGTCCACCTCCGCGTCCGCCCCAGCGCCCGGTGCCGCTCCGCGCGCGACGAACCCCTCGCCCGGCGCACCCCCCGCAGGCGTCCCCCTCCCTCTCCACACGCCCGCCCGCAGCCTATGCCCTCACTCCCCGGCGCGCCACCCGCGCTCGCGATCCCGGGCAGTGGTCAGCAGATGCCGGGCCAACTCGAGCAACATTCGCCGCGTCAAGGCCAGCAGCCGCCCAGCGGACAGCCCACGTCGCCCAACTACGCGAACGCCGGCCAGCCGTACGGCGCACCACCACCGCAGGGCGATCCGGGCATGTACGGACCTCCGCCGACGGGCCATGCGGGATATGGCGCGCCCCCTCCGTATGGATTCACGGGCCACGACGCGGGCGCGGGGGCCAGGGTCCGCCTGGGATGCCTGCGCACGGACAGTGGGGCGCACCTCCGCCTGTGCAGCAAGGAAACCACTACGCACCACGACGATGAGCGCGTGTCGGCCTCGGCGTTTGGTTACTGTGCATGAACGGTCTGATCTCTGAGACACGGCGTGCGTGCGCGCGGAGGACATTGCGATCCGCGTCTCCACAACGCCGTACGTGACGATGATATCCGCGAACGAAAAAAGTGTGTGTATCCCGTGTATATGCCCCCGCCCACCATGTCTTCTTGGCGAGCCCCCGCGCTCTCACTGTCCCGGTTTTCTGCGAGTGTTCTGGTTTACCGCCTACCCTTATCCCCGTCCGCTTCTCCGTACATAGTTGTGTCCCGGCTCTCGTAGTCCCGTTCTCTGTCGTGTCGTGTCTCGTCTCGCTCTGCCCTCCGTCGCTGGTCTGGATGTCTTGTGTGTGCCCGCCCTGCTTGTGCTGCTCGTTGTGGTGTCCCCTCCCTGCCCCTCACGAATCACGACGTGCCATGACAGCGTAGCTATATAGCGATAGCGTAGCCCAAGCGAAGTCGAATCGAAGGCCCCGTGTAAATATATGTATGCTCTATTCCGTATCGAATATACGACCACCCCGCTCATCCTGATCAGGACCAAGGACCGCGCAGGGATTCGCGCGAGCGACTCGCGACGTACGAATATGTCGAAGATGACCATAAACGGCAGACTCGCCGCATCCGTCGATTTCGTGGCCGCACTCGGCGACGCCGCGCACGCGCTGATCGAGATGCGCTGGACCCGTGTGTGTGTGTTGGGGTTGCCGGACTGGTGGACTGGTGGACCGTTGCTAACGTGCGGGCGATCGCCGCACTTGCCCCATCCGGGCGCAACGCCAGAGAAGTCCAACTTTGCCGCATTCGGCGTAGAGCGGGACACGCGACCACCGTACGTTCAGCATCCCACAGAAGTTGACAGGACCCAAGTACTCACTCATGCAAGTAAAGGGACGCACGGTGGGATTGGGGGCCGGGGTCCCAGCGGATTCTACGTATTGAATTGTAGCAGGGCCCTGGACCTGCCTTCGCACCCGCCTCGAAGAGCGCAGCGTTCCCAGGACAGAATAGATCGCACGCACGGTTGTCAATTCGACGGACGCTGTTTCGTGCCACGCCCAACGCGCTCCCGTCGGACGCGAAGCACTCCGCTGAGTACAGTCAGACTCGGGAATAGCATTCGTCGGACGCTGCGGATCCAGCGTACCTCGGCCTTCATTGATTGATTCATACCGGTGCCGGTGCAATACAGTATCTTCGCCCCACGGTTCTTCATAAAGCGCGTTCGCTCGACACTCATTCCAGGCAGGACCTAGGCCACAGTTCGCGAACAAACCAATGCATTGAGGGGAATCATACAAATGCGATGAAGCAAACTGGCCCGTCGAGGACTACTCAGGCGTGCTACGACTAGATGCGACCATATAAACATAGCTATTTACTTAGCATACACTGCATACACTTCTCGAAGACATAAGGGAACGTATAACCAGGAACCCATCGCCTCGGCGGCGGCCTCTTCTTGCTCAAGGACTACCAGGACGCGGCGCACCGAGCTGCCGCACAGGCTAACCCAAGTGGCGGATCCACCTCTCGCCCAGTCAAACACTCCCGACGACTCGTCTATCCGTCGGTGGCGCCGCGCGCTCTTTACACCCATCCACACTCGTTCCCGACTGCGGGAGCAACCCCGTCGTCGTGCGCTTCGTTGACGGCAAACTTGCGGTGTGCCGCGGAAGAGCCAAGAGCGAGAATCGACGCCCGTGTTGCGCGAGACTACCGGAGGCCCAGCAACGTCACCGCCTCCGCAACGCGATCATCGAAGCTCTTCGTTGGGCTGCGCTGTCGGATGTTCTCCAGGGCGTCCTTGATGTCCTTGACGCTGTGGTGCGACCCAGAGAAGACGGCGTGGTGCGCATAGAAGTAGCGCGCAGTCTCATCATCTACATCCCGACGAGTTGCAGAGGCATAGGTGTTAGCAAACACGAATGAGAGGTTGAGGCCATACCAGTAGGGTCTGCCGTCGGCGGTCGCGACAAATGTATACAATCGCAATCACGATCACGACATTCTCCTCCACCGGGGATTTCATACTGACAAATTGGTCTTGACGGGTCCGTGAGCAAGTTCTTCGAGTGGGCCACCTTCAGATCCTTGAGGTCTATTGAAGTGTTCCGTGGAGAACTTGAGATTGAGGAAGTGTCCATGCCGTCGTCCAGTTGATGACCTGAACTAATCCCTTCGCCAAAACTGTCAAGATGCGAGCGCGGCCGTAGAGAAGGGAAAAAGTCTAGAGGCGATGTGTAAGCAGAAAACCCAGATCTTGCATCTTGATCTTGGACGATTATATAGGAATCGGTTTGGTTTCCTGTTGCGTAAGCCTACAAAACGTCGACACAAGCACGTCAATACAGATCCGGAACGCGACGCTCTCCTGCAGAAGATCCATCGTAGACTGCATTGTGGGGGCGACACATACCTGGGCCGACGTCTCCGCGTTTGCGCTGACGACGTCGACGTTCATAGCGTCTTCGCTTGACGTCTCGTCCACGGCCATCTGTACAAATAAAATAGAAAACAAAACAAAGAACCCGCAACAAGTTACGAAAAGACGCGATCAAAAGACGCAAGACGAAGTAGAATCCGTACACAACAGAAAGAAATAGAACGCGTGAGCAAGCAGTTACATGGCCGCCACTGCGGCGTAGCTGGGAAATATCCTTGCCGGTTGCTCTTGTCTTGCCTCATCGGTCAGCACTGTATCCGCATAGCCATGCACGCGCAAAAGTACAGATGAAGATGGAAGCGAGGACGTACGATATGATGAACACAGAAGATAGCGCAGGCGACGGAAGCGGAAGAGCGAATGCGGGAGCATTGAAAGCAAGAAGCAGCCGTGTGAGGAAGCAGGCACAACACTAGCAAGAAAACGGAAGAAGCCACTCGCCTTGGTCGCCTGCCGTAGAGTCAAACAGACTACTCGAGATGACATCTGGTACCGACAAGCAGTTAGCGAGGCCATGATTCGTAGGGAATAGGCGAGACCTATTGGGGTTGCGGTACTGCTGGTAGCGACAGAAGCCGACGACGAGGTTGAGATGGGCCCTGTATGTGACGAATAATGTGAGTCTCAGGGTCTTGTTCTGGCCCAAGAAGCTGAACCTCCACGAACCCAGCGGAGTCGGCGTATTGGAGCCTGTGCCATCACTAGATGAGGTGTCCTCCTCGAATGGCGCAGTGGCATGTAAATCACCGTTTGGTGCGGGGGCATCAAACGTCGAGGTCGGTGTTGATCGAGACGCCTAAAGCACGGTCAACTCTGGTGCACAATGGCTCTCAACGGAAGGAAGCAGGCTCACAACCGCTAGCTTACGCAGCCGATTCTGCTCGCGCTGCGCAATCAGTTCTCGCATCTTCCGAATCTCCTCCTCCTTCTCTTGCAAGGCAGCTGGCGTCAAGACACGTGTCGGTGTGGCACTGCCTCGCCCTGGTGGACTCTGACGTGCCACCGAAGCTCCCGCCTGTGGTCCACCACGAGATGAAGTTGGACGGATTGAGGTGTTACCATCCTGCCTTGAACTAATGGCCCCTTCCTCCTCCTCCTCCTCCTCCTCGCTGTCGCTTAGGTCGATCACGCAACGACGCATATTACTCAGCCCCGAGAAGGTACCAGTATTGCGCCTGGAAGAGGATTGGTGATAAGGATTGCTGTTGGAACCATTACCATGATTCGGTCGTGGCCGCGAGGCGTGTGGCTGTGTGTCGTCGTCGAAGTCGGCGGCTACGGGTCTCTTCGTACCTCTCCGCGCCGGTGGCGCCAACCGACCACGTTCAGGGGCCGGCATGGCCAGATCGAAGGAGAGACCTGGGACTGTTTCCGTTTCACTGGGACTGGTGTTCACCGGCGATCGCTCACCGGAAGACGACGCGATAGACTGGGGCGACAGATTCGCAGTGGACGGGACCGAGGCGGCGGCAGACTTTGGCCTAGTGGTGGAGACGGGCGAGGTTGTGGCGGTTGTAGGAGTTTGGACGAGACTGGTGGACGGCGACGTATGCACACTGGATGCTATCCGAGTGTCGATGGACAGCCCTGGGATGACCTCGTCGACGTCCATCGCGTCCGTGGTGGTGCCGAGACTGGGGGTCGAGGACAAGCGAGTAGGAGCCTTGCCCTTACCGGTATCCTTCTCGGGTACAGGGTCGATGCTCTTGAGGAAATCGTCTACAGTATTCGCCGGTAGCGCATCCGCCATCTCTACATCCTTTAACTCCTTCGCTACGTCGATGGGATTGACACCCGAAGTACTCGTCGACGGTGCGGCTTGTTTCTTACGAGAAGCAATAGCGGCTTTGCGAGCCAGGAGCTCCTGTCTTCGCTGCTGTTCCATGTCGAAGAGATTTGGCCCTGCAGACGAGGAACCTGGAATACCGGGAACGAAGGCAGCAGCAGTAGCGGATAAGGCAGTCTGGCTACTGGAGGCTTGCCCGTTGGTTTGAGGGTCTGCGATGGCACTCAGCTACGTAGCAGCGGAACCAGATGACGTGCAGACGTACTTGCGTGACCATTTGCCGGATGCAGCGACGTAGAATCCAACCGACCAATATTGGTTGTGGGCGTGGCGTTGAGATCGGTCGGTGCAGGTGGGTAAGGTGGAATGCCCGTAACATCGAAGTTGGGTGGTAGACGAAGGTTGAGCTCTGTGAAGACGTAGAACATTATCTCTCGGCTGACACCACAGCTGACGAGGTATTCAGGACCAACTCCCCAGCCCAATAGGTCTAGCACGATATCTTTGGCAGTGTCGTACTGGGCTTGTGTCACTGGGCCGTACACGACAGGTCAACGTCAACGCAAAGAATGTCATGCATGGGGACGAACTTTCTAGGCCAGGTCTGACGTGAGTTTCATCAAGCAGATATGGAAGAGGCGGGGGAGGTGGCGGCATCAACTGAGAAGGACTCTGTGTAGACACGGCGCTACTTGTCGACCCCGTCGAAGAGGCCGGTGTCGTCTTGATCGGCAATGCTTTGGCTGGCGTCGGAGGCTTGCCGACTTCTCTTGGGGCAGGCGTAGGTTTCGCTTTTTGCGCGACTTTGGGCTGAGGGAGAGGGGAGGCAGGTGTCGACTCGGAGTCGCTGATCTCGCCTTCTTCTCGACCTTGGCTATCATCTTCCTTGGGTTCCGGCGTTGCAGGCTTTGCGGGTGGCGCCAGATTCGGTACGGACGAGGCGGTAGAAAACGCACCAGATGGCTCCTCTTGCCCGTAATCAAGCTGGATAGAGGAGTCTGCTGAGGTGACATGCACAGCCTGAGGACGAGGAGGGATGCCAGCGGGTTCTGAACCAGATCCAAGCTTTCGTCGTCTAGACTTGAGAGTGAGAAGAGCAGCTTCACGCAGAGATGCCGTAGGATCAGCCGCGAATACCGATGGACCTGATCCTGGCTCATTGGATATACCAAAAGGCTGCTGCGCGAGAGTAGGAGCAGGCATGACAGTCATTACAGCTACACAAGGGGAATCGCCAGGGTGATGGTGGGGGAGGGGGATCAAGAACGATGGTGCAGAGGAGGTTGGTCTACTTGAGGGAGAAGTCGCGTGTTCCTCACGCACGGACCATCTATATAACCATTCCTAATCCGGCTCATCTCCTCCTAGCTTCGCTCCCAAGTCAAAGCGTCCTCACACATTCGCCCATCTAGATCCGTACATTCATTATCTTGTATCAAAGCGTATCAAAGCGTACAGGGGCACCGCGCTACATGTTACATCTCTGCCGCATAACGATATAGTATATTTCTCGCTAATACTGTTCTGCCGGCATCCTCCTGTCGTAGTTCAGGCATCAAGATTCAAGCTCAGGCCATTAGTGTATTCAACCCATCCTGCTCATACATCGTCGCCGCGAATGACGAGTGGGAGAACACCTTGAATCAAATGTAAGCTGCACTCGTTTCAATCGGAATCGAAGTCACGGAAATACCTCCAGTTGGCAGGGAATACGAAGGGCGTCCCACAGCTGCCAAGATTCCGTTGATGATACCGCCGTGAGCAGTGATAGAAATGTCTGAGTAATACCCTGCCTGAGCTCACAAAAACTAGCAGAGAGGCCCTCACTGCGAGCCAGTGAGCAAGTGAGGCACGTACAGGTCTCCTCAGTATCGTCAAATATCCTGTCTAGAACCGACTGCGCCCTTCCCTTGATGTGATCCTTGGTCTCTCGAACATCCGCTTGCCAGACGGCGTCTTCCTCGGTGAATCCAAGTTCGAAACCGTACGTGGGTGGTGGGAAGTTGCGCTCGATTAAAGAACGACTGTCGCGCATGTCGCAGGTATGTACACCGTGCTCTTCACGCAGATTCTTTCCGACACGCCAGTATCAGAAAACCTGGTTCACGCGCCGTCAAGAAACGTACCTCGAGAATCATGACCTTCCGCATAACTTGAGGGAAGCTTTCGTCGCTTGCGAACGTAATTTGCCAAGTGCTCAGGGCCCTATGCAACGGACTTGCAAAGCAACGCTGCGGGGTAGGCATGCCGTTCGGGATCTCCTTCAGCCAAGCTGTACGCGCTGTTTCGGCTTGCTGAACACCCAGAGCTGTGAGGAGGGGATCTGGTCCCCACGTCATCTCCGAGTCACCATAGAGCTTCGAATAATAGCTGTGGAACGTTAACGTTCAGCGCCGCGAGATTGGGTTGTGCTTGAAAGCGTGAAACTCAACTCGTCCCAAGCCTGGATATTGCTGTTCAGCTCAGACAATTATGCAATGAACTCATATGACGCCTCACTCGAGTACCATACTTGGCCTCGGCGACATTGTCTGTCGGCAACCGCGAGTCAACAGGTATGGTCGTACCAGCTAAAAGGACGACTCACGCCATCCTTGCCCATGCCTCCCGAGGAAAAATACCTTGTAAGTCGTGCCTGAAGATGCATTGTCGTTTAATTCCGCGATACGAGACTTGAACTTCGACCAGCATTCTGGAGAGTCATCTACGAGACCAAAGCGGGGTGGTAGCTATAAAGAGACCTCAGTGAACGAAGATGGCGAGGTGGGCATAGCACTAACAGCGCCGATCGTCGCTGGTGTGGCATGAACTTGGTCGTCTTGTAGAAAGAACCCGCTCACAATCTGGGAGCTCACCGTCAAACCTTGAATATGATGACACAGTTCAAGAGAGAAGGATACTCACTGAGAATTTACGACTCGACATGATGTTCAACGGCCAGCCACAGATTGCGGGTTGTACCTCAGGTGGCAGCTGAAAATACCGTGACTACAGGAGCAAAAATAACCAAGTACTGAATGTGTCAGGCCAGATGGTGACCGTGTGCGAAGTCACTGTCGATGTGCGCTCTGAGTACTTAGAGGCCGAGGAACGTGCGCACATTGCAGGCGTTGGTGAGATCTAGACTGATCCGGCCGGTGGCAACTTGAAGCCGTATATTACAGCTGTTTTAGAAACGATAGGCCGCTCGCACACGGGAGGTACCTGCAGTGTCCGGAGCGGGGTTTTGGCTGGCGAGATGGCCGACGGTTGGCGAAGTCACGCACTGTCTACAGCCTACTGCCGTTGCCGTTCAGAGATGTGCTCTCGAACTCGACTCTGACGTCTGCGTGAGGTATTACAGTAGAGGTCGTTGCGCGTACCGTTCCGAGATTCAAGTTTAATGAGGCGGCAAACAGGTCTGCTCGCGCGCGATCCGAGTTCGAGTCGTCTTTCTATTTACTCGGATTAACCTGATTGCGAAGCCGTCCTCTACTCTTTGCTCTACACTTGGTACTTACCCCGGCGCGCCGCCCATTGACGAGCGGAGCCTGAGGCAGACTCGGACAACTTCTTGAAGTTGTTTATGCTCATGGTCTTGTGCTATAGTGCTGTACTGCACTCTGCACTCTGCCACGACGTGTGCCCAGAGTCTAACTACTTGATACTCAACGCAACTGACAGTATTCCACTGAACAGGCTTGGGCCAACTGGTTACACATGCTGAGCGCGATGCGCCTACATCGGAGTAGCGACATTTACCGTCGTCAGGATCCTCGGCAGTAACTCGCACAGTACTATTGACTACCCTGGCTTTCATCATGTGAGGTAGAGTAGCTACAAAAGAGACTTCAATGTTAGGGCCCTAGGGCTCGATGTACATGACATGTGGGAATCGTACAACACTGTAATCAGGCAAGTCAGATTACATGAAATCTTGCCATACTAATGCCTCCTCGTCTCCATCGACCGCCAAGAACTGGCCGCCAAACAAATCATCCTCCCAGTGATAGTCGTCTATGGTTGTGGCGTTTCGTTGGTAGTCGATGGTGCCATCCCAATCCACGTCGCGCACGACTTCATTCAACAGATCGATCTCCTCCCTATCAACGTTGACAGGGTGGACGATGCGTAGTTGTTCAATCTCGGCGCCACACTCGTACCGGTCCATGAAACAATCGAGAAGGCCATCGACGAGTCTCGCATCGTCTTCGACAGGAATCCCTGGGATGAAGTCATCATAGCCGTGATGGCTGAAGAAACATTCCATCAATGTGAGGCGGCGGAGTTGTGGGAGGACGTAATGATAGAAATGGCCCTCGCCGGTTTCCTTCCGCTCTCCAAGGCGTCGCTCGAGTAGCACCTCCGAGAGCCAGTTGCACGACGCGGAGTTGATGACAAAAAGCTCTGTGACCTTGTCTGTCGAATGGAGAAGGGTGCGCCATGCGGCCAGCGGAAACCAGCGGGCTGTGATGAAGAGGTTGCGGATGTCGCGGATAGGGAAGAGTCGGCAGATATCCATAATCACGGTGCCAACATCAACCATCCGATCGGAGCGTAGCTCGAAGTCAGGAGTGTACTTGTCGAGCACGGTTCCAGCACCCCGCATCGCGTGATGGTCGATTTCTTTTGGATATGCTTTCAAGTGGACGCATTTTGACAAATGGCCGGAGAAGTTAGCATGGAGAGTCAAGAGAGTCCCCAAGCTAGCCATCTTGGTCGCCACAGCGGCGAGGAGTGCAGCACCAAGTGGCATTGAGTCCCCTTCTAATTGCAGAGAAAGGCGCGACAGCGAAGGGGTCTCCAAATACTTGAGGAGGCAGGCGCAATTGGATGGAGTTTCCCGGACACGTAGATGTCGTAGATATGGCAAAGACGCTCGGGTCGAAGCCTTCGGGACCACTGTTCGGTCGACCGGTGCAGTTAGCGATGTCTCCATGACAAACTCCTCGAGAAGGCTCATCTGGGAGAGGGCATCGAGCATAGTCTGCACGTCGACAAGTGGTGTGTCTCGTTGTTGTACGGAGGTGATGGTCAAATGCGTCAGTTGCGGCAACAGAAATTGGTTCCATTGCAAACGAAGATCGTGCAGCTCAAGGCGCCGGAGACGGTGGGCACCAGCACGGTGCAGTAGTGGGTGGATATAGTCGTGCTCGGTGGAGGACACGTGTTCGGTATATTCGCACCGGATGGTCAACGATTCGAGAAGCGGAACCGGTCCGTCCAGCAATTGCAACGTCCTGTTCGTGAACGGGCGTTTGACAGTGACGGACAAGGAGCGCATACGGGCCAGGTGCGATAACACCAACGCCACTGTCTCCTCCGAGTCTTCGGGCAACGAGCCTCGCAAGAGTTCAAGCATCGATATGCCTGTCACCGGGGAAGTCATGGTCACGTACAGGGGTGCCTTCTTGGACCGTGCCAGTACCTCCGCCGTCCACTCGCGCCGCATCACCGTCAAGTTGCACCAGAGGGCAGGGCAGTTCAGTGCCACGGAGCGCCAGTGCTTGCAGACATGGGACACGCGTATCCAGTCATAGGGTGTCTCAGTCGACCACATGCTGTAATATGCATCACTGCCGTCGACGGCAGCCGTATACAAAAAGACCTCGGAGAGGATTTCCGTAGGGAGCTCAGATATGGGTGCGAGGCGGTTCAAACGCGATTTGAGGTCGACGAGGTAGTTTGAAAAGCGGGTTATTTCGTCTGCAATCGCCTGGCGAGTATGTGGCGCCGCCGAGGCTGGGTTTGTACGGCACCCGCTCACGTCCATTTGAGTACCCAAACTGTGAAGGTTTACGGTAAGCGAGCTACAGCAGCGTCGAGAGCTTATACAACATACAGAGGCGGCAGTGAGTGTGTAACGGCGCTCAGAGTCAGACGTGGTAATGGGGCGAGAACAAAGAACGACTCAGGCTGTGCGATCAAGATACGATCTCAGCCACACTGACGCGACGCCGGTGCTCAACGCTTCTGTAATGGGCAAGGTCGGCTCGGGCGGTCGCAGTGGCTGCGGTCGCACGGAACGGGCAGAGCGAGTTAGACCGCGCACGGGAAGGACCCAAATACTGGTGTTGGAATTGAAAGGCGAAAAGCTACGGTACAGGCTGGCGCGATGTATCTACGTGCTGACATAAGCATGTGGCGGGCGCGCCCGTTACAGCCTCAGCTTCGCGCCGGGTCCCTAATAGTACGGGTACTACACACCCGCGTGCGTGCAAAGTGTGACGATGTATACGTAGTGTGGACTGGGAGGGGGATCTCTCTTTGTTCGGCAACGGATAGTCAGGATACGTGCTGTAACATTCTGATCAACGAAAACTAGGTACTTACTATGACATTGATATTGTGAAGAGAAATGTGTGCGCTATAATAAACAATACATGATGCATGATGTCCCAGCAAGTGAGACATAGGCAAGCAAACCTAGAAGAAGCCGCCATCCCAGACGTCCCCGTAGCCCCAAAAGAGATCTTCTTCATAGGGATCGTCTTCATAGGGATCAATCTCGCTTTCCTCAAAGTCGTCGTACGAATCGTCCGTGAAGCGTTCCTTTTCATCGTACTCTATTGTCTCATCCCAGTCCACGTAGCGCACAACCTCCTTCAGCTCGTCGATCTCTGACCAAAAGATGTTGATAGGGCGGATGATGTGCAGCTGCTCAATCTCCACGCCATACTCGTACCGCGCCATGAAGCAGTCGAGCAGACGCCCAGCGAGCCTGTCCTGGTCCTCCAACTCTTCGTCACCACCGTATTCATACTCGTCGCTGTGGTCTCCGAAGTAACAGTCCTCCAGAATGAGGTGACGGAGCTGAGGCAGTACGTATGCTTTCTTCTTGCGTCCGCGTGGCCGATCGGTTAGCACTTCCGGGAGAGGGTCATCATTCGCGCCATCCATGATACTGAGCTCCGTGACCTTCCGCGTGCTCCTGAGGAGAGCGAGCCACGACTCTTTGGACAATGACGTCCCGGAGACGAAGAGATGTTGTACGTCACGGATGGGGAACAGTTCACAGGCCTTGGTGATGACAACTTCAACGTCGAATCGCCCGAAGCGCACCTCCAGTTCGGGAGTGTGCTCCTTCGGTCGGCTCGCACCGTTTTTCATCGCTTCGCATCCGAAGCCCCTTCTGTATGCCTGCAAGGTTATTGAGACGTGGGCGAGGGTGACAACAAAGCTGAGCAGGGTCCCCAAGCTAGACGTCTTGGCAGCTATGGCAGCGAGGAGATCACCCCGCAATTGCCTTGTACAATTCGAGTCTACTTCCACGAAAATGCGCGAGAGCGCCGGGGTTGTCAGGTGATTCAGGAGGCAAATGGTGTTCGGCGTAGTATCCGAGATGCGCAGGGACCACAGGTTAGGCAAGGAGGCTTGAGTTGACGCCATCGGGACTTGATTATAGTCGGCAGGTACGGTCAATGCTGACTCGATCACGAGCTCTTCGAGATGATGCATCTGCGCGATGGCAGCAAGCATAGTCTCGGGGGCGACATATGTTCTGAACTGATGGGGTTTGTTGGAGATGGTCAAGTGTGTCAGGTGCGGCAACGAAGTCTTGTGCCAGTGCAGGGAGACGGCCTGTAGCTCCAGATGTCGGAGACGGCCAGTCTCGGGATGGTGCAACATGTGGTGAATGTGGTCATACTCGCCGGGGGAAGTGCGCCCGACATCCCCGCACCGGACAGTCAGCGATTCGAGACAAGGGGCGGGCCCGTCCAGCAGTTGTAGGGTTTTAGCTGTCAACGGACGCTCGCCAGAGGTCGTGATAGACAACGAGCGTACGCGTGACATATGCGAGAGCACCAACGCCAGCGACTCCTCCTTCGGCGATACGGTCCCCGCGCGAAACGACGACATGGCGGGCGCGGTCCGCAAGTCTACGGTGACATAGAGGGGCGCCTTCTTGGCTCGCTCCAGTAGCTCCTCCGTCCACTCATGCCGCGTCGTCACCACCAATTGTCCCCAGAGAGCAGGGCAGCCCAGCGCCACGTTTCGCCAGTGCCTGCAGACGTGGGAGATGCGAATCCACTCGTACGGGCGGGTGGTCCACGGCAGGCTAGCATAGGGGCCCGCCGTACGCATGAAGACTTCGGAGAGCACCTCCGGAGGAAGTACGGATATGGGTGCGAAGGTGTTCAGGCGCGTTCTGAGGTCGAAGACGTGATTCAGGTAGCGGGCGATCTCGTCCTCAATCGCTTTGCGAGTTTGGGGCACCGGCAGGGCCGGACTCGCATGGCTACTGCTTGCATCCATGATGCCTCGGCGAGCCTGCAGCAACGGTGTAGAGTGAGCAGTGGACCGCATTGTCTAAAGTGTGTGCAACATACAGAGATGGCAGGATCAGTACAACGACGTGATGTAAGTAGTCGAGGCAAGGTCGAGGTGAGCGTCGTGGTCCGATGGTGGCGAGGTCAAATACCACGGGCCGGCGGGAGTCGATCTCAGCCACTCACGCCACCACTGCCACTGGCATTTGCGCAAATGATAAAAGCCGCGCGCTATGTACTTGCCACGGAACCTGAAGGTACCCTGTGCCGGGCGATGTACTAGTACGGTCCCCAGATTCAATACGATGCGTTAAGTTGCCCTCGATATATCGTTCCAGCTACTACATTTTATATGCACTTTACCAGTACCGGTCGCAATACTCGCCATGGTAAGTACTCAGCAACAACCGCGCGCAAGCAATAATTTGCCACATCGCGCAAACCGGATTTTGAATGTGATTACCAGAAACATCGTAAGACGGAGCTGATGTTGAGTCGTTGACCCCACGAGCAGCAACTCGCAGTGAGTCTAGAGACCTAGATCGACATGTTATTTTCGGAGGGATACGAGTCGAGCGACTTCAATGCGGACAACCGTGCGTCTCGGAACATTCCAACCGCGCCCGTCTGTCCGGTGGTGTGATCCAAGCAGCGGGCATCCCGAGGTCCCAACGAGTCGATGCGTGCAGTTGCGACACTCGAGTCCAAGTGTGATGAACAGGTGGAGTCGACAGGAACCAGGCATGCCGCTGTCTCCCCGCATCCCAGGAACCAACAGGAACTTGATCGCACTGGAGCCCGACGGCCCCGAGAGAAGCTTGGAGAGGGAGGCGTTAGACCCCGACATCTGTTATACGTCGCCCAGTGACGCACGATCCGGGTTAGCCCTCCCCTCCGTAAAAGAGGTCTTCTTCAGGGTCTGCCCAGGGTCTGCCTAGGGAAGACTAGCTCCGGGTCTCAGTCTCGACCTCTAAGGTATGATGTGGCCAGCAAAAGCGAGCTTACATGCGGCGTCTACATTCTGTAGCGTCTGTGACACTGGAATTCCGGACACCTGAAGGAAGAACGCGCGGTCACGTAAGTGGCTATAACATATCGGTAAAGGTGCACGAGCACGACATGCACTTACGGAAGGGCCTTCCCGCGAGCAGGCCGGATACGTCCGCACCGGACGTTGAGCGCACCACAGCTGAGCGCCGCGCGCACGCTGAGCGCACTTAGACTATAAATGTGCGGTCCCTGCCGCATGACGTCGGGGGGACGCCCGGAGGATCAGAAGGCTCCGCGGCTCCATTCGCTGCGAGTCACTAGGTGGTGAGTACGCCACGGCTATGGGAGCTGAACGTGATTGGGTGGCTCACCGGGGTACTGGCGTAACATTCGTACTGTGCATATGCGCTGGTTCGCCGGCGACGCATCGCAGCTAGTTCCTAGACACCGCATCGCGCGAGCGGAATCTCCATGGCGGGGATTGATGGTGTGCTAGTACATCCAGGGTCAGTCAATCCCGGCGGACCGTCATACAAGACACACATATGTATGTAGTACCACGCGCCATGCAAGTGGATCCCTGGCTGATACAATTCAGTAATTAGCCCTTCGGGAAACGCGACACGGCCGACCACCCCCTACTTCTATCTCGACTCCACCCTGCACCTCGACACCCGGACCGAAGGACAATTCGAGGGTGCGATGCGAGCGAACGACTTCAAGCTCAAAATTGAGTACTGAGCGGGCTGAGCGCGCCGATTCTCGGAACCCTGGACACAGGACGATACGGGTGCGGTGCGGGGCCAGCGCGGCTCCCAAGCTCAGTGCTCACACAGTGGTCCTCAGGAACACCAAAACTAGCAGAGAATTCGCGATGCCGTAGAGCGGTTGAGTTTACAAAAAAGGGGAAACTCACCATGACTGTTATGTATCAATGCAGGGAAAGCAGACCTGTGAAAACGTCAATGCGTCCGTGTGTACATTCAAGTTGCAGAACGGTGCTGGCTGTCGCAGCTGCAGGACTTTCCCAGTTTACAATCGAACGGCAGGTTATCAAATAACGCATGCGAAGGGCCCAACAGCATCAGGCCTGAATGCAATATTATACGCATGCCTAATCATACCACTAGAAAGCATCCTGGACCACCTATGCGACGCTTGCGGTTCGCGAAGCACCGCAAGTCCCAGGCTAGGCATATACCGCCAATGTGCGGCCAGCACATGAGATCTTGTCAACCGCAATCAGCGACAAGTATTTCCAGCGAGACTTCATCACGCACCTCTAAGAACGCAGCGCACATCCTCACCAGCACAACCCCCCGGGCAGAGCCTACCACAGCCCCTTCCTCTTCTTCCTCGCCTCCTCGAAATACGACCGCTTGACACCCCACTTGCTCCGCGCGGCCTCGTGCAGCTCGTCCCGGTGCCCGACGATCTTCTTCCGGTCGCGCATCTTCGTCGGCGCCATGATCGCGACGAAGTTCGTGCTGCAGTTGAACATCTTCGCGAGCCGCGCGCGGGAGTAGCGCTCCGGGGCCTGCGCGCGCAGCGCACGCATTTTCGCGATGTCCTCTGCGCTCATCCGCGGGTGCGCCGCCTCCGCCTCCGCCCGGACGAGCGGCGGGAGCGGCCTGTCTGCGGGTGCGGTGGGATTGTGGAGGAGCGGGGAGGCGGGCTGCGTGGTGTAGGACCACGGTGAGGGGGCGGTCGGCGGGGGACGGTGGATGAAGGTCAGGTCGTCCTCGAGTTTTGTGTACGTCGCATTCGGGTTGTTTACGAGCGGGTCGGGGGCGCGGTAGGGCGGCCGCTCGGGGATGCGCGTCGCATACGTGCGCACCGGGCTACATGAGCATGAGGAGGGCAGCCGGAGTCTGCGAGCGAAGACAGACATGGCGGGTTGCAGAACTTGTCCGGTGGCGGCTTGGTGGCGGCCCACTGCCAGGGACCGCGCCCATCGCCTCCAAAACAGGAAGGTCTCCGGGGTGTCCGGCGGGACTTCCCGGTCGCTCGGCGGACACTCTGGCTTCTCCCGTGTTCCGCTACGCCGGGACCCGCGATGCTCTGCGATGCTTCGTCGACGTCGGCGGGGGCAGTTGGGCCAGCTTGCCCAGGCCCTCTCATGTCCCGACGAGTCTATCACCTCCTTCGCCGCAAGGGCTTCCACGCACACCGTGCTTGGTGTCTAATCTCGCGCGCGCAGCTGGCGAAAGGTCGGTAGATCCCCGTGTCACCAGCCAAGTCGAGGCTGCACTCGCCTCCGACGGGGATCCACCCACGCGCGCAACGTCTATCGGGGTGCACTTCGTGGAGGCGGCAAAGCCTAGACAGACCTACGGCCGACTCTGCTTATTGGCTCGCCGTGCGTCCGTGCGCCTGTACGGCACCATTCAGTCTGTCCTGATAGGCTCTGCATGTGTGGCCCCGACGAGGCTCTCGCTCAATGATTGCCGCCATCCTAAGTTGTCCACTCTGGGCTGTCCCCCCGAAGCGGACTGGGTCTCAGCCGCATATCATTCAACGTCAGCGACATTCCGAACACGCCTAGACGTGCACAACAGCACTCAGCCGCGCAGATTCTAGTCTGCGCTCGGCGAAATTAGCACGCTTCGCGCTGGCTCCGGAGCGCGGGTGCTCCGTTGCTGCCAGTGAGCCGCGAGCAGCGGGACGCACGATGGAGGATCAATAGAGTATCTATCTGCATCCATCCAATGGCCGCCCCTTCGAGCGGCCCAAACCCACGCTGTGGAGTGGGACATCTGCGGACCAGTCACGCCGCCCTACTATCAGGCCTCTCGCCGCTTCCGGGGGCCCGCCATGGAGCCAGCAGATGTGCGACACACCCTTGACGCAGGCGATGCAGCCCATCGGCGCCGGTCTGCGCCCCAGTCGTCGCGCACCCTGCCCTCCGAGCTGCCAGGCGACCGTATGCTGCCCCAGAAAAGGTACTAGAAAATTCACTATGACGTCGGTGTCGAGCACAACATTCCCCCCGTTTGCGGGATGGCCGGCCCTCGGGGATCCGCCTATTCTGGCCAAGCATGCCGCCTCGAGTGCGAGCCGAACAAACGGAGACAATCATCCGCATGCGCACGCCCGCACGAGCTTCGCGCCCATCGTGTTCCAGCTCGGGCGAAGCCGGTGTTTTCTGTACATATATAAGTCACTAACGCTTGCTGACTCGGCAGTCCAGAGCATCCTTCACGTTCCTCCGTGTCCGAACCTGCCTGCCCTCGCACCTGGGCCTCACATCCCCACCACACCCATGCAGGAACTCCCGCTCTACAACAACCCGGACGCCAAAGTCGCGCTCGTGGGGTACGCGCAGGAGATGTACCAGTACACCTTCGACCTGTGGACCGCCGCGAAGAAGCGGCTGCCGCAGCCCTCCGACGGACAGACGTCGTCCGACGATGACGACGACGATACCCACAGCAGCCTGAACACACCCGTGCCTGTCGCCCCATCCATCCCCGCCCCCGCGTAGGCGCTCCTCGCTTCTCGCCATATGTTACCGTCCCGGTGCGCTCATCTTCCCTCGCGCTTCCGCCGCCGAACTTGACGATGACGACGCACAGCATGCGCGCTTCTTACTTTGGACGCTATAGTCGTCACCCGCACCCAATGCGAGCTCTTCTCTATCCCCCTGGATCGCGGTCGACCGCCCCCATGTCATCGACATCCTTTCTTCCTTCCGCATCGCTCCACCGCTACGTCGACTAGAAGCGCACGCTCGACGTAGCCGCCATCTACATTCTACGTCGCTTCCCCGTCGCTCCCTCTAGTGCCCCTGTCCCCGATCGTACCTCGCCGTCACCGCATGACGCGCCTCGACGTCAGTCCCGGCGCATACTACGCACAATCCGATGGCTTCCCTTCATCACGCACCCTCACATGCCCCGCTTGCCGACCCGACGCGTACACGCTGCTACCGACCGCCCGCCGAGCCACCCTTCGGACGAGCTTGGCGCCGGCGGGAGGGTTGATCCGCTCGCCTCGGCGGCACACGCTCACGACGCCGCCGAGCAGCTGTGCCGCAGATGGCCAACGCTGCAATGATGCCTTTCCGAGGGGCTCCGAAGGCGGGGTCTGTGCTGGTCAGGAACGCCGGGCTACTAGTGCCATTGGTCGCGACGCTTCTCGACGTCCGATTGACAATTGCGTCCACGATGGGAGTCGATCGGGGCGTGGGGCTGTGCGGGACCCACGACAGGGACGAGGATCATTTCATGTATGTATGTAATCAGTCCATGTATAATGTCGATGACGTATTTCAACGACCTGCGGTGGGTATATGGACGCTCGACGGGTCACAAATCGAGCGATACATGTGTCTTCTTCCTGTCATATATGAGCGTATGGCATGTGGCTGGAACAACAGCCGTACAACAGCCGCATGCCAAATACGTCGGCCGACGTCCTGTGACTGTTCGCTCGTGTGCAACGCCCCTCTCGTCCTGACGTTGGAATGCAGCAGGAACCCTCCAGAAAGCCTTCGGCGACGTGCCACTATGCGCGCATGACGCTAATAAGCTTAAGCGTTGGCAGGACGCTTGCACGCGCAGCCGAGGCAGCGAAATTTCATGTTCAAATGATCTAGGTAAGTACGCACATGGTCCATCTGAGCCGGTGTCATTCAAGCGTCTTTATCCGGATAGGTTCGCATTTCTGGTCTTGCGTACGGCCGGTTGCCTAGCATGCAAGTGTCTGCGTCTTGATCAGAGGACAGTTGCTGCTGTCATTCTGATCGACAGTGCTACCCCTACACGTCGTATGGTAGTCCCCAAGGGAGAGGCGTACCACCTCCTGCTCAGATCCGGAAGGCAGAGAACGTAGACATTCCCAGCCAGGTACGCATAGCTGCTCGGCAGAGCACACACGCACTAAATCTTTATCATGCATTGGCACGCCAAACTGAGCACCTTCAAGTGCCCCTCCGTGATGTTCTGAGACGACCTGCACGGAAATAGGAGTACAAGGCTCACCTCGATCGGAACCCGGATTATGGTGCAACATTTCGGTGTACTTAGTACTGGCAATGCGACTCGGTGCTAGTACTATAGTGTGCATGGCCCAGATGGATTGATGCGGCCCACCGCAGGTTCTGTACCTGCTATTTCAAGGATCGAGTTGACTTACTTCGATGACACCTCGTGCATTTTGTGGCGGGAATGCGCTTGAAGAACGGTGGTGGGAAAGCAGGAGTTCGTAGGCTGTGACGGTGGTACTTCGGAATTCGTTGCCATACTGAACAGTAGAACGACCTCGACATCGGTCCGCCCCGTTACTGTCCCCGCCCTAGATTTCTATCTTCGAGGTCCACATTTCTTCACAACAGTGGTCCATTACACTCGACCTCTCGGACAACCTCCTTCAGCCGTTCAAGGTCTTTGGGCTCCATATTCTTCGGGTTCAATATACGCAACCTCTCGATCTCCGCCCCGGCTTCGCGGCGTTCGATTAAAACTTTAACTAGAGTGGTAATGCATCCAGCGGTATCCTCGCCAGACGGGCTTCCAGGATTCCTGAAGCATACGCCGTCCAGCGTAAGGAGACCGAGTTGGGGGAAGGGGTATCCCAGTGCGAAAGCCTCGTCATCACGTCGATGCACTACCGGATCATCTCTGTCTTTCTGCAGCAACACCCACTGGGGAACTACGTCGTGGTCCTTCGGCGGTCGGAGGTAGAGCTGTGTGACCTTCGTCATATGTTGGCTCGTCGCAGTCCACACATGATGCCCATGCAGCAGGGGGAAGTTGATGAGAAACAGGGAATCAACGTCATGGATAGGAGACAGTTCACAGAATGTCGTGAACATGTCCAGACCGCCGTCGTGACCGTCCGAGTCCCAGAACCGTACATCGAAGCTGGGTGACGTGCCGCTCCTCTGGGGATACAAGTCAGGTTGGTCCATCGCACCATCGTCGACGTGGACAATCTGGGTGTATCCGCGCACACGGGCGGCGTACCGAAAGAGCTCAACGACGAGCGTGAGGGGCCTGCCTAAGCTGTGCATCTTCGAAGCCAGGGCGGCGCAGAATTCGTGCTGCAGGGCTTGGCTACCTGAGGTTCGAAGCGCAGCGAGAGACGGGGTGTCCATGTAGCTCAGGAGGAACAAGTTGTTGACTGCACCTTCCGAGATGTGCAGGCGGCGCAGGTGTGGCAAGAAAGCATGAATAGAGGGAGCGGGTAGCGCTGCCGTGTTTGGACCCGGAGGGGACAACAGCACCCCGTAGTCGATGACAAGCTCTTGCAGGAGAGACATGTGTGCGAGGGCAGTCAGTAAGTCTTGAACTGTTCCCGTGGCCTTTCGTTTGAGCAGTCTATCCGAGTCGGGGTTGTTCCCGAGGGTCAGGTGGGTTAGTGTTGGTAGCACGATTGTGCCCCACTCCAATGGGACCGTGTAAAGGTGGAGACGTCGTAGATTCGTGGTCTCGAGACGGTGCATCAGGCGGAGGGCTTTATCGGGTGACACGCTTTCGTGTTCGCAATGAATGGACAGCGACTCGAGCAGGGGAGCGGATCCGCCCAGTCGGTCCAAGACGTCCGCGTAGTCAGGCAGAAGCCCCAGCAGAGTGAACGACAACCCGCCTATCCGTGGCAAATGCGACAGGATCAGATTCGCGACCCTGTTTTGGCCCTCCACCGAGTAGCCAGGACGAAACCGCCGATCAGCATCCATTGAATCCCACACCACCGATACGACGAGGGGTGCCTTCCGGGCCCACTCCAGAAACAGGGGGATCGGCAGGGATCCACACCGCGCCGTCACTTTGAGGTGGCTCCAGAGCGGTGTGCAGCTGAGCGCGACGGCTCGCCAGTGCCTGCAGACTTGAGTCGCTCGGAGCCAGTGGTACGGATGTAGGGCGCCCTGCCTGCCGATGCGCGCATCGTAGGTCGTACGCGCCGCTACTGTCTGTAAGAACACCTCGCTGAGGACCTCCGGGGGAAGCCTGGCGATGGGCACGAAGGTGTTGAGGCGGGCCTTGAGGTCGCTGATGCACTGGGTATGGTACGTGATGTCGTCGTGGATTGTCTGGAGAGTTTGCGATGGAGAGTCCGGGCGCACTTGACGGGTTGTTGAAGTGTTCACGTCCATTGCGTGTAACCTGAAGCACCGAGATGAGTTAAATTCCGAATAGATATTGCATGGAAACTCAACACTTGGTACCGTACAGTTGTCGTCGAGGTCTCTGAGGTGATTACTTACCGTCTGTCGTGGGCTCGACTGTGACACATACCAAACGCCGGAGAGTCACGCCCACTTGAAACTGCATAACTTGACGTCCATGCCCTGCTCAATCGATCCGCCCATGCATCTAATTCCACTCACCTACGCAATGGCGCTTCTCAGCCTGAGGCGTTGGCTCACTGCGCATGCATTCTGACTCGTGTAAGCTGTTAGTACGTCACGGTATAGTAAACGTTATATAGCAGATCGAAATTCGTGAACATGTCCAGATCTGATCGAGATCGAAGACTACGGGCCGTAATGGGACACGGTACTTTGCGGCACAACCAGAGTTACAAGTAACCATCGCTTTCCGAGCCGGAGTCGATGTCATCCTGAGGCCTGAGGCCTGAGGCCTTGGGACACCTTAGGCCAATCTTTAGTATAAGCGCTCGGAGGTCCCGTCCCACCCCACCACACGCACGACTTCCTTCAACAAGTCGATCTCTGAGTTCTCAGATTGAAGGGGGATATGATACGGAGCTGTTCGATCTCCGCGCCGCACTCGTATCGCTGTACGAAGCAGTTGAGCAGGCGGTCAAGCAAGGTTTCCTGCTGATGGTGGTCAGGGTTGCCCCGGCTCAGCAGCGTGAGGAGTCGAAGTTGAGGGAGGATATGATGATAGACGCGGCCATCGCCAGTCTGAATCTCGTTTTGTTTCCAGCGGCGTCGCTGCAACAACACATCTGGGAGGACCTCGAACGCGGAGCCATTCATGGCGCAAATCTTTGTGACGTTGCTGGTTTGCCCAAGAAGTGTGGATCATCGATGGGAAGGAGCCGGCAAAGGTCAGACACCCTATCGGGCTGCAAGGACTTCAGTTGTAAGTGCAACGCAGGCCGAGCCTCTATAATGCCCGTTATCTCTCCGTCAAAGTCTTTCAAGTTGGCCGCGCTGTAGACGTTTTCATAGGCTAGAACGCGTACGTAGTCACCGCTCCCTAACAGGTCGGGGTCAATCGCGATCTCAAGGGTGCGGAAGGTCTGGAGATTGGATGCCTTAGGAACAATAGCGGCAACGAGTATGGGGTAAAATGACTCTGGAGATGGGCCGCCGTCCACCAGCCAGCACAGTCGCGAGAGCGAGGGGGTTTCCAAATGGTTGAGAAGACATAGGCCGTTGGTAACGGTCTCAGCGATCTCTAAGGCTTGCAGGCGGGGAAGAGCGACTTGAATCGAGAAATCCGGGATCGCCGTCGTTTCGGCGGACGCCTTTAGTGCATACCGCATCACTAGCTCTTCGATATCCATGAGTGCAGGTAGCAGATACGATTCGCAGGTGACAGTCAAGTGCGTCAATTGTGGAAACGATACCACCGAGTCGGTCCACTTTGGCAGCGCAATGTTGGCGCAATGTTTTGCAAGTCCAATCGTCGAAGTCGACGGGTCTCGGTGTGCTGCAATAGCTGCTGCACGTGGTCCAGTCCTCTGTAAGCTGCGCCCAATCGTACCACCCCATAGCAATCAATCGACAGTGATTCGAGCTGCGGAGCAGCCTGAGCTCCGTCCAGCAGCCCCAGGACCTGGTCTGGGTAATATGGGTGACGGACCATGATAGACAACGAACGTACGCGCGTCATGTGCGAGAGGACCATCGCTATCGCCTCCTCCGGAAGCTGAGGCTCCGACGTGACGTCGGACTTCCACGCAGTGATGGCAACGGCGAGAGGTGCGCTTTTAGATCGTTCCAGCACCTCCGCCATCCACTCCGTCCGAGTCGGCGGCAATGTCGACACCATTATATCGCTCCAAAGAGCAAGGCAGCTCAACGCAACGGAGCGCCAGTGTCTACAGACATGGGATACGCCCATCCAGCTGGATGGCGGAGGCATGAGGTACGCACTCTGACCACCAACGATGCTAGCCGCGATGTGCAAGAAGACCTCGCAAAGGACCTCCGGAGGAAGCACAGAGATAGGTGCGACGGTGTACAGATGCGTTTTCAGCACTGCCAGGTAGTTTGATTGGTAGACGATCTCGTCTTCGATTGCCCCGCGAGTCCGCATCGCGGAAGGCTAGGCGTACGGGGCGACCACTTGATTCCACCGCCATATGTGGTATGGAATGCGTCGGCCTCAGGCTGATGGGAATGCTGCACACTGGCAGCTACCTCGCGCGAGTCAGTGAAATGGTTCAGAGGAATGCGGCATTGCTCACGTCGTTCGAAAGGATTCTACCCGCGTGTGTGAATACGGTGCAATGGGCTCCTCAACTTTGGCAGTTATCAATGTTCAAGTTGGAGGTAAACTTTGAGTGTTGCTGTACGGATACAGTACTGGACATCGATGACAGCCACTTTTGCGCGTGGGTGTGCATACGTGCCCAGGTCACCGATACTTCTGTGTAAAGTTCGGGAATAAAAAGCACTGTGACGTCGAGCGACAACCTGTTACTGACAGTGTTAGACGTCAGACCATGGGGCCGCTCACATTGTGACTCAAATCACAAAAAACACGCTGACCTCGACGCATGCATTAAGGGGGAATCGAACCCCCGGCGGGTCGATGGCAACGACCCAGGTTACCACTACCCCATTAATGCGATGCAGAAACTCGGTTAATGCCGTACCTGATCATCTCCACGTTCAATGACGCACACAGGCATGAGTACTTGAGTTAACCGATTGAGTGCTCACCGGCACACTTTATGGTACAGATTCAAACAACACATTGGCAGGTATCTTTCATGTACATCCTGTGGAGTTATCGAGAATCGACCCCGTGGTTCTCGACTGACCGGAATAACCTAAACCAGCCAGACACAGTACCTGCCGATGTAGCTCTAGGTCAGAAGTGCATGACGGCTCGGAAGCAAACATAAACCACACCTTTGACGACCCGTTTTCGTCGTACATGTACTGAATGGATTACGTAGGTCGTCATTTGACGGAAAGTGTTGTCCAACTGTGCATAGAGCGTAGTTCTGGTGTCATTGTAACCAGGACACGGGTATACTCGGGAAGTAATGGAGCCAAGGACGGAATCATCAATCCTTTGAGTCCAACTTGAAGCTCAAGGCCCGCCTTGATGCATCACGATTGAACCGGTTGCAATGCACCGGCCTGAAAAAATAGAAGACAGAAGACGAAGGTAGCTGTCGCTTCCGCGGCTCCGCCGAAAACGTCTGAGAATGAACCGTGACGGAGACGTCAGTTCGATGGGGTCAGTTCATCTGTCGATGCCTGCGCCGCCTACGCTGGCTTTATGTCTATAGCACACGGTGTGAGAGATCTCTAGATTCGGTTTGCCGCCTCAAACAGTCTCGTGGCGGCAAGACATCCCAAGAAAATTCGAAGGGACATGTACACCCTGCGCTCGCCGGCGTCTGGGTCCTGTGTCATCCTCATTTGCATCCGCCGAGCACCCGCCTGTCCGCGCGAAGCCGGAGACCTCAACAGGACACTGCTCACCGGCGGCGACGAGCCTCCTCAGGCGATGAGGGACTATGAACGATTGCATGTGCTTGCATCGCGGATGAGTGAGACGAAGAGCGAGCGACCCAGGTTTGCACCGTGAAAAGCCTACATGTCTCTAGCTCGCCTACTTGAGTTGTTCGGCGTGCGCCCATCTCGGTTTTAAGGGCGGAAGGAGGCCAAAAGAGACTCACAATTAATCATGCCTGTTCCTTGCCGCGCAAATCGCAGCGTCGACTCGTATCCGAGCGGGTGGCGATCAGAGGTGGTTCCTGATTTAATTGACCGGCTGCGAGGCTCTCACAGCGAGTAGCGAAGCGAGTTAGACGCTGCTGGGGGGACGGAAGGAGAGGAGCTGGTGCGAAGGGGAGGGCGGAACGGAGGGCAAAATGAAGTGCGGGGAGGCGCCGGGGACGGAATTGAAGCCACGTGGAGATCTTGCGGTGGATCGGGAAGCGAGGACGCGCTGGGCCAGGACGATAGCTCGTCGTCGTCTCCTCGTCGCCGTCCTCGTCCTCGTCGTCGCTGGCTGCGACGCTCTCGAGCCGTTGTGCCCTTCCCGCCCCGCCGTCGACGGCGCTGGTCTTCCTTGTCTTCCTCGCAGATGCTCTGACCGCCGGCAACTCGCCGTGATCATCATCACCTTGTCCTTCTGGCGCCGCAATTCTCCCTGCCATCCTTGTGCTCCTCCATGTCCCGCCCCACGTCCCCCTCTGTCTCCCGCCCCCTCGTTCTCTCCACCCTCGATGAACTCGCTGCCCCGCCTCGCCCCCGCACCGCTTCCCTACCCGCCACCGCTGACCCCTTTACGGCCCATCCGACTGGCTCTGGCTCCTTCGTCACCTACGAACCAGACAACGCAAGCATGGGCTCTGCCTCGCCACCCCCTGCGTCTGTGCCCCTTGCAATGCTCCCTAGGCGGGCCCGCGGAAGCTTGCTCATGGCGTCTGGTCTCTCCTTCGTCCGGGCGAAGCACAAGGGCAAGAAACCGCCGACACCTGTCCAGCCATCTCCCTTCGTGTTCTCCGAGGTCATCGAGATTTCCGCGCCGCGCAAGGACGACGACGACGAAGAGCGGGACCGTCTGCGCGACGCCGCCGCACAGTCTATCGGCCTCGACCCCGTCCTGCTCGCAGATGAGCGCTCCCTCTCCGAACCGGACGTTCCAGAGGACACGCGTGCAGGCTCCTCGACGCCCACTCCCGCTCCGTCCGCCGAGCTTCCTGGCTTCCCGTCGACGCGCTCTGCTTTGGAATCGTTTGTACAGCTCCAGGCGCGAATGGCAAAACACTACCCGCCACCATCATTCCTCAAGCTTACCCTCGCACGCCAGTGGAAGTATCGTGTGCTCGTGCTGACGAGCGCCGCACAGGGTAGCGCATGTTTGCACGTATTCAAGACAGGTGTATCTGACGAACGCGAGCTGGAACGCCTCCCCGTAGGCGTGGACACCGTTGTGTTCGTCGCTGACGAGGATGTCGGCGGTCGGCGTGGTGTGGTACGTGTCGGCCGCCCCGACGGCGCGGGTATGGATATGGCATTACACATGGCAGACTCTGCGCAAGCCCAGGAATGGATTGCCGTTATCAAGCAGGCCGTGCTCAGCCAACGGTACGCCCGCTCGTCCTTGTATTCCCCGCTGCTCCATTGACACACCCCATAGTTCTTTCCGCGCGGGCCTTGGTCTGATGGCGCACAGCCCCGGCGGGGTCGAACCACGCGGGGATATGGACGTGATGTTGAGCATGCGCGCGCAAGGCATGCTCTCGTCCCCGACGTCGTCGACTTTCAGCCCGGAGATTGCGAGCGCGCCCGTGAGCCAGCGCTCAACAAGTGCAGCAGGCACGCGCTCGCCCTCGGGCGCCGTCTCTGCACTGCGCGGTCTGTTCTCAAGCCCTGGCAGCCGCCCTCGGTCCCCGTCGATGGCGAGCACACGCGTTGACAGCGAAGACTCGGGCAGTCAGCATGAAGATTCATTCGGCCGCGTGGGCACGAGCCTGCTTGGCATGCTCAGATCGCAGAGCGTCGCGAGCGAGCGCCCGATATCGCCTGTGAGCTCGATGAGCGCGGGTATGGTCCCTGCGTCAGTGCCTGCGACTCCGCGCCAGACAGAGATCCCGCTCGTACAGCCACATCCGCACTTGGACCGCAAGATTCTACAAGACAAGGATCTGGATCTGATCGAGTTCAGACCAGCCAGCGGCGGAACGGACGTGAGCGCGCTGCTCCGTGGACGCTCCCCGCTCTCAATGGCGACGCTGCGTGCTACGCCTGCCCCTGCGACGACACCCCCGCCCCTCCAGCCACCGCCAAGACGACGCGGGTACACCATCGGGAGCACCCCCATGGGCGCGCGGCCCCGACCTGACACGATCGCGGGGACCGCATATACGCACGCGAACGGAAGCACCGCGGAGAGCTTCGGACTGCGTGCCGCGGGCATGAGCATGCTGTTCGCTTCGCATCCACCGCCTGCTCCGAGCTCACGTCCGGGCAGCTCCGGCGGTCAAGCGGAGGGCAAGCCACGAACGTCCCTGTCATCAGTCTCATCATATGCGTCGTACGCGTCGAATGAGCGGCATGCGTCGTCCGAGGCGGGACACTCTAACGGACATGTGAACGGGAACGCCAACGGTTCTATCAATGCGAAACGCTGGTCCCGGCAGAGCATACTACCGCACCGGCTGACGCCTCCAGAGGGTGCCCTACCCGCGCCGCCTGCACCTCCCTCTACGCATGGTTCGCCAAGGTCAATCTCATCGCTCCCTCGCCATCCATACGCTGCGGAGTCATCATCGCAGAGCGTCAGCAACGACAGCCCCCAGAGCTTCGTCTTCAACCTTCGCGAATCGTCACGGCGTGATACGTCTCCGTTGAGCAGCGCCAGCCCCCAGAGCTTCGTGCTCAACCTGCGCGATTTCTCGCGGCGCGCGTCGAGCTCGTCCGCACGGAGCTTTAGCAGCGTGAGCACGTCCCACTCGCGCGCCACGACAAGTAATGGCGGAAGCTTCCTGGGGCATCGCCCGCGCTCGTCCCACCGCGCGTCGATGCCTCCGCCCCAGCGGCCCGCACCGCTCACAGCTCTGCCACCCACGCCTGCGTCCACCGAGTCTGACTCGCCGCCGAAGTCGCCGAGCTCTGCGCCATCTCACAAGACTTCGTTCCGCGAGTCGCTCGCCCTACGCCGTTTGTCATTGTCCCCGCCCAGCGTCCCGCCCTCGTCCAGCCTGCCTCCGTGCCCCGACGAGCCGACGTACCGTGGCCACGGTCACCGTAGGAGCCTGAGTAACGCGAGTCCGCTGACGCCCATCCCTGCGTCTCCGGGAGCGAGCATCTCAGGCTCTGGCCCTGCTCCCCCGTTCCCACCACCTAACGCCTCCTTGCCCCCAACGCCGGAAGCACATTCAACTTCTTTCACCTCCGCACAACATCCCAATGCTACACCTACGCCCCAGCCGAATCCGCAACCGCAGTCCCGCGCAGCCGCCTTCAAGCAGCGCATACGCATGCTCAGCGCGCCCTCCCAGGTTGCCCCGCTCCCTCTCAACCTCCCGCCGCCGTCGCCGACCCCATCCACTGTCAACCCCTACTCCGTTCCGAGCACACCCATCGGCGAGCCGATCGCGCAACCCTCCCTTCAAAATGACCCCAGCTTTGTCTCCTCCGCGTCGATGCCCCCAATGCCCCATCTGCCTCTGGGCAGCGCATTCTCGCCGCACACCTTTGCGGCGGACGACCACGAGCACGGCGTGACGTCGCTCTCGCCCCCGCCGCGGCGCGGGTCGCGGAGGATATCGCGGTTTCCGGATAACGGGAGCGACGACTCGTCAGAGAAGGACAAACCGAGACCCTCGACGGCCGACGCCGCGGGCGACGCTGGCCATCGACACGGCTCCCTATCGCTTTCGTCGCGAACGTCAGCTGTTTCTTTAATCAACTTGCACTCTACGTAGATATATGCTTCATTTTCTTGTGTGATCTTGGTCGGATCTGTTCGTGCTCTGTTCAGTTATTTGCTTGTTCTTCTTTCACCTGGGATCGCGGCACACATGTATAGTATCATTGAGATTACAAGCTGTCATTATTCCTTCATAACAATACAATCGTAATCAGAGCAATGCGTGCGACAGATAGATAGTAAGGGTACAGCGACGAGTCCACAAGCAGTCCGATAGATCACGCAAGACTATTCTCCAGGTCAGCACTATCATCTCCCGTCTCGAGGTTGGCGAACGACAGGAACGCGGCCGGGCGGTGTTCCTCGGCCCAGAACAGCAGAGGCGTGTCGAGCGTCATCGAGTAGTGCATCGACGGCGACCATAGCTGCGTCAGCCCGATACCGTAGTTCCATACGCGACCCTCGGGCACGAGCGTCATGCCTAGTACACGGTCTGAGAGCAGAAGCTGCACTCGCTCAGACATGTTCGGGTTGAAGCCCTGCGTATTGCAGTACAGTCAGTATGGATTGCGGCTAATGAATTATATGACGACTAACCTGTGGGTTGGGCGACGTGTCGGCGTTCTTCCGGCCCCACTCAAACCCTGCGACTGAGAGCGAATGCGCAGACAACGATACGGAACCCGGCGTGAACGCGCTGGTCAAGCATATTGACGACGAGCCCCATTCAGGATGCTCGGCCATCAACTTCGCCTGCGTGGTGACGTCCGTCGGCGACAAGTGCGGCAGCTCGAGAGCCTGAGTCTTGATCCATCCGAGCGGTTCGAGGTCCTTGAGCAAGAAGTCGTCCTTCGGCAACTGCGATGGCAACTCGACACTGTTGTTATTGCCTCGCTGCGGGACCCATGCCACGGCTTTGATCTCCTTGACCTGCTTGTTGTCTGGCGGAGAGACGCCGTACAGGAACGCGGCGACCTGAGTGCGCAGGTCGGCAGCGGTGACAAAGGCACGGAGGATGTTCTTCGGCAAGACGTAGGTGAACGACCCAGCATCGTCTCGGACATCGTCGTTGGAGACGTAGATGTGCTGGAGACGAAGCGGTAGATGGGTAGCAGAAATTGCACGTACACGCCAGTCGGACTTGCTACTGAACACCTGCTGCTCGTAATTTGTCGTAGTCACAGTCTGGATAGCATCACCGTGGATATTGGTCGTCTGCGTCTGCACCGCTGTGACTTGGCTCTGCGCCTCAGAGCTCTTCTCGAGCTCCGCCATCTGCTGCCGCTGCACGGACGGTGCTGCGATCTCCTGACCCAAGATGATATCACGAATTTCGCTGGCCGTGAGGGAGGCGATGTTCACACTGTTCCGCTTGCCGAAGTCGGCCAGAATGAGGTCCTTGAGGGCAACTTCGACCTTAATCCACTCCTCGTCGCTAAGAGATGGCCATACGAAATGTGGCTCCGTGACGGTGTTTTTGTCCGGCCGCAGGACGATCTTGGCCTTCTCGTTATTGACGTGGAGCCCACGGAGTAGAAGGATGAGGCGGGAGAAGGCCGTGTAGCTCGAAATGGACTTCAGCCAGTCGTCATACAGATTGAACAGCACCATCTGCGGCTGTGTCGCCCGTAGGATCAAATCACCGAATTTCTCCATCTTCATGCAAGCCTGGAACGGCAGCTGCAACTCTGATCCCTTGATGACGATGTTCGGGAAATCGAGTAAGTGGACCTCGAGGGGATCCAACATGCCCTTACGGGTCACAATGACCTGCTTGGGCTGCTCTTCCACAGGCAAGGAACGGACGAGCGCTGCTACTTCTTCGGCGGTCTTCCACTTGGCCAGCTGGCCCAAACGCTTCTGACCTGCCCATACACTGGTGTGGATGATCTTCAAGAAGAGCTGACCAGAGCGAGGGTTAAAGATGAAGATTGCGCCGTCTACGACAGGAATAAGTTAAGAATCTCGTCCAACGTAACGCGAGACTTACTGATAGGCTTAGTCGTCAAATTACCCTCGAACGTCTTGTGGATCGTCACACGGTATACGTTCGTGTCGTCAACGAACCCTAAGGCGAGTGTGAGACGCTGCTGTTGTAAATCATCCATGTGAAATCACACTTACAGATGATCTGGTTCGAAAACAACTCTGAGTAGTTCTGGCTGTTGAGATACGGTTCCGTCGGCTCGGACGAGTAGAGCTGGAGACCCTTGCGGATACGCTCGCGCAAGACGTGGCACGCCGGGTTGGCCTTCATGATCTTGGCCATTGCCTGCTGGATGAGCGGCTTCATGCCCGGGAACCAATTGCCGTACGCCGACCAAAGGTTGTAAGCCAGGTCCATGCCGATCATGACACCTGTTGGCGAGGGATAGATGCTCATAGAGTCGGAGATGTAATCCAGGAACTTCGCGCGGGTGTATCGCTCGATGTCGTGCGTGTCGAAGTCTCCCCAACGAAGTTGAACGTCAATCCAGTACTTGTTGCTGGTCGTGCCGTCGAGAACATCCTTGCTATCAGTAACGAGCGAAGGCCGGGAGATGTTCCACTTGTAGGCGGAGAAGAGGAGGATGTCTGCGCAAGACGAGTTCATCTTGTAACTCTTACGCGGGTGGATAGTCTCCTTCTGAACGGTTTCGATCTGCAACGGCTCGAGCTCCTGGTCGAACACTTGGCACAAGTCCATGACAACGCTCTCGTGAATCTTCTGCCAAAGATGGGCACGGAAGATCTGGATCAAGCTGATCTTCAGGGTCGGAATCTTACCGTGCATGAAGATGCCCGTCAAGTCGAGTTGGACCTGGAAACCGACGTAGACGTTGGCGCGGTTGATCGTAGGGCTCCACCACAGCGTGAATCGACGGTTCGGGATTTGATTCAGACCTGACCTCTGCGCGTTCGTGAGCTTCTTGTACCGCATCGACTCCTCGAACCCAGACGCCTTCTCCCAGAACAATCCCTCCCACGTCGGAAAGTACGTGCCCTTGAAAAGAGTATGCTCAAGGATGCCTTCGACACCTCCCAGAGCAGCAATGACATCGACTCGGTAGTTGTTGAGCTGCCATAGCTTGCCGTCGTGGCGCTGAGACGTCCACCAGAAAGGGTTGTGCTTGAGCAGCTGGTATTGTTTCCAGTCGGTACGCACACGCCAACCACGATCGTACGCAAGCGTATGCCGATCCTTCTGGAAGAGCGTGTTGATACGCGGGATACCGCGATCCCAGCTGTCCTCAAGATCCTCGAGCGTCAGACGGCGATTCTGGGCGTTTGCCTCCTTCCGCTTCATGGAGTATTCCGACCAGACGCGAGCTGAGTCCAAGAACTCTGCTTCCCAAGGCTGGAGGTAGCGGTAGAGGTTGGGAATCAGCTGGTCCTCCTCGTGTGACATACCGGCACGGAAGTGGGTGACCCCGACGTCTGTCTGCTTCGACCACCGAAGATCGCTCTGTGGGATGAGAACGTGACCCATCGACAACATGCCGAGACCACCCAATTCTTTCGGTGTATAGAAGACGACCGGAGGGAAACGCGACGGCATCTTGGAGTTCAAGCCGATCTTGACACGCGTCTGGATCTTGTTCTCGGCCTTGACGAGAGAATCCAACAGCTCGTTCGTGTGGATGACGGCCTCACGGTAGTACGTCATCAGACCAATGAGGGCGGTGTTCCACTTGTTGACGATCTTGGAGAACGTCGTCGAGCCCGAGCTCATCAAGACCTGACGAATTCGGTTGTTGAACTGCTGGACGCCTGTCGTGAACCAACATCAGTAAGCAGTTTGAGGGAAGTAGCGATTGACAAACCTTCATCTGATACGCGCAGGAACGCCTGGGCAGTACGCTCCTTCGTCTGCTCATTGGTAAGGTTCCATACGGCATCCTTCAGCGAGAACTGTTCGCCACCCATAGTCCTGATCTTGGGCAGGATGCGAACTTCAAACCCACACATCGAGAATAAGAGTTGCGGGTTGTCCTTAGAGAACACGCTGACGAAAGTGTCTTCCCACTCGATTGTGGTGAGCGACCGGGGCAGACTCTGCTTGACATTCCAGAAGACTGCTCTGCCGAGGTTGACGTCGTGCTTGATCAGGCGCATACGACAGTCTCGAGGCCAACACCTCTTGTTGTTGTACCCGATGACGTTGTTGTTCGTCGGGTCAGGGTTCGCACTGAGATACCGCTGGATGAGGTCTCGCGACTCTTCGGCCGTGAAGCGGAACAAAATGTGGATGCGATCGACGTAACGCGAGTAGAGACGGATCGGATGACGCGTCTCGGTGGCGGAGTCGCGGTATTGCAGGAAGTTGTTCGGCATCTGCGGTGGTCCCGCCATCTCGCTGGCGCGTTGAAGACCCAGGATGAGCAGGTCGAGGACCAGGCCGTAGTACTGGAAGACGAAGGCTGAAAATTGGAGACCACGGATCAGACCGTAGGCGTTTGTATGCGCCATATCTATCGTGCAAGTCAATGCTAGTTCGATGACAATAAACTAATAATACTCACCCTTGTACGTCAAGACAGTGTTGTTCTTCGCCGTGATATAATCTGCCAAGTTATGGTCCAGAATGAGACGCAACAACCGGTTGAGCAGCGTCAAATCAATCTTCTCGTACACCTTGGACAGCACCGTCTCCATGAGCACATCGCATTCGCCCTCGCCCGTCTCCCAGATGTCGGTCAAGTTGTTGATGCCTTGGCACCACTTGTAGACGAGAAGCGGCGGCGGCTCAGTGTCGGCGGGTTTGATCCAGGAGGGGAACAGACCACGCTTGTCGGCCTCGAAGAACAGGAACTGATCGAGGTAGGCGTCCGTGATCTTCTCTACGGGCTCGATGTCGTAGCAAGGAATGAGTTTGTCGTAGGTGTCGAAGAACTCGATGCCAGATTCCTTGAATGCACGCTGTGTGAGCAGCAAACGCTTGATACGCGACAAGCATTCATGCGGGTTGTCGTACGCCTGCTCAATGAGCGCCAACTCCTCGCGTTGCGACTGGTTCAAGCGGCCCTTAACCGAATACGCCTCCTTGAGCTTCTCGAGCGCGAGCACCAGAAGCTTGGTATCGTGCTTGTAGTTAAGCGGCGGGAAGGGGATGGGCGAGAACTTCCGGCTCTCGAGCCAGTGCACGGTGGCAGTATAGATGGCAACGGCCTCCTCAGCACTGATGTACGGACCGTCCTTGAGGTACCCGTGCTGTCTCTCCTGCTCAGCCTTGAGATACAGGCGAGTGAGACGACCGAGGTTCTTCTTGACGACGGCCTTGTCGACGGTCGCGCCACGCCGGATACGCTCACGATTGTAGTGAGCGACAGACGTCCACCAGTCGGCCTTGCTCTTGATATAACGAAGGATGATGTTTTCGATGGCCGTCGGCATTCCGGGCACCTTCCAAGGGACTGGATCCAACATCAGATACCTATCGCGAGTTCATGTCAAGCAGCGACTTACTGTTCGCCTTCCAGCAGCGCCAGGCCTCCGACAGATGCTGGAGGATGGTCTTCGACTTGTTCTGCTTGATCGACTCTGGCATCATGTCGAGAATGTCGTGCATGACCGCCGCACGAAGCTCAAGGTCATAGTGCGACTCGACACGCTGCTTCGTGACTGTCTTCGCGATGCCCTTGCTGTTACGACCCTCAAACTGACGCGCGAGCAGATTCCCAAGCCAGCGCTCGAGCAAAGGAACGATACCACGCATGAAGAATAGCCAGACACGCCAGCCGGGGGCCCAGAACCCGACACCAGGACCTTTGCCGACAGGACCGGTGTTGAAACGGTAGTAGATCAAGTGCTTGAGGTCCTTGGTCATTCGTACCTGACGCATCAACTAGAACGCGCAAGGGGTCAGCATGAGAGATACTTGCCCTAAGATGGAGGAAGACTGACCTTGTACTTGTAACGGTACATACCCGTAAGGGCACCAATGTGCGCGAAGATGTACTGCAACGCATCCGCGAGCTGGAATGCATCGACGTTGCCGAGACGGAATTGGACGTGCGCGTCGACCACCAACTTCGTGAGACGAAGGATTTCACGGCAGAGATGGAAGGCATTGCCGAATCGCGACTTCTTACGCTCCTTGGTCGTGAGCGTCTTCACCGGCTTCAAGTTCATGTTGTAGTCGAGGTGGAGGTAGTTCAAGTTCTGATAAAGTGCGTCAGTGACCACGCTAACCATGCTTCCCGAGACAATGTACCTTTCGGTGGATGAGCAAGTTGAGCATGTTGTAGCCCTGCCTGCAGACCTGCAAACCCGCCTCGACCCAGTCTAACCGCGTGGTCTGGAAAAACTTGGTCGCCTTCAGCTGTTTGAACAGGTTCTTCTTCGACATGGCCTTCTCCGGGCGTGTCTTGAGCTCGTTCAAGACGTAGCACTTAAGTAGCTTCTGATACGACACGCGAACCTTGACCGCCTGGTTAGGAGGGCAGTGCTCAAGATACCAGTCCTTCACGAGCGGGATATCCTGCGCTCGGCGCATACGCCCTGAGCGGCGACTGTACGGATCGGGCGCCCACCAGAGCGCGATAGCATCCGCCGTGAGATCGCTCTCCAGCGGCTTGTCCTCGAGGAAAGGCTCGACCTCGTCAGGGAGCTCGAAGTCGTCGTCCTCAGCATCGTTGGGGCCGAAGATCGCGTCCTCATGGGGTACGAGTGGCGCATTCTTCGGTGTAAAGCCACGCAGCGAGATAGGATTGATGAGAGGGTCGAAATAGAACGCGGGCAGGTCAGGGTCATCGGTGCGAATGTAGACGTTCTTCGGTGTGTGATACAGAGATATGTGGACGGAACGAGGGAGGGAGTTATACAGATGGGGGAAAGCGACCTTGTACTCAGTCCGGATTTGCTGTCGAATGATGACTTTGTTGATGTCGTTGAACTCGTTCCAGTCCTCATCGAAGCTGTCCATGTCTCTATACAGAGGCTCGAATTTCGGGCCGCCGGGAATCGCCATGTTGAGCGCTTTCGCAGTGAAAAACGACTTCTTGTCGAACAGGTAGCTCGAGTTGCCGTCTGTGTGATCCGACAAGAGTGTCCGACCGAGACGGTACAAGTTCGCCATGACAGGCAACGTCAGGTTCCAATACCTGTAAGACGACCCGTTGACGTGCGGGGTACCGACAAGCGGCTTCGGGTCGTAGAACCATTCGTGTATCGCGGAGTCCTCCTCCTCATCGAGTTCCAACTGAATGGCCTCGAGAGGCTCCACGTCCAGGACGTTGTCGCCATAGTCAAGGGGCGGCTCTTCATCATCAAATGGCGGGAACCGCATGCGCTTGAAGTGTCGACGGTCGCGCTTTTCCCTCCGCATTGCTAGCCACATGCTGCTCCATTGTGCGTGGTAGACGGGTTCAATGACTCGCGGAATCTCGTTTACGAACGTGATAGCCCCAGTGATGTGGTAAAGCACGGGGACCTCGCGTACTTGCTCCCAGGGGTAAGGGATGTTTTCGAGCAGCTTCATCACGGCGTGTGGAACGTACTTCAATGCACCCAGATGAACGCGTTTGTCGTTCCTGAACTTTCGGTTGCTCATGTCACCGTGGTCCTTGATAATTTTACGGACGTGCTCAGGCGGCAGATCCTTGCGATATAAGTTAGCACGCTTGCACGCTTTCATCCATACTGTGGGACGCACCTGCTTTCCCATGTCCACATAGCCCCCTTTTCGCTTCTCGCCATATCTCTTCCTCTGCATCTGAATCCACTTCTGGGACTTTTGCGCGAGCACTTCAGGAGGCATCCTCGAGCCCGAAGGCTGGTTAAGGCCGGGAGGAGGCGGCATTCCGGGAGGTGGGGGAGGCATCCCTGGCATCCCTGGTGGGTGCGGCGGCATACCGCCCATGCCGGGAGGGTAGGGCATTCCTGGAGGGTAGCTCATCGTGGTCGTTGGTAGAGGAGCGCTTACTGACGCTTACAAACAAACCCTCCTCTCATTGTCAAGACGCGTCCTATCGGACCTCAGAGAATTTCGTTCTCCGAAAGTCGAAAGTGAGCGGAGTCATGCTTCCCCACTACTGTGTGTGGTGGAAAGCCTTACCTTACTGGCCTCAAGTCGGTGAAACAGGAGTTCTTCTGTCGACAACAAGGTCTCTTGTAACTTATATGTTGTACACATCCATATTGTTCCCATACCCCTACGCAAGAGAGGATATTGAGAAGCTTTCAGCGCGTCTCTGAATATTGGTCCGAGACCTGTTCTACCGTATAGAGTGGCTGCTGATGTGGACGAGGGACGATACACAGCAGCGCGGAATGCATAATGCTACCACTTCGGTTTCCGTAGCGCTTTCTTGTTGGCCAAGGTTCCCCGCCCTTTGGCTGAGCGCACGGTCTGTAGCTCCTTGAACTTCTTTTTGGCGTAGCTCTTCGCCTCCGCATCTTCCACCAGTTCGTCCACCAAGGTGCGCTTCCTGTTGGCCCTGCTAAGGTTCTCTGCACTCGGGCCGCCGAACGGCGATGGTGATGTAACAATAGTACCAATCTAAGTGCATGTGAGATCGAGATGGAATTCCTACGGAGAGAAAAGCATACCGCGAAATGTTTAGGCAGGCCCTTGATACCTTTCCCTTCTCCCTCGTCCTTCCTGTAGAAACGTTTCGGGTCTAACTGATTTCGCAGCCGAAGCGCTTCGTATTCACGGTACAGTCTCGGAAGATCCGCCTCTGCAGGAGCCGGGAGATCGTACCAGTCCGGCCCTGTAGTTTTGTTCTTCAACTGTATTGGACTTTAGCAATGCATCTCCACGAGAATGGGCGAGGATACGCACCGCCTTCTTTTCCTTTTTCGTCAATGATTTTCCTGACTTTGTAAGTTCTGGCGGTGCGGGCGGCGAGGCGGGGACAGCGCGAGAGGAAGTTGCCTGCTCCGCCTGTTCGACATCTAGGTCACGGACCCGGGAAGGACCCGCTTGCCGCGAGTCCGCAAGCTCAATGTAAGGCTTGGGAAGATCTCCTGGGTCAAGGGGAGGCAATGACCTAGCGAGTGACATTAGACGAAGAAGAGGAACTTCAATAGCGAGCGCACTTTTTCAGTTCCTCCGCGCCAGTGTCCAGTCGGATCTCCTCTTCTTCGTCCTCGGCGGTTCGACTGTCGCTGGCACCTTTCCGGTCTTGCACCTTCAGTGCTGCATTCCTTCTGGCTTTCTCGATGAGAGAGTCCAAGAACTCTTGAGTAACCTCCGAATCCGAATCCGAGTCGCTGTCCGACGCATCCGAGTCCGAGCTGCTTGCAGCGCTCTCTGGGTCCGAGCTCGAATCTGACTCTGAGGCGCTCCCAGCTCGTGAAGAGGTTTCAGTAGTGCCCGCTTCTTCTCTCAGGACAGCCTTTCCTTTCCCTTTGTGCGAGCGTGTAGCAGTGGACATGGCGAAAGAGAGTCCGGAATAATCTTCGCTGAGAACCGAATGATCGGGAAGGGAAGGCAGTCAATTCCGTGAGTATCGGGGGTCTTGCTCCAGGCAGGCCTCTTCGGTAACCAACAGTGCCCCCCGCACTGCAACCTTGACCATGTTCGCCAGCAACATCGCTCGGCGGGCTTGTGGGACCAGTCGTTCATTCCGACACTGTCGATTCAGCCATAGCCAGCCAACTTCACCTCAAAATCGGGAGACTAGCCAGACCACCCACTTTGGCTTCAAAACTGTGCCGGAGCAGCAGAAGGAATCCCTCGTCAAGAATGTGTTCGACTCTGTCGCGTCCTCGTATGACCTCATGAACGATGCCATGTCGCTCGGGATACACAGGCTATGGAAAGACGAGTTCGTGGGGTTACTGAAGCCGGGTGCCAAGGGACCACAGAGGTGCATAGACGTTGCGGGTGGCACGGGTGACATCGCGTTGCGCATGCTGGACCATGCCAGGGAACGGTACGCAGACAGGGAAACAACCGTAGACGTCGTGGACATCAACGGGGAGATGCTCAAGGAAGGCTACAAGAGGTTCAAAAAGACCATGTATCACAACAGTACGTGTCTGTTGTAACCCTGTTGAGCGTGGCCTCATCATTCCTGCAGCTCCCCAAATTGCTTTCCAGGAGGCCAACGCGCAGGCATTATCTCCTGAACGGTTCCCTGACAACACTTACGATCGGTATACCATCGCTTTCGGCATCCGAAACTGCACATCTGTCCCTGACGTGCTAAAAGAGGCGTACCGAGTTCTCAAGCCGGGCGGAACATTTGCGTGCCTAGAATTCAGCAGAGTGAACAACCCGCTGCTCAGCACGTACGTCCGCTCATTCCTCTGCTTCATGAGTTCCATGAACTGACTTGTATTCTATAAGCGCATACGACCAGTACTCCTTCTCCATCATCCCTCTGCTAGGCACTATCCTCGCAGGCGATCGCGCGTCCTATCAATACCTAGTCGAGTCCATCCGAAAGTTCCCTCCGCAGCCAGAGTTTGCGCAGATGATCGCCGACGCTGGATTCGCCACTGGAGGCATGTTCGAGGGCAAGGGTGGCGCGTGGCGGGACCTCACCTTCGGCGTTGCCGCGATCCACACCGGTGTCAAAGTCTGATTGTAGACAGTTCTGAATTTATGGCGGTTCTCTGCGCAACATTGTGGACAACCCTTGTCGCTTAGCAATTGCTTGACGATGTAAGACATTGGCAATGCGAACGGAGGGGAAGTGACTGTAACGCGCGTGACCTTTTAGAAGGCTGTAACGCCCCCTCCTCGCTGAGTGCGCGCTACCTCGTTTGTCGCGGACCGCCACAAGGCCCTCCTCCTGCTCTCCCCATCTCGTATACACCTAGCTCTTGTGTCCACTTGGTACAGCGTACTAGCCGTCTGCGATGGCAAACAACGCTGGTGCGTACCCGATGCCGCCGCAGAACGCGGATCTCGCGACGACATGGGCGTACCTCGAGGAGGGCGTCGACCACATCATGACCAAACTGCAAACGGGTGTCTCGTACTCCAAGTACATGAGCCTCTACACCGTCTCGTACAACTACTGCACGTCGTCGAAGATGCATGGAACGGGCGAGCAGGGTCTCGGGCACCGAAGTGAGTACCCTTCGTCTCAACATCCGAGTACATGTTGATGAACCCCAGCCGGAGCCAATCTGATGGGTTCCGATCTATACAATAATCTCATTCGATACTTCACCACGCATCTGGGCGACCTCAAGAACGTGCGTATCAGAACTCCTCATCTAACCCCAATTACTGACTTTGTCCGTAGCATTCTGACTCGCTTCAAGATGAGGCGCTCCTGCGCTACTACGCGCAAGAATGGGATCGATACACGACAGGAGCCAACTATATCAACCGTCTTTTCACATACCTCAACCGTCATTGGGTAAAGCGCGAACGAGACGAGGGTAGGAAAGGCGTATACCCCGTCTACACGGTGTGTCTTGTGCCACCCAGCAAGTCTGACTCGTACTCATACCCATTTCTATTCACAGCTGGCTCTTGTACAGTGGAAACAGAACTTCTTCCTCCACATCCAGAGCAAAGGGCAGAAGCTGGCGGGCGCTCTGCTTCGTCTGATCGAGCGCCAACGAAACGGCGAGACGATTGACCAGACTCTGGTCAAGAAGGTCGTCGACTCGTTCGTGTCTCTCGGTTTGGACGAAGTGATATCAACAAAGTGTCGTACGAGGTATACAAGGAGCACTTCGAGGCGCCATTCCTGGAGGCAACGGAGAAGTACTACAAACAGGAGTCTGAAGCCTTCCTCGCGGAGAACACCGTCGCCGAATACCTGAAGAAGGCTGAGGAGCGATTGCGTGAGGAGGAGGATCGCGTAGAGCGGTACCTCAACAACAACACGCGCAAGGGGCTCATCAGCAAATGCGAGCACGTCCTTATCCGGGAGCATGCAGAGCTCATGTGGGAGAACTTCCAGGAGCTTCTCGACTATGATAAGGACGAAGATCTCCAGAGGATGTATGCTCTCCTTTCGCGTATTCCCGAGGGTCTCGAGCCTCTGCGCAAGCGATTCGAGGAGCATGTCAAACGATCTGGTCTCGCTGCAGTCTCAAAGCTCGTGGGCCAGGGCGGAGCGGATGCCGTCGACCCCAAGGCCTACGTCGACGCCCTCCTCGAGGTGCACTCGAAGAACTCTGACACTGTCACGAGGAGCTTCCGTGGCGAGGCCGGCTTCGTGGCCAGTCTTGATAAGGCATGCCGAGAGTTCGTCAACAGAAACGACGCCACTGGCACCTCGACGACGAAGTCACCAGAGTTGTTGGCAAAGCACGCCGATGCGCTGTTGCGGAAGAACAACAAGATGGCTGAGGAAGAGGATTTGGAGGGCGCACTAAACAAAGTGGTGAGTGATATGATTGTGGTATACGCGTATGAGCCCCTCTAACATGATCGCTCCGTCGTAGATGGTTCTATTCAAGTACATCGACGACAAGGATGTTTTCCAGACGTACTACACGACCAAGCTATCCAAGCGACTGATCCACGGCGTCTCCGCGTCAGACGAAGCGGAGGCGAGCATGATCTCCAAGCTCAAGGAGGCCTGCGGTTTCGAGTACACCAACAAATTGCAGCGCATGTTCACTGGTACGTAACGTTGAGTTCCGTCATAGCTTGCCGATCGCTCACTGTACCGTAGATATGAGTCTCAGCAAGGATCTCACGGATCAGTTCAAGGAACGGATCCAGCAAAACCATGAAGACATGGACCTCACTTTCTCTATCATGGTCCTGGGTACCAACTTCTGGCCGCTCAACCCTACTAATAGCGAGTTCATCATCCCGACGGACATCCTGCCGACGTACGAGCTGTTTACGAAGTACTATCAGCACAAGCACTCCGGTCGTAAGCTCACGTGGCTCTGGAACTACTCGAAGAATGAGCTGCGAGCGAACAAGTTCAACCCGAAGTACATTCTCATGACGAGCTCATGGCAGATGGCGGTTCTTCTACAGTACAACAACAACGACACGATGTCTCTGGATGAACTCGTGACTGCGACTGGCGTGTCGAAGGAGTACTTGAAGCAGGTGCTGGGCGTGCTGGTGAAAGCGAAGATCCTCATCAGCGACGACAGCGACCAGTACGACTACAACCCGAGTGAGGACTTTGAGGTTTCCTCCGTTGTTGTGGCTTACATTAGACTGCAGACTTCAAGTCGAAGAAGATTCGTATCAATCTGAACATGCCCATCAAAGCAGAGCAGAAGGCGGAGTCGGCTGAGGTGCAGAAGATCGTCGACGAGGATCGTAAATACGTCATCCAGGCGACCATCGTCCGGTGAGTACACGCCGAACGATATGACTGCGCACATTCATTCCTGACCGTCCCACAGTATCATGAAGGCGCGCAAGCAGATGAAGAATCAGGCCCTGATCCAGGAGGTGATCAGCCAGATTTCGCAACGGTTCACGCCCAAGCTCCCAGACATCAAGAAGGTGCGTTCCCTTCTATGTATGGCCCTCGTGTCGTCCCTCATCGTTGCTCGATATAGGCCATCGAGCATCTGCTCGAGAAGGAGTACATCGAGCGAGTGGAGGGCACCCGAGACACCTTCGCCTACGTCGCGTGATATATCCTGCATGTTTGTCGACCTCGCTTTGTAGTGCTTTACGTTCAACGTCTAGACCTGTACATTGTAGCATATTTCATACTTCACGTCATGTCTCGTCCTCTTATGTTCTTGCTGTCCCTCACGGACATGTCCAGGATGCGCCCCGATATCGTTAGTCACCGTATGGATCAGATGAGATAACTTCATAGATACATGTGTACCCCATTGGACTGTATTTAAGTCAATCAGCTGTAGAACGTGAGCTTAGGTCCCGAAAGCCTAGCCCAGTGCTGCGCTGTCCTCTGGCAGATGGACGCACACACAACCGCGTCGAACACTACGCCTGCCTAATGAGGCAGAGGGCGCTCTCGTTATGGTCGTGACGTGGCTGGGCAAGAGTCCGCGACGGTCCGGCAACTCATTCCTCCGCCACCTGAGCGCATTCGTGCGCCACTCGCATGGTCAGTTCCAACTCACTCCTCATGATGTCTCTAGCTCAATATTGCGTGGACCTCTTACTGATAGTGAACGCTGTCGCTGCTTTAGTAAATCTGTGTGCAACCTACCCATAAATTGTGAGTGTCGTCTAGACCTGGCAACGAGTGGTGCAGTACCACTTTGTACGCAGTGGCTTATAGACTCTACAGTATTGAGATATTCTGAACAACTGCTTAAGAAAACGGTACGCTTCGTCAAACGTGCCATGGTTGTCCTATTAATTCGGTAACCAGGCAAACAATGAGCTTGAGAGATGCTTTACTTGCAGAGCTCGCCACACTCCCAGGCAGGCATGAATTCCACGTTCACGCCCTTGTTTCTGCTCCCAGAAAGCGCACCGACCTGTTCCCCTACGCGAAGCCGCGCCCGCGGGTCTATCTACAAGAGATCGTCATCTTATTGTCCGAACAGCCTACGTTCGACGGACCCCGCGTCATGGTGTCCGCCATAGAGGCCGCCCTCTACAACATCCCGTCCACGTCTTGCGGCATCCTCTACATCTCAAAGGTCGACTCCACCGGCCAAGCCTCCAGGCCCTCGCCCACCGCCTCCCTCGTCCGCGCATTCCTGAAATACTACGCCGACCCGTCCACGCGGCCTGTCCAGGCGGACCACCTCTGGATCCAGCTCTTCGCTCGGGCACAGCCGCAATACCTCTTCCCGAACTCCGCCGAGCACCCCGGTAAGAAGCCGCTCAACGACGTGCAGCTCTGTGCGTGGTGGAAGCGCGTCCTGAGCGACGTGACGAGCGAGCTTCGACGGCGCCGCAGCGACGTGACGGTCAGGCCGTACTACGTCCTGCCGGGCTACAATGAGCTCGAGGCGACTCAGTCGCTGAAAACACCGATGGTCTACCCACCCGTGGACACTTCTGCCGAGTCTGCGTGGACGTATGGACACCCGTATTCTCAGTCGGACGTGCCGCTCCCGTGTCCGCCGGGGACGGAGGGGGGTCGGACGAACCTGGGGCAGTTCATCCCCTCCTTCGATGACGACCCAAAGTCGCGCTTCATGGACGAGATCGCGCATACGACCAACGCAGACGGCGTGAGCTCTCCGAAGCGGAAGCGGCGGAAATCCGCCGGCGGCCGGCCTGAGCCCCCGTCAGACGACGAGGACGTGGACCACGGACGAGGCGAGCTGAACAAGGTGGGCCCGGAGGAGTTCTGGGAGCGCATGTCCTTCCGACAGGAGTGCATCGCAGGCGTGGTCACCGCGTTCTTCGTCGTCGCGCTTTCGTCACCAAAGAGGGATGGAGAGCATACTACCTCTGCGCCGTCGCCGTTGGCCCCGCAACCCGGCCAGGTCTCCTCCAAGATGGTCAGGCGCGTCATCAGCACGCTCCTGAACCACCACGACTTCTCTACGCGGGAGCGTGCGCTGCGCGCGACGGAAACGCTCGAATCCGCGATCAAGGGCCTCTGCGAGGACCTCGCGGCGGTCCCCTCCTCCCCAAAAGCCGCCGTCAAGCACGTCGACCGCCCCTCGACCCCAGAGCCCGGACCCTCGCATCTGCTAGAGCCACCGAGGACCCCTCCCCGGCGCACAGGGGACGCGCACCTGCCCGACATCTCGCCCAACCCGTTCCCAGACCCCGTGGCATCGCTCGAGACGTACCACTCGTACATCTACGGGTCGGCTGCGGTGGACAACCCGCCGCTGCCCCCGAAGGCGGCCCCGGCGGGTGGGCAGGCTGATTCAGCGGGGGGCGACCGACCGGGCCAGCCGCAGGTGACCGTGCTGACCGTGCGGAAGAAGCGAAAGGCCCCGTCGTGAGGTACGTATTTTGCGCTCGACGCCGGATGCTTAGTGAGGGTGAGCGTGCCCCTTGTACTGTTCACGGCTGCCGCTCATGCTGTTGTGTCAGGTACCCTGCTCTCGTATCTGAGGCCGTGCTTCTGGGACTGCATTTGGATAGCGTTGTGTGCTCATTCAATTCGTTCACTCAAACTAAGGGCGGGTATGATCCCCGTCCGGGCAACCCGACAACCCCGGTGTTCTTCTCAATGAACTTCTCGTAACCGGAGCAGAAAATAGCGCTGTCGATGCCGAGACTGTCAACGTTGACTTCTATACGCTGCCAGACAGGCTCAACGGGCTGCTCGCGCTCCCCTCTGCCTCGTAAGCCGGTGTGAATACGCTCCACTTATGGCGAGGGTGCGTTGCCTCTCAGAGACCCTCCACACTGATCGTATCATGACGATAGTGAGGGATTTCTCCGAGGTTCTGCGTTTATTGGGAGCGCGGGAAGCACTGAATTATTGAATGGTTGCCGTTACGTCTCGCCGCATGTTGTGCCTTCCAGGTCGAAGCTGCCCACGGATGAGATGTGCGCTTCATGGACGGTGTCGCCGCATCCATTGGTCGGCGCAGGTTTGAAATGCGCTGCCGCGGAAGCTGTATCGCGCTCAGCTTTGCTTATGTACTAAGTAGGGATGTGAGTGTGCAGCGCTATTGGCTCGCCGGAGGGACGACGTCCTACACGGTGAAGAGAGGACATCGATGTCGCCGAAGTCTCGTTCGGGTAAGTTCCGCGGTGCGACGGTCTGGTTTGCAGCTGCTCACGCCGAGGATGTTCGCGGCTAGAATTGTGTTCTGTGAGTGGTATGGGAACGGTGCGGGTGCGCATGGAGCGCCATGGGCTTCGCGGGAGCGTGCATCCGGCGTGCATCCCGGATGTCAGGACGCCGGCTCGCGTGTCTGTGCAGCGTCCCTTCAGAGGCAGAGGCGGGTCGCGATGGGATGGAAGAGGGCGTTCCATAACGGGATAACGAAGGAGAACAAGGGGCATGCGGGGAACGGCATCGGGATCTCACACCGTGTGGCGATATAGCGTCGAAGACACGGCGTTTGCGTTCGAGCAGCGACCAGTCTGGGCGGTCGATAGCCGAGTCAATCGCTATCTCACTCCCCGCTGATTTAGAACTTAATGAATTTTTCGCACCCGGCCCTCCTCCGGGTCCGGCGTGCAGCCCGAGCTTGGCCCGAGCAGCCATGCGTGCGCTGACGTCGCCGGTGCAGGCGCATGGCTCGCACGACGCCTGCGCCCGGCCTCGAGGCGAGTGCGAAGGTGTGCAAACGCTGTTCGAACCGAGATGATGCAGCTTGTGGGAGCCTTGGAGGACGCGCGACATGGCCGCCACAGGCGATCAGGACAGGTTGATATGGCGATTGGGAGCGTCGACGGCGCACATGTTTCAGCGCGCGGCTACGCAACGCATCCGCACCACCCGCGTGCGTCTTCGACACTGCGCCATGTGCGCGGGCTGCGGTGTGCATCGTCGCGCGGCGTCGTGGGCGGGCTGTGGGCGCGGCGTGCGCTGAACACAGCGAAGGGCGGCGCAGGGAGCAGATGGGGAGGAGCCGAACAAAGGAAGGAGGGCGAACCTTGGGCGAACCTTGTCTTAATTGACGGCATGCTATCTGTTCGATTCCATTTCTGCTGATCAAATCCATCCGACGCGTTGTCTGACCGAGTCTGACCGTCTATCACGCCTGCTGCGCCCCTTGCCTTTGTGCCGCCAGCTCATGTCCCTCCTTCCTCCTCCCTCGCCCTCCGCCACCTGACGCCGCCCCCATCTCTGATCCCGCCCCTTGCCCGCCGCGCCGCGCCGCCGCGTGCATGTCGCCCAACCGCGACGATATGGCTACCCAACCCGCCCAGACTCTGCCGTCCTTCACCCAGGCGTTCAGCACCCCCTCTTTGAGCAGATAACGTCAGGCAACAACGTGCTGCCGCCAATCCACAGACTAGCGTCTCCCAATGACCGCGCTCGACAGTCTCCGTCAGGCGGCGGATCCCCGCGCCAGACGGCAGACCGCAAGCACAATCACAGAAAGCGCTTGCATGCAGAGTCCTCGCCCGGCGAGGCGCGTGATGATGAGTCGGGATCGGAGTGAGTCCTACCACCTCTCCCCTGCGCCTTCCCTTAACAGGTCGTCAGGCTCAGCGGGCACCGATCTCCCCGCGCGGTCCGAATAAAGCTGGAGGCTGATCACGACTCCCTTGCCCATCCGGCACGGCTGGAACCCCCATCGAAGGATGCCCGGGACCTCGCAAGCCTCGCGTCGCCGCCAGAGGCGCGGGCCCCGCCCCAGAAGCGGCGGAGAGTGACCATCAGCGGTGGGTCGAATTCTATCAATACCAATGTCTCTTCTCCTGCATCCGACAACCTCAAGAGCATGTCTCCCGTCTTCATGGGCTTCACCGTCGGCCGCGACGACCCCCAGGCGCTCGAGCAGATGCGCTCGATGCTCACCGTGAAGCAGAAACAAAAGGAGCTCATCGAACAAAGACGAGGCAGCACCGCCTCCATCTTGTCCACCGCCCCACCCAGTGTCAACATCGTCAACCCGCCCGAGCATGAGGACGAGCGTGACGTACGAGTGCCGCCGAAGGCTCAGGCGCAGACTTCGGGCCAGAGTACTAGTGCCAGTACCAGTGGCAAGCCGGGCGGCCGCAGTCCAAATATACCGCAGTCCCAGCTCGCCGCGGATCGTCGTCGTCCCGTCGCTGCGGCGACTGCCTCCGTGCCGTCCCAGGCCACCCGCCGCACGCCCATCCACCCCATCCTGTCCACTCGTCGCATCCGAGCACGTCCAGTCTGCGTCACGATAGTCCGGGTACGCTTATCGCCGGCTCCCAGTCTTCGCAGCAGCTTCCCCCACCACCTCCCCGCTCAGAGAACCCGACCTTCATCCATACCACGACGTCCACTGTGGCACCACACCACACGCTCCCGCGCCTCCGATCAGCTTCGCGAACCGACGCGCCGGCCGCGGCGTCGGAGGGGCGAAGGGCAAGCCTGCCGATATTATGATCAACCCACGCGCCGGCCATCCAGAAAACCAGCCTGCAATCCAGAGTGCGCCTCCAATCCCGCGTGCGGACCCGACCGGTAGGTTTGGCACGATGGCGGTCCCGAGCTTACCACAGATGAGCGCCACCGTCCACCGACATACTGCCAGTAGAGTACCGCCTACGCCCACAAGACTGACGGTCGCGCGCAATCCTGGCCCGAGCAACCTGGGACCGGGGGCAGCCGCGCGGCGGGGCGCTCGCCGCAGAACGCGTCCGTGCCGATCGCGAGCTCGCTCGTCCCGCCGACGCCGGCGACGCTGCACCACCCGAACTACTCGAACGAGCGGTCGGCGTTCCTCGCGCCGTTCGAGCTGTTCTACGACGCGCTCGCGGACTCGAAGCAGCTCAAGAACTGGCTCGCGGACAGCTGCAGAAGAGCCAGGCCCTCGCCGCGGGCCTGCAGCGCCAGCAGGAGCAGCTCGACGAGCTGTCGAGGCCGCGGTCGAGAAGCGCGTCGGCGGCATGCGCGAGGAGATGTATGCGCTGCACCAGCGCGTCGAGGAGCTCGAGCAGGCGCTCCGCGGCGCGTGGCGGTCTCCAGCCAGGCTTTAGCCCGTGACCGGCTCCGTCGCGTTGAAGGGGAAAGGGAAGGCGAACGGGATGGGGGCGGTCCCGCCGGAGAGCTATACCTTCCCGCCTGTCGAACCGCACATGCGCCGCCCGGAGCAGGTGAGGAGGGCGCCGTCCCCCGTAGAGTACGACAGCCGGAGCTACCCAGGATCGGAGGCTGCGTCGCCTGCGCCGTTTGACGTTGGTCGTCGGCTCTCGGTGAGCGCCGTTCGCATGGCGCCGCGCTCGCCCCCGGAGCCCCCGCACACGCGCAAGGCGCTCGCTGTGCACCCTACGGCGCGGGAGCGTGAGCTGTCTGGGCCGGGTTACCCCCCGCCGCCGTCGGCGCATCCGGGCCATATGGGAAGGATAGGGATAGGGAGGTCCGTGCGCCAAAGGCGACTACGAGCTTGTCGCAGTCGACGTCCCGCGGGCCCGTGGCTGTGACGCACTTACACCCGTCCAACGAGGATTCTAGCCCGGAGCGACGGCCGACTGCGTATCCCCGTCGTGCGGAACGGAGGGGCTCGCCTGGGTCTGGCGACGAGCGGGCTGAGGCGGCGCACCCACTGCCGACGAAACGCGACCAGGCGTACCAGAGCCCGTCGGCGAACCACGCGCGGCCGCCCTTGGATGACCCCTGACGGACGCGCGGAGTCCGGGGCACGAACCGAAGCCGACCGATACGAAGGTGACGTTTTCTCGAAGAGCCTTTGCGCCGCGATGGACTCAGTCTGGGGCTTGTGGCGTTTAGGTTGCTGTTTACAGGGCACGTTGTACCATAGCATTTGTATCCCTTCCTCCTTTCCCTTCTTGTCTCCGCTCTGAATCCCGATGCCGAAGCCCGCGAACACGGTTCCCGTCCTTACACCATGACCTGCTCGCCCCCGCGGTGCCAGCGACACACACCCACTTCCCCCCGAGTCTTGCTCGCCCTCTCATCGCTTGCCGTTCCACCCATCCTACCGTTCATTGCCCGTCTCTCCATGTCATGACACCTCCCAGATGCTGCTGCCCTCCCGGTCGTTCTTGCTTCATTGTCTCTTCCTCGCTGTCGTCTCGTCGCTGTCTTTGCATGCCATTGTACCGTGTACGGATTAGCCATTCAGAACTTGAAAGCATCTCGCTGTTGTTCCACCGCAGTGCCAAATTATACCGGATTCTTGACCACTCTGAGCGTCTTGGTGAGATCAACACGTTGAGCGACATTGTTGATCAACTAGATGTGCGGTCAGCGGTCGATGTAGCAGCCGCAGGGATCGCGCTGTAGAAAGTGGCGGGTCCGACGGACGCGACGCGCGATGGGTGCAGCGCGTCATGTCTGTCACGTGACGGCGTTTTGTAGTGGTCGCGCACAAGTGCCGATTTGATTTGGGCAGTGTGTAGACGCGCCACGATGACCTTGACGACGGCGACACACATATGCTTGTTCCTCAACACGTTTGTATTACAAATCTACAGAATGTGGTTACAGTCATTGACCGAACGAGCTCGGAAATATGGAACACCGATCCGGATCTGCGGACGATGACGAAATAGACGATCGACCGTGTCAAGTCAGCGCGCATACGACGCCTCCCACTGACCAAGCTGCACCAGTGCAGTCGACCCACTCTCTTGCTCAGCACAGCACAGCGCGCGTAGGACTGACTTCTCTCTCTGCGAGAGCTCCAGCCGGAACGCCAGTGGTGCTCACGCGGTCCACATGCTCCCCCGTCTCGCCGGCATAACACGCTCCCTCTCACACACCGCCAGGATGTCCACCGCGACCGCACAGACCAGCAAGCCGTTCCTGCTCTACACCGCAGGCACCCCCAATGGCAGGAAGGTATCCATCCTGCTGGAGGAGCTGAAGACGCAGTACGGGATCGACTACGAGTGAGTACCAGTGTCTCGTCCGCACGTTGCTCCCTCCCAGCGGTCACTGAGACGCGTCCACTGCTCCTCGCAGCGTGGAGAAGATAGACATCTCGAAGAACACCCAGAAGGAGCCCTGGTTCATCAAGCTCAACCCCAACGGCCGCATCCCCGTCCTCGTCGACCGCCAGCGCGCGGACTTCCCCGTCTTCGAGACCGCCGCGATCCTCCTCTACCTCGAGCAGCACTATGACACGCAGCTCAAGTTCTCGTTTGACCCCGCGACGAGCCCGAATGACTACAGCGAGATGCTGCAGTGGATCTTCTTCACGGTGAGTGCTTGGCTGGACGTATGCGGCCGGCGTTGACTAGATGGACGTCGGGTAGCATGGAGGCATAGGGCCGATGCAGGGACAAGGTACGTTTGCACGCACAGACCCACATATGTTGACTGACCGGACTCGTCCAGCGAACCACTTCGTCCGCTTCGCCCCCGAGGACATCCCCTACGCAAAGAAGCGTAAGCCCGCATGTACACTATTTGCCTAGCAGCTTGATTGGTTCGCCCCCGCAGGTTACCTCGAAGAGACGAAACGCCTTTACGGCGTGCTGAACATCCGCCTGAACGGGCGCGACTGGCTCGCGGGGCCCGGGCGTGGCAAGTACTCCATCGCGGACATCAACGCCTTCCCCTGGTATGCACCTCTCTTACCTTCTACCAGTATATGCGGCCGTGTCTCGATTTGTATGCTTACTATGGTGACCGTGCAGGGTAAACGGGCACACGTTCTGCGGGATCGAGAGCATGGACGAGTGGCCGCACGTCAAGGTATGCCATATACTCTGACGCGTGACATTCGCGCTGTTTGCTGACGCACGGGCGCAGGCGTGGCTGGAGAGACAGAACGAGCGGCCGACGGTCAAGGCGGGGATTGCTGTCCCTTGAGCACTAGCTTGTCAGCGTGGATTGGATTCAAGACGCTTCGTAAACGGGCGTGACTTCGGAGTCGCCTCACATCGTCGAATACATGTCTCCTGCATTCATGTCTCATTCGAGAATCCCGAGATAAACTCATCATAATTCTGACTACATACGAAAACAGAGGGCTAAGCCCTTTGTTATTAGCCGGTTTCTGTTGGGCATGACGCGTTCTCGACCCTACACTATATCGCTGCCTGTCTGTGCACCTCACCCACCATTCAGCCCGTCTCCGAGTCCTAGCTCTAAGATCATTTGACCTGCTGCAATATGCCAACAGAACTATTCCATTTACAAACAGGCCTCGCTAAATGCATTGCTATATGATGATTGCTCTCTAAAGCCCGAATACGAGCTCTGACGGCCACCTTGCCCACTCGAACTTGACGGGCGCGTAATCCCGTTCGCGCGGGCCACCGCACTCAAGAGTGACAATGTTGTACTTTCTTCCAAGGCCATTTAATGGCTCAGAAATTTCATCTCAATAGCCTTGCATTTGTAGCGAGCCCCTCTGGATCACGGAAAGAGTTGTTAAATACTCTCCGTATAAGTATGCACTGGGTCCTGAGAAGCGCGTACGAAATGGCATGTACGTAATAACGCGCCTTAGCGCTCGAAAGTGTGGTTGAAACGGACGCGCTATCGATCTTCATCTTGTCCTTGACGCATACACTCGCGTCCATCGCACCCAACCTCCATTGCATCACCCAGTAGATTCGGAACACTGGGGTATTGACAGGGTATCACTGTAACTGACGAGGCACGTTAGTGTGTTGTGTCATTGTACTATACTCAACTGACTTATGTTGTGCATCGTTGTCGTCAGGTCCCATACCCATACCATGGCGGCGGAACCAAGTGGTCCTCGCGCACGCGTAGCATTGTCCGCGCTGCAGACTCGCGAGGCAGTTGAGAAGAAGATCGCTTACCAGTCGGGCTACCTGACGGAGCTGAAGACGCACCTGAACACCTTCGCACCCATCTCCGTGCTTCCTCCGGAGGTCCTCTGCAAGGTCTTCTTGCATGCCGCGGACAGCGCCATCAGCGCTCGTGTCCCATCCCACGTCTGTAAACACTGGCGTGATGCTGCGCTGAGTTGCGCTGCCCTTTGGAGCAGCATAACAGTGTCAACGCAGCGCGCCTCGAAGTGGCTGGCGGAGGTGCTCGAACGATCCAAATGCGCACCTCTCACCGTTACCATCAACGTTCGATACGCCGAGTCCCAGGCATATCACTTGGACTTTTCGCTGGTAGGGTCGCTAGCAATGGTCCTCTCGCAAATATCGCGCATACGTTTCCTGTCCATTACGATCGAAGACGCACATTTAGACCAGGTCCTGCGGCTGCTGAGTGGACCTGCTCCGCTCCTCGAATCACTGCTTGTTCGCAGCAGCAAACAAACGACGTTCCGGTCGCACGTACGCTTCAACGGAGGCCACGCACAGCAGCAGCTACTACAACATCTCGAGGCCACTAACCTCCAACGGTTGGAGCTAGGTTCCGTCTCGCTGCAGTGGGATGGGCTGGGGCTGTACCGACTCACACACTTGACCCTCAACTGCATACCGTATACACACACCACGCTCGGAGACATCGACGACCTACTCTCAGCCATCGTACACATGGTCCACCTTGAAGAGCTGACTATCGAGAGAGAGCAGACGTTGCGGTTCAGCAGGGTGGTGCCCGAGGTCCCGATTATTGCGTCTCCCGTGGCTGCACTTCCCCATTTACGTGTCTTGCGGATCTCCGAGTCCGCTGTCAATGGCGTATGCCTCCTTGATCATCTGTACACTCCCTCGCTCTCGTATCTGGATTTCGAGTATCTGGATTTCGAAATGGACGACGACGCAGAGCTGCTGTACCCCCCGCTCGTCGCTGCTGTGGCTGCCAAAGCACCCAGCTTGGGGACCTTCCGCACCCTTAGCATCATTGCTGGCTCATTGGAGGGCGACTATGTACGTGTTGAGGCCTATCATGACGTCCATGGTGCTGCCGATATAGAACGCTTCAACGGAGACTTGAGGAAAATCCAGAGGCCTGCACTGGTTGTGAGCATCAGCTCCGTGCAGTCCGACAGGGTTCCTGACCTCGGCCGGCTGCTTCCCATTGACGATGTCCACTCCCTGTTTGTTTCTGGCTCTTTGTTTCCAGAGGACGCGTGGCTGCCACTTCTCCAACGAACCACCAATGTTACGGAGCTTTTTGCCATGGACGGCTCAGAGTCCTCATTCTTCCCCGAGGCGCTGTTGCATCGATGCTGCAGGGAACGCAGGAATGGCGACTCGGACTCAGATGACGAGGGCCACCACTACCGTTGCATTCTCCCACAGCTTCGGACCCTCACACTGTCGCACTTTTGGTTCGTAACTCGTGGATACCATGGTCAGCCCGATCAGCAGGGACAACCGTTTGTTGGCCGCCTACTCGACTGTTTCATACAACGGTACGAGTGCGGCGCGGAGATCGAGCAGCTGCGCATCATTCACCCTGTCAATTTGAAGAGCCGGGACATTGACTTGCTGGAGGAGGTCGTGCGTGCGGTAGTGTGGGATGGGTCCTTATACGAAAATGGGGTTAGCGTCGTCGAGACGAGCTACACCAGTTCCCCACAATGGAACTACGAGGCTGAAGAGGATATCTACTCGGAATTTGGTGGCTACGGAGAATTTGACTACTATTAGATTGAATCTGGCTCCGGCAATGTAAGTACACATCCTCCATCTTCACAAGCACGCTCAGGTAGTCTACCAGCTAGTGACACGCATACGAGCCTGATCACAGTGAGAATTGGCTACTATACGCCCAGTCCGACTCAGTGTCAAACGTGACGTGCCCTCGAAGTTATCGCGTGGACTAGTAGAACCCGATGCGTGGGCGGATCGATTGAGCATGGCAAGAGCGTGGCACGGACACAGTACTGTCGTCTTCGTTCGTGTCGGTCACTCCCTGGGCCCACCACCACACGGTCGTCACATCTGAGACTTCGACCACAGCGATACAGTACTAGGTATCCAGTTTCGTGCAGAATCTGTAACTTACGGCGTCCTGACGTTTGATGCTTATCGCAGGTTACACACCATGGACGTGAACATTTCCGAGTCGAATCGCGATGCTCGCCCGGACTCTTCATCGCAGACCCGCCAGTCAATCTACGACGGCATCGCGTACCATGATCGCTGCATCAGCGACCTCAGGGCCCGCCTCAATACCCTCGTACCCATCTCCAGGCTTCCCGTGGAGGTCCTCAGCGAGATATTCTTGCATACGGCTGCGGTGCGTCTCTACGTGCCCGGGCGGGATCACGACCTACATCCGTACCACTGGCTTCAAGTGACTCGGATGTGCAGGCATTGGCGAGCCGTTGCGCTGAGCTGCACAGCACTCTGGAGCCGTTTGACGATCACGGACCAGAGCGAAGGCCTGCCAGTCCGCTGTTTCTGGAACGGTCCCGGAAGGCACCGCTCATAGTATCCGTGACCTGGGGCGATGCCGATCACTTTTCGTGTCTGTCGGACCCGGAGGTCCAGGAAAAGGCTGTCGATCTGATCCTCTCGCACTTGCCACGAATACGTGAGCTGTCTCTCACTGCGGCGCTGGGGCTGGAAGGAGTCGGGCGTGCCTTCAAACGACTGGATGGGCCTGCTCCTCGACTCGAGCTGTTATCAATTCATATGGGCCCATTCCCTCTATCCTCCAAATATCGTCAGTATGTCGAGCGTTTGATTTGCCGCCCCGAGACCAGGCGCCTACAACGTCTCCAGCTCTGCACTCCAATTGAGTGGAACAAAGTTGACCTGCCATTGTTGACGCACTTGCAGTTGACTCTCGGCGAGAATCCCGCTCGCATTGCAAGCCCTGACTCGGAAGCCTTACTGGCAACCCTTTCGCGCATGTCTTTATTGCAAGAGCTTGTCATCCACGGGGCGTTGTCAATCATTCCGACTCGCACGACATCCACCCAAGTTGCCTTGCCACGCCTGCGCCATCTGCAGGTCTCAGGGCCTATGCCTACTTGCGCATGCCTCCTCAACAACTTGAAGACCCAGTCGCTCACAAGCCTGCGAATCGTCACGTCTACGCACAATTGGCCGAGGACCTTGCACGCGGAATTTCTTGCGGCCCTAGCTTCGAAGATGCGTTGCTTAGGAAAGCTTCGCGCGCTGGCCATGCAGTTGTCAGTGCCTAACAGGACGACATACACTGCCCGTGTGCGAGGATACAACGAGAGGATTCACGGCACTAGTGGCATGACGGTCCTACCCGACTCGTATATGACAAGGAACTGCACATCTAATGGTAGCCTCGATATCGAGCTTGGCTGGGGCGACGCAGACGCCGACGTGTTCACGACTTTATGTCGACTATCCCGGTCCATGACGTCCACCGCCTTTTTCTCGGCGATGTCCCCCGGATGCACGAGCGCCGGATTTTGTTTGCGATCAGCCAGTACTTGACGAAGGTTACAGAGCTCTACTTTCGCCCCACTGGCACTGAAGCCTGGGGCTTAGGTTATTACCACCAGGCCATCGATGTCCTTCCATGGATGTTTCTTCAGGACGACGGAGGTAGCCTGGTAGCAAGAGGCGATGATGAGGCTTCCACACTGGAATACGCATTCCCTCGACTTCGTCTTCTTACACTAGACAAGATTCGTTTCAGGAATCGTGGAAGCTTCCCGGATTGGAAGCTCAGATACGTTGATTCTCTACTTCAGAGTTTCATTGAACGTTACGAAGCCGGTGCGGAGATCCAGAAGCTCCGCATCCTGCGCCCTGTCGACATGAAGGTCGAGGACTTCGATCGGCTACAGGAGGTTGTGCGCTCGGTGGAATGTGATGGGCCATATTTGGAATCTCCCGACAATGCAAACGACCAAGGTGGACGAGGACGCGGTCGAGGTCGAGGTCGAGGGCGTGGACGTTAGTACTTTGCATATGCGCGACATGTCCTTGGTCTCCCTGAATGAAGTCATCCCGGTGTAGGCCCTCGGACGCACTTGAACTTGCTTCAGGTCGCTATGTGATCGGTTCCTCCCTCGAGCTCTGGATGATCGGAACGCATGATGCTTGCGTTGTCCGATCTAGCGAATCGTTGTTAGTATCCCAGTACGTTCCTTCGAATTCCATTCTTCTTCACGCGTCGTATCGTACTGCGCGATGTGCCTTACCCCTCGTGTAGTACCCTTCCAGGTTCCGCCCCACGGTAGGGTTCGGTTCCGCTGATCCCTCGTTGACAGTACTTGGTTGTGATCTAATCACGGGCTATCGTTTCAACGCCGCCGCGTACGACGGCGCTAGAGCTCGAGCGTCAATAGGCGCCCGAACGCATACTTTGCCTCAGCGCCGCCACACCCATACTGCCTCGAGCTCCGAGTCGCCTTGGATATTCTTGTGATTATATGGGTGGTGTGCTGTCGATGTAAGTCGGCCATCTATACCATTTGTTTCAGCGGAGCTGACAACAACAGCGTCTTCTCTGGTGGTGGCAGTGGCTCCGGACTCATTGCGACCGACGGCCGCGGCACTAGTGATACTAAACCAAGGCTTTACAAAGATGCACAGGTTCAAACGGCAGCAGACGAAGACCATCCTCCGCTTGCGTTTGTCGGACGAAGGGCTCCTGTGAACCGGTTGCCGTTCGAGCTCTTGACCCAGATATTCCTATTGTATGCGCCCTACACCGCCGTCGACCCGTCGGAGAAGCACCCTGGGTGTCTGGCAGTGGCAGTACACATCAAACACTGGGCTCTGATCAGCCATGTCTGTAAGTACTGGCGGTCTATCGCGCTCGACTTCCCCCTTGCTTGGAGCCAGCTGGTGATCACCCGAAACGCGGACTGGGCCACGGAGCTACTCACGCGGTCGAAGGACGTCCCTCTGGACATCTTGGTTCTGCCTCAGGATTCGTCATCCACACAATCGCCTGCCTGTCAACTGGTCCGCAAGGAACTTCATCGCACACGAACCCTGCACTTCGAGCGGTGCGCCTGGGCCACCCGTCGTAGGTTCAACTCGCTCTGCACAGTCGCCCCGCTCCTCGAATGCCTGTACATCACAAGCGACTCGGTGACCAAGTCTCGGGAAGAATACATGAATGAGCTCCTCGACGACGTGTCCACACTCAGCAAGTCTGTGCCTAGCGTAGGGCCTCGTGCCGGTCTCCGACGTCTCGAGGTTCACGGCTGTGACAAGGGGCCGATGCATCTTGGGCGTAGTGCGTCTACCCTCAGGCACCTCTCAGTTTCTGGCGGCGGTCTCCTGCTTTCAATACACCTGGGTGTCTTGTGGTCGGCATCCAACCGGGGCGACCTTCCACTCGAGACACTGGACCTGGAGGTTAAGCTGAATCAGACGGACTCATCCAACTTCGAGGCACCAATGCACACCCCGTCTTACTTGCCGCATCTCAGGGAACTTCGCGTCAAAGCTAAATACCGCGACTGCGCCACCTTGCTGAACTTTCTGGATCTGGCAGACCTGACAAAGCTCACTGTGGAGGCGATCACCAGCCGCCGGCTAGGGAGCGAAGAGGCATTCGCCGCGGCGCTCTACCCCAAGCTCGCTGCGCTCGGTCCGCTCTCTGCCCTCCGCCTCTATCGAGACGTCTCCAGAGACCCCCTCGCGATCTGCGTCGAAGGCCTGGACGAGTCCTCCACTACAAAATTCACGCTCGTCCTCTCACAGGACCTCGCGCTCGTCCGCGCGGCAGATGGACTCCTCGCGGTCCTCGCTCGCTGTCGCGCCGCGTTCAAGAGCGTCCGGCGACTCTACTTCAAGGACATCATGCTCCCTTTCCCGGCGTGGATCCGAGTCTTCTCGTTCTTCCGCAACGTAGAGGGGCTAGACATCTCCGGCAAGTCCACCATCATCGCGCTGACCATGCACCCGAACGAGCGAGACAGGGAGCACCCGGAGGTGCTCGTCTTTCCCGCCTGCGACGCTCGTGGTGCGCGAGACGCCCTCGACACGACCACCGCTCACGCTTGCACGGACTCGAGACCTGCCGGAGCCACCGAGCCTTTTGGAGTGCTTGTCGGAGTACCTGTGGAGAGGACTGCGTGGGCGCGGGGTGACGGAGCTGTACCTGTGGTCTGCCCGAAGGAAAATCGAAACCCGAGGGATATGGCTCTTCTGCGTCGTTCGGTGCCGATGGTAGCCTGGGACGAGGACGACCAGGCCGAGGGGAACTGGCGCGGATCTGCAGCGGAGACTCGGACTGGGTGGGATCCGCTTGGGGTCCTCCCGCAAGAACAACAGGTGTTCGGACTGAATCATTTGTCTATTAAAACGTCCTGTTCATTGTAAACCTAGTCAGTCATTGGGTATGTTGTTAGTGTAATACCGGTATCATGGTATATAGAAAGCCCATACTATACTGTCTACATTGTAAATTCCTACGTGAGCTCACTGGATCATGTCTTCCTAATCCACTGCGCTACCTCACCACATCACACCCTTCCACGCGACACGGACACTGGATTAACGCTTCAGGGCTACGTATGGGATTGTCTGTAACGTAGTAGGTACACAGGGGGGCGTCAGCATCGCGGGTATGTCAACCGTCATCCGAAGCTAGGGCCAAACACGAGACCAATCGAACCAAACGGAAGACGAAGAAGAGCAAGCAAGTATGTAGCAGACGAACAGCAAAAGCGGGCGGGCGTGTCGAGCAAGTCAGAGTCTGGGATAGTCTGCGAGCGTGGACGGCGGCGAAGGTGAATCGGTCGTTACACATAATATGGAAGGAGAGGGTAACAGTAAGAGGAGCAAGTGTCGCAGGGGCGGGTGTCGGTTGGTGATGGAGTCACCGGGTGATTAGTGCAGGAAGAGACGTCCGCGGCCCTGCATCCAACCTGCAAGCCAAACCTGACGGGTATCCACAGGGTGATGAAGGGCGGCAGCCGGACGAGGGGAGGGGACGGTGGACGACCAGGGCACCGACGCAGACCGACCTGCGACAGATAATGTACAACCAACATAACATGAAGGGGGCGTTAACGAGCGGACGGGAGGCGGGCCGTCCCTGTAGGGCGCGACACCACTCCCAAGTGGAGGCGCCTCCGGAGGGCACCTTAATCTAACGAGCTACGATTGACGTAGCTGCGTTTATGCCGGCGGTGCAGCGGCGGGAGCGCGCGGGGCACGCTCGCGCTCGCGTTCGTGTTCTCGTACGAAGGCACGTCCGTGTCAGTATAGGGGACGGGTAGGCAGGAGGAGGGATTGGTATCGCGGGGGAGCCAGTGGGCTCGATGTCAACGGTGCGGCGGGCGACGGTGTGTGTGGGCGTGACTATGAGGGCGCTGGACGAGGCACCTGACTTTTCGTCGGCCGTGACGGTGTTGCCCGAGCCCATCTGGTTCGCACTTCCGCCGATCGCGGTGACGACGGAGGAGTTGTTCGAGCTGGTGGAATGGTGGGCTTTGTACACGCCGAACGCGACGGCGCAGCAAATGATCTGTGAGGGAACGTGAGTTTGCCTGGAGGGATTGGCGTGATAGGGCTGGCTAGCTTACGATGAGGAGCGTAATGCCGACCACCCACACCCAACGGACGTGGCGGGAAATTCCAGAACTTGTCTTCTTCAACCATACACTATTGACGTCGTTGTTCAGTAGTGTTCTCGAGCGTAGCGTCGCGTCTGCCCACATACCTCTGCTTACCCCTCGTCGTGGTTTCGTCCCTTGCAACCATACTGAACCGCCTCCAAAATTCCTCGCCCTGGCCCCGTCGCGGCAGGAACGCATCTTCCTTCTCACTTCGTAAAATCGGCGTGGTCGGGTTGAACTTGACGTCCCTCTGCGTGCTCGCGGCACTCGCAGGGCGAATGAACGCAGGGGCGATGGGTGTCATGGGCGGCTGGAGCTCGTGCGGTGTGTGCGGGAAGTGCGGGGAGACGGGAGAAGCCTGGCGCTCGACGAGGGTGAGCGGCTTCGGGAAGGCTTGGGACATCTCGGGCGTGGTGGGCGAGCGAGAGCGGCCGTCGAGAGAGGCGACGGCGTCAGGACGCGAGAGGTTGAGGGCAGCCACGGGGGCGGCGTAGCCGGGTCGGGGCGCAGCGAGGGGGATGGGCTGCCGAGGAGGCGAGAGGGCCCTCTTCGGGTCGGCAAAGGGGTTGGTGCCCCTGGGCGCGTTCGCGCCGTCTAAGTACTGGTCATACCTGCAAGTCGGTCAGTGATTAAGTTATGCAATTGTCGTGGACAGTGATGAGAACCGAAGTTAGTGCATTGCAGCCCGCTGCTCTGCCACTTTCCCGAGCGGCGCTGCATGAACATGTCCGGCGACGGATTCCTGCCGCGACAGCCACCAAGGCCATGGACATGGCTGCCGACAGCGCGCCGGATCTGAAGATAGACAACATCCCAGATGACGGCATGCGCAGCTGAGAAAAATCAAACAGTGGCAGTTCAACGTTCAGCCACCACACGGTGGAGATACGCAAGCAAGAGACACGGAATGTACTGCAGGACGAAACGTGAAGGCCGTGTGGTCCCCCGATGCGCCGGCGCGCACGGTGACGTTGGAAGGGACGAAACCTGCGCTCAGATAGATCATCTCGGAGATTTGGGGAGAGCCCGCGGAGACTAACGCGAGGTGTGAAGGCGGACGAGCGCCACGACACCGTCGCCATGCTCAGCAGCAGCGGGGCATACAGACGAGGGCATACACGTATCTGCGCCCTGGCAAGACATCGGCAGCCTATCCTCAGAACCGACTAGCCCTCCATCACAATGGCAGCTCCGCCAGGAACGAACGAGTTGGGACGCGACGTGGGGATGCTTGGAACGACAGAACAAACGGCCAGAGATACATACATGTTGTACGCCGAAGTCCTGTCGTTTGGATTCGGGGGAGGAGGCTGTCTGATTCTGCGAGCTTGTTGAGGCTGTTGCTGGTACACCGAGTCTGGCTCGTCGGTTGCGTAGGGCGGTCGTCCGGCGAGAGGCGGCGTGCTGTAGATGACAGGCTGTGCCATGCACTATCTACGCCCAGACGAGCAGAAAGGAGCGGCGAATAAACGAAGGAGATATAGAGAATGGATGCCTCGGGACACCAAGGCGGGTGGGCGGACGACAGTCGTGGATGGCGGGCAAGATGAGAGGGCGGGCGCGGCCTCCGACGTCTTTGTATTCTCACAACGCTCGGCTATTCGATTCGCACATCAGAAAACAACCGCGCCCGAGCCTCGCAACCCGTGCCCTCGCCCACCTGCACCCCCAACCACCCTCCAGCTTCACAAATACGTATTCTCTCGCAGCGCACTCCCTGCGCACCCGCGTGCGATGTCAATGTTTAATATTCACGCCAGCCAGCGCAGCGCGCAGCCGGCTCCTCGCGCAGCAGCAGCCAATCGCTACGCATCAGCCAATCACATCTCAGGAGTCCCTTCCGTTTCACGAAGTTGCTTATTTTGGACGCATGCCAAGCCCATCCGTTTCCATTCCTGGCTATTTGTGTGCTGCTTTTGGCACGGCGCTCGACGCGTCGCGTCGCGCGTAGACCGCACCGCGTTGACCACGACCATCTCACCCCGACGACCACAATGCCGGCAGTCAAACGGCGGGCAGCCTCGCCTCCCATCGACGAGCGCGACTCGCCAGCGAGTCCTAAGCGTGCACGCACTGAGGACGACGAGGAACACGGCAACCAACGCACGAAGAAGGGCAAGGCGCGCCAGGAGGAGGGCGAAGTTGACATCCAGAAGGACCTCGAAGAGGAGACTCCCGAGCAGGAGGCCCCCGATGAAGATGAGGAAAGAAAGTTTGAGGAGGAGAACGAGGAGATCATCCGAGAGACGATCATGAACAAGGGCAAGACGCAGGGCGTAAGTAGCCACTGCGTTGCGAGCAAATCCGTGTCATGACCTGATGTCGTACCGCAGGGCGTCGCAGAGATGGGCATCATCGAGTCGCTCGAGATGCACAACTTCATGTGTCACAAGTACCTTACGTTACGTTCGGCGCGCAAGTCAACTTCATTATTGGTGAGTGGCCCGAGTTCCGAAGCAGTCCTCCTATTCATGCCCTGCATGCAGGCCACAACGGAAGCGGCAAGAGTGCTGTTTTGTCTGCGCTCACCGTCGCCTTGGAGGCAAGGCCACCGCGACCGGTCGCGGGAACGGCTTGAAGTCGTTCATTCGCGAGGGACAACAGTAAGCCATTCCGACTCACGAAACGGCCTTTTCTCATGTGACAGGGTCTCGGAGGTTACAGTCGTCCTGAAAAACCAGGGCGAGGAGGCCTACCGGCCTAAGGAGTATGGCAAGAGCATCGTGATCACGCGTCGTTTCACGAAGGAAGGGTCGTCGTCGTACAAGATTAAGAACAAGGATGGTCGAGTGGTGTCGACGAAGCGCGAGGAATGTCCACCATCTGTGACCACATGAACATCAGGTCGACAACCCGATGAACATCCTGACCCAAGGTGCGCGCGCTGTTTTCGCACTTTGGCTAGTGGAGACTCACGTTGACAACTGGCAGACGCGGCGCGGCAGTTCCTGAGCGCGTCCAACCCGCGGACAAGTACAAGTTCTTCCTGCGCGGCACGCAGTTGTCGCAGCTGTCCGAGGAATACCAGACCTGCCTCGAGGGCATCCAGAACATGCAGAAGACCGTCAAGCGCAAGTCCGAGGGCCTGCCCGACCTCGAGGAGTCGCTCGAAGAGGCGATGTCGCGCTTTGAGGAGGCCCAGAAGGCGCGTGAGCAGCGCCACAAGGCGGACGACCTCAAGAAGGAGCTTGCCTGGGCGCATGTCGCGTCGAAGGAGGAGGAGCTGGTCTGCGCGCGGCGGAGGCGGCGCGCTTGGCGAGGCGCCTGCCGAAGATCAAGGAGGACATGCAGACTGCGCAGGTACGTCGTCTGTGGCGGACATGAGGGATGTCGATGCTGACAGTTCGGTGTGCAGGCGAAGATCGACGAGGCGTCCGAGAAGATTGCAGCCATCGAGGGCAGCCTGGAGGACATGGGTGACATCCAGCACCTGCTTCAGCAGAAGAAGGGCCTCCAGGACGAGAGCCGCGACAACAGGCAGAAGCTGCAGAAGCTAAAGGTACGTCGGATGGACGGCAGACTCGCACAGCACCTCACGTACTACCACAGGAAGAGGAGAAGCAGATGGACGCGACCGTGCGGCGCTGCACGAAGCTGATCACAGAGTACGACGCGCAAATGAGGCGGAGCGCCAGCGTATCGAGGCGCGGTCGCAGGTGAAGCGCGAGGAGACGGACCGCAAGATCGACGAGGCGCAGCACGCGTTTGATGAGGCCGAGCGGCAACTGAACGCTGTGAAGGAAGAGAAGGAGCAGAAAGAGAATGAGGCGCGGGAGACGGAGACGCAGGGTCAGGAGCTGAAGAGGCAGAAGGACGAGGCGCAGCAGGATGTCATGAACGCGCAGGGCGCACTGCAGCAGTCCCAGGAAGCGGAGAAGAACAAGCTCGCGCCGTATGGGAATAAAATGGACCAGGTCTTGGCGAGCATCGAGCGTATGAACTGGTACGGAAACCGACCGGTGGGCCCATTGGGCTTGTACGTGAAGGTGCAAGACCCCGTTTGGGCGCCATTGATGCGTGTGCAGTTGGGAGGCTTGATGGGTGCGTTTGCGATCACAGATGCGAGGGATCGCGCTCAGCTGGGGCAACTGCTGACCCAGACCAAGTATGTGCTCGTACTCAATGTATGCGTATATTGGCTAATTCCCTGCTTCAAAGCAACCGCAACTCGATCATAATCAGTGAGGTCGATCTCTTCGACTATAGCCACGGCGAGCCTCCGCCGGATATCTTGACCGTGTTGAGGGTGCTTGATGTAAGCACGGCATTGTCGCGGTCCATCCTGCACCGGCTGACGGTTCGGGCACTCGCAGGTCAGCGACCAGTATGTTCTGCGCGTCATGATCAACTCCGCCAGCATCGAGAGCACATACGTCGCGCGTACCCGTGCCCAGCTCGATAACATCCTCCTCGGTACTGGACGAGGTGGGTTTGGTTGGTCCGCGGACCTCTACACTGTCCGACGTTTCCCGTAAGTGACCCCATAGATCAATCCAAGTACGCTCGCTAACGTGAATCTCGATTGTCAAGCGAGGGTGGTGGTTCATCCAACCCGTTGACGATGGTTCCTGGACGCGATCCGAGGCAGCAGCTGTTTGCGAGCAAGGACGCTGCCGGTGAGAAGCGGTATGTAGTGTCTTTGGTTATCTTGTTGTTAGACACTGATAATTGTCTGCAGCCGCCTGCAAGAAGCGTTGCAACAGGCCAACGCGAACTGCGAGGACATCACTGGGAGATTCCAGGCAGCCCACCAGCGATTCGTGCAGCTGAAGCAGGAGATAGGGCGCCTGAACGTGCGTGCCTCGTACTAGCAGTTTCGATGATCTAGCATTGACTAACATATGTGCAGACGCGCGAGAACCAGCTGCATAATCGCTGCAGAGAGCTCAAGTTAACCAGAGATACTCTCCTGCTGGAGCGCAACGAAGAACAGTCCATCACCGTCTCCACCATCGAGGACGCCAAAGTGGTGGGTAGTGTGCTTGCGTATGCGCAGGATTTCTCTGATTTATTCTGCAGGCGATGGAGGCAGAGAAGCAGATGACGATCGAACAGTTCAAGGTGGTTCAGCAGCAGAAGAATGCTATCGACGCAGCGCAGAACGTGCTTCAGGAGAAGATGAATACGTTGCAGAAGCAGATCAATGAGTTCGAGGGCGACAAGAGCACGCTGCAGGTAAGCGATGCGGCGCGTACCTGCCGACCAGTTCGCTGATGCAGGGGCGTATAGAAACAAATTGAAGAACTGTCTATTGAGCGGATGGACGCGCAGAAAGCTACGCAGTACTATGAGACTAAGCTCAAGGAAGAGGAGGACAAGGTCAAAGATGCGCAAACCATTGAAGCCAACGTTCAGAAGGAATTCGAGGTGCGACATTCACGATCTTCCATGCAAGTGATAGTGCTGATCGAGCCTGTAGAATTGGACTGCCAAAGCTCTTCAGTATTGCGCGCGGTGGCTGAACCCACGCAAGGCAGACGAAGTACAGCGTAATCTGGATGCTGTGCAGGCTGCACTCCGAGAGCGCGAGAAGAGGTGAGGTCGAATTGCTACCCGTATATGGATACGCACTCAGTGATCGCAGGCAAGGCGCCTCTGTTGAAGATATGACGATTGAAGTCAACAAGAAGAAAGCAGCGCTCGATACCGCCAAGCGGGACGTCAAGCAGATGCTGTCTCTCATCAGAGTGTGTATTACCGCAGCGGAATCCGTCTCTCGATCTGACCCTGGTTGCACAGGTACTCAAGAATCCATGACGCTTCGTCTGTCCAAGTGGCATCACTTCCGTCGTCACATTGCTTTGCGTTGCAAGGTCTACTTCCAGTATCATCTCTCAAACCGAGGTTACTACGGCAAAGTCCTCTTCGATCATGTTGCGGGAACCTTGCAGCTCAAGGTGAGTCTGCTCTGTCTTTACGTCCGTGACGATGCTAAGATACATTTAGGTGCAAACGGATGACCAGACTCTGACGCAGAACAGTCGTGAGAAAGACCCTCGCTCACTCAGCGGAGGAGAGAAGTCTTTCTCGACGATCTGTCTCCTTCTGTCTCTCTGGGAGTCTATCGGCTGCCCGATTCGTTGTCTCGGTATGTCCCCTTAGCATCCTGCACAATGTATTCATGCTGAGACGTCTGTAGATGAGTTTGACGTCTTCATGGATGCTGTCAATCGTCGTATCAGTATGAAGATGATGGTCCGTATGCATTCCAGCAGTGTGCATAAATGCTGACGGTGTGGTTTACAGATCGACACTGCGAACGCCTCCGATAGCAAGCAATACGTTTTGATTACGCCCCAGGACATGACGAACATAGTGATCGGGAACACCGTTCGGGTGCACCGTATGACGGATCCTGAGCGGGGACAAGGCGTGCTAGCCTTCTCGTAACTTTCAGTTCTTTGACCCTGTTGCCAAGGACGCATTCCTGGCAAAGAATGCATGCCCGAGCATATAGTTGATCTCTCCCTTGCTTGTACATTAGGTTTCCGTTTACTTGCGTAGCGTATCGTCCTGGCAATGAGCTCTTAATCATGATTCAGCCTTTCTGTGTTGTTCCTGTTCGCATGGATACGAGACGGCGCACAGACGGTACTGAGGGTTGAGGATGGTAGTGATGGACAAAAGTTCAATCATCATCATCATCCGATAGTACTGATAGTACTGATTGGACCACTTCATACGGATAGTAGCCGCCATTCCACTCCACCAAGCGTACAACCTCCTCCATTTTACTTATATCACTATCGATCACCGCGTTTTGTGGGTCCAGGAGACGGAGACGCTCAATCTCCGCGCCATTTTCGTATCGTTCCACGAAGGAGTCGAGTAGAGCATCAATGAACTTGAGATCCTTTCGCGAGGAGCGTGCAAATCTTCTCCGATAGTAGTCTTTGGATATAGGCCCCCTGAGGCTCACTTCATCCAGCGTGAGCAGGCGAAGACGTGGAAGTGCGTAGTGGTGATTGATGTGACCCACTGGATCGCTGCATTCTCCTTCGGGACATCGACGCACGAGCATCGCTGGAAGGGCGCGAACGTGCTGAACTTGAAAAAGGCGAACTTCGGTGACCAACGCGGTGCGATCGACGAGATGAGGCCACAATTTTTCCGATGGTAGAGAGCCTTGGAGGATAAGGCAACGGGCTCTATCGATAGGAACCCATTGGCACAATGCAGATATGGCTTCCTCGTCGAACTCGGGACCGCAACTCAACTCCAGGACTGGGGTATGTTCGTCAAGCCAGAAGACAGTAGCATCCTCTATTGGATCAGTTGCAGCGCTGTCGGGGACGCTACGGTAGGCGCGCAAGAAGGTAGTGTAGCCTGTTTGGAATCGTGAACGATTGCTAGGGTGAGGAATCGCCCCAAGATTTGCGCTTTGCAGCCGAGGCGGCAAAGAGCTCGATTTGCGATGCCACCGAACCTCTTGGTATCGCATTGACGCTGAGTTGAGCGAGCGCCGGGGTTTCCATGCTACGAAGGATGCAAGCGCACTGTGCTGCAGTCTCGCGCCAGATTCGTAATGTTCGGATACGAGGCAAATGAGCTGGAGTAGGCAGACTTGGTGTGTGTGCCTCGCCGTAGTAATTCGGTATGAAGGCACCGTCGGTGGCCAATTCTTCCAGACGGGGCATTTGAGCGAGGGCAGCAAGAAATGCGTCCAACTTCATGACGCGGTATGAACTGCCGACAGACAGGCGTGTCAAGCCTGATAGTGAGATGCCTGCCCAGTCCACAGGGCACTTCAAATCCAAGCGACGGAGACGGCAGGTCTCAGGACAGCGTAGAAGTTGGTTTAGAGGGTCAAGTATACCGGAAGGTTTCGTTTCGGAGATGTATAGGTCCTCGAGCAATGGAGCGGGTCCTTCGAGTAGCTTCATAATTTCCGGCGAGTATCCCGGTGCCGCGTCAATCTTCAACGTGCGCATGCGCCTCAGAGACGACAGTGCAATTGATATTAGTTCCTCTGGTAGTGGAGTACCGAATCCAAAGGAGGAGTGGGTTTCGAATGAGATCGCCATGGACAGCGATACTTGATTAGACCGTGCCAAAAACTCGGGAAGCCATTGGCACGACGCGGGTCCCTTTACTGTCAGACGGCTCCAGAGAGCAGGACAGCCAAGTGCAACGAAGCGCCAGCGCCTGCAGACATGGGATACATATATCCATTCGTCGATGTAGGGCAACCTGGAGTGGATGTTGCTTGCGCGGATTCCGGCCACGTGTAGGAAAATTTCAGCGAGGACTTCGGGAGGGAGTGCGGAGATGGGGGATAGATCATTCCACTGCGTCCTGAGATCATATATGCATCTGTAATGATGCGCAATCTTGTCCGCGATCGTTTCGTGGGTCCGGGGCTGCGATTCGAGTGAGGAAACATCTACGTTGTGCCCGATGTTGCTCGCCGCCATGGCCTAAAAACTCCGGTCTTAGTGACTTCCTCTTTCACAATTAAAGAACATACAGCATAGTCCACTATATGCCTGGTGCTTAATAGCCAGTCGGATGCTAGTAAGTTACTGGAGACGGCCACTGGCAAGTTGTGGTACGGGAGCCTGAGAGTCGCCGAGTACTAAGTAGACGCCCACGCTCGCGGTCACGCGATCGCGTGGTGTCGCTACTCACGACAATGGACGGGTCACGGCAACACTATTGGCAGTACTAGTGGGCACCAAGTGGGCACAGGCTTGAAGCTTCATGGTCACAAGAATATGAGAACCATCTCTGTTGCTTCTGCCGGCAGTGGATCTCCCAAAATATGCGCTACAGTTGTCTTGAAATCTGCACGAGCATAGGTGTCTGCGGTCACCGGTGGCACAGTACTAGTACCGTGACTCACAAAATGTGGCATGGCAGTTCCTGGCTATCCAAGCCTATTCTACTACATAAACATAAGACGGATACACCGTACTCTTCCGAATCGCATAATTACTCCTTGAGGTCAGAGGAACTCCCGTCCCATTCCACACAACGCACGACTTCCTTGAGCCGATCCAGATCTGCACTCGTGAAGTTGCAAGGGTGCAAGACGCGCAATTTCTTGATCTCCGCACCAGCTTCGTACCGCTCGATGAAACAGTCAAGCAGTCTGTCAACGTATACGCTCTCCATCGTGGCGCGCTTTTTCGGCCCCCAAAATCCGCATCATCCAGCGTTAGGAGACGGAGACGGGGGAAGGCGAAGTGGCATATGGCGTCTTTGTGATCATGATATGTCGTGGTGTCGTCTGCTTGGAGTACCTTGGGTAGGGTGTCGTTACTCCATTGCGGTCGGTGATAGAGCTGCGAGACTTGCCGTGTATGCCGGCTCAGCACCAGCCACAGCTGGGTTGACAACGACCCGACAAACAGGCAGCGGACCTTTCTAATGGGGGCCAGTTGGAATAATTTTGTGAAGAGGTCTTCCGCCGGTTTCGCTGTTGGAGACCACTCGAGACGGAGGTCGAAATTAGGCGTGTAGTGTATTGTGCCGTCCCTATCCAGGATTTGCGGGGCACCACTGGCTCTGTCGATGTCTTCGGTGCATGCACATAGTCGCTTAGACCACATGTCAACAGTCAGCGTACGGAGTGTGCCTAAGCTGCGCATCTTCATAGCAAGGGCTTTGGATAATGATGTGATCGGCGCCTCCTTCGAATTATACAATTCAACGGAGAGGCGTGTCAAGGATGGGGTGTTCAGTTGGCCAGGAGGGACGTGCAGCCATGCACATACTCGCCGATTCGCAGGTACTGCAGGTGAGGTAATGCAGCAGTGGTACTCGCCGGGAATATCCCTTGGTGAGGCCGCGGGAATGCACGTTCGATCACGAGCTCTTCGAGGAGAGGTATACGGGTGAGAGTCTCAAGCAGTGTGTCGGGAGTCGGGTAAGTATCATAGCGGCTCACTTGACTGATCGTCAAGTGGGTCAAACGTGGCAGCGAGATCTGGCTAAACCTCAGCAGGAATGTGTGCAGCTCCAGTCGCCGGAGATTGTGGGTTCGGGATGATGCATAAGCCGCTGGACGAATGGGTAGACCTCATCGCACAGCAACATATGGCTGTCACTCCGGAGGATGAGTGATTCGAGTCGAGGGCGGGTCCATCGAGTAGCTGAAAGACACTAGTGTCGCAGTTCGCTATCGGTGTCGTGATAGACAGCACGCGAATACGTGCCAGGTGCGAGAGAACCAAGCGTATCGCGCTCTTCTGCGGGATTCAAGCGAGTTGTACGTCGTGTACCTGTGGTGAGGGAGACTGACAACGAGGTTCTCTGGGATCGCTCCAAAAGCGCGCCCATCAATTCGCTTGCTTCCCGACCAGCAAGTGATTCCACAGGCATGACAGCCTAGTGCCACAGCACGCCAGTGCTTGCAAACTGGGAGACCAGATCCAGCGGTACCAAGGCTCCCGATCTGGGGCGGGTGCCCGCGGCGCCATTCAGCCATGTGCAAGAATATCGCGCTTAGTACCTCTGCAGGAAGCTTGGCGACAGGTGCGAGTGTATTCGGCGCGTCTTCAGTTCGATAATGTAGCGTGAATAGCGAGCAATTTCGTCGTCGATTGCCTGTCGGATCTGTGATGCAGAGAGCTCTGAGCTCTCCGAGTCGTGGCCAATGCCCATGACGAGAGACCTAGGTAACCATTAGACTCGGAGGTACGGTCCACAGTAGACAGTGGAGGCATACATTGACTGTTTGAATTCCCGTGCTGCTTCTACGACAGCGAGCGGTGACTCTATGTCTTGCGCCGTGGTGGTTATAGCGAATTATGGCTGTGGCTTGGTTGTGGCGAATTCGAACATTGTGAGGGTCGAATCAAGATCCGACAAACGATCCGATCTGACATGCGACGATCTCGATCTCTCCTCCAGCCACGGCCACGACCCCCTCCCCCGACGGGCCAAAGCCTGAGAGCCTCATTGAAAGGAGGATTTGGCAATTGCCTGGAAACTGCGATAGCAAGAAGGACACCACTATAGTGAAGTGAGCCAAACAGACCCGATTTGCGTCTGCAGGTGCATCGTGGATGGTCCTCGAGTCTCGTCATGATCTCCCAAACAATCCGCAAGTCGACTCGGAGACCATGCAGTGCATTGTTTGCGAACTTAACTGTTCAGGTTTCTGTATGACAACCCGAAATGTACGAAGGGAGATTAGAGGATTATGTGATGAATCGATGACACCTCGCAGACATCACGCAAGAATTCGTACGCGTGCATTTTAATATACTACTGCGACTTTCACTACTATACCAAAGGTATCACCACGCATGCGAAGTCTCCACAACAACATTCATCCCAAACGCACCGAGCGCGTTCATCTCGTTCGTCGTCTCCACGATGATCTTGAACCGTCCTCGACACACTTCCCCTTGCCGTTGCTATTCCCATCCTCGTCCTGAGTATCCTGACACTCACAGTATACACCGTCGACAGGCTGCTCAATACGTGGTACGCCTTGCCTTCCGGCGCGTCCCCACCGGCGGTCAGCCGCGTGAAGCATGACAACCTCGATATCCTGTGCATGACCATCCGTCAGCATCCAATTCGGACCACACGGTTCGAAGTCTTGTAGACAAAGGGAAGAAGGCACTTACGGCGCACTCCTCAAGACGAGCTTCCCGCATATCTTTCGAACGATCGCCGCATCCGCATCCTTCCTGCCTGCCACGACCGCGTACCCGCCGCAAAACTCGAAGCGCTCTCCCGGCTCGCGCTCGCGCCACTCGACAACGCTCTGCTCGACCGCCTCGAAAAACGCTTCCTCCGTCTGGAACTCGGGCACATTCTCCCACACGCGTCGGATGTTTACGTTAGGCACGGAGGCCTTAGCCTGCGCGCGGCGGGGCTTCTGTGTCTGCACTTTCACGTTCACGCCTACATCCACGTCCATCGTGTCGTCGGTCGACACAGGCTCAGGACCGGCCTCGGACGAGGATGCCTGTGCGCGTGCGGGGGCCGCGCTCGCGGACGACGCGGTCACGCCTGGGGGGGTTTCAAACCGCGACAGAAGGGAGCTCACGCGCGCAGTGCGCTCCTGACGCTCCTGGTGGTACTTGCGCTGGTACACACGCGACTTCTCCCTGCACTCCACGCAATTCTTGTAGCGGCCGTCCCGCAGCTCGAGCGCGCGGTGGCACGTCTTGCAGTGGGTAGACTCGGAGAGCCTGGGAGCGAACGCAGCGAGCAGCTCGGCTGTGGCGACTGAGTCGTTGTCGGACGAGTCGGTGGGCAGAACGATTGCGGGCCTGCGAGAGGAAGAGGCAGCTTCGGAGGCGTGCGAGACCTTTCGCGCTTTGGGCTGTGCGCTTGTGCCTGTGAGCTGGGGAGACCTGGGCCTCTTGCTTCCTGTTGATGGGGCGTCCAGCTGCGTGGTGCGGTGGACGATAGCAGACTTTCCGATAGACTTGATCCTGACGAGAGTATGAGAACGAATGTGGTGTGCAATGTGCGAAACGGGACCGACCTATTTGCACTTGAGCTACTCCCCTTAGCTACAGCGGCAGATGAGGTCGCTGGAGTCTTCGACACCTTACGCGACGTGCTGGAGCTGGCACCGGACACCGACGTCGATGGGAGGATACTTGATCGATGAGAAGATACAGCTTGTTTGTGTGACGCATGGCCTCGCGATTGTTTGTCTGCCTGGGTTTTCTCCGTGAGCAACTTCGGGACTGAGACGGAGAGTTGGTGCATGGCGGTCGTCCGAGGTGCCACAGGCTTTAGGAGCCGCTGCTCCGCCATACCAAGAGATGTCCGCTGTGGCTTTGCGCTCGCCACAATCTGCTCCCTGCGAGGAAGGGGCTTGGATGCTTTGGGTTTCCGGCCCGATGTATGAGACGTCGGCGGAGTGTCCGAGTTCTGTATGGGAGAGACGGACCGGGTGGGTGATGAGCTCTCGATGGAGGACGGTGAGACTGAGCGAGTGCGCGACGACGAGGCACTAGGTTGTGCAGATTGCCTACTCGCCAGCAAGGCGGTCTTGAGACCACTGTTTTTGTGTTCCTTCGTAGCATGCACCCTTACACGCGCAGAGTTGACATGCGAGTACCCGCATGGGCAACGCATCTCTTGCGTTTTGATTTCACGCTCAATTTTGATCTGCTTTGCTGTTGGTGAAACACGGATTAGTGAGCGAGAAAGAGCGAAGGACTCCATGGCATTGGAGAAAGAGCAGCAAAACATATCAAGAAGTCGCCACTCTCGATGGCTTGAAGCCTCAATGGGATCTTAGTGAAACGACAGAGTGGTATGGCAACACAGTTGGGCACAAAGGCCACCGGGATGATGTGCTCGCCATGCAGCCTTAGCTGCCTAACTGGGCTAATGACAATAAACAGATACAAAGTTATTTGACTACGGAGTCGTTGAAGTGAACGACATCTATCTCTTCTCCTCGGGCAGAGGACGATTCAATCGCATAGCCATCTCTTCGGGCTGAGCGCGTCGGACAGGAAACAGACAACTCACCTCCATACCATATAGTCGTCGTCGCTCCATGCACGTTTGAAACATGCGATCCCATGGTGTGAGTGACCGCCTTCTGGTCTGGGCCAGTCGCGACGTATGTGCAGCCGGCGTATACGCAGGGTTTGCGTACCGTCGACGTGCTGGGTGCGGCGGCAGACGACTGCACGAGCACCGCGCGAGCCGTGGCTTGCACATGCCGGCTCATGAGGCTAGCGTGAGCACCGGGAGGAGACTGAGTCGGGCGAGGCTGCGAGACCGTTGGAGTTGAAGTCCAGGAGACGCAGACTCGAAGGCCGCTACTCGCGTCGGTCCACACGCTCCACGTGACCGCCGCGTACCGCTCACACCACGACGCGTCGGACGTCCACGTTGGCGACAGGCATACCCTTCCTTGACGCTCTCATCCACGACCAGTCGGACCACGACTTCCCACCCTCTACACGGTGGTGCCGGCCAGGCCAGGCCGACTTCTCATACAATATTTCTTGTCTACGATTCTGGGCTACTCTCTTGCCTTCACCATCTCGCACAACGAAGCCGGAGAGGTGTCAAGTGATGGCTCAGCCATTGCGCCCGAGACCGGTGCCCCGCATCCTCATCTTTTCCTTCTTCCGGTCGCGCTGTGGCTCTTGCTGCGGCCTCTTCTTGACCCTTCGCCGCCGCTGCCTGCCCTATATGCGTCTTTGGGCTTCTCGATACTCGCACTCTTGGGCGCGTTGTACTTCATTCCTTTGCTCGGGAACACCTTCGTGCGTGCCAGCCTCAAGGGCCGTGATCTCCTCAAAACATACGATGATCCTATGTATGTGCCCACTAGACCTACTGTTCGCCTCGACTGAACGAACTCGTGTAGACCGGAGTCCCTTGGGCTCGTTTGCGCATCAATATATATTCTGCTGTTAATCCTATTTATCCCATTCGCCTTCTCCGACTTCTTCAATAGTCAGTATGATCAAACAAGGAAGCTGCGGGAGGGTCTGGTCATCAATGAGTTCCCGCACCACCAGGTAAGCAGCGTCTGCACGACCAGTTTCGTTCGTTTGTCGTTGCTGCGGGCTGGGCATAAAGCTCTGGAAGCATCAGCTTGCAACTCAGTTGTGTCGTGAATTAGAGAATCGCTTACTGACTGTTGTTCGTCAGCTATCTGTCTACCTCTCATCATTACTATCCCTCCTAATGGCGACGATGCTCGGCTTCCTCGACGACGTCTTTGACATCCGATGGCGGCACAAGCTACCGATTCCAGTGATTGCATCTATACCACTCCTGATGGTCTACTACTCCGAGCGCGGCGCAACTGACGTTGTCGTGCCGATCCCATTGCGATGGCTCTTGGATCATTGCTGAACCTCGGTATGTAGTGTTCACTCGAGCCGATCACATGAACCTGAATATATGCGCCTAGGACCGCTGTACTATGTTTATATGTCCCTGTTATCCACGTTCTGCACCAACAGCATCAACATCCTCGCGGGGATCAATGGCTCAGAAGTGAGCCAAGCGTTGATCATCGCACTGTCGGTCATCTTGAACGACCTGCTGTACCTCCCCTGGCCGATAGACTTCCGTATCCCTTTGCACTTGCTTGGTCGTGGCAGGGAGCTGGAAGTAGGCGGCGTATGGAGCGCAGGAATGTCATACGGGAGCAAGGTACTCGTTGAGCGACACCTATTCAGCCTGTACTTTATGCTCCCGCTCGTGGGCGTATGTGCTGGGTTCATGTATCACAACTGGTACGTTTCTTGCGCCTCGTCCTATCTAAACATGCCTGCTCATCTCATATATATAGGTATCCAGCGCGAGCTTTCCCTGGCGACACACTATGCTATGTGACGGGCATGGCCTTCGCGGTTGTAGGGATTCAAGCTCACTTTTCCAAGACACTCCTTCTGCTCTTCCTGCCTCAGATCTTCAACTTCGTCCTCTCCTGCCCGCAGCTATTCGGCCTCGTCCCCTGCCCACGTCACCGCGTACCCAGGTCTGTCTCGCTTGTCATCTCCGCGACCCTCTCATTGACTAACAGACTATTTCCCATTGCGCAATGCAGGTTCGACGCGGAGACGGGCCTCCTTTACCCGTCGACGGCATCCTTCAAGGAGCACACGCCCTCGCGTCTCGCCACAATCGTCCTGCGCGTCTTCGCAATTCTAGGCTTCGTACGGCTCACGGAGGATCCCAAGACAGGCGTGATCTCGGAAACAACCAATTTGACGATCCTGAATGTATTCCTCCTCCGATTTGGCCCGATGCGCGAGGACAGCCTCGTGAGGGTGCTGATCGCGACGCAGGTGCGTTCTTGTCCAGCTGAGCGTGCATGGAAGTTGTATGGTGCTCATGTGATTGTATGTGACGTATTGTTGTTGCAGGTGGCGGGGAGCGTGTTTGCGTTCGTCGTGCGGTACGGGCTCGCGGGGCTGGTGTACGACGGCAACAGGCGGTGATCCATGATAGCAATGATGATGCGCGTGTGCCTTGGAACTCTCGGGCTGTGCGCCGACTTGTGTCTCTTAGTGCGGGGCTCCGCGCGGGACACCCCAGAGCGTACGGGTGCCATTGTTGATGTGCTGACCCGTACGTTAGTCCAGGACGCGATCGAGATTTCCTCGTCTGGGCTGCCTACAAACCCCGCAACGCTCACAGGCCGATCCGCGTTTGCTCGTCTGGTGGCGGCGAGACTGGGCTTCGGGGCTTTCGGACGTGTCGTCCAGGATGACCTGGGGAAGGCGGACGGTGCATGGCTAGGTTATGTCCAACTATGAATTTCAGTTGCTTCGTTTCCGTTAGACCGACTGCTTCCTTTGTGAGGAGTTCCGGTCAATGTCCGCGTGTTGATTCAGGCCGTTGACGCCTGAGCGGGACTCGAGTCTGAAGCTCGTTGAACTGGTGAGTGCTCACTCAAATAACTCATGCGCCTGCGCACGAACATGGCGATAGAGCGTATAAACGGCGGGCGACGCTCCCACTGGCAGTCCAGGGCAGGCCAGTGACCGCGGTATGCGTTCCCCGCGTTCCCCTTACCTTTACCCCGCAGATTTCGGGGCAGACGCCGCGTCGGCCGAAGGACCGAAGGGATGCGCCCGTAACTGCGCGCACCGGCGCAGGGAGCGTTGAGTCGCCGAGTGCGGGGCGGAGGCGGGACCAAGATTGGGCGCCTAGGACGTCTACCCCGCACTCGGAAAAGGTTTAGCCTCCCTTATATGGTATGTCAGGCCAATCACATGCGCGCCCGTCCCCTCCAGATGATCGGTTCTAGACGAAGCGGTGGTGCAGGACAGGTCCTTAACATGCCTGGTTTGCAGGAGCGCAACCGCCCGAGATCCCCTCCTCTTCCTTGGAGTCCCCCCCTCTCATTTGCACTTGACAGACGACCGCCATGACCAACGAACGCGCTGCTTTCCAGGCTGAGGTTGCTCGCGTTGAGCAGTGGTGGAAGGTTGGTGGGCTCCTTTGTTGAATGGAGTGGTTTTCTCATTGACCGCGTCATAGGACTCGCGCTTCAACCGCGTGAAGCGACCGTACACCGCCGCACAAGTAGTCTCGAAGAGGGGGACGTTGCCCATCTCATACCCCTCCGACGTGCTCGCGAAGAAGCTCTGGGCATCTCTGTCGGAGCACTACAAGAATGGGACACCGTCGCACACATACGGCGCGTGAGTGACACCGAACGCGGACGAGGTTCCGTACTGACACTTCTGCGCAGACTCGACCCTGTGCAAGTGACCCAGATGGCAAAGTACCTCGAGACCGTCTACGTCTCCGGTTGGCAATCATCGAGCACGGCGTCGAGCTCAAACGAGCCAGGCCCAGATCTTGCGGGTAAGTCTCTTTGCGTTGCTCCGTGGTTCTGAGGCTTAACTAAGGCGTCCTAGACTACCCCTCGAACACCGTCCCCAACAAGGTCGAGCATCTCTTCATGGCACAACTGTTCCACGACCGCAAGCAGGCCGAGGGGCGATCGGAACTGTCCGAGGCCGAGCTCGCGAACACGCCGACGATCGACTACCTCCGCCCCATCATCGCCGACGCCGACACCGGTCACGGCGGCCTCACCGCAACCATGAAGCTCGCGAAAATGTTCGTCGAGAAGGGCGCCGCGGGCGTGCACATCGAGGACCAGGCTCCGGGTACGAAGAAGTGCGGGCACATGGCGGGCAAGGTACTCGTGCCCATCCAGGAGCACCATCACCGGCTCGTGGCTATTCGCTTGCAGTTCGACATCATGGGCGTGAACAACCTCGTCATCGCCCGCACGGACTCCGAGGCTGCGACCTTGATCACGACGAACGTGGACGAGCGCGACCACGCGTTCATCCTTGGTTCGACGAACCCTGACCTGCGGCACCTCAACACTGTGCTCACGAGGCCGAGCGGACAGGCAAGACGGGGCCCGCCCTGGAGGCGCTCGAGGAGCAGTGGTTGGCCGCTGCGAAGTGCCAGCTGTTCCCCGAGGTACTTGCCAACGCCCTCAAGGCGCAGACAAGCGCCAATCAGGTCAAGCTCGAGCAGTTCCATCGGCGCATCGCTCACCTCTCATGGCCTGACGCCATCACCGTTGCGAAGAAGGAGTTCGGCCTGAGGAGCGTGCCTTTTGGGACTGGGACGCGCCGCGGACACGCGAGGGCTACTACCGCTACCAGGGCGGCACGCAGTGCGCCGTGAACCGTGCGATTGCGTTCGCGCCGTACGCGGACCTGCTCTGGATGGAGACGAAGAAGCGATCTACTCGCAGGCGAAGGAGTTCGCGGATGGCGTGCACGCCGTCTACCCCCAGCAGTGGTTGGCGTACAACCTGAGCCCGTCGTTCAA